GTTCCGTGTATCAGATGGCATACATCTCCAGGTTCTCGAGGGAGGGGGGGAGAGGAGGACCGTTCGGGGTCAGCCGTGGGAGGGCCTGCATGTTGCCGGGGGGGGGGGGGGGGGGGGATATCTATCTTGGGCTGCTTTTAACCTCATGGTGAGCCCGAGCGCGAGGGTGAAGGGGGGGGTCGACCCACTGGGGGCGTGCTGACACTGCATATGGGTTTGGTCACCTGCTCGTCTAACCGCTTCGGGGGGGACATGGCCTGGCCTGGATCAGTCCAGCAGTTGTCGCGATGATCTCATAGGCATCGCGTCCGGCCGGATTTATCCTCCAGGGCAGGCCTATCTGGGGACGGAGTACAGTAGTCCCGTCGTCGCATCGGGTACTTTGCTTGCAGGAAGAGACCGGGATGGGGCCAGGCCCTCGTCGAGATGAGGCAGATTGTGATTGTACTTTGGGGAAAGCTTCTTGTATGCTCGCAGCCCAAGAAGGAAGGAAGCATTGGGTGATGGGTGATCACTTCAACGTTGCGGCTGTGAGACATCATCATTCACTTACATTCCTGCTACCTGCCCCTATCCTAGTACTTGGAAGCCACTGGTCAACGGTTGCCTTCAGCTGTGCCACTCCAACACCCCATGAACAGGTTCATTGAACAGGTTTTCATGTCACCTTATCTGTCAGGTCTATTGACAGGACAATAGAGCTGATGTCAGCACTTAATCAGAATATGAATACATTGGTTAAGGCATATACACCGGTTTATTACTGTACAGGAGCAGCAGAAAACATGCTGAGAATTTAGATACAGCACTTACTTTCATGTGGTAATAATTTGAACATACATCTAAATTGACAGATGCCATAATATCTCCTTCTAAGAGTAGAGCATTAAAATAGGAGAGTATCCAGCTTGTTATCCAATACTCGCTCGCCATTCTCTCACCTCTGGATGGTCCAATATTTATCCTCCTAGTCCTAGATCAGTGAGTAATGTTTAATTAAGACTTGAGTAAGCCCATATAAATATAAGCATTGCATATATATAATTGAAGCAGTTATAGAAATTGAACCAGATATCACAAATTCTCCTCACGAGCAACTCTTTTAGCCACAGTCTATTTTATATAGCCGTAAGAAGAAGTATCCGTATGAGGCTCTTGAAAATTTCCCACATGATTATTCTGCAACATATGCAGTAGTACATCTGATATCCAAATTATTTTATATCCACCATGATAAGCCCGTATATTGTCATGTGTTCGTCCGAAGAAGCTTCTTTATCATAAGGTACTATGACCAGCCGTCAAATCTGACTTGGATATCCTGAAGAATAGTATATTGCACAATCCACATTACTAGTAGTAGTAGACTCTATATTCTCCCACTTCCTTGCAACAGGCGACTCGTCAGGAGCATGAGGATGCATTCAACATCGGAAAAACATTCAAGTGGCCTTTTTCTTGACTAAGTACATAGATCCATGACACTTACCATGACCCCCATCCCTACAGCAACAAAAACAGGCCCTACCCACACCAACCAACCCAAACCCCAATATAGCAAAGCACACAACACTACAGATTAACAGAACCTCATTTCACCCAGGACCTTGAAAGAGTGTCATGTTTCACAGATACACTTTTCCGATCCGATGTCGATATACCCTTTTCAGCACTCGGTCCGAGCTAACGTCTATAGACGGGTCTAGATAGGCCTGGAGTATCTGGAATGGGCTTGGGGGCGCGGATATGTTTCAATCTTGCAGATCGGGTCGGGTCGGAAAAAATAGGCTCATTTTTGGATGGGAGGGGGGTGAGACTTAGAGTTAGATGTTTGTTGTTAGGGTAGATGGATTGGGATTGGCATCTAGATCTTTGAGGGATGGTGGTCGAGGGGATAGTTTGTGTTTGTTCTGTACCTGGGAGATGCCGTATTATTGCAGGCTTGATAGAAATAGGTCTTTGGAGTGATTGTTTGACGATCTGTGTCCCTCGACATAATGCAGATAGTCGCTCAAACATTAGCAAGCCAAGAGAAGATATGACAATCAAGTACTAGTGAATAAATGCCAACTTCACCGCATACAAACCATACCCCATTGACACCACAACCAACACTCTCCAGGAAATGATAGGCCCAGGCATCAGAGAAAACCAGTTTCAGTATACGGCCGGATAATATCTCAGCAGAAGTTCACCCCCTAAACACCATCCCACTAGACATCGATCAGGCAATGCTAAGCAATTCTGATGGTAGGCTGTGCGGACTGGAGTGTCTTAACCAGAAACCCATCCAGGAGAGAGCTCAGAAAAAGGAGCAAGCCTGGATACCTAGCTCTTGATGTCTAGTATCACCACCCGAGTGGTGGTTTCAGAGTGCCACTGGCGGAAGCAAAAGCTACCGGCCCTAATTATATGACATTCTCCTCGAGGTATCAGATCGGACCCTGAAGTGGGACTATTCCTGTTCCTGATGACCAACATATACCCTAGACTAGATAACCATCACTGTTGGTTAACATTATATACATGACCGGCAGCATTAAAATCAAAATATAAATTCTCATCTATCTAAGGTCAAAACCCAACTTAATCTACATCAGCACCTAAAGCCATCCATCCATCCATCCATCCATCCATTCATCTTCCAGAACCACCAGCCCCCCCAACCAACCAGACAGAAAAAAAAAAAGAGAAAGAAGAAGAAGTAAATATAAACCTCCACACGAAACAAAGCCACACCAAAAGAAGCCACGACCTCTTACCCCCCCCAAAAAAATCACACAAATAATCAGATCGTCTAGGCGGCGCGACTCCATAATTTGGTTTATGGTTTGGGGCCGTTGGAACGGAACCTTCTCCGGTCTGATTTTTGGTCCCAACCCTTACCCGCAGCACACGACTTTGAAAATAAGAAGAAGAAGAAGAATAATAATAATAATAAATCGGATTTGCGTCTTGTTCCTGGATGATTCCGTGGATGAGTGGAGTGGCTATATTTATCACATTAGAATGATAGCTTCTTATCTTGTTTTCTTGTGGTTGATAGATATTGTTGTATGTGGTGCGAATGACGCGGGGAGAAAGATCTGCCCTGCCCTGTCCTGCCCTTGCGGATCCGATATCCACAACTTAACACTACTCAGGTACTCCGTACGAACTACAAAGGAAGGATCTGAGCCTGAGCTGGAGCCGTCAAGTGACTGTCTTCCCCCCTCCCCCTTCCTTTCCTTACCAGAACCAGTAGGGTCAGTTACTTGGTGATTAGACGGTGCCCAGTAGATAACTAGATAGACAAGCATGCTAAGTAAAATACTCTCCGTACTCGACAGATGGTCTGCACATTCCACCCCCCGGGTGTCTCATCTACTGGCGTCCTTGCGGATCGCAATCTAGTTAGTGAATCCGGGAACGATGACATAAGTCGGGGTTTCAGAGTAGGTTGATATCGCTGGGCGTTATGTATGACGGGTGGGTGAGTCTGGATTTTCAGACGGAGAGGAGGTGGGAGATGGCCCGAGTGTTACAGGAGAAGTTAATACTATCCTAGTAGCAAGTAGCAGCAACGCGACCATGCGTAAGTCGATGGGATCGCTACTACAGCAGCATGTAAGGGATGAACCTGCATATTCGTGCTGGGATGGTGTTATCTCGTTGTTCGTGGTCTTGAAATCCTGGTGCAGTTCGTTTGGCAGATGTTCTATTGTCCTGTATGGACGGCTATGTGAATGACTCGCGCACCCCTGAATATAGGGTTAAGGGCGAACCCTGGGGGGTCTAACAACGGACAACGGCGAGGATTGCGCTGCCCCATTTCCCCGACCCAAACAAGGACCCCTGCGTGTGGTCCAGGAACCGTGGAGTCAATCAACCCCGCTGAATGGTCGCCGTCGATCATGAAACTAAATCATAAAGCGAAACCGCCTAACCGTCCAACCTGCCTGCCGTCCGCCAACTCCAAGGGCATCAAGGCATCACATGCTACCGAGCACGCCTGTCGCCGAATCGCCCGGCACAGCAACTGCCCCTTGCGTTCGTGTCTCGCGGTTTCCGAGTGCAACCTCTCCACTGCGGGTGGGTCAGGGACTCGCGCTTGGGCGTCCCTGATGTCTATCTAGCGGGTGAGCGATCTCCATAATTGAAGACCAAAGCTCTCTACCCGAAAGTCCCCATGAGCGTGCCACCCGTCCCCGCCACATGTAGTGGGAAAGCATTTGCTATAGATGGTTAAGTAAAGGATCGCACCGGAGGTTGTAGCTAAATCGAGTCCGGGAAACAACCACGGCCATGCGATAAGAGTAGGATCTGGACTGGTTGTATCTCAATGGTGCCCAGGTCAGGAGCCAATCCTGACCTCCCGCAGCACAGCCGATTACTGCCTTGCATCCCACACAGATCAATGGGTCAATTGCAACATGCCAGTCCCAATAGGCGCAAGGCAGTATAGAAGTTGTCAAATGACTCGCTTGGCCCAAAGCGATAGGCGTTCGTGTCGATCACCGAGGCATCCAGAACCATGGACGGAAAATTAAGCCACACGAAGCGCCCAAACGTGATCATAAGCGCAACTCGCAATTTCCTCTCCCAATCGTTCGCCCCCGCAGGGCTAAGAGACCCTAACGGTAAGCAACGCGGTTCGGTGCTGCTCAGCGGAAATATTTTTCCTGCGGTGATCAGGGTAGCCAGTTCGGATCCTCATCAGAGGCCCAAAATAGACGATCAGGAACCAAAAAGGAATGTCCCCTATCAGATCAAACTTAAGGGATGACGCCGTGTGCTTTCCGTAGCGTGGCTAGGACGAAACGCTCCAGCATGTCCTAGTCATTTCGCATGTGGGGTCAGGAACTGCCCTCGGCCTTGCCTCGATAATTGGGCCAGTGTGTAGAGCACGGGTAGTTCCCGTGCACTTGCAGAATAAAGGAGCTCTGAAATCCGCACCGATCTGGAACCAACCCTTCCGTCGTCGATTGCTGGCCATTCACTGTGACGAGCATATCCTCAACATGCGCTTCTCGTCCGCACTTCTCTCCACCCTTTTGCTTTCCGGCACCTCGCTGGCAACACCAGCTGGAGTCTCGTCAGCAGGTGTTCTGGCACAGGGGAGTGCAGCGCCGGAGGATCATGCTATAGTACGGACAGCGGCAGCAGAACCATCTGCAGCTGCAGCGACACCAGCAACAGCACAGGCGGCCGGAACCGAGCAGCAGCCGAACGCTAAAGTCGGTACCAACCAGCAAGGCGCCGGCGCCTATGCACAGCAACCTTCTGCAGCCGTCGGCAACCAGCAAGCATCCGGAAACCAGCAGCCATCGGTGAATGGAGCTGAGCAGCAGCCGACTATCACTGCAGTGCAGCATCCGGGCCTGGTCGCAGAAACTCCTTCAAGCCAGACCACTACTTCACAGTCCGAAGATCTCATAGGAGGATTGGTGAACGGCCTTCTCGGAGGTGGTAACAACCAGGCAGCCAGCAGCGCTACCGCGACACATGCACCAGCAGAGTCTTTTACCACGAGCTCCGCTGCTTCTGCGACCAGTTCATCCGGAAACCTGTTCACCGACATTGGCGATGGCATTGATGGCCTTCTTGGCATCTTGTCGCCGACATTCCTCAAGAACGTGGAGTCTTTCTTCAACCACGTTGCGATATTGTTGGATGACACGACAACCACCCAGGCGAAGGGTCTGATCGACACCGCTTACAAGCTGCTGAACAAGCAGATGATCAGCGAGTTGGACAGCCTTCTGGGCAATGCAAACAGCCTGCTCACCCCAAGCTTTGTGAACGAGACAACGCAGCTGATCAACTCGATCGGTCCCCTCGTCACCCCGCAGCTGTTCCGGAAGGTCTCCGTCTTGCTTGATAATGGCAACAACCTTTTGACTGCCAACTTCGTCAAGGAGGTCAATGGCCTCATCACCAATGCAAATGACCTGTTGACCGCCGACTTCGTCAAGGAAACAACGGAGCTGATTAGCGCGGTTTCCCCAGTGCTGACACCTGAGATTCTTGCGCTGGTCGCGGGCTTGCTGAATAACGCCAATGACCTCCTGACCACAGAGTTCGTCAAGGACACGAAGTCATTGATCCTTGCTGTATCCCCAATCTTGACGCCAGACTTGCTCAAGGAGGTCGGCACGCTTGTGAACAATGCCAATGGTCTCCTGACTACAAGCTTCGTCAAGGATGCGACATCATTGATCGAGACGGTCGGCCCCTCTCTGACTCCCGAATTGTTCAAGGAAATCAACTCGGTCTTGAGCAATGCCAATGGTCTCTTGACGCCTACCTTTGTCAACGAAACTCAGTCTCTAATCGATACCATCTCGCCTTCCCTTACCCCTGCGCTGTTCAAGGAGATCAGCTCGGTCTTGGGCAATGCGAATAGCTTGTTGACTTCCAAATTCGTGAAGGAGACCCAGAGCTTGATCGACGCAGTTTCGCCAGTGCTGACTCCTGACATTCTTGCGCTGGTCGCGGGCTTGCTGAACAACGCCAATGACCTCCTTACGCCCACATTCGTGAACGAGACCCAAGGCCTGATTGGCGCCGTTTCTCCGGTCCTCACACCTGGTGTCCTTGGCCTCGTGGCTGGCTTGTTGAATAACGCCAACGACCTCCTTACGCCGACATTCGTGAACGAAACCCAAGGATTGATTGGCGCCGTGGCTCCGATTTTGACCCCGGCTCTTCTCAAGGAAGTCAACGATCTCCTGTCCAACGCCAACTCTTTGTTGACCACAGGATTTGTTGGCGAAGCCCAGACATTGGTTGGTCATGCGAACGACCTTCTCACGACCAATTTCGTCAAGGAGACCCAGAGCTTGATCGACGCAGTTTCGCCGGTGCTGACGCCTGACATTCTTGCGCTGGTCGCGGGCTTGCTGAACAACGCCAATGACCTACTGACACCGAAGTTCGTCAACGAGACCCAAGCCTTGATTGGTGATATCGGACCAATCCTCACCCCTGACATGCTCGGCGAGGTTGGCGGGCTTCTCAGCAACGCGAACAAGCTTCTGACGACCAAGTTTGTTGACGAGACCCAGAGCTTGATTGATAATGTGTCACCTGCCATCACTCCTGCTCTCCTCAGCCAGGTCAACTACCTCCTAGGCAATGCAACGAACTTGTTGACAACTAGCTTCGTCAACGAAACAAAGGGCCTGATTGATGAAGTGTCACCCATTCTTACTCCTGAAATGCTTGGAGAGGTTGGCAGCCTGCTTGGCAATGCCAACAATTTGTTGACCACGAAGTTTATTAACGAAACGCAAGTCCTCATCGAGGACGCTTCCGAGGTGAGTACCCTTCATTACAGAGTCGGGATAAGTCCAGAAAGATACTGACTGTGCATAGCTGCTTCCCGCTGTAGTCAAGGTTTTGGGTTCGCTGTGAGGGCGTTGAGCCGCAAAATAATCAGGGCATATATTGAAGGACAACCATTTTATTTAATCATATGACTAATTATGCGCTTCGATGTTGATGTTTTCCATGTTCGCGACGCTTGAAGTCGTCGATTGTCTGGTACAGAGGGTGTTTTAATAATAGCTCGTCCATAGCTCGAAATCTGATAACGCCCGTGTTGAGTGGTGAAACTAGCTTGATCCGTAATTGTTTTGACGATTTTGAAGTGGTGTACATATACTGCAGTTGATTATGTCTGAAAGTCTCGCAGAGAGCAATGAGACCAAACTGTCCAGATCTCTTGGGTTGAACAGAACACTGAGACAGAATCAGAGAGATAGAAACCCGGTTCTGGGTGGTATCGTTATAATGCCCCGGATAATAATTACCTCAGGGGCTTGATCCTTCAGTGCCGTTCGCCGCGTCTTGGTTTCAGCACAGCGGATGAAGACTGGTAGGCAAAAGCCGGAGTTTGCAGTCCATGCAGGTGTGGTCCGTTTATTGGGGTCGCACAACGTTCTGCATCATCACATTTTTCTCCAGCAAGAGGCCGGAAAGTAAATCTTCTGCAAAGTGTTCCTGACCGAAAATCTCCGTGTAGTTCGTTTAAAGTTGTATTCTCTGATGCGAGTGGTGCTTTAAGATCCGATACCGGAAGCCTTGACCTCCTGATACTTCGATAAAACTTTCATTTCGGTGTTCCGTTCCTTGATTTTCTTGTCCATAGCTTTTTGGACCTCTTCGCGTTTCTTCTCCGCGTCCTCCAGCTTTTGCTTTACTTCTTTTGCAACCTGCTCTTGCTCTTTCAATGCCGCTTCTGGCGACGAGAATTCCTGGCGTAGTTGGTCGATCTGGGCGCGTACATCATCCTCGCCAATAGGAACACAGGTAACCGGATGATACTTATGCGGTGGTAGCTCCCCCGGAACACGGATCTCGGAGAGCAGGTCGTGGATTGGTTTCGTGCGGAGGAGGGAGTCCAGCGGGACGGGCAAGGCTGTGGGGGAAGGTATCGGTTCGGAAGGCGGGGAGAGGGGGAGTTGATGATCCATGTTGGTGTAGAACTGATGAAGGGGAAACCTCCAGATGGATTTCGAGCGATCAGGAGCTTCTTAGTGTTTGTTGCGCAAGGTGTTGAATGACATTCCTGAGAATTTGCCTGTCGCGATTACTGCCATCGCGGCGGTTCACCGCCCTAGACAGTCACATGATCAGACAATATCCCCCACTGCTCGGTATTGCCGGAAGATATCTTCCGGCACCACGAGGCCATGGAAATTGAGCTCATAGGATTTGTATCATGGAGGAAAATGACTGTCACCTCTTTATACGAGAGCAGCGACGTAGGTGAGCTTTACCTTGCCCACCGTTGGTTGAGTCTCTCTAGGCGGTCACTTTCTGCCATCAGGGGTAACTCGCCGCCTTCCGACCAGATGTGGGGAGTCGAAGAGGGTCTCGACCAGCAGCGCTACTAAGACAATGTCATGTTATCAAATCGGCTGGAATTGATGAAAGACAAGTGACCTGAGACCGTCCTTGTTGGATCCCAGCTTGCCAGCTATGCAGGCCTTTGGTACGTCCCCCACAACGCTTTGCGCCTTATCGAACTCACTTCCCCGAATGATGACCTCATGTCTGTATCTCTTGGCCCTCGCACTAACAACGCACCGCATTAGTCCCCAAGAACCGCAGAGTAAGTTGATCGCATTTGGTTCACGGAAGTATTAAAGATGCGAATATCAGATATAGCCTAGGTTCGAGTTGGTGTTACGGGTAAGGCCCCATTTTCCCCGGTTCCAACCGGAAATAGTACTTGCTGACGTCTTCGGCTCTTCTAGATCATCGACCTCAACAATGTCCCACTTATGAGCGGCACGGCGTTCGTCAAATGGCGCTTACCATCCTCGAGTGCTCCCGAACATCATGGTCATACGGATAAGGCGGTCATTGTAGACCACCGCGCATATTGGAACTACGACAAGATCCTGCAGGTCAGGCTCACTATTGACCGAAACCAGTCCCTTCACGAATGCGAGCTCTACTTCGAGATCATACAGGAATTTGCATCGGGGGGAAATAACGAGAAGAATCTCCTGGGAAGGATCAGACTCAACCTGTCCGAATATGTGGACAAGAGCGATGATGATGAGGGCATTGTACGGAGGTACTTAATGCAGGATAGCAAGATCAACAGCACGCTCAAGGTCGGGATCGCGATACGCCAAGTCGAAGGGGACCGGAATTTTATTACGTATGTTTTGTTATAGGAGGATGCGGTTCCCCGCAAGAACTTGTTGCTGACAACATCCAGGCCGCCTCTGAAGTCAGCTATGGTATTCGGAGGTATCGCAGGCGTTGTATCCTCTGAACAAAGCGAGCATGACGAACTGGGCCGCCTACCGACCATCAACAGCCAGAACCGAGAAACCACCGACATGCAAGACATGTATCGTCGCACTTTGGCCGCCTCTTGGAATTCTCGGGCTGACGATTTACCGGCGGATAAATTGATCGAAGAACTGTTTTCGGGGGGCATTAGCTGGGCCGACAACCATGATGCCCGCGCAGAGAAGTCCGTCGAACATCAATCTGAACGGTTGTCTGCCAGTGGAAGCTTAGGCGTAAAGCAAGCTATGTTGGAGAGTCGGTTATCGCCCCCTAGCTTTGAGAGACGGCCAAGGAGCTCCTCAAGCAATCACTTCCGAAATGATGGTAAGGGGGCTGAGTTCGCGCCAGCGATTAACCATGCACGAAAGGCCGGAAGCATTGAGCAGCAACTCTATGATAATCCGAAAGGGAAAGTCTGGAAGAATCGTAGTACTGAATTCGAGTTGTCCGAGTTCGATGTGCGGGAGGACTTGCGGAGCTGGGAGGTCATGGATAAGGAGTGACCCAACCTAGTCATTGTGTGTTAGATAGTTTCATTAAAATACCCCTGATGACTGCTGGTTACATATCTATATGAGTACGGAGTACACGACATGAACCGAGGCCGATCCGCGGTTTGGATGCCGCATCCAGACTAGTCCATTTGAAGACTAGCGCGGATCGCAGATTGCATCAATTCGGGCTTCGACTTGCCTTCGCCGGACTTTTTCGACCAGCGCACCTTGCCTTTTGTTCCATATGCTGTCTCGGTCCTCAAAGAGAGCGTCACGGCTCCTGAGCTGCCGACTTTTTCCGGAATGCAGAGGGAGTCCCCTCTCCCCATCATTGCGCCGGCGCAATGTCTCCGCCCGATTCGAAAGTTCCGCGAGTAACGCCACTGGAAATGATGCTACCGCAAACGATGCTACCACAAGTGATACCACAAATGATACTACAAGTGATGCTACCAGAAGCGAGACCACCACAAATGATCTTAACACGCATGACACCATCCCTTCTGATACCACTGCAGGCGATGTGAAAGCGAATGATGAACGAGGTCCTCGAACTCCCCGTCGCAGTACATTCATCCCGAAAGGAGGTCTAAAAGTACCCCTGTCCGTGGGCTCGCTAGGAGGCGCCGCTGAGGTCGTACTGGTCAGGGAACGATGGGTCAGAAAGGAAAGGAAGGGTCGCACATCCCCGAAAGTGGAAGAAAGAACAAACGAACCCGAAGAGGTGACAAAATCTGACAACGGCTCCCTTCCTTACTTCTTGGAGGAGCTACGCAAAGACGATGAATATCTCGATAACAATGTCCTACAAAATCGAATCGAGAGTTTTCGTTCCGACTTTCAACCACTTGACAAGCTGACCCCCACTGAGTGGACGACCCTTCGAGAGACACTCGGATCGTCATTCACCCTTCGGCAGCTGACGGACTATATAACAAAGGTGGGGAAGTATAACCGGGTGCGGATTGGCTTGGATTTCGATCACAACACAGATAAGATGGGAGAATGGACACCTGGGACTTCGGAGTTTCTTGAAACCGAACTTGGTTCCCGAGGCAGTGTTGCCGAACGAGTGGCGGCAGCGCAGGCTCTCAAGGGGAAATATCTTCTTGCTGAGAAGATTCTTCGCGATTGCTGGCAGCTCGGAATTATTGATGAAGTTGGTCAGCGTGATATCCATCTGCCTGCCCATTCTTTATCGCTGCTCCTCAGCTCCAAGCATTTTTCTTTCGAAGAGTTAGCCGGTCTGTACGAAGCGAAAATCGATGTCACCCACTTCCTTGGCCTTGTGAGAATCACCGGAAAGCAGGAAGTGTGTGATTCGATCAGCGAGATTGTACACGATTCCCTTGCTAGGATTCGACAGGAAGATATCAGTCTTCCGCCGGATAATTCTGTGACGAACGCCAACGCTATCTTTACGCCGAATTTCCTATCATGGATTACAAAAACATATGCGGTGGCATTTGAAAACACTACACAGCCTCCCGATAAGATCTTCTACCTTGTTGAAAACAAACAGGATGCCGACAATGCCCGCCGGGTCTTGAACCTCGCCTATCACAGCGCAAATGCCCGTCTCGCACCTTTCAGCACCTATGTATCGCCCGCGGAGCCATTCTGGGTCCACGATTTTGACCCGGAGGACAACCTCACATGGTTCGACAAACAAAAGAAATGGTTCCGATGGGGCTTGCCGGCAACCCATGCCACCGAGAGCAATACATCAGAGACCCCCTTCTTCGACAAACATCCAACTCGCCTATCGAACGAGCTTCTCAAGCTACTCCGACGGCAACGAACCCCCTCTCGAGCAGGCCAACCCCCCAACACCGGTATCCAAGAATCCATCACCGCCGCCGTGGGCAGTTGCCTTTTCCTGCGCAAGCCAAACTCCGAAGAGAGCACAGCCAGTGCTTCTAAACTGGGCCAAATGGCCCTTCCACGGACCTTCTCCACCGACATCCCTCGTGCCGCACCTTTCCTCCGCGGGCTACAGCCCCAGCCTATAGACGAGTACCAAAAAGCCCACCGTATCCGTCTCATCCCATCCGCCTTCAACGCCCACGTCTTCCCGCAACTGGAGCTAGAAGTCACCGCCAAGACAACCCACCGCGCCAAAGACGACCACGAGCCCGAATTCGTCATGCGCAGCGCCAAGGCCATCCTCCTCGAGAGCAACCTGGACTTCCTCCTCCCCGAGAACGGGCTCGACCTCCGCTTCACCCGCAAGCTCACCCGCGAGATTCTCAAAACCCCCCACGATGGCTCTGGCTCGGACCCCTCCCCCCTGGAATCCCTCGAAGAATGCCTCCGTGATCTCTTCACGAGATGCACCTCCGCGGAAAGCGATCTGCCTCTTCCCCCCTCCATCCAACTCTCCCTTCCCCGCCAGTTCCTCCCCTCCGATGCCCCCGATTCTGCCGAATACACTTTCCTCCCCGTGAGCGATATCAGGAGTACCCGTGTTTACCGGTACGAGTTCCTCGACCACCAACTCAACTATACTTTCCATGAGAGTGGGCCGTTCAACGCCGCCGAAAATACGAATATGTTTCTGAATATGAACATGCCGGCGGCGGCGGCCGGTGAGTCTACTCTGGCCGCTCAGGATCACGCTATCCAGGAGAGTTTCCATACTTTCTACAATACCGCGTGCGCTTTGGCGTTTGAGTTGGATAGGGCTCGGCTGTAATTTACCTAGGTAGAGGTCTGTGTGGCTGTGGTGGTTTCGTTTCTCTTCCATTATATAATAGAATTTTCTTAACGATGTATGTAGTATGTATATTATAGAAGGGTAACTGGGAAAAGCTACCGTCTTTATTTGGCGTTTGAAGGTGGTTGCATTAACAACTCTCCATTTAGTATATAGAAAAAAGCAAAAATGCATTATGGATTATGAATTATTACTACTGGCATGTGGAGAGCGGTTCGTTCGTAAGTACATGTAGGTCCACCATCGCTGATCTGCGCAAGCATCAACCGGGTGATTCATATCTCCATGAGTTTGTAAAAATCGCCTATCCCCCGCCGAAGTCCATCCTCCCATGCTGTTGGATCCTCGTCGAGTTGTTCCGGAACTAGGTCTTTTTTGCGCCGTTGGATCCAGGGTTCCAGGGAGTCGATTTTATCTGCACCGGGTCGATCAGGCAGGATGCCTAGGATGGCAGCGCTGAAGAATTGTAGCGCATCGCTATATCCTAGTTCCCAGCCATGGCTGAAGCTTCCGCGTTGATGTGTGCTCCAAGAGTCACTCGTCTGAGACGATGCCTTCTCTCGGAATTGGGATTGCTTGGCTTTGGCCTTTTGAGCCTTCACCTGGACTTCTGTCTGAGGTATTGCTAGAGACTTGGGCATCGCAGCGGTGCCATTCAGTACGCTTCTCTTGAGTTGATCCAGGCTGTCCGTGCAACCCTTGAAGGCCTGCTGTTTGGTTTGTTCTTGACCGTCGTTGATATATATAGGCAGGGAACGGTCAATGGCACTTGTGATCATGAAAATCTCCTGATACCACTGACACAAGTCGGCAGTGTAGTCGTCCGAAGATATTAGAAGCCCGACCACCCCCTTCAGCGTATGAAAAGTGACCTCCTGGGCCAAGAAAGCGACACAATCTCTAGCTATAGCTCGGGTTTCCGCGTTGGCAGCAAGGTTTGTGCCACCAGCGCTAGTATGAAAGTCAATGAGAACACCAACACCGTAAGCGCGGCACTTCTCGATGAAATGTTTCACAATATTCCAGCAACTGGCATATACCTGGGACGGAAGCCCTTCATAGGCTGTTTCCAGACAGAACAAGGGTCCCAGGGAGTAGAAACTTAGGGGTAAGCGAATGGTGTTGCATCGTGCGACATCTTTGAGCCAAGCGAGGTTGTCGTCGGTCAAAACAGGGAGCCAGGGGGCTTCCCACTCCATTCTAGTTTGCTCGAGACCATGAGACGCGATCGACCTGCTCATTTCGAGCCATCATTCAGTTTCCATCAGGGAAAGCAAGACGCGGACAGAGGGGGTAGTTGAATCGCTTGTTTTACCAACTTTTTAAGAGCCTGCAATTCGTCGGGGCTGTCAGAATCCTCGCCAAGCGTGCCGCTGCTGCTGCTGCTGCTGCTGCTGCTGCTCCTCGACCACGGGCCATGCAGAAACACCGATCCCAGACTTATTCCATATTGACATCGGAAGCGGAAGATATCCTGGTCTGTGGCAGGAAGGGGGCAGTATAGTTCGGACATATTAAGGTGCAAAGATCAGAGGAATGTGTTGGTGGGAGTTGGCGTGGATGATGGATACAAAGACAAGAGCTGGAGTTTAAAGGCTAAAGTGCGGTTCAGCTCCAATGCGCAGTGACACTTAAAACCGGATAATAATACAGAAAACATCTGATGCGCCAGCCGTCTTGCTGCATACACCGGATCAGATGAGCTTCCTAGAGGAGCGGAAAGTCGGGGTCACCCAGGTCCAAGTGAGTGGGCAGTATTGTGCAATCACATTGACATGAGATTTGTACCCCGAGAGGAGTGAATTTCGCACTGGTGGTTCAAATAGATGGCAGTGAAAGGGAAGAAGAAGAGTTCAGTGAAGCGGTTAAGTGGCCGGCATTGACGTAGTTGCCCGGTTCAGGCCACTAGCGAGGGGCTCCGCATTTGGCCGGGCGTCCGTGCAGCTGCTGAAAATGTCGCCTGTCATCCATCCTCCTTCCCCAAGTCTCCGCCTCCCCACCTCGCCCCCCCTCCCTTTGTCGGACTCTTTTAGCTTGTCTAGATTGTATTTTTATTTGCATTTTCATTTGAATCGTTCCTTGTCCGTGAATCTATCCATTCCAGGCGCCAGCGGCCTCCGACCGTGCTGAATCCTTGCCAGCCCCTCCGGCTCAATCAATGCGCCCAGTCATGAAGCTTGTGCGGATACAGTAACAGGCAAGGCATGGAGAGAACACGCGTCGCTAAGGTGCGTCTTGTCTAGTCTAATAATGGCCCGGGCCCAAGGCCAACAACAGTAAAGCCTTTGAGCGTCAGACTAACAGTCTCCTGTCAATCCCAGGTTGAAGATGTGACCTTGGCGCGCCGAGGCGAACAGGTTACCGGCACCCTCCACCTCACCCCTCACCATATTATCTTCTCTCACGTCCCTTCCTCCTCCTCCCCTCCCTCCGACTCGACCCAGTCTCAGCCCCAGTCTCAGATCCAATCCCAGGGCCAGGCCCAGCCCCCTGCTGTCCGGCCCAAGGAGGTCTGGATCACATATCCCATAATCTCCTTCTGTAGCTGCCGCCCCACCCCTGCCGCGTCCCGCCAGCCGTCTTCGATTCGCATCCGGTGTCGCGATTTTACCTTTGTTTGCCTTTATTTCACAAGCGAGAGCAAGGCTCGTGATGTGTACGAAACGATAAAATGCTGGACATGTAAAGTTGGTCGGATTGATAAGCTTTACGCTTTCACATATCGGCCTCCCCCTCCGGAGCAGAAGTTCAATGGCTGGGACCTCTATAACCCAGAGAAGGAATGGGCTAGACAAGGGGTGGACCGGGCCAGTTCAGGCTGGCGTATATCTCGTATGAACTCAGACTATGGGGTAAATCTCCACCAGATTGAACACTTGCCTCTGTCCATTGACTCTGACTGGATCTCTAGTTCTCCGATACATACCCGGCCCTCCTACCCATCCCCGCGGCGATCTCGGACAATACACTCAACCATGCAGGAAAATACCGGTCCAGGGCGAGAGTGCCTGCCCTGACCTATCTCCATCCCGTAAACAACTGTTCAATCACAAGGAGCTCGCAGCCACTGGTGGGCGTGCGTCAGAATCGAAGCATTCAGGACGAAACATTGCTGGCCGCCATATTTTCGACTTCCCGGTCAGAGAGACCTCTCGCAAGCTTTACCCCGCCAAGCTTCAACTCGGGATCCTCGAATTCGACCCAGAGGGAACCCCCCCGAAGTCAAATGCTGGCCGATCTGACGATGGCTGACGACTTGGAAGATGAGATGCTGTCATCCTTCCGCGGGGACTCTGAAGAGAGACCTCATGTCTACGGCGCTCAACAGCACAACCTCATTGTTGATGCTCGTCCTACCGTGAATGCCTTTGCTATGCAGGCTATCGGTCTTGGCTCGGAAAACATGGACAACTACAAGTTCGCTACGAAAGCTTACCTGGGAATTGACAACATCCACGTAATGAGAGACTCGTTGAACCGGGTAGTCGATGCCTTGAAAGACTCCGATGTCACCCCACTGGGTCCAAATAAGGATCAGCTTGCACGGAGCGGGTGGCTCAAGCATATCTCGGGCATTTTGGACGGTTCTGGCCTGATCGCTCGGCAGGTTGGGCTTCAGCATTCGCACGTTTTGATCCACTGTTCGGATGGCTGGGACCGTACAAGTCAGTTGAGCGCCCTGAGTCAGATCTGCCTCGATCCATATTATCGAACGATGGAGGGGTTCATGGTTCTGGTAGAAAAGGATTGGCTCTCTTTCGGGCATATGTTCCGGCACAGATCGGGCCATCTAAATAGTGAAAAGTGGTTTCAGATCGAGAATGAGCGGATTGGGGGAGATTCTAACCGTGAAGGTGGCGGCGCAGGACGTGCCATTGAAAATGCAATCCTTAGCGCCAAAGGTTTCTTCAACAGAGATAACACCAGTCGCGACTCCCTTGGGGAGTCCGATGGAGAGATGCAGAGCTACGACTCGGAGAATCTGAAGAAGCCTGCCCCCGCACCCCGGACAGCTGCGGCCGAAAAAGAAGTGACGAAGGTCAAAGAGACAAGTCCAGTCTTCCACCAGTTCCTTGATGCGACATACCAGCTACTGTACCAGCATCCGACACGGTTCGAGTTTAATGAGCGTTTCCTACGTCGGCTCTTATACCATCTTTACTCGTGCCAATTTGGCACCTTCCTCTACAACAATGAAAAGGAACGGGTGGAGTCCAACGCAAAGGGCCGGACTCGCAGCGTGTGGGATTACTTTCTAGCGCGACGGGAGCAGTTCCTCAACCCCCAGTACGACCCCCAGATCGACGATCACAAGCGTGGAAAGGAACGCCTGATTTTTCCGCAAGTTAGTCAGGTGAGATGGTGGAGCGAGGCATTCGGTCGCACCGATACCGAAATGAATGGTGAAAGCCTGCCGCAGTCTGAGTCAAGCCCACCGATCGGCCGTGATGCATCGAGCACGAGCACTGAGCGGTCGCCGGTGCTGACCGGCATTGAAACGGCCCACCATTCTCTTGGTGCTGGGACATCAGGCAAGGACGCTTACCATGCTGCGCCGACTGGAATGGCAGCGGTGACTGCGGGGATATCCAATCTGGCTTTCCCCAAAAGCAAGGAGGACAGCCAAAGCATGAGCCGGATGGAGGTCGAGATGCAATGACCCATCCCAACAAAAAGAGTTGATGTCGCATCAGAAGCGATGTATCTAGGTAGTTTCCGTGGAGGATGGCCCAGCCAGGGTTAGAGGGGTCATAAATATCCTGATTATGTTACGCGTGTATGCCTTGCCTGTTGTTCTGTTGTTTGATGACGCTGCATTGTCTCGGTTTTGGGAGTAGAGACAGAGAGCACTCGCTATGATTGCATGAATGCAAGAATCGGTCCAGCATTGTAGTACTTCATAGTACTAGGTACAGATGCTGCGTTAAGTGGAGAGACAGCTCGGACCCACTCTGTTTTAATTATTGAGTAGTAAAGTAATCGTAGGTGAGTAAGGGCACCCAGGAAGGGCCTTACTTATGTATGAACCCTGGGGTTATGGAGCACAAGGTCTGGACTCTGGACTCGGGAGCATGGCGTAATGGAAATGGAAGAGTAGACACGCGGTAGAGGTTCCATGCCTGAAAGCTCAGGCGGAGCGCATAGCCGCTAGGGGGGCTCTTGGCGGGGCCCAGATGGGGAAGGTGCCCGGGCAGCAGCAAGCGAGGTTGAGCCCTAGCCCAGACGGGCCAAAATAAGCCCTAATCCCAAAAACCCCCCACTAACGCCGGACGCTCAAAACTGACTTTGACCGCCGCCGACCATCTCGCCCTCGAAACGACATCCCCCAACCAACCGTTCTCGGCCGTTTCTTCGCCAGTTCAGAAAACCAGAAACGCAATCATGGCCGCTGTCCAGGGAGCTATTTCTAAGCGTCGCAAGTTCGTCGCCGACGGTGTCTTCTATGCCGAGCTGAACGAGTTCTTCCAGCGCGAGCTGGCTGAGGAGGGATACTCCGGTGTCGAAGTCCGTGTCACTCCCACCGTCACCGACATCAGTACGTCGCCCGATCCATTTTTGCATTTGATACCCTAGTTTCCAGTTGTGATGTGGAAAAGTCGAAAATGGGAGGGGAAACAAGAAGCGAATGAAGGAGGAGGAATGATGGAGAATACACGGAACCCACACGACAGAATGAAAGAATGGATGGATGGATGGGGATAGACTGGATATCAACAATATCAACTGGAAAAGACAATGGGGAAACACATACAATTGCAAGGGAAACCGACGGAATGCTAACGGATGCTCTTTTTTTTTCTTTGCAGTCATCCGTGCCACCCACACCCAGGAGGTTCTCGGTGAGCAGGGTCGCCGCATCCGCGAGCTCACCTCCCTCATCCAGAAGCGCTTCAAGTTCCCCGAGAACTCCGTTTCCCTGTACGCCGCCAAGGTCCAGAACCGCGGTCTCTCCGCCGTCGCTCAGTGCGAGTCCCTCCGCTACAAGCTCCTCAACGGTCTGGCCGTCCGTCGTGCCTGCTATGGTGTCCTCCGCTTCATCATGGAGTCCGGCGCCAAGGGTTGTGAGGTTGTCGTTTCCGGAAAGCTCCGTGCTGCCCGTGCCAAGTCCATGAAGTTCACTGTACGTTGCTCGGAATCCATCTCTCCCTTGTTTTGTTTCAGAACGGTCGGATCGGTCCCGAAGCAGTGGTGGAAATTTAATACAACAATACAACACGCGATCGACGATTTGCACGACTGGCGAAGGGACCGACCGTCCGATCATTCGAAACCCCCCATATCACAAACATACAGGGGATGAATGCCGGGGACATATAACTAACTACATTTCGCTATATAGGACGGATTCATGATCCACTCCGGTCAGCCCGCCAAGGAGTTCATCGACAGCGCCACCCGCCACGTTCTCCTCCGCCAGGGTGTCCTCGGTATCAAGGTCAAGATCATGCGCGGTTCCGACCCCGAGGGCAAGGCCGGTCCCCAGAAGACTCTCCCCGACTCCGTCACCATCATCGAGCCCAAGGAGGAGCAGCCCGTTCTCCAGCCCATGAGCCAGGACTACGGTGCCAAGGCCCTTGCCGCTCAGCAGGCCGCTGAGCAGCAGCGTCTTGCCGAGCAGGCCGCCGCCGGGGAGACCCAGGAGGGTGCCCCCGCCGAGACCTTCGCCCAGGAGTAAAAAAAAAGAATTTAGTTTCCGTTTTTTTTTTCTCTCTCAATCTTCTAGGCCATGCTCTTTATTCTCCAACCTTGTTCCTCCTGTCCAATCCTACCTAAACCTTATTATCTCTCTACCTGACGCAAAAATAAACAACTACATGATTACCTTCCAATGATTGTTTCCTTGTCTGTCTGTCTGTCTGTCTCCGCTTCCTGGTGGAATATTCCAGGTAGGACAGACGCAGCGCAGCAGCAGCAGCATCAACAAAAAAGATGATAATGAGTGATGTCAGAAGTTCTCTTTTCTTATCTATTATCTAGTTTGATTACGTCATGCAGATGGGACTGGGCATATGTGTATGGATTAAGAAGCGTATGGACAAGAAAGAAAGAGAGAAAAAAGAAGTTTTGGTCTAGCAGAGGAAAGAAGAAAGAAAGGAACAAAAAAACACACAACCTAAGGGGTTATGGTTCATGCATGACAAGTCCCGGTCTTTGGCGTTTATCCGTATATCCTATGCGTACGTAGAGTTTGGATTTGATATTGTCAAATTTCTACGTAGTATCCACCTACCTACCTACCTACCTACCTACCTACCTATTTATCTATTTACCTACCTGCAATGGCGATACATAGTGCCTCCACCTACTATGTACGTATGTATTCAATCCCATCCAAGTGACATCCACACCGTTTAGAATTGTAGAAAAGGAGAGGTTCATTCTAAAAACTGAGACTTGCTTTTTTGCTATATATTCATTTTAAAATAATCAGGGTTCTTATCAATCATGATTTGTGAGTGAGCTCTTCTTTCTTTCTTTCTAAAAATGTTGACATTTCTATCATCTACGCATGCTCTTTCTTGTGTTGAATCCTCAGCCGTCATTCATAACCAACCTATTCTCGCTTATAGGAAGGCTTCGATGTTGAGCTCCAGGGTGCTGACGGGGTACTTCAACTCGTAGTTCTCCAGGACGGTCGGATGCAGGATACCGAAGGCACCGATGACGTGGTCCTTGCCGGCTATGCGGACGTGAACGGAGGCGGAGTGGCCGGGGAAGTAAGTAGGTTCTGGAAGGGGAGAAAGTATTAGTCAACGAAACAAGGTCGTTGGTGGTTTGAGTGAGTGAGTGAAACTTACCATCGAGCTCTTCGATCCAGTACTGGGAGTCGTTCATGGCCGGGTTCTCGAGACCCTCCTCACCGGTGATGAAGGCGCTCTTGAGCATGGCCATGACGCGGTCCAGAAGGCCGTGCACGACCTCGAATCCACTGGTCTTGCCGTACCAGGCAGCGGCGAAGTGGCGCTCGTTACGGCTCTTGCGCTCCAGGGACAGGTCCTTGAAGGCAACGTCGCTGACCTCGAAGATCTTCATGGGGACGGTGTGGTGCTTGTTCTCGCGGATAGTCTTGAGCAGACCGGGCAGCAGACTCGTGCGGACGACCTGGAACTCCTGGGTCTTGGGGTTGGCCAGCTTGACGGCGGTATTTCCGTCGTCCTTGCGGTTGAGCCAGCCGAAGTTCTCGTCGTGAGAGCACAGGATCAGGGGCAGCACCTCAGACCAGCCGGCCATGGCGGCCTCAATGCGCACGATATCGGTGAGCTTGTTGATGGGGAGAGGCTGGGCGATGGTACCCGACTTGCTGGGGAAAGACCGGGGGAGGGAGTTGAAGCCGTAGGCAATTGCGACGTCCTCCATGATGTCGGCCTGATGAAGCACGTCGGCTCTGGTCGGGGGAACGAATACATCGATCAGATCGGGAGACGTGGCAGAGGGCTTCGCGTCGTAGGCCATCTTCTTCAGGAAGGTGCAGATCTCTGCGGGTGAAAGCTCCAAGCCGCAGCATTCGTTGATGTACGAGACCTCGGCCTGTGTTGTGCGGGGAGAGATGTCGGGCACGATTCTGGTCTCGTTGTTGTGCTCGGAGACAATCTTGATCGGCTCAATACTATTCGACTAGTAAGCATTGCATCCAAAAGAGAACAAAAGAGCGGCTCACGTGAAGGGCTCAGAGGTGTATTGCGAGAACATGGAGACCATGATGCGGTTCACGATCTCGAGCTTCGTCTTGTCAAGCGCCGTGATCTCAATGAAGACGTTCTTGGTGTTCACGCTGATCTTCGAGTGGTCGCCGTTGATGATGGGAGGGAGGGAGCAGACGGTCCTCTTCGAGTCGTAGATAACCGGGTAGACGGGGGAATCGCGGATAATGTGGAGGTACTTGCCCAGGTGCTTGTCTTTCTGTTGCGGATATTAGCACCTGACTGGTTCACAATAGTGTGTTCATGAGTCATACCTCGTAGAAGGCCATCATCTCCTCACCATCCATCTCTTTCGTCTGGTTGAGAGGGGCGAACTTGATATCTTTCGGGGGAAGGGCTTCATATGTGAAAGGGCCCTGGATGGTGTCCAAGTCGTGGGTTCCGATAGACACCAGGGTTCTTTGCCGGGCGAGGTTCTGGTGGAGCTTGTCTTGCAGGGCGATGAACGACTCGTAACGCGCTTGATCGAACTTGATGTTGCGGAGGATGGCACCGGAGACGAGGGGACGGATCTTCATGGTCTAGTCCAAACCATTAGCCTTCGCGGGGTCGATCTGAGCGGCCCAGTCACCACTTACATCCTCCTTGACAATGATCGTTTGCAGCTCGCCATTCGCAGGCTCCACCAATTTGTAGTTGGGAATAGGCTGGCGGCCCAGGAAGATGTTGAGCATCAGGGCAATTCCCTCGAAGCACAGCAGATCATAACTGTAAACTCTCAATACATGCGCTCGCATCCATCAGTTATATGTCGGGTGCATACCGGTTGGCGGGGATCTCAATCTTGAGCTGCGGGGGCTCCTGCTTTCCGTTCACGATCGGTCTGTCGGAGTTTGACGTCTGAATCAATTTAGCAATCCGGCTTGTATATGGCGGTGGGGGAGGTGGGCTGTACGTCTTCATCGAGTTCAATTCCTATGTAGAGTGGTCAGCGCATTTGCCCCGCCAAAAACCGATCCAGGGTATCCGACATACCGAATTCGAAACACAACTCATCGAACTCCTCGGTGGTGTAGCTGGAGACATCGATTTAGTATAGGCGAACAGGATAACCAAGAGACCCGAGGCTTACTCTCGACCGAGCGCCTGGAAGAGCGCGGCCTTGTCAACGGAGATAGTAGGCATGGTGGTGGGAGGCGGGGGTTTGGTGGTAGAGACAGGGTCACAGAATGGTCAAGGTCAGAGAAATCAACAGACTTCCCTCGCGCCAGGAATCGTCTGCGTAGAGCGCACGACGACTTCGGTCGTAATTGCTGGGAGGGGGGAGGGGGAGGGGGAGATGAGGGGAGGAGGATGACCGTTGCGCTGACTTCTTCGATGTCCTGTAGTAAGCAACAGTCATAAAGTCCGACTTTTGCTCCCCGTTGGGGCTTGACCCTCTTTGCAGCAGGCGGCGGGCGGCGGGTTCAGCCACGGAGAGCGCACCGCCACAGCCATCACCCCTCCTTCAGTCTTTCACTCGGGTCCTTACCTCACCGACGTCGCCCGCTAAGTACAGAACACAGTACGGGACGGTACACCGCCGGCTTGCGCTCTCGTCACCAGCCACAGCGGTGCTTCCAAGTCGAAAGTCACCTCCAGCAGCCCATCCCGTCACCTTCGCAATCTCCCTCCCAGAGCCGCCCTCCTCCACCCCCCTCCCCGATCACCTTAATATCCCCCTCCCCCCGCTTGCAATCCCTTCTTTCGATCCCCCTTCGCTATCGATCTGGGGCTTGAGATCCCTCCGATTATCTGAGGTTGCGCTTTAATTCCTGTTTGGCCCCGGTCCAATTGTCGAGGTATGATGCACTCTCGCCGCTGCTGTTGTTGCTCAAGTGTCCTGCGGCGGCCCAAACCCCACGAAACCTCGCTCCGGGGTTCTCTCTGACCTCTCTATCCCTTCCTCTCCCACCACGCACGCCTCCCCCCCGCTAACCCGAACTATTCCGGATTCGAATAGGTCCTCAGCTTCCTCTTTCATTCGAACGATATCTCCTTGCGCCACCCCTCCCTTCTCCAGGAAATATTCGTCGTGTTCGCGTGCGAGCGGGTCGGATCGTAGCCTGAGTGAGGACTTGGACCGGCCATATCCTTGCCTCTCGACTTGTTCCTTCATTCTCAACCTTACAATCACACATTACTTTCGCCATGGAGGGTCAAGGTGAAAACGATGAGCTTTACCCTATCGCCGTCCTTATTGATGAGCTGAAGGTATGGTCGCCCTCGTGGTCCCGCTGGCCTGTGAGCGCTGCTGATCCTGGTTCTTCGGTTCCTTAGCATGACGATGTCCTCCTCCGCCTCAATGCCATCCACCGTCTTTCCACCATCGCCTTGGCTCTAGGGCCCGAGAGAACCCGAGAGGAACTGATCCCTTTCCTTGATGGTTAGTACCGACGAACCAAGAGGGGCGGTTTTGTTCAAAGCATATGTCTAACCCCTATGCTACAGATTCCGTTGAGGATGAGGACGAGGTCCTGACTGCACTGAGCGAGGAGCTGGGAAACTTCATAGAATATGTCGGTGGTCCGGAGTATGGGCATGTCCTCCTCTCTCCGCTTGAGAACCTGGCCGCTATCGAAGAGCCCTTGGTCAGAGAGAAGGTAGGACCCCGCGATCGATCTCTTTCGCCGTCCGGGCATCGTGGTAACCATATAACAGGCCGTGGAGTCTCTCAACAAGATCGGTGGGGAGCTGTCCGAAAAGCAGATCGAAGAATACTTCATTCCGATGGTTCTACGCCTCTCGAAGGCCGACTGGTTCACCTCGAAGGTCTCCGCGACCGGTCTTTACTGTGTGCCTTACAGGAAGGCTTCTCAGCCGTTACAGCAGACCCTCCGGCAATATTATGGAGGACTCGTGCATGACGATACACCGATGGTGAGGAGACAGTCGGGAAACAACTTGGCGAAGTTCATCAAAGAATTGAATACTCCGATCGTTATTGACGAAATGATACCCCTGTTCCAACACCTTGCCACCGACGAGCAGGACAGCGTGCGTCTGCTTACTGTGGACGTTCTCATCTCGATCGCGGAGGAGATCCCTAAGGAGCAACAGCCTAGCCATGGTGTCCTCTTGACCTCCCTGCGGAACTTGTTCGAGGATAAGAGCTGGAGGGTCCGGTATATGGTTGCTGACAGATACGAGAAGGTATTTCTGCGCTTGCGGTCATTATTCAGTCCCACGTTTGGTTCTAACTTCGCTGGTAGATCGCCAAAGCTGTACACGAAGAGGTTGTGACCCGTGACATGGTCCCCTCATTTGTCAAGCTTCTGAAAGACACTGAAGCTGAAGTCCGGACTGCCATTGCTGGCCAGATCCCTGGTAAGGATTTTATACCCTTGATGCAATGTTATCGACTAATCATGAGCTAGGCTTCTGCAGTTTGATTGACCGGGACACATTGCTTAATGAGATCATGACCAGTGTGGAGGACCTGGTTTCGGATCCGTCGCAACATGTGCGCGCATCTCTGGGCACTCAGATCAGCGGCCTTGCGCCCCTTCTCGGAAAGGATGAGTGAGTACCATTGCGTATACGCCTCAGCTGGTTCCACTACTGACGATTCTGCCCAGGACTATTGCACACCTTCTCCCCATGTTCTTGCAAATGCTCAAGGACGAGTTCCCGGATGTTCGCCTGCATATCATTTCTAAGCTGGAATTGGTGAACAAAGGTAAACAGCGCAAAGTTGTGCCTGATTAGTGGACATAGGCTAACCCTCATAGTCATCGGCATTGATCTCCTTTCCCAATCGCTTCTCCCGGCTATCGTCCAGCTGGCTGAAGACAAGCAATGGCGGGTTCGCCTCGCGATCATCGAATATATCCCCCTCCTTGCAAGCCAACTGGGTGTCCAGTTCTTCGATGAGCAACTCAGCGATCTCTGCATGGGATGGCTCGGTGATACCGTTTTCTCCATCAGAGAAGCTGCTACCCTGAACCTAAGGAAGCTGACCGAAGTCTTTGGCGTCGACTGGGCCAAGGGCTCCATCATCCCCAAGGTGATGGCCATGGGCCAACATCCCAACTACTTGTACAGAATGACAACGTGCTTTGCCATTTCCGTATGTGGACTAGTCTGCCCGTCCAAAAGATTTATCCGCTAATTTGTCTAGACCCTCGCCCCTGTTGTCTCGATGGACATCATTGAGAACTCAATCCTGCCCATCTTGGATAGACTTATCTCCGACGAAATCCCCAACATCCGGTTCAACGTTGCCAAGTCTTATGCCGTGCTGATCGACACCCTGCGTCGCCTCCCCGCGGAGGGCACCCTGACAGAGCTGGAGAAGGCGGGTAAAACCGCCACCCCGTCGCCGCGGGGCCAAGAGCTCATCCAGCAGAGAGTGATCCCCAGCCTGGAGAAGCTGCAAGAAGATGAGGATGTCGACGTCCGGTACTTCGCAACGACTGCCGCAGGCGGCCACGAGGAAGTCATGCAGACTTCACCGTAGGCTACTTCCCCGACCCGGCGTAGGCCAGCACCTGCACGTCATCGCGAGACACCTTCGGTGTGAGTGGGAATAATAACACGGCACTCGCACGAATTTGGGTGGATTTCCAGTTTTGTCGAACTTAGAAATAGTCAGAGCGTCTGACTGGTACGAAATGCTCATGGCGTTCTACATGTAGAGTCTTTTGGTCCACGATCCATAATCCTGCGAAAAAATCAGATCATGCTTCTTGCATTTGTAATTGTCGTTCCTGCAGCCCCGTAGACTCTAGCGAACACTATAAGGGCCTCGGTTCTCGGTATTATGCGACGACTTGTCAGCGCCAGGCCATTGCATCATGTGATCCAGCTGTGTCCTGCTCCTGTGCGCTATTTCCGTAAAGCCGCCGGTCGGTGTAAGCCAGGCAGGCATCTTTATTAGTCGCCAACGCCCACGTGTGTTTGCCTACTCCGTAGTTTGGGACAGGCTCTGCTCTCTGCTTTCCTTTCGTCGGGGGTCTTGTCTGAGATCTTTCAGTTCTACCTCCTTCTTGCCATTCACGATCCTTCCCCCGCAGGTGTCGGCGCGATGTCGCTCTCATGGCCATGGCATTTTATGACCGTCTCTGATGCGGAAAAACAACAGCGTCGCGAGCTTCTGGACCTACGCGGATTCTACGCTCAATGCTCCATCGTGGTCGCCCTTGTTCTGGTCCGGCTGTATAAGGCGTCCTCCAGTGCAGCTCCTGGAACAGAAAAGCCAGCTGAAAGACGATCCAAACGCAAGCCTGTGGAAAAGTCGTGGTTGGACTCGCCGCCCGTGGCCGGTTGGTTCGAGACACGCAGGCAGTACATCATCTGTCTGCTCTGGCTTGGATGGCTTCTAGGCCTCTCTGTCTGGAATAGTGGTGAAGGTACGTGAATGTTTATTTTTTTTTGGTTACAATGTTGCTATGTATACCCCGGGTATGGAGTATAGCCGAGGTCTCGAATTTGGGCCTTCATTACTATTACCTGGGCTCTCATTTGCCAGACACCGCTGGCTGTCCGTTTGAGCTTCCACCACAGCTACCTGTTACTAGCACTGCTTCACTCAAGGTTAATCACCGCGGAGACTCTTACTAAATGTTTATCATCTTGAAACAGATTACCTCCATTTCACCAAAGCTCTAGGCCATGTCGCCCTGTCTCAGCTCCCCCTGCAGGTGCTCATGTCACCTGCCTTGTACCTGAGTCCGAAACCAGGATCCCCATCCATCGTATCGGTATTGACAACGGTTCCACAACCGGTCATCAACTCCTACCATCGCCTCTTCGGTCGATTGGTCATCTCGCCCTTGCTCGTCGCCCATGCTTTCTTGTACTCGTCATTCTTCCTGCAGTCCAGTCACCCCGATTATAGCTCTCTCTATGCGAAGCGCATCCGGGACCCCGATGTCCAGTGGGGAGTGGCGGCTGCGGCTATGGCGACTGCGGTTGTGCTCTTTGCTCGTCCGGCGGTGATGCCTCGCTGGGTCCGCTGGGTGAAGCCGACTTCTGCTAAGGCTAGACAGCAGGTGTTCTACATTGTGCATGTCTTGATCGTGGGAGTGTTGGAGCTTGCGGCCTATTCTCACGTCTCCGTGGCACGGGTTTATATCATCGAGTCTTTTGTGAGCTCTGCGCTCAACTTCAGTTGTTGTTGGTTGTTTCAGTAGACGGCTTTGGGTCGACTATGCGTGCCTGGTGGAGAGTGTCGTTTGTTGGGGGTTTGGTGGTCTGGGGAAATGCTCAAATTGGCAGCATTAGAGATTGGGGACTTTACGCAAATATCTATGCTTAATGGGGTGCATGTAAGGAGGGGAATGGGCCTCGATAATAATTACTGGGCTCTTCAAAGGTGAAAGCTATATATATCTCTGGGGTGAGACAACGCCTGGACATCTTTCAAGTTTTTATACCAATGGCATGGCGATCTAGGCCCTTACTAGAACCAAGCTTACAATAAGCTATGCGGATAGTTCCTCATTCCGAGTATGTAGTACGACCTCCGACACCCTCAGGAGGGATCCAATTGATGTCGACGAAACGCCCTCTGGCATTTCAGGCACTGGCAACAACCGGTAACTACGCGCGTGGACGGGCCAATCAGAGATCCGGGCGGGCCTAGTGCGCGGGATTGCCTGAGGGACCGACCCAGTTCCAGGCCTCGACTTCGTCCCCCAAGCTGGGCGCATAAGAATCTCGTCAGAGTGTCGACAGCAGCTGATGAAACTCTGTTGTCATCGAACTTTTTTTTTTTCCCACATCGTTCTTGCGATTTTCCATGCTCGTTTCCCGTCTTTGGGGTTAATAGATTTACGCTTCTTTAGGAGTCTTACTACGGAGTACTACGATCTTATCCACTAGTTCCCGCTGTGTTTACATATAACAACAACAGTCTCTCTTCTCATGTATAGCAATATTTGATGGCAGGATGCGAACCCAAAGATTTGTCGTCTGGCTGGCGACATTTGTTCTGATCTCCTTGCTCCTCATTCTTTTCAAAAGCTCAAATAACCCCTCTACTCTGACCTTTTCTCCTGTGTCTGATCCTCTTCCCTCACCTATTTTCCAGAGGCCTGATATACCGCCCGATGCACAACTCATTGAGCAGTCGACCCATCGGAAAGTTGCTCAGCCCGATGACGTCCAGCTTAATAGGATAGATATTGAACATCCGATTGCATCTCTTGTTAAAGACGCCAAGCAGCAGCATGATCAGGTCCTTTTACGCCAATCGAAGGCTCTGACCCAGGCCGTCACTGAGTATCGCAACCGCTACAACATGCACCCCCCACCGCATTTCGACAAATGGTTCCAGTTCGCGAAGTCCAGAGGCGTCCGGTTGATCGATGAGTATGATAGCATATATCATTCTCTGCTGCCATTCTGGGCTCTAGAACCAAAGACGATTCGCGAACGGGCCCGCGAGACCCTTGGCTTTGACAATTCCATGATCGGGGTGCTGATTCGGAATGGCACGGTGTCGCTGGCAGAGGGAGGTGCCTATGAGCAGTATTGGCAGCGCAGTGCCACCGTGAAGATGATCAAGAGCTTTTCCGAGCATCTTCCGGATATGGACCTGGTCTTCAATGCCCTCGACGAACCCCGAGTCATTGTACCGAGTGAGGACCTGCAGAGGTTGGTTGCCGTCGCCAAAGATCGAGTCATTCCAAAGACTTTTGCGAATGCTTCGCCCAGAAATGCCTGGTCTGGTAGACCGGCCGATTTGAACAAAGGCGACCGTATCGACGAAGTGCGCACCACTCGCTTCAACCGATTCAATCCTCAATCCACGTGGAGTTACTCCCGGTCCTCCTGCCCGGTGGATAGCCCCGTTCGGTCTCTTGACGAGCAAGCAGCGGACAATGTCGACTCCTATGCTCGCGGTGAGCTAGGATTCGTCTACAACACCACTGCCTTCTCCGACATCTGCAACTCTCCCTCTCTCCGGTACACATACGGGTTCTTTGACCGACCCAACACTTTCGAGGTGGTGCATGATTTGTTCCCGGTCTTCTCACAAAGCAAGATCTCCAGCTACCAAGACATCCTCTACCCGAGTCCTTGGTACTGGGACAACCAGGTGCCTTACGAGGAAGAAAAGGATCTCGAGTGGGACGCAAAGATCGACAAGATGTACTGGCGAGGTTCCACCACCGGAGGATATTCCAGAGCTGGCGGTTGGCGGCGGCAGCACCGGCAGATATTCCTCCGCAATGTCAATGCTCTAAACACCGCCAAGGTGCTGTCCAAATCGGACAATAACCAATGGAAGCCGCGGGGCGTCGGTCGGAACGCCTTTGCCGACCTTTTTGACGTGCGATTTACGTACATTGGCCAATGTGACGAGGAGGATTGCGCCGCGCAGAGAGAGTACTTCGACGTGGCGGAGCCTGCCGACCAGCAAGACGCTTGGGCCTACAAGCATCTGCTGGATATCGATGGCAATGCCTTCAGCGGTCGGTTCTATGCCTTCTTGCATAGCAAAAGCCTAATCTACAAGATCTCCATCTTCCGTGAATGGCACGACGAGTGGCTCAAACCCTGGGCCCACTACATCCCTCTGAGCCTGACCGGGGATGACTATCTGGAGGCCATGCGATACTTCGTGTCCGAAGACGAAGGCAAGGCGACAGCACCGAGACTCGCCCAGCAAGGTCGCGAGTGGGCGCAGAAAGCCCTCCGCAACGAAGACATGGAGGTTTGGTTCTTCAGGTTGCTTTTGGAGTAAGTCAATTCTTGCTGCTGCATCTGATTCTGCATTTTTCTGACATTCAGCTTGACAGATACGGACGGCTGGTGGATGATAACCGGGAGAACCTGGGGTTTGCGATCTAGCGTGTATTTTTTGCTTTTCTAATTATTTTCTTTGACTCCTCTGATGTTTAATGATCTCATGAGATATCTATATGGAGTATGGGCGTCTTTTCTATGATGGGATGACGGGGTCTCTCTCTGGCTTGGGCTTTGGGATGGGGAGGGTCATGATTCATTGCTGTACGGAGTACTGTACTATCTATCTACCTGATCGTATCGAAGTTTTGTCTCAGATAGAGATGAGGATGAGACTTAAAGGGGGTGGGGGGAAAAAAGGCCCAAAACGAGCCGTTAGACGAAGCAATCTAAAGCGGCTTGTGATTTTGTGCAGTGCATTCCTTCACATGCGGCGGGTCCAACCAAGTGGGCGGGCGATTACCTCACCGGCGCTGCTCTCCGGTGCGGTGGCGGAGACCTCATCCATCATCTATCTACATGCTAGTTAAACATGCCACAAGCCAAGCACATCGATTCCACTCTTTCGAGACTTCTTTTGGTCTAGCCTGTCAAGGTGTGGATTGTCATTGCTCGGCCTCGGGCATGATATAAGGCAGACTGCTACAGCCCTGCGTCCTCGATCACTCTTTTTCTTTTTTGTTTTTTGTTTCCAGTGTTCCACCCTCTTGTCCCCACACCCGTTACGCCATCCTCCCGTGATCCAAGCGGCTGCTGCTTCCACCCAATCGGAACGCATGTCATGGCGGCCTGGTTGTTCAAGAAGCTCGCGTCCTTCGTGATTCTGGCCTATGGATTCGTCAGTCTTTTGGTCTATGGGCTGTTTGCCGTGAAAGCTGGTATCTTCTTTAAGCGACCCACTGAGAAAGAGACCCTCGAACTGCAGATAGGTAAGCAAAGCGAGCTCGATGCGGTAATTACCTGAAGTACTCCGTAGCTAGCTAGTTGCTTTGTTTAGCTTCGTCACCCGCGCTAGGCGTTGTTATTATTATCCTGCCGCCATACCTAGCATGCAGGATAAGGATGACTGACAGCTGACAACGCCCTCCTCTATTTGCAGCTCGCAACCAATTCTGGGATCTATCCAAAGACTGGGCCGGTTTTGTCCACCACATCCTCCCTCTGCGCAGTGGGTTCAAATTCCACTACGTCAGCAACGACTCCGACAGCTGCGAAGACCAGTCGAAGCCGGTGGTCGTTTTCCTCCATGGCTTCCCGGATAGCTGGGCCATCTGGCGCCATGTTCTCAGGTCGACGGTCCTCCGCGAATCCTCGACCCTGATCGCCGTCGATCTGCCCGGCTATGGAGGAAGTGATAGCTTCGAGGAATACTCGCCGACGAATGTGCTGGAAAGCTTGACGGAATTCATCATTGCCATCCGCGCCAAGTATGGTGTTGATGGTGAGGATGGCTCGCAGCAGAAAACGTTGATCATTGTCGCGCATGACTGGGGTTGTGTTTTGGCTATGAGACTCGCGTCTGAGGCTCCTCAGTTGGCGGATCGGTTTATCATGACCAATGGACCTCTCGTAAGGCAACCCCGCGCTTAATGTTACTGCTGTGTGTATGTGTGTGCTAACGGGGCGGGCTAGACTCGACTCGCTGTCTCCAACGCCCGTCGTCTGCTATCCTCGTCGCTCAAGATGTTCAAGATCTCCCTGCGCTCGCCGATCCAATCACGCGCGACGCTCTGCAACGCGATTAAGACGCTGAGCCCCCTGATCCGGCAGTTGCGACGCTCCAAATATATATTCGCCATGCAGCTGCCCTTGGTTTTCGTTCGGTACATGGGTCGGGGAGGAAACCAATCGTTTTTGAAACTCATCCACCGGTCGTCCTACGCAAAGCGGGAGGTTACTTCACAGGATGCGGCAGAGTCGATGGCCAGCTCCATGGGCCCGTCCACCGAGGAGTGCAAAACCCAGACCCCCGACGGCGAGGAATACCCTACTTCTCTGAAGAATGACCGCGCCCCGTCCAGCTTCCAGCACATGGCCGGTTACTACAGGGACAAGACGAGCGTAGGGCGCTGGCACAAGTCCGTTGAATCGATCACTGCCCTGCATAGCATCGCCTGCGGCCGAAGCATCCGTCGCGCCAGCAGCGGGACTGGGCTGTTTGACGAGGGTCCCAGGGGGGCCCTGAAAGCCTGTGCAACCATCCTTTGGGGAAAGAACGACATCGCCCTGGAGCCGCAGATCTGCTTGGATGGGATCGCGGACTACCTGGTCCCTGACAGTCAGCTTATTGAGCTCCCCCTGTCGGGCCACTTTACCCCATTGGAGCGGGAGAGTCAGGTTGCGTTGGAGAAGGCGATCGAGTGGGCTGCCAAGGGCGAGAAGGAAGATATCGGGACTGTCATTAAGGCTTGTTATCCCAACTCCGTGGTGACTGTCCGGAAATGAGCTGGAATTGATTATGAGGATGAAGGACGGGAGCCAAGTTTGCACTTGAGCGTTTGTGAACCTGATCACCGTGTTTTTTTTTGATTCGACCCTTTGTTTCTTTGTCTTGTCCCTGCTGGCTTGTGTTCTTCGAGCTCCACTCCACTTGCAAATTGTTTCACTGTAGCTGGTACATACATATGCACATAGGTATGGGCTTTGTACATTTTATTTCAAAATCTTTTTTTTTTCTCTCCGAGACTTGTTCTGTGCCGAGCTCCCCCAGACATACATACATACACATGTAGGTATATACGTACATACATACATAAGGTGGTTTCAAAAAGGGGTTGCAACCGTTCATGCAAGGGGCCTGTGGTTGACCGGATGAGCTTGAGGCAGTCTGGGTTCTGGGCGCAGACGCAGGCGTCCTTTAATCAGGGTAGCACTTAGTTAGGACTTGGGACCTGGCTGGTAATACCACCACTGAGCCAGTCACGACGGGGGGATCCGAGCGTCGGTGGCACGGGGACGCGGCCTGATGCAGTTGAGCTCCTCACCAATCCGGAGTCCAGCCAGTCCTTCCCTGCTCTGCCCCAACTAGTAAGAAGTACTACTACTACTACTACTACTACTAACTCACTCAATCACTAACTACTACTGCTGCCCCCTCGGCCCATCCCCAGCTTGTCTTGTCCGCTTTGACTTCCCGAAGTCGCCAGTCGCGAGCCACCAACCTTTTACTGTCTCTAATCCCAGCAAGAGGGATTGCTCGTCTTAGAGACTCTGTAAATCCTGTCGGGAGACACACCCACCACCTCGGATCCCACCATTGTGTGCTGTGTGTTTGTGTGAGAGGGAGAGAACTGCAGTTGGGGCGGCGGCTGGTTGATTGCTACTACTGTTGGCGGGCGGGGTTGGCTCCAAACGTCACCTGCAAGTGAGGAAGAAGTGAGAGACTGAGTGAGTGAGGGGGAGAGTGATCGTAGTACTCCGGGGCGTGCTAGTCAGCTAGTCCTCCTCATCCCCATCCTTTTTCCCTCTACCTCTCTTGCTTCCTTCCCAGTCCCTTTCTCCTCCCCCCACCATTGTTCTTCATTTCCCTTCCCCGTAGCTGGAGTTGTCGCGGAGTGCGCGCGGCTGCTACCCGAACGGCCGCAATGGCTCTCCAGGAAAGTGCCGTCTATTGCACAGTATGTTCTGTCCCGTTGTTCTCCGGTCACGTTGCCAGCTACTAATTGGTCCGCAGCTTCTACTGAGTGACCACTATCTTCCAGGTAAGCTCTCGCTCTTTCTCTCACTCTCTTCTCTCCCCACTTGTCTTGTCGTTCACTGTCGCACGCAGCCTATCTATGAGATTCGCTAACCACCCGGTTCTATATCTATACTGTAGGCGCCACGGTTCTCGCGCATTCCTTACGTGACAATGGGACCAAAGCAAAACTGGTGGCCCTCTACACGCCGGATAGTCTCCAGCCCGATACAATCCAGGAGCTGCAGGTGCGCACGCGCGCAAGCGCTCCATTCCCACCAGATAGACAGACAGACAACCAGGAACCAATTGGTTCCATAGCTAACCCCATCTCTCCAGACCGTCTACGATGAATTGATACCCGTGAACCCTCTAACGAACATCACGCCAGCGAACCTCTGGCTAATGGACCGCCCGGACCTGATCTCCACCTTCACCAAGATCGAGCTATGGCGCCAGACCCAATTCAAGCGCATCGTCTACATCGACTGCGACGTCGTGGCGCTCAAAGCCCCCGACGAGCTCCTGGACCTAGACGCGGACTTCGCTGCGGTCCCGGACGTGGGCTGGCCCGATTGCTTCAACAGCGGGGTCATGGTTCTCCGACCCAACCTGCAGGACTACTTCGCTCTCAAGGCGCTCGCAGAACGAGGCATCAGCTTCGATGGCGCCGACCAGGGTCTCCTGAACATGCATTTCCGGGATTGGCATCGGCTAAGCTTCGCGTATAATTGCACCCCCAGTGCCAATTACCAGTATGTGCCGGCGTATAAGCATTTTCAGAGTACCATAAACATGATTCATTTTATTGGCGCCCAGAAGCCGTGGAATATGGCCAGGCAGGTTGAGCCGGTGCAGTCGCCGTATAATCAGTTGTTGGGGCATTGGTGGGCGGTTTATGATAGGCATTATAGGCCGGTTGTCACGGTGAGTGTTTGTCATTTGGTTGGGGGGGGGGGGTTCATTGGGTCATTGGGTCATTGGTGTCGCTAGGTGTCGGGCCGCGTGGGCTAATGATTTCTTTAGGTGCCGATTCCGTCGTCCGAGACTGTGACTGCAATTCAGGCGGAATTGACTCGCCAGGATGCGCCTTGGACTTCCCCGGAGGATGTGCCGGAGCTGCCGCGTGCGGAATATCAGGATCATGTGTTCCGTGGACAGGGTCAGGCTCTGGAAACCCACTTTGAGACGTCTAAGCATGTTTATTCGCAAAAGGAGGGGGATTCGTCTCAACCTGCGGCATTGGCACCGAGCTACTCTGGCCATCAGTCTACACATGGCGTTTCTCAAGGCGACCAGGGATACCAGGGGCGTCAGGAACACTATGAGCACCATGGAGACCAAGGATACCAAGGATCTCAAGGACCTCAAGGGTACCAAGGGAACCATGGATACCAAGGAGACCAAGGATCTCAAGGATACCAAGGGGATCAAGGACACCAAGAACACGTTGAACATCAAGGGCACTATGAAAACCAAGGGCAATATGTACACCAAGGACATCAAGTACATCAAGGGGAAGCGTTCCAGCAAAACATACTATCTCAAACACATTGGACATCAGAAGGAGCGGGGCCACCCTCGTACCACGTACCACAACCGGAACATCATGCAGGTGAGAGTGTGCAAGCGCCGATTCGAAGTGCTGTTCCACGATATGTTCGCGGAGAGGAGCATGTTACGGCCTACATACACCCTCAGTCAGGCACGACGTCGTTTGCGGCCCATATTGAACCACCGACGCATGCCCAGGAAGTCCATGTGCCGACCACTCCCTCAAAGCCGTCAGATGTCCAGCCCCAGTTCCACGAACAGCCCGCAGAGCCTATTCGCGAGTCTGAAACTCTGGCTCCTGTGCCGGCGTCTCCAAAGCCTGAAGTCGAAACTTCCTTCGAGCCTCCCAAGGCAGAATGGGACGCGTCCAAGTGAGTTATCAACAGAACCCGTTCGAGCTGAACTTATTGCTTACACTTTCAGGGAACCTCCGCCATTGAACTCAAAGCCAGAAGGAATTGCTCTGGAGACAAAAACCTACACGATGTCGCAGGATGAGCAGCTTTTCCAGCCTCCGCCATCCTATCCAGAAGCACCTAAAAACATGTACTACGAAGTCCCAAGCACGAAGCCTGAGCCTGAAAAGCTCACGCAGCTGTTCCCGTGGGAGAGCCATGCGCCCAAACCGACTCGGATTTTCGCAGAAGACGAGCAGAGCTCATCTACATTCACGCTCCCGACATCCTTCATCGAAACCACCGAAGAGGAATCTGGCATGTCTCCCGATACGCAAAAAATGTCCTGGACCTCCGAAGAGCCCCCCGAATCTTGGGAAAACTACACCCGCTCCAATGCATGGGACGAAGTTCCCGAGATCCAACAATACATCCAATCACTTCAACAGTCCCGCAAAGGCAGAGTGCAGGTGATCTCGGGCGGGTCAGCCAGCCAAGCACACGGCAGTCTGGACCGCTACAACTTCAACTTCGCTTCCAACGCCCGCGTGACCGATTTCCCCAGCGAGCTAGAGCGTCCCAGTCTGCCTGTCACCCCCGCGCCCATCCGCAGACAGCCGCTCAGCCCCGGCGAAAAAACCACCTACGAAGACCTCCTCCCGCCCGCGCACGGTGTGCCAAACCAGGACGACTGGGTGGGTATCACGGTTGATGTCTTTTTGAACCTCCTTCGAGCGACCTACTTATACTGGAGATTTATAGAACCCTACAGCCGGCCTCGAAGAGCTTCGTCGACGACAGTCCGAAGTCTTGGAGAACCCAGATCTGCTTCTTGAGCGCATCCGGAAGTGTTCGTCGGCGTCGATGACGACGACGGCTTCTTCCAGGCAGAAGGAATCATGAGTTATGAGATGTCCATCAAATTGTTTTGAGCAAGCAGCAAGCAGTATTCAGAAAGAATGTGTTTATGTCATGCCATGTCTTGATCCTTTCTTCTTCTTCTTTTCTTTTTCCCCCTTTACCTAATTCCGTCCTGATCTCGCTCTGTTTCTTTTTCTTCTCGTGCTCGTTACAGCAGCATTAGTGCTATCTACTTGAGCCTGATTTCTCTTTTCTTTTCTTTTCTTCTTTCCATTCTTATCTCCCCTCTCCTTCTTTTTTTTTTTCCTTTTCATTTTCCTTTCTTTCCTTTTCCATATGCATCCATCCATCCATATCTGTCTAGCATCTGTATAGTATGATATCGTTCCATATGCATGCATCCAAACAGCAGAGTTTCCCTTTTTTTTCCTTTTTTTTTTTTTTAGTGTTTGCGGATACAACTGGACCAATCAACTTGTCACAGTCCGTCCTGGGTTATATCATAGCATTCAGAGCAGTGCAGCTACAGCCAGCCATGTTTTTGTTATGTTGTGTTGTGTTTTGTGCTGTTGACTGCTGTTGTCTATTAATAATACTGGTCGTTTGAGTTATGATGTGAAGAATGAAGAATGAAGAATCAAGAATGAAGAAAGAAGAGTGTTGCGTTTGAGGTCTTTTTTGCAGTCTTAGTAGCTGGGTGCTGGGGTGCTAGGAAGCTAGGATGCTTAGGTGTAGGTGTAGGTGTAGACTCGACGGGGTGTATCATGTAGCATCTAGTGAACTGAATTGAACTGAATGAATAGATAATTAATTAATTAATTAATCGCTCAAAACTTCAATCTAGAAATGTATCTCTATGCCCAATCTTGAAAGAAAAAGGAAACAAAACAAAACAAAGAACCACCATAAAGATATCTATAAAAAAAAACAGGCAAGAATAAAGACCGACGCCTAAAGTTAAACCAAGTAAAACAACGCAACGCAGTCCGTCCCAACCAACCAAATTCCAACCAATCTATCATCCCTGAATAGGGTCTAAAGGCCGTCCCGTCCGTATACCGAAAGTCTGAAACCAACGGAGATTTTTAGAAGGAGATAACGCCATCAGATGAGAAGAACAGTGCCAGGGCTCAAAACGCAGAGAGACAGGGGATGCAGGGGTGGTAAGGTACGTATTGGGGGTAGCGAGGCCATTCTTATGCAGATTCAGGATTATCGCGCGTGCGTTTCCCCCGGACGGAGTACACGTGCGCCGAGGGGATGTGGCTTGGTTTGCCGGTGTCGTCGTCGTAGATGTAGAAGCCGTATGTTACTGCGTTGGGGGGCGTGTAGACTGGATTCATGTCAGGGATACGGTTCATTGTATCATGATCGGGCAATGATAATGATTTAGACGTACGGTGCAACGACACGGCATACTCATTCGGATCCGGGTTGGATATTCGATGGAGGCCCAGCTGGGGATGTTAGCTTTGGTTTCTGGGGCTTCGGTCTGGTTTTGGGTGAAGTTGTAACGGTGAGTTAGGTGAAGGGTGGGGATTTACCTTGTCAGACATGTATGTGACCTGGTTCTCGGTGTAGACGGTCTGTCTTTTGACTTGCGGAGGTGATGGATGGCCGTGCGAGAGTTTGTCTTTGTCGGGCCAGGAGTACAGGGTTTCCTGGAGGGAGCCTTTGAGGATCTGTATATTTTGAGGCTTAGTCTGAGGGTCTCTGTCTGTGTGTACTTGGGGTTTCTTGCTATGGGAGGTGTAGATAGGATAGCTACGTGCCTTCATGACGCAGTGCGCGTTGGCGTGGTCATGAATAGGGCTTCTTTTACCGGGGGTCCAGACCAATATGAGCTGTTGATGTTAGCATACTGTATCCTTGGGTTGTAGCATTGGGGGGATACAGTGACCATAAAAGACCACTGGGTTTGTAGCCTGTAAGTATAGTGTGTATGTACCCACCAGATTGCTCTTGCCATTGCCCTCGTCGATGAGGTTCCTGGTATAGTTCTTCTTGGGATCCGCCAGGGCGAGCGAGATCCAATCCTCCGAGTTTGAGTCGTACTGCTCCATCAGACGCTGGACATCCATGGGATCGATATCGTCGGAGTCGAGGCCCGAGCTCGGACCCAGGACATCACGGAGATCTCGGACGAGCTTGTCGAATCCATTCGAACCTGGAGTCTCCGAGAACGAGTCTGTCTCGATGTATGGCATCTTGGACCTGCGACTTATCCCCTTGCCTTGCTAATTAGCGATCACCGGTTCCTCGCGAGAAACTAGATCCTGATAGAGTCTGTTATCGATAGGAGGCGCTATACTCTGTCGGTACTCGGTAGAAGGATCAGAGAACTTAAGTATGTATATACGGTTGTAAAGGGATCAGACGCGCCGCTAGCAGCTAAATAAGAAGAATAGAGGTAATATAGGGTGAATAGGAGTAGAGAGTGACTAGATCGATTTAGAGAATAGGTCAATTGAATCGCAAGTAAACAGTAAATCGGAAATGGACGGCGACGGGGGAAGGAAAAGACGGGGCGCCGCCGATAAGGCTGCCTGAGGCCGCGGTCCCGCCATGTGACGGGCGAATCGAAGTGGCGGCCACAATTTCAAAGATTGTATCTCCAAACTGACGTACCGAGAGCACGTCCATTCCACTTTTCACCACACCACCACCCCCCCGCTGGAAAAAAGGGTTTCAGTCGCAGGAGCGAGAAACCTTACGAAATTTTTGTCTTGTCGATTAATCCGACCTCATATATTTACTTATATTGTGTGTCCTGTGCGAGGGGTGAAACTCGTGACAAACCGCCAAAATGTCGACCACCGTGGAAAAGGTTGGATGGCCCTCCCGCCGCTGCCCTCTGGGGTTTTGCTCGGCTTTTTCATACTGAGTGCTATAATGCGATTATTTTAGAATGAATTGGCTAACTGGTTTTTTTTTTTTTGTGTACGCATGTAGATCAAGCAAGTCGAGGACGAGGTTCGCCCACCGAAAAAAAAAAATCGTTGCGCCGAAACTCGTATACTGATCGGTTCCCCAGATGGCTCGGACTCAGAAGAACAAGAATACGTCGTATCACTTGGGTATGGAATAATGGAAATAAGTGTGCTGGTTGGAGTTGGAGGCTGACGGATTCGTGCAGGACAACTGAAGGCTAAGCTTGCGAAGCTAAAGCGCGAGCTGTTGACTCCCTCTGGAGGTGGTGGTGGTGGCGGCGGTAAGTGGATGGTAACTAAGTCTGAGTGATGGTGTCAGTCGCTGACTTTTGGATTTGCAGCTGGTTTCGATGTCGCCCGTACCGGTGTTGCTAGTGTGTATGTCTTATAAGGTCTTTTGGGAACACGATTGGAAACTGACATGGGATAGTGGCTTCATTGGTTTCCCCTCCGTGGGAAAGAGTACCTTGATGAGCAAATTGACGGGCCAGCATTCCGAAGGTTCGTGGTGATGGGATTCCGCGCGAAGGCGACACTGCTGATCTGCTCTATACAGCTGCTGCCTACGAGTTCACGACTTTAACGACTGTGCCTGGACAGGTGATGTACAACGGTGCTAAGATTCAGATTCTCGATCTCCCCGGTATTATCCAGGGTGCCAAGGACGGTAAGGGTCGTGGTCGACAGGTTATTGCTGTCGCCAAGACGTGCCATCTCATTTTCATCGTCCTTGACGTCAACAAACCGCTGGTCGATAAGAAGGTCATCGAAACCGAATTGGAGGGCTTCGGTATCAGAATCAACAAGCAGCCCCCGAACATCACCTTCAAGAAGAAGGACAAGGGTGGCATTGCCATTACGAGCACCGTTCCCTTGACGCATATTGACAACGATGTGGGTTTTTCCAGGGTTATGACTCATTCATACACGGCTGGCTAACGGTTCCCACCAGGAAATCCGAGCTGTCATGAGCGAGTACAAGATCTCCTCTGCGGATATCGCTATCCGATGCGATGCGACGATCGATGACCTTATCGACGTCCTCGAAGCCAAGAGCCGAGCTTACATCCCCGTCGTCTATGCTCTCAACAAGATCGATGCTATTACGATTGAGGAGCTGGACCTGCTGTACCGGATTCCCAACGCCGTTCCGATCAGTTCCGAGCATGGCTGGAACATCGACGAACTGCTGGAGATGATGTGGGAGAAACTCAACCTCCGACGCATCTACACCAAGCCTAAAGGAAAGGCCCCCGATTACACGGCTCCGGTTGTGTTGAGATCGCATGCTTGCACGGTCGAAGATTTCGTAAGACTTCCTCTATGCCGGCGCTTCCGTTCGCCCGTGTGAGACCGGGTTTGCTGACGCGCAATCAGTGTAATGCCATCCATCGGACGATCAAGGACCAGTTCAAGCACGCTATCGTCTACGGTAAATCCGTGAAGCATCAGCCCCAGCGTGTCGGCCTGTCACACGAGCTGGGAGATGAAGATATCGGTTCGTAGCCTACTTCTCGCTCCTCCCCCCAGGTGATCATGTCATTAGGATCTCCAGAGCTAACGGTGTGACTGCAGTGTCGATTGTGAAGCGGTAAACGAGCCCACAGAACCACAATCCCTGAAGGATCCGCTTACGAACGGAGCGAGCTGTGGCGAATTGTACTCGAGAGGATAAATTGGATGTGTTAGGGGCTGCTCCGCCAAGTATCAAGTCCAAGAGGCCCGACCCTTGTGATATTTCCGCGAGATGCCATAAGGATTGTGATTGGGGGAGACGGTGTGCGCACGGGCAGCATGCTGCCAAACGACGCCCTGGATTAGCACGATCACTCGTTCGGGGGAAGCCTGGACCACGAGTCAGTTCTGGATATCTTTCCCACCACGACTTGATGTGTGATGCGCAGTCCCCCTTTAGGAAGGCTGAGAAAAAGAGCGCTGGGAGGCAGAGCAGAAACTTGAGGCTGGAAGCAGGGATGGGGATAGGGTTTCTTGGATGGGATGAGCAGTACTTAGTCCTGCCGTTTTTTTTTTTTTTTTTTCTCTTTTGTATTTCTTTTGATTTGGTTTCACCATTTTGGAGCGTTTTGTTGGTCGGGTATGCCGACCCGAACGGGATCGATGGTTCTAGATCGAGGTCCAGACAGAAATTCCAAGTCAGTTAGACATACAGATATCAGAGGATGCGCTTACTTTCCTTCTTCCTTCCTTTCTTCCCATTTTCTTTCCGAGTCGATTGCGATTGACCGCCTTTACACAGTACTTACCTACCTAGGTAGTCCTGTTGCTCACTCACGAAATTGATTTCGCCCCATCCGATCCGTCGCTTGGACCATCCGAACCGAAACAGAGCTACTAACTAGCAGTCTAGCAGTCTAGCAAGCCTGACGCACGTCCACCTTTTTTTTCCCACCCTTCCCTTCTATTCCTGCTCAATGGTGTCATCTGTGGGGAAGTCGTAAGACGCTAGATACCATGGTGGTGTGTCCATGTCCATGGGAAGGTTCCTTAGGAGTCAGGATGCTATTCCCGGAGCGAGGAGATGGGCTGGCTGGGCTGACTCTGCGAAGGACGAGTCGAGTTATTTTTATCGCTCCCGCGGCCGCGGCCGCGGCTGAGACCGAGACCGAGGCCTTGGGGTGGTGGTGGTACTATATGGTGGTGGTCAGCTCATCAGCTCATCAGCTCACTCGCTTACACGTACGTATACACTCGGTAGATCTATACGATGTTCGTTCGCGCTCGCGCTCGTGCTTGTGCTTGTGCTTGTGCTTGACCGGTCGCGACGGGCTGAGGGAGGTAGGTACTTGTACATAGCTAGATAAGTAAGCAGCACCTAGGTAGGTAGGCAGATATAGTAGATAGATAGATAGATAGATAGATAGATAGTAGCAAGTAAGGAAAGTAGGTAGATGGCTAAGCTGGTACCGTGCAGCCGGCCGGTGGGTGGTTGGACTAACTAAACATGGGCTGAACAACATTTAAGCATCTGGCTCTGCTGAGATCGGATGCGATCTCACTTATGCGAGGCAAAGGCCATGCGCTCGCTCACTTCTATCTATGCTTCCTTAAGTTAGAAGTTAGTAGGGGTACTGTAGGTATAGTATAGTGTGTAAGTATAGTATGTACTACCTTAGCAGTAACCTTACTTAGCTCGGCCCCCCATCCCATTCCCATGGCGCACACGCGGTTCGCCTAGATTTGAAGCGTGGATTTTGGGGGGGGGAGGGGGGAGGGAGGAAATATGACCTACCGTTCGGCTCATTCTCGCCTCACCCGTTAAGGATCTAGACTTGTTAGATGGGTAAGTGGGTAGGTAGGTACTCCGTAAGTAGTACCTCGGTATACGAACAAAGGAGTGTAGGTAAATAAGTAAGTAAGTAGTGTCAACAGATCGATCGATAGACAGATCGCTTCCTTTCCAGGCTTTCTTTTCTACTGGCTGCCCGTACCATGGACCACAGACTAACAAGAACATGTGCATCTGTCCGGCTTAAGACTTAAGTAATCGTTATAAATGAAAACCAAGGACGAAGGAAAGAGACAGACAGACAAAAAAAAAAAAAGAAAGAAAGGCATGAATGGCAAATCTAGGCCCACCCACGCCTCCCAACCTTAGGCACTCAGTACCTTACCTTCTGCAGCTAAACTTCTGCGCCTGCAGGTGCAGACAGGGTCCGGGGTGCTTGAGGACCGCCTAGCAGCAGCAAGTAGCAGCAGCCCGGGCCAGGTAGGTAGTAACTATTATTCAAGGAATGGCGCGTGCGTTGCGGTATGCCAATTTGCGGTCTGGTCTAGCTAGCTAGCGATCTAGCTAGTATCACTAACTATCTACCAATCTGGTTCTGTCTCTGTGTCTTCATTCATTTCCGCCTTGGATGAGGGGGTTTCTTATTTGCTGGTCGATTTTAATCTGATACCTGGTAGTTGGAAGGACACTTGCCAGGGCGACCGGGGGGGAGGAGGAGGAGGAGGAGACTGAGAGGGGGGAAGGGATTACTTTACCTGTATTATTGACGGTTAGTCGGTAAGGTAAGGTAGTAGTAAGATTGGTGTACTATTGCCAGGGAAGAAGGGGATGAGGAAGAGGGGAGGGGTTATTCGGGCCTAGTCGGGCATGGCGGCGGAATCAATCAATCATCATCAGAGTAAATAAGTGTATAGGCAGTGCGACTCGACCTTTTCCCTCCCGGGTAAAAGTCAGCCATCAATCAATCAGTTAGTTAACTAGTCAACATGACTAGCTCTCTCTCTCTCTCTCTCTCTCTCTCTCTCTCTTTCACAAGTTCAAGTTCATGGCGTCGTACAAACCTTCCTTCCTTTTTTTCTTCTTTTTTGCTTTTTTTTTTCTTCAATTTCTTCCTTCTCTTACATACGTTCTGAAATTGGTATTGTTCCTGTTGGGGCTTGGTTTGGTGGATACATACTATACCTACTCCGTCCCTACATACCATACTTCACTTTGAGGGCGACTTTCCTCGGACATATGGCAAGGCAAGATACAATTCTAACTTATCCATCCATTCATCATCTTGTCTTCTTACCTACGGGCTACCGCGTAATTCTAAATCAATCCTAGGTTTATTTCGGCACCTGTACTCCGCACTCCGTAACTGTCAGTAGGTAGTTAATTGATCGTAGTTACTGGTTGGACTGTGAGCCGGGGATGGCAGATAGACAGGCCGGTTTGTTACTATATTATAATTTCGTATTATTATTACCACCTTATCCCTTCTAATTAATGCTCCTCTTATGGCTATCATTACTGTTTTCATAACAAGCAGCATTATTTTTATTTTATTCTATTTTATTATGTTATTTATTTATCTGTCGATTTTATTTGCCCTCTGGATGGATGGATGGATGGATGATGACTTGATAAAATCAAAATCACCCAACATTGACCAATAACTCGGCGGTTTTTTTTTCGCGCGGCCAAGGTCGCTGACTGGATGGATGCTGGATGCATTTCATGATAATGCGCGGGGGGGAAGGATTCCTCGGAGTATAGAGTACCCTGTGCATGGGTAGTAGCTTTGACAGTGTCTTGTCTTCATAAGAGGCGGTCTGCGCGGATGTGCTTACAGTCTTACACAGTAGTTAGTAGTAGGTAAGTAAGAAGCTGTCAGAAGCGGAAACTACTCCATGACAGGCAAGGCAGTTAGTTCAGTTCCTTCACACTTCACATTACTAATGATCCTCGACACGGCACCGTCTGCTTACTGACTACTGACTTAGTACGGACGACTACTACTACTATACCTCACTAAGTAAGTAGGTCGGATGGATCAAATCTACATCCGTCAGCTGCATATGATGGGCGAGTCAACTTCGCTCTTGTACGAACATTGGTTGGAATTGTCTGCTCTTTGTTTAATTACTTAAGTAGTGTCATTGACGCATGACTGTGGGGATGGCTACCTACATCCACTCCCACGCATACGTACAAGATTGATTATCTGGTACCGAGGAAGGTCCGGTGGGAGACGGTGGGAGAATAAGAGCAAGAAAAAAAGAGAAAAAAGAAAAGTCAAAGGATGAGAGGAAGAAGGGGGGGGGGGGGTGGGAAAAGACGCATCGAGGAACAGGAAGGAGGAATCCGATCCCCAGTGCTGGCTGACACTGACAGGGGATGTCAGCGATGGGCCAGAGTGGAGACAGCTCAAGCGATAACCTCTTTTTTTTTCTGGTGAATTATGGATCAGATAGGGGAGGAGGGAGCATGACTACGACGATTTCGATCTTCGAGGCCTGCACCAGCACAGCCTCGGCGGCCAGGTCAAATCGATGTCTGAAGAAGAGCTCTCCTCCCCCCCCCCCGGCCCGGTGATAATTCCCTGCTCGTCAGATGACTGAAGCTGCACCGACGAACGTTGATGCCCACAGTTGAGTGGAGGCTGCATTGCATCTGATGGCTTGCTCTTTACCGCCTGTCTGGCCTTATTTGCCCCGCGACACAAATGAGCTCTCCCCGTTATCCACTTCGAGGCTGCTGTTAGCCTGTCCCATCCACCTGGCTTTTTTTTTGCTAGGGATACCGCGGATCTTTCGATATAATGTAGCCACACAGCTGCCCTGGATTGCGCCGGTCACCACCACCACTGTCCGGACGGACAAAGGAAGCCCCGCTGCGATGTCGTTGAAAAAAAAAAAAAAAAGCTCAGTTGCTGAGACCCTTCCAAGAGCCAAGAAATTCTCGACCTGGGGGCTGGCGGTATGGGTAGTATTTACCTGTTTCGGCCATCAGGATCTGGGTGCTAGGTACCTAGACAGGCCAGTGGCACCTACCATTCTCCACAACTGTACATGGGAGGTCCTGTCCGTGGCCTGTACTCCGTAAGTACTAGGCTGGGTACTAGGCTAGCCCTCAGATCTCTTCGTCGGACATTCCACCGCTCCAGCAGACGCCCGCCCATGGACGCCGTGATGTCATACACGCTTGGGACTTCAGATTCCCGCGAATCGGGCTCGGACTGATTCCGTCCCCCGCGATGAACCATTCTCCAACACACACCAGGGGCTGTCGCACGGTGAATCCAAGTGACATGCGACTGGATGTACCTGGTACACGGTACATGGCAATGTAGAACCCGACAGAAGCCTCTTGACTCCTGCAATGGCTTGTGTACCTGACAGATATCTATTATTGGTCTCGTATAACGGCAAGGCTACCACCATGAGACAGTGTCTTGGAGGGTTCTCATTCGGTGTCTGGCGTCGCACCCCGGGCCGCCCCCGGCCATTCGCCTTTCCGACCCCCCCTGGTCCTGGAGGCTGGCGAAGCCCTGAGTCCCAGCGGATCCTCCCCGTCGACCAGTCAGCGTGGGCGCTCTAAGCGCCTTCCCCAGCAGCTTCTGGCTTGCCCTCTACAGCTTCCACCTTGGACCTCAATCCTCCCCATGCGAGGTCTTCCACTGTCGTCATTTGTGAGTCTCTCCGGTTCTGGCTTTGGGGCGTTTGCTCGGAACGCAACCAGTTCGGAACCGAACTGACAGGGCCAACTGCGAATCAGAACCGGAAAAAGCGAAAATAAACTCCAGTGCGACAATATGGGTCGTCTCTATGGAGTACACCGACGGCGATGACGGACACCCTCGATGGTCCCCCTCTGCAGTTCACACATACCCAGTCCTCCCCGGGCTCGGAGGGGGCTCCCCGTTGGCTGCCTGACTACAGTAGCGGGCGACGAAGAGCGACAACGACTTTTGAGGCCGGGGGGGGCTTGGTGGTAACAATGAGGCCAACTCCATGACGTCTGCATTGAAGTCCACTAGCTGGTCGCATTGTCTTCCTTGATACCTTGTACCTTGCCCCCTTTGCCAAGGATAGTAGTCGCCGACTCCACCGTACCTCCTCAATGATCGATCTGTGGGTGGTAGGGTTCAACAAGCAGTGGATGTATCAGATACAATCACTTAGTACCTGAGCCCCGATACCCGCCTCGTGGTTATCCGAACAAGCGGGGCGGATGGAAGAAAGACTGATCCAGGATCACGTTTCCTGGCTGGCCATCCCGTACTCCCGACTGCTAGTAGTACCCGCGGGCGTACGTACGTTGGGACGAGGGCGAGTGCCCCTAGCCCCTAGTACTATTCCGGCCCTGTTGAAGCCCCAGTAAGGCTGCGCTTGCATTAAGACCTGTCGCGTTCCGCCCAGGATGCCGAAGTCGCACGGCCAGAGTACAGGGGCAAATGCACGTCCCATGCAGTACGGAGGACAGGCTGTGTGGCCGATATGTATGCTGTGCAAACAGACATGGATGCATGGGTGCATGGGGCATTCCGACGGGCTAAGTAGGTACAGTAAGTACTTACCGAGTAACGAATGTCTCCAGGTCGGCGGTAACAACCAACTTGACAGGGCGCAATTTGCGTCGGAACTAGGAAAACTTTTGCCCTCGAATGATCAATCATCAATGGCCGATCATTATCTTCAGCGGGCATGGTCCCATGTCTTTGTTCCTTTGCTCTCCAAATCCTGCCCCTCCCCTCCTTCCTATCCCATTCCATCCCATCCATCCCCTCATTGTCCCCACCGCATCCTCCTCTTCTTTTCTTTGTTTCTCTCTTCCTTCCGACCACCGCCTGTTGAACGATTTGCATTGCTTAGGTTGCCGGCCCGGAGTGGACCGCTGCGGGCCTGTGGACCGTGGGGTCTTAGCTCCCCCTCGACCTCATGCTGATTGATTAATATCATTAGTATGATTCCGATTGAACTCTCGTGCTGAGGAACCGACTCTGCCAGTCTGCCAGCCCCAGAACCATGCCGTCTGTGCACCTGCTGATAGGGCGAACCGGCTTTTCCAACCCTTGCCCCTCCCCCCCCCCCCCCCATCCATGTAGATACCATGGCAAGGAAATAAATTGGAATCGATCTACGGCGTGCCATTCGTCCGTGGTATCTCCTGACGTTTTTTCCCTCGTGACAAAGTACGGTGCAGATCGCAGTCTTCTCGTCTACTACTGGCCGGGCGAGGGCGACTACCACGGGCGAGCAGGCCCGTTCCTACCAGTCATCGCAGATAGTATGATCGATGGGCCTTTTATTCATCCCCCCTTCCGCTAATTACTATTACTTACTTGACACCCCGGCGGCGAGGACAAAGCTCGATGGGAATAATGCCATGGACGGAAGCTCGGCGTCGAATACCAATTGTATTTTGTGTTCTTGTCAGCCTCCCAAAAACGACCAAGACATGGCAAAAAAAAGAAAAAAAAAAAAAAGAAAAAAAGGAAAAAAAAAACAGAAGAGGAACTGCTTCCTTTTCTGGTGGACTGCCTGGCCTCAAGGATCGACCGCTTTCCTCACGAGTTAATTCGCAGTTCCCAATCCCCTGGTGACCTGTGCCAGTGTGTCTGATTATCTACTTCCTCCTAGGTACATGTCTAGTGACCTTCCCCTCACCCCTCACCAACCCCCTGGTCCGCCTTCTTCAGTCCCGATCTTACAGTACATTCGGGCAGCGCCACAGAGGCGACACGCTGGAGAAGCTGGGCATCCTACTTATCGTTCCTGAAGGAATTTGGGAAGGAAAACCGTTAGGATTCCGCCGCTCGATCATTGTCAACATCCAGTATAGTTCGAAACCCGTCGTCTCTTTGTCCGCAAGCATGTCATGCGGGCTTTTAGGTTCAGCGGTTTATCGATCCGCTCCCCGTCCGTCAATTGAACCAAGGTTCACCTCTCCTCTTCTCGAGGAACATCCTAGGTTAGGTTAGGTTAGGTTGGGTGGTACCCCTCTATCAAGATGCGGGATTATGCGATGATGTTCCTTCCGGTCGTACCAACTCGGAAAGAACCTAAGATTGTGGCTATCCGCCATGACAGCAGCTGGGCAAGCCACAATACCTCGATAGATAAGTTAGATGGGGTGGAAGCAATATGTTAGTATTCCGTAGTAGTGGAAGAAAAGCAATGCGACAGAAAATATAAAAGAAGGGGAGGAGGAAGACTGGCAGTTGTCCTATGTGTTCGTTTCGTTCATTATTGAATTATTGACCAGATTATCCGTATGGGTTTGGCTTTTCTGCTCTGCTCCACTCGGGATCGGGTACCTCTCGACTTACAGGCTGCCTACCCAATACCTCTGGGGATTCCTGACTAGCCAGTGGTACACCCATTGGTGCGCCGGGCCATCAGTGTAACATGATGATGGAAGCTCTGCGGTCGGTAGAAAATACATCCCTCCTCGGGGTGTACTATGTATGCCAGTCATCTTGATGAAATGAAGGCTAGGTACCTATCAGTCCGGACGGCGTTAGGCATCTCATCGGGAGGGAGGGAAAAGGCAGAGTGACTTACAGTAGTCGGACGGGGAGTAATACTAGTAACTACCTAGTCGCATCTCCAGTTCTCGACTAACAATAATATAATAGTAATATTAGACACACTTCCGAGAATCATCTAAATAGGACCTACGGACGGGAGGGGGTACTTCCTTACCTGCTAGTACTCCGTAAGATAGGTACATAAGTCAGGATACTCGATACAGTAAGCTGACACGACGTGGTATGAGCCCTTACCGTCTCTGTTAGCGGTATTTGGACCCGGAGCAGATCCCTGCTGGGCAATCTAGATCCCTGCCAATCAGATGCAGCCCCCCACCCATCACCCCTTCCGGGCCTAGCGTGCCTGCCGGGCTGGTCCATGACTTTCGACGTCGCGGCCCAATCGTTGCGCAGGCCTGCGTCTTTTTCCCACGACTCGCTACTTCCCTGCCTATTTGATTATCGTATCGGGAGCCTGGATGTATCGATCCTCCGCCCTCGTGTCGGGCTGTCTGTAATATCATCCTGGCTGGGTGGCATATCAGCCTATTCCTGTTTCAGTCGGTTGATTTCAGCCCTTGTCATGGGGAGGGAAGGAGGTGTGTATCAATCAGTGCGAGAGACAGACACAGAGAGACAGAAAGAGCATACCACCTGCCCAGATAGTCCCTAGTCCATATCTATCTGGTCCTCAATATGCATAATAGGTCCAGGCAAGTACCGACCGGCCGAGCTATACCATGGATCCCTATAGCAAGCACATTAGTCTAGTATACCTACTCTGTCTGGCTGCTCAGCATGTCAGTATGTACATATCGGTCTGTCCAGCCCGGTCGACTACACATATCTACTCGACGAACTCCTCCATCGAGCACACCTCTATCCGTCCGTAAGTACGTTTGTCTTTCAGAAACATACCGACTACTAGACTACTATCACCATTACTACTACTGCTACTGCTACCATTACTACAACCACCACCACCACCTACTACCTACTACTCACACACTCCCCCCCTCCTCCTCCTCCTCCACCTCCATCCATCTTCATCCTCTTATTCGTCTCCTCCCACCAGGAGATCTGAATTGATTACTCGTTACTCCTTCCCTGATCGGCCCTGGTGCCTGCGCCCTGACCTGTCCCTTTTTTTTTTTTTTTTCCTATTTAGTATTTTATTTTCTACGACCCGCTCCTCCGACTTTTGCCTTTCCCCGTGTACAAAAAGAGACCGGCCCTGCAGGTCTCTTGTATGCATCCCCGATTCCTACCTACTACCTACATACCTGGCACTGGGAAGCGCTTGGGGGGAGAAACAAAAGTCCAGTCTAGTCCAGTCCAGCCCAGGCGTGAACAAAGTCGCCACCCCGTCGTCCTCCTGGAATCGATTGATTGATCGATTGACCGATTGACTGATTGACTGATTGATGCATGCGTGCTCGGCAGCGGCTGGAATTGCATCGCCATCACTTGCTCGCTCGATTTCATTTCTCATTCAAGCTTGAACATGCATCTGCAGTCCTTGTCTTGGCCTTAAGCTGTCCTTCCTGACTGGACATTCTGTTGTTTTGCTTTTTCGATCTGCCTATCCATTCCCACTTTGTTCAATTTTCTTCTTTATAATCGCTATAGTACGCCCGATAGCCTGTTCCTCGCCGGCCACTTGTTGTCGGTGCAACCACAGCAGCAACTGCCAGCCATCGTCATATCACCGCCCCTCCTGGCTTTCTCGGCTCTGCATTCCCCCTTCTCGCCTCTCTGGCCCCTTTCAGTCATGGATACTGAGAGCAACCATGCTCCAGACAGCGACTTCCCGCCGTCTCCCTGGGTGGATATGGGCGGGTTCAGCCCATCAGAACAGTCCCCCACGATGGAATATCAGGGGTTCGGGTACGGCGTCGTCGCGATAGACCCGACGTACGGCGTGACTATACCACCACCTTATGCAACGATGCCAATAGCGATGCCTTCGCCCGCATGGCCCAGCATGCTCTCCCACCACCAGAGCCCGTTTCCGGAGCCAAGCGTGCCCGCCGTGCCTTTGGCGCCCCCTCCTGCCAACATCGCACCGGTTACACCCATTGCACCACCACCACCGCCCCCTCGCAAGTCGTCGACCAGCAACTCAACCCCACGGAGAACGCTCACGGATGACGACCGTCGACGAATGTGCCTCTACCATGAGGAGAACAAGACCGCCAAGCAGACCGATATTGGAGGTAAGCTTTTGCCTAGTCCTGTCTGGATGTGTATCCGGCTGACTCGCATCTTCGCAGCGTTGTTTGGAGTTGAAAGAAGGTAAAGTGATTCTGCATCCTCTAAGTGGCATATTGGCATGATGATTCTCGTCTAACTTGCGTTATTTGCTGGGTGAAGCACTGTCTCGAAGGTCCTGCGTCAGAAGGAGAAATATCTCAACCCTGAAGACGGAAGCCGGTCTCCCATCAAGCGGTCCAAAGGAAGGGTCCCCGATATCGAAAAGGCCCTGTCCAACTGGGCAAAGAATTACCAACGCCAAGGCTACCCGCTGAACGACGAAATGATCCGGGAGAAGGCCCTCTTCTTTGCTAGCACCTGTGGTGGCTCGGACGGCAAGGAAAAAGTACTGACGAATAGCTGGCTGGAGAAGTTCAAACGCAAGTACAATCTGATGGGCGCAAAAAGCCGGAAAGGCTCGTTCAGCGCCAAGAGCGAATGTGGAAGTCCAACCTGTCTGAGCATCAACTCAGCATTGGCATCTGCGGTCCAGTCTCCCACCCTACTTTCGCCGACCTCCCCGACTGGCTTTTTGACGCCCTTGCCCTTATCTCCCGTCCAGAGCAATGAGAACATCCGAGGGGAGCTCGCTCAGAGCCTTGCTGAAATTGCAAGCGGCTACCAACATGCACACACCAAAAGTACGACCTCGCTCGACACTTCGTCGTCTTTATCTGCTGGGGTCACTAGTCCGACGTCAACCTTGGTGACAGATAGCCCCTTCACCCCGACAAGCCAGTCTCTTCACTCGGTGGACGGGAGCCTCACCAGACCCCGCAGCCAAACATTTCCGCTGAGCTCATCCGACCCAAGCCTGATGGCTACCGATGAACAGCCCGAAGATATGCCAAAAGAGTCGCTACGGCTGTCCTCAGTAGACTCAGGACACGGGCATTCTCTAGAGGAACAGCGTGATCGGAAGATCCTCCCCGTGCTGGATACGTCCGCTGCCACAATCAAGCGCAACCGCAGCGACCCCGATTTCAGAGTCAAATCGTATCCTCCGCCGTTCTCGACATCCAACACTGCGTCGCCTATCAGTTCCCCGGGGTCGCCAACTCAGGATGAAGCCAGAAAAGCGCTGGAGCTGGTGATGAGCTATTTCCAACAGCAGCCAGCGGGTCTGGGAGCAGATGACTACTCTACCATCGGGAAGTTGATGGAAAGGCTCGAGCTCGCCAAGGCACAGCAGTCACTTCCAGGGGGTCTCTCCCGTATCGACGAGCACGATGACTCGCCTCACCTGAACAAGAAAAGAAGCATCCACAGTCTTGGCTAGAGGCCATGGGATGCGATTATGGCATTAATAAAAACGACAGCGACTTGGGGGTAGTAACAGACATACACAGTCCTGGCAATTCCATTACCTGGACATGGTGTTTCCTTTTACCTAATTCCTTTTTTTTTTCTTTTGGGGTTTTCCGTCTTCATATTTCGTTTCATTATACCACGTATGATTCTGTTCATTATCAACCAAGGGGGTGGCTATCTGCTTTTAACATTGCATCATCTACGTGTCATACCCGACACGTTTCTTTTATTACTATGTACCATGGGCCTTGAGATACCACTGTTGGGGATATCCGAACACAAAAAAATCATATGATACACTGCACGAGGGCAACCTCAGATATACGTGTCTGTCTTACGGGAATGTACTTAGGAGCTGGTCCTGACGACAGGAATCCATGGTGTTGAACGGTGAAGAGACGGCATTATTGCTGTGTTTTCTATTCTATTCTACTTACTGAGGTTTTTTTTTTTCTTTTTGCTTTTTTCTCTTATGTTTCATCTTATTATGCCTCGTATCTTATCTTATGTCTATTAAACAAGCATATTCAGAATCTGCTCGCTCACGCGGATATTTGGCTATTTTTTTTTTGAAACAATTATGCTTATACTCTAACCAATGCTCTGTATTTACGCCTGTTTGGGTATGTGGTTATAGGACTGATTCTTATGATTGATTGATATGAGAGGTCCGAGTCATTGATCAAACAAGCATAATGGACAATGGACCAGACCAGACCAGACCAGATCAGACTAGTTAGGATATCAGACTAGTTAGGATAGGACAGGAGAAGAGTGGCAGCTGATCATACGGTTTTGGCCTGGCCTGTTCTAGTTCTGTTCTGTCTGCTCTGTATTTACTTGTTTTTCCCTACCGAATTCTTTTCTTTTTTTTTTTTTTTTTTAGTTCTTACTTACTCAAGTTACCTACTCCAATACTAGGTAGTAATTCTTTTCCCACACCGCATTCTCTCTATCTGATCCTACTCGAGAGGTACTACTACTGTAGGTGCATACCATGTTTTGATCCTGCTCCTTCTAGTCCTTTATGCGCTGTCGATACGCCTATCCTCTGTTCCTGCCTCTGCTGACATGCTCCGTGTATCCGATTCGATAGATAAGTACTACATAAGTATAGTAGCTCAGGTAAGGCGGTGCTGTCCCATTCATCCATTCATTCATCCATACACATACCCATGTCTATGCCCATGTCTATGCCCATGCCCATGTCAGTCAGTGTCCACGCACACGCACACGCACACGCCCACGCCCTGCCAGACCTGCAAAGCGCAAACGAACGAACGAAATAAAAACACAGAACAACCTACTTACTGTAGACTTTAGCCTGGCTGGACCGGACCCAGATCCGAGTCTGAGTTTCCCTTCCCCTCCCTGTCTGCGTCGTGCGAGTGCAGCACAGCACCGCACCGCATCGCACCGCTATTTGTCGTTTGTTCTGCAGGTGCAGATACGCCTTGTTTTTTGGATTGGGGGGTTGGGGGTTGGAGTTTGGGGTAGTTGGAGTATCTATCTGTTTATCTGGTTGTCTGTTTGTCTAGTTGGATGTCTGTAGGTATATTATCTATTTATCTGTCTTTCTGTCTTTCTGTCTGTCTGTCTTTCTGTCTTTCTGTCCGTCTGTATATCTATATATCTATATACATACTACCTAGCCATACAGACAAGAAAGATACGCAAGCAGGAGTTAGTTAGTAGAATATACATATAGGTATGCATAGGTATAGGTATGTACTATAAGTCTGTAGCTAGAAAGGAAAGGTACATAGCTAAGCTTCAATTCCATGCTATTATCCGTCAGTGACAGGTTAGTTGATACTAGGTACTATACCTACACACCTACACTAACACCAACACTTAACACACCTAACACTGAATATACGCGCCGAGGTATGTCTCCTCCCCCCCCCCCCCCCCCCCCCCCCAATAACCGGCCCTACCGAAGTGCTAAGTGGCTGCGCAGCGTTCACCGTGCAGCATGCAGTGTGCAGTGCAGTGCAGTGTATGCAGATGCAGTGTGCTTGTGTCGAGTACATAGATACATACATAGATACATACATACACCCACTCCAACAACTACTATACCTTATGTATCTCCAGCGTCTAGTCTACCTTAAGGTATGTATCTGTTAGTCTCCCATGTACATTGGCTCTACTCAACTCCATACTCCATCCCAATGCCTGCCTACCTGCCTGCCTGCCTGCCTACCTACCTACCTACCTACCCATCGGCGTATGTATACATGTATTATATGTACTTACCTTATTACTAGGTATGTGGATTTGAATGTAGGTAGGTAGTACTCAGGCGCAATTGGTGCCTGACATTTCTTTCCACATTTACTGGATAGGATGGGATAGGATGGAATAGAATAGGATAGGTTAGGTTAGGTTCGATCCATTGGGTCGGGGAAGAACCTCTCAACTCCCGGACACTGTACTCTGTCTGACTCTGTCTGACTCCGACTCTGACTCTGGGGAAGGAATGCATAATCGAAAATGCTTACTTCGAGTTTCAAGGTTCCCAATTTCCGACTTTCGTCCTTTCCTCTTTTTTCCTTGCCTTTTTTTGTCGCCACGCCGCAAATATCATGGACATACATAGTACGTATGCCTATGCCTATGCCTATGCCTATGCCTATGCCTATGCCGTTGAATCTTAACCGACCGCTTCGACCCAATGGGGAGCTTAATACGACATCCTGGCAACCTACATGATATCTATTTTATCAGGACCAAAAGACAAGGAAGAGGCGGATCGACCCGATGCAAATATTGACAGTCATTAACATTAATACCCTACTGAGGCGAGAAGAGCGCCGTCTATGATAAGATGAGGCGAGACGAGACGAGGCCAGGCGTGGGTGGTAGGCAGAAGTCAATTCAAGGCCTGGCGCACCCCCCTGTCCTCCATTAGCTCTGCGACACTGCGCGCAGACAACTCCGGAAGGAGCTTGCTGAGGACGGCTTCTATGATGGAATAAATCAGATGCTTGTTGCAATAGTCGTCGGCGAAAAGATCGAGAACCTCGTCCTCGACGGCGGCGAGTAGGAGTGACTCTTCTAGGCCGCAATCGGCGAGTGAGGCGATGGATGGCGGTCGGGGGGAGTCCAGCCACGGCGATTCCAGCCTGGGAGCGCTGCTCGGCTGCTCTTGGCGTTGGGACGACGGCTGGTGCTCGATCGGGGCAGCCGGGACGCCGAAGAATCGACGCGCCATTGGGCGAGGCACCCGGGACAGAATGCTGGCCGCGCAGCGTCGCTTGATGGAAGCGACGTCGGGCGTGGAAGCCCGCGGGTCCGGCGATAAGGGCGCTGTCGCTGAGAGTCCAGCCGTCGAGACGCTACTGCAGGCGTCACTTGCGCCAGCGGTGTCGCTAACAGGGCCTTTCTCCAAGGGGAGCGTTGGGGGTTGCACGGACAGCTGCGGAGCCGATGCCGCGGTACGACCGTCTGCCGCCGTGGACGCTGGACGGGCGTTCAAAGGGAAAAGCGCCGCCCGGCTCGCCAGAAGCAGGTTTGGCAACAGGGCGGGGGTGAGGACATGATCCTGGATGGTTTCGTACAAGAACCTAGTGGAGAAAATGGTCAGAAAAAAATAAAAATAAAAAAAAAATAAAAAAGGCGGATGATTAGGTTCGCCGTCAGGCAGTCATCTCGAAAGGGAAACACAAGGCAGTCAGCAGTCGAATCGTAAAGCCCGTGATAGCTCCGAGGTAACAAGACGGTAGAACTTCAAATTGTGGAGAAGCGGTTTGCCCCGTGAGAGCAAGGCGAAAAGAAAAAGGAAATAAAAAAAATAATGTCTGGAAATATGACAGTCCCAGATAAAGTGAGCAGGTGAAGGAGCACTAGCAGAGGGATCTGCTTGGCTAGGGGCAGGCCAGGAGCTTGGGCCAACCATTGGTGCGAAGGTCGATGCCGCCAATGCTGAAGATGACGACAAGTCAGAAGACAGAGAGCATGGTGACCCAGGATTCGTCCATCCGTCCTGCGTAGGACCAAGGAAATGTTCGAGGGAGGCATCCAGGCGATTCTGGTAAGCGTGTCTGAACGCACCCTAGGGGCCCGGCGAGTCGTACCCGGGGTTCCAAATCAGAAAATTCGGTGCGAGCAACGTGCGCGATTGGCTCGAAATTGGAGGGTAGAACGAGCTGTCGCCCTATCCATGCAAATCCCATCAGGCCGAAGGCCGTTCCGTCAACCAATGGATGCATGATCGTCACAATTCATTTTGGGACGCCCCTTAGCGTTGGGATGTGGTTGGTGGGCCAGGGCCTCGAGGGCGCTCCTTTCCAGGGGGGGGCAGGGGTAGGCACGCCCCCCTTTGATTTAACTTCGAGGGGAGAGGTCGAGCGATTGGTAGTTCGAGATTTTCTTTTTTTCTGGTTCTTTGTTCGTTCGATGCCTTGGGCATTGTTTCCCTGCCCGTCAGCCCAGGCTGTTGCTGTGCAGTGTGCACGGAAAGGAAAACCTGGAGCTGGACGGGACGGAAGGGCCGGCCCAGCCCAGGGCCCAATTTTACCCACGACAATCAAGAAATTGGCTGCGCGGATGCGGATTGAAATTGACAGGAGGCCCAGCAATGTCCAGGGCTAGGTACCCAAGGCACGCACCTACCTAGTTTCGGTACGTCCGATAATAGTACCACGAGAGTCCGACTGTCCGAGAAGATGGCATGACCGGACGGCGGACGGTGTCAAAGCTCCCGCACAGCCAGAGCCAGCCAGCCAGCCAGTCCCAAGATGACGGCAGCCACGCCAAGGGTATCAACGGAAATTGATAATGAACCAGCAGTTGGCCGCCATGCGCCGTCATAGGCCGTCTGCAGAAGACAAGGTTTCCGCACGGTAACGTCCGGTACGGCTGTCGTAAGATAACCGTACGCGCCGGTCACGGGCCGTAATGACAGGACGGCCAGGGCAGCGGCGAATCAGGGGCGAGAACGGGCTGGCTGCGAAGGATGGGCGGTGCATCCACCAGCAGATCAAGTGATCGTTGCAGCATGCGAGCAATGCGCATCCTCCTGCATCCTCCTGTCCGCCCTCCCACTCCCACTTCCAGCCTCCCACACCTCCCCCTTCAACAGGTAGTACCACAACCGATCATGGTTCGGAGATCCTACCGTACCGTTTCTCCACACTTCAAGGACCACTTAACCTCCAGGGTCGCAGTCGCACCGCACCGTCTTGTTCCTCGAAGCTGCGATCCGAGTCCATGTACAGAGTACATTCCTCCCATGAACGACAAAAGTGGCTGACGGGGGGAGGGGGCATGGTTTCGGGAACTCAAAATGGAAGGGCCACTCACCTATCAAGAACGCTATCGGTGTCCCCCAATCTGCCTGGACCTGCCAGGATCAAGTACTGAATCAGGGCCAGAAATCCCCCCAACCACGGCATCCGCCGGGGTATATCCATCAGTTGTGAGAGCATGCCAGGCAGCCGGTAGTTCAGCACAGGGCGCTTCCGAGGGGTAGTGGGTGCCTCGTTGACGGCGCTGGTTGGAGGGCAAGATGTCAGGGACGAGGTCGCCGGAGGGGCCGATGCAACGCGAAATAGGCCGATCACAATGAAACGTAGGGTCACGTAGACCATGTAGCCATATTGTAGGACTTGCCAGACCCAGTCGGGGACTGGCACCTGCGTTGGGGACGACGTATGCTCTTCCCGGGAGGAGAGGAGGCCGTACTCGTGGAGTTGCGATCGCTGGCGTACCCCTGCTGCTGGTGCTGCATCTCCCTCAGGCTCCTCTCGCCCTGCCATGTTAATCACCTTTGTGATACTTTCCCACAAGAACCATCCTTCGCTTATTTTCCCGGCAACTGCGTTACCCAGAACGAGGTCCGCCATGATATCCCCTACTAGAGCCCGCACGCAAGCATTCTCCAGATCCTCCGACGGCAGAAGCACCGCCAATACCCCTTGCACTAATAGCTGTCGATATACAGATTCGTTCGCTTGTTGCTGCGCAATAGCCTGAGCTTCCGACGGGTCAGGGACCGGCGACAGGCCCGGGTGCGGGTTCAGAGTATGATAGATCTCGCGGAGTGAGGGAGAGATATCCGACAACTCAGACTGCTGCTTTGCGAGTCTGTAGGCTATGAATGGACAAGAACACAGTCAGCTCAAGTGCCTTAGAGCCTCTCAAACACGCGGCATCGCTGGACGCAAGGCCTTACAAACTATATGCGTCTCAATCAGCGCGGGAATTTCATCAAGAACCAGCTGCGCAACATCGGTGTCGCGTAATCTCTGCTCGAGGGTACGGGTGCAATGCGCGATGATCTGGAGGACCTCGCTGACGAGCGCCTGATCCGGCGTGATTTTCGAATACCAGGTAGATACAAACTCCTTGACTATGATGGCGATAAGAGCGTACAACTGGCGATCCACTTCGTTCGAGCTCGTGAGCGGGGGCAGCAGGTCTTCCGGGGGCTGAGGGGTGGAGACTCCGCCATGGCTGTTTGTTTGGGGGCATAGGACGCGTCGGATCAGAGCGACAGTCGCCTTGTCGCTCGTCGCATTGACCGGATCCTCGCGACTGGCATGCTTAGACAGCTGGGGTCGCGTCGGAGACGGAACAAATGAAGGTAGCGACGGGGAAACCGGCAAGGCTGTCGACTTCGTGCTGGAGGTCGTTGGGCCAGCCTTGAGATGCGACAGCGGATGGAGGCCCGGGCGGAGAGGGTCGCTGGTCATCTCATCGCAGAGTCGGGGCAAGACCGAGTAAATAGGCTGTTGTTGGACGTAGAGGGGATGGAAAGAAGCCAGGTCAATCAGAACTAGTAAATGTCCAATGGGGATAATCTCAGGACAGAGATTCCCATCGAACAGAGGGGGATTCGATTGCGGCAACAGCGGCGGACTGCGGACTGCCCGCTGCCAGCAGGAGTGACAGCAATGACGCTGCGCTACGGAGTTACCGTCTCCACCCCGATCGGGAAGGTAGGGCTTAGGGCTGCAATGGCCCTCCTGTCTGCCTTATCGGCCGGCGTTTTCTTATCAGGCCGCCAGACCGGGAACTCCCCGCATTGCTTTTCTGATTGAGTCAATAGTTTCCATGAACAAAGGCTTCAAAAGGCTTGCACCACCATTGCCTCCACAGATAAAATGCCAATTTAATAACCGCAATAAAGAGCGTTTCGCCGTCAACATCATTACAAACAGGCTGCATAGGACGGGGGGGGGGATCCCGTGTTGATCGGCGCCCTGGATCGCTCGGTGGCTGAGCCGTCGCCCCAGAGAGTGTATGTAGTTATATTCCTCGCGGGGTGGATCTGGATGCCTTCTGGGCTATAACAGTGAATCAATAATTGCATCAAGCGGGCGGATGCTTGCAATACTGCGCGTAAGGCCTCGGCTTAGATACCTGGGCATTTGGGTTATTTTTTAATAGAGAAGACAACAGATTATAATTTGCCTTCAGTATTATATTAGAATACTTGATTATATACAAGTATTTTTTTGATGCTATATATTCTCGCTATACCAGAGTTATACACATAGCACTACCACTCTCGAATCCCTGTTAGATTCATAGAATTCACCTTAGATAATCATGCCTCCGCATTTAACCAACTAGCTGTCTGACTAACTCCTTATCCATATCAATCCCCAGGCCAGGTGCTGTGAGAGCATCGACGTGCCTGTTCTTTATCTCGAAGACACCAGGATTCTTTATGTAGCTGTTTATAGCATACTCGCCAGCCTCGGTGTTATAATGCATATCCAGGCTCATCTCCTGGATAACAAACTTCGGCGTCGCCAGATCTACCTGCATGCAAGCGGCCAAGGCGATAGACCCGAGCGGGCAATACGGCGCGATAGCGACATCGTAGGTTTCGGTCATAGATATAATACGTCGCAGTTCCGAGATACCGCCGCAGTGGGCGATATCAGATTAGAGAATATCGACGCTCGCATCTTCTAGGAATTGCTTCACATCCCAGCGGCTGTCAAGACGTTCGCCCAGGGCGATAGGGCAGGATACCTGATCAGAAAGCTGCTTGTATAGATATGGGTCCCTAGATGGGGCATCTTGGCGGTGCTGTAGTCGATCCATCAGGGACCAGACCATGCATGACGATAAGAGATTGGCTTCGACCTAGAACGGACTGGTACATCGATATAGTAAGGCGGACGGACGGGGGCTGATGTCATGCATCATTAGTTCAGGATGTTCTGGAGGGGACAAGAGGGCCCTGCATTTGAAACAAGCACGAGTTGACTGGTTCGGTTGGGATGAAAGATCGGACTCAGGGGAGGAACAATGAAGATGCGGACGGTAGCAAGAGGGGCGATGGCATGATGTCAGAATGGCAGAGCATTGGATGCCCGTCTTTGTTCGGCAGACTGGGGAAGAGTCGAGAGTGGAAAGAAGAAGACAAAAACGAAGAAGGAGAAAAAAAGACCGACTTTGCGGCCTCAGTCGGCGACGGCAGCCCGATTAGGCAACGCAGTGACAGGCGGCGTGGGATTCGCTCCGACTTCTTCGTCTTCCTTTTCGTTCAACCCTGCATCTCCTTCCATCCCCCCGTCGGGCCTACTTCTTGATCCACTACGATTCATGGTCGTAGATCGTTTTTCGCGCCCTTCATTTTCTCTCGCCAGCCTCCTGGTGCATGCTTGCTCCCTGCCCGATACTTCCCTGGCGGATTGCCTCTCCGCCGCCACTCGACCTGCCACTGCCTTCTCCGCTTCCAGACCATGCCCCCAGTCAACTCGCCCTCTGTATGTGTTTATTTTTTTCCCTTCAATTTGCTGACCGTCTTGTCCACGACTAAACTTTCCTTCTCATCGCAGGATCCCCCCGCTCAGTCGTCCTCCGCCTCCTCGCTCCGGCCGTTGACCGCCGTCTCCATCCCCGTTCCCTCCCTCCCCGCGGCCGTGTCCGATGACGCCCATGATGATAACGTGAGCTTTCTGCGGTCTCGTGTGCGCTCCCCTCCCGACTCCTCCTCTTCACTCAGTCGCCAGCGCCGACGTCGACAACCACCGCCGGGGTCGGATTTTGACCTCGATCCGATGGAGTTGGACGATCCTTCGAGTTTGCGCATCGAGATCAACCGTCGCATCCCCATCGTGCGCCGTCAGCGCGACGCCTCCAGTAGCAACAACAGCAACAACAACAATAACCCGAACAGCCTTCCCAACTACGAGGGTCGAATGTCTAACCCGCGCTCGCTGTACGGCTGGGCTCCGGCCTCCGACGATGAAGACGAGGATGTACGCTACGAGCCACTGCACGATAGCAACACCGTCTCCTGGTTCGGTCGCTTTTCCGATCGCTATGCGGCTGCGCGCCGCCATGCGCGCCGCGATGACACTGAAAGAAGCCCGCCGGTGGTACCGGAGGAACCGCCCGAAAATAGGAGTTCTCTTCGTCTACTAAACAACCCTCCGGCGTCGATAACAGAAACGCTGCTACAATCAATGCACCGTCAGGCCCGGTTCTCACGGACGCGAACGCTCAATCGTGGAGTAGACCGGGAACGAGCCGCCCGATATTCGGAGGAGAGTCGGGAGCGGCCAGGGGCCACGTCAACGTCGCGGGCATATCAGTTTCTCCCCAGCAGTAGCCGCGGCGAGCCGTCTCGACTTCTGACTCACAATGACCTGCGCGCCCGGATCAACGCCCATCGACAGCTGCATATGGAGAATCCCCCAAATCCGCGATTGAAGGAGACTATCCGGTATCTGGACCGTCTGCGGTATTCAACATCGTTTGAAGAAAGTCTGACCTCAGCGGCCGCCGGAGGGTTCGTCCACACGGATTTCCTGAACGGCAACGAGGATGACTTTATACTGGACACCACGTCAATAGCCCCGCCGCCGATATGTTCATGGCTTCGACCCGGTGTGGTATTCTCAGGCTCGCAACGGGCGGCCAGCAGTGGCGCGTCGATTTTCTCGCAGCGAGTACCCAGCCCTTCCTCGTCCACCCAGGATCCGATGATCGTCAATGGAAACGACAACAGCCGCATCAGTGTATATACGACGACGGGGCGACGCTACTTGGCCAACAACATCTACAACCTGGGAGGCGGGAAGGATGAGAACTGGCCGGTGAAGGTGACGATACACGATATCAATCAGGAGGACCTGACGCTTTCAGGCACCATGGAGGCGTACAACATCCCGGACAAAACCTCACCGGCTCATGATGCCCACATCGTTACATATCTGGAAGGAGAGATTATCGATTTCAATACGCACGCGCTTGAGACGAAGAATTTCAAGGCGGATGCCGAAATCGACAGCACATATTGGCGGGAGCTGCATCCTTTCAAAAACCTCACGGACGAGGAAATGACGCGCAACCTTGTGAGTCGGAAATGGGTCACGGAGCAGTTGTCCAGGGGGTGGATATTGATGAGATGGAAGGGTAAGTTTGTCCTGTTACAACACATCGGGATCTAGCTAATCAATGGGACTACCTTAGAACGCTGCTTCATCACCCCCACCGACTCTCGACAAGGATTGACGATTTCCGGCTTCTACTACATTTCACTGAATCGCGAGAACGGGCATATCGAGGGGTTGTACTACGACCCAGGCAGCTCGCCGTATCAACAGCTGTCATTAAACCCCGAGACGAAGAAAATGGTGCGTCCCTCGTATGGGTTCCGATAGTTTACATCGGGGGGACGGCTACCACCATGTGCGGACATTGTTTTGTTTGTTTTGTTAGGCGTTGGATGGTACATATTGTTTGCATAGCCGGGTGTTGTCGTCGACTTATATTGTCCATAACCAACCAGAGATATCAAGCAGCAAATTGACATACATACTTTCTTACTTACCCTTCCAGATCATCCATCGAACTGCATTCATTACTCCTTCAATTTACACGAATTCATCTACAACCACAAACTCCACTCCCCATCACCACCAGCATCTACCACCGCCAGACAGAAAAGAAAAAAATAAGTTTTTTTTTTTTTTTTGAGTCCCATGATCCGATTGAATTGGCTCGATCCTCGCTATCAAAAACAGGCCGGGTTAAAGTTCAGGCCAGATAAAACAAGACCCCCATGACATGACAACCACTCAAATCCTAAGAAACCCCAGCCTCAACAAACGGGTCGAAGTCCATAAAACCAAATTCACAACTCCCATAACCCTATCCATCAAGGATCTGTATTCCTCCTTTTCGCGGCCATCAACGGATGCCCCTAACCCATGCCAAACCAAGTCGCAAACAACAACCAGGATCACGAGAAGCACTCCGTTCGTTCCGACTCCGACTACATTCTCAGACCTTGATTCTCAAGTCAAGTAAGAAAGACGAGAGAAGAGCAATTTACTGCTCGGTCTGGAAGTAGTTCAGGAGAACAGAGCGCTCCTGGGACTCCTCACCCCAGTCCTTGACGACGACGCAAGAGCAGTTGACGACCTTGCGGGCGTTGCCCTCGCGGTCGAGCTGGCCTAATTCCCGAAAACAAACGATTAGCAAATCCGTTCTTTCCAAAAACAAAACTCGCCACACGATCCCGGTGGTAGATATAGGTATAGGTATAGGTAGAGATATAGAGAGAGGAATAAGATAGGGACAGGGAAAGGGGGAAGAACATACAAAGACCAACCCACTCGCCGAGCATCTTTCCATCGGGGACCTTGATCAGAGGGATCTTGTGCTCGGAGCAGAGAGCGACAACGAGCTTCTTGTAGGCCTCCTCCTCACAGCCCTCGTTCAGGACACACATGTGCGCCTGACGACGGTCGAGGGCCTTGGCGGCCTCGCGCAGACCGCGGGCAAGTCCGTCGTGGATCAGGGAGATGCGGAGAACACCCTTGAGGGCGTCGAGGACGGACATCTGGCCGCCGGCACCGGCATCGGCCGAGACCTCGACCTCATCGGCAGCAACGGGGGGGTTAGACTGGGTCTCTTCTCCGTCCGACTAGATGCGACAATTTAGTTAGTGATATGCTTGTTGGTGGCGTGCATTGTTGCGGTGGTAGGGGATTGATGGATGGGTGGATGGATGACTGTCATGCGGCATCCGTGGGGAGGAAGACTGGGCGCTCACCATTTTGTTGATTGTTTGGTAGACGATATGTCGGATTATCCTCAAAGAGTCGAGGTGTGTGTACTTGTATAGACTAGTGGTGGTGGTGGTGCGGCCAATTTTGCGCTGGTCTCGCCTAAATGTGTGCCCTACGGATCTTAGGTAAGCGGGCCACCACGTGATGCCACCGATCAGCCATCGTGGTGTCACGTGACTTTTGCCGACGTCGCGATGATCTCGGTACGGAGTGCGGGAGTATAGTACGGAGTAACATACAACTCTACAATGCTCCCTACACACTACCAATGTACGATTCATCTCCGGATATTATGATCATTCAACCACTCTATCCAAACATCACACATCAGGTATCATAGTCATACATCAAGAATTCACCCTGTACAGGCTAGCGTAAAGCTAAACAATCGCTGAAGCAGAACCACAATTAGACGTATGTACTAGGCCGGTCGTGTCCGTACCCATTAGTTAGCCCTTTTCCTCCCAAAAGCCCGGACGCGTCCTCAATATGCGTGTCGGGGAGATGTCCATTAGCCTGCGGCAATTCAAGCACTGGCTGCGTTTGCGGCTCCTGGTCAATGTGCATCTTCAGAAACTGCAGGTCCAACCCATGAAGGTGCGAGATGTGAGGAACAAGATCCAAGAAATCGGACAGCTATGAAGGTCAGCATGTGAGTCGGCGGAGTATAGAGGACGAACGTAAACGTACCTTAACCCAGAATACATGCTCCATGTCGAAGTATCTGGGCCGCGCTTCGCTATCCTTTTGCATGATCTGTCCAAAGGAGGAATTGAGAAACTCCGTCTCATCCGCTTGAACCAGCATCCTCCGAGTGACACGCCACAGGTTCATCCGCTGCGTGGGAGTCGCATTACGCTTCTCCCAGCTGGCATATTGAGTTAACTGAAGGTCGTTCGTCGCCAACAATGGTGCCACTAAGTAGTTTGGAACCCATTTCTCTTCAGCCACATCCACGCCACAGGACGGGTCGAGTTGTTTGGTTTCGGCCGTGACTACAGGCATGAACTTCTTGAGCCATAAATGACTCTTCGCCTGCGGATCGCTTGAACCCACTAAGTAGGCTGCAGCTCGTAGTCGACTGGGGAGAGCGTCTCTTCGGCGTTGTTCTTGCTCTTCCTGCTCCCTGCGCAGTTTGGCAAGTCGCTGTCTTTCCTGCTCGAGGCGCCTCAGGCGCTCGTCCTCGGCTTGCTTGATCCGCCGTTGCTCCGCCTCTTTACGCTTGAGCTCCTCCTCGGCCTTCTCCTGAGCAAGGCGAGCCGCCCGCGCCACCCGCTCTTCTTCCTCCAGCCGGGCTTTCTCGGCCTCCGCTGCGAGACGTTCCTCCTCTGCCTTTCGCTCCTCTGCAGCTTTCTGGGCCTCCCTCTGGGCTTCCCTCTGGGCCTCCCTTTGAGCCTCCCTTTGGGCCTCCCTTTGGGCTTCCCTCTGGGCTTCCTTCTGGGCTTCCTTCTGGGCTTCCTTCTGGGCTTCCTTTTGCCGACGCGCCTCAGCCTCAGCTTCCGCGGTACTGACCGGGTCCTCCATCGGGATATCTTCGAGATCATGGGTTTCGTGCTTCTCTTGCTCCTCTTTCACGGGGTTTCGTTCAGCCATCTTCGGTATAACATCTGGTTCTCGCGAATGATCCTGTCTAGCCTCGGCAACATGATTGTCATCCCTGTGACGGGAAGAAGCCTTGAGGTCTTCAGGAACTGGCTGGTTCTTTTTGGCGCTTCCATTGGTGATGTTTGGTGTCCCATCTTCCGACAATACCCGTCGTTTCTTCTTGTGGACCTCGCGGGAATGCCGCTCCGCGTCGGTATCTCGAGATCGGGGCCGTTCGGGACTCACACTGCTGCGTCCACGCTTCAGGTGCTGTTGTCCAGGTTTGGGGGTTGCTGATTCGGAATGATCGGTGCGCATCTTCACGTTGTCATCTTTTCCTGACATCGGGTCAGATAAAGGCAAGCTGGGCACTTTCTTTTCGCGGTCCGGTGGCCGTCCAGCGATTAATCGCCTTCGCTTAGGAGCCTCGTCTCCACGGCCAGACTCTGCATCTCTCGTCGAACCAGCCTTGAACCGGCCTGGCTCAGAGCGTGGCACATCATGGTCCGTCGTAACGATGTGAGCAACCTTGGGACGGGCTATACCGGTCTTCTCCTTGGCGTGCACCAGAGCTTCCCTCCTGCGCTCTTTCGACAATGCATCCTTGGATGAATCCCGGCGGCCTGGGCTTCCAACCAATTTCCTAGGCCGACCTCCAGGTGACGGTGATTCTCTGCGTCCGGGCCGTTTGTTTTCCTTCTCCTTATCCCGGATTCGTCGCGGAGATGAAAAGTCGCCTTTGCGCTGCTTCTTGCTTCGAATATAGTCGTCGTAGGCATCACGGAGAAGGTTGCATTCTTCCTCCCAATTATCGGCTCTGCGTTCCCGGGATAGCTCAAAGTAGGTACGGTCCTTGTACAGTCGGCGGGCTGGGTTGAAGCTGGGCTGAGCAAGTAGAAGTTTGATGACAGGAAGGTTTCCTCGGCCAATTGCTGCCAACATGGGAGTATTGTATCCTGGTTTCTGGGTGCCGCTTTGTACCGGGTCTGGATCGGGGTTGGCATCGCCCATCCCAAGTAGAAGAGACAGAACTTCATCGTGACCACCCTTGGCCGCAGCGATCATAGAGTCAGTATCAGCCCTTTGCCCAACATTGAGGATATTAGCAACCCCGGCAATGTCACCCTTGGCAGCGAATGCTTGTAGGTTCTCCGGGGTAGCCTTGGTCCACAAGAGGTCATTTCGAGTGGCTTCGCTTCTGACGCTTTTTCGTTTGCTCGTGGTGCTTGAAAAAGGCGGACTTCGCTGCCCACTCACGGGGGGTGATTCGCGTGGACTGGCAGCCGCAATCCGGCGTGAAGGCGCTTCCTTACTTCCAGCGCTCGTTTGCTCCTCTGAGCGACGGTTCGGGCGTGGGTTGGCCTTTGCCTCCTCGATAACTCGCCGGATTTCGTCAAAGTCCTCTGAATCCGAAGGAATCAGGTCGCTTGGCTCATCGCCTTCAGCATTTACTGCACGAGGGTTGGCTCCTGCCTCCAGTAACAGCTTCACAACATCAAGATGGCCATTCTCGACGGCATCTATCAGCGGGGTATCCCTGTCGATATTCCTGGTCTCGTAATCACAGCCAGCCTCGAGCAAAAACTTGACAATAGAGGCGCATCCTTCCAGAGAGGCGATTTGCAGTGGCGTATTGCCCGCATTGTCGGCAACATTGAGATCCTCGGGACGTTCGTTATGTCGAAGTCTTGCCACCTCCAGTTCCTGGGCAGCACAGGCCCGTGCAAGACGCGTTCGACCGTTCTGATCCCGCTGCTTCTTGTGGCCCATCGGCCTGGCGGGAGACGCCGATGCACCATCCACAGACGCAACCTTCCGCACATAGGCACTTGGTAACGGGGATCCACTGGCAGAAGAGGACACGGATGCTCTATCTTCGGAACTCTGCCTTTGGACCCCTGGGATGAGCGGGGTATGGGCCTTTCTCTTCCTATGCAGGTGCAGGTCGCTACCGAGCTGAGGGCCAGACGCCGTTCGCTTGTGAGATCGAATCGGAGAGACGGATCGATCCTTGGGAGCCGGCCGAGGTAACGATATACCATTCAGGTCTCTTCGTTCCCGGTCGCGGGGGGCTGCCGAATGATGTTGTCGCGCATTCCGACGAGCGTCCGCCTCCGCGTCAACACTCTCACTGAAGCTGCGCTTTCTTGATATTCTGGGTGCGGAAGTTGCAGGGGGCAATGACTCGACTTTTCTCGGCACTGACTGCGGTTCCTCGGTCTTCTCTATCTTGACGATAGGTGGTGACCCCGCCCTCTGCAGCAGGGGGCTCGCCGGGCGCACGTAACGGTCGCGTTCGCTGGGCAGGTCGCCATCCACTGAATTTCTCTTTCTCACTCGCAGGTCATTAGGAGGGAGATCACTCTCTGCGGTATCAACACGGTCATTTGCATCATCACGTCGTTGCGGCTCATGTTTTATAAATTTCCGTCTCTTCTCGGGCGACAGGGATTCACGGCCCGATTGGATTATGGTTTCTGCCTCCGAGTCAGCCTTGGGGCTTGGTGGCCCGTTGCCGTCCCCGACAGCAGGATCTACCTCTTTGGCGGGAGCATCCTCTTCCTGAGTGACCGATGGGGTGGCTCTCTTGGAAGGCGGGTGACCCAAGGTAGACTGGTGGTTCACCTTGACAGCAAAAGCGCTTTGTCTGGGATCCAGGGAAGCTGGCAGGGAGGAGACAGCCTCAACATCACTCATAGCGGTAGCACTCGATTTCTGGGGGTTCTGCTCGTCATTTTCGGGGGCCGTGGCGGACAAGAGGACCCGTGGTCAGATACACCAGCAGTTGGCGCGGAAGCTGGTGCTCGACCACGCGTGACGTCGAGGGGTTATTCCTTGGATCCTTGATTGGGGTAGACAAAGAGATAGCCGGGACGAGAAGGAGGGTGGGCGAGTGGTCAAAGCCGGGAATCAGAAGTGCAAGAGACAGGGGGGGGAGGGAGACGACAATGTGGTGGAATCACGAGGAGAAAGTCGACTAGGGATTGATTCGGGTCGATGGAGTGGGAGGAATTAATGATTCGAAGTGGGTGGGCGAAGGGAGAGGAGGGAGGGGGGAAGGAGGGAGGAAAGGGAGTAAGTAAGTAGTAATAAGAGTTGAAGGAAGTGTAGTGGCCTGGGAGGGGGGTGGGTGGTGGTGGGAGGATCTGGATGGAGAGAGAAGGGAGGGAGGGAAGATGGATGGAAGGAAGAGAGGGAAGAATTATTGGAGAAGAGAAAAGATGAAAGAAGAAGAACGAGAGAAGTTGAAACGGCCGCCGGGGCACTGGGATGAGTGATGAGCGAAATTACCAGGTAATGGGGGTAATTGGGGGTAATTGGGGGGGGGGTGTCCCGTTGTAGTGGAAGTGGCAGCAGGACCAGTTCGCCGTCTGTGAAGTTAGTTGGGTCTTAGCGGGTGGTTAGTGAGGATTGCCGTGGGATCCTGAGGGTCTGGCGATCGAGCAGGCGGGAGAGAAAGAGAAAAAGCGACCACAGCAAAACAAGGGAACTAGTGACTAGATACAGAGATCGAATCACGCAAGTCCAGACGTGAGAGTCATTCAAGATAGTCGTTCGTTAGCAGGAGGCAGTAGGCAAGTAGGTCAGTGGTACGGGGAATACTTGGGACGGATTAGCCGCAGTCACCGTCGCCGCCGCCGAGTCGTCGAGTCGTCGTGGTCATAGTATCGCCCCGGGAAACTTACCATTTGGCCACCAGCGGAGCCAGTGTCTTTCGCTAGTTGGTTAGTCATGAATAAATAGTAGTTAGTTAGAGTCCAGGTCAAGTTCGGTACGGTACAGAAATTAGGGCAATTAATGATGGCCTGCTCCTCCTGTTACTACTGCTGCTGCTGTTGTTGTTGTTGCTGCTGCTTGCTGCTAACTGTGGATGGGCTAAATAATTAATCGATCAATAATAGTACGCTCCGTAGTAATAATAATAGATCGAGGGGGGCAATCAACGATGGATCCCGCCGTAAGTACGAGTACGATCCGGACGGAGAGTGATGGGCGGGCAGAAGGCGACGTCGATTGATTGATTGACTGATGATTATTACAAGCACTGCCTTCCATCGTTTTGACCAATACGCACGCAGACGGGATGTGTATCTATCTTTACCCTATAACCAGGTACTAGTTGCAACTTCGATGACACCTGGAGAGGGATGGCTACCTGCCTGCTCGCCTGCTTGCCTGACGGACGGACTGCCGGACTGGCCTGCCTGCCTGCCTGCCTGTCTTCCTTCCGTCCTTCCTTGCCCTTCAGCTTTCAGCCTTCAGGGTTGCGCCGTCCGCATCCCTCCAGTCCGACCGACAGACCCCTCGACGGACCAAGTCCAGCTGCAGCCGAGACGAAGCGCACGACCAGGACGGAGGCAGCCTGTCCAGTGTGCTGAAGGTCGACCGTCGAATCCGCCCACCGACCCAGACCCAAACGATCCTGCGCGAAGGCCCAAAAGCGGGCGGGGGGGCGGTCAAGCTGGACGCTGAGAGGTGGCGGATAAATCCCTATGAGTCGGACCTAACTGATTTTCCTTTCTTTGCGACCCCCCCCCCCCCCCCCAAATTTTTACACTTTCCCTCTTTTAGTGAGTTTGGCTGTGTCTGAAACTCGGGCTCTGGGACGGAGGGTGGGTGGGAGAGGAGAGGGAGAGTGACGGCCAGCCAGTGCCAATCGCAGTCCCCTCCGACGACGCAATTGGGCCTTCCCTGGAAGCTGCGTACTGCTATCAGGCTAGGCATCAGCTCGGCCCCTGGTGTGACCAATTATTGACAGCCGGCCAACCCGCTCGTTACCGCTTCCGGCCTAGCCGGTTTCTGCAGGCCTGCTTGACCCACCGGGAAGCAGCGATCTCCGCCTCCTCTGAGACCAGTCATCATCCAGTATGGCTCCAGCTTATCGCCCCGCTTTTGCCCCCTCTGTTGCTTTGCTTGCTGCTTGCTGCTGCTTGCTGCTGCTTGCTGTGCTGCTGCTGCTGCTGTTGCTGTTGCTCAGCCGGTTAGCTGGTGGGTGGTGGTGGTAGATAGTGGTAGGTTGGCGTTGCATGGGTTACTCGACCCCGTCCATGGATCGACTGCGTCGAAGGGGGAGGGGGAAGAAAGGAAAGGAGGGAACATCATTCATTGAGTCTGCCACTCCGTAGTTGGTCCGGAATGTTGGATTGATGTGTGGTATGAATGGTTGAAGCTGCAGGTAGTGTAGGTAGTACTCCATAGGATACGTAGATACCGAGTATGCTGGGGTAGTCCCTCCCCTCCAGTCCTCCTCCCTCCAGACCTTCAGTTCTTCTTCTCCTCTCCTCCCGTCCTCCGACCTCTCCAGTCGTCTCACTCTCCGGACGTTCAGACCTCCGGACCTCCGAATCCTTTGGGGTGTTGACCTTGGCGTGAGCCGATTGCATGAGGTGGGAAGCCGCTGGCCCATCGTTGGACCGGCCTCAGCCCTCTCACGAGACCCTGGTGGATCAAACAAACGCCGATTCCTACTCTGACGGGGGCCTTGTTTATGATTTATGACTGCTCATCTCGCTCATCCCCCTTGGCTTGTGGAGTGGTCGGTGGTTTTGTTCTCCACCCGAAAGGCCTTTGGAACGTGTCGCATCATCATGACAGGAACAATTGTAACCGTAATATTACCAGAGCCTCCGTCGCCGTCGTACGGCCGCCATACTGTCCAGTCTGTATGCTGCTCCGAGCACACCTGACGGCGCCGTTTATCGCGATTCTTGCTTCCTCCCGCTCGCTACCTTACCCACCTCCCCTTGTCCAGACTCCTCCGGACACGCATTCATTCGACAGCCAGAGGCGAAACCTGTTGTTGCTATTTTCTCCTCCGCTGCAGACCCCTACGGAGTTCTCCGCATCGGTGGCGGATCCGTGTTGTCATGACGGTCATGGAGCTCTTCGCCAGCTGGGTGGATACGACGCTGTCCTCCATGCATATGGACGCCGTCGACACCCTTCGAGCCTTCTTCCTTTTGGCATCCTGTACGGTATGGACAAGCTTCAGAAGTTGTAGGCAGGCGGGAATTGATGACGCTATGTCCAACCGACGGAACTAAAATCAAGAATGTCCTAGATATTGTCCGCTAGCCTCCTGCCAACCTCGCTGCACTCACGCTTCATCCCTTATGGCGCTCGTGCAACCTCCACAACCGGCTCGGAATCCCCGTCGCCCCCGACAGCACGCGCTCTCGACTCTGTTGCCTCCTTGAGAGTCCCTCACAGCTACTTCACACATTTCTACATTGTCTCTGTTTTGGCGTCGATCTTCTGGGCCGCGCAGCTCTTGTGTCATGGAGCCGTGTTCCAGGCTCTCGCGACGAGGATAAGCCCGGAGAACTTGCAGAAGTCGATGTCGGTACATCAGGTGTTTTTATGCTGGGTATTTATGCTCATCCAGGGTGCAAGGCGGCTGTATGAGTGCAACATCTTCTTCAAGCCCTCCTCGTCCAGGATGTGGTTTGTCCACTGGGTCGTAGGCCTTGCATTCTACCTAGCAGTATCTGTTGCACTGTGGATCGAGGGAGCAGGTACGCCCGAGCTGGCATGGTTGGATTGACGCGGAGAACCTCACTGATCGCATTCTAGGAGCGCTGCTGTCTCATAAACTGGAGCTTGACGATGTCAAGATTACAATAGCCCCCTCACTCCGCACGTTTGTCTGTATTCCTATCTTCTTGATCGCATCAGGCATTCAGCATGACTGTCATCATTTTCTCTTCTCATTGAAGAAATATACTCTTCCAACTCATCCTGTCTTCCGCAGAGTCGTGTGTCCACACTATACAGCAGAGTGTGTGATATATCTCTCCCTGGCCTTTCTGGCCGCACCGCAGGGTGAGATCTTGAACAAGACAATGTTATCCGCTCTTGTATTTGTCGTTGTCAACCTAGGTGTCACTGCTGCGAATACCAGGCAATGGTACATGCAACAATTCGGTGAGGAGTCTGTGCGGGAGAGATGGAACATGATCCCTTGGGTCTACTGATTGTATAGTTCGATGCCGGCTGGGAGTCGTCTTTTGGGGGCTCCAGAAATCGTTGCATTCACCGACCGGCCAGAAACTTCGTCGTATTTCCCATCTTTGCAACTTTCAGCACATCCCGATAAGTCAAACTTATCCTAGTCTCTCTGTCCAGCCACCCGCATTCATATCGATCGCGCTCCCTCAACAAGTCCCAGTTGCAGATAGATTCGGATCCTAGCCCCTTGTCCTTGGCCGTGTCTGCGATCCCGTGCAGCAAATCTGTATAGATACTTTTCGACGTAACGAGCAGACTGCGTCTCTCCTGCAAGATGCGATATCGCGGGGGGGCATTCCCATTTGCTTCACCGTTCCCGCTTTTCTCGTACAGGTCCAACACGATAGGAGCGCCCAGGCTCACTGTAGCTACGAGGGGGTAATAGGCGGGCCCATCCTCATGCGGCATGATGCCCTGTCCGGGACAGTACTCATTAACGAGGACATGGTTTGGGGCGCCGTGCGGGGCATCCGCAAAGATGCCCAGCGAGTCAAAGCGAGGGGTGATGATAGGTGAAACGAGCCAGGAGGGGAGCGGGGAGGAAAGGAGGGCGTTGGATTTAGTGAGGGCGGACGGCCAGGTCTGAAGACGACGGTGCGAAAGGTGAGTCCAGCGGGGTAGCGGGGCTGTCGTTATCTGTCGTAAGGCCGTAATCGATCAGTATCTACCCGACCTCTCTCTCTCTCTCTCTCTCTCTCTCTCTGCAGCCTGCAGCCAACCAACCCACCTTCTGGAGCAGGATCTCCTCCTCCTCCTCCGAGATGAAATCCGCTATGTAGAACGCATCGCCCGGTAATGGCTTTATGCGGGCGGCCTCAAGATCCCTTGTCATCGCTTTCTAGTATGGCTATACCTATGGCTCTGGCTCTGTGATTCGATTGGAGCAGCACCCGGAGCAATAATCCCCGCTAGATAGCCAACAGCTTTGGCCCTGGGGGGGGTTGCATGGGAGGGGTCAGATGTACGAGATTTGAGTTGGATCTGTCAGAGGCGAATGTCCCCCAATTAGCAGGTAACACACGACAAGGTGAGCCTGGCAATATCTTGTAAGAATGGGACGGGGTGGACAAGAGGATGGCGAAACCTACTTACCGGTGGACGTAGATCTCAGGCCAGGGAATCGGCCAGGGTATTCAGAATGGCTGGTCAGGAAGGAAGAGACGGGGTGAGGTGGTGAGGTGGGGTGAAGTCATGTCGTCACGATGAGATGGGATGCTTTTGGTCAATCCTACGGTGGAGGGGCTGGCTGGCTGTGACACTGACACTGACACTGACACTGACACTGACACCGCCCGGTCTCGGTGACAAGGGCTTTGTGAAGCTGGGAAGACTGTCTTGCCGGCAACAATGAATCAAGCGTAATGAAAGACCAGCATGATCCAACATTGTGAATGTTGAAATGTCTCAGCCACTATTTAATCTGTCCCCTCGCCACCCTCTTCTTCTTCTTCATCTTCTTCATACATCAGTTCTCGATGGCTTAAGCAAATAAAGCTGGTTCTGCCTGCTAGGATCATCATGAGGTCTAGAGCCGTTTCAATTTCTTGCTTGGTTTGAAAGCCCCAAGGCGTATATATACCATGTCCGCATAGACAGTATGCAAGGATGGCATTCGGATGATCGCTCATTAGGTTTTGGCCATTCCCATGTTCTTCCGGTTATAGGCTGTCATCAAGATGGATTCTTGGGCTGGATTGACCGTGGAGGGATGATATTATAGTTAGATACATATCTGTGTCCATTTTGATTGCTCAACTGGGGATTTAACTGTTCCTCCTTCAACTCGTGAGGTATATAGGTAGGGCAGAGTTCCCATGATACTCACATTTAAGATTCATAATAACTTAAAGTCTTGCATCTTTGGTCTGTTAAGGGCTGGGTTGACAGTCATGCTGGGTGTTTCTCGGCCCAACACCAACTAGTATGCTATGCTGCTATTATATATCATGTATATATCCTGATAGAACAGAACATAGTTACCTACTACATAACATAAGTGGCAGACAAGCCAGTGAACCATCTCATTTAATTTCTAAAAAATTAAAATTAAAGAACAAACAAATTAGCTCCACGCCCCATACCCTTCTACAAAGTACAAATGCCCCCATCCATCCATCCCGCAACAATCCAATAAATCCGTCCCTCTGCCTCAGGCCGCAACCCCACCACCCGTGCCTCAGCGGTGTCACCCACCCACCCGGTATCCATCATTTGCTTCATGTGCAAACATCCCCATCCAGCAAACCAGCAGACCACCAACACCACCACCACACCCCATCGCTCCCCTCTCCTATCCCCTCCTCTTTAACCTCCTTTAAACCCCACAGCCTCCATCCTCGAACAATAATATAAATCCTCCGCAACCATGGCCCCCAAGAACAAAGGCGGCGACAAGAAAGGCAAAGAGAGCGGCGGGGGCGGCGGCGACAAGGGCGGTGGAAAGGGTCTCAAGCCCGCGACTGCTATTAACGTGAGGCATATTCTGGTATGTTTGTAATGAGTTTTTCTTCTCTTTTTTTTTTTTTTTACTTTTTTTTTTGTGCGCTGGGTTTGGAGGGGTATACACTCTATATCTTCTATATGTGTGTATCGGTATATGGGTATATGGGTGGATGTATACGGAACTTCTTGATGAGGGTTTCGATATCTATTTAGATGGACTGGGATGAGATGTTTATTTGGGTTGCATGGTAACCGTATCCTATGGGGTTGTGTGATAGGACATGATATGATATGATATATATGATGTATACATACATATCCACCGGGAGAACTCTGATTTGAATTGTTTACAGTTTGCACGCAAGAGAAATGCGCACGCGCACAACACGATGATATACAAAGCTAACCTCACCCCACACAGTGCGAAAAGTTCTCCAAAAAGGAAGAAGCTCTGGAAAAGCTCCGCAACGGATCCAAGTTCGACGAGGTAGCGAGGGAGTTCTCCGAGGATAAGGCCAGACAGGGTATGTTCTCCTCTCCTTTCCTTCTTTCCTTCCTTCTCTTCCATTCCATTGTTTCCCGAGGTCGTGATCACTATCCACCTTATATTATGAAAAAGTGTGGTTGGTTGGTGCTAATCTGCCCAGGCGGGTCACTTGGATGGAAAGTCCGGGGAAGTCTGGATGCGGCGTTTGAGAAGGCGGCGTATGAGTTGGAGCCGAGCACGACGGGGAGTCCGAAGTTCGTGGACATCAAGACGGGGTTCGGGTATCATATTATTATGGTTGAGGGGAGGAGATAGATATACCTACCTACTTGCCTATCTACCTACCTAACAAAGTACTAAATGGTAATTGAATGTTTGAGATGGGTGTGTTGTGTTGTGTTGGTGGAGTTTAATACCCAAATCACTACACTACCACTATCTTTGTGAGGAAGGAGGTGAATAAGACAAGTAACCAAATAAATGCATGATCTGATGATGATGATGATGGAGTCTATATAATCAAGCAGGTCTAAAAAAAATGTATGTACATGTCCAGAAAGTAATCATAAATATGATGGAATAGGATGAGTTGGGAGACAGAGTACGTTCACGCCTTTTTAGCCGCCTTTGCGCGCTCCTTGGCGGCCTTCTCCTGGCGCTGAACGATCGCCTCAGCACCAATACCCCCAAAGACAAGTCCCACGCCGAGCCACTGCCCGGCCGAGAGCGAGTGGCCGAACCAGAACACGCTCAGAAGCATGGTCAGCATCTTGCGGGTGACGGTGACGGTGACGAGAAGCAGGGACGAGAAGCGAGACAGGGTGTAGAAGATGAAGAGCTGGCCGACGGCACCGCAGGCGGCGAATCCGAGCACGTTCTTCAGGGCCTCGGGGTGGCGGGACAGGAAGCCGATGGCGGTGGTCAGCTCGGTCTCGGTGGAGGGAGGGATCGGGAATGGGAGGATGGCGTGCAGGATGCCGGTCGAGGACAGGTGGGGCATGATGAACAGGTAGCTGCTCGTCAGCAGCGTCGACAGCACGTTCTGTGCGACCATCATCTGCGGGCCGGTGAAGCGTGTGTACAGGTGCGGGGAGGTGAATACGTGGTCCTGGGTGGTGTTCGTGAGGCCGTCCAGGAGCAGGTTGATCGACAGGAGGAAGATCCCCCACATGCTTGAGCCGGAGCCTTCCGCGGCGGATGCCGCGACCTTCTTGCTTGTTCCCGGGTGGTGGAGGGTGAAGGTGGCGACGCCGAGGGTGACCAGGAGGACGACGCCGTATTTGTAGAGCGGGTACCTCTTGCGGAAGATCGTCAGGTGGAGGAACATGACCGGGAGCAGCTTGCATGACTTGGCGAGGATGAATGTGAGGTAGTCGATGTGCGCGAGACTGGCATATCCGAAAGGCGACGCGAGAGACGAGGAAACGCTGACGAGGAAGAGAGGGAAGATGATTTTCTTGGTCGGGAAGATGGAGGGGATCTTCTGGCCGGACGGGGTCGAAAAGAAGAGGTACAGCAGGCCGGTGATGGCGGCGAATGTAGACTGGATGGTGTTCAAGACAATCGAGAAGGTGAAGCGTTCCGTGGGCGGTTCAGGAACCTCGGCGGTTGGAGTATGAAGGGGATACGAGACGGTGGTGATGGCTTCTTGAAGAACGCCCCAGGAAAGACTGGAGGAGGATGTCAGTCAGGCTATGTTGTTCATCAGATGCAGCACCAGGGAAACGTACAACGAGGCGTAAATCCCCAGAACACACATCGCGAGCTGCAACAGGCCGGGCGTCTCCTGCGCGGCGTCCTGCGCCGCCTGGTGTCCAGACGCACTTCCATTCGCGACGGGGGATTTGGCACTGTTTCCGTTCGTCGCCTTGATGGGCGACCCAGACTCATTCGGAGGCATATGCATCAGCTCCGACGCTGTGGCGCGTTGCAGAGGCGCCGACTGTTTCTGGCGCGCCATAGTAGTACTAGTAAAGAGCCCGTGCCTGCTGGGATGTAAAAAGAGAGTATGTGCAGGACAGGACAAGAGTCGGCAGACAAAGATAGATTAGGTGGAAGGAGAGCAAGCAAACTCCGAGGTGAAACCGGAGGGCACCGGGGGTTTAATAGTGACGGGGGGGAAGGATGATGCCATGTGTTCTTCTCCCTCAATAAAACACGCGCCGCGGAATCTCGGCGCGATCGCCCTTTTTTTTCCGCCCCGCCCAATTGCCCATTCTTCAGTCTCCGATCCTCCCAACCCTCACGGTCTGGATCTACCCAACATCTTGCTCCTCCTATTCACCACGACCCAATCCCACTCGAGCGAAGAGACGCAACCCAACCAACCATGACCACCACCGCAATGTCACCACCACCATCATCCTCCACCACAACCACGATACCTCCCCCCCTCACACCCTCCGCCCTAACAACCCTGATATCGAGCTCCTCCCCAACAACGCCCCTCTCCGCCAGCACGATCCAAATCCTCCATAACCTCCAACACCAACACTTGTGGACCTCCCTCCGCGTGCACGACCTCCACCTCAACCTCCCACACACCACCACCACCTCCTCCTCCTCCCCCAGCGACCCCTCCCCCCTGTACCTCATCTCCGGCATCCCCCCGCACCGCCTGTACACCCATCCAGACGAACAACTCTACATCCTGGAGCGCGGTCTCCGCGAAGACGACATCGAGCTAGAGCGCATGTTCGTGCTGCCCACGGTGCAGGGCCAATCGTGGAGTCTGCGCAAGATGGCAGGGGTGTTTGATTCGCTGCCCGAGGGGGAGGGGGGAGCGGGAGGTGCCGATGGGGGGGATACGGAGACGGAGACGGAGACGGATGCGTTGAGGGAGGTGGATGAGGGGAAGGCGGCCAAGTTAAGGGAGTATTATGCGTATCGGGAGAAGGCGCGCGAGACGAGGGAGTGGGGTGGGAAGAGGATTTTGCTGGGCATGGTGGATAGGCAGATGGGTGGGGATGGGACGGTGGTTTATTATGTTGTTCAGGATGGTGCGGTGAAGCCAAGGCAGAATTAAGGAGGAGAGAAAAGGAAAGAAAGCTATGCGCTGGCTATGCGCGCGTGCGTGTGTGGGTGGGTGGTTGATGGCTATCTACAGCCTACGCTGGGCCTGGTGAGGGTTATAACAAGACCTTCCAATTTATCTTTACAGTCAGATCGGATATATACAGGGAGACGGACAGCATCAAGGAACAACCAGACCGGTCCACCCTGGAAAACATTCGACAAATCACATAGATGATGATCAACTCTGCAGCCGGGTATCGTTTGGAGAAACAAAGGTAACAGGACAGACAAAACAGCCGTGCAATGCATCCGTCCTCCGCCAGGTGTTGAACGCTGATTACAAACCACCGGAAGCACGCTCGTCGAGCTGTGCCCGTTCCGCCTGACAACTGGTGCAATACATTTCATACCACTGCTGAACATCGTCGGTGAGTTCAGCGAACACTTTTTGACCCGTGCGGTCCACCTCCACATCGACGTCTTCATTTTCCCCGTCTTTGCCGAGGAGGATCTCGACTTGACGGCAACGGCGCAACTCCTGTCGCAGCCAGCGCTCCCATTCATTCTCGATCACTTCTTTCTCGATGCTGTTCACCACGCGAAGTGCGACCAGGAGGTTGTGGCGGTACGAACCCAGCCGTTCGCGAGTCTGTTGAATCCTCCGCGCCGCGCTCCGGGTCATCGAGTCCCGGAAACCGGGCGTTCCAACAGATATTGTGTTATCGGGGTTGCGCACCGTCTGTTGGTGGAATGTCGCGAAGCAGTCGCTCACGTTCCCGCTTCCGCGTCCGATAGTTGAGTTCGCGATCGCATCGTCGATATCTCTCATATAGATAGCCTTGCTCATGACATTGTCCGGACCAACCCCGATGCGGGCCATGAAGTTCTCGACGTTCCTTTCATACCACCACCCATAGGCATCGCGTGATGAATAGAACCCGTTGATGAAGATACTCGATAATAACAGGACGAGAATGACCTTGTTTGCACTGAAGGTCTTCCATACCCAGCGTAAGAAGGCGAACGTCCACATCATCAGGTCCGAAACAAAGGTCTCCAGGAAAGACACAAGCGTCTCAAACAGAAGCTGTATCAGGGCCCTCTGGACCCGAGGCTTGCGCCCTTCCAGTTGCAGATTCCCCTGGGGCGAGAATTGCGAAGCGAAATTCTGACGTCCGATGTGTCCGAAAATCGTTATGGCCTTCTTGGTTCGACTATGCACGCCTAGTCTGCGAACCTGGTCACCAACAAGATCAAGGAGATCCAAAGCGTCTTGCTCCAGGTCGCTGGTTGCACTTTCATCAATGACGCCTGGAAAGTCTTAGCGATTATCGGTGTGTAATGGGGTTGCTAGGATACTCACTTTGAAGGCCGTAGGGAGACCACAACCACTCCACTTTAGTGTAGATAGAAAGCTTGCTCTTGCCCTTCGCGACAAAGGTGATGACGACCTTGCTGACCAGCCTAAACGACCGTTTGAATGGGAGATGCCAAGGTGTCCGTTTGTCCGTTATCACATAGCATAGGTGGTCATTAAGGACATCGATCATCTGGTAATCCGAGATCTCCTTGGTATGAATGCGTCCTAGATGGAGTTGGTGAGCACTAAGCCATCACTAAAAGGAGGACGGTAGCACATACCAAGCATATCTGCCGTTTCAATCTGGTAGTGGAAGTCCCGTCGGAGATGATTGGACTCGTGTCTAACCCAAGGTTCTTGTTTGATGTCTTGAGGTTATTAGCACACGCCTCTTAGATCTGATGCTGTGACTTACCCTTTGCTCTTCGTTGATGTAGGAGGAGCTGCCAAACCGCACTCTTGTCTCCGAAGAGGATATGGAAGACTGCTTTGGGACTAATATCGAACACCTTCTCTGCTGCCAGATGAAGGTTGCCTTGGGGGACATACTGGACTGGTTGCGTTGGTAGCCTGAACTTGGGAGTATCCTTGCTGCTACCATTCTTCTTGTGCATGTCCAAATCATTATCGATGTAGATGGAGGGCCCTTCTTTAGTAACCGGGGCTTCTGTGGCACTCTCTGCACCATCAAGCTTGTCATCTCCGGCGGCCACGTCCTCCCAGCTGTCCAGGCTAGGAGTTCGGGTTAATGCTTCCGACTCCATTCTGTGCAACGTCTTGAAGGTCGCATCCAGCCCCAGGGGTTCGGCAGCGGTGCAATTGTGAATTAGGAAATTGAGTCGCCGCTGGAGAAGCCTTAGTGGCTCAAGGAATGTCTTCACAGTTCCGCGGCCAGGAGTATCTTCGCCGGGAGGCGGGATCATATGTAGGTATAGAAAATCGCAGTCCCTTCCAGGGGCAGCAGTGACTTCTTTGATGCTCTCCAATGAGATGCTTGTAGTGAGTACCAGCCCAAAGTAGTGACTGTAGAAATAGATGTTCTGAGTGGTAACGTAAGCCCTCCCAGGAAAGTCTTGTTGATCATTGGGGCTCCAGGTAGCCCGAAATACCATAACCAAAGGCTCTTCCCGTTTAACGTCAGGAAACAGCAGCCGGAACTGTGCGTCTTGAATCTTGAGTTGCTGCGGGTAGTAACTGGGGTATTCGTGCATGGCACTCTGCAGTGCCTGCTGCACTTTCGACGAGTCTCCGTCAAGACTCACCGTCTGCCTGTGACGTGGCCCAGGCGGCCCAGACTTCTGCGGCCTAGTCCCTGCAGGCCCACTGGACGTATCAGCTTGCGCCGTCAAAAATTGTTTCGATGGGTCGTTTGCTGGCGACGACGAGGCGCCCGAGTCCTGATCCCCAGGCAAACCCATGCGTTCACGTTCAAACCTATTCATGAAGCCCCAGTTAGAGCTTCCCCATAGATTTGCCATCATGCCACTGGGCATTCCTCCCGTTCTATCTGCTTGGCCCAATCCAATGCCTCTTTCATTGCTCACGATCACAGCTGCCTTGCTCATACTGGTGGGGGCAGGAGGGTTCGCGAGAGTCAATGGCGCAAGGGTGGATGGGGATTCAAGAGTCGAGCTACGGGTCCGATTCCCATCGGGATCGAGGGGCATAGGGGGGCTGCCGGGCCCAAGAGCACTATGACTAGCAGAGATAAGGCTCGCTATGCCGCCCCCCACTCCGGGTAACGAGGTAGACGGCGGTACTGCATTGTTTGATTTGCGGTGAAGATCCAGCTTCTGCATAATACGAGATGCGTGTTCGCGCGCAGGGCTATCGGAATCCAGGTTCGTCAGCCTCCTATAAGTGCTGAAATCACTGCTGTTCCTGAGTGCAGAGGGGTCTCTTTCTGGAAGAGCAAGCATTCCAGTGCGATCTGAGGAGCCTTGGTCATCGCCCGCACGGGGTGTAAGTGATTCGGAAGGGTCAGCAGCGAATTCAGGTGCCGGGGGTTGCGAGATAGCGAAAGCCGGGTCCTGAACTGGTGCCTTGCCAGACACTGAAAGATCGGTGCTCGATGGGCTCTCCAAGGCCTTTCGTTTGGCAACCTCAAACGCAGCAATCCAATCCATAAGCTCTTTCTGCGTCTCAGCCTGGAGCACGATGGTGTTGCTTTTGGTTTTGACCTCGAAGCAAAACCTTCGCTCCTCTTGAAACGCTGGCCGAACACTACAGAGTAAGACGCCTATTCTTTCGCTCTCTTCAACACCGCCCGTCCGGGAACCCTGGACGAGACAGCCGAAGATGCCATATTTGAGGAAAGCCCAGCGTCTCACCCAGACAGTCCGAGTAGGTTTTCCAGAAAGAGTTCGGAGGAAAACCCATCCTTGTTTCTCAGGCCTAGCCTCCTTTGTCATGCTGGTTGTGGACAGGGGACGAGAGCCGACGTAAGGGACAGTGGAGATGGAGTAGTCGTCCAGCTCGCGAGATGGGCGAGCTGCGGCTTCTGCAGCATCCTCGATCTGCTTTCTGGAAGACAAGAGCTCCCGCTTGGATGACCTCTCACTTCCTTCCATTTCATGCACCCAGCCCTTAATGCGGTCCATCTCTTGACCCCATTTCGTAAACGAATTGCCATTACTGTTATGGAACAGCTTAAGTTCTCGCCATTGATCGTATGAAACCCGAACCAACAGCCTGTCAAGTGCATTCCGAAGTTGGGGGGCCTGGACGGAATAGTCCATGGACGCTTTGAGGTAAGCTTTACGTGCTTCATGTAGTTGAAACGCATCCTCCCGTAGGGAAGAAGGCTCCTTCGATTTTGATTGTGACGAATACCTAGCTAGTAGGTAGTCGTGCTGTTTTTGCGTATGGTCGAGGATGCGGCGGGTCTCCTTTAGCGGGGTAAGCTACATGCCGTCATAAGTTTAAGGGGCAACCCGACTGCGTACCTTGAAATTACGCAGGTCTTCCTGTATGAAAACGCGGATAGGTTCAGAGACAGAGGATTCCATCTTTTTGATTGTAGACACCAGGCCATTCCACATATCCCTAGTGCTATCACCGCACCTCCTCATCGACTGTAGAGTGTAATCATGGTCAAGAGCGGCTTCCGAGACCAGCAGGGGGTTCGTGGAGTAGGATAGAAACACGCTCACGGCGCCTTCCATGGCCGCAAGCTCCGCGGAGAGCTTCGACGCAGCCTTCGCGTAGCCGTCGAGCCATCTTTCAAGGAACTCGATCTGGTCGGAGAAGTGAAGGGTGGTGGCACGGAATGTGGGCGAGTCGAGAGCGGCCTCCTTTAGGCCAACTGGACTTTATCGGAAAAGTTAGGGGGTGACGCTCTGCCAAAGCGAACGCTGGGGGCTGCTTCGAGGGACTCACACGACGCTGACGAGCTTCCCGACCTGGGGTAATGGGATCTGCGGCTGGGTCGACATCTAGTGTATGTCTCCAGCCATACACTTGATGCGAACAAAGAAAGCGACGAGGGAAGACGAGAAGGGGGCCCCGGGACAGGTGTAAAAATAAGGATAAACACGGGGCATCCGACTGAATCAGGGATATGGGGGAGGGTGAGAGGAGAGCATGGCGCAGTGGAGGGAGCTTAGGAGGCAGAGCGCCTCTTGCAGGTGCTCGACCCATCGGCGGATACAGGCCCGCGCATGATTTAATTGGCTACGTCAGTGATTTGCCCTGCAGCCTGGATTCTCAGGCACCTGGTGAGCAGCCCTGCCGGGCGGTGAGGGCCGGCGATATTTTTTTTCTGCCGGCAACCGCCATTTTCCTTTTGGAGGCGCATTTGTCGACGGTTCAACACTGCCCCAGTTCACCACTTCCAGACCATTTATTCCGGCCGTGCTCTTTTGTCTCGAACATGGAGCCCCCTGCCAAGCGGTCGCGCAAGTTGCTCGACGACGATAGCTCTAGTGACTCGGGAGATGACTCTGGCGGAGTCCCTATCACCAATGAGGACGTTACATTCAAGATCAACGAGGACTATGCGCGTCGCTTTGAATACAACAAGAAGCGGGAAGAGAAGCAGCAGTGTAAGTTCACAGGATTGTGTATCATATTGAACAAAAGAAGAAAAACTAATCGCCCGGGATCCTGCAGTAGAATCGAAATTCGGCAAGTCGTCGCTCGGAAAGCGCCATGATCGCGATGACGAGTCTGGTGACTCGGACGACTCAACTTCGGAGGAGGAAGACGAGGATGGTGAATTGGCCACTACGGCCATGGATGCTGAGATCATGGCGACCTTGAAAGCTATCCGATCGAAAGACCCCCGCGTTTACGACAACAATGCCACCTTCTACACCCCAGTCGACGAGGAAGCGACCGCGGAGAACAAAGAAAAGAAGCACAAGCCCATGACCCTTCACGATTACCATCGCGAGAACCTGTTAAGCGGTGCCAACCTGGCAGAGGAGGAGACGCCTAGGACCTATGCTCAGGAGCAGGAAGAACTGAAGAATGCGGTGGTGAGGGAGATGCATGCTGCCAACGCATCGGCTGACGAGGATGACGAGGATGACTTCCTTGTCGCCAAGTCTGCACCTGAGCCTCTTCCACCAGCCAAGGTGGACCTCAATGTGGAGAATGCGGACAAAGACCCAGAGACTTTCCTTTCAAACTTCATGTCCTCAAGAGCATGGATTCCTGCCGGCAGATCCGAACTGCAGCCTTTTGAGTCTGACGACGAGGATGAAGATCAGCGAGCAGAGGTCTTCGAGGAGGCGTACAACTTCCGCTTTGAGGATCCCAGCAAAATGAACGCAGCCCTGATTACTCACTCTCGTGGCATGACCAACAAGCAGTCGGTTCGCAGAGATGAAAAGAGCAGCAGGAAGAAGCGCAGAGATGCAGAGCAGCAGCAGAAGGACGACGAGAAGAAGCAGCGTGAAATCGAGAAGAACCGCCTTCGCAAGCTGAAGATGGAGGAGCTCCAACAAAAGATCAACCAGATCAAAGAGGTTGCCGGTATCCGTGCATCCAAGATGACTGATGATGATTGGGTTGGGTTTTTGGACGCCGCCTGGGATGACAAGAACTGGGAAGAAGAGATGCACAAGCGTTTCGGCGAAGACTACTATGCGGAGGACGGCAGGGAAGGGAGTGGCGACGAGTCTGGAAGCAAGAAGAAGCGTCCCAAGAAGCCCACGTGGGACGACGACATCGACATCAAAGACCTTGTGCCCGATTTCGTCGATGACGACGACGAGAAGCTTGCATTGGATGGGTCTGATGTCGAGATGGAGGACGATGAAGAGAGCGGCAACAAGAAGAGCAAGGCCCAGGAGAGACGAGACCTGAAGCGCGAATCCCGCAAAGACCGACTTCGTATCGAGGAGGCCGTGGACCGCAACCTGGATCTTGACATCAGCCTTCTTCCCGGTGCGACCAGGAAGAACGCTAGCGGATTCCGTTACCGCGAAACATCGCCTCAGAGTTTCGGTCTGACAGCCCGGGATATCCTCATGGCCGACGACACCCACCTGAACCAGTTTGCCGGCCTGAAGAAGCTTGCTTCGTTCCGTGAAGCCGAGAAGAAGCAGCGGGATCAGAAGAGGCTGGGCAAGAAGGCCCGTCTAAGGCAATGGCGCAAGGATACTTTCGGTGATGAAGAAGGACCCGCAATTCCTCTGGAAAGCCCAGATGCGCCTGCACCGGCGAAGAGTGCCGAAGCTGGCGATGTTGACATCCGTGACGGCGAGCCCAAGAAGAAGAAGAGAAAGAGGTCCAAGAAGCACTGAGCGTGTGCTTTTTCTAGTTCATGACTTACAGCACATGCATCTGGGACGTTCAGGGTTTAATTGTTTATGATAGGGCGTGTCAATATCAAATGCTGTCTATTCTTCTACCATTTATTCAAAAGTTTGCGATATATATTTACCCGATCTGCATAATATAGACATGCATTTGTACATAAGAGAGTCTTGTTTACGTATCCCATGCACTGTTGAAAATGCTGTTGCACCTGCTTAGCCAATCAGGATACTCCTTTGTGTTGTTTTCTATTTATACCTGTTTCTCTTTCACCGTTTGTAGACGTCTAGATAGCCCCAACCTACTTACTTTATCTACCTTCCACCAACCAGGGTTTCCAATGCCTAAAACCCGCACCAAGAGTGTAAATAAAAACACTGAATCTAGCAAGGAAAACACTATCTCAAGCACCATGTTCCAATTTTGAAGGACGAGTATACATTTTCTGGATTTTCCAAATGCTGATATAATCTGTGAAATCATACTCAAATTCTTCGAGCATGAACAAGCAAGCACTAGTTCAATAAGAACACAAGCTAGCTAAAAAAACATCACACCCTCTGGCTGCTCTAAATATCACCTATACATACCGATCAAAGATGCCGACCCTTTTTTTTTTTTTTTTTTTTTTTACATATTTTTCCCTTGACAGCAACCCAAGTGATATACCTCAGACAAAGAACCAACCTCCCCCCCCATATTTAGATGGTGGGTCCCGAAGGGAAAGAACAGTTTGTCAGTTTTGCCTGCCCCGTCGACAAAGGAGGCGAGCGGCGAAAAGAGGGTCGGGAAGCAAATGGAACTAGTCGCCTTTGGGAGGGGGGGCCGGTGGGTCCCGCTGGGACAAGGCCTGTTTGGGTAAATCTCGAACTGGTCTCGTGTCGTCTTCGGACGCATACTTGAAGCCTCAGGGATAGTATAGATACAGGTCCGATGGATGGAGTAGATAGAGGAAGGACAGAGGAGGCTATTAGGGGTAGTTAGGGAGCAATGGGAGTGTCATGTTGATTACGTGTCTGGTTGGGGAGATCTGCTCAGTTCTCCAGCACCTGGACTGTAGACCGTGGATTGGCCGAGGGAATAATGATGAGTTTGCATCTGTCTATCTACAGTCTACTTACAGACTACAGATACTCCGTGCGCTGGACTCGAACTCGGTGGTGAAGAGTCGACTCCAACCCGGGACTTATCTTTGACTTGTAAGCCCAAGACAAGAGCCTATGAGAAGCCCTGCATTATTACCGGCGACTACCTAGATAGATAGATTCCCTTCCCCCTCCCCCCTTCCATCCGTACCGCTCGGAGCAGAAGACGGGGAAATCGCGGCATGTCAGCCGAAAGACGGTGGTGCACGCACAGAATCACTTCCGGTGGCGCGGAAGAAGGGCAGAATCCAGATACCCATGCCGACTTATTGCAGACGATGGACCGGCTGAGTAAGGATCGTACGGAGTACACACACATACATACATAGTACATATCTGCAGGAAAGCAAAAATTTTCTGTCTCTCTCCCCTTGCCATTGTGCTATCCTTGGCAGGGAAAAACATGGTTTTGGCACCGAACCAAAGGGGGGAAGGGAACATTTGCCATCGGATACCTCGGGACCAGAGAGGCTGGAACTGAAAGGCAGCGAGGGAGGCAGGGAGGGAGGGAGGTTCCCCATGTGGACTCTCTCCAAAGTCCAAACGTTGGTTCGGTCAGGAGTGGGCGTGGACGGGGAAATGGGAGGAAATAATACTTTACCAGGCAGGCGGGAAGGGAAATACGGAGAAAGTTCAGGCCTCTGGTTGTAAGTAAATAAGCAAAGGACCGAGCGGACGGTGACTTGCTTGTTACGGAGAACCGTCTGGTATTCGACAGGGGCCGGACAGGGCCGGGCAGAGGATTGAAGTAGTACTGACCCTTGAAGCTATGGCCTTCCCAGTATCACTCTGCCTACCATAACATACGAATTATTATATTAGGGTCAAGACAAGATGGATGGATAATCGCATCGTCGAGCGCATCCTCCAGAAATCGCTCACCTGAATGCAGTTGCATGGAGGGCGATTCCCAATAATGCCAGCGGTCGGGACGGTTACTGGCGCGATCGGGAGATATCGGCTCTCGTTGCCTGGGCCAGTGTTAGCGCCGGGCCCAGTTTTTTTTTTTTTTTTTTTTGTTTTTTCTTTTTCACTCCGCGCCTCCTGCAATGGGCGAAGGACCTCCCTACTCCGTCGCCGGCCAACCAATCCGACCGGCCCCAAGTCGCCCGGCCGCCCATCGCGCGCCGCTGCCACTGCGAATTCAGGCCAGCGAAAAACCCAAGAGCGTGCTAGCGTCTCCGCTCGCTTCTTCCCGCTTACAAGAGCCCTTCGCTCGCTATTTTTTCTTCCCTCCCTCCCTTCCCTCTTCTCTTCCTCCTCCCCATCCCTTTTGCAGTGTCTGTTTGTTTGGCACTACTCCCCATCTCCTCTCTTTCATTCTTTTAGTTTTCGTTCATCACAGCCGCAAAAATGGCCAAGGGTGACGTTAACCAGGCCGACAAGTCGGTCTTCGGCATGCCCGTAAGTTGCCATTGTCTTCCTCCAGACGTGTCCGGACGGTCGGATGTTGCGCTCTTGAGGAATTGAGCTCGAAATGAAGCTCGATAGCCAGGGTCGAGGACTATGGTCCCTCAGGAGGCAATAGTTCGATGGTCTGGGCGCGTGGATAGCCGTCGCCGGAGGAATAGCTTGCTAATGAAAAATTTTCACTACAGGGCTTCGTCGTCGACTTCCTGAGTATGTCCATCCCGTCTCGCCCCGATTGATCGGTCTCTCCCATCACCATCGATCGATCGTCATCAAAGGGGCACCAAGAATGATTGAGCACTGCTCGTGAATAGGTACTAACTGCTTATTATAGTGGGTGGTGTCTCCGCCGCTGTCTCCAAGACTGCTGCTGCCCCCATCGAGCGTATCAAGCTCCTCATCCAGAACCAGGTTGGTTAATCCCATCAATACCATCGCCTGCACTGGCCGCACGAAATGTTCTCGATCGACAATTGCATATTTCATGCCGCCCTGCGTGAAAATTGTCGATCGCAAAATTTTTTCGGGCCGGACAGTCCGGGCACGACAACGGGCCAAGACACGTGCTAATACGATCGCGTTCAGGATGAGATGCTCCGCGCCGGTCGTCTCGACCGCAAGTACAACGGTATCGCCGACTGCTTCCGTCGTACCGCCGCCGCTGAGGGTGTCGTCTCCCTGTGGAGAGGTAACACTGCCAACGTCATCCGTTACTTCCCCACCCAGGCTCTCAACTTTGCCTTCCGTGACACCTACAAGTCCATGTTCTCCTACAAGAAGGACCGTGATGGATACGCCAAGTGGATGATGGGTAACCTTGCCTCCGGTGGTGTATGTATCCCCTCGCTCAATCTGCGATCGAACCGATCACTAACAAACCATTCAGGCTGCTGGTGCCACTTCCCTCCTCTTCGTCTACTCCCTCGACTACGCCCGTACCCGTCTCGCCAACGACGCCAAGTCCGCCAAGGGCACTGGTGAGCGCCAGTTCAACGGTCTCGTTGACGTCTACAAGAAGACCCTCGCTTCCGACGGTATTGCCGGTCTCTACCGTGGTTTCGGTCCCTCCGTCGCTGGTATTGTTGTCTACCGTGGTCTGTACTTCGGCATGTACGACTCCCTCAAGCCCGTTGTCCTCGTCGGCTCCCTCGAGGGTAACTTCCTTGCCTCCTTCCTGCTCGGCTGGACCGTCACCACCGGTGCCGGTATCGCTTCTTACCCTCTGGACACCATCCGTCGTCGTATGATGATGACCTCCGGTGAGGCCGTCAAGTACAGCTCTTCCCTGGACGCTTTCCGCAAGATCGTCGCCGCTGAGGGTACCAAGTCTCTCTTCAAGGGTGCCGGTGCTAACATCCTCCGTGGTGTTGCCGGTGCTGGTGTCCTGTCTATCTACGACCAGGTCCAGCTCATCCTCTTCGGCAAGAAGTTCAAATAGACTGTTTCTTAACAGTATGACATGATATCCGGGGATGGGGTTGCTAGTGCCTGGTATAACTATCAGGTGCTGGATGGTGCGGAGGATGATAGAAATATGCTTCAAGAGCGATATCGATAATCTTGAGCATAGAATCGTGTGATATTTCCTCTTGTACCAGTTGTACTTTACTGCCTGCAAGCTTATTCCTTTTTTTTTTTCTCCACTGTACTTCCTTTATCTTGGTATCAAAATCCAGTATGTCGTGCCTTGGGTCTTCTAGCTCTTGTAGCTCTTGGTCCCGTAGACTCTCGTAATGAAAACTCTGGCAGCGCCGGAAGTGGATCCCATCACCTGACCTTTTGGTCGTGGTCACGTGTTACTATATCCCATGACGTAGCTTCCGCTACCTATTGTCTCCGCGAGAGCTCCTGCTACCTCCGTCCATTCAACTCAAGCTATCTATTTAACCACTCACTCACTCACATCCAAAATGACAAGCACCTCCTCTCCCGACGGGATTACTCCCCGCACCTCCAGCCCAACACTATCAGACACAGCTGCCCCCCAAAGCGAACCAGCAACCACCTCAGCTACTGCAACCGCTCCAGCCTACTCTCCCATCTACGCCACCGCCCAACCCAGCGACACGCCCTCAATGCCTATACAAACCGCCGCACCGACCGACCCATCCACCCTCCCTCCTCCCACAAGCACAACCACAACCACCTCCGCAACAGCAGCCATCCCCGACCCTCCACCCACCGCAACCGCAACCGCAGCCTCATCACCACCACCACCCCAACCCGGCGCCATCCCAGTCCCAGTCCCCCAACCCACCACAACCACCAACACCTCACCATCATCATCATTGTCGTCATCCATCCCTCCACCTCCCAAAGCAGGCGAAACACCCACTACCACAACCACCACCAACACCTCCTCCCCAGCACCCACCGCCACCGCAACCGCCCCGCAGCCGCAACCATCACCCCAGCCCCAGCCCCAGCCCCAGCCCCAAGACCCTCATCCTACAGCTACAACCCCAATCCCACCTCCACCTCCACCTCCACCTCCAACCCCAACTCCAGCTACAGCCACAACTACAATTACACCCCCGCCAACGCCCAAACAACCCAACCCACCCCAAACGCAACGACAACCCCGTACGCCTCCCTCTACCAGCCTCCCACGGCCGCAACAGCCACAATGGCCAGCAGCTCCTCGGCGCTCCCTCTACATTACGAGCCCGGGCCCGAGGGACGGGTTGATCTAGGTGAGGGGGATGGGTTCGTGGCGGGCGCGATGGGGTGGTTGCGCACTGCGGGGAGGAAGCTCGGCGAGGTGGAGGCCGAGGTGTGGAGGAGGATTAATGAGGTTCATGATGATTGAGGAATTGGGTATTGGGTATTGGGTATTGGGTATATGGATGGGTTGGTTTGGTGGGAAGATATGTTTAGGTTGGATTGGAGTGTGAGGGAGGAGGCGTTTGTTTTCCTATGCATGACTTAAACTGGATCGGGATAGGGTGGCTTGCAGTGCTGGTGGGGTTATATCGTTTATGGGTCATGGTTGTATGGGTATATGGATAATGGGTAAAAGGATGGTTGGCTGGTTAGGAAGTTGGATTTTGTCTTATGGGTGTTTTCTCTGGGGGGACAGGCTTGGTTTGGATTGGAAGAGGGACAAGGGAGGAGGGTTGGTTTGGTTTGGACTATGGTGTTTTTATTCAATCGGGTTGGATTTGTGTTTTGTTTTGTATTGTATTGGGTCTGGTCTGGTCTGGTCTTGTCTGGTCTGGCGTTTGCTTTGTACGGTTATGTGATTATGATTAGTTAGTTCCTCATGGGTATGGGTATGGATATGAGTATGGGCACTATAGCTATGCTTCATGCTGTCTATATTAACAAGAAGTATACGTATGTTCGTGAATCGAATCAGAATAGTACATACGATTGGGCCGAGAATGACATGATTGAACGTAGAGCCACTGAAGGTTTTATAAGTAGATTAAAACAATGAATGACCTGAGGATTGAGCATCATCTTTTCTCCACTTTCTACTAACTTTCTACATTAAAAAAAAAGCAGTGTATGTATCTCCAACCATGACCGAAACCATAGTACAGAGTGAGAGTAAGTTGATTAACAGATAGATGTCTCTATGTAGGATAAGATATTCACAAGCCACAGCTGATGAGCTGGGCCAAGAGCAGAGCAAGCAGCAGTTGATTTCTGAGCCCGTCAAAAATCACATGATATGAACAATATCGGGCGGATAAAGTAGTCCATTGTCGTCGTCACTTCATGTAACGACCAAATCCCAATAAGTTATGCAAGAATGGAGAGTAAGTGGTAGTAGTGGAGTAGGGGTAGTAGGAGTAGGATAGGAAGTCATCAGTGTGAGTGTGAGTGTGTGTGTGTGTGTGGTGGTGGCAGTAAGTGTTGAAGCCACAAGCCCCCAGCATGCCCAATAAGTAAACGCCATTAAAGGCCGACAAGCCACCAGGATGTTGTTGAGACGAAGGTGAAAAATAACAACGCCGAAGCCCCGATCCCACGTGAGAAGCCAAACCCAATGCATCGTCATGCCAGTGCCGTCGATCCAGTCGAATCGGTCAGGTTGTCCAGTCCAGCAAGCTGGTTGTGGTGGTAGTAACTCTTTCGAAGAATTATTCGTATCAGAACGTAAAAAATATGTATCAGAATCGGGGCCAGCCTCAAAGTTCATAAACAGGAAAGGGAAATGCAAGCGTGACGGGAAATCAATATCCACTGTCCTTGAGAAAACGCCTGCCCATGGTATAGAACATCACATTGAACCAAGTCGTAAGAGAGCCTCAACCGCGGCACGCTCCTCCCGGTCGCCCATGACGCCTTCCGGGAGGGTAAACCCACGTTGTTGAACGGGCATTCGGCGCGGCGCCGATTTTGCCAGCGAGGATGGAGCGGGGCCTCCGCCACGAAGCTGTGGTGAGTTAAGTGCCCCATGTACAAAGCCACCCGTGGCGTTCAGAGATCGCGCTCGTAGCGCCGCAGCGCCTATCTGCGCCCAGTCTTCCTCATCCGTGACATCTTCTTCGCCCATCTCGTCATCCTGCATCTCGTCATCCGGGGCCTCGGACGACGAGCAATACTCGCGCTCATTCCCATCGAGGGACATTTTGTCTGCCTCGTGTTCCAGCATACTGATATCACGCCCACCATAGTCCTCTGAGTACGAGAAGACCGCGGAATCACCCGTCACGCTACTGCCGTAGGGCTGTACGCTCGCTCGCTTGGTGGGGATTTGCACACCTCGCTGAGGGAAGGAGTTGGAGATGCTGGAGGGTGGCGACACGTTGAGATGCTGTGGCGCATCCCGCGAAGGCTCCCCGCGACGACGAGCATCCCAACGACCCCAACCGACTTTCTCGAAGACGACGTCGCCTAGGCGACTGCCACTCTTATCGTCGCTCCCTCGACCCTCCAGCGCAGCCACGACCAACCTGCGCGCCCTGGCAGGGGGGATCCCCGAGAAGCCGGGGACGGAGGTTGTCAGATAGCCCATGAGGTGGCGAATCGCCAGAGGACCATGCTGGAGCATGACCTCCGGAAGATGGTGTTTGGCCAGCATGCCTGGCGTGATAGCCCCGGTGCTATCCAGGTCATGGGCGGCAGGGGCGCCGTTCGGGTGATCCGCATGATCCGCATGATCCGCGAGATCTCCCAGGTCGACGTCGGACTCCACATGCGAAGAGGCAAGCGGGGAGTATTCAGGATGACTAGCGTCCTGTCGTCTGAACGCCTGCGGAGGCAGAGTGGGGGATATGGAGTTGGGCGGAGTCGGCAACATGGCCGGGAGTCCAGGGCGGGCGGAATCGCAGGCGCCCAAGGGGAAACCGGCACGAGGCTTGGGGATATCGACCGAGGCCGTCTTGCCAGCAAGGGCCATGGCAATGCTGGAGGTGGAGTTCATGAAAGCCATGATTGCAATCGAGGAGCGGTCGAGAAGGGGCGAGGGTCTGATTATTGGGGCCTGAGGGTGGCTAATCTGTTATCACATGAGTCAGAGGGCCATCCGCCAATCAAGCAATGCGACGGAACAATGGAAGCGATGACTAACGTCCCACAATAACTATAACTAGTATAGCAGAGGGGAGGACGAAGCAAGAACAGGAACAAAGAAAGTATATGGAAGCCAAGGATTCTAGATTATACTCACGGCGCACTGTCAGAGGTCAAGAGCAGATCGTGGTTGGGGGACTTGGGACAGCTGTGCAGACGCAGCGCTGGAGCGAGTATGCAGGGCAGATGCGATGCGACGCGCTAACTCAGCGTACTAGCAGGAGGGTTGATAAGGAGGCGCGACGGTCGAGACGAGCAAGAACCTGGAGATGAAGAGGGAACCGGGTTGAGATCAGGGACGATGCTGTAAAAGTTCCTTGACGGTTTCGAGTAGAGAGAAAAAGTCGGTCGAAGGAGGAAAAGGGACGGAGAGAAGGAGGAGGAGAGGAGAGGGGGGGGGGAAAGCAAGGAGTGGCAGTTGCAGTCCGTCAATAATAATAATAGTAGTAAGAATAGCAATGGAATGTCTTGTCAGCCGGCACGGCCGTTCGGTGCCAGATGGACGACCTAGTAGGGGTAATTATTGAAAGGGCAGTGAAAGGTATGGTTCGACTGGTGTATGTGAGATACTCCGTAGTAGTACCTCCTATGCAGGCCGGGGGAGGATGACCTCCTTTAAGACCGGGGGAGAGATACGAGTGTGACCTTCTTATCACCATCTCCAACTCCCTGTCAGACAACCGCGCCATACGCTCCTCTTACCGACGAAAGCAGTCCCATGTTCCTGCGCATCCCCCTTGATTGGTCGGCTCTCCTCAGGCCCGCTCTGGACAGCGCCGGGAGGATCCGGGGCCACCTGCCCTTCGTTACCATGGCCCGTTATCTTACCGTCCCGTATGGTTGCCATCCCGTTCCCTGCGCTTTCCCACACCGGCTTATCGCCTTGGCCTTTGCCTTTCCTCCTCCTCCTCTTTTTCCTCCACTGTGTCCATGGATGCATGGATGCATGGATGCCCTTGAGGAATAAAGACAATAATGATCACCGCCAATGAACCCTCCGGATCCCCACATTCACAGCCCTGGTGCTTTCATCAACATGTTCATTTCTTTTTGCCGTGATACGCCGCACATCGGATGTTGAATGTAGGCAGGCAGCCCAATGATGGCGCTTGTGATACCGCCCAGCCCCAACAAAACCACAATTGAACCCCAAACCCCCAAACCTCCCCCCCCCCAAATGAGGTAATCCGTCTGAGATACAACACAAATCGAACCCACTTCCTTGGTAGGAAGTTTACAGTAGGTAAGTAAGTAGCAAACGTTTCCACCGGTTTCTAACGATCGGCGAGCATATCAAGGCCGGTCCCTCGTGCCCGTGCGCTCCCCCCGCGTCGATAGGGGGTGGATGGGAATGGATCAAAATCAAATGGATGATGCAGACCGGGTGGAGGGCAGAGCCCTACTACTACCGTAAGTCTACCATACAAACCTCCCCTCAAATCGTGGGACGCGATAGCCCTTCCCTGATGACCGCACGTGGGTGTCGGGCCACCGTACATGCGCAGGTCTCCGGCGCCGTGACTGGCTGGCCGGCCGGCCGCATCCCACCCTCTCCCTCTCTCTCTCTCTCTCTCTCTCCATGGGGGAGTTTTGGCAGGGTCACCCAGAAAAGTAGAATAACTTAACTTTATAATTCATGTTCTGTTCCTTGTGTGCGGATTTCCTGGGTGGGCTGGAGCTTTAGGTTGGATCGGGTAGTTGTACCCTCAATTTTTGGGTTAGCGGTTAGCGGTTAGCGGTTAAGCGGGTTGGTTATCTATCCATCCATCCATCTATGGCCGAGGAGAAAGAAAAAAAAAAAAAAAACGTGAGTCCGGAGGGGCACTGTTATTTGACTAGAATATCTAGCGAGCAAATATTTGTGGGATCTAATTACTTTGGATCACTGACTTATTGGATTTGTTCAAATGTAAAATGGGTCGAGAGAGCGAGTCATGATGGACTCCGTAGTTCGAGTTATTGCGTCATTAATTGTCTTGGACAGTGCGTATAGAGCGATAGTACTCCGTAGTAGTAGTAGTAGTAGGAACTAGAAAGACGGACTGCGTTATTTTTCTTTTCTATTCTCGCGCCGCCCTGATTTTTTGTACGAACGCGGGCCGGCACACACCCCCCCTTCACCGGCGTCGTCATGAGGCTTGGGGGTCGGTGGTTAGTGGGGGCTAGATCAATTGCTAAACATCTAGACTTAGGTGCTATATCCGGGACATTTCGTAGTCCGTGTACGAGGCAGTCAATATTGACGAGAGGCACGGTGATACGTAACTAGCTGGCCCCTCAATCTGGATTCTGGCCGGGTACGCACACCGTCTCTTTGGCTATGGATGGGAGATAGCCGGCCTGGCTTGTCCTTGCGGGTTTGTGTTGAGATGATATGAGATGAGATCAGCCGGATATTCCGTAGTTAACTTACCGTACTTAAGTATTTCTAAAGCGCTGAAACTATTGGTCTGGGATAGAGAGCTGCAACAGTGTTAAAAAATATCACAGGCTAGGTCCAATAAATGGGAGACTAAGGGATCGACTATTGCCACGGATCTTCATAGCTTATACTGAGGTCATCTTGTGAATCAACTGAAATGTTAAAGCGGTTGGAACTTGGAAGACCAAAATAGATAGGTTTAGGTTGGGGACTTTGAACCCTACCAAGAGAGTTCATCTTGCTTATGACATGTCAAAAATATTCATGAGCCGAAGTTCCATGGGGCGCAGGATCATTGCTCAAATATAAGACCTGATCCATATCGAATCAAACTACGGAGCATAAGACGAAGAGAAGACGGTGGATATCTCACATTGGAAGCTTTTTGCAATAGTTAGATTTAGGTAGTACTTGCATATTTTCATGTATTAGAGGTTGATACCTGGGCTAGACTAGAGACCACTACAAGGACATTGAGTTGGTTGTATAAAGATAGGGCCTTGTTTGGCCGACACCCCTTTCCTAAGGTAGTCTAACTGACTCAGAATCTAATAATATTAAGCATCATATTTTGATCCATCGACACCCCCTCAAGCAGGCCAAAGTAGCAACGCGCAAGCAGGCACATTGGATCGAGATCACATATCTGGGCAAGCTAGCTATAGTGCTACACACAGGCTAACTTTACTGTGTAAGTCAATACTTTGCCATATCACGTGACTTTTATTATCCTATTTGGGAAGTAAGAGGCGTCATGTGAGTGTAGGGAGTGTCGCCAGATCACGAACCAAGACTTTCCCTTGTGAAATATTGACAGATCACACTCGTTTTTGACAGGTCCTGAGGTGCTTTAAATTGAGTAACGAACACCGGGTATCGTTATTATTACTGGCGAGAGACCGGCAACTTAGTACGTCCGTCCGTACTCTGTGCCAGTTTGATGGCTGCCGCCCTTGACACCGCCTAGGTAAAGGGCGATACTCCCCTAGTAGTTTCCTACTTGTTGCAAAGAACAACTACCAACCGCACCTGCATACATTATGAGTGATGAACAGCGGACGTCTTTGAAATGTCTGCTATGTAATGAACCTGGGAATTCCCAAGAAGTTTCCGAATCTCCCGAACAAACAGAACAATCCAGCGATGATGAACAGTCTGAAAGTGACGATGATTTTGGAGAATGGTGCCCCGGGGATGGGGTCTGCCCCCCGTCATCGCAGTTTGATGCATATCATTACGCAAGCTATGAACTTTGGAAAAGAGCAGTTCTGATGAAACCTGCGAGCTCAAACCCCGTTGTCTCCTATATAGAGGCATTCGTGCTTATGCTGGAAAACGTCCCCCCTTTCTTTCACAACCCTCCAGAAGGGGTCAATCTGGACGGTGGTCCTAAGTCTCCGCTTACCTTACAATCGTCCCTGCGCATCGGAACAACAGAAGATACGAGCTGTGATCAGTCTGAAAGGCCCATTGATTATTTCCAGTGCCTCGGGTTTCCTACCCCCTCAGTGTATAAGACGGACACCGAGACGCAATTGCCCGCCACCCACCTTTGCTCCGTACCTATCCGATCCAGATATCTTACGAGTATCATCTTAGCCTGGTCTTATATTATATCCTGTCGCTGGGTAGAGATACTTCAACAGGCTGGCCAAAAGAGTTTGATTCTTCACGGCCAAGGGGCGCAGCTGACCGAGTGCTTTTGGAGCATCGTCATACGAAGTCAATGGATGGCCCAGGTGAAAGTTCGGAAGGAGGCATCATACGCGCCATGGATGCTGAGAGAAGAAAGAATGGAGGTAGAAAGACAGTATATCTATTCTTGACCATGTTAGTTCCATGCCCGCTAATTCAAGTCCAGCCACAACAGTTACTGGACGGCAGTTTCCCCTAATTCCTCACTTGCCTTCGAATTCCTCCTGGAATTTTGCATATCGGAAGGTCTTGAAGCAGAACTACTTATTGGACTGGCCTCTGTATTGATGCTCACGTCGCGAAACACACCTCCTCCAAAGCTTGCTCCTCCCATAGAGATCTCCAAATCTACTGGACCCTTCTCCGAGAAGAAGACTATATTTCACAAGATTTTCCACTCGATCGACAAATCTATTTCTCTTAGCGCTACCCAGGATGCCATTGATTCATTACTTTGCAGCGCCTTCTTTAATCCAGCCGTCCCATGTAACTGCGTTAGTGCTGCATCCTTGGGTATAAAGGAAGCTCTTTCCCTAGCAGACGGCATAGATAATGAGAGGCTTTTACGTGCGATTGCAGTTCGAAACCCCCATTTAAATATCCTGTGGACAGCTGCTATCTGTACTGGCCAGGCGGCAACACTGCTGCGCCTGGCTCTCAAACGCCTCCCACCTATCTGCCTTGTCGCTGCATTCTGGACAAACACCACCCAATCATTCCTCCAAATAGCATATGATCTTGACTGCGCAACAGTGCAAAATATAAATCGTGCTGAGGAGTTCAAAACATCTTTCTTCTGCAGGCCGCACGCATCTGTACCATGGGCACCTTCTCCACCCTTTGGTACGACAAACACCCAGAACCTTAGCCTCGAGGTTAGGGCACATATTAGCCACAGGCACAATCCTCAATCCTGGAGAATATTCTGGGTATTGAAAAATGGAGCGAGGATCCCAGCAGGCGCACAGCATCAGGTTAATCCTTGTTGTGTTTCTATCGCCCAAGACGCCGGTAGTCGCGAACTTTCCCGAGAGGAAGCTTTCGAAAACATTACATCTTACAAAACTGACCCAAGCCATAGCGTGCCCAATAAACAGATGGATGATGAGCAATCATGGGATGCAACGTCTCGACTATTCAATTGGCATAGGAATCACGACGATGGCATTTGGCTTGATGATGGCGGTGGCGATATTGAAATTATACGTCGCATTCAATTGCACCCCTGGGTCGTGGACCCGTTCGACGATAATGGTCAAGATGAGCCAGTAGAGGCGGACAACCATCGGGAATTGGATCGTGATAGCATTATACAATGGCGCTCGAAGGTGGAGAATCATCGACAGTCAGGGGATATCTCTTCGCCATGATAAATCCTCACCTGGTGCTGGTACAAAAGCTAAAGAGTCACGATTAATAGTGTACTTCGAATTACTACTGGGGAATTTACGTGGCTTAGTTGAATATTTCTTCAAGAGTATTGAAATTACCGTGTGATAGGTTTGAATTGACAATACTCACCCCATCATCACTACCCCTTCTACTGATATATACATATATCTCTTTGGCCAGACAATGGAACATACTATGCATCACCAACAACCAAGATTGGCAGGCGGCACAGCTAGATTCCTAGGTACTGCTTCCGCTCACAACCTAGGAGCTACTTTCACCCGCGAAGCTACTCCCACTCACTTCTCCACTGGGACGTATCACCGCCTGTATATCCTGTATGTCTGTAGTCATCTTTCTGGTTTCGCGTGACATCTCTTTGTCTAGGTCCATCGAAGTCCAAATTATCTTTAGCTGCAGGGTGGTCTTTGCATGCATAGCACATCCGCCGCCGTGTCCAATTATTTGACTTGAGGAAGCACTCCCCCAGTAACTTGGCAGAGCTTCCAGCGATTTCGACAGCGGCGCACTGGACATGGTGCAGTTTTGTGTTCGTTGTTCAGATGAAAGCACACGTCAACATGTTCCTCTCAGCCCGGAGCTTGCCGACATTTTTTGTAGTATTCTTTTTCTCGATGTAAGGTAGGTAGGTGGGTTGAAATGAGCTAAAGTAATGATCAGCACTTATCTATAGTGTATAATTCCAATGTCTTACTATACCCCAAAATGAATGTAGCCGCGAATATTCATAAAAAACAGTTTGTATACAGGCGGACATGAAAAGCTCTCTGGGGGAAAAAAAAAAGGTCGTTTATATAATACTCAAAGCTTGGTCGACCTTCCAGTGCCGGGCAAAGATGTCTCCATTCTGGGGGAGTAGTAGTTGAAGGCAGAGAGCCACTACTAAGGCACCGCGATGCCCGTGTGTCTGCAAAGGGAGCTGTGCTGCCGCAGCACAAGGCCATGAGGAGAAGCCATATCAACCAACAGACCGGCAACTTTAGCACGCCTATCGAGCAGGAAAAAACAATCATCAGTGCACTAGCGCGATCCCACATACTCGAGTTTTTACTGGTTTGACAGCCGTATTTGAGATCCCAGTTTGGCGGTTAGCATGGGCTCGGCCTTCTGATCAACGTCCAAGAGACACCGGTATGTTTCATACGGACTTTGCTTCGAAAGGTCATGACTATTTGCCAGCCTAAGTGCAGGGCTCTAGTTCGATGGCCCAAGCATCGGTGCCGTCTATCCAAGGTCTTGGGTTGGGGTTCCGCTTGCTGGCTGTCTTTTATCCATTACGCATAGGCGAATCACTGTCATAACAGCAGTGTAGGTCTCCGGTCATCAGCTGTATGAACCAGTCTCATGGCGGAAGGTAATCTCGCATCAATGACAAAGACCTGAGGCGCTTATGAAAACATGAGGAAAGGTGTGCAATGAACAACAGGTCGTACACAGTCAGGAAGAAAAACATGTAGCCTCGCGCTAACCTAAGCGCCTGCTTGACACCTTGTAAACCGAACTCTGGTTCACTGATGTATGTCACTGACTGTAATCTGCAGAGTAGGCAGGCATAAGGCAGGGCAGTGCTTACTTCAGCCGGGCCAGGCCCGCATCCGCATCCGCATCCGATCAGATCGGGGGCGCATCCGAAAAGGCCACTCCAAGGCCTATATCTTCAAAGTACAACGCGGATATCGAGGTTGTCCGCCTGACTATGGAGATTAACGGTGTCGATGGCCAGTAGTCCATCCAGGCCACTCAACCGAATGGAGCGGACCGCGCGAACTGGGTGGATTTTGCGAAGGACGAGGGATGTCAAGAAGATTTAGTAAGATTTTTTAGACTGGTTGTAGGACTGGATAGACTATATACTACTATATATACCGAATTTAGCCTACATCAACAATTCGATCCAACCTTATAGTAGTACTAGTTTTTTTTTTTAAGATAGAGAACAGCCCCAACTAGAAATAATAATACTCCATTCCTAAAATCCCGGCAAACGCCCACGATCGGATGAGCTGCCTTCCCCCATTGGATAGTCCCTTCTCATCGGCCCGAACGCCTCCTCACTTCACTTACATCACTAAGTAACCGACCCCTAGTTAACTACCGCTCCGAGGTCGCCCGTAGATAACTATTAATTTTTATATCAAGACATTGGGTTACCACTAACCAACTACTCACTACTGTACTTCCCCAATTCCATCCACTGATCCCATACTCCATACTCCACCATACTCTATTCCCCCTCATCAACCTTTCCTCTACAACTCCATTCCAACCCCAACAATTAATCAATTCAATCAGAAATAATTGCAAACAAACAAACAACATCAAATACAGGAGAAGAAAGAAGAAGAATAAGAAGAAGACAAAATGTCCTACCAGATCGCCTCCTCCCCCGCCCTCTCCCCAGCCACCAGCGCCTCCATGATCGCCTTCCTGGAAAACTTCTACCGCACCAGCGACACGGAGAACTTGCATGAGACGTACGTGGATAGTTTCACGGACGATGCGACCCTGATCATGGGGTCGAAGGTCGCGAGGGGGAAGGATGGTGTGTATTTTCTTTCTTTCTATTTTTTTTTATTGCTGTTTAATTGCTGTTTGATTTTCTTTTGTTATTTGCGAGTTGATTTGACTTGATCTGGCTTGTTTGCTTCTTCCCCCCCTCCTCATCTCGTCTCGTCTCATCTTATATACCCAATCCCAATTCAACCCCCCTCTTCCCCTCTCTCCCAACCTGTACCCATTACCTACGTACCTACCCAAGTATCAACCCCACTAACCACCCCTTACCAGAAATCCTCCCCCTCCGTCACGGCCTCTGGACACACGTCCTATCGCGCAAACACTTCCCGGAGCGGGTCTATTTCGGCGCGGACCGGGAACTCATGCTCCACGGCACAGTGCGCTACGTTCTCAAGGCGGACCCGGACACCGAGGTCGAGGTCCCCTGGGCGGGCAGGGTGGTGTTCGATGAGAAGGTCGAGAAGATGCGGTTTTATCAGGTTTATTTGGTGAGTCATTCCCCTCTCTTCTTATGTCTCTTATACCTTGGGTTTCTTTGGGGGGTGAGGGGTTGGGTTGATGTTTGGCTAATGGTTCTGGTGGGGATAGGATCCGTCGGCGCAGTCGGGGAGGAAGTAAATGAATTAATTCTTTTTAGGTTTGTATGAAGGGGTTGGGATGTTGGGAATGATAGAGGAGGGGGGGGGGGGGGGGGAAGTGTATATAGTATAGGTATGGTTAGATATGGGTGTTGTATTCAATTCTATTTTGTATTTGGATGGAGGAGGTAGTTTCAGATGAAATGAAGATGAAGAGATGATGGGATGTAGTGAGCGTATATATAGTTAGCAGGATCTGTTGGTATTACTAGTAGTGTTGTAGGAGTAGAGTCGCTGATATAAGCTGTTGACATGAATTCAATATCTATCTACTACTGTGCATGGACATACCCCATCCCATGTATATAGTATGTATCCATATGAAGGGTTCACAGGGAGCATCACCGTCTGGATGTAGTAAGCAGGAAGTATCAAACTTCACTGACATCTTATCTCGACGATTTCCTGCACTCAGCTAGGGCTGGGCTGGGGCAGGCTGATATGTTACACTGCATCTGCCTGCAATTTTACATCTCTCTCAAAAACTACACTCCTACAGACTACACAACTATACAGCATCACGGAAGAATGACTTGTCCACTGGTGCCCAGCATGAACTAATAAATCAATGTCTCAGGGGAAAAAAAACATAAATAAATCAGTTCGCCCTCTCCCTGTCATGGCCCACTCACTCAACTCAACTCAACTCATCCAATCCACTCCAATCCATATTTGCCTCTGTGATTGCCCCCCATCCCAATCCGATCTATGCCCCCAGCCAGCCCGCAGACACGCAGTAGCAGTAGCAGCAGCAGCAGCATCAGCAGCAGACAAGCAAAAAACGAGTTACCGCAGGATGGTATAAGGTGTAAGAGAGAGAAGATGGAATGAAGTCAAAGTTATAAAAAAAAAAGGTCCCGTAGAGGTAGTTAGATTTCAGGAGGATAGGATGGAGAGAGAGAGAGAAAAAGGTAACACATCAGGACTTTTTCATTATTTTAGATTCGAGCGTTAAGAAACCGGTGCGGAAACTAAAATTTACTCCTCGTCCGACTCCTCCTCGTCGACGGTGGTCTTGGCGATACGGTCAAGATCACGCTGGCCGCTCTGGGTGATGCGGCGGCCACCCTTGTCCTCGTCGTGCTCAAGGACACCGATCTTCTCGAGGGACTGCATGACCTTACGGTCGACGGAGCCGGAGGCATCGACGTGGTGGTTGGGGCGGGAGCCACGGTTCTTGACGGATCCGTGGACCTTGCGGAGACGGCCAACACCGACGGTCTTGCGCATGTAGATGTGGCGGGCGACGGCGGCGGCGCGGACGTAGTACCAGTCGGCATCCTGGGGGGGGAGCTCGTTGCCGGCGGAGGTCTTGACGGTGTCAACCCATCCTATTATTGGGAAAATAGATTAGTTTGCCGTTCTCTTTTTCGTCTGTCTTGCCTTCGCAATCTTTTGTTTGTTTGCTGAGGTGGATGGATGGATGCAACGAACCGGGAATGGGGAGCTTTCCCTGACGCTTCAGGAACGCAGAGTAAGCAGCGATGAACTTCTGCGCCTATACCATTGAAAACTCGTCAGTCAATCTGATCTCCATCATGAATTTGTCTCGAGACCTGTGGCTGGCGTGGCATGTGGTGCGTGCGTGCGTGCGTGCGGGGCAGACACAATCTGGCATATATTTCACATCACGGCATACGACATAAATCAGACATGACATGACACGGCATGGCATGGCATGGCATGGCAAAACGACATCCAGCAGGAATCGGAATCAGACTCAGACAAGATATTCACGCGCGGGCATATCGGCATTTCCGGGTCGATCGAGTCGAGCTGACTTGAGTTTTCGACCATCCATTCAAATCGATCAAGTCGCATCTTCTGCACCGTAAATTTGCACTGCAGACCAGTTGATTCTATCCTCCTCCTGCTACCGATATCAAAGCCGATAGATACATCTTGATATCTTTTATCCTGTCCGTGGTGCGTTGCCCTGGTATCATGATATCCATCGCGCAAGTCGTCGAGCGTCTGTTTTCCTGCGTCTGTTGTCTGTCTGCCTGTCTGGTCGATTTCCATGCCATGCCGAATATCTGCCTGCTTGCCTGCCTGCCAGTCTGAATGCCTGTATCTGTATCTGTATCTGTCCTGCCTGCCGAATGTCGTGCCATATCCCAGCCGCAGTCGCAGCCGCACACACCACCACCACCACCACCACGGATCTCAATCTCAAAAGGGGGCCAGGTCGCGACTTACGTCGACATCGCGAACGGTGACACCACCCATTTTTGCGACTTGGGGAATCGAAGGGATAGGGAGCTGAAGAGGGAGGGGGGGTGGGCGAGGTGAGAGGATGGGTCGGTCGTTGTCGTCGTTGAAGGGAAGTCGGTCAGGTTCAAAGCCTCTCGAAATTTCGGATTCGCACACAAACCTGCGCTCGGTGTGCTTCTCGGTTGGCTGTGGGCGCTTCGCTTAGCCTGTTCGGGTCTAGCCGTACCCTAAGCCATCGATGCCTGAGGATGATCACAGCTTCCCTCATGATGACTAATACCCGCCCGTGCTGTCGCTGTCTCTCTCAGGCATCAATGGGGGCCTGATCTAGTCTACTCCGTACTCCGTCCGTACTACATCCATATTGGGGGTTTACTACTTACGACCATCACGATAAATCCACACTTCAGCAAAATTTATCTATTATTAACCCGCAAAGGTCTAATGTACAGTCTATGGTATAGTTATCATGAGTCATTCAAGCGCCCCCCTCCATTAAAGAAACAATCCCAGTCCGAATTCCAAATGAACCAGACAACGCCATCCCATCCCAGACCAAACCAAAGTTCATTCCTCCTTCAGCGTGGGCGCCCTCTTCAGCCCAACGCAGTATCGCACAAATAGGGTATCAATAAAATGTTCGTGTCGGATTCCGGGCGGTCGTCGCCTTTCAAACTCCGCAATCGCGTCCGCCACACTGAATCCGCAACGTTCGATGAGATACGAGACGATCAAGAACCCGGTCCGGTTGAATCCGTAATGGCAATGGACCCCAACCACGGGACGCGGACCGGTATTGCCGGAGCTCTCCATCTTCTCGCTGATCTCGTTCTGCAGTCGGTCCACCAGAGCGATGAAATCCCGAACCTCATCCGGTGTGGGAGGTATCTTGGACACGGTGGGATGCTTGTGGTAGTGGATGCCGCCTTTCTCCATCGATGCAGGGTTGTACACCGGGTTCTCGTAGCTGATGTCAATCACGGCATATATCTTCCCGCGATAGTTCTGCGAGAAGAGAACAGGGTTGTGTTCTTCGTCTACTTCTCGGAGCATCTTCAAGCCAGCAAAGGTGCCCCCAATGCCTTCTGAGACAGGGGCGACTTTTTTCCATTTCGCCAGGTTCTTGACATCCCACTTTCCCGACGTATTCAGATGCTGCAGCTGCCAGCCCATGCTCAGTCGGTGGTCAACTTGTTGGCTGAGGAAATCTTGTATGATTCCCGCCAAGGTGCGATACGTCGCACGATCGTAGAGGAGCGCATGGGAGGCGGGTGCCGGCAGGATGACGGTCTTGATAGATTTCGGACCTTTCTCCGACTTCTCAAGTTCTTTCGCGCTCTTCTCCTCAACCTGTGCCTCGATTCCAAATTCCTCTTCATGCGCCCGTCGGCTATGAGATGCTGGAACCTTGTCAAGACCTTCAGACGCGTCAGAGATGGAGCTTGTGCTATCCGCGCCACCATTTACGCTGCGCCGGACTTGACCGAAAAACTCAAGGATTTTCTTCAACTCCACAGGCTTGTTCACGGCGTCAGCTTCGCCAGCTACCATCAGAACAGGCGTCCGGATGCCCGCCCAGATCTCCCCGCCTGGGATACCTCCAACGGCCTTGCCATTGCTGTCGTATGAAGGGAGTGTTCCCCACGCCATCCGTCTCCACACGGCAGTCTTGCTCTGTTTGTTATAGCGAACCTGAAGACCCCTGGTGTCGGGATCGGCTGCTGCACCCACCAGTCTGTTGACGCTGGTGCTGTTTAGGCCGCCACGCCGATCCCAATGACGCCAAAGGTCAAAGACAGGGCCAGGGACATGAAGGAGGCGGCGGAATTTGGCGACGTCGTTGGGAGGTGGTGGACCTGCGCGAGGGCAGACGGCAATGAGGCCAAGAATGTGTTCTTTCAAGTTGCCCCCCAATGAGGAAGTGGATGATGTCAACAGAGCGGATAGAGAACAGCCAAGACTGTGAGCTATGAGAACCACCCCTTGACCCGCTTCCTTGTCACGGTGTTGCTCGATGGCTGTGGCGAGTAATTCCGCAAGCGCCTCGACAGTGTAAGAGTCCCAGGATGTGGGCGCAAAAGACGACAGACCGCAGCCTGGAAGATCAATCCCAAAGCAAGAGCCGACATTGGACAAGCTTGTCAACAGATGGTTGAACTGTGCAAGAGACCCGCCCAAGCCGTGCACAAAGACCAACAGCGGGATGGGCGATGGCTTGGTGGGCAACTTGTCCGTTTGGGGATGCGGTCGATAGAACGTTCTGATTGAAGGATACGTCGCGGTAGATGTTGAATAAGATAGGTAGGACGAATGCTTTTTCAAGAGACCTGGGTCTGTATCATGGGCTGCTATATGTCAGCAACTAACGCAAGAGTAACAGCTGCGAAGCGTACTAACCATCCTCACGTTGCCCACACTGAGGAACCTCCTTCTTCTTCTCGGGAATAGTGCTCTCGGTACCACCTAGAGATCCACTACTATCGTAGTCCTCATCAGATGAGGTGACTGTACCTGAAGAACGCTTGTAGCCCCTGCGCGCAACACGGCGGAAACGCGCTTTGCCAGAGGCCTGCCCCCAGCCCTTGCGCCGCAGGAATGACGTGATAACCCCGCAGCCCACCATCGTGACAAAGCAGGTGGTCAAGAACACAACCTTTCCCCAATTCACAGAGCCATCATGGCTATACGCTTGGAAAAGACGAGTAAGAGAGAGAAAAGCTCCTGAATTGGAGAAAGCAGCGTATGTTGAATCCCAGAGGCGCAAGTGAGCACCAATATCCACGAGACCGGGACGGGAGGTGGTGGGAGAAGTCAGTGGAACCTGTGTAGACCCCATCCCTGGCAGAAGCGGCCGCAACGGTGGGATTCCAATATTTATATTATAGGAAGGTCGATCTGGTCCAGGCGCAGAGCTTCGTCACCCCTGAAAGACGACTCCTTCACGCGCTCACCGATCTTCCACGGCTCAACGCCTAAGGCCAGGGATCCCTTAGTCTGGAACCGACAATCGGGAGCGAGGGAGATCCGTTCTGGAATGCGACTCGAACTTTACACGAGCTGAAGGAGCGGCACCTCTTTGGCGGAAGGGAGTGACTCCGATCCTCTCCGGATCGATAGTGAGGCAAACGAAGCGGGTCGATCGAAACGAGGAACAGCTGGAACTGGAAGACCAAATGGCCCGACGCTAGAAACAGGCTATCTATCCAAGGTAAGGAGACCCCCCAACGTTGTTCTTAGGCACGACTCTAAGTGCGCCCCGGGAACGGGTTGGGCCAATGAGTGCGGAGAACCCAACACGTTGGTCTGCTGGCTGGACTTAGGGCGTTCCGGAGTCTGACAGATCCACCGGTCTGTGAAAGACCCAACCTTCTTGAAGCAAGGAGACCTATCTATTTTGGTTTCAGGGTTGTTCCAATGACGATGATATCTCAATTCCTGGTCGACCCAAAACCACCGGGTCACATGGAGGTTTGCGCTGGCGGTCCAGACAGGATGGCGATGCGGATGCGGATGCGGATGCGAATGCGGTTTATGTCGCAAAAACACTGTGACGACGGTCAGCAACCAAACAGAGAGATCCTGGAGACCGGTTGCACAGCAGTTCGGGTAACAGTGGTGGACGCAACCACAAACACACCTTAACAGCAGAGTAATAATAATGCTTCGGAGAGGAATCCAAAGTTTAGCCGGAGTCACAGCAGATAGAAGGATCGCGGGGCGGAGGCCGGAGGGAGGGAGGAGAGGGCACTGGGCAGGAACTGGGCAGGAACTGGGTGGCGGGCAGCTGCGAGCCTGGGAGGTGCAAGAGCAAGCAGCACGCAGTAAGCAGAAACAGCAAGCAACAGGAACAGGCCTGTCAGAGGTTCGGAGACAAGACCGTGGAGGATCGGCGAGGGAATGAGTCTTCGTCGCAAATTTGCCGGGCGGCCGGCGGTGATTCACATCCACTCATGGCGTCACGCCGCAGCCCGTGCGCTGACTCAGCGCAGCGCTAGTCCCGATACAGCCGCCCCTTCAACCGTCCATCGGTCGAGGGTCTAGACTGAAGGAATCGGACTATCTCAAAACAAAAAATAAACAAAAGTACCGTGACACCTGTCATACTTATTTGAAAGCCCAATACGGAGTAGGCCAGAATGAGATGTAGAATCTCAAATTTTCGATTCAAATATGCTCTTTGTCAAGGACAGCCTGAAGGTTGACGCGGTGGCGACACTATTAAGCGGATGGGAAATGTTGCTGGCCAGAAAGACTGGGTTATGTAACTAGATGTTAACTATCTACTTTCCCAACCCTCTAGCATATCAGCTCCGGGGAAGAGCGCCGGGCTCATAACCCGCGTCCCCGTCGTTGGGATTCCAAGTCATGAAAAAAAGTACAAGAGGCCCCGCAGACGACGAGCAGTAGTACTCTCCAGTCCTACCCACAGTGGCACAGTATGACCGACACATGCGTCATTGGGCATACATTACTCACACATTAAGTGCTCCGTACTCAGCAGTGCTCCACAGTCTACAAACTTTTTTACCTGCTAACAATAATAATGCTAATTACACTCGGAAACTCGAACGTCACTCAAACCCCTGTTATCCCAACAAGCCTAGAACAGATCGGTCATTGCGCCGTGAGAGGCATCTCCCACCAAATGAGCATACTTTGCCAACACGCCCCTCGTGACATGAGGCGCGGGGGCTTTCCACTCCCTCTGACGCTGCTGGAGCTCCTCATCCGAGACATCCATGGAGATGGTGTTGGTTTCCGCATCGATCGTGATCACGTCGCCGTCGCGGACCACGGCGATCGGGCCTCCTGTGGCCGCCTCAGGCACAATATGTCCCACGATGAACCCGTGACTGGCCCCTGAATATCTTCCGTCCGTGATGAGCGCCACGTTGGTGAGCTTGGCTCCCATCAGCGCAGCACTGGCCTTGAGCTGTTCCGGCATTCCCGGCCCGCCCTTCGGGCCCTCGTAACGGACGACGATGACTAGGTTCTCGCCGCGAGGGATCTTCCCCTGGGCTAGCGCCTCGTTGAGCCGGTGTTCCTTGTCGAACACCCGTGCCCGGCCCGTGAACTTGAGTCCCTCCTTGCCGGTTATTTTGGCGACCGCGCCGCCGGGGGCAAGGTTTCCACGCAGGATCTGAAGGTGGCCGGTGGCCTTGATGGGGTTGTCCAAGGGACGGATGATGACCTGGTCGGCGGCCAGCGACGGGAAGGATGCCACGTTCTCGGCCAGAGTCTTGCCCGTCACCGTGGGGATATCGCCATCCAGCAGGCCCCCGGCGATCAGCAGCTTCTGGACTGACGGGATGCCTCCGATGTCGTAGAGGTCAGCCATGTAGTATTTGCCGCTGGGGGAAAGGTCCGCGATGAATGGAATCTTGTTGCTGACCCGCTGAATGTCATCCAGTGTCAGATCGACGCCCGCAGTGCGAGCCATGGCGAGGAAGTGAAGCACACCGTTGGTGCTTCCTCCCAGGGCCATGGTCATCACAAGGGCGTTCTCAAAAGACCGCTTAGTCAACAAGTCCTGAGGCCGGATGTTCTTCTCCATGCAGACCTTGATAGCCTCGGCCGCCTTGACACACTCCCGCATCTTCGACGGGGAAGACGCCGGCGTGGAAGACGATCCGGGCAGAGAGAGACCCATGGATTCAATTGCCGTAGCCATCGTGTTGGCAGTGAACATACCACCACACGCACCCGCAGTAGGACAAGCATGTCTCTCAAGGTCATCCATGATCTCATCCTTGTTCTTGCTAGTATCACCTCCATCATCGGGCTGACGAAGCGTATCGTATGCATACGCGCCCGCGGCCTCGAAACACGTCGACACATTGATGCGCTTCCGAAGGAGATTGGAGTATCCGACCTGGATGGAGCCGCCGTAGATCATAATCGAGGGCCGGTTGTGTCTCGACATACCCATGACCACACCAGGCATATTCTTATCACATCCGGGAATGGCGATGCAGGCATCATGGTATTGAGCACACGTCACGCTCTCGACGCTGTCGGCGATGATCTCGCGAGTCTGAAGGGAGAACCGCATGCCTATCTCGTTAGAAACTATCATTGCAATGACTCTCAGTAGCTCCAGCACCTACCTTCACTGCCCATGGAAATCGCATCCGACACTCCAATGGTATTGTACTGCCACCCAATCATGCCTTGGTCCGTAACCGCCTTCTTCACGGTCTTGCCCAGATCCAACAGGTGCATGTTGCATGGGTTGCCCTCCCACCATACGGACGCAATGCCCACCTGGGGGCTCTGTGCCATGGCAGTCTTATCGGGGATACCGGCCGCGTAAAGCATCGCCTATCCGGATTTTCAAGGTCAGCTCCAAATTGCGGGGTAAATAAACACATAGTCGTAGTTCCAGAACCAGAGGCCGAACCAACCTTCGCACCGGGGAAATCATGGCCGCTAGTGATAGTGGCAGAGTAGCGATTCAACGCGAGAGAACCATCTGCATGTCTGGTGCCTTCTGGCAGACAGGGGAATTCGATGTACTTGGCTTCCCCCAGGGTGGACGACACCGCGGGCTTGGAGGGGTCCATTAGGTAGGTGGAATGGAGGAAGGTAAGGGGAAACCAAAGTCAATGTGAGGAGTGAAGAGAATTATCCAAACGTGCTCTGCTCAATGGGCGGACGTGAGGATATAAGAGGAGGATGGGGGAATCCGAGCTCTGAGCTGGATGTGTGCGATCCGCATCTCCAGCGCCCCTCGTTCGCCGGGAAAGTCGGAGGTACGGCGATGTCGGCGAGGGCCTGCCGGGGCGCTGGTCGGCAAGCAGTCCGTTGCGGGGAAGAGGGGTTCCGCGGGATAATCACAACCGATCTGATTAGCTGCAGTGCTGAGCAATCGGCCGCTGTGATTCGAGCAATGCTTGGGTGGGGACTGCAGAGTGGGCCGTCCTGACCCAGGCATCTTGCTATTGATTCTATTACGCTTGGATGTACGATGTCTTTGAACTTTGACTGTCATTACCATTCATAGAATACATTAGACTCGTTTTCTCTCGGTGTCAGTACAGTCATTTCTCCCAAGTTCTGTATCGTTCGTTAATTGAAATTCACACCCGACAAACGCGCCGATTGAAAATCAAACCATGTTCACAGGAAGCTAAGCATCAGGCCCATAGCAAGACCAGTCAGTGCAACGCTGGGAGCCATGACAGAAATTCCAGCATTGGCGATAGCAGTCGCCGAAGAGGAAGTCGATGTGGAGTTGGAAGACTTGGTGGAGTTCTTCCTGGTCGCCGTGACATCAACATTGTAGCCGGCCTTGGTGTCATAGGGGAAAGGGCTGGTATAGTTGTAGGTTGGCTCGGTGTTGGCATAGGTCTCCTTGACAATGTCCAGAATGCCATGACCGGCCGAGCAGGTGGCATTGGTCAAGGGAATCGGCCACACGGGAGAGTACTTGGAGTATTCGCCAATGGACAATGGGCCAGGGTAGGTCTCATTCAGACGCAGGTTCGTGGTGTCAACATCATAGTTGACATAGCCCGTCTTATTCGCCACAATCTCCAGTAGGTTGGCACCGCAGTCCCAGCGTCCAAGAGATGGCAAACCCCAATTAGCAGAGACGGAGGCGATGATGGAATAGTGGGTGTAGAAGGTATCATCCGTGGTGCCCTTCAAGTTGTCGGGGATAGCCCCGCCCAGGAGAATACTAAACACATTGTTGCTCTTGGCATAGGTGCTATCCTCATCGAAGGTGAGAAGAAGCAGGGTGTCGTTCATGAAGTAAGAGTTGTTGAGCAGAGGCTGGACCCAGTTGCGCTCCCACTTGGCACCAAAGGTGATGTTGGTATCGTGCGCATCGTTGGTCATGTTAGGGGTAATGAAGGCATACTGGGGGAGCTTCTTTTTGGCCAAGTCGTCCTCAAAGCTGGTGAAGTTCTTGATCTGGCGCAAGCGAGTGCTGTTCTCGGCAACCGAGTCAAACAGCACCAGAGGGTTATGCTTGCGCACATAATCATTGGCATAGGTGACCTGGTTGGAGTAGTTGTAGCCCTGGAATCCAGGGTAAGGAATGTGCTCTTGGTACTCTCCCCAGGAAATGTTCTTGGTGTCCAGCAGATCCGCAATGGTCGAGACGTTGGCGGGAATCTGGTGGAAGTCATCGTTATCCATACCAAAGGTGTCACCCGCAGCCGAGGCACAATAGTTGGGCTCGGAAGGGTGGGTGACCGCGAAGTAGTTGGTCCTATAGGACGGTCAAGTCAGCAAAGATCTTACGAATGTCTTTGGCCGCCTATACGCACAGCGTGATTCCCTGTTTGGCGAGCCACTGCAGGTTGGAATCGGCGGCCGCATCATCGTAATCCTAAGAAACATGTCAGGAAAAAAGAATAGAGACACACTCGATGCTAAATGAAACATACGATGTTTTCAAGCCAGATCTGGTAGAAGCGGTTAAAGGCAAGGCCCTGGACGTTGGAAACGGGAGAGTAGGGTTTGATGGTATCCTGATTATGCCTGATCGTAACAAGAGTTGGCTCGGAGACGTTGGCAACCTGGGCATACGCCACAGAGGCAGCCACGAGTACAGATGCAACAGTAGACGTGGACTTCATTGTGGTTGACGTCTTGCTATAGCAATCTCTTGACAGTTACCAGGGTAGAGATGCAGAAGTGCGATGGGAGTGATCAACAGTCAGCTAGAAGACCTTGGGGCTGACTGGAGTGGGCACAGCATTTATAGGCAAGTGAGGTGATATGGTAGGGAACGCCTGCAATGTGGGCAGTGGCACGCGATACCATGCGCCATGGGCATAACCTGGAGCACGTTGTACGATTCACCAGGAACCGCATGGCCCTTTCCTCACTTGGTAGCGGTCCATATAACCACGCGGCCCAGGGCGTGGTTTCTATTCGATGGCCACTTGTTTTTCTTGGCTTCACTCGAGAGCTTGGTTAGCAGGAGCAGACAGGAGTTAGCCTACCAAGGTGCCATTGTCCACGATCACCCGGACGGAAGCCATAACCGTGCCAAGACCGCGGCGGAGGCAGAACAATCTAGTGGTGAAAGTTTACTAGGAACTCGAGCGTCTTGGCGACTTGCAGCTTACATCCATGTGTGCACTCCGGGGAGTCTAGCTGGGCCGCGCCAAAGAAACACGATTCTGCCTGTTGGTGACTGGCGAGATTGTACGGATCGCATTGGTTGGACAGGACGCCTGATTCCTCTTCAGGGACTCTCCGCAAGACCCCATCCCAGAGGGGCTTAGCGTCCCGATCCCGGTGGGGAAGCCTGGGCGGCCTCGCAGCCATCGGCCGCACGTGCGCCCGTGGCTGGCTCTGTTTACTTCCAGTCTTCCAGGTGGACGAGACTGGCCAGGAAGCGACTCGGCAGGAGGCGCATGGCAGCCAACCAGCTCATTGCTATTGGGAGGGTGCTCGGCCGATGCGTGCAATCGATGGAACATTCCACCATTTCGGAGGATTTCAGGGTCGGACAACGCCGAGGGAGCTTGCAGTGGTTGCATGCAGCTACTCATCCCATATAAGTAGGTGCTAGATAGATAGGTACACAGTAATTTGAAATTGACTGTCTGTCAAAAGAGCTCATTTGGCTCTGGGGTATATAGGTTCAAGCACATCATATGCCACCCTAACCTCACACTGCATACCAGTGGGCAAGCTAGGTTTGTGTGCTCCACACGGGCAGACAGCAAATTATATATATCATTATTGTCATTATCAGTACCAAAGTGACTCGCGAACTTGAACCTTGACATCTGGGAGGGGAAAGTGAAACAAAGCTACTAACCACAGACCATAGAAATCCCATGAGTTGGTGCAATGTGCAGTATCTAATGAAATTGCTTCCCTGTGATTACTGGTCTCATGCACTGCGGAGAGGCTCAGCAGGACCAGGATAAGCAATAGGAGCGCGTAGTTTGCTTTTGTATTGCTCGAAAGCCAATTGGCTGCCATATTAGTAGAGATTTGTGTCTGATCTCATCTTGTCAGAGAATCAGAACCAAAACAGACAACCCTTGAAGGTAATGTAGAAAAGAGAAGTATTTGACATGTTTGCTTCGCCAGCTCATTTCTTTATCACACGCCGGTCACGTGTCGGTCCTTCAACCTCGGCAGTTCGCCTTCCCGAACGGGGAACCGACCGAGCTGGAGCCATCACCGCCGACCGGGCGCGATGACTGTCGACAGCACGACCTTGAGCACTCGCCTTGACCACCAGCGACTCCCGCAATAGCCCCCGTCTTATATATACCTCCGTCATCCTAACAATGATTCAAAGATGAGCTCCACCAACTTTGCCGCTGCTCAGGAGCGGGTTCTGGAACGTCGCCGTCTGCGCGAGGCCGAAGCTCGCACCCGGCTTGCGGAGCAGCAGCGGACGTCGCCGCTCAATCATGCCGCCCTCCAACGACTCCCGTATCCTCTAAACAAACTACCTCAGTCAGGACTGTCGCTATGGAACGCCATTAGGGGCCGGGAGGGCACCAGGCCTGCGTTTCGTGTTGGTCAGGTCGACGCCGAATTGCTGGATGAAGAATTACTGGGACTGTTGAAGGGGCAGGTCGGGGATGCTTTGAAGTATTATGGGGTTTGTCTTGCTAGAATCCCATATACTCGCTGGACTGAAGCTAATTTTCTCTCTCACTAGCCTCAAATGCGAGAAGATTGGTCTCACGAAATCCAGTTCGCCCTTCGTGCGATCCTATTCAAGCTATCGATATGGGATCACGATTCCTCCTACGGTGCTGCGTTGCAGAACCTGAAGTACATCGATAGCCGCAGCAAAGGCCCGGTTCATTCGGCTCCGACAAAATGGCAGAAATCTGTATACGGGTTGCTGACTGTCGGGGGCCGCTATGCGTGGGGGAAATGGGAAAGCTGGCTGATCAATCAAGAAAGTGGCTACGAAGAAGTAAGTGCTCGATCGCATGCGAAATTTAGCTATGATGCTCATATTTTCAGCCATCACAAGAAGTGCGAATGCTGGCCCGCATGACAGATCTCGTTTCGGCGACTCACTCGATCGCCGCCTTCGTCTCCTTCCTTGTGTTCTTGGTTAATGGCCGATACCGGACACTGGTCGACCGTATACTTCGCATACGTCTTGCCCCGCCTTCTGCACAGGCGAGCCGGGAAGTATCATTCGAATATCTGAACAGACAACTTGTTTGGCACGCATTTACAGAGTTTCTTCTCTTCCTGCTACCGCTCGTTGGAATAAGCCGGTGGCGCCGATGGCTATCCAGGCTGTGGCGCAAGACGGTCTCTGCCCTCAAAGCCGGCAGCGAGGAGAATGAGTCGAACACGAAGCAGGGAGAACTTGCGTTCTTACCCGAGAGGACCTGCGCTATATGCTATAAGGACAACAACCCCACATCTGCGACCGAGGGTGAAGCGATAGCCGCGTCGGCTTCCTCTGGCGGGATTGTTGGGTCAGCCCAAACAGACATCACCAATCCTTATGAAACAATACCCTGCGGCTGTATATACTGTTTTGTCTGCATTGTGCAGAAACTGGAGGGCGAAGAAGGGGAGGGCTGGGTGTGTCTGCGCTGCGGCGAGATTGTCAAGAAATGCAAGCCATGGAATGGCGATGTTCTTGAGGAGACGCGCCCGCAGTCAAGCTCGGGGAAAATAGTAGGATTTGCTGATGAGAGCGCTGATGCCAATGACAGCAACGCGGTTGAAGAGGATGCCGAAACGGGGAAGACAAGCCCATTGCAGGAAATATCCTCCGATGAAGCCCTACTACAGCACTCCAGTCAATGGTCTACCATTGAAAAAGACTCAGTGGAAGAGATGTCTGAAGGAGAACAGTAGGGGTGTTGTTCTTTCGGTGTCATGAGCCAGCGTGGTTCCATACTGCGCATCTGATGTTTTTCTCCCTTATGACGAAATGTATTGTTTAGAGCCAGCTTTTCTGGAAGATACCCAGCAATGCATGTTCCCTTCGACTTACTAATAATAGTAATTGTCCATATCAACCCCGACAATTGCTTCATTCAATCACATTACTATTGCATATTGTAAATCAAGGTCGCTTGACCAATCCGTACATCCTTGGGCAGAACAAGCGAATAACACACCATGTGGCACATGTGGTAAACGGACAACTGACTGACTAACTATGCATTCTTCTTCCCCTCCCAGTCCTCGGTCTCGTTCCCGTTCTCCTCACCCCATGACAACCATCAGCATCGCCCATCCACCGGTAACCATTACGAGCCAATTTTGATCAAGACTGCTTTGGTTTCGAGATAACTCTCCATGCTATGCAAGAAACTCTCCCGACCAGTTCCGCTTTCCTTGAACCCGCCGAACGGCATATCCTTCGGCATCAACGGGCTCGTGCAATTGACGGCGACGGTTCCAGCCTCGAGCAATTTGGACACTCGCACAGCGCGATCGATATCCTTCGTGAACACCGAGGCATACAATCCAAACTCAGTATCATTGGCTTTCCGGATCACCTCGTCCTCCGTCCTGAACGTATTGATGACCACCACCGGTCCAAACACCTCTTCCTTCATGATCTGTGACTTCTCGGGCATATTCTCGAAGACAGTCGGCTTGATAAAATACCCATCCTTGGCATCACCACCCAGCGTCACAGCACCCTCCTTCTCGGCGGTGGAAATATACGACTTGACGCGCTCATACTGGATCTTGTCCACCTGCGGCCCGAGGGTCGTCTCCTTGTCCAGCGGATCCCCCAGCACAGCAGCGCCGAACATACCCTTGAACAGCGCGGTGTACTTCTCCGCTACAGACTCATGCACGTAGATGCGCGTGTTTGCAATGCAGGTCTGTCCGCTGAATATATGCACGCTGAACTGGGTCTGCGCGGCTGCGGCCTCGAGGTCCGCATCGGGGAATATAATCGCGGGAGCTTTGCCACCTAGTTCCAGGTGCACTGTCTTCATATTGGACTGAGCGGCAGCCGTCTGAATCTTCCGACCAGTGAGTAAGGAGCCTGTGAAGCTGAGACAGCGCACGTCCATATGTGAGGACAACGCAGCGCCGGTGGTCGGCCCATGGCCTGAGAGGACGTTTACCACTCCCGGCGGGAATCCGGCTTCGACGAGGAGCTTGGCTCCTAGAAGACACTGTCTGAGATTTAGCTTTTGAATTCGAACATATTCCTGCTAATATGCAGGTATGGCTCACAGTCAAAGGCGCCTTCTCACTGGGCTTCAAGACGATCGTGTTTCCCGCTGCCAGCGCAGGAGCAATCTTGATGCCAAAGAAGGCAAGTGGGACATTCCACGGGATAATCGAAGCTACCACCCCATACGGCTCTTTTGAAGTTATGTTGAGGTGACCGGATGTGTTCCAGCTGGAGGTTCCTTGGACCGTCCAGCCTGCCTCAGCGAAATAGGAGAATGCGTCGATGGCTACGCTTGCATCGACGTACCTGGAGACCGGCTTCCCAGAAGATACTGCCTCCAGACGGGCAAACTCTTCCTCGTGTTCGCGGATCAGGGAGGCGATTCTGTGGAGGTACTTGCCTCTATCTGCGGGCGAGAGGTCTCTCCATGCTGGGAATGCGGCCTTGGCTGCTGCGACGGCGTTGTCTACGTCTGCGTCGCTGGCCTCAAAGACTAGGGTAGATTAGTTGTCTTGAGAGTTGCTTTGTTCCTGAGCTTTGAGAAGGTAAGAAACAGCTTCGCTACATACCATTGGCAACTGGTTCACGCGTAAAAGGGTTGGTCACGGTGAAGGTCTTTCCATCTGAGGATGGTTGGAACTGTTGTTTGGTAGGCTGTGAGTATGATAGCAGATTGCTGATTAGTGAGCGATATTACCTTTCCGTTGATGAATAGTCGAGTCTCGATCTGGTCCTGAGACTTCTCAATCATATTGTGGTTTTGCTGGCAATATCTGAACTATACAACACATGAAGACTGAAGCATTGCTCACGGGAAGGCTCATGTTGCTAAGCACCACCTGCTCATATCTCATGTATCATCATGATGATACACTATGAGGCACTCACCCCATGACCTGTTTGCGTAAGTGGCTACAGGTTGGCTGACTATAATACTTGGGCAGGTGAAGCTAAACATGCCTAGATTAGACTTCCCCGTCAAAGCCAACCGAACGAACAGTGCTCCGACAGGCCTAGCTAGGCAGGGATGTAAGAAATAATCATCGCTGGTTATGGGCTCCAGATCCAGGAATTCCCTGCTTACTGCCCTGCTTACTGCCTTCAAGAACAGGCTAAAAGCTATAAAGATGAAGCAAAGACGGGAAGGCAGTAAGCCAATCGAAGTTGTTTTTATTAATCATGAAATATGGTCATTATATTATACAGAGGATATCATCTATTGGGCAATGCCCTCACGCTTCATATCTTGAAGGTTCAGAGTGTCTTGGTCACCAGGACGACGCTCCGATTGGATCTTCACCTTATCCTCGGGACCTCCAGTGCCCTCGAACTCTCCGGCGGGTGCTAGTCTGGAAGCAGGTATTAGCAGACGATACAATTGGCATATCGTTACATGAATTCTTACCTGCCACGGTCGTCGCGAGATCCACCCTCTTCTTCTGGGACAGGCATGCGGTTGCTTCCGGTGCCACCTGCCTCTCTGCCGGTACGAATGCCGGTGTCGAACTTGCGGTCGACCATCTCGTTCACGCCAGACTCGACGGCTATAAAGAATTAGTAATTGATGAAGAATACAGGATCCGAGTAAAACATACTGGAGTCGCTCTTGGGACCAAGGCCCTGCTTAGCCTGGTAGGAGTTGAGGTCCTTCTCGGCGTCATATGCGATCTTCTGGTAGTCATTCATTGTGAAGGTGTGGTGTGCTTGGCTTTCGTGAAAAGGGAATTGTCCAGAATGGTAGGAGGTAGAGTGGTAGGAAGATGATTGGATTGATTGATTTGATGAACAGCTTTCACATCGACGACCGACACTATATAAGTCCTTTTTCTGGCCACTCGTAGACATTGTGCATTGCATCATAATACATCATAGGCATGTAACCAGCAGGGCAGCATGGGGGTCGATTCGATTCCATCTCCTGCAAAATCTGGTCTCGACCTGGACTTGGAACGCGATGAGTACTATGATATCATCAGAGCGGTTGCGGTTGACATCAACCCCCCTCCCAAGCCCTAAGCTGCCCCTTCCGATCTGGACTAGCGGTTAGGGTCCGGCCCTAGGGTTCTACGGGGAGGAACAACAATGGCCCGAGATGTCCCGCTCGGCGGGGAGGCCCGAAAGATCCATCCATGAGGCCGCATCACTGGCCGCGAAGCTGGCGTGTTTGTCGTTTGTTGCCCCTTCCACCCCTTAAAGCATTCCTTCACGATCCGACAAGGCAGGGCTTCAGCCTATACATTCTGTTTCTGTCTCCATTATTCAATACATTGGGTCTCCCAAGGACCATCCCACGCGGTTGTTTGTTTTGGATCCAGTCGCCTCCCGAGCTACTACTTCGTAGTAAGTAGCAGGTACTGTCCGCATTCACAGCTTCCGCTGTACCGCCCACCCATTAAATAAGATGGCCTCTATCGCCGAGCTGGCTGGGGAGGCCAATCCTTTGACGCCGCAAAATGTCCTCAATGCTTTGGTTCTGGCGGCTAGCTCTACACAGCAACAGGTGCAGACGGGTACCCAACAGCTGCAGAACTGGGAGAAGCAGGAGAACTACTACACACATCTGCAGGTACCTGCTCCTTCCATATTCCACATCTAACCATTGTGTCCTTTCATACTTACCCTCGCAGGATGTCTTCCTAGATCACTCCGTACCGCCTGAAGTCCGATACCTCTCCATCATCCAGTTGAAGAACGGCATCGACAAGTATTGGCGCAAGACCGCGACCAAGTAGGCACACCCACGCCTCCCGTTGATGCAAAATACAACACGGACTGACCTCTCCCAGCGCCATCAAAAAGGAGGAAAAGGAACACATCAAGACCAGGGCCCTGCAGGCGGGTGTCGTCGAACCCGCCCCTCTTCTCGCCCTACACAACGCGTTAATGATCGCCAAGATTATGCGTTACGAATTCCCCCAAGACTGGTACGTGGAGACCTATACATACTAGTTCGCATTGTGCGTTCTGACAGGATGCAGGCCGGATGCCATCTCCTCGCTCATTGCCCTCCTTCGCTCCTCGACCCAGCCGGGCGCGAACCCGATACAATTGCCCCGGACCCTCACCATCCTTCTACAAATCATCAAGGAACTGTCGACCGCGCGGCTGCAGAGGACCCGCGCAAACCTGCAATCCGTGGCACCGGAGGTCTTCCACCTGCTGGGAAGCATATACGTGGAGAAGGTGAACAAGTGGGCTTCCTTTCTGGAGCAAGGGGGTGTCGATGAGGCCGCATTGCTGGAGGTGATTGAGCAAAGTCTAGTCTCTCTGAAAGTCATCCGGCGTCTCGTGATTGCCGGGTTTGAGCACCCCAACCGTGACAAGGATGTCAGCGAATTCTGGGTCCTGACCCACTCCCACTTCAGTAGATTCCTGGGATTAATCCACGGCTCCGTTACTATGTCGGAGCCAATCCATAGGGCAGTGGAAAAGCACCTGCTGCAGCTTTCCAAGCTTCACGTGGAGATGGCCAAGGATCGCCCGGCATCGTTTGCGCTGCTGCCGGACAGTATTCCCCTTGTCCAGTCCTACTGGACGCTAGTAGTCAAACTGGGGGAGAACTACAGTCAGCTGGGAGCTGATGGTGAGTCAGAGGGCAAGTCCCTAATGGAGAAGACCGGCCTCAGGGCCCTCCTCCTCATCAGGGCTTGCTCGAAGATGGCCTTCAACCCGGCCCAGACATTCAAATACCAGACCCCGGAGGACAAGGAGGAGAAGAGGCGGTCGGTTGAGCTGATCAAGTCGCAGCTATTCACGCACGATTTCGTGATCAATGTCATGGAACTGCTCGTCACGCAGTTCTTCCGGTTCAGGAAGAACGACTTCCAGGAGTGGGAAGATGACCCCGAGGAGTGGGAGAGGAAAGAGGAGGATATCGCTGAGGCCTGGGAGTTCTCTATCCGGTCGTGCTCCGAGAAGCTCTTCCTTGATCTGGTCATTCACTTCAAGGAGTTGCTCATCCCGCGTCTCTTGAGCGTGTTTTACAACTTTGCGAGTGAGTCTTGTCTTCAGGGCATCGAAAACGTTAGACTAACCCTCTATAGGCCCCGAAAACCGCGACGTCCTGCTGAAGGATTCGTTGTACTCAGCCATCGGGCTGTCTGCGGCGAGCCTCGAACAGCACTTGGACTTCAACAAGTTCCTCGAGACCACGCTCGTGCCCGAAGTCCAAATTCAGGAGCAGGGATACAACCTTCTTCGGAGAAGAATTGCCATCGTGCTGGGCCAATGGGTGCCCGTGAAATCCAACGAGCTCAACAAGAACGCCATCTACCAGATCTTCCAACACCTCCTCAGCAAGCAAGACCCGCTGAATGACCTGGTGGTCCGCATTACTGCGGGCAGACAGCTCAAGAACGTGCTTGAGCCCTTCGAATTCTCGCCGACGGAGTTCCTGCCCTATGCCCCGGCTATCCTGCAAGACCTGATGGCTCTTGTGCAAGAGGTGGAGCTCTCAGAGATCAAGATGGGTCTTCTCGATACGGTCCGCATGGCAGTGGTGAAGATGGAAGATCACGTAAGTGCCCATTGTACAGCAACCACAGCAACCCAACCCTAACCCTCTTATTCTTAGATCGGCCCATTCTCGGACCAAATCCTCTCATTGCTGCCTCCCCTCTGGGAGAGTTCCGGCGAGGAGCACCTGATGAAACAAGCCATCCTCACCCTCCTCTCCTCTCTGATCCACTCCCTCAAGCAGGAGTCAGTCCGATACCACGCCCTGATCCTGCCTCTCATCCAAAACTCTGTCGAGCCAGGCTCCGTAAGTCCTCCCTTCCCCCTTCCCCCTCTCCATCCCTACTGACAAACACCCCCAGGAAACCCTCATCTACCTCCTCGACGAAGCCCTGGATCTCTGGTCCGCGATCCTCATGCAAACCCCCGCGCCCGCCTCCCCCGAAATCCTCTCCCTCATGCCGGCGCTCTTCCCCATCTTCGAAGCCGCCACCGACAGCGTGCCCCAGGCCCTGCAAATCGCCGAATCTTACATCCTGCTCGCCCCCCAGGAGGTCCTCAGCGACCGGATCCGCTTCCAACTGCTCGTCTCCTTCGAAACCCTCCTCAAATACACCACCAAGCAACGCCTTGGCGTAGTCCCCCGGCTAGTCGAGTTGATGCTCCGCGGCGCCGAATCCGTCGACTCCGGCAGCGAACAAACCTACAACGTGATCACCCGCACCCTTCTCGACAGCTCCTTCCTGGCCGCCCTGCTGGAGGGCCTGCACTCCGCCCACGAAGCCAGCCAATCCACCGGTCCCAACCGCAAACAAACCTCCGTCTACGGCGTCGTCGAAACAGACTACTTCTCCGTCCTGGCGCGCCTCGCCCTCGCCCACCCGTCCATCTTCGTCTCCGCCGTGTCCGCAGCCACCAACTCCCCAGACCACCACGTCCTCGCCTGGCTCCTAACAGAATGGTTCTCCCACTACGATAACATCGGCTCCACCACCCAAAAGAAACTCCACGCCCTCGCCCTCACCAACCTCCTCTCCCTCCCTTCCAACCCCAACACCCACAGTCACAGTCACAGTCACAACCAAGACCCCCCGCAACCCCCACCCTCCTACCTCCTCACCCACCTCCAATCCTACCTAACAATGTGGACCGACATCGTCACCGAACTCGCCGAAAGCCTCGACGACTCCACATCTACCAACCCCGACGATCCCCGCGCCGGCGACTACCTCATCTACTGGAACAACGCCCAGACCGCCGCCGCAACAGACGACACCGAGCCGCCCGAGAACATCCGCAAGCGCGACTGGGACAATAACGACGTGCTGCACAAGATCAACATCCGCGATTTCCTGCGTGAGCGGCTGCACGCCCTGATTGTGGGGTGTGGTGGCGAGCAGCGCTTCCAGGAGGAGTGGTTGGTTAATGTTGATCGGGACGTGGTGGGTGCGTTTGGGGCTTTGGGGTTGTTTTAGATTGTTGATGTTGGGGAAGAGTGCATGGATGCATGGGATATATTGATTGTTATGTTGTGTTATATTTGGGTTTTCTCCATTCTTTCTGTCCCCCCCCCTTGTGTCTTTGTGTTTGTGTGTGTGTGTGTTGGATTTCGGTTACGTTACGCATGAGTGCATTTCTGCTATTGTTTTTACAGAATATTATACACTACATAGCTGAATACCCATGCATAGATAGTAGCTCTGCCGTGGCAGAGCTAAGCAATGAAATTACCTGAGCAGTGAAACTGTCTTCGCTATTGCACTATCGAGAGACTAACAACGGCCGAAGAAAAGAAAGAAAAGAAAAGGAGAAAACCAAGACACAATAACAAGGGGATAAGCCCCGGCTGTTGGCTGTAAATCACTAAGGCTGGAGGAATGATGGATGGATGGTCGTAGATGTTGAGAGAGAGAAAAAAAAAAAAAAAAACTGCACAGCGCTTAGGCGATGAGGGACACAGATCAGCACTGCTTGGGGTATTGGCGATCCGACGGCGGGTTAGGGAACAGTCCCTGGGCGAGGAGGTCCTGCATGTCCCATCCAGGGGCTCCTTCGGTCTTCCACGTCCAGAACAGCCAGCCGCTCTTCATCTCCCACGCCTCCAACTGGGCCTCGATGTAGCGGCGGGTGTTGGCCTTCTCGTCGGGGGACAAGTTGGCCGATGATCCGGTGGCTTTGTTGGAGCAGTCGCCCAGCTTGGTGCTTGACAGGTAAGTGCCATCGTAGCGAGCGGCATTGCCGATGCCGTTGAGGTACTTGGCACAGTCGGTAAGCGCGCCGGTCCATTCACCCACCACGACGGGCTTGTCCGACTTCACCAGATGCTGTGTGCCGAGAGCGCAGGCGGTCTTGACATGGTCGTTGATGCCCATGGCCAGCAGACCATTGTCGAAGACTTCGTAGTGGTGTGTGTCCATGACAACATCGCTGCCCTGCATGAAGCCGTTCCAAGAATCCACGTCCTGGAAGGCGTCAGACATGACTAGGGCCGCGTTGGGGTTGACGCTGCGGAGATCGGCCAAGACACTGTAGTAGTAATTCTTCAGGCCATCCTCATTCACACCACCGGGAACAAAAGGCTCGTTGAGAGCCTCGATGGCGGTCACAACGTCAGACTGGATGTAGCGCTTAGCCAGGACATCGAAAGCCACCACGGTCTGGTTGACAGTGTTTCCTTGCTGCCACTGAATAGCGCCTCTGTGTCCACTGTTGTCAAACCCGTTCTGGGACCCGGGTGCTGCGGTTGTCAGATACAGTGACCACCGCAAGATAGTCAGTCAGTACTCACCGCCATGTAGATCAATAATGACCTTGAGGCCCGCGCCTCTGGCCCAATTAATCGCCTTGTCGAGAAATTCCAGCTGTCCATCGATGTACGGCTCACCCTCGATGGGGGCTAGAGCCCAGTATCCGATGGGGATTCGGACGTGGTTCAGGCCAGCCTGAGCTATCCGGCTGAAGTCGTCCTGGGAGATGAACGAGCTCCAGTGAGACGACAACCGCTTCCGAGCTTCGTCTGGACCCAGGGTCTTGGTCAACGTCCACTCGTCCACAACACCACCTCCGGCTTTATCGTAGATCGAGGGCGTAATCCACGGCTCCGTTACAAGCCAGCCACCCAGATTAACACCTCGAACGATCTGGCTTTTGTAATCGAAGGACGCCGCACGGTTCTCCAAGCGACTGTCGCGAGAATGAGTTAATGATCACGGGGAATAGGGAGCGCTCCAATCGGGCATGACTGACACTCGTGCAACACCAGCCTGTGCGCCAACAGCGGCCACAGACAGCGCTAGAAGCGCGTTTTGGAGGCGTTTCACCAACATTCTGACGGACACAAACTTGCAGAAGGGGCAGAGAGAAAAAGTAAGAGGCTGGGATGGAAGAATGCCGTCTAGGGAAGACCTGCAGGAATGGAATGGGAATCGCCTGGTTTAAGTAAACGGGCACCGAAGAAGCAGGCTGACAGCGACCGCAAGCAGACGATCGACCGTATCCAGATCTGGATTTCAAAGGGAGCTGCAGAAGTCGCGCTGGCGACTGTTTTCAGATATCGATTTCGGGACAGCAACAAACTGCGCTCTTAACGCTTCGCTGAGACCCACCGGAAGCAGCAAGACGAGGCAAGCGCTTTTTAAGAATAGGGATTTTAAGGTTGATGACAACGACCCACAGCGGAAAGAATGGCAGCCAGCTGACTTGGTTCCTTTCCGTTCGTCTCGACGAGGTTACAACGCCGCGGTGGCAGGAGAAGTCTAGGCCAGGTATCGGATCGGTGAGGCCGTATATCGATTCAGACGGGCGATATGAAAATAAATGGGATACGTGGCCTTAGGAAGTGCGAAGTGCGTGAAGTCACTCTGACGGGAATTATGAGATGATTGCAGACGCAAGATTTGCTAGTTCTGGTCCAACTATGGTTTGGAGGGCTGCTGGGCCGTCTCTGGCCAGGGAAAGAGCGTTTCTGGGGGACCAGACGGCCCATCGACGCGCCTGATGCATCCATTGCTCCTTGGGCCAGGCTCGGCAGTGTAACATATCCCTGAATGCCCAGCTCTTGTCGAAAGTTTAGTCTCACACCCATCCAGTAGTCGGTGCATTGGCCCTGCAGCGTGCAGGATTCGGGGTCGCCAGCGCAGCATCGCCCCTAGACGGATGTCGCCGAGTATGCTGGGGCACGACCTCCCCGCGGCTGGTGGAGGCCCGAATCCGGGCGAGCACCACGCAGGGGATTTGCAATCGGGGAGAAGTTGAAGCTGCAAAGGTAAGTTGGCGAGGAGAGGAATGGAAGAGACGAGGCGATGGACGGATCCGGTGATGCCGGCACGTGAGCCGGAGCCCAGGGCCGGACGCCTGATTGGTGGGATGCGCGGGGCTGCCCGTCGATCGTCCCTGGTTGGCTTCCCCATCGGGACTAGCCCATCACCTGACAGAGTCACTGACATCATGGCTGCCTTGCCGCTCAGGCGACAAGGCTGGCGGCAAACATCTTCGCATCATCACCTCCCTTCCCTCGAACAGAAGGACTGGCTGGATTGAACAGAATGGCCTTTCTCTGGGATAAAACTGTTCTATTTTATTCTATACAGTCCAGTCCTCACAGCTGATCAACACCATACAGAGTACCAGGTGGGTATATCCAAAATCCACCCAGTTCCTAGGTGTCACCAACACCAATATACAAACACAACATCAGACACCATCAGCTCTCAAACCCCTAATCGGACTGATTGGAGTTAACCCCACCAGACCCTCCATTATCCCTTTGAATTAACGCCCCCCGCCTATACCAGCCACCCCCACCAATAAATCACAACTCCATCCATGTCACTTTCCAACGAACCTACTATAGAACCCAGCAAAACAGCCAATCACCCTTTCTCCTGTGAGACCCAGCTCCGCAGGGATCTCTCAGATGATCTACTTATCCGTCATCAGACCCTGCATGACGGTCGATGACCCCTGTTTGGGGGTTAAAGCCTCATATAGACCTCGTACTACCAGGGGGGCTAACCGAGCCCTGCATTAGTTTTCTTCCCCCCTATCTCCATGCATATATCCCCAGATTTCCCCTTGGATCTATCACCGGGGATGACATCATCTGGCATTTATCGCGCAAACGCGGTGGTTGTATGAGGGTTGCCTAGTTAAGGTATACTTTGCTAGAGATATCCTGCGATATACCTACCCAAGAAAGCAGTGATAGCAGAGCTAAAGAAAAAGAAAAAAAGAAAAAGAAAAAGAAAAAGAAAAGAAAGAAAGAACATCCTACTTTATGAGCACACCACCACCATCTATCTTAGTCCGAGGGAATCCCAATTCCCACCAGCCACTTGCAAACGAACGACCTCCATCCAGCCTACCAGTCCAACATCCTACAATCCACTCCAAATCCCATCCAGGACACCCAAGAAAAAAAAGAAAAAAGAAAAAAAAAAACATCTTTCTCGCCCAATTACCTACCACCTCAAACCCAATCCAGAAAATCTCACCACCCAAAGGATCGATCACTCACCCCCCCCCCCCCCACCTGTCCCTGTCCCGTGCCCATCCCCCCCTGCGGAGAAAAGACCCGGAACCAAACATCCACATCCATCTAGAAGAAAACCCAGGATGGATACAGACCGACAATCACGGAGAATTTGTCCACCGGCTCGGCAACCCGCAGCCCGACTGACGTATGCGGCTGCCGCACTGGGTCCCTGCCTGCTACTAAGGAGGGGAGTAAGTTGGTCCCTGGCCCATGGGTCTCTGGGATCCGAAACCACGCATGCACTGGGCATCGGACCACACCACACCACACCATCAGACCATATATCTATCTACACCTATACCTCCCAGGCTCACCCACACACGAAACGGCACAGCACGGAACATCTACCTAATACCGCCTATCTACTCCGGCCTAGCTATCCTAAGGTAATTAATTAATCAAGTATCCTCCGTCCAGCGAACCGAACCGAGGTTAATCATCCTCTCCTTCACCGAAACACGGAAGAATATACTGCCACCCATCATCACCACTACTACTAGTATCCATCCAGTAGTTTGGACTAGGTCAATGTCTACCTCCGCGGGGCTTGTCTGCTTATGGGCTACGGCACTGGTAGAGCAGTAGTGACGAATGACGAATGGCGACAGATGGAAGGGGGGGAAGAAGGAAGGAAGGAAGGAAGGAAGACAGAACGGCCGATGCGCAGCGATCTCGATCTCGATCATCGTCACGATCTGATCGGATATGATCTGATCGGATCATATGAAAAGTCCCGAGGTGCATACTTACATATGCATCTGCATGTGCATTGCCACGATCTATCTATCTCCTTGTCCGAGGTCGGATCGGGGGTTTATATATATATAGCATACTATCTAGATCTAGTATCGGTGTCTATTTACCGGACAGTCTGGACTTAGACTGAAATAAACTAGGACCACACTCTGCTCACTATCTATCTATTCCTCACTGAACCGACCTTCCGATGACGCAGCTTCTCCAGGCTCCAGGCTCCAGGCTCCAGGCTCCAGGCTCCAGGCTCCGGGGCCGGGTTAGTCTAGGTACGCTAAAGCCCATGAACGCGTGGGAGTCTGGGATCAGAAGCAGACTAGATCAATAGATCAATAGATACCCCTGCGAGTCTGCGACGGGGTTCTCCGTAGTGCATGCGTACAAGGTGATGAATGTTTTGCCGAGGTCCCATCTGAAACGCGTGGTCTGGTCTCGAGCGCTCTTCATCAAGGCAGCCGTCGGCAAAGATCCGACGTAGGTCTAGCATCTATATCTAGATATCTATCTAGCATCCGACATCTCGGAACTCGGAAACTCGTGAGAAGGGGCAGGCCAGCCACTGTACTTATACTCCGCTCTTGTGGTCAGGAGAATGTCTTTCCGCACGCAGTACTAGATCCTCCTGTTTCAGACGAGTGCAGATCTGCTGGGACTGAGACGGCGGAGATTCCATCCACTCGCTCACTCATTCGCTAGAATCCAGATGTATCTACCATGTCAAGACTCAAGACATGACACGAAGAAGCGGTCACCATCACGGCTAGGGCACGCGACAGCCAAGACAAACGAATAGCATGGCATGGCATGGCATGGCGTGGCGTGGCGTGGCGTGGCATGGCGTCGGCAGTGTAGCTCCAGCTCCCGCCTCAGCCTCCTGCAATCTGTACCTGACCAGACCAGGACCTGTCCCGTCGATCGGATCCACGATCTCGGCTAGAGGGCTTGTTTGGGGCATCGGGCAAGCAAGGAATATGGAAGGTAGAAGTGAGCTACGGACTAGATAGATAGTATCTATCTAGCTAGGCTCTAGCCAGCTAGCTAGCCAGCTAACTACTAGGCTAGCAAATCGGTTGGAGCGGCAGATGAGGATTCGAAAATGGGGGGCCGGACCAAGCCTGAGATGAAAGGGGGAATCAATCATGGCGATCGAGCGAGCGAATCGAGATGCTGGTGATTAGCAATGAAAAAAAAACCCTGAATCATAAAATAGGCAGTTAATAGCGAGGAGTATCTACTTTCAGAACTTTAGATGGATACTCCATAAACTGTGTAGTGTGTATTGTTCTCAGCCTCAGCTCGGAGGACGAGACTGGCTAGTGTTTCGTGGTGAGATAACCATAACCAGATCTGGACATCAGTCGCACATGCATACTTTTTTTGAACATTTTGATACATCAATAGTTACGGTAGGAGTAATCAGTAAGGTACGTCGTAGTAGTAGTTCGTGTTCCGCACCTCGTACATTACTCCACTCAGCTTCATCTCCGGCCGAGACGGCAATAAGTTGGCACTGGCACTGGCAGACGTTATTAATATCGTCGGGTATCCATTATTCGCGGGTGGACCGACTCCATCCGAACGGGCGGATCAACAGGAAGTCAGGAACATGACGGGGGACGGGGACTCGCACTCGCACTCGCACTCGCGACGAATCCTGTGTGTTTTCTCTCCATCGAGTTGGAACTCGATAAATGATAAATAGTATGGTGGATTATGAATGGACACACACACAGGGCGTGGATGGAGCTCGGAGCAGAAAAAAAGGGCCAGAAACTCGAATCCTGCAGCGTTGGCCGAGATCGAAGTGGAGGGCGAGGGAGGGCAAGTATGGGGCACAACATCCGAAAAGGAGCAATTACTCGAGGCGCACTGACAGAGTAGTACTCCGTAGTAGTATTGGGGCAATTGGCAATTGGCATAAAAATAATCTGCCCACTGCCAGTGCATCGTTGTTTGTTGATTGAACGGATTCTCCGCCAGGTTGACATCATCCCTACGGGCCACTTACTTTACTAGCCATGGTACTTACTCCGTACTAACTACAGAGTACAGTACCTACTGAGAGTCTGAGAGTCTGAGAGTCTGAGTGTGAGTGTGAGTCCAAGTCCGAGTCTGTATTAAGTAAGTATTGCGGTAGTAGTCTCGTAGTTCTGGCCTTGTGGCTTATGCTAAATGCTAGCTAATGCAGAATGCGAGCCGGATGATCATGTCACCACGGAAGATGGACGATGGAGTGATTTGAAGCTGATTAATGTTGGATGGAGGAGGCATTGATCTCCTCGGAGGATACGAAATGCTCCGTCGTCCGTTGATACCCAGAATGACCTTCGTAGTGCATGCGCCATGGTATGTATGCATTTCGAGTTTTCTGCCACTATGGCCTGATGTTTAGGGAGAAACCGGTTCGCGGCCGGGCCAATCAGGGGGCGGGCAGAAATGCCGCGACTGATCACCTCCTTAAGGCCGAATATTAATGGCCGAGTTTGATTGCGGCTAAATGAATTGTAAGTGAGTGGTGACTGATTGATCCCAACGCTCGGATGCCCCTATCTATCTATCTATCTATTGTATGTTACTTTGTACCTTTTGCCTCTTGAGATAGACCTCCGTGCGATTAATCAACGTGATACGTTGGTAGGCAGACATAAAAAAAGCCAAAGCCAAAGCACAAAGCACAAAGCACAAAGCAAAAAAGGTGAAAAAAGTAAAAATGCAAGTAAGTACCGTATCGTATCGGATAGCTGGTAGATACATGCTGAGTTACTGTTAGACTCGGTCGCATCGGCTCCGAGAGGCAATACTTACAGAGTACTCCGTACCATCAAACAGTAATGTGATTATTTTGCAGTGTCCCCGATTAGTAGACGGATTCCAGCGACAAGCGGACCCCCGAGAGCGAGTTGTGCCATTCAGATTCCCATGTCATTCGGCAGCTCCCTTGCACTAGCATCTTCTGTCCCAAAGTTAAATCTCTGGGATCGGATCCGGAGGAGGGATAACCGAGTCGTTAGATAATTGTTATTGACCCTTTTTTTTTTTTTTTTTTTTTTGGATTTGCACACGTCGAATCGACGCCCCACGGCACCACTGTTTCATTAATCTTTCCTGGTCTCTTCTCCTGATCAGGAGCTGAGCGGACAACTTCTAGATAGATACAGAGAATTCAGAATTCAGAATTCAGAATTCAGAATTCAGAATGAATGAGATAGATATCCCAATAGAGTAAGAGGGGTCAGACGGACCAAAATAGTCATCAATCATCATCATCATCATCATAATAATTTAATTCCAAAAGATCAGACCACCAACATTCCAAGCCAACAGCAGTGCCGGCAGTGGGCAGTGGGCAGTGGGCAGTGGCAGGAAACATCGCCAAGGTTCGGGATCCTCCGTGGCCGTTTGTGTTTGTCTGGGCTGATGTTGGTGTCATCTAGTCTGATGTAGTAGGATGGGCGACTTTCCTTTCTGAGCCTGAAACCCCGTCTGGTGGACAGCAGCGTCATGATGGATCCGATCCCGCGTGGAGGAGCCATCCATCCATCCATCCATGAATGATCCATCCCATGTGTTACGTGCGGAGGTATCGTATCTACTTTAGTCTTGTATCCATCAAGCATATATAGTGCCAGATTTCTTCCGTCCCTCCCTCCGGTCGTCCCCCAATCTCCTAATAATCCTAATCCCTTCCCCAATCCTTCGATCTTCCATCCCTCCCTCCCTCGCTCGCTCGCCTCGCCTCGTCATTCCAGGCTCCAGCTTTCGAATCTTCAACCCCGCCGTTCGTGAGAACTGACTACTACTACTACTACCCACCCATACATCCACACCACCACTCCTAAAAATCATTCAAAATGGACTATAATTTCGAAACCAATCGACCGATGAAACATGTCGAGCGGAAAGCCCTATACACCCGGCTCGAAGCGCGGATTGAATACCTGCGGGACTTTCTGGACTTCAACTCAGGTACAACCCCCCCCCCCCCCACCAATTCCCCCAATCCCCATGTCTGCCTGCCATCCCCCAGACGGGCAATTTCCAACCCAAACTCAAACCCAAGCCCCAAACCCCAAATGGGCCAATCCCAACCACGCATCCCCAACCCATCACCACATGAATAAAAAAAAAAAAAAACAAAAACTAACCAAAATACAATCGAATAGGAGACGTCGAAGCCCTCGTCGCCGGCAGCAAATACATCAAGGCGCTGATCCCCGCGGTCGTCAACATCGTATACAAGAAACTGCTGGACAGCGACATCACGGCGCGGGCGTTCCACACGCGCGACACGGCCGACGAGACCCCCGTCGAGGAGTTCTTCTCCGAGGACAGCCCGCAGATCCAGCGCCGGAAGATGTTCCTGCGGTGGTACCTGATCAAGTTGTGCTCGGATCCGTCGCAGATGGAGTTTTGGCGCTATTTGAATAAGGTTGGGTATGTATTCTCTCCCCTTCTTCCATTCGCTCTTTCACACTGGATACTGTTGATGGTTGTGGGTGTTTGTGGGGTATTCAATCATCAATAAAATAAAATAAAAAAATAATAATAATAATACTAACATAAAGAATAACAGAATGATGCACACCGCTCAAGAACGCCTCTACAGCCTCAACATCGAATACATCCACATCGGCGCCTGCCTGGGTTTCATCCAAGACATCTTCACGGAGGCGCTGATGTCGCACCCGCACCTGTCGCTGCCGCGCAAGACGGCCCTCGTGCGTGCCATCAGCAAGATCATCTGGATCCAGAACGACCTGTTTGCGAAGTGGCGCATCCGCGACGGCGAGGAATACGCCGACGAGATGTCCGAGATCAACGTCGACGAACTCAAGGAGGGGTATCTGGGCGAGAAGAAGATCCTGGGCGACAGCAGCGGCGGGTCCGGCAGCTCGAGCGATGACGATCGCTCCAGTATCCATAGCCACAGTAGTGCGGCGGTGCCCCCGACGACCACTTCCGCGTGCCCGTTTGCTGATCTGGCGAAGCCGGCGTCGGAGACGAAGATCTGGGCCGGGGGGAAATAATCTCGTCCGTCTGTGGTCAGTCTGTGTGTGTGTGTGTGGGTCTGGCAGGTGAAAATTCGGCTCTGATGGGTATATACTAGAACGTTCACGGATGGTTATGGTCATCGATCGGGTACGTATAAAGAGCATAGCGGGCGTCCAGGGTATCGTCTTTCTTTTTCTTTTTCTTTTTTTTTGTCTTTTTCTTATTGTCGACGACGTCCTTCGCGGGTATGGCATGGACGGTGTTGGGGGCTCACAAAGCGGTAATCAAGATATCCATATTCAACTATTGACATCAATCACTTCTTGTCTTCGCTGTTTGGTGTTGGTGTAATGTTTTGTAGTGACTGTACCTTGCCTTGCCTTGCCTTGCCTCACCTTGCCTTGTCTCACCTCAGTAATCTTACCCCTCCACATCCCCAGATCTCATCCCACCCATCCTGCATTCTGTACGGAGTAGAATGTACTAGGTACATGTAGGTAGATACCTGCATCAGTGCAGCGCAGCGCGCAGATGATACTGTAGTTAGTTATCGCTGACTCCTCGATTGGTCAGCAAAGCCAGGCATCCAACCAACGCATCTGCCGGGTATGGAGCGCCACAGTCGGCTGCAGCCAATGGAACCGTACGCCTGGCACAACTAGGGAGGCAGAGACGACGATCATTGGACCCAGATTGAGACCCCGCCCCACCGGCTTCTCTGGGACGGTCCAAATCCAAATGTTTGCGGCGTTGCTGCACGGCAAAGGCAAGGTAGGCCCGGGGAGATTGTGCGGGAATCGTTGAATTTGAGCTACGTAATTGCCTCCAACACAGCGGGAGGGAGTGGGGGACGGGAGGGGGAGGGGAGGGGGAGGGGGGGGGAAATGGACTCATTGAGTGTCAAAGTGGTCCAATCCAGAGGAACTGGAAACCTGCGGGTTACACTGTACAAAGTACCTAGGTGAAGGAGGCGGGCGTGAAACGGTCGCTGACTGGCTGGAGGCTGAACGTTTCAACCGTCAACCTTATCTCCGGTGGGGAGGGAGAGGAGGAGGAGGGGGGGGGTGCAAGACTGCAGAAAAGGAGGAAAGGAGGAGGAGGAGGAAGGACTTGGGCCCTGGCAGGCTGGAGCCTGGCTGAGACCGTGCCAGACTTGGACTGGCTAATGCATCTCGTTATTATTGCCTGGTCCTGAGATCAATTTAAATCCTGTACGACCAAGGGCCTCAAGGAGGCCAGCCTCGGGATGTGTCCCCCCACCCAACAACCGACTCCCCAACCGAGTCATGATGCCATTGTCACCGTCCCAGGTACCGCGCACACGGGCTGCCAATGATACAGTCCACCGCGGGTGGTTCTGATGCGTCCCATGCGTCGGGACGGCAATAAAACTGACAATCGGCTCCATCAACTCGGGGAAGTTCCCGATGTTCTGCCTCCCCCCTCACTTCGGTGGCTGCAGACGCAGGCAAGACAGTCTGCGACGGAACTCCCACCAGGGAGATAATTGGGTCTTGCGCTGCTCATCATCGCGCCTCCACCCTGTCCCTCCCTTTCTTTCTTTCGCGCTGCTGATCGCCGGTTCCACTTAAACTCTTCTGTCTGTCTGTCTGTCTGTCTGTCTGTCTGTCGTCTGCCGTCTGTCTGTCACTGTCCTTCTTTTCTCCCCTCGACGCCACCTCTACACCAACCCCCTCCCCCCCAAGACACCATGATCGCGAAGAACCCCAATGGCAATCACGCGGTCATCCCGCTGATCATCAACAACGAGTCCGTCGTGACAGACACCATCTTCGACGTCACCAGCCCCACCACCGGCGAAGTCATTGACCGTTGCGCTGGCGCCACCGTCGACCATGCCAACCGCGCCGTCGCCGCCGCGAAGGCCGCCTTCCCCGGCTGGAGCAAGACGAAGCCTTACGGTCGCAGAGACATCCTGATACGGGCGGCGGACATCATGCTGAGCCGGAAGGAGGAATTGATCCGATACCAGATGGAGGAGACGGGCGCGGGTCGCATGTTTGTCGAGAAGACCTTCATGCTGGGCGTCGGGTTCTTGAAGGACTTTGCGGCTCGGATCCCCTCCATCGAGGGCTCTGTCCCTGCGGTCTCGGAGAACGGGGAGTGCGCCATCGTGGTCAAGCAGCCATACGGGGTGGTGCTGGGAATCGCTCCCTGGTACGTCCCTCCACCCAATCCCAGACCCTAGCCAGGGCAGCCTTAAGCATGACAGTCACTAACTAGTCCTTGCTCCTAGGAACGCCCCTTACATCCTCGGAACGCGCGCAGTCGCACTGCCCCTGGCGGCGGGCAACACGACGATCCTCAAGGGCTCGGAGCTGGCGCCCAAGTGCTTCTGGGCCATCGGAGACGTCTTCCGCGAAGCTGGTCTTCCTGCGGGATGTGTCAACATTCTCTTCCACAAAACGTCCGACGCCGCGGCCGTCACGACCGCTCTCATTGCGCACCCCGCGGTGCGCAAGATCAACTTCACTGGCAGCACGACCGTGGGATCCATCGTTGCCTCCACGGCCGGCAAACATGTCAAGCCGGTGCTCCTCGAGCTAGGGGGCAAGGCGTCGGCGATCGTCCTGGACGACGCCAATGTAGAGAAGGCCGCGATGGGCTGTGCACTGGGAGCGTTTATGCATGTAGGACATACCCCGTTGCCAACCCCCATTCACTAGCCAGTTAGCTGATATGACTCGAACCAGTCCGGGCAAATCTGCATGTCGACGGAGCGCATCATCGTGCAGCGGTCCATCGCCGACCGATTCAAGCAGCAGCTCACCGAGGCGACAGAGAAGGTGTTTGGCAAGCACGGCCCGCCCCTGGTGCTGGTGGCCTCGGCCGCGGTTAAGAAGAACAAGGAGCTCGTAGAGGACGCGCTGGCCAAGGGCGCGAACCTGGTGTACGGCGAGAGGACCGCCATGGAGCAGCACAACTGCAGCATGCGGCCGCTGGTGGTGGGCGACGTCGCCAAGAACATGGACATGTACTCGATCGAGTCCTTTGGACCTACCGTGTCGCTCATGGTGGTGGACAGCGAGGAAGACGCCGTGGCGCTGGCCAACGACACCGAATACGGCCTGACCTCGGCTGTCTTCACAGGCAATCTGTTCCGCGGCCTGCGAGTCGCGCAACAGATCGAAGCCGGGTGAGTTGCTCTCTCACTTTCTTTCTGCCTACCAGGTCCCTACATTCTATCCCATTCACCTGCTGACACCAGACCTCTTTCCAGGGCCGTGCATATCAACTCTCTCACCGTGCACGACGAGCCTGTGCTGCCACACGGTGGCTGGAAGAGCAGCGGATACGGCCGGTTCGGAGGGCCCTCCGGGTACGACGAGTGGCTGCAGACCAAGACCATCACCTGGGTGGAATAGACCAGACTCCCTCAGACTGCTGAATGGCCAGGTGCTGCGCACATGGCTAGCATAGGTAGCATCTACGGCGTGCGTTGGTCCGTGGTAGAGTGGGTACTTGCTCCTGAGTACTATAGAGTCAGTCGAGTGGATGCTTGGACCCCGATAGACGAATCAGACTTCTGGCATGGCGTGGCGAGTCCAGCCGATAGAGAGATATTCGCATTGGGAGTTTTATGGCGAGGAGCGTAAGGAACTAGTCGGAGACCCTGAGTCGGGGGGGGGGGGTTGGGTTTTTTTTTTACTTTGTTATCCACTTCGCTGCGGCTGCAGGGTCCAACAGGGTCTGGGTCTGGGGCCGAGGAGTGGCGATACGAGAGCGCTTAATTGATACCAATTACATTTCCTGGTTGCTGTTGTTGTTGTTGCTTCTGCTATTCTTACCTGGTGTATGTCCGAAGTAGATTGGAGGTGTCTCTGTCTGACTGAGTATCTATCTAGCTAGAATAATAACCGAGCCTGATTAATTAAGTTAGGTTGAGATACATCCCATCCCCTCCACCGTGGTACATGGTACTTATGCTGTGTGTCGTTTCTGTAAATAGATGCGATGCGATGCAAAGGTCAGGACAGGAAGCTTTCGGAGAGACTGAGACATGGACGCATTATTGGATGAGTTCAGTCCACAGTAAGTCCACAAGTAGATAGTTAACTCAATTTCACGACTGGCTGGCTGTCTTGGCGGAAGCGACACTAAGGTGTCTTTTTATCTTTTGCCTTTTGTCTTTTGTCTGTCTAGTATTATTCCAATCCACCCACCCACATTGGATGGGTTCTGCTAGATAGTTAACTACTGCAGGTTGGTCAGCCGGTCAGCCAGCCAGCCAGCGAGCGAGCGAGGGATGGATTGGATTGGATTGGATTGGAGGAAGGGAGGACGTCCGAGACATTTCGCCTCGCCTCGCCTCGCCTCTCTTGCCTCGCTGACCTCGGCCGGCCATCCACCCACCACACCCACCACAGGAAAATTCCACGGTGGGCGGTACGTTGAGTACTACTTACTATCTTAGGCAGTGCGTGAGTAAGTGAGTGAGTGAGTAGGAAGTGGTCATGAGGAGTAAGTACCTAAACTTAAAATATTCAACTTTTATTTTTATTTTTATTCTATTTTATTTTTTTTTTTAAAAAAAAAAATATTTCTAGGTAGTTCTTGATTTGGGTGGATGGACAGATGGATGGAGGCATACTTACTCCGTTAAGTTTGACATGCTATGTATGCTTTACCTGCTGTGCCTTGGATATCGAAGCTTAGCACCTCAAGCATGCGTGCGTGCATACGGAGTATAGTATGTATGTATGTATGTATGTAGATATTACTACACTATGTAAGTAGTTAGCATGTGTGACGGATCATCTTCCCTAGAAAGTGTACTAGTAAGTAGATAGAAAGACCTGCAGTTGCAGGGAGTAAGTAGATACGGTGCACAGCATGAATGAGCTCAGAGGCATGCCAGGCACATCACATTGTTGGATCCCCGTCCCCACCTGTAGTACCCGGTCAGTAGTCAGGGTCAGACAGGCACGGCAGGGTTGGAGTCATCTCTGGGGTACAAGACAGGGAGGGACAGGGACAGGGACAGGGACAGGGACAGGGACAGGGATACCAATAATCCTGCGTTGTCAGGATGATGATGATTTCATCCAGGGTGGTGATCTGCTTATTACTGCTTCCTTGTTGGCAGTAAGTTGCGAACAGTTATCCCTGCGGGGTTTCATAGTAATCTTACGGGTTTACACTAGCAGGGTAACTTGAGTCTAACATAGTTAAGAGGTCTCACAGGGCAGGTCCTGTATCCAGGTGTTTAGGTCCTGCAGGCGGGCAGGCGGGCGGGCAGGCAGGGAGGGGCGCGGGTGTAACTCCTTGACCTGCCTGTGCCTGTGCCTGATGACTGATCGGCATACTCGGAAAAGGAGAGCGGCGGGCGCGGGCAGGACCGTTATACTGTAGTTACATGCCCTGTCCCTGTGTACCCCGTATAACAACAAACAAACCCAAATAAACAGTCCCGAAAAAAAAAAAAAAAAAACTCAAATAATTCTCCGAGCACATCATCATCTGTTCCTTGTCCTGTACCTACTTACACTGCCACCCACTCACTGTACTGCATAAGAGTGGAGTAAGAAAAAAGAAAAAAAAACCACACAAGACAGTAAGGTAGGAGGTACTCCGTAGTAACACGAGATTATCCCACCCATCCAACCATCCAACCATCCCACCCAATATTCGGTCATCGGCGTAAGTAAGTACTCCGTGACAGGAACAGTAACAGTCACAGTACGTATCCAATTAAACTCTCGCGTCCCCCTCCGCTTCGGCCTCGTGGCGTCGTGGTGGCGGGCCCACCAATCAGATTCCGCGGGGAGGGTCCGCAAGGAAATTTGCCGACTGTTGGCATAATTTCTAGGCACAGGGCGTAATAAAGAAAAGAGATTGGGCCGAAATGGAGTCCTCGGATATTAGATTTATTATTATTATTATTATTATTATTACTATTACCACTTGGGAGGTGTCAGTGGGTTGGGCGTTGGGGCGTCTGTCAGTTAGAGTAGTTGGTCGTTAAGGAGGTAAGGATGGAAGAATGGGGAGGGGAGAGAGAATGAGGAGAAGGGTTTGTTTGCCTGTCTGACTCTGACATAAGGTTATGGTTGTTTCACCTGTCCCATGGCTGTGTCTCTGGCTGAGAGGCTGAGAGACTGAGACCGTAACCGTGGATGCGCCGGTTAGCCCCCCCCTGCTAGGAAGTCTAGCCCTCACTTGACTCTACACCGTCTCCATAAAATACCCCTCAGTAGGCTGTAGACTCTCCCAGTCTCTCCTTTTGTTGGCCACCTTAGCGCTGAACTCTGTCTGGTTCCTGTTCCTGGTTCCTGAATTACTCGTATATGCATCCCCAGATCCGACTGGTTCAGTCGCCTCGCGGATGTCTCGCGAGCATCCGCGATCCAAGCGCAAGTCACAACCAAACGGGTCGTGTAATCAGTGCTACTAATGTAGTGCTACCTGCTACCTACCACGTAGACTAGTCTGAACCCCGAGATAACATCGCCGATTCCCTTCTCGGTCGTGGCATTCCTCCGTCTCAGCCCTCAAGGTTTGCCCGGCATTCGGGGCTAACCAGTCACTAGCCGTAGTCGCGAACGTTGATTGTCGTCTGTTTCCAATCAAATCCCCTCGTCCTCCAGAGGCGTCATTTCCGCCGCCGACCCACTGCCAAAATGAGCCGCAGAGTCGGCGTGCTGGAGCCTACTACTATGCTGCCTCCCTCGGCTTCCATAGGGGGTGGGGGCTGTGAATGGGCCTTGTCTGAATATCCTGTCTTATACTTGAATGCCGCCCTTCCTCCTTCTCCCTCCTGCCTCCTCCTCCTCCTCCCACGATCCGACCACCTCTTGTCTTTCGTGCCATTCTTTTCCCACGGTAGTCACTCCTTTGCACTACATACCCATCCCACTCAGTCACTCCTTAGACCAACCTTTCCAACCCTTCCAACCCTTCCAACCCTTCGATCTCCCATCTCGAATCCCTTTCTCACGCACCACACGAAACAATCAAAATGCGTTTCCTCACCACCGCCCTCGTCTCCGCCCTCGCGGCCGTGGCCTCCGCCTACTACACCCCGACTACAGCGAGGACCCGTCCGGCAACGCGATCTACACCCCGGCCCTGAACCAGATCGTGCCGGTGGGCGAGGCCTTCGACATCACCTGGAACGCGACCACCAGCGGGGACATCTCGCTGGTGCTGCTGCGCGGACCCAGCACGAACATGCAGGTGCTGTCGACCATCGTCGACAGCACCGAGAACACCGGCTCGTACACCTGGACCCCCAGCACCTCCCTCGAGCCCGACACCACCCACTACGGTCTCCTGCTGGTCGTCGCCGGCACCGGCCAGTACCAGTACTCCGACCAGTTCGGCATCAGCAACCCCTACTACTCCTCTTCTTCGTCCGTCGCTGCTGCTGCCACCAGCACCAGCTCCACCTCCACCTCCACCGCTGCCGCCACCGTTGAGACCACCAAGGTCGTCGTCGCCACTACTGCTGTTGCTCCCCAGGAGACCGTCACCGTCCCCCACGCCGCGGCCACCAAGCCCGCCTTCACCTCCGTCCCGGTCATCAAGCCCTCCACTCTTGTCTCCGGGTCCAGCACCCCCTCCGGCACCCCTGCTGCTAGCAGCTCGTCCGTGGCCCCCGTCTACACCGGTGCTGCCGACCGCAACGCCATCAGCTTCGGCGCTGTGGCTGTTGGTGTTGCTGCCGTTCTGGCTTTCTAAACGCCAACGCATGCAGTGCTTGGATTAGACTGGGTTGTATTTAGCAGACTGTAGACAGACAGTATTATATCTTGTACAAGAATGAAGTATGAGGATGTTTTCAGCGGTTTCTTTCTTTGGGGATGGTGGTAAGTTCGATAGTTAGTTAGTTGAATACCCTGTGCTGAGTCAATGAAGTGTTGTGTCTGTACCTGTGTTGCTTGTTATATCAGTGTCTGTCATCTTGTAGATAGATACCATGTCGATTGATGGAAGTGTAAGTGTCAGTGTATGTGGGAGGGATGGAGATGATGTTGGCCCTACGAAGATCCCCCTCCCACTAACGTTTCAACTAATTCCTCCCCGCCCCTGTCAATCGGTCAATGATAGCCGACACATCCACCAACACGCCAAGGGAAAAGGGCCCTTCAAATTAGACTTGGTCCCTTGTGATTCCTTCGTTGATTCCTGCCCTGCACGGTGCAAAGTAGATAACAACTATCTACCTAGATAGATTGGGTAAGAAGAAAAGGGACACCCCCCCCCCTCCCCAACATTACTTACTGGTGTACGGAGTAACTACTCAGCCTCTTCTCTTCCCCCTTCAAACAGCAAAATAACCCCAAAAAGAAAACCCTCATACATCTCCAACTCCAACCTTCCCAAAGAAATGTAACAAAAATTAAAAAAAAAAAAGAAAGTCAAAAATACCTAGTACTACCTACCTACTTACCTACCGTACGGAATACCGACTAGTAACTACTACTACCACGTGACCGATAGGCATCTCCGCCTTTCTCTCTCTCCGCGATAAGCAATTTTTCTCCGTCCAACCAACCACCACAGCCAACATCTCAACTACCCAACCGAAAAGAAGATCTATCATCATCATCATCATCATCATCACCATCATCGCTGCAGGCAGTGACTCACCCTAATACACCGACAAATATATCTATCTCACCATGGTCCAAGGATCCCTCAAGAAGAAGTCCACCACCGCGGGCCCGAAGCGGTACGTTTGTCCATCCATCCTGATATCACTCCCTCCATGGAGTGGAGGAGCATGTTGCGGAAGAGGAAGGATGTATTATATTATACTATATTATATCCAACCCCCCCCCCAAACACACACACAGAGAGATAGAAAGAGAGAGAGAGATACAAAACCGAACCCATCCCACCCACCTCTATCCACCTCAAACAAACAAAAAAAAAACCAGCCCATCACTCACTCACTAACACATTCTAAAACCCAACAGGAACAACGCCCTCGGCCCCCGCCCCGGTCCCCGACAAATCGCGCCCAAGAAAGCCACCCTGATCAAGCAGAAGAAGTTGACTAAGGTAATTAATTCACTAATTAATTGATTACCTCCTTCCTTCCTTGGCCTCATCCATCCATTCCCATCCATTCACGATAAACAATTAAACCAAATCAAATCAAAAGAACGCACGCTAACAATAAATATCTCTCTCTCTGTGTGTGTGTGTAGAAACTCACCTCCGGCCTCACCGCAATGACGGAAAAAACCCTCGCCGAGCGCGCCGGTCACCTGGAGATTCTGGCGGGCGGGAAGAAGGATAAGCGGAAGGCGATGGCGGAGGCTGGGTTGAAGAAGCAGAAGGCGCAGCAGCAGAAGAAATGAGCCATCTATCCCCAGTAATATTGTTATTGGTGGTGTTATAAGGAAATTTGGGGGGGGGGGGGGATACTATGGATGGATGGATGGTGGATGATGGTTTGTTTTCTTTGTTCGGTACCTAGTACCTGTGTACTATGTATGTCTGTACAGGTCTTTTTACAAGTTGAGGGGAAGGGGGGGGTGATAGATACGATTAATGAATGTGCGATACCCTTTATCTATCTCTATCTTCTACATTCGGTGCTTCAATCCTGTAGGGCAGAGGGGGTTGAAGGGTTCAGAAAGTGCGATAATCTAACCGAAATCCATATCTATCACGAACCTATATATCAGAAGGCATCTATACACACACACACACACACACATCTGCTCTAGACACGATATATCCAAGAGGAAAAACAAACAGGAGAATCATCATTCATCACATGCACAAGCACACGCACACGGATAGTCAATAGGGGAGAATTGAAAAGGAAAAAAGAAAAAAAGAAAAAAAAAGTCGCTGCAAAGGGTATCTCAAATTCAATCATGCAATCCAATCCGCCATCCGCTCCAGCCCAGTCAGTCCAACCAGCTAAATCTTCGCCACGCAGGTCGGCGCGCCCGACTGCTCGATCAGTTCCTGCCCGCGATCGATCCACTGCTGGAAGCCCTCGTCGCTGGAGTCGAAGGGAAAGTCATCCCAGACGGGATTCTCGGCGTCCGCGTACGTCGACCAGATGCCCTTGGGGACCTCGGCCGCCGACCACGAGGGCAGCTTGGCCAGCACGCAGGTGTAGTAGACGTAGAGGATGCGGCAGAGCAGGTCGACGCGCTCGACGTAGTGCTGCTTGCTGGGGTCGGGCTCGCGGCCGCCGTCGCCGAGACGCCGCCACCACGAGACGCGCCAGCGCAGCGTGAGCAGGATGTGGCCGAGCTCGCCCAGGAACCGCACGTGTGTCTCCTGCGAGATCTGCTTCCACTTGATGTTGTAGAAGTCCCGCTCCAGCTTGCGGAAGCCCTCGACCTCGAGCATCCGGCAGATGATGCGCGACAGCTGGGCCGCGAGAAGGATTTCGCGCCGGTCCTCGGCGCTGTTGATGTCCATGGGTCGTTCTTGGCCGCCCTGCAGGGGGACGAAGCTGTAGCTCGCACGGCTGGGCATGTTGTTCCATCGCGAAAGTAGAGTCTGCTTGGTCAGTTTTCATCCTATATTTAACTGAGGTGGAGGTAAGCAACGTACGTAAACATTATTCATCGGATCGCAGTCCTTCACGCAGGTCAGCCAGTTCTTGGACTTGTCCTTCGACTCGACTATACGCCGATCGATGAACTCGAGAAAGTTCGACTTCGAGTTGCCGTTGTACTCGCTTAGCCCCCGCAGGAACTTGTAGGTCTCGCCCAGGTCCAGGATGTAGAGTGACCCCCACGACTGTCGGGCACGGATGTTGAATCGACCTTGTCGCTCGCCCAGGAACGAAATCAGGTCGTTCAGGTCGAACTCGAAAGGAATGTCCATCCGGACACGCTTGGAACCATCGACGGTGGGGTGGTTGACCGCTCGTTGAGCTGCACGGGTTAGAAGAGAATGACACGGTAGCCAGGGGTCAACATACAAACATAATTGCACGTCCCGTACTCGACGATATTCGCAAAGCAGGCGCGGGCACACGGCTGTTCGTGGAGCGTAGGACGGCAGGCATCGCACGGCGCGTTACCGTCGCACTAATCCCGTTAGCACCATCACACGCAGACAGTCGTGGATGCAAACCTTTCGCTTGTTCAGCCGACACTGTACACAGGTGTCCTTGTTCTTCCTCCGCAGCCCGGCGTTTGCCCGGCCGACCATCGACAACGGGCCCTTGCGGCGGGCGCCGCGGGGCGGAGAAATGAAGTCCGCCGACGCAATGGATCCGCCTTGGCCGTCTTCCTGCACGATCTGTAAAGGCTTGGGCAAGGCCTGTTCCAGGCTGATGCTGGAGTTGCGTTGCTTGCGCTTCCGCACCGTAGCCACGGACTGTAGCGCGAGGGCTGGGGGCCGGGCCGGCCCTCTTTGTGCGGACGAGGACGCCCTGGGCCTGGAGACGGGAACATAGTAAGCCTCCGACGGATCCTCGCTGACCATGAAAGCCGTGGCGTTTTGGATGGGCTGTGATGCTTCGGAAGAGGTGTCCTTCTGGGGGTTCTTCCACAGGTCCTCGTCGTCCAGTTGTCGGTCGGCAAATGCGGGGACCTCATCGGTCGTAGTGGAATACGCGTCGTAGACACCGGGGAACTCCCCCGACACCGACGAGCTCTCGGACTTGTACTGGAAGCCCTCGTTGCCTTTGCCCTCCTCCTTGAAGAAGGTCGCATCCTGAGGCATCGACAAGGAGGCAGGAGAGGTCATGTTGGAGGGTAGCTGGGACTCGAGGCCGTCCAGCCAGCGAGAATCCAGTGACCGCATCGACCCGTGGTAGTCGCGGATATGGCCGAGACGTTTGCTGGCGGACTGCGGGCCCATGGCGAGCGAGATCGGGGGCTGGTTCGGCAGGTTCTCAGTGACCGGCGGAGGGGCGGTCCAGGGCTCCGCGGTCGAGAAGGGGAAAGCCTGGGGGATATTCTGGAAGGAAAGAAACTGCTCCGACGGGACATCGGAGAAGCTCTGCCCCTGAGACAACTCTCCGGCATCCTCGACGATGACGGTGTTGGAGTTGGCCTGTTCCTTGGCGTACGGGTACATGAGGGGCGCCTCCATGGGGATGCCGGCGGCCATGGCGTTGAACAGTTGGAAGGGCGGCCATGACTCATCGAGCTGGAAGTTATCGTCGGCGGAAGAAGGCAGGGTCCTGGGGCTGATGGTGCCGCTGACGGTGCCCTCGACAGGGCCATCGTTGAGGCTGAACTTGCCGGGGGAGTTGGTTCCTTGTTTGCTACACGGAGGGGCATCAGCCGGAAGCTTCGGGGAGGGGGAGGGGACAACAAGACACACACCTCTCACTCCCTCGATAGTCGCTCGACTGTCCCTGCAGCGGGACGACCGACTGGGCCCGCGACAGGGGACCGTTGAGGGTATTCAAATCGGCGATCTCATCGCTCTGGCTCGAGTCCTGGCTCGCATCCCAGTCCAGCGGCTGTTGTTGATCGTAGGCGGGATGCTCCCAGGCGGTGATGGGGAAGGCGTCGGATTGCCAGTTGTCGAGGATTTTGGGGTCGATGCCCGCAGCGGTGCCAGTACTCCCGCAGTCCATACAGGGGGCCGAGGGAGGGGATGATGCAGGAAAGACCTCGAGGGGCTGGCAAGGTCTTCTTGAGCGCGTCCCTGGTTTTGTTGGGAACGCGGCGCACGAGGTTGCGGGGGGGGGAGCAGCGGTCGGGAGAGGCGCTGTTGGCGATGGGCGATGATGAAACGATCGGAGAGACGAGAGATGATGACGAAGAGGGAGAGAGGAGAAGGGGGGAGAGAGAGAGGGAGAGAGAGAGTCAGGATGGGATGAGATGAGATGAGATGAGATGGTCTGACGAAGCGAGCAGAAAATCGGCGCCGTGGCTGACTGGGTTGGGCTTGGTTTGGTTTGGTTTGGTTTGGTTTGGGCTTGGCCGCGCTGGGTTTCCCCACCACCACCTGCGACGATCGGCCTCCGAGAGGTCGCCTGCAGCTCACCACATTCCAGCATCCCCTTCCACTGTCTATCTACTTCGCACAGACCAGTCGTCATCCTGGACAGGGACATGATCAGATAGCTTCAGGGCGGGTGACTCGCTCTACGCACCGCAAGGTTAATCTATCGTGCATCCCAGGTGAGGGGAACCTGCAGCGACCAGGGATCTCCTATCAGGACACATCCTACTGTGTATATCTGCGACTGTATAGTTACTTGACTCAGGGGTCCTCACTACTTACTTAGGTACGTACCTGAAACTACAGAATAACCCGCAACAACACACTCTCCCTCTCTCACTCTCACTGCCTGCAACCCTGGTTGGCGAGTGATAGCGCCATCACCAACATGACAGTCGGGATTACGCGAGAGAAAAAAACTCCCCCCCCCCCTCTCCCATCGCATTATTGAAACCGACTACGGGAGCCTGTCCTCCGTGTGGGATCACTGGGATGCAAATGAACGGGGACACCACGGAGTAACCTCGACGGCATGAAGCTACGCACTGCAATGATTGGCACTGAGGGCCGGGTGTGCAAGTGGATGGTGGCGCGGCTGGTCAATCAGCGGGCAGGCTAGGGCAGTAGTCCGGATTCTTATTCTAGAAGGAAGCATTGCCTGTGGTGGACGCGCATATAAAATTTATTTTCCAGTCGTGGTGTGGCCCCATCAGGGTCTGGATGTGGAAAGTGGGAAGGAAATTCCACCAGACTAGGGCTCGGCCTGGCTGGATGCCTTGCCTGCAATAGCCGCGGCCATCCGTTTGGCCAAGAGCTTGCTTGGTCTTCAGTCTTGGGTGTGTTATTCTTGCGTCCTTGTGTCATTGTTAGTTATTCATCTTCATAATAATCAAATGCACACATGACTTGATTTCTCATTCAGATAGATAGATAACTAGATAGATCTGACCAGCCCTGTTTTAGACCCCCCTACAGCCCAGGTATGCAGACACTAGGGCCCCTCCCCATGCATATGTACGGAGTACGTACTAGTAGGCACGTTGGCTCGGCATTCCTCCCATCGGACTTACTTTGTCTGCTCTGCTTATTGCACCTAATATGAGCATCGGGATCGAGCACATACCGTGTCAAGTCTATCTGTCTGTCCGTCCTCGTCTCCTTTTGTCAGTCTTACAGTCTTACCACGGAGCGGAGCATAATCCTCCAACAAAACTCCGTATAACAGCCGTAGATCCCCCATCCCTCCATCCTCCTCCCTACAATCAGTAACCCTCACCGTCTATCTATCTACCTAACTATCCATCTATCTATCGCCGTGAGAAATCTCTCCCGATCACCTGAGAAACAAAAAAAAAAAACAAAACCAACTAATCTACCACCCAAGCAGAGACCTCAGCTGACCCCCCGAATGCCGCGACCAAGTCCCTTGGAAATGCGCCATGTGTGGGTGGCCAGATTCTTCACTCTTCCTTTCCCCACGAGAACAAGCGGGTTGGTGGTTCACCGCAGCCTCTTTTCGGAGAGGGCCGCGGGTTCTGCATGTTCGGTACTATACCGTACCGTACCCTTACCATACTGACACCCTCTTACACACCGGATAAGCTGTAACATACAGGGTCTGTAATCCGTCATAACCAAACCATGATACACATCGTGACGTCTACAAGCCCTTTTCCCCCCCGCAGCGCAACAGCTTCACCGTGACCGATTTGGAGATGGAGGCCAGTTTCTCCCCGGTTTCTCTTCGGGGTCGGGGTAAACGGTGATCGAAATGGGCTGGCCGGGCTCAACCATTACCCATCGCGACGGAGCCTATAAATACGATAATTTGCTCGATTCTGAGGGCTGCTGGAGTGACAGTGACAGAAGAAATATATCCCGAGAAGATCCGCATACACTACACACTACTATCTATTGATCTATCTATCATACTATATACACTGTGGTTATAGTACTCTACCGATTCAATACTTACTTTAGACGAATATCACACTTGGACCATGCATATATTGGTATATTTTCTTCTTTCCTTTTCTTTCCTTTCCCCCACGCCATACTCACTAGATATCTACTAGGTGGTCAACGACGACGGCCCCCCGTCCAGTCGCCTGTCGCCGTACATCCAACCATTAGTGGCCGCGCTGGAAGCCGCGGGCCACCGCATCTCGGTGGCCATCCCGTCGGCGTCGCGCTCGTGGATCGGCAAGGCGCATCTGATCGAGGCTTCGCTGAAAGCCACCTACGTGCCGCCCTCCGCCTTCCTGAACGACGGCACCTGGGCCTCCTCCCCTTCCACCCTCACCCCCTCCACCGACAACAATGCCACCGACTCAGACTGGGTCATCCTAACCAACGGCACCCCCGCCAGCTGCGTCCAACTAGGCCTCCACAACCTCTTCACGGACCGACCCCCAATCGACCTCGTGATCAGCGGGCCCAACCACGGCCGCAACGCCAGCACAATCTACAACCTGTCGTCGGGGACCGTGGGCGGGGCGCTCGAGGCCGCGACGTGCGGGAAACGCGGCATCGCCATCTCCTTCGGCAGCAAGGACGAGCAGCCGCTCGATATCATCCACGCGGCGGCGAGATTGGCCGTGCGGGTCGTCGATCATCTGATTGCCAATTGGGATGACCGCGTCGAGCTGTATAATGTGAATGTGCCGATGCGGATTGATGTCGAGGAGAGGCCGGTGCTGTGGACGAGAACGTTGCCGTATTATTGGTCCAGGGGGTGTTTGTATGCTGAGGTTGGGAAGAGGGGTGGGGAGGATGGGGGGGCGGTGCTGGGGAGTGCGAGTGGGAGTGGGAATGCGGATGCAAATGGGGTTGGTGGGGAGGAGGAGGAGGAGGAGGAGGAGGAGGGGAATAGGGAGCTTAATGGGGATGGGGCCAAGGTGAAGGGCAAGACTGCCAGTGCTGCATCTGCTGCTGCAGGCAGCTACTACAGACAGCGCGAATTCGCCTGGGGCGCTGAACTCTCCGATATGAAAAAGGCGTTGCAGGCCAGTGAGGAGGGCACCGATGCGCATACCGTCTTGAATGGGAGTACCAGGTTTGTTTCCCCCCTTCTTTCCTTCCTTCCTTTCTTCCTTTCTTCATTCTTCCCTTTCCATTTCATTCCTTTTTTTTTTTTTTTTCATCCTTGATATTGAGATCCACCCCCGAGTCACATTCCTGCTGTTATTGGACTGTACTAACTATATTCTTAGTGTCACTGCCCTCCGCGCCAATTTCTGGCACGTCCCGGGCCTGGAAGGGCCGTTGGTTCTGGATGCGTGAAATGATGCCTTGCATTGCATGTTTATATCCTGGAACATGCTGCATTGACACTACGGATGGATGGATGGATGGATGAACGTATACTCATGATAGACTACGTCCCTGCTACACCTACCTATACCTACACCTACACCTACCTATACCTACACCTACACCTACTACTTACTACCTACATAGATACCCGCAACGATTTCGTTTGCTTGGGCTTCGATCTTGAGGCCCTGAATTTATGATATTCTTTCTTTCTTTCTTCTTTTTTTTTTTTTTTTTTTTTTTTTTTTTTAAAAAAAAAAAACCCCCTTTGTGTTTTCAGAATGTACATGTATAAGTATAAATTGGGTAACTGTATGTATATTATGCGCTGTCTGGCGCGATGAATACGGTATGACTACCAATCTACTAGCTGTCGTGGCTCAATACAACAACAACAACAACAACAGCAACAGCAAATGCAGACGTTAAGGTTAAGGATGAGAATGGATGGATGAATAGCAAGGGACATAAAGTGGGTTGGTTGTTGGGAAGGCAAAAGAAAAGCCGAGTATCATGAGATCATGCAAGTAACATTCAAAGAAAGCATCACAGCGCTCGCGCCGCCTCGCCCGCTCCACTGTCCACGACGGATGCCTGCTCCGCACGCATCTTACCCTTGCCGGGCCCTCCCTCGCCGACGCCCATTCTCCGCGCCACGTAGCGCTGTGCGACCAGCCCCGCCGACAGCGACAGACACTCCTCGATCCACTCGGCCGCCCATTCCCGCGGATCCACGCCGCCGCTCTCGATGATGTCGGCGATCTCCTCGGGGACGGTCGTACGGGGCACGCTGGCGTCGTCGGCCTCGGGGTCTTCGATGGGGATGGCCGGGGTCTCGAGCCAGTCGATCCACTTCTGGGGGATGGCCTGGGAGAGCGCGTGGAAGGCAATGCCGTGGATGGGGTCATGCAGATACAGGGCGAACACGACCTCGTCCTCGGTGACTTCGGGTACGTCCACGACGCCGGCTGGGGTGGCCGGGTCGGTCGTGGGACCCGCCTGGAAGAGCTCGGTCGAGGTCGTCTGGCTGATGGCCTGGATGGCCAGGAAGATGTCGCTGCTGCGCACGGGGTTGGTTTCGCTCAGGTTCTGGGTGGCCTGGCGCGCTGCCTCCTCCACGCCGCCCTTGGCGGAGAAATACTCGGTCGCGTACGCCTCGGCACTTGCCCGCGCGAGCTTGGTCGCCTCGACCGTGCCCCGGACGGCCGAAATGCTGCGAGAGGTTCCGGGTGTGACGGTCCGCCACCAGGGGCCGTCGTGCCAGCCTGGGCCAGAGAACTGGACCCCGCCGATGTCGAGGCTTCGCTTCGGGGCGGACTCCTGGCCCCGCTGGATGACGAGGAGATCCCCGCCTTCCACCTGGGCCATCACCCGCGAGAAGACCGCATATACCAGCGGATCGATGCTAGGGTATCCGGAGAGGTCGTGTGTCACATGGATCTGAAGCCGTTCGTGGGAAGAGATGGGAGGGGCGAGCGTGTGGATGATATTGGTGAATGTAGGAAGAGCCATGTTGCGCAGCTCCCCACCTGGGCCTCGTCAGCACATGCGAAAGGCGGGGTTCATTCGGGAGGAGGGGGGGGGGGGATATCTACCGAAATCTTTCAGCGCTCCTACATTTCCCTGGATCTGCTGAGCCCATTTCTGAGCCTCTTCGTTCTGCTGGATCTCCTTCACTGCCGCCTCGGCCTGCTTCATGGCCGCGCTGGCGGTTGCGAAGATCCCACCCCACCATCCTCCACCACTGCTGGCCGCAGCTGCCTCCTGGGCCGCTGACTTCTCAGGCTCCGCCTTCTGTGTATCTGCCTTCTCCGTGAAAGCCGCCCGGGTGCTTTCCCCCGACTTACGGGGCGCTTGTTTCTCCTCGCTGGAGCGACCGGCCGGAGGGGTCGCGGCCGGCTTGGGCGACTTGATCGTGGGTCGGGCTTCGTTCGTAGATACCCGCGGGGTGCCGGGGCCGCTGCTTGGGCGCTGAGCGGTTAGGTTGTCCAGCTCCGCGAGGATATCTTGCTCGGACTGTGCGGCGGTGGGCTTGGGGGTGGTCTTAGCCTGCTGGTCGGCGGCATCGTCGACGTCCAGGTGGTCAAATTGAGCGAGCAGCTCATCGCTGGTGGGTTTGGAGGTTTTGGGGCGCATGGCGTGGCGAGTGTGGTGTGGTTCTCTTGTGGTGTACGTGTATGGGTGGGATGGAGTAGATGGAGATGGAGATGGAGATGGAGGAGGAGCTCGGGGGAGATGTTTGGGCGGTGGAGCCGGATGACCTGCGCCAAGACGCGTTAGCGCGTGGGAGGACTGAAGTATACTTTACCCTTCTCTACTTATCTGACTGGCTTTCTTACTGATGATCCCTTATTCCACTCATCTTTACAATATGGCTTTTGATTCTGGGTCTTAGTAGGTCTGGTATAGTGGGATATCCTATCTAACCACGCGTGTATCCCCTGTTGAATCTCTGGATAATGAGAAATGACTGTTGACTATGTATGACATCCTTATTTCGACCTACCTACTACGACATACTTACTACGACCTCTGTGTCCTGACCTTAAAACATGTCCTCATACTGCAATTTGAGTGGCCGACTTCATTGTCATGGTGAGCTAAGCTCTATTTGGACCCAGATCCAGCATAGGCAACCACTACCAATGACAATCTACAGCCCTTGCACATCATATGCCATGCACTCCTGACATCATCATACGGAATCATGAGCTCAGAGTCACACTACCTCCGTCTTCTTCTCAACAGGAATGTACCAACAAACGCCGGAGATACTTCAGACCAGCAGACAGTGAGACGACGCTAACCAACCATCAATACCATCCACCAAAAGCGCATACACCACCACCGCTGCTGACTAGCGAGGAAGTTTGAGAGAGAATACCATCTCCAACACAGAGAGTCCAGTCTGTCAAGTGTTGCAGCACAGCCACACGATGACCTTTCCCGAGCAACATGAGGCTAGACTTGATGCCGTGGTGAATAACCTAGAAGACATGGCACTTCGACTTGATGCCCTAGAGGCATCGTCTAAAAGACCTGAAGACATTAGTTATGACCGCAGTTCTAGAAAAAGGCCCACACCTGTCGATCAAGGGGATGAATCCGATGAAACGACTGCCACAGACGACGAGTTCCCCTACGACGAAAACAACTATGATGTTGGAGGCGATTTCCAATTCGATGCTACTCTATATCACCCCGGACCTGGTGGTCGGCAGGATTTCGATGTGTTTGAGTCACTCTACGGCGTGCATCCTAGTTTGGCACGGAGAATTCGTAAGATGCCGTGCGTCCAGAATGATAATACCTTATATGAACTGACATTCATCAGGCTACGCACCAACCATCCGAGTCCTGAATAGTCACGCCACGGTCGTCGCGAAGCCCCACAGAACGCCATCAATTTTATTCGAGACTGCGTTTCGAAGATTTGTGAGATGCCTCAAGGAGTGTGATTACCCGGATAACTTTTTGGTGGACCCGGAGTATCTTGCTTTGCTTGGGGCTTACGTCGCCTTTTTACAAGCTGAGAGGAGTGAGCTTGAGAGTGACTAGAATGGGGAGCATGTGAGCGGTCTGTTGTATGCATTTTACGGTTCAACTTCGCGGAAAAAGAGAATCGTCTCTAGCATTCCCCCCCCCTCCTTCCGTGTGTAGCGCCAACACGAGAAGGGGATGATCGGTCATATCATGGTGTTTGCAGTCGAAGGTTGATTACATCGTTCCAGGCAGTATTCTCTTAGCTTAGCTTATATCTCAATGAGTATTAATACGACTTTATTGAGCCAAACCGACGAAGGTGATGACAGAAAAGAAAAGAGAGAGAAAAAGAAGGGGGGGGGAGGAGGATACCCGGACCGGCTCATTTAGGACTATAACACAGACATTAAGAACTTAAGACAACATTTGTTGTATACGAATGGGCGGGAAACGCACCCGCGCCATCGGAGACAATCAGATCAGTTGTTATATAACGTTCTACACGGTTCCGTTCTCCCTGCATAAGCACTAGGGGCCCAGGCCTTAGGGGCCGCGATAGCATGCAGATTGCAGCCAGACAGACAAGCCCCGCCGAGCGCAACTGGTCAAGGACGCATCCCACTGGCAGCAAACACGAGCAAGAATGCAACATGGCTGACCGAGGTCTGTAGACAGCTTAGTCTGTCAAGAGCAACACCCCGCCTGGTCTTTCCCGCGATCCCTTAAATAGTAGTCATCGTCAGCTCCCGGGGGGGACCGAGATTGAAACTAACTGCAGAGTACATGGATATTCCACCGTATTTATTCAAATCGTAAGTTCCGAGTTATATCCTACATATACAAACATCTCGTGCCACATCAACCTGACACATCTCAAGCATCGCATCACCACCACAATGCGTATCCCCTACGTCCCCAACCCCCCACCAACAGACACCCCGGAGGAAGCCTCCATCCTGGCGAGCGTCCAGGCGCGACGAGCCCCCGGGGCCCTCCTCCCCCTCGATCTCGCCCTCCTGCACTCGTTCCCCATAGCGGAGGGCTGGAACTCATTCCTGGGCACGATCCGGACCCGAACCAGCCTGTCGGCGGTGATCCGCGAGCTGATCATCTGCCGGGTGGCGGTGCTCAACGGGGCCTTCTTCGAGTGGGAGCAGCACGCGCCACTGTTGCGAGAGAGCGGGCTCAGCGAGGAAGCGATGCAGGCCGTGGGCGACGCGGCCGTGGATATCCCCCGCAGTGTGCAGCAGAGGATTCTCAGTCCGGTGGAGGGCGCGGTGCTGAAGTATACGGACGCTATGACCAAGACGGTTACGGTGGCAGAGGATCTCTTTCAGGAGGTCAGGGACCACTTCGGCGATAGGGAAGTCGTGGAGATTACCACCACCGTGGCGGCGTATAATTGCGTCAGTCGGTTTTTGGTCGCGCTGGATGTGGGGGAGATGAATCATTGAATCATTGTTTGAAGTGGTTTCTACCATTGATACGGAGTACCTGGGGGTACATATACTTAATGGGTATAGATCTTAGACATTGCTGGTGACAATGGGAGGAGATGATTCAGCCATAGTTAAAGAAGATGCGATGAGGATGAGACACAGATGACATGACATGGTTTCTTTCCTGCGGATACACCAGCCGGGCTGTATTATTGCCGCCACAATAACATAATAGCCATTCACCACATCAACTATGCAGCTAGTCCCTCTGAGCTGGAGTGAATCCCAGGCTGACAAACTAATTAGATCCTGCCCAGCCATCGGATTTACTATAGCATGCATCATCATGTTGCTTACCGGAACATTCCGTGAGCATTCAGACATCAGACCATTGCACCCTGGTCGCCCTTTATTTGGGATTAGAGTGAGGCAGTTGGGACTTTGTAGACCTCGACCAGTACCATACCTAATGATGTCACGTATGTGGGTGACAATACAGCCCCATGATTCCATGATTCAGGCAGGTACAAGTACATAGTAAGTAACTACCTCGGGGGGGGATACTTCGAAACCGACTACGACTCCTCGGATAATAAGACTTGTGTCAGATGTGCCTCAGACTGGAGATTGGCGAGAGATACAATCCAGCATAGTAGTCATAGTCCGGGGGGGGGGTTATCTTTTCCAGGGGCGAGCCTCCGCAGGGGAAGAGCTCAGAATAAACAAGAATCCGTGCTCTGATGGCGCCGACCTATACAAGGACAAGTACAAGTACGCGGGCGTACCGTCCGGTAACAGACGCCTGCAGCCGGCGCTGGGGGTCGGCCTGATTGGCCCGATGCGTACTACGGCGCCAGCGTGACGGGGATCTATCCGGAGGCCAGTCTTTTCCGGGCCGAACGGGACCCTCATTGGGCGAGAGAGTGGGCCGGAAGTAAAAAAAGGTAACAACACATACGGTTCTTACGGAGCGAGTATGGGAGTCTTACAGCTCTTCCTCCTACTTACTACTAGATCCAAAGTCGACGACTGTGAAGGTGACCTGCTGGCTGTACAAACTCAAGTCTTTTCTTCCCCCCCCCCCCCCCCCAAGCATTCGCGACATCCTGTCTACCCTATTGCCCTGCCTATTGTTCGGCCTCAGTGCTAGGTGCTGCTATTGTTGCTATTCAACTGGTGGTGTTACTCCTGGCCTTCCCCCCCCCCGTCTTCTCCCTTTCATTCTCCTCTCCCTCCCTCTCGCCTTCTATCTATCTACCATCTACCATCTACCTTCGACCTTCGACCTTCATCTGCCATTCCCAATCTTCGTACTTCTGCTCCAGCGTCTCGCTTCAATCTGCTACTCGGGCGCCCTGCCCAACGCATCATCTTATTCCCTTCAATCCCACTGTTCCTGTATCATACTTCCTTTTGTTTCGTCCGCTCCACCCAATTATCTCCCGCGACGGGTTCCGGAGGCATAGTTTTTCTGCTTACCCGCTCGACTCTACTTTTCCTTTTCTGATCTACGACTTACTATCCCTGCCAACGTTCCAGACCGTGGCAGTGATATTTTCATTTCTCTTCTTGTTCTGGCCTTTTCTGATCTAATTCCATCGTGGATACTGTCTGCGACCTCCACAGACTGGTTCTGTGTTCTCTCTCCAAGGTATGTTACATATCACCTGCCTGGCCCATACTACGTCTCGTTCGTCTACTTGTTGCCTGTCAAGCCATGCCTGCCACGTTTTGGCAACACTCGTCCTCGTCAGAGGAGAGCAACCCGATTCCCCCCTGACTTGCCCCCTCATGTCTCCCTGCCATGTGTTTGTTTTCTTTTTTCCCTCCTTACGCCTCGGGAGGTCTGCTGTAGAAGATTGCGCTGCAGTTACTTCTGGCGTCTTGGCGCCGCAAGCGAACTTTTCAGCCGGAACTTACTTAGTTGGCTAACACTATATTCAGATCCACGCTGGCTCTCCAAGGGGGAGCAACATCTTCTTCTCGGCTTCTGTCGACTTTAATCTTCTAATTACTCATCTACTTTAATTCTTCTTGTCATGGCGCCGGTCCCTCAGATCGAGGCCGAAATGGACAGCCATACTTCCGACATGGCCAGCCAGGACTCTCCACTACGCCGACAATTCTCCGAGCCTATACATGCTCGCTCGACCTCCACTCAGGCCTCGCCATCGCCCTCCCCTGTAACCCACCGGTCCAAGTGCACCTGGTGCGGAAAGTATTTCGAGTCAATCAATGGCTCTGAGTCTAAAAATGACGCTCTCAAAGAACACATCGCTACTGTGCATCCGCACATTGCCAGGTTCGCCATGTATGACGGTGCTGATGACGAGTCTCACGCCGATGACCAGGCCGATGAAGAAAGTGCCGTGGCGGGCGGAAGCGAAGTCGAAGACGACGACATCGAAGCTGAAGTCACCGAAAATGGCGTCACTGTTGGTTACGAGAAAGAGCAAGAGCTCAATGGCGACGAGCCTGCGGATGGGCCTGATGCCGACGCACTTTCCAACCAGCTTCACGAGTTTTCTCGCGACCAGGATCCTGTCTCGCTTGACCAACGTCTCCACAATCTGTGGAACATTCACGACATGAAGAACTTCACCGATTACCTCGACAGATCACTCCCCCTTGACGAAGCCTGGGCCGTTGTCCTTCAGCACGAGGCACAGGCGAAGGAGGACCGCGAAAAGGCGAAGGAAGAACGCGCCCAGGCGAAAGAGGAACGTGCGAAGAAGCGCGTTGCCGCTGCATTTGGTAAACGACCGGAGCCCTATCGGAAGTCTCGGACAAGCAAAGGCGAGTTCCTCGAAATCTCGCCGCTGGAGGACTTTCTGGGCCCGCTCCGGGATGCCGAGCTTCGCACTAGCGAAGAGCTCTATGCTATTACGGAAAACACCGCCTACGCCTTGAAGGCCTGGCAGGACGAGTACCTTGCTATCGAAAAGTTGCATAAGCTCGCGACCCGGCACACGGCCAAACCGGTCAGTGACCCGAGGAAGTTACAACGACCCCAGGTGTTTGAGGACAAGAAGGAGGCGATGCTTTACGGCTACAAGTGGGAGGCGAAAGAGGACAAGGTCGGCAACCAGAACCCGTTCACCCAGGGCGGATTCAAGCCCACGCCTGCACAATTCCGCAAAATGTCCGCTAAGATCGGCCCCAACCACCCCAACCCCGATGGCTGGCGCACGGTCAAAAAGTTCGGCGAGGAGTACGTCCCCAAGTTCCAGAATCCACCCCGCGAGGAGTTCGTCGGAAAGGCCACCCGCAAGCGCAAGGCGGCGGAGATGGAGGCGGCCAACAAAGAGGCAGCCCTGTCCGGTTCCGAGGTCGAGACTCCTGTTGTGACCGACAACGAAGAGCAGGCTGCCAGACGGCGGACGCGTGGCCGTCGCCCTGGCACCGAGGGCGACGAGCCTCCTGCCCCCACCCGAACAGCGACTCGCGGGCGTGGGAGTGGCCGTGGCCGCGGGAGAGGCGGCAGTCGTCTGGGGGCCTCTGCGGAGGCTTCCCACAGGGCATCTCCATCGCCGGGACTCGGGTCTTTGCAGGCGCGGCCGCCCCCCGCGCAGCTGGCGCCCCTCGAGCCAGCACCCAGCACAATCATGCCGACCGCCAGCGAGACCGGGGGGTCACCAGAGGTAGAAGGGGATTTAGCGGAGGTGGCACGACGGCAAAAAATCGCCAACTCCAAGAACCCGAAGCGGACAGAGGCCATGCTCAATCACTGGGCGCGATTCAACCGGGAGGGTCGGGTGCGCAATCCCAAACGGTCCAAAGCACAGATCGAGGCCGACCGGGCGGCGGAGGTGGTGCGCAAGTCCAGTGAGCTCACCAAGCCCCCGAAGATCAAAAAGAAGTCGGATGGCGGCATGTATGAGGCCAGGCCCAACCCAGGCCTCGCCCCGGCTCCCATGCCGGCCTCGATCGCCCCCGGGCCCCCTGCGCATCCTCAACTGGCCCCGATGGCTGCCCCCGGCCCTCGCTCAACCCATACGCGCCGATTGACCCGCGGACGGTGACCTTTCCGGGGCCCCATGGGCTGCTGCAACCGCCGCCGCTGCAACCCTACCGCACGCCCTACCCAGACTACTACAGCCCCTATGGGGCCCCGGCGCCGGGCCTTGGACCGGGACATGCTCGGCCTGCGTGATGCTTTTTTTCTTTACTTTACTTTAATCGATCCAAAAGGGGTGTACATCAGAAGGGGGGGGGCTGTATTATCTTGTTTTGTTTTAGCGTTTATTCAGCGCCGGCGCCGGGGTTTTGTTTATGGGTCGGGACTGTTGTATATGGGGAAGAAAAAGTTGTATTATAAGTCATGTTAGCGAGTGATAGCTCGTCAGGTTATTTACTGTCATCATCATTATCAAGTAACTAAATGGTAGCTGAGGGATGTGTCAGCGATGACGCATCTCACCTGACCTCACGTGACCGCTCACCTCATCCGCCTTCGGCACGTCGCGAATCCTCAGCTTCATCCCAACCCCTTCACCTCATCATCTTACCGCCTTCACACCACAACCATGGGCAAAAAGAGACGCGGACCTTCCCTGGAGGAGCTTCTGGCTCGGCCGTGGTGCTACTACTGCGAGCGCGACTTCGACGACCTCAAGATCCTGATCTCGCACCAGAAGGCGAAGCACTTCAAGTGCGAGCGCTGCGGGCGCCGGCTGAACACCGCTGGAGGTGAGTCCGATTTTCCCAACGCATCCCCAACCCCACGACGCGTCTAACCGCGCGCAGGCCTCTCGGTGCACATGAGCCAAGTCCACAAGGAGCAGCTATCGACCGTCGACAATGCGCTGCCCAACCGATCCAGCCTCGACGTCGAGATCTTCGGCATGGAGGGCGTCCCCGAGGACATCATCCAGACCCACAACCAGCGCGTCCTCACGCAGTTCCAGCAGGCCGAGGCCGAGCGACAAGCCGAGACCGGGAACCCGCCCGCCGGAGCGGGGGCAGGCGGCCAGCCCGCGAAGAAACCCAAGCTCGAGAGCGTGTCCGATCTGAAGAAGCGGTTGGCTGAGCATAAGGCCAAGAAGGCGGAGGCTCTCGCGGGTGGCAGCAGTGGCGAGGCGACCCCGGTGGGCGCGGGCCAGACTCCTACCCCTGGATATGTAAGTCATTCATCATGTCATGATGCAATGGTGGTGTGTTGTGAATGTCAGTCGACTAACTGAAGCAGACGCAACCCACTCCCCCGCTCGCCGCCAACCCGCAGTTCTCATACCCCAGCCGTACGGCACCGCCTCCCCCTACCCCCAAACGGCAAGTCCCGTGTACCCGAGCTTCTCACCGGGCGCACAGCAGCAGTTCAGCGCGCCGCCGCAGTACAACGCCGGCTACTCGCCGCAGCCGTTCGCGGGCAGCACCCCCGGCCAGCCGTACGGCGCCACGGCCCCGGCCTTCCCGCCCCAGCAACCCCAAACACATACCCCCCCGCAGTCGACGGGCGCGTTCCCTCCGCGATCGGGCAGCCTGCCGACGCCGCCGAACCTGCCGCAACGGCCCGCCATGCCGGCGCCTCCGGTGAACGCGTACCAGATGCAGCAGATGCACATGGGCCATGCCCCGCCGGCGAACGGCGAGCAGCCGCCGCCGCCGCAGCAGCAGCAGCAGCAGCCGACGGAGGCGACGCCGATCGCAGCGTCGGTGGACGATCTGATCTCGGGGGCGGCGAAGCAGGCGGAGGCAGGCGCGGGCGAGAAGCCAAAGGGCGAGGAGAAGAAGAAGGACAAGTCGAAGCAGGGGCGGCTGGTGTATTCGGACAACGAGACCAGTCCGGAGGAGAAGATGGCACGGTTGGCAAGGTACGCATACGAACCCGATCGGCGAGGGGAGACGGCGCTGGAAGAGGTTCCGGCGGCGGCGGTGGTTGGGACGATTCGGGAGACGGATACGGTGGTGGATGCGACGGGCAGTTGAGCAGCCAAGCAGCTACCTAAGCAGCTAAGTTTGTTTGGCTTATTTGCGGCTACGTTTGTGGTTTGGCTTACGAGCAGAGCTGAGAGAATTGAGGGCGGAGAGCGAGCTGAGCGGAGAGAACTCAAGTGGAAGACAGACAAGAGAAGAGACTGGTGAGTCCCACGTCTGGATACCTGAATACATTGACTAGGCGAGATGGCGACGAAGACGGCATCACCTGCGTGAGTAGAACTGGATGTGAATGTGGACTGGATCTGGACTGGATCTGGGCTGGACATAATGTAAGTCAGTCAAGGTAGGATCCATGGCCTTTCAATGAATTTGCAGTGTAGGTGCTGCGTACAGTAAAAACAGTACAACTCGGTATAATTAGTACATCTGTTAAACCCACTTGCTATGACTTTCCTTATCTACATACACCAACACAGTAGGACCTACTACAACTACCACTACAACCACTACAACCACCAACCACCAACCACCAACCACCAACCACCAACCACCAACCAACCCAACAACAACAGCAACAACAGAATAACAAGCAGAAGAACATCCATTAACCCATAACATAGGTACCAATACCCATACCCAAACCCAAACCCAACCCCAAACCCAAACCCATACCTCATACCCTATACATACAATATACCTAAGGTAGATTAGGTAGGTTAGATTTGATAGGTACACACCCCTCCCAGATCCCTCCTCCCTACCGTAACTAAACCCACCACCAACCCCCGTATCCCGTATCAAATAAACATCCCCCTCCCCTCCCACCCTAGATTCATCCCCCCCCCCCCCCCTCATAATCCACCCCCAAACCTACCAACCTACCAACCTACCCCCGACGATAAACCCCCCCCCCAAAAACCAAAATCCCATAAAGCGCCACCAGACTCAACACCCCGGGGACCAATTTCCTCGTCTTGATGGCGCGGGGGATCGACGAACCGCCGAGGATGAGCGACGCGAGGAGCCCGATCTCGTCGCCGTAGGGCTGGGCGGCGCGCAGACGCAGGAAGCTGAGCAGGTAGAGGGCGCCGACGGAGACGCCGGCGATGATGGATGGGAGGGAGCCCGTGCGGAGGTATCCGATTGTGCCGCCGAGGGAGGTCAGGAGGGAGAGGGTTATTGCTGTTGCTGAAGTTGTGGTGGACTGTTTTTATTATTATTATTATTGTTATTATTGATTTTTTGTGTGTTGGTTTGTGGTTGAGGGGGGATTGGGATGTGTTGGTGTTTGTTGGGATGTGTTGGGTGAGAGGGGAGGAGAGATAGGATAAATAGGACAGGTTGATTATATGTATAGACTGACCATTTTGATTGTCGTTGTGGTGTACAGTGTTATCCCGATTAGTTAACTATCTGGAGAGACAGACAGGTGTAGTAGGTAAAGTCGGAGGAAGACGGCGAGCTTAAATGGCCCAGCATACGGAGGAGTACTACGGAGTAGTACGGAGTAGTTAGTAGTCTAGTCTAGTCTAGTCTAGTCTAGTCTACTATGGTATGACATCCGCGGTTGAGAGCGACGATTGCGCACGTCCGGATTGGTCGGTCGGGGGTGGAGGTGCGGTCCGGATTGGGTTAGTGGGTTATACTAGTAGTAGTATAATTAGTAGTAGTAGTAGTAGTAGTAGTAGTAGAGTAGTAGTTGTCAACGTGCTGTAGAGTTTGATAATAGCAATCACAACTATACAAGACTATACTAGACGACACTATACAAGACTATACTATAAACTCTTAGTATATCATTTAATTTATATTGTACCAGTCAAATGATCATGTCTCGTAAGCTATAGCACTATGGTATGGTATCATAATCGCTGCATGCAAATCACTTTTATAAAACACTCACCCCAGAAATCTACCACAATTCTACCGCTCGCTCACTCACTCACCGCGACGCCACGGCTCCATACCCCGTCCTTCCCCTCCCTCTCTCCTCTTCCTCCACCTCTTCCTCCACCTCAACTTCCTCCTCCTCATCATCACCAGCACCCCCATCAAACCCATCCCCCTCTACGACACAAAACACCGGCACGGCACTTACCGCCCCAAACAGCGCCAGCAACCACCACGGCACAACAATGAACCCCTCCCTCAAGCCCCACGAAAACGCCTGTCCGGTCAACGCCGGCCCGACCGCGCGCCCAATCGCACTGAAACTGGTTCCCACCCCGTTCAACGTCCCCAAGACCCCCAGGCTGGTCGCCGAGTTGGTCAGCAGCACGGTGATGCACGGGAAGCCGAAGATGGAGGCGGACAGCTTGCCCAGCATGAGGAAGAAGATGGTCACGTTGCGGAAGGAAGGAGAGGGCACGAGGGCCGTAAAGGGCGTCAGCAGGTAGAGGAGCGGGAAGATGAGGACGACGATCTTCAGGCACGGCAGGATGCCGAGCCGGTGCGCGGCGATGGGGAAGATGAGGAACTGGATGAGCATTCCGAGGATGCCGATGAGGGTGTAGAAGGTGCCGATTGTTTGGGAGTCTATATCCTTATTAGGATTTCTTGAAGATGACCTCATGTGATAATCTAGATAGAAGGATGGGAAGTACTCACCAACCCCAAACCCCCCCACAAACTTAAACGGCAGCCGCACGTCCGGATTGCCATCGATCTGCTGCACCGGCGTATGCAGAAACACCGGCAGCAGGGAATCGAACGCCATCGTGTGCATCGACATGAGCGAGTAGGCGAGCAGGATGAGCTTCGACTGGGGCGAGAACACGTCCGCCCAGCTGGGCTTTTTGGCGGGCTTTTTGGCTGTCTTGGGCGCGTCGCGCAGCAGGGCGGTTCTCTCGTCGTCGCGCCCCAGAGACTGTGTCTTCTCGTCTCGGTGTCGTCCGCAGGATGTGAGTGCGCGGCCCAGGACGAGGCCGTGGTCGCGCTGGTTCTTTTTGGAGGCGAGTGTTTCCTGTGTATTTCGACCATTAGCACAACAAAAGAAATAAGAAGAAATACAAACCTCCAAAAACAACCACCCCGTCGCAATCCCCACCACAAAAAACCCCGCCGCCAATACATTCGGCAACGCAAACGGAAACCTCCCCCAAAGCCCCTCGTCCCCCCCAAACACACTCCCGAATTTCTCCACCGGCTTGGCCAGCGCGCCCCCAAACGCCGGCCCAAAGATACTCCCCACGGTCCACACCAACGGCATGACGCTGAACGCTCTGGGCTGGAGCTCCTTCTGGGGCACCATCTCGGCGACCATGGTGCGGATGATGCCGACGTTGCCGTTCATCAGGCCCAGAAAGCCGCGCGAGATGATCAGCATGGGCAGGGAGGTGGAGAAGCCGAAGACGAGCGAGAAAAACATGGTGAAGAAGAGGCCGAGGAGGATGATGGGTTTGCGGCCGTAGGTGTCGGAGAGGGAGCCCCAGGTTATGGCCATGGTGGCTTGCGAGAGGGAGGTGATGGCGGTGGTGAGACCGACGTATTTCGGGACGAGGGCGGGTGGGATGTGGAGGGATTCGATCATTTCGGGCTTTTTCTTGTTATTAGTATTATCATTTTTGGGGGAGGGAGAGGAGATATTTGGGATTGGGAGAGGGAGAGGGAGAGGGAGAGAGGGAGTCGAGAAAGATTGCGATTGAGAATCAGATTGAGATTGGATTGGGATGGGGGAAGATGAAGCATACCAGGTAGGGAAGCACGGAAGTGAGCACCACTAGTTATGGTTCTTGTGGTTAATCTCTATATAGACAATGAGGTCGATTGATTCCGGGAGAGAGGGAGGTGTACCTGGCTCAGCGAAGCGACATATTGCTGTTACGGTCATCAGTCAGTTCCAGTTCTACATCCACGATCCGCGATCCAACAGAGATCGAACATAACATACACAGAATAAGCAGCTGCCGGACAGGCAGCCGGGGCGTGTTCTCCAGCATGGTCATGGCGATAGACCTGCTGCTGAAGAGAGAAGAGCAGAAGCAAAAGCAGAAGCGAAAGCAACGGCAGAAGAAAGAAATAAGTACGAGAGTAAGAAAGAAAACAGTCACACGCAAGTACAGCAGCAGATCGGCTCTCGGCCGTCATCCTATCGGGCCAATTAAACCCAGTGACTCCCAGTGATTCAAGTGGGTCGCATTCCAGGCGGGGAAACCGCAGTCGGATCCTTTTCCGCGCTTCCATACGGCGCAATACGCATCTCGATACCAATACTTACTTACTCTACGTAAACCAGTCCATCCCATCATCCCTTGGGCCATCCTTGCATCCCATCCCTGCTGCTGCAGACTGCATACGACCTGGTCATCAGCCGATGCAGCCGCTTCCCTCCCCCTCGAGAAAAACTACTGCCGATCCTCCCATCTGACCTCATGTCTCACTCATTCTCCCACTACTCAAGCAGCTTCGTAGCAGCTTCAATGCGCTCCAGGATGATCGAGCGCCATTTCTACCGCCGTTAGCACACCCCAGACCTTGAGACACCATCCATCAGGGGTAAACATAAACATACCTGCGAGTTCGCCAAATCGCCCGCCTCCAAACTCTCCACCAACCCGGGATACGTCGCTCCCGCATATCCCGTCCAGATCCCCGGCGCAAACACCACGTGCTTGAACCAGTTCCGTCCGTCCAGACCAGGCTGGTACAGGAACTGCCGCTCAATGCCCTTGTACTTATCGTTGACGCCGCGGATCTGGAAGTACAGCCTGACCTTGCGCCACCAGTGGTACCAGGGCACATCCTCGCCCAGCTGGTTGGTCAAGCTCGCCGCGAACGCATCAAACCGCGAGGCCACCAGCTGGAACTCGCCGATCGCGCGGTCCAGAGGCCCGAAGTCGAACGTCTGTCCGGAGGGCAGCTGCTTCGCCGCCGGCTTGATCTTGTCCAGGTACCCCTCCAGCCCGAGAGCGTAGTCGGTGGCGTTGAAGGCCAGCACGGGGGTCTCGACCAGCTTGGCTGCGGCCAGGGCCCAGATCTTCGTGCACGCCTCGTGGTATTTCCACCCCGGGTCGCCGAACCGGTCCATCCAGTCGAAGCTGTCGTAGTTCGAGTGGTAGTGGTAGACCGGGTCCTTGGGCCCGCGGCTGAATCCCAGGTCGTAGCTGGCCACGCCCGCGAAGTCCTGGAACGCCGTGAAGTCGCTGCCGCTGCCCATCGTGCCGATGTGCCCGTCCCAGACGTCGCGCACGGTCTGCCCGGGGACGGTCTGGTTGGGGGACTGCACCAATCCGGTGACCTCGTAGATCAGCTTGTTGAGCAGCGGGCTGGCGGTGGGGTGCAGGTTCGTGCCCGACGCGGCGACGTCCACGTTCAGATACGCGATGTTGGCCTTGGAGAGCCAGGGCAGGTGCTCCTCCACCCACTCGGTGGAGCCCAGCAGCCCGTACTCCTCGCCGTCCCAGCTGGCGAAGACGATCGTGCGGAGCGGCTTCCAGCCCGCCTTGAGGGCCTCGCCGAAGCTGCGGATGACTTCGTTGAGCGCCGCCGACCCACTGTTCGGGTCGCCCGCGCCGCCCGCGATCCACGCATCGCGGTGGTTGCCCATGATGACAACCTCGTCGGGGATGGCGCCCTTCAGGACGCCGATGACGTTCCACAGAGGAGTTGTCACGTACTCCTGCTCGTTGTACAGGTTGATGGTGATGTGGTCCGGGGTGGGGCCGATGTAGTACTCCACGCCCTTGCTGCCCAGCTTGCCGCCGTGCCAGAACTCGTTGAAGTCCGACGCCTTGGGGCCGTGTCCATTGAGCGCCTTCAGCAGCGGCACGACTTCCTGGTACGAGATCGGAAGCGACGGGATCGACGGGATGGAGTGGAAGGGGTCCTGACGGTCACAGCCCGGCTTAGACGGGTAACCAGGGGTGGTCGGGTCACCGGGAGCGATGCCTGTCTCAATTAGCCTCACCCTCACCCTCACCCTCAACCCCAGTCACAAGTCACACTCATCACAAGTCAAAAGGGACCAACTTACTCAGAAACTGGGTACTCCCCCTCTGGACGGCACTCGGATTCCTGGCCGGCCCATTGGGGTAGGCCTCATACCCATTCTCCTCCGTGATCTCACCATCCGACTCCGGATCATCATAAAGCACGACGCCAACCATGCCCAACTCCTGCGCCCTCTTAACCTTCAAACCCCTAAAGATCCTGCCATACTTAATGATAGCAATCTTCCCCGCCAGACTAACATTGGCATCCACGAGATCCTGAAAATCGGCGACGGTACCGAAATTGGCAAACACAAACGCAGCCGTCACATTGCCACTAGCCGAATAGCCATGGAAGGTGGGCACGCGGTCAGTAAGGTTACTGGTGCTGTCTTCCTCGAGGACATCCTCCTCGAGAGAGGCCTCGTAGACGACCTCGTTCTTGTCGAGCAGAGCCAGTCGGTGGTCCACCGGGTAGTTCAGGAAGATGTCATACGCAACGATGCTGGTGTCCTCGATGCCGAATTCCTGCCACCGCTCCTGGGTCCAGACGGCCTGGGAGAGGTTCTTGCCGGCGAGATGCGGGCCCGCGGTGTAGTAGCTGCTCCATTCGCGGGCCTTTTCGGCGGAGGGGGTCTCGTGCAGGAGGGCTTGGAGTTCCGAGTAGCGGAGGCCGTGGCCGTGGGGCCAGGAGGCGTGGGGGAAGGGGTTCGCGAAGGGGAGATACGACCAGATGGAGCCGCCGTGGGAGCGGGGGAGGAGGGAGTACGGGGTCAGGAAGAGGAGGGCCGAGAAGGTGAGCAGGAGGCTGAGGGTGAAGGTGCAGAAGCGGCGGAGGCGGTGGTGCGGGTAGCGGTGGTGCTGGGGGGCGAGAGCAACGGTGGTGAGGAGCGGGGTGGATTCGGAGGGAGCCATGCCGAAGGCAGCTTTCTTGTCCGTCATTTCGGGGGGCATGATTAAGGGGAGAATGGATGGATCATGCCCATGTGGTTCATGAGATGATGGGGGGGAGAAGGAGAGGAGAGGAGAGGAGAGGAGAGGAGAGGAGGAAAAGGAGGAAGACCTGATGGAGGGATGGATGGATGATGACGGATGATGGATGGGACTAGACGTGAGGAGACCCGGGACAGTCTCTCGGGCAGCTCCGCACGAGTAGCCTATCAGGACCCACTTCGGCCGGAGCTCCGATAGCGTATTGCGGTTACGCGTAAGTTACGGATGGTGTCAGATTGGGTCACTTTCGAGGAATGGCACGCCATGCAGTCAAGGCAGATACTTCTCAACTTCTCAGTCAGGTATCACTTCTCAAGAATACTACCTAGTACAGGTACTGCGCCGTACTGCGGGTTATATACACTCTGCAACTCGGCCAGCCGGTCAATAAGCAAGGGATATAGAGCCCAGAATCAAACAAGAAAGAAAGACAGACAGCCATAATAATATACTCCTAGCCCAGTCACTCTGAAATGATCACTCCTCCTCCTCAGGCACAGGCACCGGCACCCGGTCATTCAGCGCAAAGTTCAGCTTCTCGCCAATATCAATTGTCTCGCGCAGGATCTGTCGCGCGGCCTCATCGGTGACATCCATATCCTCCTTGACCAGCCTGACCGCCAACTCCGGCACCAGCACCGCTTGCGCGTAGCCGACCACCCCGGCCGTCTTGACGATATGGTCGTCAGCTGCGAGCCGCCGGAGTTTCCGGGCGTAGCGCGTCGTGATGGCTTGCAGCCTGCACAGAGGTAGTTCGTTAGCTTCGCTTGCTCGATTGGGTAGACTGGCAGATAGACATAGCCAGATAAACAAACAGACGGGATAAGTGGAAAGATAAACATACATTTTCCCCGCGCCCCTAGTCCCATAATACCCACAGGAGATATTCTCCAGCCCCTCGCCATCGAGCGTAAGCCGGAAGTTTTTCGCCTGTCCGGACTTGAGATTCCCATCGAGGATATTGCGGTAGAACGACTTGCTATCGGGGACCATGACCTTCTCCAAGTCGGCGAAGTGGCGCTCGATGCGCGCGTCGAACCCCTCCCAATCGATGGTCGGATAGCCCTTCTCCTTCCACTCCTGCTCGGCGGAGGACTGCTTGTGCGAGTCGCAGAAGCGCTGCTGCTCGCGGAGGCGCTGTTTGGGCTGCGCCCGGAATTGCAGCAGCAGGCCGGGGTCCACGGGCGCTTTGCACCACGGACACACGGACGGCTCTGTGAGGACGGGCTCGGCGTCCTTCGCGGCATCTTCAAGCTCGTGCATCAGTGTAGATGAGGCGGTGCTGAGGGGCGTTCCGACCGAGGAGTCGTCGTCGTCGTCGTAGTCGAAGACCATCGCGTCGCGGGCGGATGAAGGAGCGTACGACGAGCTCGAGATCATGTCGTTGGACTGCTTAAATATGCGCGCCTCATCAATCTCCCTGGGGACCTTGAATTGGGGTTTCGGGGTCTGTTCCTCCTCTTTTTTCTCCTTCTCCTCCTCCTTTTTCTTGCTCTTATTCTTGTTCTTCTTCACCGGTTTCTTCGCCTTGCCCTCCTTCTCACTCGCCGACTGCTCCTCCCGCTCTCGCTCCTCCGTCACTCTCGTCGACGCCTCCCCAAACGACCTCCGGGACTGATACCCCACGGTCGGTTTCCGGCGCTTATGCCCGCGATCCAGATCCCGTATCGAGGAGAACAAGACATTCTCCTCCTCGCTGTCCCTGCCATCCCCGTCCCTGTCCCCGTCCCCGGCACCGGCCATCTCCCGCGACGACCTCTTATGGCTCAGCGCCGGCGACGAGGTCGCGTTCTTTGTCTGGTTCCTTTGTCGCGACGCGCGTGGCGTCCTCCCACCGTCCGACCCCTTAGCGAGCTTCTCCTCCAAGCTGGGCCTGGAGACCCGGGGTCGTCGGGTCGCGGTCGCGGTCGCAGTCGCAGTGTCCGAGTCATCGCTATCACCGATCTTGCTGTCGTCGTCGGTGGAGCTGAGGGGTTCGTCGTCCGTCGCGGGCTCGGGTTTCGGGGTCGGGTTGGGTCGCTCGGCACTACTCTTGCGGAAGTTCGAGAGCAGGCTCGTCCCGATGTGGTCGCTGCGGAGGAGCCGGTTCGAGGCGAAGCTGGAGTTGGGTTTGGGGAGCACCATTTGGGCGGTTGGCGCGGGGGGAGGGATCGGATGAGAGGTTGGTGAGGGAGGGGAGGGGAGGGTTGCGATCGGATGAGAAGGCCGCCACCAATATATATGCAAGACGGATGGAGGGATGGGTGGGTGTATGTATGTATGTACTCGGTTCTTTCAAGACAAATAGCAAATAGTCACGTCAAGCTGCTCGGGAGAAGTCACCGGGTTCGGTAGGGAGAGCCGACCTCTTGAGCGCTGAAATTAACCACGGAACGAGCCGCGCATGGGCGTAGTGATGAAGGGGACTAAAGTAGATAGAGGGTCGGGATACCGTGAATGGAATGGGGAGGGGGGGGGCTGAGCGAGAGGAGGAGATGCGGTCGAGAGGAGCGTCGGGCGGGAGTCGGCGAGGGACGCGTGTTGGTGTGTTGGTGACGGCCGGTGACACGCTATCGGGCGGTTCTCCGCAGCCGCTGCTATATTAAGCCGGCACGGCTCTGGCTGGTCCCAGAGTTTATGTTCCATACATATGCTTATGTTTGTTTACTGCTGCCGGTGCCATTGACCGGTTCGGTACCAGACTTGGTCATATCAGACTACAGGATAGAAACTATGCAAAGACAGGTGTCGTTGTAGCCTATCTGGACGTGTAAAATAATAAGCAATGGAGTTCGTTTATCGGCTATGCTACCCCCAACAGCGTATATCCAAGACAAAGAAAGAGGACGTAGCAAGCATGCATGGATTAGGTAGGTAGGCTGCTGTATCATGCTGGGCCGTAATGTGTATGCAACAAAGAAGGTAGTAGTAATGCTCTAAATGGAACAGCAAAACATCGGATCGCGTCATCCGTAAAGCCGCATCGCGGCATGCAAAGAAGCAAAGCAAGAAGAATGACAGAAGAAAGTGGACAGGATTAAGAAAAGTAACAGCCCGTGGACTTGGTCTCTGCCACCACGGGGCTTTATCCATCAGTAAAGAAGCGTCCCATCACGTAGTCTCATACATCGTCATCACTCAAAAGTCATACTGATCCCCCCCTCTTCCCCTTCGTCAGGATCAGCCCAGGCATTCGGCTCCAGCGCCATGGCTCCAAGCGTGCTGGCACCGAGGGCGGGCATCGTGGCGGAGGACCGAAGTTCCGGCCGGGAGGGATAGGCATCGTAAGCGGTCGCGGGCTCGAAGGAGGAGTGGGAGCGTTGGGGGGTATCGTGGAAGGACGTGTCGAATGTCATCTCGACTTCTTCCTCCGGCAGGGTCGGATGGGCATCGCGAGAAGGATCGTAGGCAGTGAGGGTCTCGGACCGCGTTCGAGTCGGAGGCGCCGGTGTTTCGGGGGTCTTCAGGTCTTTCCCGGCTGACGGGGCAGCCGGAGATGGACTCGAGGGGGCACTCAAGTCCAGCTTCATCGGAGGGAGCGTGGATTCCAGCTGCCGTACTTCGATCTTCTCCGACGCCAGTTCGGCCCGGATGGCGTCGATGTCAAACAGAACAGACCCCGCATTGCTCTCCCCCGGGCTCCGCGGGGCATTGTTGCGGGCCACGTCGTACGTCTCCCATCCCTTCTTCTGCGCCAGCTTTCCCCGTTTGAACAGTCCGAATCTCTTCTTCTCCGGCTTGAGCTCGGCCTCGCGTCGCGCCTCGTCGATCTCCCGAATCAGCTCCCGTTGCCGCTCCTGATGGTTCTCCGGATCCGGGTCCTCGATCTCGGCGAATTCCTCGCTCAGCACTTCCCAGCCAACCTCCTTGAGCAGCCGCGGGATCGCGGCTCGGTAGTCCATATGGCCGTTCACAATGTGGGTGACGTCGAAGTTCTCTAGTCCAGGGATGCCCTCCACCGGGGCAAGGCCCGCCACGCGCATGATTCCACCGCCCGTGGCGCGGAAGAGGTACCCCAAGATCCAGTCGTTCGACGCGTATCCGTTCACAAAACGGCCAGAGACCACACTGCGGGCTTTGAGATATTCATCCTGGCTGGCCACATTCGGGGTTCCAAAAAGATACACGTTCTGGACCAGACCATAGGCGCCCTTATCAGCAAGCTCCTTGAGGCAGGAGAAGATGACCTTGGAGCCAAGCGAGTATCCGAGAAGAGTGACAGGACGTTTCCCCAGATTGTTCTCTCTCAGAGAGTCGGCAAGAATGAGCCCAGCCGCCGTTGCGCGCGTTAGCGACACGTTCCACGGGTTATCAATCAGATACGACAGCTTGGTGAGCACAAGAGGCAGTTGTAGCGATGCCATCAAAGCAACCAGGACGGTCTGTCCGAGGACCTGCTGCAGTCCTTGAGTCAAGGCCTAAAAGGATGTTAGCGTCATACCAATACCTCATGATGGCTGTCCTACCTCCGTAGCAAGAATGTTGATAGTGTCACCCATACTCCGAAGCATGTCCGGCTCCCACAAGACCGAGTATAGATCGCCCATGATGGGATCGACCGTACTGAAAGGCAGCCGGACGTCATCCACCTTACCAGTCATCCATCCGGACACGGTGATGATCAGATTGACCCGCTTATTGTTATGTAAGGGACGATACTCGAAGGTCTGAACAGGACCTGTACGTCGCTGGGAAGCCCGCATCCCAATCGTCCCTCCGGTCAAGGTAGCCCCGGAGGCGATCAGCGCCGTGCCTCCGGCGCCGCCGAGGAACGCGCTCGTCCCTGTGATGCCAACGGTGGTAAACCCAGCTGCTATACCAGCGCCGATGACGGGGGCTAACAGCCCAGCGGACAGACCAATGACCAGACCGCCACCAACCGTGGCTAGGCCCATGACCATGAACTTTCGTTTCAGGGCCATCTTCCGCCGCTTCTCCATGTGCTCCGACTCATCCCAGGTCTCCTTTTCGGCGGCCTCCTGCATCTCGAGAGCGTCAATGACGCGCTTTTCGAACCTGGCGATCTGCATCCATGACACCTCCATAGACGCCCCAACGCGTTCGAGTAACGTCCGCGACCGCGCATCATACGCCGAGTCTGCAATGAGCACGAGGAAGAGATCGCAGAGTACCGTCCATCGAAGATCGATGTCGATCTTTGCGGATGTAGGCAACTGGGAAGGTGTTCGTACCTCCGGCAAATCTTCTCCCTCGTGAGTCTCATACGGCGGAGGGGATGTTGACGTAGAGGATCTGTCGACATCGGTAGAGATACTGCTTTGGTACCCCTCCCTAAGCCGAGGCGATGTAGGAGAAGATAGCGACTCCTTGGGTGTCTCGGGTTCTTCCGCCAGAGGGTTGGAGACACGGGCGTTGCTCATCAGCGGACGGACGAGATCGGCCGGCTGCACGCCGTGTTCAGCCAACTGCTCGATCATCACCTGCTCCGCCGCGTCGATGTCCATGTGGGCATAGAGCCTTCCCATCATTGTCTGGCCCCATTTCCGTATCGAGTCGATGCCGCCTTGCCTGGCCTTGCGCGTGCCCTTGATCGGCGGTATTTTGTTCATGTCTAATGTCATTTGGTGAATAGATAATCTGGTGACTCCAACATATGCGATCCTCTGGCCTTCCGTCAGAAGATCTTTTGTAGCCTGCAACTGGCTCACCGGGTCACGCAGCTCCTCCTCCATGCCGGCGGAGTTGAGGGCAGACTCTTTGAAGAGGTAGCTCGTATCTTCATCCATACTGGTCGCGGACTGGGCATCTTCGTCCAGCTGCACCCGGGTGTATCCTTTCCCCGCCCCTCCCAGACCGCTGTAGACAGCCTCACTATCCTCCTGCTTTGTACCACGAGCAATGAGCCGCCCGTAGTCATCATATTCATCGAATTCGCCGAGAGCCGGCATTTCCTTCCAACCCCCGTCATCATCCTCATCTTCCCCTTCCTCGTCCGACTCCGGAGCCGCATGAAACCCCTGATGCGACCACTCCGACGGCCTCACTGACACATGTTTCTTCTGCGAAGAAAGACACTCACCCGTGCCGGCCTCCCCGTGGGTCGAGTTCTCCGTATACGGCGGGGGCGGCTCATCACTCGGACTATGAGACTCCGACTCGCCATTGGAAAGCGCCCGCTTCTCGTTCGCCGCGGACGTCTCGGCAGACTCCTGCACAGGGGATCCCAGAGCATGCGGCGTGGACGATTCCGACTGGCTCTCCTTCGCCCCCTCCTCCTTCTCTGCCCCCTGCACAGTTTCCTCCCCCAATTCCTCTGTCGTCGTGGTATGCACCTGCCTCTCCAACCCACTCTCCACGTCATCCCCATTCGCATCCCCCCTTATCTCAAGAACATCATGAAACGTTTCCTCATCGGCTGACTCCTCCCTCTGCGGCCGCGGCCGCACGCGAATCGGCAAGCCAAAATCATCGAACTCCTCCTGCGGAGGCTGCGATCCCGGGTCCCTCGGCTTCTTATCTACAGACGTATCCCCCGCGGGCCTGACATTCTCTTTGAGTCGTTGTTGTTGTTGTTGGGCGCCATCATCCAACACCGGATCACTACCACCTGCGCCTAACCCCTCCGCATGGTCATGGTCATGGTCATGCGCATGCGTAAGCTCTCCAGACGGCAGACCAGCGCCTCGATCGACATCGACAGAATAGTCAACATCAACAGCGCGACTGCCCTCGACAGAGCTCATTCTTCATCGACGGGACGAGGCAGCAAGTACAATGTGGGGGTAGTGGTGGTGGTGGTGGCTGGCGGCGTGGTCGTCCTTTTTCTTTTCCCGAATACCACCATGCAAGTTCCAACAGGAATCGGGTAACGAATGACCCATTCGCGCGAAAGGGCGGGCGTGGTTCGAGCGGGATGGGTGGTGGGTGGTGGGTTGTTTGTGTGGTATCCCCCTGGAGCTTAAGCTGGTGGCTGGCGGGCAGGGGAGGGGGGAGGGAGGATCAAGGGACTGCGGAGGGCGGAGGAGGGACCACAGTGGGCATGGGCGGATGTGGAGTGAGACAGACAGACAAATTGACCGTGTCAGTCAGTGAGTCAGTCAGTCAGTCAGTTGACAGTCAAGTAGTTGGAAAGCCAGCCAGCGACCGGAGCCAGGAAGGAAGAAGACGGACTGAAAGCGGTGGTGGCAGATTGGATGCGGAGGAACCATCACGTCAGCGGGTTTGACAGCAACCTTCCTTTCTGATCAATCGCCCCCAATATTCAGGCACCCTCCGTCCTGTAATTTACATTTACTCGACGGAAGCGCTTACTTCTTACGCAGCAGCCAACTGGCCTACAATACATAGCCACCTGCTAGTACCTACAGATCGGATCAGGTTCATCCCTCAGTCACAACAGAACCAAACAAGACACATACATCTACAGCTACAGATCCCTTCATCGCACACCCCAGACTCAGTCATCCCAACCCTGGCCTTGTTTGGAATGGTTGGGACATGTACTACAGTACGATCTTGGTACGACTTGACATCCGATGCGGCCGGAAGGGGGGGGCCATGGACCTCCGGATCCATGGCAAACAACCCAGATCTTGAGTATGTAGATATCTAATATCTATCTATATGAGCAGTCAAGGAACGTGACGGACAGACTGCATTGCGCTAAAATATTCTTCGAAAAATGACAGGGTAGATAGACATCTACTATTTGAGACGAAGGCCTCGGCCGGGTGGGGAGAGAGAGAGTCGGCCCGATTCAGGGTTGGTCCATGAGCCATCGGAAGCGGCAGAATGAGAATGTGTAACTGTCTGTCTGTCTCCAAGTCTGAAGGATTAGACGGTAACGCTACTATCTACCTAGTACTGTCTATACTGCATGCTAGTCAATGCCTCAATTACTGCATCTAACTTACGATCAGACGATCCACCAGATAGAACCAGAAAGACAAGCAAATCGAACCATCAACACCAATCTCGTTAACTCCCCAGTCCAGTCCCCAACCCCATGAACCCATGAACCCACACTGGCTCTCGATCTAAACAGTAATACTATCTATATCTATCTATCTAGGCTGAATGAATCCAAGCGAACTTCAAGCCAAGCAATCCCCCCCCCACAGATTCCACTCTCGGACAAATCCGACAGAGCTGCCCCGTCCACCGTCGGAAGTTTCATGTCTACCGAAGCCCCGACGGTGAAACCTCGAGCAACCACACTGCGCTTACACACTAGATGCACAGCCAAGGATTGTCGCTCCTGCTGCTGCTGCTCCGTCCAGTTCTTCTTCTTTTCCTCTTTTCCCCCCTTCTTCTTCTTCTTCTTACTCTGTCCGGCCTGTCTTTGGCGTTTCCGGAGACTCCAGCTTACATCGCTTCTCGATCCCGACTTTTCGGCTGGTGCCTGGATATGCGGCAGGGAAGTAACAACTCGATCGCTATGTTTCAACACTCGCTGTGAACTAAAGGGATTCAAGAATATCCCGATTGCCTTCCGACATTTATCCTCCCGCCCGCTAAAATCCAGGCAAGCTAGGCATCGCAAAGATACTCCCGTCCGGAATCCATTCATCCAGCTCCATGCCCGTCCGTGGAGGCGAAGGATTGCCCGGCGGGCCGCTGTCGGGCGGCGTTCTCTGCTGTGTCTCGTACATATACTGAGACGGCAAGATGGGAGGCGCATAGCCGGCGTACTGATTCACGCTGACCATGGGGTGAAAGCTCTGATCCGGCGGCCACATCCGGTCCGTTGCTGCCTGGACCCCATAGCTTGCGCCCATCGTCTGATAGGCAGTTACCGAGGAATACTCCTCCGCCTTCATTCCAAGCGACACGGTCGCCTGGGACGGGTCGAACTGCAGCGCAATCTGTGTCGGGACATGGCCCTGAGATACCGGGGGGCCAGCGCTCATCTGAGGAACGTACCCGGCATGTCTGTGCATGTACTGCTGCTGGACGCGATCATACCAATTCCGAGCTTTCACGGCAACGACAAAGTACCATCGACTGGGGATCTTGTACTTCTGACCACAGCTGGCCTCAGCTAGTCGCCGGGTCATCGCCTCTAGATATTTGTCCACATTTACGGTCTCGGCGGTCACAAACTCGCCCAGCGCATCTGATCTCACGGAGTGGTAGATCTTGAGCAGGGACATGACAGCTACCCCCACTCGCGTATAAATCAGGTTCGGGATCTTGCGCAGCATATCCGTGTCGCAGTTGAGATAAAAATCGAGCATCTCATGGGCTGCGTTCATCCATTTGATGGTGATGTCTACGCGAATGGCACTCATTGGCGTGCTGGGCGACCTGTCGTTGCTGTCGGGTGACGGAAGGGTATAATACTGCTGTTTTATCGCATCAGGGTCTCGGTAGCCTTCACCAACGGCGAGCTCATATATGGCAAGATTGGTATAGTGATACTCGAAATTCATGGGGACTGCTCACGAGTTAATAAACTGGCATCGTGTTTTGTCTCGGAGAAATACCTGTGTTCATGTCCATAGACAGCCCTTTCTTCCACGACTGCATACGATTGTCAAACCACCTCAGGATGGCCTGGAGGCGCGACTCTGTGAGCGGAGCAGTCGAGCTTGTGTCGTCGAGCCCAAAGGACGTCATTGCTTCGTCAACTATTCTTTGAAGTTCGAACTTGGTGGCCAGGTGTCTATCTATCGCATTCGGTGAGCGACTCAGATGTTTTACGCACTCATCCATCCAGTCGTTGAAAAGAAGCAAATTTGGCCGGCGCGTCTTCATCGCAACACTATCTAGAATCAGCAATGTCCACGATCGTACCGATATGTTCGTCTTACATGGACGTTAAGTGGTAACAACCCAACACTGTCCTCGCTTGTTCCGCCATCTGCTCGTCGTATGCGACCTTTTTATTCGACTTGCGATTGGGGTTCTGGGGCACGCGGCGCTTCGAGGCCAACCCAATTTCTAAAGCCATCGTGGCAGCTATGTGGGTGTATTGATAGAATTGGAGTTTCAACGGCGAATCTGGCGGATAGTAGAAGACGATCATGAGCAACAGCGCTTGGACAAGCTCCAAAGACTTGTCGCCGTTGATGAAAAATCGCTCTGCATAAATCCGGATAAGCTCGCGGTTGAGTATCGTCGCCAGGTTGGCGTCCAGGGCAACGGCCGCGGCGGCGATCACGGACAGAAAGAGCACTGGCTTCGAGCAACGCAGCTGCGAGGCGGTTGTGTCCGGGGGCAATACGACGATCGGAGCAAACGCCGTCAGCTCGGTGACAAAAAAGGCCACCAGTTCGGTGGCATACTCCAGTGAGAGCAGCCCCCGGTCGATAACATCTCTCTCCGGTATTGCTTCGAGTGGGTAGGGGATTGGGACCGGATTGGAAACCGGTCCGGCGACGACGCTGCCGTCAAATGCGATATTTGAATACGAAGAGGCTGACGGGAAGCTGGGCGACATATCCATGTGCCTGGTCGATCCGGATGCACTGCTTGGGGGATCGGTGTTCGCAGGCATAGGCTCGTTGAAATCCGGCTCTGGATCAGGCTCCCGCGAACTTTCACTGTCTACGCTTTCCGCACTGCTGTCGTCCGCACGTAGCCGATCCTTGAGCAGAGAACGCATCTGTCGCATTTCCCTCTCTAGCTGAGCGACCCGAGAATCAGTCCGCTTACGCGGTCGCCGCCTCTGGGGCGCCACGAAAATACAGGGCCTGTTCGCTTTGGCGCATCGTTGGCATTGGTTTGGCGTCGAGGGGTCGGGCAGACAGCGAACTTTCAAACCCCGACACGATTCGCAGGAGCGATTTAGCTGCTGCGCGGCTGCAGCCTGCGACATGAGGGATGCTTCGTTAGGAAGCATGGCGGGTATGTTCGACATGATTCACCCCCACGTCCTTCTGGAATGCGTAGTATCTAGACTGCGGGCGAGCGCCGGGAGACCAGGGTCTGGGATAGCCTATCTTTGGAGGGAGGGGTGACAGCGTTCGTTGAAATCGATCTAGACGATGTGGTTCGTCCTGAGTAGGTCACGCCAGGCAGGGTTGACGAGGTTAGATGCGGGTTTGCGGGATGTGTATCCGCAAGGCCATGTCGTGTCCGTTCGAATGATTCAAGAGTGGGATGGCACAAAAGAGGTGCAGGGGCTCCGGTGGCGGAGATCGAGCGATGGAGTGAGATTCACGATTAGGTATATCGCACGCAGGGAGATGGAAGACATCCAATTGGATGCCCGCTGGCAGGGGAATCTGCAGAAGTCGCCATGTACCCGGTCCGCGAGTAGTCGGAGTTGGTCTGCAGAAGAATCCAGCTGAAGCAGTGGGACTCATACAAGCCTCAGTCATGTGAGAGTCCAGCCACAAGGGGAAAGAGCCTGGCAGTGATGGTGCCATTCGTGGACGAGGTCTGGAGAAGTCCCGTTAGTGGGATGAGCAACGGCTCTCTTTGGTGGGCGGGCGGCCAAGTGGGGAGATTAGATCGACTAAACGGGGGAAGATCCAAGATAGTGAGCGCTTACCATGCAGCTAAGTGTCCTCCTAAGCATTCATCCCTGTGGACAGATAGTCGATAGAGAGAGAGAGAGGGAGAGATCGTGACGACTTATCTACTCCGTCCTGTGTTGGGAGATCTCGCTGCCGAGTTGGTGTACTGCGAGCAAGAACATCATGCGGCCTTTGAGACCGTTGCTTGGGTGGTCCGCGTGAGTTGTTGACAGGGACGCGAAGGTGGAGGAAAGCAAAGGGGGGGGGGGGGGGCGTGTCTAGCTTTGGACCCAAAATTAGCTGCGATACACAGTTACTGATACACACCCAGCCCTGGCCAATCATCGGATCCGATTCTCCGTAGCGGCCAATCAGGACGGGCCCTCCAGCGGCATTTCTCCGCGAGAAGCCACTTGCCCGATCCGGTAATTTACATGGTCGCGCTTTCCCGGCTCATGCTCATACTTCTCGTCCTTGTTGGGCCCTTCTTATCTAACAGACCTTGAAAGCTAGTTAGGCAGCACTCTCTATACTCAGGTTGAAGCGAAGAACACGGCATACAGGTATATGCAACAATCACAATCCAGCGCGCTGCGCCGCTGCACGAGCTCACTGTGTTCTCGGCTCCGGTATCATAGCCATCAACCACCTCGTCTTCGAGCACTTCCTCGATTTCCTGGCGATCTTTTACCTTGACCCCAAGAGTCTTCCATACGTCATCCGCTTCCTCGGCCCTTCCATGGAGCTGTAGCCATCGGGGTGAGACCGAGAGGTAGAGCGGGACTGCAGAGACAAATGCCACAGCCAGATCGACAAGCAGAATGAAGGGCAAACGCCAGGGCAGGGACCCTTCGATCCTAGATTGAACTGGGGTCATGTTTCTGCTGTGTTACATACATGGTGACGGGACGTGTATTCGTGTATGAAGGATAGCGGTTTACAGCAACAGTGCTGACTGATTGAAGTATACAGTATACAGACTTGACAAACTTGGGGGATTTTGGGAGTGGGAATGAACGAACCTGTTTGAGGGACCGCAAAATGCACCTTATACAGCCCATCCCCAACCATCTCTCCATCGTATTCCAGAGAGCAATCTCTCCTCCATTCCATAAACACAATCCACCGCCCTCCCAACCAACCACAAGACCTGATTCCCTGACATATCCTTCTCAACCTCACCTTCTCACCAGCTAACACCCCAGTCTGACGGGCTCAACCGCAACGGCATCCTGTTCGTCACTGCAATGGTAATCTCATGCCGGATCCAAATCCAGATTACGAGGCCTTGGCGGTATGAGCTGAGGAGGTGGATTGTTTCTGGGGTGAGGGGGACAGGGGGCTGTGGATTTGCTTAGTGATGGGGGGTGGTAGGTGATGTTGGTGGAGGGGGACGGAATCGCTGGGATCTGAAGATTGTGGTTCTGGATAGCTCGCGCGAAAGATATCCCAGATGAAGGTTGGAGATACTGGAGTATGATGGTGGTTTCCAGATGGTGCTGGCACATCATTCTCCGTCGAGACGCCCTCCTGTTGATTCGATCTACCCCGGTCGGTCGAACACCATGTCGAGTAGGCGATGAACTCTCAGGGTCGACATTCCAGTTCTAGTCGTTCACAGTTGCTACAAATTGGTTTCTTCTCGTCGCAACACCTGTGCCGCGCTTTACAGGCAAATCTGCGAAATTTCAGTATAGCGGTCCACAAGACTAGCGACGTTGGCAGACCAACCATCCTGGTGATGTCGGTGTCAGTGTTCAGAGGGAATCCCAGGTACCTGTTTTCTTGCGTGTTCCGCCTCTCCGCCTCTTGATACGAGTCTCCTGTGGTGATGACTCCGTTTCCATCTAAATCAATATATTGTCGTCTTTACCGTCCCCGAATCATCCCTCGCTGGTTATAGAGAGAGTCCGATGGGTTTTGTTCACTGCAAAACGCGGGGTTAGCGGCATCAGATCCCAACGCTTATTCGTCTGCCAAGTGCCAATGCTTTCATTCATCATTGACCCCCTTTTGCATAAAGCTGGGCAATCTCTCATAAAAAGGATACATAAAACCAACGATGCCTTGTCCTTGTTTTGACCAACGTCTACCTAAAGGTAGATGATGTTATGTTCCCCCCCCCCTCCCCCCCCCCCCGATCAGGCTTAGCTCGATCAACCTTCCGTGCAGATCGCGGAGTTAACAGATCAGCTGACCCGGACTTTCCTGCTGTGGTTTTGCCTTGTGGCCTGAGGCCGCACAGCGTCCATGACGAGTGTAGTGTGTACTCCGTAGGGTCCAGATAAATAACCCTCGTATTATCATAGTGCCTTAATATAAGTTAATAAAACATCATCTAAGTCTCGCATCCTTCTATCTCAGGTACAGCAACTTGGTCCGGTATCTCCGAGGCCCCGTGCCGGTGCTGGAGGGGATCTAAAGCAAGCCCGAAGCTTGTCAGGTATAGATACACCGTACTGTCAGGGTCTTGGCGCGAGGTTTTACCCAGTCCGTCCCTGGATTGATCGGTCGGGGTATCTAGAGAGAGAGTCATTTTCTGAAACAAACGCAATTACCTAAGTCGCGATGTTGCTGGTTGGCCACTATCTAGATACTCGTAACTTGATATCTGTGTCAGACAGCGCCAGCTCAACTCAATGTTACTAACTGTACGGAGTAGATACATAACTACTAGGTACGCCACTAGCCGATGGAAATTCAACAGCGCGGCGCTAGGAGGCGAACACGAGAGGCTTGATGCTCGGGATTAATGGATGGATGGATGGATGGATGGATGGACAAAGCGAATCGCCCGGATGATGCGCGCTGTTTTATCCAAGTCCGAGGCACAATGATGTCTTGCCAGGGTTCGAGAAGCAGTCCTTACAGCCCTGCCTTTCTCTGTTGTGCCTCCACGGCGCTGACATTGGCTGCAGGCCCAGCGGTTGATCCGCCGAGCAACACGACTAGTCCTGTTATTTATAGCCTTTGCAGGAGCAACGGTCGGTTGGTCGGTCGGTCGGTCGCGGTGTCGACTGTATGTTGAGACAGGCTAAACCTGATTGTGGGCATGTATGTATATGTATATGTATATCTAGATATTCGCATCATCCGACAAGCAATAACATACTACTCGGTAGTAGATAGTAGAGATATCTCCTCCCCGCATCCTGCACGCTACCGTGTGTATTTAATATATATCTATGAAACGAAACCCCGAACCCTTTGTTAAATACGGTTGGGTCGAACTCTTCCGAAAACAGAAACGATGCGCGTGCGTGGATGGCCTCCCAGATCCCAGTAGTGGCAGCCCAGCCACAGTCTCACATCATTCGTAAGAGACCGCTTAGCGAAAGGAGCCTCGGATGTGTTGTGATTCGCTACTATCAGGGGAAGGATGATGATGATGATGATGGATTTCTTTATGATGATGATGCGACACGTCGGCTCCAGGACAGAAAGGGACAACAATCAATAATCATTAATCATAATAAAGGGGTCGGCGAAACGCCATCACGCCCTGCCGTGATCCTGAAGCTGAAATGAGCGGCGCGTAAGGAGAGCGATAGAGAGTCGAGCAGTACTATTAGCAGCATCTACTGTGTATGGCATAGCCGCAAAGTGCAATGCGATCCTAACGCTTATTAGTTTTTACCTTGTGGAGAACCCCCACTTCCATCACAGACTCTGGGTCTTTTTTTTTTTTTTTTTTTTCTTTCATCGGCCGCGTGGAGCATCCCAACCCTGACTTGCCGTGTAGATAGATAGTTGTGTACGGAGTACTGTCTTCGGCTTTTAGGGGGTGGAAAAACCAGGGTATAGATACCAGCCATCCTCTCGTGGATGACTGCAGCGGAAGGCCAACTTCCACCTTCCAATTGGCACTTGCCAGTCACCTGGCGAGAGAGAAGGGAGGAGAAATTGCGGCGGGTAAAAATGTGCGGCGGTACCAGCAACCAGACTATGACGCGGCCCCCAGGGTGTCTCGGTCCCCTCGGACCACATTGTACGCATCGCCATCCAGAACCCACGACAAAGGGCCAGTCAGTCATTCGGAATAGCCCGTGCGAGATTCGTCATGCGATTGGCCTGAAACTGCACACGCAAGGTACTAGCAGGGCGCCTAGTGAGTTCTATCTAGTGCGGAGTGGTCATCGACATCGACATCGCCAGTGACGAGATAGAGAGAGTCCATGATGCTGGCGGCAAGCTGCCGGATGACGACGAGGCCCGCGATCGAATCAAACTTCCAGACGGCCCAGGGAAACGGAGGTCCGGCAGACGGAAGTTAGACCAGTTGCACAGTTGGACAGTTAGACAGACATTTTCTCCCAAGCCGGATCGGCACGGTATCTCCATCGCCAAGACGAGCAAGGCTGTTCAGTTCCAAGTATCTACCACTCTCCTCCTCCTCAGGTTCTTTTCTCGGACGACGACTGCCTGCCTCTCGCCACTCACCCTCGGTTCTGCTTGAGCGGACGGTAACTGCGCACGCGACCCGGGCGTGAGGTGGTTCCTTTTATAATAATAAATTATACGCCTTCCCTGCCGATCGCTGTTGCGGATCGTGGGATTTCCGGGCTCCAATCCGTACTCCGTATTATTATTATTATTATTATTGTATTGTTGTTGTCTGTCTATCTGTCTGTCTGTTCTATTTACTGATCGTTCAACCCGCCACGAGCCTAAAGTCGTTAAGTACGAGTGAGCCTACGACGCACGCCTGGCTGACCTCCGCCGCCTTTTATCTTCCCTTCCCCCCCCCCCCCCCCCCCCGGTCCCTTTAAATCCACTCGTTTCCCTCCCTCCCCTTCGGATCGCCCTTTCGCCCCCTTGAGGATTCCGCCCGGTCCGTATTCTATTATTGTTATTTTATTATTATTGGCAACCCCAAACACCCTTTGTCTTATCTGCCGACTTGTGCAACCCTCAGATAAGAGCATGCGGTCGTCAAGTTCCTGAAAGTTGAAAGAGACATCCAACACCTTCTGCGCCGTCCATCATGTGGTCGACAACCCCCCGTTTCCTCCTCAGCCTCTACGGGCTGTTATTGTTTGCCATCGGCCTGGCTCGCGCCGATGTCAATTTCATGAGTGTGAGGCCCACGGTGGCCCAGGATTACTCGGGGACAGGAGGGACCCCCGGGTCCAAGTATTTCAGTAAGTTCGCCCTGATCTGTCGCTGTCGCTGTCGCCATCCGTTGTTGGCGCTGGAGCTGGCGCTTCAGGTGGTTGTTGGGGATTCATGCTAACGGACCACAGAGGAGTCTAGGTACGTAGTCGACAACCCATCCACCGCTCCCCCCCACGATTGATGAAGTCCCTTCGAACTAATTTGGATACCCGCTAGCTTTCATTACCATTATGATGGACGGTATGTTTGGTTCCACTTGGTCGAATCCTGCGTCGGCTGATCTCCTTGGTAGCTTCGCCTCCAAAGTCCTACCCGAGGACAAGACCGTGCCATACCTGTCGGAACTCATCCGGACCTACCTGTCGACAATGGAAGACCTCGGGGCGGAGACCTGGATAATGCACGGAACGCTGTTGGCGTGGTGGTGGAACCAGAAGGTTGGGCTCCCAACAACCGCGGTTGTTTACAAACGTGCCGCCCGCTGACGGTTGGCCAGATCTTCCCATGGGACAACGATATCGACGTGCAGATCTCCGAGCCGACCATCCATTTCCTGGCCGATTACTACAACATGACGGAGCACCACTTCGACATTCCCGGCGTGGAGGGCGGACGGACGTACCTGCTGGAAATCAACCCCAACTACATTGTCCGGTCCACCGACGACAAGCTGAACGTCATTGACGCGCGATGGATCGATACCTCGTCCGGGCTGTTCATCGACATCACGGCCGTGCGCAAGGACGACGACAGGCGGAAACACGGCGACGACGGCTCGTTGATGTGCAAGGATGGCCATCGATTCGATGTGGGTGGCGCGCAAACCGGTGACACAGCAGCACCCCCTGGCTGACTTGGCGTTTCTAGGAAACCGAAATCTTCCCGCTGCGTAACAGCTACTTCGAGGATGTCCCCGTCAAGATCCCCTTCGAATATGTCCGTCTGCTCAAGAAGGAGTACGGCTCCAAGTCCATGACCGCCAGCGTCTTCCAAGGGTATGCTCGTCTCCATCCCTACCCATGATGTGTCAGCCGACTAACACCCTCCACAGCCATCACTTCAACCAAATCACTCAAGTATGGGACAAGCTCAAGTACGTCACACACACACACACACACACACCACCTCCACGTGCGACCTTTGACTAACAACCTTTCCAGGAAGAAGCGCTTCTGGCGACGCCGGGAAACCGACTTCCCCATCCGTCTCAGCCCCCTCGGCCCCAAGTTCCGATGATTGTATCACATACCCCCTCTTCATCTCGTCTATGACAGTAACGATTTAGACCGGCTCCAAAATCTACATAGTGCCCGCCTCTTCCCCCTTCCCCCCCTTTTTTTTTGACTTCGTTTGCATATATGGCATGGCGTTGGCCTTCGGTGCGCTACGATTTCCGCATGTCGGCTACGTTTTGGCGTTTGGATCTTCTTTCTTCTCTCTCTTTTCTTATACACTATGTATATTCTCTGTGGCTTCCTGTGTGTTCCTGCGACCTTCTGATCTATATATTGAAGAGCTGAATTTTGCTCGCGCCCCCTGCCTGATACATGGGCGCTTGAGCGTTTCAGAGCCCGTTGTGTGATGTTGGGCTCTTGTGGATATATACTACATCATATATAATATGACTGAGGCGTCGCCTCTTATAGACTCTGCATTTGGATTACATACTACTAGTTATTAGGAGCTAGCTGAATCTGTGGAAATAACCCACCGCCAGAGATTGGAAACAAAGAGAAAGAACCCATGGAGGGAGTATCTGGCGTCACCACAACCTCAAACTGGAAAGAAAAGCCTACTGCCAAATAAACCTCGTGCCTGAAGGCTTCTTCGAAATCCAAGAAGTCTCCCCGTTCCCTCCACGCCTATTCCCGGATTAATCGCGCTGTGACTCAGCATATGCCTGGTCCGACGTCGATCTGATCTGATCTGATAAGACAGGGGCATCTTGGCGTTGGGGCTTCACTCCACACCTCCACAGGGCACACACAAGCAGCAACAATCAAACAATATCAACCTGACCAGCAGTAAATAACAGTCATCCTGACCTAGGAGTTCTCAAGACCAACAGTCAGTTTTATATATATCAAAAAGGCATCTTTCTCTTTCACAATTTGCACATGTGCCCAGGCAGCCGTTTCTTCAACAACCACCCTCACATTCTCCCGTCGAAAACCCATCACATCGTGGTTGCTCAGTTCTCCGCACATTACTGGACTCTTTTGAAGTTAACAGCCCAGGCACAGAATGTTCGCATTCGTGTCTTGTGTACCCGGCTATGAGGGAGCCGTTGTCGATGTATCAGAAGCGCTTTGGTGACAAAAAGATGCCCACTGCCGCTGGGGAAAACGTATATTCGGGGCTCTTCTGACGGGGCTTGATTATCTGCACAAGGAGTGCAGGATGGTTCATACTTACCGGTAGGTTCATCACATCTTCGAACGTTGCTTCCCTTCCTGTCGGCGATAACTGAGTTCGAGTGGTGGCTAGCTGGGTAATGGATGGTAGATGCACTGCGGATATCTGGAATCTTGGTGTTTTGGTGCGTAGTTTCATGGATTATTTGTTCTCTTCTCCTGAGTTTGTTGTTGTTGTTGTCGTTGTTGCATCCACTAATGCCAGAGTCCAGCTGTGGGATATGATCAAAGGCAAAGAGCTCTTCCGGCATATTCATGATCATGATCAGGAAAGCTCGTTCGCTATGATGCTCGATTACACATCGCTGAAATCATCGCCTTACTCGGAACACCCCCTCCAGAGGTCCTACAAAGGTATCAATATATGCGGGAGTATGCCTGGCCGGAACCTGTCAAACGAGAAGACGGCAGAGTGTGCGAGACCGCAGAGGAGTATTTCGGTGGGCCATTCTTTGACGGAAAGGGTAATTTTCGCGCGTTTCCCATCTATCTCGAACGAATCTTTTTTCTCTTTTTTTTTTTTTTTTTTTTTTTCTCAGACTCACAAAACCATCTTGTTAGGTCGCTTCCTCTACGAAGACCTACCTGATCCCGGACCGCAAACTAGACGACACAGCTTCGTTCCTTGCGGAAGAAGGAGAAGGATGCGTTTTTGGATCTCGTCAAGGGAATGCTTGTCTGGCACCCAAATGAGAGAAAATCGGCAGGCGAGTTGGCCGGGTATCCTTTTCTTCAACCAATGCACACAACCGTCTAGGTTTTTGCGAGCGTTTGCAAAGCGGAATAGGGGATAGCTGGACTTGACTTAAGTCGAGTTTGTGCTTGATCCCACCCAGTTCGACGATGCTATCAGATTACCGGTTGAAGCGTTGACGTGGTTTGTCTTTATTATTTTATGCCTTTTTCTTATTCAAGTATATAAATCTAGTACTATGAGTGGAGAGTCTCTTGAACATCGAAGATACTAGTAGTAGTACATCACCTAAAGCCACCCCTCCACAGTCTCCTCCCCCATGTAAAGAACAGAATCGACCGACCCAACACATGTCCAAACGCCAACGGCAACCCAAACCTCAACCACGAGAGAGGCTTCCAAAGCGTCGCCCTGGGCACAGTGATCACCGCACGCTCACCCTTACCCTCCCCCCGACCTTCTCTACTCACATCAGATTCCGATTCAGCTTCAGCCTCTCCCCGTTCCACCCCCATAAACGCACCCACCGCCTCGCATATGATCCTCACCGTATTCCCCGGCTGGCTCAAAAACGGCGAATGACTACTCTGCAACTCCCTATGCTCGACCCTCCCGCCCATCTCCCGCGCCATGCCCACCCCCATCCGCTGCGCCAGCACCGGCAGCCCACGGTCCTCCACCGTCCCGATATACCAAACCGGCACGTCCTGCCACCCGGCATACGAGTGTTCTCCGCCCTCGAACAGCGCCTTCAGACTCTGGCTCGTGAGCCGCGAGACCCAGAGCTCGGCTTCAGCGTCGGGCAGGTCGTGGTAGAAGAGCTCTCGCGGCGGAGTGACGAGCTCCGCGAACCCGGTTGCACTGTTCACGCGCCATGACGGCGGTGGTTGGCCGAAGAAGGGATCCATGAAGGCGAGGCCGTTGAGGACGAAGCCGGAGGCGATCAGGATGAGGCCGATGACGTGGCCTTGGGATTGGGATTGGGATTGGCTTTGGGATTGGGGGGTTGTTGCTGGGGAGGGGGAGGATGGCGCCGCGAAGCCCTTGATGGCGCTGCCGCCGACCATCCCGCCGTAGGAGTGGGCGATCACCACCACGTCGCGTCCCTGGCTTGTCTCGTCGGAGATGGCGGCGCGGGTCACGTCGATGTCATCTTTGAAGGTCGCCAATGGGTTGCCGGTTGTGGAGGGCAGGGCCACGGCGATGCATTTGAGCTTGTGTTGCGATTGCAGCAGTTCGATGATCGGGTCGTAGCAGGCTGGGGTGTGCCACGAGCCGTGAACCAGGACTAGGGTTGGGGGGTTGGTCATTCTGTATGTTGTGTCGGGGATGGCACGCGGTGGTGAGGATTGAGGTTGGGATCCCCAGTTATTAATTAGGATTCCCTTTTCTACTTATATACTATCTTACGATGAGTCCACGACTGGCTTTGTAGTGCAATGAGCCGATGGTTTTACGTCACACGTGCCTCGAAACCGGGGAAAGTGTTGAACCTTGCTCAGGTTGGCTTAGTGGATCTTGGCGGTAGGATTCCAGAATCAGTACTAACTATGTAGGGGAGCCCTTGTGCGAGGATCAGGGGTATCTATCTACTCCGTATCTATGTGTTGGACACAGCGTCTCCTGGCTTGGATGGACCGACCGGTCAACTTTCCACTTCTAGTTTCAATTATTCAAACGGAATGAATCACAATCACAATCGCCCACGTGATGGTCAGATTGATTACTAAAGGGCGTGGCAGCTGGCTAATCAGAACCCGCACAGCGGGAGCCGCTGGGCCTCGAGGGGGCTGGGTAGCCAATGGGGAGGCGCGCCTGGGGCCTGGGCCCCGCACCCAAGGATGAGTCGATGACTGCAGGAGGGAAGATCCCAAGAGAAGGAAGAAGTAGTAAGACGAGAACAATTGTTTTGCTTTTAGCTGCTCGTGTCTGTCCGTCCCTCTGGGCGTTTTCATTTTCCCGCTCGACTCCATCCTGCGAACAACATCGTTTGAGGATGTGGCTTGTTGGTGTCCCTGCTTCTTGCTTCATCTCGTCCTCGCCATGTCGTCGTCATTCCCTTCTTCCACTTCCACGTCGCCCACGATGATCTCACCTCCGACCGCCCCATCGTCTGTCTCCCCCCCCAGGAACGGCTCGGACATTGTGCCTGGCCCGCTCTTCGCCCACGACTCTCATGTGTCCTCCCACGCCTCGCAGGACAGCCTGCGCAGCTGCATCACCTGTCGTCGGAGAAAAGTCCGCTGCAACAAGAAGACCCCCTGCTCGAATTGCGTCAAGGCCGGCATCCAGTGCATCTTCCCCCCGCCCGGACGAGCGCCCCGCAAATCCAAACGGCCTCAGGATGCCGAACTCCTGTCCCGACTACGCCGCCTCGAGGGCGTCATCGAACACCTCAGCGAGAAAAAGGGCAGCGGTGCCGCTTCGCCCTCCGAAACGCCCTCCCCAAACCTACCACAGCGCAGCGAGAATGCTCCGCCCGTCGAACTTCCTGTCATCCCCGCCGATGCTGGGCCCGAGGGCTGCCCGCTTGGCATGGATCCCGCCAAGTTGGATCCCGCAAAGCTAGGCAGGCGAAGCATGGAACATGAGTTTGGTAGGCTGGTCATCGATGAAGGTCGGAGCCGTTATGTTAGCAATCGATTCTGGGCGAGTCTGGGAGATGAGGTGAGCGAGGCTCTGTCTTGGCTGTCTGTCCTGGGCCATGTTATACTGACGGTCGGATAGATCGAGGAGCTGCAGGATATTCTGGATCCATCGTCGTCCGAGGACGAAGATTACCCCTCCCCCGAGTCGTCTTCAAGCCATTCAAACCATGACGGGTTCTTGTTTGGGTTCTATTCCCTTTCGCACTCGCTACACGAGTTTCTGCCGCCGAAATCGAAAATCCCGCTGCTATGGAATACTTGGCTGGAAAATGTGGCTCCCTTGACTCCCATTGTCCATAAAGCGACGGCCAGGCAACTGTTTCTTACTGCTGCCCAAGACCCGAATAGCCTGGACAAGAACACCGAGGCATTGTTCCTTGCGGTGTGTTTGGTGTCGATTATCAGTATGTCCACGGAACAGTGTGTGATCCAATTTGGCGAAGAGCGGGATGCCGCTGTGAAGCGCTACCGTTTCGCTGTTGAGCAAGCCTTTGCCAAGGCGAATCTCCTCAACACCCAGAGTTTGACGCTTCTGCAAGCAGTCGTCATCTTCTTGATCGGTATTCGCCGGGAGGACGACACCAAATTCGTGTGGTCTATGACCGCGCTTGTCCTTCGCCTCGCGCAGGGACTGGGCCTTCACCGCGATGGCATGAACTTTGGGCTGAAGCCGTTTGAAACAGAGATGCGCCGACGACTGTGGTGGCACATCTGTCTGTTGGATATTCGGGCGGCAGAGGATCACGGGAGTGACGCTCAGATCCATGAACGGTTGTATGATACTCGACTTCCGTTGAACATCAACGACGACGACATCACGCCGGACATGACAGAGCCTCCCACAGAGCATGTCGGCTGGACAGAGATGACCTTCTGTCTGATTCGGTGCGATATCACTGTTGCCGTGCGCCGGGTGAGCTACGCCTGCCCGAACGGCCATTTCGCTGCAAGTATCCGACAGATCAACCCCGACAACTGCGGCCAGCTGATCCGGTCCATCAACAACCGCATCGAGGATCGATACATCAAGCACTGTGATATGAACATCCCCATCCAATGGGTCTGCGCAACCATTGGCCGCCTGATCCTGACAAAGCTTTGGCTCGTCGTTCACCACCCGATGACCCGGCCTGAGCGCGGACTCAACATCAGCCACGCCAACCGCGAGAGCCTATTCGCCACATCCGTCGAAGTCGCCGAGTTCCAACGCCTCATGGGCGCGGACCATAACACCTACAAATGGAGCTGGCTATTTGCCACGAACATGCAATGGCACGCCATCGCCTACATCCTCTCTGAGCTCTGCGTCCGCCCACTCAGCCCCTTGACAGACCGGGCCTGGACCTCCGTCAGCACCCTATACGGGGACTGGATGCGAAACAGCAAACAGCGAAAGGGCATGCTCTGGCGTCCTCTCTCCCGCCTCATGAAGCGAGCGACCGCCTTCCGAGCCAGACAGGAAGAGATGCGCGCGCAAATGAGCGCCAATCCCCGCCCAGCCAGTGACATTACCCTCGCCGATGGCGCCGCCCCTGTCATCATGCAGCCCCCACTCCTCCCCCTCCCCCGAGCCCTCGACTTCCAATCCTTCCCAGAATCAGAACCAGAGCCACCCACCACTACCACCAATATGCCTGATATCACCACCACCACCACCACCACCAACGGCCTAGACATCGACATCCGCCAAGGTCCAGTCGACCTCATCAACGAAATCTTCCCCGATACCGACTGGCTCAACCCCCAAACTGCCGCTAATCTACACCTCCCGACAGGCTTAGGTCCGTCGATAGACACCTCCGGACAACCGACAGGACCACCAGGCCCACAAGGCGAAATACCGAACCCGAACCTCAATTGGGAGGAATGGGACCAGGTCATGAGTGATTTCCAGATGGACCTGGGAGGGTCGAATTCGGTCAATCCCTTTGGGAATGTCTTGGATTGGCTTGCTTGAGCAATTGCAGTTGAAGTTGTTGCGGTTACATTTGTGGTTGTGGATGTAAATGTGGATGTGGATCTGGATGTGGGTATTTTTTCGTTTTTTGTTTTTATGTGATACCTCGAGATAAAAATGCGGCGGCCCTGGTGGCCAGTCAATATGTGCATGCGGGACCGGGACGGTCAGATGGATGTTCTGGTTTCGCGTTTGATCTAATTTTTTTTTCTCTCTCTCTCCTCTCTGTATGAGCAGCAGAAGCAGCAGAACTCTCCATTCTATGATAATGAAATAAAATAGATTAATAAAACGAAAATACCTACTACCATAAGTGTGTGTGATTTTTAATGTATACGAGATAGGATAGTCTGGCTTCCCCGAGTGTCTGATAATCTGATGAATGGTTGGTTATCTGGTTGCCCATAATTTAAAATTAATGGGATAAGAATAGATAAAAGCAATGCTCAAGGAAAGTATTTATATTTATGATTATTATTATTATTATATCCTACTTCCAGTTTATCTTTCTAAGTAGATATGAAATATATTTTTGGATGTTGTAATAATGATAGTACTATGTATGACTGTTATCCCCGGTAGTTGCGGGTTGGGTTGGGTTCGTTAACTAGTAGTTATATGTAGTTAGTACTAAGTGTAGTAATTGATCTTGATCAGGCAGCCCCAGGACTACTACTAGTATATATAAAACAATAACCAACCCTTCCTTCATAATGCTACTCTGGACGGTGTAACTGAATGGTAGGGTGAATTTGTTTATATAGACAATTGCAAGGGAGGAAAGATATTACTATATGTACGTATGATATACATACGCAAAATAGTAGAAGATGTCATCAATGAATCTATATTCTACAAAGATGAAGGCTAAAGTTAAATATGGTCTAAAGTTACCCTAGTATAAGCTTCCCTAGTTAAAAGATTAATAGTTGTTAATAATCAATGAATAAATAGACTGGTATCATATCTTATATTAGTAAAAAGATTGAGGGTGTGTTGATATGGGATATGAAAAGTTGTGGTGGTAATTCTACTCTATAAGAAAATCCAAGAAGCGTGGTTTTTACAATAGTACCACGGGTGCGCAGTTAACTATCTTTTCAATAAAAATTTTTAGACATTGATTGATTCATTCCAGGGCATGTAAGCCAGATGACAGATGCCATCTCTCACGACACGAGAAAAAAAAAAAAAAAAAAACAAGTGAACTTTTGTGTGGTGCTGTAAGAACAAAGAGGGGTATTTACACAGGCTTCAAAAGCTTCAAGTTAAGATGTACAATCATCGATCGGGTCGTGGCAAGTGGATCATGAGGGCAAAGAAGAAGCAGAAAAAAAAAAAGAAAAGAAAAACCAGAAGAAGGGAGTTATTTTTTGTCAAGCCAGCCATCTCTTTCCCGTTGGTTGTTGTAACCCCCCCCAAACACACGCTAAGTACAATCGGGATACAACAAGTGAGTTTCTTGTCTGTGCCTCAGCGACCCCAGCGCGAAAAGTCCAAGTTCTCCAGAATATGGGCGTCGGCGGCGGCATTCCAGTCTGTGGCGAAGTCGGTGTGGACGGAAGTGTTGCGCGAGGGCACCTCCTCGGAGAAGATGTTGGCTTTGGTGTTGCGGCGCTGAGCGGGATAGGTGCCTTCTGCAGCTTCGGAGCTTTGGGCCTGGGATCCGAGAGCGCGTTCGCGGAGTCGTTTGATCTGCCGCAGTCGGTTGCGCCAGGACGAGATGTGCTCGCCTCCTTCGCTGTCCCAGACGAGCGAGAACACGGAGGCGTTGAGCGCGAGGATACGGACGAATGGGGCAAGGTTCTTCGCGGAGATGATCTTTGGCGTGGCGGCAGGCGAGATTTCTGGAAACCCGGGCTTGCTCATCACCCGCACCTGGTAGAATAGGCTGTCGAAGTCGGTGCGCTTTGACTCTGCAGTGCCGGGCTCATTGGTGATGCGACACACCGGGGTGATGACAATGTTGACGAAGTTGAACTGGGAAGGGATCGTGTTGAAGTTGAACGGCGTGTTCGATCGATTGAATACAATGTTGACATAATCATTTCCGAGGTGGCGTTTCTTGCCGACGCACGACGGATCGGTGTCAAAGTTCGTAGGCATCATTGTTGCCACGTGGTAGACGATCTCAGTCACTCGATCGCGCCATGCGTAAGTAGACTCTCCGTCAAAATCCGCGTGCAGCCCTTGGGTATTGAAGCGCGCACCCTGGAGCGGGACCTTGGTTCCGAGTCTTGACAGGAAATATTCGTAATCCGCGCTGCCGCCGGTGTTGGACAGTATCTCAGCTTCGGTGGTCTGGCCGTTATCGATATATATGACGCCGATCTTGTGTCCGTCCACAATATCATTGCGATCGAAAGTGGTCAGGGCCCGACGGGTGATATCGTCGTCAGGAAGCGGAATAGGTTGCATCACAGTAGGTGTGGGAAACGCCGTGGTGGTCAGCTGCATGATGATGTGGCTCGGAAGGACCGCAGTACGCAAGGTGTCGGAATGCAAGTGAGCGTCCGGCGTTGAGGGAACCTGATGAGGGAGAACGGGTGCAGTGCGTTGCTGGTATGTTGCATACGTAGTTCCCGACGCCTGTCTCTTCGTGATTTGAGTCAAACCCGACACACCAGCTGTCTCAACGGTCACTATGCTCATTCCCACAATCCATGACTTCGTGACTGCAGGTCCGTCTTCTGGGCTCGGGGGGAATGTGGAATACGGAATAGTATCGCCCAAGTCCGAGAAAGCCGCCCTCTGCATCAGGTCAATAAACACCTGGCTTGGCTCTTCAACCGTTTCCTTCTCATGCTCATCTGTGTAGATCAGTCTACTAGTTATCCAGTTCACATGTTTCGCTCGATCCTGCAATTTCAAAGACAAGAACCAGAAAATCATGACATGGTACGTGAGTGTATAGATGTATCTTGACATTCCGTCCTGAAGTGAAGGATCCGACGAGTCTGCGGGAGAAGCCAAGGACTCCCTACCAGTCCTGGTCGAAACATGGGCGCCCCTCGTAGGAGACTCAGATGCCTTGAACCGGTGCTCTCTGGAAGTCTGTAAGAAACGGACGCAGATTCCAAAGACAGTACGAATCTCCTCTTCGCGCAGATTGATATAGACATCGGGCAGACGTGCAAGAAGAGCCAAGAATTCCAGAATATGCACAGCAAGATTGGCCAATGTGATGACTTTGGACATCTTGTCAAGAATGCCGTTGAGAGATTTTGTCACCGAAAGCGGAATTTCGTGGCAGCAGACAGAGAGTGCGTGTATACATCCGCGCGAGGTACTTCCCCAGGATCCTATGATACCCATCATGAACGCCCGAACAAGCTCATCTTGTTCACTTTTAGCAAAGTGACCATGGTAGCTGATCAACGCGCACAGAAAGTCGAAAATGTAGCCAGCAACGTCGGTCTTCTTTGCACCAGTAGTCGCTGGCGGTTCGCGGAAGGAATCATTTTTGACCTGATCACAAAGGATACTGCGTAGAAGTTTAATCTGCGGAACTGCATTGCTGAAGAGGTCCTTGTTATGAAGCTGGGTCGCAAGATGAGCAAGAACATAGCTGTAGAGGTCCCAATTGGTTTCTCGTTGCAACAGTGAGATGACAGTTTCGAGCCACATATTTGCCTTCAATGCCACCTTCTGGGCCGGCTCTGACTCAATATGGTGGATTGTGTCCGGAGTAGCATAAGCGTATACGAACGGACTCGATTCATCTGGAGGGGCTTCAGGAAGGACCTGCGGGGCGGCAAACGTCCAAATGGGGGGAGTGAGTTTCGCAGCCCGAATGGGAATGCTTGAGTTCCGCCCCGTGGACCTAGACAAGATACTAGCAGATGGCTCTTTAGTTGAGTGTCTCCTATGGGCTGCTGGCCGCCCTTGATCACTATCATTGTCATGATCGCCGGCATAGTCTTCATGTGATTTGGAACCCGCTTCAAAATTCCGCCCGGAGATATTCATCATGAAGTCAATTTCAGAGACCGAGGTCACAGTGATCGACCCAGAAGAATCACAACGCAGTCTGAACAATAGCTTCAGGGAAGTCAAACGTGCGTCTGCCGGACGGTCGGAGGAATGGGCAATCATCAAAAGGGCCTCGTAAGCCGAAGCTGCCTTGGTCGCCGACACATTCAACGTTCTCAAAAACATCCGGACAAGCCCAACGGTGCACACATTGGCCAAGGATAACTCCAGCACACTGTTATAAGAAGGACGTTCCGAAGACAAGGTCGAAGACTCCGATCCGAGAGCACCTTCCTTGTCCAGATCTTTATTCATGGGCGAGCTTAAAATGTCCACCAATTGCTTGAAGGTATCGCCATCGCTGGCAAGAACAGAAGTGTCAACAAGAAAAGAGACCAACGATTCTAGGAACAGAATGTCATCCTCGTCAGCAAATTTCTCCAACATGAGGCTGAGAAGGCCCTCTTTTTGGAAAAGAACCAGAGAATCATAGCTGTTGAAGGAATCTTTGATGGTGTCCAGGGCTAGGATTCTGATGTCAGACGGTTTGTTCCGGGCGCGAACGAAGCTGCGGATGACTCGTTGGCATTGTTCGACCCAGCCAGGAGACTCGGGGGAGCAGAATCCCTCCGTCCTGATCGTGTCAAGGACGAGTTCAGCCTGCGGAGGCTCGATGTATCGGCAGGCGTTCATCAGGAAGCGCGCAGAGTCTAGTCGTTGCTGATGGTTTAAGCGATCCCAAAGGGTCTCCAAGGTTGACGCGATTTGGATGACATTGGCTAGGATGTTAGATCGCGTGTCGTCCAACACGCTGCCTCTTGGGAGGAGTGGCTGTGCGTCAGGCGTGGCCGGTGAGGACTCTTCCGGCTCGTCGACAGCCCGCAGGGAACACGAATTCAACACATTCACAAACCCGTTCCAGTTCTTTTCCAGCGCAACGGTAACAAAGTCACCTTCTAAAATGTTTAGACATAGCTCCAAAATATCCGCCTCCAACCGACCATCGTCTTTGTTCACCACAACCACCCCAAGAGCGTCTATCAGACGGTTGAACTGGAGTTCCGGTATCCCGTCCTGACCATGCGCGCGTACAAGATCCATAAAGACATATACTGCTCCCCGGACAACATTGAGATTACGACTCTTTTCACCAGAGGACTCTGACAGAAACGTGTATAGATTCTCCGCCATTTCCAGTTGTCTTCTGGACTTCGCCAGATTCCGAACAGCTCTGGATGTGGGACCCGACAGGGACTTGACGGATGCGTGAATGCTGCACAAGACCTCCAGCATCGGAATGAAACTTCCATCGGGAACGTCCGCATAGAGTATAAGGGCATCGAACACACTCAGTGAGTTCTTGATATCACCAGCAACGCTCGTCTTTCTGCAGATGGTAAAAATCTGTTCCAGCAAGATCTGAACTTCTTCACTGCTCGGTGGCTTCCGCTGCAGGGTGATTAGGTCGACTGCAAACTGCAGTAGGTCATCCAAGACCGCTCCATCGTATCCTAGCCCATTTGTCTTCCCGACTTTCGACTTTCTTGCTTTTAATCGTGCGGTTGAGATCAGTTCATACAATGGGACCAGACAAGACGATATCACAGGGAGCACAGAGGAGGTAGCAAACTCCAGTTTTCTGCCATGATCAGATAGGGCTATCAAGGACTGGATACGTGCGGGGATAACATCGTTTTCCGAGGGGCTTGAGATCGACTCAAAGATGATACGTCGCGCTGCTGGAGACAGATCTTGCCGGGCCGCAACGGCCTCTAGCAACACCGAACCACTCCGCCGGGCTTCCGGTGAGCTTTCATGGTGTAATAGATACGTTCCAGCCTCCCAGAAAGCGAGAGACTGTTCCGGGGTAAACCACTGAAGCGACTTCGATATCTGCTCCGCCTCGTCAATGGCATGACCTAAAGATTGCCTCTGCGCCAATGTTCGGACGGACGTATCGAAGTCCCGCGCACCCGAGGGGTCGGAGGAGCTAGACACGACGCTACCACGATGCATTGATTCGAATCCCAGCGCAATCCGACTGCTTCTGCGTCCATCCGTTGACAGTGAGAGAGAATCGCTGCTGTCCTGTAGCGAGACCGGGGAAAGCGACTTCGGGCGGGCAACACCTAGTGACCGGATAACGTCGACAAAACTGGATGCTGTGTGCTTAGAATGATATGGTGATGGAGCATCGTCAGAAGACATGCGTCCGAAGGGACGAAGGGCAGTATGGGGTTCTTCAGGGCAAAGGGTGGTTGTTATATATCTGCCCGATGACTAGTCAGCGACGGGGTTATGACTAGAGGCCACGGAGGTCACTTGTCAGCTGGAACTGACCAGGTCTACATCGGTGGACCAATTCACACGAGATCTCACATACCATTGGCAGGTCACATGAAGGGATCAGAGGCAACCGCAGGCCCGCAGAGGGATATATGAGGCTTTAATCGGGACGTTACACCGGGCGAGCTGCCCCAAGTGATATATCAGTGGGCACAACCTGGGAGAGCGCACCGCAACCGTGTCGAGAGAACCGGTCAAAAGAATGTAATTCAACCTATAGGCGAGACAAAGGGAATACGGCTGAGCCGGCACAGCCAGACAAAGAAGCGACGGCGGGGTGGGGGGGGGGGGGAGCTACACCGTAGATAAGTGATACTGGGGTTATATTGAGAGCAAAAGTGCGCCAAGCCACTTTTCCCCTCCGAGCATCGATGATGATGATCTGGCGGCCCTTCGGCACCGCGGCACCGCTTTGATCCGCACCATCACCTGACCGGCAGAACCACCCCGCGGTGCCTTCACCGCCCGTATTTTGCAAAGCAACCGCCAAACAAACTGCCCGTCCAGGAATCAAGCTCCCCTCCCCACGGCTTTTCCTGAGCCATTTGACAGTATCTGCTGGGTTGCCAGGCATTTCGCCCTCCTCCTTCAATCATCGCTCTCCCTCCGCCCCGAACTCATATCTCAGACCAGTCCCCCCCCTTGGTTCCTCTGTCCGGGCTTCCTAATATCATCCCCGCTCCAAAATGGCTGATCTTGGGGCTGTTGCGCAGCTCCTCGACGCAAGCTTGGATCCCAGGCAACACAAGCAAGGTTCGTAAATCCCCCCCCGCTTTCGATAATTCTGGACCGTTGAACTACCCTCCACGTTCCTTTTTGCTGGCCTCATGTAGAGATACTAACTCAACTCGCTACCAGCTGAGATTGCTATCCGCCAGGAAGAAAAAAAACCGGGCTTCTCGTTGCAGCTTCTTCAGATCACCGCCTCCGCTTCCTACCCCTACAACACTCGTCTTGCGAGCGCGCTGTTCTTCAAGAACTTCATCAAGAGAAACTGGACTGATGAAGATGGAAATTACAAACTTCAGCCGGAGGAGGTTACGACCATCAAGCTGGAGCTCATCAGCCTGATGATTTCTGTCCCTGCGGGCATTCAGACTCAGCTGGGTGAGGCTGTCAGTGTCATCGCCGACAGTGATTTCTGGCAGCGGTGGGACACACTTGTGGATGTAAGCGCCCACTGTGCCGTATTTTCCCCGGCGTGTTTTTTCTAACTGATGTTCGTAGGATCTCGTCTCCAGACTCCAACCGAAGAACCCTGCTGTCAACAACGGTGTCCTACAAGTTGCGCACTCAATCTTTAAGAGGTGGAGGCCCCTTTTCCGGTCGGATGAGCTGTACAGCGAAATCAACCACGTCCTTGAAAGATTCGGTACCCCCTTCTTGGCGCTTTTCGAGGTAAGTTCCACTGCCCTTGCCCACCCCCCATGTTAGGGCTTCAAAAGCCACAGGGGATGTGTAATTGACCTTGATGATCATCTAGGGATTGGACGCCTATCTTGAGGAGAACAAATCAAACAAAGAGAATCTCATCCAGGGATTCACCCAGCTCAACTTGATGGTCAAGTTGATGTATGACCTTTCTTGCCACGACCTTCCTCCCATGTTCGAGGAAAACATTTCAGGGATAGCTTCACTTTTACTTAAGTATCTGACTTACGACAACCAACTGTTGCACACCGATGACGAAACCGAAGCGGGACAATTGGAGTTCGCCCGGGCGGGGATCTTCCAAGTGTTGACATTGTACGTCCAGAAGTATATGGACGAGTTCCAGGCACACGTTGGACAATTTGTGGAGAGCTCGTGGAGTTTCTTGACAACCATTAGCCAGGAGACCAAGTACGATATTCTTGTTAGCAAGGCCCTGCAGTTCTTGACTTCAATTGCGGGCATGACGGAACACGCGCTTGTCTTCCAAGCCGAAGGCACGCTTGGTCAGATCATCGAAAAGGTTATTCTGCCCAACGTCAGCCTGCGCGAGTCCGACGAGGAGCTTTTTGAGGATGAGCCGATCGAGTTTATTCGCCGCGATCTTGAAGGTTCGGATAGCGACACTAGGCGGCGCGCCGCCACCGACTTCCTCAGGCGTCTGGCCGAGAGGTTTGAGGAGTCTGTGACGGGAGTTGTCCTCAGATACACCGAGCACTACCTTGCCGAGTATGCGAAGGATCCCGCTTCCAACTGGAAGGCTAAGGACACTGCCACTTATCTCTTCTCTGCAATTGCGGCGAAGGGAACTGCCACCGCTAGCCACGGTGTCACTGCTACAAACAAGTTGATTAGCATCACGGATTTCTTCCAGAAGCATCTTGCCGCGGACTTGGTCACTGACGATGGTGTGCACCCCATCCTCAAGGTGGACGCCATCAAGTACCTCTACCTGTTCCGGAGCATCATTACCAAGGAACAGTGGCAGGAGGTGCTTCCTATGCTGGTCAAGCACCTTGGGTCCTCCAACTATGTTGTCTACAGCTATGCGGCTATCGCCGTTGAGCGTGTGCTGTACCTTACCGATAGCCAGAGCCAACCGGTCGTCGCTCCCAGCACAATCACACCGCTAGCCAAGGATCTGTTGGAACACATTTTCTCCTTGATCGAGAAGGACCCGGCCCCTCAGAAGGTACAGGAGAACGAGTTCCTGATGAGATGCGCTATGAGAGTCCTGATCGTCATCAAGGAGGGTGTGATTCCGCACACCGACAGTGTCCTGCAGCACCTGATCACTATCACCAGAGTCATTAGCAGCAACCCAAGCAACCCTAGATTCTACTACTTCCACTTCGAGGCTTTGGGAGCGTTTATCCGGTATGTATATTCCAGCATCTACTAGTTATAGACGCTAACCGATGATTCCAGATTTGCTGCGCCTGCCAATCCCGACAAATTGGAGCAAGCTCTTTACCCTCCCTTCGCGGAAATCCTCCAGGGAGACGTGCAAGGTAGGCCGAATTTATCAGAAGACTGTTGCACAGTGACTGACATTTGTTCCAGAATTCATGCCTTACATCTTCCAGTTGTTTGCTGCTCTTCTTGAGGCCAACCCCTCGGGGTCATTGCCCGACTACTATCAGAATTTGATTGCCCCGATCCTCATGCCCGTCATGTGGGAATCGAAGGGAAACATCCCTGCGCTTGTGCGGCTCCTGTCGGGAATCATTCCCCGCGGCTCTCAATATATCATCCAAAACGAGCAGATTGGCCCTATCCTTGGTATCTTCCAGAAGTTGCTCTCCACAAAGGCCAACGAGGGCTATGGATTTGACCTTCTGGAAGCGGTGGTTACGGGCTTCCCATCGTACGTGAAATGGCAGCCCATCTAGTGATTATTCTCACTAACTCTTCAATAGGGCGTTGCTTGAACAATACTTTGTTTCGATCATGCAGATCATTCTTACTCGCCTGCAGAACTCCAAGACCGAAACCCTCACCCTTCGCTTTGTCCGTTTCTTCCACTTCGTTTCTGCGCAAGACGAGAAGGGATACAGCGCGGACTTTGTTATTCAAGTGACGGATAAGGTCCAAGAAGGGTAAGCATCCTGCAATATGATCCTTTGGTATGGGTTGACATGCTAATTGCCACTAGACTTTTCACTCCTATCTACCTCAACATCATCCTTCCCGAAACGCAGAAGCTTGCTCGCCCGTTGGACCGCAAGACGGCTGTCCTGTCGTTCACGAAGACGCTTGCCAACTCGGACGCCTTTGCGAACCGCTACAAGAAGGGCTGGGGCTTCACCTGCGAGGCTCTTCTCAAGCTTCTGGAGCTTCCTCCTCTCCCCGCCAGCAAGGATGATCTCATCGCCGAGCAGGATGTCGAGGATATGGCATTCGGAGTTGGTTTCACGGCGCTTAACACCGTGCGTCCTGTGACCAAGGACCCGTGGCCGGAGACCGGAGCCGACCTTAAGATCTGGACCGGTGCGTACTTGAAGGAGGCGGACAAGAAGTATAACGGACGGATTTCTGGATTCGTGCAAGAGCGTCTCGAGGCCCAGGCCAAGACTGTGCTGCTCAGTTACATCGGATGAGCATCTATCAGGCCACTTGCATAAATCGTCTGGAGCAGATATAATTGCCATGTCCAAACGTTGATATCCTTGGACTGTCCGCATTTCTAAAAAAAAAGAAAGAAAGAAAGGGTTCACGAAACGGACGAATTGTCCAACGGATTAAAATTCCCCACTGCATGTTATAATGAATAAAGTTAGATGATATTGATGTGTCCATTTATAGCAAGTATACAGTAGAACGCGTAAACGGCGTTCGAGTCTCGTGGCTCATGTCTATTCCGGCGTTGGGTAGCCCTTCAATTGCTAGACTCAGATCTTTCTGCGTCGGGCACGGGTGTGAAATTCAGATAGACACGGTCAACTTCTACCCCCACACGGCTTCAGCCCCAGCTGCCAATTGAGCAGTCAAGGCAGGATCTATTCCTTCGTCTCTCTAACACCGTCTTTACCTGTGACGTCCACCGGGACATCTTCCTCGTCAGCTCGCGCGACTTCCTTACCCTCTTCAAGCTCCCGGTACTTCCGCCGGCTCTTCTTCATCGAACTGGCCTTCTTCTTCCTTGCGCGCTCAACCTTGATGGCCGCCCGACTTTGGTCCCCGTGTAGATGCTGCTCCACCTTATCCGCGAGAAGCTGCCGGGCGGTCTTCTCATTCTGGGATCGGGATCGCGTCGCTTGACATTTGATTACCACGCCGGTGGGCTTGTGGATCAGCTGCACGGCGGAGTTGGTTTTGTTCTAGATAGCGAAAGCCTCATTAGATTCGGGTCGATTCGATGCGATTCAATCCAATCCAATGCAATTTGGACGGTTTAGAAAATGTGTGTGTGTGTGTGTATGTGTGTGTGTGTGCCGCGACGTACGATTTTCTGGCCTCCCGGGCCGGTGCCCTTGAGGTAGGATTTGATTAGATCGGCATCTTCGATCTTGAGGCGGGGAGGGAGCGGTTTTTCGCCGAGGATGGGGGCGGAGAGGGAGAAGAATCTCGGGGGGAGAGGGAGGAGGGTTCGGAATCGGAATTGGAGAGAGGGGGTCAGGTGCAGGGGGCGGAACATGGTGATCGGACGATGAGACGTTTCGGGTCCATCGGTAGGACTAGGTGCATTGCGTTTCGGGGGTTAGTTGAGGAGGTTCATGATGATGATGATGATGATGGATGTTGATCGGAGGTTCGGAGGACAAGATAGTAGTAGATAGTGTATGTAAAATGATTACCATACGGTACTGTCGCTAAGGCATTCTATACCTGTACCTTATACCAGAGTGGTCACAGTAGTCACTTTAGTTGTTCACTAGGAGGGAATTATTAGACTAGCTGTCGGCGTTATGGACAGCTGTGCTAGATGATTCCCAGGATGCAGGTCCATTTCTCCTAAAATAGGCCTCCTGCGAGGGTTGGTTGCATTCCCTCCCCCCAACGGTATCTACTGTTGAGAGCCCAGCAAAGATGGGCCGACGGATGCCGCGCAGGGTCGTACTCGTGTCAGATCGCGCAGATAAACCGTCCCTTTCAAGGTTCAAGGTTGAGTCCAAACATCCTCCTCCCCTGCACTCTGCATGCTTAGGCTGCGAAATACTGGACCCTGGGTGGAACCTTTCTCTCCCGTGGCTGTGTTAGTGTCGGCGTCGAATTTGAAACGTTGTCCCGATCGAGCATGGGCTTGATGGGGTGATTTGCTGCTATCCAATCTTACTGTAATACGGCCGCCGGACTCGCTGTCCGTCCGGCTATTCTTGGCTCCCTGCCCATCCATCCATTCTATCCTGAACATCCTCCTCAGCTTACTTTCGCCCTCGACCCTCACCTTCTCTGGCTGAATCGACCGTCTCTCTCCACAGTCGTCCGAGATAAAGACAAGCCACATTCGACCTCTCTGTCCTTCTTCCGACAAACCTAACTCCCTATCAATTCGCCCGCTTTTTTCTTTTTTCGCGTGCCTGCCTGCCTGCCTGGGACTCCATCCCCGACTTCCTATCCTAATCGACTTGGCTCGGATCATGGATGCCTAATCCATAACTACATCCTCATTGTCTTCCCTTTCTCAGCTGCTCATTGAACGCCTCGCTTCGTCTCCTCCGCCTCCGCGCGCAACTGTGACTACTATACTACAGGGGCAACGACCAAATTCCTCCCCTCCCCACCACCAACACACACCTCCAGGGGTTCCCCTCGCCTGACGTTCATTGGACCCTTTCTACACCCTCCGCTGGCGTGCATCTACTTCCTATTCTCCTAAACACCGTCAATCGCTGTCCTGTCAGCCATGACTTTCTTCCTCTGGGTCATTACCTCCATGGTGCGCTGGATTCGCCTGAAGATCTACCAGTATGAGGTGACCTTCGCCGTGTACATGCTTACTCCCACCGAAAAATTCATTTTTAGTACGTCAATCCCATCTGAGACTGCGCGAAATTCCATGGAGATCCCCTTTACCCGCAGCCAGCCATGATAAGCTAACTGGAAGTGTTATAGACTCCCTCATCCTCACCCTCCTCTCGATGATTGCCACAGGCATCTACGTCTACCTGCCCAACCATCTCCGGGTTATCTATAGCCACCTATACTACTACTGGGTGGGAGAACGCCCCTTCATCTCTGCCAACCTCCCCTCCATCAGCTCCGTTTTCCGGGAGGGCGGGTCTGTGATGTACGAAACGGCCAAAAATGCCGCCGTAACGGCCACTCCCATTGCGGAACTGTAACATGCTTTGCTTCGGTGACCGCGACAGCGTGGCTTTCCCTGGTGTCGGTGATAACTGCGGACTGCAATCGGCCCTCAATGGCTTGGCTTGTTTGTTCCTCATTGCGATAACCATCGGGGCTTTTCTTCGCCTTGAGTTTCCGCTCTCCGCACCCGCCGCATGCCTCTCTTGTCCTCGAGCATGCATTACTTCGGCATTTCACGATTCACAGCGCTACTCCTCCACCGACTGGTTCCTTCTGGTGTTGCGAAGTGGTTTCATGGAGTTTGAGCGATACTGTTCAGAGCGGGTCGGCGCATCCTAGGCGTTCATGATCTTCGTTTCCTCGTCCTGATCGATTCAACCAACTACCCTCGACCTCGACCCTAATTGTTAATATCGTGTCGAGTCAATTGCCATTGTCATGACCAACAAAAGAAAACGCCTGACATCCTGTTGCTCCATGCATCCATCCATTGACATGGATGGCGCAGCATGTTCTGTTGTCCAGGATAATGATTACGGAAGGTATAACATTTTTTTAATATCACCATCAACACCTCGCTGTTGAGTGCATTTCTTTTTTCATTTGCTCTCTGCTTCAATGGAGCGGAAACTTTTGCTTAACGCCTGAAAATCAAGGGCCATGTATAACCAACCAACCACCCGACCGATGATGGCTGGGGTGTATTCAAATAGAATAATAATAATGAAAGACAAAAAAGAAATCCCAATTTAACCACCCAAATATACAACTCCCGCCATGCTCACAGAAAGCGTGTTATACAAAATCAAAATAGCAACCATCGTAGATGGCACATGTGTAACGTCCCCTCCTGTATCTGTATCCCCATCAGCATGAGTATATGCCCATACACACAGACACCCAAGGGTCCGCCCTTTCAAACACAACCAGACAGCCAACCAAACAACTAGCCGTCCATTCCAGACCCGGCAGAATAGACCGGTCCCTTCTCCCCCGTGAAATGGTCGATAGGCATAGTCCTGCAAGACACACCCATCAACACATAGAAACCTCAACATCACCCCATAATATAGTCATCCACCCAGCCCAACAACAGATTACTCCGCCTTCACGGACTCAGCCTGTGTCTGAGCCTGAGCCTGAGCCTGAGCCTCCAACGCCGCAGCCTCCCGCTGTCGCTTCTCGCGCTTAACAGCATCCACCATGCGCATGCGCGCCAGCTCGCGGTCGATTTCTTCTTTGTCCAGGGGGATCTTGTGCGATTGTTCGGCTGTGGGCCAGAAGCCCGGCACGCTGAACCGGTCGTCGAGGTTCGTGCCGAAGTAGTACATCCAGCCGATGGGGAAGATGATGTACGTGCCGAACTGGGTGGGTGGGTTAGTTAGTGGTGGATTGGGGAAGAGGGGTAGATGGATGTGGGGAGGGAGAGGGGGAGGGAGATGGGGACGAGGTAATATAACATACCTTGAAGACTTCGAGGTTACCCCCCGTGAGTTTGCGGAGGAAGGCGGACATGGTGTATTGTCTCGTGTTGTGGAGGTGGGATGAATGGGTATTCGGGGTGTCGGGTTGAGATTCTTTTAGTTTCCGGATATGCTTCAGTTGCAAGAGCGGGGCTCAATTACTTTTGCTGAATTGCAGTCACTGATATGTCAGGCGTGCGTGCGTGCAGGAGGTTCTCCGTCTCCGACGACAAATTATCCTGGATGGTCCGATACGCCTCGCCGCTGACTATCTCGGAGCTTCTGACAAGCCGAGACGCGGCAAACAGAGCAAACATCCCCACGTGCATAAGGTCATGTGATGCATCTTACTCATCCGCCGCCGGTCTGCCTTGGGCCTCGGCTCATTGCTCGGTCCATCGGTTTCCCCGCATGTCCTATCGTACTTACTACTAACTAGTAGCGGTAGCCTGGGGATCCTGGCTGGTACTTGGGTTAGTTGGCAGGAGGACTCCTATTGCTATTCGGTTGGGATATCATCGCAGTTGACAGTTCCTTTCTGTCCCTGATACTTACCTTTTTGCTGGTTTTATTGTCATAATCTACTCGGCTTATCTGTCTGAATTGACGATACCACCGTCCACCCGCACGAACTATAGAACCTAAGTGTACCTTATCCCGATTCCTTGACTACCACACCGAGCATTCAGTACCACATACATACCCGGTAGCACACCCACATCCCAGCAAGCAAGCAAGCAAGCAAGCAAGCAAAATGTCCACCGAAGACGCCATCACGGTCAAATACCAGGATCGCCTGGCCATCATCACGCTCAATCGGCCGAAGAAACTCAACGCCCTCGACCAAGACCTGTACTACCTGCTCGGAGAAAAGCTCCGCGAAGTCGACAAAAGAGATGACATCTTTATCACCCTCCTCACAGGCACGGGACGGTTTTTCTCTGCGTAAGCATGTCCTAGTTTAACCCAACCCAACCCAAAGCCCCAATAAAGAAAGGAAATAAATTAAAATGAAAGCAAGAAAGAAAGAAAGAGAGAAAGAAACAAATAATCTAACACCCCAATCCCTCCCTCCAGCGGCGCAGACGTAACCATCAGCCGCCCCGGCGGCAGCCTCAACAGCCAAGCACGACGGGAAATCGCGCGCTCCTTCGTGATCAACAACTTCGACATCACACGGACCTTCGCGCACCACTCGAAAATCCTCGTCGTGGGACTCAATGGCCCCGCCGTCGGGCTCTCCGCCGCGCTAATCGCCATGGCCGATTTCATCTACGCCGCGCCACACACCTTCCTCCTCACCCCATTCGCGTCGCTGGGTCTGGTCGCCGAGGGCGGAGCATCGCGGGCGTTCGTGGAACGGCTCGGGATCGCGAAAGCCAACGAGGCGCTCATCATGAGCAAGCGTATTAGCTGCGAGGAGCTGGTGGCGGCCGGGTTCGTCAATAAGGTGATTGAGGCGCCGTCCGGGCGGAGTGATGATTCCGACGGGTTTCTGGGCGAGGTCCTGCAGGAGGTGGAGGAGAGGTTGGGGTTGCATTTGAATCAGTCGAGTTTGCTGAAGATTAAGGAGTTGGTGAGGAGGCCGGAGAGGGAGCTGTTGGATCGGCAGAATGGGTTGGAGGTTTTTGCGGGCTTGGACAGGTTTTTGAGTGGGGTGCCGCAGGAGGAGTTTAGGAAGTTGGCGTCGGGGGAGAAGAAGCATAAACTTTAGATTAGGGGGGCTGGGGTTGGGTTGGTGGTTTGTGTGTATGAACTATGGGTTTGTTTGGAGATGGAGATGTGGGTGGTTGATGATCGATTTGGGGCGGGTGTCTTGTTTGTTCTACGAGTAGATCATTGCCATAGAAGCAATTTAATAAACCAGCAGTTTTACTTTTATGATTCCTTTCCCATCCTTCCGCGCTAATTGGAAACGCCAGCTATGCCTGAACACCTGGTAGATCTAGATCTGTAGCAATGCAAAATGGTAACGACCAGACCGTTTATTGGCCTTCTTCGGAGTCGGATTCCTGAGTCTGCTTCGCGAGAATGTCCTGCCACTGGCCCAGGAACTCGCTCATGCCACCAGGTCCGGTGAGAGAGGCGTCCACTACCTCCTTCGGCAGTTTGTGTGCCGAGTATTGCGGCGTCGAGAAAGAGTATGCCTCCGGGTCGTCACGCTTGATCAGACGGAATTCCGGGAACAAGGGAGCATCATCCTCGTTGCAACCGGCTTCCGACTCGGATTCAGACTCCTCCTCGGATTCCGGGCCCGAATCCTCGGCATTGTCTCCGTTGAGGGAAAGCCGGACAAACTGCACATCATCCTCCTCCTGGATACCGACAGGGTCCTTCATGCGCAGAATCTCCAGCCAGCTGAACAGAAGCGAATCCGTCCTTTCAGCCCAGGGGTTGATATCAATGAGCCACACCTTCTCATGCGGAGGCGGGATATAGACATCGAACGCAAAGCTGGGGTCCGGGAACGTATCCTTCAGCTTCTCGTCGAAGAACGACTGGATCCGGGAGCGGAGGGAATCCCGCATGGGGAAGAGGAAGTCGAAATGGTTCTGGTCACGCTGGCAAATGCACAGGAGCACTCTGTTGCGCACGAAGCATCGGAACTCTAGCGCGGGGTTGAAGTTGACGTATTTGCGGAGAACAAGGTGGTAGGGGATCTCGGGTTGTGGGAGGGAGGAGTCGGGGGTATCGGGCACGCAGCCATCGAACGGGTGTTCCAGATCGTGGGTAATGAAGTCGCTACTTTTCAGCAGGAGGTAGATGTCGTTGGGGGTGCGGCACTGCGTGTCGTTCGTCGCGGACATCCAGGTCGCATCTTTGGGCGCACTCCAGTTCAGCTTCGGCGTTACTTTGCCTCCGTACTCGGCGATCGTAGATTTGACCTGGGCGTGGATTTCCGGCCACTCGATCGACGGGTCAGATTCAGCCTCGTCACCGTCATCGGAGAACGTATCGTCGTTGTCGCTGTCGGTGGGAGGGGCGGCTTCCGGGGTCAAGACGATGCCGTCGGCGCGGAGGTAGGAAACGAAGGGGGCGTTGAGAGGGATGAGACGGGATTTGGGGACGTGGGTGCGGTATCTGCAAGGTAACAGCTGTTTGTTAGCACTCTGATCGGCGCCCATGGGGTGTTGAGGTGTAGCGCATACCGAGGTTGCCAGTCATGATAAGAGCAGTGTAAGATGTGAGAGTAGGTAACCGGAGGGAAAGGCAGTCTGGTCAGCTCCTCAACAGGGGTGTCAGCTGCAGGAGCCGGGGCCTCCGCTTCGATCGAAGGCATGGTGGCTAGATGCGCGACAGGGACAGGCAAACTGAGTGGTTGCAGCAGAGAGAGGGTTGATCGCAAAGTGAGTCCGCGGGGCTGGCCGTTTTTCTTTTTTGGGATGACTCAAGACTAATTCACCCGAAGCGGCATGGTTGGTAATGAATGACATGACCGTACCGTTCCCTGCCACGTGCTGCCTCAGGCACGGCGGATCGTCATCCAGTCAATACGGGTTGCGTAGCATCATCAATCAGCCAACGGGTCCGGTTGCCATTGTCCCTCCGCACTGCTGGCTTCCCCCGTCAGCATCCTGCCCCTTCACCATGGCGTCCGACGGCCCGGATCCTCATGCCCTGAAATCATGGCAGGATGCTTTTCACTATCCAATTCCCACTGTGCGCCGTGTGGAGCAGGAGCTGCGCCGCGACATCGCAAGCAATAAGGAGAGGCTCCGGGCTCTTGTTGGGTATGTGATGACAACGCCCCGGAGTGGCTTTAGCCTGGGCTAACGATTTCATCGCGCATCTAGGACGAGATATCGAGAGCTCGTTGGTACCGCCGAGACGATTGTATCGATGAATACCGAAATGGGAAACGTGGACTCGACGTTGGCCGACATAGGACGACGATGTAACCCGCGCTTGATGGAGAAGATGCACACGCATTACAACCAGATAAAGGAGGATGCTCATGACCAGGGTATGGTATCTCTGTCAAGTCGGCTTTGGCAGTCGGTAGCTGATGGATGACAGATGCCGCTAAAAGGGCGCTCGGGGGTCAGCTCGCTCTACTTCATCGCTGCGCTGTGTCAATATCAAGGCTGCTGAGAAGGCGCGGCTCGTTCCTGCTGGTGGCCAAGCTCATGGTTGTCTCCCGACTTCTGCACAAGACCCTCTCGCAACAAACAACGGTGCCGCCGTTCGTGGAGAACCTCCGCAACCAACTGGCTTCCCTTCGGCGCACTCTGCTACGAAGACTCGATAAGCGCCTGGCTTCTGCCAAGTCCACTGCGGATGAGATTATAGAAGCTCTGGCGGCATATTGTTTAACAACCAGCTCTTCTTCAGACGACGCCATTCGCTACTTCCATCAGATCCGCTTGGACGTCATCGGCAGCCAGCTGGAAGTCGTCGACCCGTCCGGCGAGAACGTTTTGAACAGCTTAAGACTATACATTCGGACTCTGCAAACTTCCAAGATTCTGCTTTCCCGCCGTCTTTCTGATGTGCTCAGTAAGCTGAAAGCACGGCCCCTCTTGACGGATGTCGACATTCGCAATTTGGACGACCTGGATCTCGGCGTTTTGGGCCGCTGGGTGACCCCGGACGTCAGCAACTTCACGCCTTGGATTAAGTTGAGCGAGCTGTCGAAATCAGAAGCAGAAAGGACTATTAAGCAATGGTCAAAGCCGGCTTTCGATAAATTTGTACAAGGGTGCCGCGGCAGCCTGGCTCACTGGATAGATTTCTCAAAGCTTCTTTCTCTACGCGAGAAGACGTTGGAACTTTGGCTGTGCTCTCGCAGCTCTACACCTACGCATTCATCATTACAGGTGCTGGAAGGAATCCGGTCCGCTTTCAACGAGCGGCTTACGCAGATTCTTTCCGAACAAGCCAAGTCTTTGGACGTGTATGGCCAAGGTGTCGCATCTGCGGTGTCTAGCTGGAGCGACCGTGTACACACAGCTTCTCAATCGCTTTGGGATGATGGCTTGATCTCTCTTGATTACTCAAATGGCTCTGCCGCTTTCAAACAAGCAGTCATGGATAGGTTATTGGGCCGTGACGATGATATAACTGCTTCTCTAGAGAATTATCAGACCTGGCTGTCCACCATCCAACAATCCAAAGAGTCCATCGACGCTCTGCGACAATCACGATGGCCAGATGCTCTGGATGAAGGCGAAGATGAGGACCTCGATGTAGATATACCATCCATCCTGAACGATGACGACCCTCGACTCCTGCGTGAGGCGCTGCAGACCGCCATCCAGCAGTCGTTTGATACTCTTCAGGACTCGTTTGGTGAAACCTTCAAAACCCTCTCAAAGTCGGGTCAGAGTGGCGAGGCCGCCTTCATGCTCAAGGCCATTCGACTCGTCCGGAGAGATCTTCCTACGGAGTTCATTTCGAGTGACTACGCGCTCGCTCAGGGTATCATACCAGACCTGCAGGAAATCCTCGCCAAGGAAATAATCATACACGCAGGCACCTGGCGGTCCCCGGTTGTTTCCAACAGCAAGTCTCGTGAACTGCCAGGTAGAACACTCTGGGAAGGTGATCCAGAAGTGCCAGTCCTGCCATCGCCATCGACATTTAAGTTCTTGCGTCGGCTCGTAAGAGCGATGGATCAGCAGGGCACTGGACTCTGGGATGTCTCCACCGTTCGCGTCCTTAAGGAAACTGTACAGAAAGAACTCTCGACTTCTATTGCCTCCGCAGTCAAGGATCTGAAGCCGCCTAACGGTGCTGAAGAAAATCCCCAGTCTGCTCCGGAGGATACAAACGGAACACCACCGGCTCGAAACGGCGATGGTAACCATGTTGAGGAGTCAAAATCTGAGAATGAGGCCCAGGACAAGGCCCAGGACAAGGCTCCGGACGGGGCTCAGGATATCCAAGATCGCAGAATGCAGCTGTATTTTGACGCTGTCTACCTAGGTGATGCGTTAGCAACTCAAGACTCCGAGCATGGTCAGTTAAAGGAGAGGCTTGATATGCTTCGCAGCAGCCTCGAGTCGAATGCGAAAGCCACGAAGAACATGGAACAAGCGGCCCACGAGTACTGGAAGCGGACCCAGCTCTTATTTGGGCTTTTGAATGGGGGGACTGAGCAATAGGCGACTGCTGGGTCGCGGTACAAATGTATATAGATCGATGAATGATAAACCAGGCTACCTGAGGTAACCGGTACTTCCTGTAACACCTATTTTAGTATGATTACTAGGTACCGGGTACCTGGATCAGTTCTCGTTGCAGCGGACCAACCACAGGCCGGATAATGGCGGTCCCGATCGGGCTAGCGGCCGCGGGGGAGGCTCAGCGTCGACGTCACGTTTCCGGCGGTGGTGACTTGGCCGCGGGAAAACCGATGCGTTCATCCCTCCTGACCGGTTGCTATCCATCCCATGCCTTCCAGTCGCCGCTCTTCTCCTCTCCTTCCCTCGCTCAACCCTCCCCCAACCCCCTCACCATGGCGGCCCCAAGGCTTCCCTTCCTTTACCCCAATCTGATGCGCGCAGTCAGATCCTGCGAGCCTCACACTTATCGATCCCTGCGGATCTCATCCAGCAACTACCCACCACATCACGCTCCCTTCCACACCAGCCGGCGACACGCCCAAGAGACCTATCATCGACGATACGGCCCCGCCGCAGAAGCTCACCTTCCTCCTCCCTCTAAGCCCAAAGACAAGACATCCCGCCAGCAAGCCCCTCTCCCCTCGTCTGGCGAGGACCCCGAGAGCAGCGCATCTGCGGACTCAGCCCCGCCAGAACAACCAGACACCCAGACCACCACCTCCGAGTCCTCCTCGCAGACCCAAAGCAACCCCGCCGCCACCGATGAACCAACCAAAGACAAATCCGTGGAAGAATCAGAATCCCGCGAGGAGTCCGAACCCGCATCGGAAGCCCGCGAGGCCGAAATAGTCACAGCATCACCGAGCGAACCGCCCCCTCGTCCGGAGGAGCCAATCCGCATATTCCACCCTCTCAACCAGAACCCGCTCGATGGCGTCCTCCACATGCCTTCTCCCTCATCGTACCTATCGACGTCCGGCGAACCCAGCTCGGATGAGAATAAACCCCCGCATCTCGCCCCCGCCCCTTACGTCCACCACTTTGATACCTACTCCCTCGTCCAGGACCTTTCCAAGGGCGCCTTCACCGAGGAGCAATCCATCACCATCATGAAAGCCGTCCGGAGCATGCTGCAAAATAACTACGACATGGCCAAGCAGAGCCTGACCTCCAAGTCTGACGTTGAGAACGAGTCCTATCTGTTCCAGGCGGCCTGCTCGGAGCTTCAGTCCTCTCTGCAGACGGCTCGGACGTCGGAGATGCAGCGCCAGCGCGCTTCCCGGACGCAGCTGCAGCACGAATCAGATATCCTCTCCCAGCGCCTGAACCAGGAATTGTCGGGTCTGAAGGAAGATATCAAAGGAATGTTCAACGACCACAAGATGTCCACGCGGGAACAGCAACGGAGCATCGATACCTCGGTGCAGGAGCTGAACTACAAGATCACGGTCTCCCTGAACAGTGATGGAAAGAGCGAGATCGAGGGTTTGAGATGGATCCTAACGAGAAGAGCTGCAATGGCTATCGCGATCAGTGCCTGTGAGTCATACATCATCTTCTCCCTCCTCCCCCCCCCCCAAATTTTGTCCATTGCTAATAGCGAATGTATAGTCATGATCATCCTCTTCCTTAAGTACTACTCCGTCCGCAAGGCCCAGGAGACCGCAGAGAAGAAAGCCAAGAAAGGAACCTCGACCAAGGAAGCCAAGGAGGCCGCAGCTGCGGCTCAGCATCCCACCATCCTCAAACCCAAATCTATGGCAGCTCCCCATGTCCACCTCGGAGAATCTCTTGGCTGAGATTTAGACACCCCATTCATTCATTCTTCTCCGGTCCTTTACTGTATAACATGCATATCCAATGGCGCTCCCATTCCGCCTTCCATTCATTGTCACATTTAGCCCAAACCCAGACCACTATAGATTTCCTTCCGACTGTACATCATTCCTTCATTCAGTTATTGATTTCTTGTTTCATTCTTCTTTCGCTAGTCAAGAGTCATATTTGACTAGTATGATACCCCGAGCATTAAACGGCAACATAGATAGACGGACGGGTTCATTGTTCATCATGTCAACATCTCAAATCATTGTACCTATACTTATCTCTATAATCTTTAGAACTCTATATATGCAAGGGGTGGGGTGGGGGGCATGTCCGCATGTCCAGTCATAAATGCTCGCCATCTTGATGACCTGTGCACATGTTCCGTTCTATTCCGTTCCGTCCCGTTCCGTCCGTCCGTCCGTCCTCTGATCGTCTCGTCCTCGTCCTCGTCCTCGTCCTCATCCTCATCCTCATCCAGATCGTCACACCTCATGCATCCATAAATAATAGGCAGTACTAGTAGTAGTAGTGTCTCCCCACAGAGAGAGCCACACGTATTAAACAGGTATGTGGGTCGAAATAAAGCAGCGAAAAATGAACATGCACATGAAAGAAAAGTCAAAGGAAGAAGAGAAAGAAACGCAAGGAAGAAAAAAAAATACAACAAACAAGAAGAAAAAAAAAAAAAAGACCCGCTAGAAATCAAACCTCAGCGCAATACTGGGCATACTCTGCTGCTCACTGCCGGACTGGACGGTATCCCTCGCATGCTTATTGGCCGCGGAATCGACCTCCGCGCTGCGGAGAATCTCCTCGAGGAGAGCCTTTTGCTCCGGACTCATAGTGGTGGCCACGAGGGCGCGGAAGACAGCCTGGTTCGCCTTGGCGAGTTCGAGCATATGGCCCGCGGTTTCCCTGTAGATGGGGTGGCCGTCACGTTGGGCGCGCGCCAGGAGCGTGGACATGATGAGGGAGACGGCGGTGGGGGTCTCGGTGGGGGCGAAGACGGCGTTGCTGACGCAGGCGACCAGGGTGCGCGCGATGCCGGTCTTGGAGTTCTCGGGGTCGCTGGGGATTTCGCCGTTCTCTTGAGGACAGCCGACGTAGAAGGCGATGAGGCGCGGGGTGAGGTAGCGGGCGATGAGTTCGCTGGTGGGGGATTTGGGGTTGGTGGTGAGGAGGATGGAGCGGATGCAGCCGGCGGCGACGTTGGCGAGGCCGACGTCTTGGAGACAGTCGAGGAGCTCGTCGAGGACGCGCGAGATGACGGGGTCTTGGGGCGGGATGATATGGCCGCCGCTTGTGAGGAGGATGGCGATGGCGAGGAGGGTATTCTTTGCGCAGGGGAGAGATGATTCGGATTCCCTCCGCTGGGCGATGGTGAGTGTGGTGAGGAACCGGGTGAGACACCCGCGGAGCTGGCGGGACACGACGAGGATGTTCTCTGATTGTTCGGGGCCGGCTTCTCGGTAGTTGGCGATGCCGCTGATGAAGTGTCTGAAGATGGGAAGGGCCTGGGGCACCACTCCGGCCTGGCACAGGCCAGTGGCGAGGATGGTGCTGAAGATGTGCAGGATGCAGGCGTTCAGGTCATTGCGGATGATTGATGGGAAGATCGAGGCTACGTTGACTAGCGATGAAAGCGCAAGACGGATGAGAGACAACGCATCGTCTGAGCCCACGTTGAACCGTGCAAGAGGTGTGGTTTCACGCAGGTTGGGGAGGAGACCCGCCAGGACGAGAATGATACTTCTCGTTAGCTCGAAAAGCTGCTCGATATCGTCGGATAGGTGGTCACCCCGGTCCTCGCCACCCTTGGCGGAGGGATGGTCTAGGGACAGGTTGCGAGCGATCTCGACTATGACGTTCTGGATGGGGATCGTTTCGGTCAACGCCAAACGGTCAAGGGAGTCCATGGTCTCCGAGAAGATGGCATCCTGATAGATCGCATTGCCTGAGATGACTGGTCTCAGGATCCTCTTGAGGGCCTGAAGGATGTCCAATCTGTGGGACGGGGGAGTAGACTGGTCAACCAGAGCTTCGAACGCCAAGCCAAACAGGACGAAGAAGAACGCGACAGGTTCATCACGATAGTTGATGTTGTCGCCCTTTCCTTTGGGCTCCTCGCTGGGCGTCACCTGGTCATCTTTCTCCGTCTTGGTGGAATCTTCCAACTCCGATTTGCCATCCAGCGCATCGAATACAAAGTCGATGTCTCTTTCTACCAAACCAGCGATGGCATCGACAAGGTTCAGCCATGAATCCTGGTAGAACTGTGTCGTGTGTCAGTATTCGCAGCCATAAGACGGAGTTATATCGATCAAACGTACCTTCAAGAGAGTTTCCCGGTTCAACGCGGCATACACCTCATCCAAATCACCGCTCAAAGGCCCTGTGCCCAGGCTTCCCGAAATATCAGGCTCGAAGCGTAGTCGAGCATATTCCTGGAGGGAAGAGAGCCAAAGGGGCGTGAGCCTCGTGAGATATGGCTGAACAACTTGATTCAGATACTCCTGCTCAATACTGGCAATCTGCAGTCGCGCCCAGGCAGAATATAAGGCCATCTTGACCATAACTCTGGCGTTGGGATTGAGCCCTTTCAGATCGCCAATTTCAGTGGTGTCAAGGTTTTCTAGAGAGTGTAAGCTGCGATACCATCTAAGGAGGACCAATCTGCACCCACGGGAGAAGTTCTCCAGCCCAAGCACCAGTAGTTTGAGGATTCTTCCCATCCGATCGACATTTGTCACTATACCAGTAGCAATAAACGTGGCGGAAACATTGATCGCCTCTGACGCCAGTTCTGCGGACGAATCCGCGGCGAATGCTGGCGTGAGAGCGGATCCAATCTGAGCCTGATACTGTTCCAGCAAAGATGCCTCGGTAAAGTCCGGATCCGGAGTCTTGCCAAACATCTAAGAAATTGTTAGTGCCGAAACACATCCGACGAAAAAGCGCGAACATACCTTAAGAACCTGATCGATAATCTTCAGTCCCCAGATCCGAAGTTCAATCACGTTGGCAGTCGATGCCGAGAACGCCATCCTGACAATATCCCCTACCTTCTGCTGAAGCGCAAGCTCAGCGGGGATTGTCTGATCTGGAAGAATGGCCTCTTGCACTATCGCCAAAAGCTCGCTGAGACAGCCCATGATGAAATTCCGAGTCTGCCATTTCAGGAGCTCCTGTCCCGAGACAGCACTGTTGGCCTCATCCGACTGTCCGGCCCCCGCGATCGCGGACGCGAAACCTGCAACTTCATCATCCGGTATGTCATTCCCGGAGGGCTTGATACCGGCTGTCAAAGGGGGCTCCTCTACCTTGACACGCGTCTTGGTCAAGGTGTTGTGGCAGCGCTGTATCCACAGCTCGGTTTCAACAAGTGCCGTCTGCTGCAGCCAGTCTTGAATCATGCTTCTCAGAATTGGATTATCTGGGGTATCATCAAAAGCAAGCCAGATCTCTTCTTCGAGCGCCGGGGTAGCTGTCTGGATGACAGACGCAGCGTCCCGCTTCATGAGGTTACTCAACCCTCGAATGGCTACATCCTTCATCAAAGGGTTCGTGGCGGTAAGCTCACTCTGCAGACGTTTCACATATCCAGAGAAATCAACGTATGCCGGTGCATATAGTGACAGATGATCCAAACACTTGGAACTCTCTGTGACCAAAGCCGAGTTGTCCTCTAGCTGGAATTGCCTAAGAAGGGTGAGAATGAGATTGCGCGTTTTTGTGATATCCTGGAGATCGGGTCCGAGAACGTTGATGAGAGAATCAACACAGCGACTAATCACCACCGGAGTGAGGAAGGACATCTCAATGTTGGAAGTTGCTAAAGCCGCCGCCTCCTCGTTGTGTGTGTCGGCATTATATAGCTGGGCCAGCATCCCAAGAGAACTCGAGACAAATGGTGAGAAAGTCAATCCTGCAGAATTGGCAACCCTTTCTAGTCCACCAAGAGCCCAGAAATGAACCACGGGATGAGGATCGTTACACAGTGACATCAAAACACCAACGATGGTCTTCAGATGCAGACCAGCTGCCATACCACCGATCTGGGAATGGATGCAACCCAAGGCGGCGGCACAGCCAGCACGGGTATTAGGCTCCCGATTCTCAACAATAGTATCAACGAGCCAGTTGATCTGCGTGTTGGTGAAGGCGGTTCCAGAGCTCTCGCAGAGCCGGCCGAGTGCTTCGACACCAATCGTCCGAACGATCAGATCAGCATCGGTGACAAATTTCTAGAGCAGTCAGCTTTCTGTCGTATCCGTCTCTGTCCAAAAGTTTCATGTCGTCCTTACCTGGACAAGCTCCTGCAATACTTTGTCGGTCGCGGGGTTTAGCTTTCCGGTAGTAGAGCCAGTCTCTCTAACAGAAACCTTTAGAGCGTGAAGTAAGGCGACAGCCACGTTAACAAGCATAGCAGCCTTACGCCCGGGATTGCGCTGGAGACTCGTCGAGGAAAGGAAGGTCGCGATCTGCTCTACACAACTTTCCTGGACTTTAGGCGCGTGGAGGGGAATGGCAACAGAGAATAGCTCAATAGCAGCGTTCACAACGCCAATGGAATGTGGATCGGCCAGGAGAGAATCCTCTTGTCTCGTAGAATATAAGAGAAGAGAGTCATGTTCACTCGCTTGACATACAGGGAAAGTCAACTGCAGAGGTCAGTCCTGCCTAAGTACGATACCAGATATGATTACTCACAGCATCATCGATAGCTTGATCCGCAGAATCAACAGCAGACCATGCAGGCCCATTCTCGGATCCATGCTTGCCAGTAAGCGTCACACGCACGTATTCCCTAGCCAGCCCTGTCACTCCAAACCCATAATTATCACAGAGATCCCACAGAGACTCAAATTGCGCAGTGGAGGCCGCAATCGAGCTCTCCAAAGGACCAGCCTGGACAGCGTCGGGGTCTGCGAAGGACGAAATTGCCAAACTCAGAAGACTAGATTGGGAGATGACATCGGCATGGCTAAGAGGATGAACATGGAGTAGCTTGGAAAAGCACTGTAACACTCGTCGCCGAACCAAAGTTTCAATATCATGCAACTGCAATGACGGATGGAGGCGCTGCGAGATATCATTCACGGACTTTTGCCGTGGCAGGTCATCGAGAAACTCAACCGTATTCTGGAGCATGATAGCTATCCTCTTCGCACCGTCGGCAGTTATTAGCCTGCTATTGAACTCCATAAACACCAACAAAGAACTCAAAGCACATTCTCGGACATGCGCAAGGAAGCTCAGTTCCAGCACACCTCGCTTAGCAGAATTTTCTTGACTAAGGTGCTTGGGAAGTGCATTTTTCCATAGCAGTGATAGCTGGGAAAGATGAATCTTCACAAAGCTTGGGCCGAGAGGCATCAACCCCCCAATCAGAATCCAAGCGACTTGGATCTGCGTGCTTGCGGCACGTAGCTCAGAGTTGCTACTGGTCTTCAAAAGGTCAGTTGCCTGAGTGAACACCCGGGAGAACACTTCGACTGAGCCATAAAGAGGCTGTAATCGAGACGTGCTCAACATGGACGAAAGTCCGTTCGCATAGCCAACACAGCGCCGCGGCGATTGCCGGGGGGTGGATAATTGCGCTACTTCTCGGCTCAGACTGTTCAAGCTGATCGTAACACACGACAGCAATTGATGCGGACAGGCAAGAACAAAGTTGCGAAGACACTGCGCGGCATGTATCTGGACAGTGTAGCTGGGGTGCGGGAGAACCTGAAGCAAAGCCTCGCGACACGGTTCAGCCAGAGTTCCGAATGCAGAGCCAAGCGACGCTATCAGGGAAGACAAAGCACTCAGAGCGCTTGTGAGAGAATGCTTGCTCGGCTCGCGACGCTCCTGGATCACTTGGGGATAGTCCTTAAGAACATCGTTGATCAGCCACTTGGCAGCATTGAGTTGACTGGTCTCCCGGAGCGATTCGCGGCCGACGGTATCCTCCAAAATGCTTTTCACGAACTTCCTGGTCATCAGAAGCCGGAATCGGTTGTACGTCACCGTGGGGTGGTTGAGGACTTCGAACAGCAGGTGATTTGCAATCTGCCCGTAACGTTCCTCAATCGTCTTATCCCCCAAAATGCGTAGAACGTGCTTATAGCAGATAGCGATCCCCGCCCGGGCCCGATTCGATGTCGTACTCCGCAAGTACTGTAAGGAGAGCTGACGGAGAAGGTCGGGAAGAAGGAAAAACAGGCGCTGGTCGGACTTCTTGGGGGCGGCAGAGGATTCTGAAACCTCGGCCTCATCTTCGTCTTCCCCAGGCTTAGCTGTCGGCTTCCTCGACATTCTTTTCGCCTTTTTCGATTTCGGGGCCGCGATGATAGGGGCATCCGTTGCATGCAGTTTGGCTAACGCACGAGCCAGGCATGTCGCTGCAGCGTGTCTGACGGGAGCCACAGGGCTGTCAATGACCTTCCATGCCAAGGTCTTCAGGTGATCGAAGTCGTTCGTGTTGTCAAAGTACGGGGTTGTGTTCACCAGTTGTTCAAGACAGCGACAGGCATGCACTTGGACAAAAGTAGATTTGTCCCCGGTTGCGGCATTGCGAGCTTGCTTCCAGACGTCGCGCGCCGTTCCTTCGTCCACGGGGACTCCAGTACCGACGACTACCTTCCGGAGCACGGCAAACGTCGACCCACGACAACCCGTGTGGTTACTGGAAGCTTTGAGCAGCTTGAGCAAGCTCGAGACCACTCCGCCGGACTGCGCAAAGACACTTTCCCCGGCAACGGCGAAGACCTCGCCCATGCAATGGGCGGCAGCGAACTTGGTCTTCAGTTCCGCCTCACTTTTGCCCGCATTCAGCAGCCCGAGAAGGTCCGTGACCGTCTCGAAGAGAATGCCCCGGTCACCCTTGCTGAATATCGCGCCGAAGCATCGTCCCAGGTTGTTGCGGATAACTCGCGTGAGGGTCGGCGAAGGGAGGGTGAGGATCTTGAAAAGCTCTTTTTTCAAGAACTTCTGCTGCGAGGACACTTCGGCCTTATCCAGGCCGGAGAGGTGCTGGACTAGGTCGGACGTGAAGGTGAGGAGGTAGAGGTCCTGCTGTTCGGAGGGGAGCGCATGGAGCTTGGTGATATCAAGCTCCGCACGGGGGGCGGCGGCATTGTTGTCGGCGGAGGTAGCGGGGGGGGTTTCCGACGAAGACATTGGGTTATACTATGCCGACCGGGGAGTCGCCCATACGGTCCCGTGTTTCCAGAATGGCGGAGTGAAGACGGTGGAAGATGTCGTGGTCGAGCCGTAGTAAGTCGATGATCGCGCGGGCGGAGTGGATGGCATGGCATGGCATGGCATGGCGGCCCCAGGCCCCTTAACTAAGCGGGCACTTGGCCTCAACTCCGTCCGGGGGCGGTCGCGGAGAAACTGTTGCACCGGCCCCGCTATCTAGACTTGGAGAAGGGAGATACTTGAACACTCCCCCTCCGCATCACTCCGCAATGACCACCATCGTCTGCAAGAGACTGCTGCAGCAGCGCGTTGCCCGCGCGCATCGGGCGGTGGCCGACGGCTACCGTGGCTTTTCCTCCAGCGCGCCGTGGCTTGCAGGACACAACCGATGGTCTCAGATCAAACACGACAAAGCCAAGAATGACAAGGCCAAGAGCAATGAGCGGCAGGCCATCGGCAAGGAAATTAGCAACGCGACCCAGAGTATGTGTCTCGACTGCCAGCCCAGCTAGCCTTCCTCCGTTCCCCCAATTGATCTTCCTTGCGCAGTGTGGGGACCCGACGTGAAATTCAACCCGCGCCTCACCCTCGCCCTCGCCAATGCGAAGCGTGCCGGAATCCCTAAAAATGTTATCGAGGCGGCAATTGCCAGAGGGCAGGGTGTCAGTGTCACCGGTCAAGCTCTGGAGTCGATGACGTTTGAGGCCATTCTGCCCCATTCCGTTGCGGCGGTGATTGAATGTCAGACCGACTCGAAAGCCCGCACCCTGCAAGATATCCGCCATACTATCAAGAATGTCGGTGGGACGGTCACGCCGACGATGTACCTGTTTGAGAAGAAGGGTCGAGTCGTTTTCGAAAAGAAGGATGACTTAGATCCGGACAGCTACATGGACCAGGCTATCGAAGCGGGCGCGACGGACATCACGGCAGATGAGCAAGGTCGGCTTGTTATTTTCACAGAATTTGCAGAAACCAAGGCCGTGGGAGAAGCCCTCGGGAAGATGATCGGGCTCGCTGTCGAGGAGCTGGAAATTATCTGGGAGCCCAACAAGGACACCTTGGTGGATATCACCGAGGAGGAGCAAGTGAGAGAGCTGGAACACATCATCGGCCTCTTCCGAGAAGACTCAAGCCTGCGTGACATCTACTTGAATACAATCCAGAAGTTTTGAGAAGCCCTCAATTCTTGCTGGGCCAAGTCAACTTGATGGTATTTCTTCGCAAGACTAGAACTACGCCTTCCCACAACAGACTGGGAGCATCAACTGTTTTCTCTGAGGCGCAATGATACCCCCCTTGTATACTACTATAGACCATATAGATCATTGAAAGTGTAACATATATGCATCCACATTGCAAAACATCTGACACCTGAATGGCAAGGGATATCAAGCTAGAAATTGCCTATCACTACTCCATAACTTCTAAGACTAATCTTTCCGCAAAGCCTTCATGGTACTCCGCATCAAACTACCAATCCCAACACTTCCTGTGGCATCGAGCCAGTCCAGCATGCGAACTCTGTACTCCTGCCAAGTCACTTTCGTGCCACCCTCCTTCTCGAGGGCACTCAACGCCTTCTGCGTCACCGGTCTCTTTAGCTTAGGCTGGTTCTCTCCAATGTTGTTCTCGTCTTCGATATCAGAGAAACAAGCCGCGGACATATTGCACAAAGCGACATGATGGCTCAGTGAGAAAATCGAGGAAACCGTGAAGGAGAAAGCGGTGTCACGTTTCCTTGCATACTCATTCGACTCCCGGATAAAGCGCGTAAGTGCGCTGACGGTAGCGGCTGGTATCAGGCAGCCCAATGCGTTGGGGTCTTCCGAGTTAAGCCCTCGGTTGCGCCACACTAAGTTGCAGACATCCATGATATATCCGTTGAATTGACCCACTAGGTCTGTAGGATAGAGGGAGTCTGGGGGGTTCGGGACTTGGAGAACCGGAGAAGTGAGAGATGATTCGAAGGACGACTTGTAGCTGGCAAGCACCGAGCTCATGATGGAGATGACTGAGCTGATCGGTGTGAAGACGAGAGTATAGACGGCAGGGGCAAGAGGGACCGTGATTCGAATACTTGCATTCATGGATGCGTGCGAGAACAATTCGGCTAGGGTGCAGTAGAAGTCCAAGATCGATAATGTAGCGGGTTTCTCGCTGTCACTGCCATCGTCCGCGGATGGTTGCGCTGTAGTGAGACACTCCAATGCCGACGAGGCCAACAGTTCTGCGTGTGTGATCAGACGACCCAGTGGTACTGATTCTTCTGAGTGGGAGCTGCTTGCCCTCAGTCGAATACCCCACTGTCGGATTAAGGACGCATAGAAGTCAAGTAGAGCTGTTCTGGAGGAAAACGCACGACCCAGCATTGCGCTCTCTACCGGTAGCAAAACATCTCTGTGTATACTGTCAAAGTCCTCGATGGGCATATATTCGAGAAGTCCAAGTATCTGCTCCTTGTTGTCCCTGCCGTTCCATGAATGGAGGTATTGCTTCAAGAATGAAACGAAGGCACCCGGAATTTCCTAGCTTCAGATCAGGGGTTGTACGTGCAAGAAATGAACGGGAGAAAATACCTTCGTGTATTGCACGTATTCGACTGCCAGGGTCAAGATGTAACCCAGAGCATCGGCCTCCTCCACCTCGCTTGTCCTCGCATATTCCAACTGATCGCCGAGGAAAGCCTTCAGCCAATCGTTCAGCCGATGATTCGCAGCCTCGGGATGGACGAGGAATAGGTATTTCTGTGCCAGATTGTTGCCTAGCATAGATATGATCTGATTCGGCAATTCAATCTTATCAATTTTCTCCACAAAATGCTCAATGCCACGCAGCTCTTCGAGAGAAGTATGGCTATACGACACCCGTGAGGTCTGCACATCAGGAACAATGCTCTCCATCTTACTTCTCTTCGATGTTCCTCGATGCACCACCTGGAATGTTGGCTGAGCCGCCTGCAGCCTTTCGAGGTGCGTATCCTGAATGTCTCTGACATGACCGGTCCATTCGGGGTCTGGATGCTTGAAGAAAGATCCCTTTCTGCCGGACAGCCCCAAATCTCCAACAATGACATCGGGACAATAGTTCTTAAAGACATTAAGTAGAATCAGAAGCTCTTTCTCCTCCCCACCTGAAGCACTGACTAGCTCCATGAGAGCTTGGATCCTGAAAGGCTTGACATGCTTGCGCCGAGTGATAAACGAAAGCAGGTGGCACAAGGGTTTCCGGAGACTCATCATGTCGAGGTAGTTGAATAACACCGCGTAAAGCTTCGACAGGTGAGATTTATCTTCAATGAAATCGTAAACCAGAATCAACCATCGCACCAGCAGAGCCTGGGTCGCAGGACTTGGTTTGGTTTTAGCCGGACCCAGACAGCACACGACCTGGGTAATCAGCTTGGACGATATGCTCTCCAAGGGGTACAGGTTTTTGACCAAAGTGGTGGTTGTTCCTTGGTCGAGCGCATTACTGGTCGTGAGCACCTTGAGCAGTCGCTCGAGAGCAGCCTGGGGGATTCCGCTCTCGTATGCGCGCGTGGCTATTGTTTTGGCCAACTGGCCAGCGTCCGTGTAGCGGTGCTTGGCAGGCACAAACGCAACTGGAGGAAGCGTTAATATCGGGAGCTTCCAACACTGCAGTTGGAACTATGCTCTTACCTGCTTCGAAATGCTCAACCGCATCTTGCAGGCTGTCTGGCCTGACTTCGATCTCTAGGGGTCTCATCAGCAACCCCGATCGCGACTGAGAGGAACATAACCTACCTCTCCCTGAGTCGGATTCGGATGACATGGCTGGATAGTGGATACTATGAAGCTCAACTGGGATGCTATTACGCACGGTAATCCCTCCTTTCTTAAAGGGCCCTGCGCGAAGGAAGTTGTTGTACTGGCTTCTAGACTAGTAAACGGTTGCGCACTATCAGACTCATCACGCGCGAACCAGCCCAACCACGTCGCGCACAGTGAAATGAGTGCTAGGTTCGATGTCGCGGGAACGATGAGGGGCCTGCACAGAGTAGATTTCAGATCTAGTGTTTTCACCGTTGCGATATCCACTGCCTGCTTGGGCAAGCAATGGTAGTGAATGATAGCAATGTTGTCCCTCCGTCGCGCGGGTTTGTTGCGAGGGTCGCGGGAACTCGGAGAAGGATCTTAACCATTTTTGGCGACCAACACCGTCGCCGGCACTGCAGACCAGCATAACCTTAACCACAATTGGCAGGTTTGGTCTATCCATAGAACCCATACTGTTGTGTAACTAGCCTGTCTTACGACCAGAGTTTATTATCTACTTCATCAACACCCCCAAGATCTGGAATCTGGCCGTTACACAAGGTAAACTTGCTACACTACGCGAAAATGGTACCGGACACAGATATATCCAAACTTCAAAACGCCCCCCCCATTATTCAATTCATCTATAGATGACACGGCGTGAAGAAGGTATACACCCTTCACGGAGGTCTCCAACATGCGATTCTGAACAATGCTCCAGGATCGCTTCGACCCAACCCGGAAGCTGACTGGTCTACTTCCTCTTTCTAACGGACTTCTTCGAGCCTTCCTTTGCGGACGCAGTAGCGGAGGCCTCCACCTTCGGCGCTTCAGCCGGGGTCTCCTCCTCTTCCTCATCGCTGTCACCTCCCTGGCCGAACTCGTTGACACGCTTGAAGTCAACCTTGTATTTCCAGCTCTGGTAGAGCCAGACAAAGAAGATCACGTCATCACGCAGAGTGGCAAGTCTGTGGAGCCAAGGCATCTTGACGGTGAAGGCGAACAGGTCGTCAATGAAGGTGTTAAGAAATTTGTACGTCAATGCCTTTCCGGGCAAGTGAGCAACCGACTATATCACAGTTGAGTCAGCTATATCTTCAGTTAACCAGTGGATCCGGAAGAGGAACGAACCTTCAGTCGGTAGTTGATGTACAAGCTGGGAACCATCATCAAGAAACCATAGGCGTAGACACTGCCGACAAGGGTCTCAATGACATAGGAGTACCACGACTTGTGGGTGTTGTACATCAGGCTGTAAGCAGCGTACGCAGCCAAGAGAGGCACGGCAATGATGTAAAGATAACGGAACGCGATCTCGTCATACTCCTTGGTCTTTTGCTCCGTTTCGCTGAGCTTGTGCTTGTCCTCAAAGATGATAACGTAGGGTAGGAAAGAGAAGAAGGATCCTGCCGGAGGTGGACGCAGCCGCACATCCACAGTCTTCGTAATCTTCCATGCCTCCAGAAGAATACCAAAGCCCTGACTGGCGAGGATCATCCACGAAGTGTTGTCGCTGTTGTCCATCAGGTAGAGGAAGATGACGGCCTGCATGAAGACATTCGCCAAAATGGTGCGGACCGAGGTACCGACGACATCCTTCTTCTTGCGCCAGTGAGACTGTTGATGAGATATTAGTATTCGCGACTGATCTCGATCCAGTAAATGCAATGGTGGGAAACGAATGAGAGGGGCTTACAATATCGTTCTTAAAGGCCAAAGTCTCAAAGACCATGTGCAGAATGGTGACCACACCGGTTGTTCCCAACAAGTAGATGTTCGTGTTCAGAAGCACTTCCTTGATCATCTCGAACTCACTGCCATCGCCGCCACCGGGTGTGGTTTGGCCGTAAGCAGCCTGCTTGGCAGTTGTCTTTGCGTTGTCATCGACACTCGACATCATGCTGAACTTCCAGTTCTGCAGGTTGTTGAGGGTGATGCGCAGAGGCACGGTATCCACAGTCGAGTTGAGTTCCATCATGTGAGACCTGAGCTGCCAGAAGGTGTTCAGGAAAACGATCGGGTAGTACCATCCATTCTGGCCCGAAGCATCTCTTGCGCCAGTGGCTTCGAGTTGCATCTGCTGTCTGATGGCGGGGTGAATCTGACGATACTTCTGGGTACCGGAATCCGGGATCAAGGACACTGTGAAGTTGGGGTGGTAGAAAGAAGCGATCGAGACATCGGGGATACCGTCATCCTCGGCTTCTTCGGAGTCATCGGAAGTGGAAAGAAGGTTCTTGAGCTTCTTGACCTTTTTCTTGGGAAGATACTGGTTCAAGGGACGGAAGAAATGAACGGCGGTGTTCGTGCTGTAGTCCTTCGCCGTGGGGTCCAGCTGCTGCCCAGTGAGTCCAAGGAAGAAATGCGCCCAGAGCGTTCCGTTGCGTTGGACTTCCTTGGGGATCTTGATGGTAGTGTCAATTTCTCTGGAGTCGCTATAATTTCCGATGGTGAAGTTCTTCTCTGCCAAAACAAGCGTATCCGGGGGAAGCGACTTGAAGTTCGGGACGACGACGGATGGCGACACATAGATATTCAGGTCCAAGGCACTGTCGGCGGGCCAAATCGGAGTAACAAGATCGGGGACGGGGCTGTAGTTGGAGATTTCGCTGCGATGGGGACGCGTATTGAAAGTAGTCACATCACTGGCCTTTCCCCCGGCGGCGCTCGACCCTTGTCCCTTTCCACCGAAGAACTGGCTAACGACAAACTGCGCCAGGATGAAGAAGGCCAGGCCCTGGAGAGCACCCTTGATGCCGGACTAGACGGAAGCACGAATGTCAGCAAACCCGGGGTTGGGGAAATCCAAACAATGCAAATTGGAGCATACGCACGCCTTGCTCCGACTCCTCCCTGCGCTGGCGTTGTTCCGGCATTGTGACCCGTTTGTAGCGAACGTGGTCAGCAAGAGAGAGGGAGGTGGAGGGAAAGGGGGGGGGAAGAGGCAAGAAAAGGCCACGGGGGAGGGAATAAGAAGGGCCGGCGATGGCGTTGGCGCTGGCGTTTGGTCCCGACGTTTTTATCTTGGCGGGTCCGGGCTTATCGCCGGGCGGAAAGAATGACATAAATCGTGGCTGCTTCGACACCATCGCCGACATTCGCACTCCAACCCCACCTCGCCCTCCTCAGTCGCCTCCACACCACGGACCCGTTGCGTCTTGCATCGCGTTGACAAAACGCGTGGCCGATCGGACGCCCCGTCGCGCAATGGGCATGCTGGGCTCGTGAACGCCGGCTTCAATCCAATGGCGGACAATCAGCCCTCTCCCGATTACTCCCGCCCGCAGTTTCCTGCCCACCATGAGCCACGGGTATGGGTGATTACAGCGGGGGACTCGCCCATCGGCATCTCGGTGACCCGCCAGATTCTCATGCATGGTGACTACGCCTTGGTTGGACTGGCGCATGCGAGTCTAGAAAGGGACGAATGCCGTCGAGAGGGATTCGATGCGTTCCTGGCTGAAATCGAAAGCCACAGCAATGAGGGATGGGGGGAGCGGTTCAAGGCACTTCCGTTGGACCTAAGGTGCGACCAGCCTATAACCCTCATGCGATGATGGTATAGGCTCACAGTTTACTCTCAGGATGGTCGGGGAGTGTCAAGCACTGGTCGCGCAAGCTGTCGCAGCCTTTGGCAGGGTAGACATACTTCTCTGCTGCACCAGCCAAGGTACTTCGCCATCCCCAACCTGCCTCCCATCTCCTGGGCGTCTCTAATAACAATTACAGCCCTCATCGGAACCGTAGAGGAGCTTGCGGCCTCACAACAAACCTTGAATCTGGTTCGGGACCAGTTCGAGATCAATTACTTCGGGCCTCTCAATATCATCAAGGCAACATTACCACACATGAGGAGGCAAAAGACAGGACACATCATGATCCTCTCCGGCATCAGTAAGGAAAAACACACCCCCCATCTACGGCCACCAATATCTAACCAAAAGAAGCCGCTCATATCGGCACCCCCGGCCTGGGGATGTACTGCGCTGCAGGCTGGGCCCTTGAGGGCTTCTGCGATGTAAGTACCGTACCACCCACCCCATACACCACCACAAACCATTCCGCTAACCATGAAATCGACCAGAGTCTCGCATACGAGATCGCCCCATTCAACGTCAAACTCACAATATTCCAATGCAGCATTGAAATCGGGATCCTCACAAACCTAGTCACCAGCGTACCGCCTATTCCCCAAGTATACTCATCTGGAGCCAACCACGCCCCTCTCTTCCGCGGGATCCTTAACCGTCTCGTATCTCGTCTATCGAATACTCAATCGACAAACTCATCGAATGGCGCGCATGGCGCGAATCAAGGAAGTTCTATCGAAGATGGCCCGTTCTCGGCCTCGGAAGTGGTCTCATCGTATCCACCGCTCAGCTCCGCACATATGGAAGTCCTCGTCTCCGAAACCGTCTACGCGATTACCGCGATTGCGGGACATGAGAACCCGCCTTCGCGCCATATTGTGGGTCAAGAGGGCGTCGCGAGCGTGAAGGAGAAACTGAAGACGGTCAGCGAAGAGCTGGAGGATTTCATTCAAGCCAGCTTTGCTGTCGACTATGCTGCGGATGACTCTAGTCGGCAGTCTAAGGAAGAAGGCCTGGCTTCGGGTGGCCATGAAGGATTTTAATCTGTAAATATGGTATCTAATGAGACACTTTCTTTGAAAAACGGGTATCAATTGGTCTTACGAGTTCTATGTCTCTTGCGAATGGTAGCCATTCCGAAGACTTGATCATCCACAGGGTCACTCTAAGAATGAGCATTGTGTGGCATAGTATTTCCATGCACTTGAACACCAGGAGAGAGCGAGTGTAGAGTAAAACTGCCACTTTCTACGACCAGGCTGACCATGCGCGCTATTTCTGCCGTTGGTACCAAGCCTGTCTAAGCTCCCACAAGGTACCCATGTCCTGGTTATCTCTGTAAGCACGGAATTCTTTCCAGCTGTTCCCATTGGGAATGCTTCCAATACGACCATCGGTCTCTATGATCTTTGCGCTAAGTGCGTTGAGGCCCTGGATATCCTCAAGTAAGATCTCACCGATATCATCGATATCCTCAGCGGTATTAGCGAGCTCCGATGTTTCCAGGGGTTCCTGGTTTGGTTCAGGGGCTTGTTGAGACGGGTTGTCCGATGCCCCGTCAACCTTCTCTGCTTCCTCGATGGGTTGAGCAGGGCTGTTGGAATTATCTGTAGATGTTGTCTCTTCGACTATCGGAGAGTTGGCTTCGTTGGTTTCGACTACCACATTATTCGCCTCTTCAGTTTGTTCAGTAGATGTTGTACCTCCGGCTATCGGAGGATTGACAATTTCCACAGTCACGGCAGGCGTATGCTCACTTTGTTCGGTAGGGAATGTATCTCGTGCTATCGGAGGGTTGACAATTTCCACAGTCACGGCAGGCGTATGCTCACTTTGTTCTGTGGAAGAGTCCGCTTTGTTTTTTGTTTCTGGTGGTTCTGAGCGCTGCCTTTTGCAGTCGCCGTGTTGAAGTTCGGATTTACGTTTCTTAGAGGAGCCAGCCTCTACAGTTTCGCTCATATTTTGGTGTGCCCCAGAGTCAATTTTGGCAGAGTCAATATCTTGTCCGTCAACAACTACCGCATCCGTCTGCGATTCGTCGGCAGTCTCCTCTGACTTGTGCACGTCCGGAATTGAAAGAAAGACACGCTGTCCTGTCGGAATTATAAAGTTCAAGCGTGCGCCATTGACTTTCACGATCTAGCCAGATGTCAGCGACAGTGTTACGTGGATAACACAAATGGTACCGAATGGTGAAAGGCAAGACATACTCGAGCTTCCTTCTCCACGTGGATCTTTTGATGTCCTTTAGAGAATACTCGGGAGTATTTCCAGACATCTCTTTCGCGGACAACCCCCTGATTAATCAAAGTCTTCAATCTCACTTGGGAGCTCTGCCCAGCCACCTGGCTCTTATCCATCCTCTGTTTCTGACCCCAGAACTGCTCGAATTCTTCCTCCTTGAACTTGTCGAACTTGCCTGCCAGTCTCTCTTCCATGGCCTGATGGGCCTCGCGCTGCCATACCGGGTCGTAGCGACCATGCTGAAGATCGTCTTGGAATTGGCGAATGCCGTCGCGCCAGTTATTCGAGTAGCGTAGGAAATACTCCGGGATGGGGGGGATCTTTGCGTCCGGGTCGTCGTCAGGAGGATTCGGATTTGGATGGGTGCCATCCGGGAGCAGGTTCAAGATCTCTTGTTTCTCGCTCTCCTCGAGACAGTCCCATGCCTTAGGATTGGCGAGTAGTTTCTATCCTCCGGAGATTAGTTCAGCTCAGTGGATCGAATCAGGGTGGATGGGGGTTCTCTGGCGCCAGAGTATCATTTCTCGCCCATGTAACATACCACCAGGTCCAGATCAACCAGCTGCGACTCTGGATTCGTCATTAACTTCTCCTCCTCCCATCGATCCTTCACGGCTCTCCTAGGGTTCCGCTTCGGTTTGGCGTTCGTAGATGGTGACATTGCGCAGCTGGATTCGCCAGCATTACTCTGTTCCGCCGCATTTACAGAGCGAAGAGCGCAACTTCTGTAACATGGTTTAGTATCAGCTTTTCATGGAAATAATGACAATTCGTCCCCGGCCAGTCGACGCAGGGAAAGAGAGGGAGCCAATCGGTGCGACTGTACCTGGTCATTGGCCCCGACTCCGAACTGCCGGTGCCGACCGCCTTGCGCGGGCGGGCCATTGTTCCGCGGCCTGGACAGGCGATCTGGACAACGATAGGAGTCAGGCCGGCACTTCAACCACTCAGCTGCAGCGTGTTCGCTCCGGAAAGGATTGACTTGAGATACCACGGAGGATATAGCTTGACAAGATGGTCAGATCAACGCAGATTGCCCGGATCGATGGTATGGTGCAGCCCCGAGCTGTGGACGGAGCTTGGATGCAGTTGCTGACGTTGGAGAAACAGGCCTGATGCTGGCGGCGTCGGTGGATGATGAACAGGTGAGTTTGTAACACAATCACTCTTTTTCAATGTCTCCACAACTGACTCTATTGTTTTCACTGCTTTGGTCAGGCGGAAGTGGAGCTCTCCGAAATCAAGTCCCAAGCCAAAATGATATTTCGCAGGTTGAATCGCAATTCAGCGCCGCAAGCCAGTATTGAATCCGGTCAATTTAACCTACAGTGAGTTTACTCTAAGCGTGTACTTCTATGTCTTTTTTTGGCTGATTGTCGGATTTAGCTATCTCATCCAAGATGATATCTGCTTCCTTTGCATATGCGATCGTTCCTATCCCCGCAAGCTTGCGTTCACCTATCTGGCGGATCTCGCAACCGAATTCACCACAACATACTCCCCGGCGCAGTACCAATCCCCCACCCTCCGCCCCTACGCCTTCGTGGAATTCGACACCTTCATCCAACGCACCAAGAAGCTTTACCAGGACAGCCGTGCGTCCCAGAATCTCGACCGCCTGAACGATGAGCTCCGGGATGTCACGAAAGTAATGACCAAGAACATCGAGGACCTTCTATACCGGGGTGATAGCTTGGAGCGGATGGGCGAGTTGTCGGGCCGTCTACGAGAAGACAGCAAGAAATACAGAAGAGCCGCGGTACGGATCAACTGGGAGCTGGTGCTCAAACAGGTGAGTCCCACATGTCTGTGCGATAGCAGACCGGGTTGTCGCTGACTTGCCACAGTATGGGCCGATTGCAGGTGTTGGGTTCATTTTCCTTTTCTTCGTTTGGTGGCGCTTCTTTTAGACTCGGACAAGGCGGCCACGAAACTCGATACCCGCTAATGTGAATGTATGCATAGATAATGTCTCTGGTTGGTTGCAGGACACCATCCACCCAGGCCCCAGGCTTCAATCAATCTTAAACAGACATATGATCGAACGGCTAGACTGTATAGCATGAGGATTGCATATTTGTAAAGGTATAACGAGCAAGGTCAAATTCTTCATCTTATCGTAAGGCGCGTCGCCAACGGGCATACCGGAGGGGAATAACTTGAGATGTGCTCCGGTGATGGCTTTGGGGATGGCGCATAAATCTAGATTTCATCTTCTTCTTCGTCGAAATCGTCTTCCTCTCCCATGTCGTACAAGATACGACCTCCCTCGCCAGGGCCATCACCTTGCTGCGCATCGAAATACGGCAGTACCACCCCCTCTCGGTCCCTCCTCTGCCTGTCCGTAAGGCGCAATTCAAAGGTCGACTCGGGTTCGTCTTCACCCGCACCCGCGTCTGGCTCCTGTGGTGGCCGGTACAACGGGTGGTCGTCCAGCAATGTCACGATCTCTTTCACGTATTGGGGAGGGTAGCGCGAAGCCGGAGGAAGGAAATACCATTCCAAAACGCCACGGCCACTTTTCCTTCGGTGTTCCAGCTCCAGTACGATCCCTTCTGCCGATTCATTGCCGGACGGTTTATCCAATCTGCCGAGGAGCACGCCATCCTGTTCCTCTTCCAGACCAAATACAGGCGCCGCCAAACTCCGGTCTCGCGCGGCCTTCTGGGCGAGTATGTGTGAAAAGGAATGAAGTTTGATGATCGTGGTTGCTAGGTATGTCAGCATGGAGAGGGGTGAAGGCGCATAGGGCGACTGCGCTGGCGGGTTCGGAACATCTTGGTGGAAGTTTACCACCAGCGATACGTCGACCTTGGGAGCAGAGGGACTCGACGGGATTAGAAAGGTGCTCAGAAATGTTGAGAGATGGAAGTGTGGATCGTTTTTCTTCGAATGTAGTAGCGGGTTGACGGCATCAATGAAGATAAGTCTCCCTGTCAGGGATTAGATGGACTGCAGTCATGGTATGCTGGGTAGACGAAGCCCGGAAGGTACATACTGCGAGAGGGACCGTTAGAAGGGACATTCTGGTAGGCAGCACCAACTGCCTTCAGGATCTCCAGAGGGGTCTTCCGCCGGGCAGCGACAAAGGCATCGACGCCCTCGAGCGGTTTGAGTGTCTCGAAGGCAATAAGCGTAACGTGAGCCTTGGAAAGCTTTTGCAAGAGTCAGTACTTATTGTCCAGCAAACGGCAATCGAAGCAGATCTGTCCAATGGCACGGAGGCCCCGTTATGTGGCTGACTGCAATTGCTATCCTGAGCTTAATATGGTTTACTTACCTTCGCGCGTCTGATGTATTCCTTAATGAGCGGGGTGGCCGGCTGCTCCAGGGAATCCAAGACCAGTGTAAGCGGCGAGGCTGTGTCTCGCAGGCTAAGCAGCTTCGAGATCAACAGCAGATTATGGGTCTGCCTATGGGAGATGTTTGTGGGAGCCATGGCGGGCAATGGTGACATGCGCCGGGATGGGAGAAAATCACGAAGAAAAGCGCATTTTGGTTCGGGGAAGAAAATTGCGGGGTCTTTGTCCCAGCTCTGGAGGGGTCGGTCGGTTTGGGGCGCCCGGGTTTTCCAATGAGCGATCTCGCCTGGTTTAAGCTCATGCTGCCGGCCCACCTCGCATGAAGAAGCATCAATATACTCATTCTTAAGGTAAGGACTCAAAGCCTGGGAATGTATGTCTAGCCTCCCGACAGCTAAATTAGATGTGTGCAAATGCCCATCTCATCAAATTTGTGTCATGGCACGTTATTCCTCTTTTTTCTTTTATTACTAAAGCTTATCACCTAACTAACTACCTGCAGTGCGGCAGTAGTGGCTAGTGGTACTATCAAATTTACATGCATCGGCCAGGCCTAATGCTCAATTAGCTTCGGGGGGGGGTTACTTTATTTTCGAAGCAAAGGAAAAGATACATGTGCCTGCTACCAGAGCCATGGTGTCGATCAATACAATTATTAGTGCCCTTTCATAGATTGTCACAAGTTACCATCTACTCATAATTTGTTCTTCCGATTCCTTTACTCTGTACCTCTTTGGTGAATGCTTAATCTATGGTGTTATTTTACACAAAGTGCAGTTCCCCTTTGATACAGGTATTCATTCACCTTGAGCTCAAAATGGACTCAGTATGTATCAGGAAGTGGAACTGGAGATCTTACTTCTTCAGGTATCAAAGGTGTCCCGTAGACATGTCACTTCCCTACTCGGTACTACTATAAAAAACAAGGAGTGTCTTGGGAACTTTAGAGTGTCGATATACTCCGTAGCGGCACCCCAAAGGCCTTTTCTGGGTAGGAGCGTTATGCCGATTCTAGTAATCCACCCTTACCAGGAGACTTGATGCCTCAGGCGGTTATCGCATATCTCCGACATCGATAAGGTGGCCAGCCATTTGGTCGCGATTACCCCTGCCTCTTGTGTCTTTTACTTCCATGTTCATCTCTTGGTTTTGCGCCATTATGTCTGTATATTACGGTCACCTTCAATAATACTATGCAAGCTGCCTGATTTGACACTTTGGTGAAGGCACTTGGTGGTGGTCAGGGTGAACCGGCTAGCGGCGCAGTAGGTGGCAACCGGCGACCGTAACAATCTTTACGCCTTCAATCTCGGGACTTGAGTTACGGAGCACGACCTGCTCGATCCAAGTCAGGCTACAGCCACCCTGAGCCTAAGACCCTTAATCAATTGATACCCCCACAGGAAGCCCCAGCTACAGATGGTTTAGCTACTACCAACAATTACCGCATACGCTCCTTCCACTTTTCTGCGCCCTGACGCCCTTTGCGGAGAAAACAAAAATCTCCCTCTGTCGAGATTCCTTTCATCGCTCACACCTTCAACGGGACCACGTCTCGACATACCGCAGAACTATCTAGCCGCAGAAATGACGGAACCTCCGGCGAAGCGTGCCCGCAGAGTCGATAGCTCTACCATGTGGGATCAGGATGACCGGAGGACGCGTTCGCCTGGCCCAGGCTCGGAATACACCAGGCGGGAGCAGTTTGCGAAGGATGATAGGCGACGCGACGGGCCTCGTGATGACCGAAGATATCGCTCCAGATCCAGAGACCAGAGGGACAGGCGACGAGATAGGAGCTGGTCAAGAGATCGTCATGACCGTGACCGGAGGGACAGAGATCGCGACGGGCGGGGAACGAGGGACAGGGAAAGAAGCACGAGCCGCGAGAGACACAACGACAGACGAGGTACGTGTTTTGCTGCCGATAGTCATCCGACTCGGTTTCTAACATCCCACAAAGGCTACCCTCCAAAAGGAGACCGGTACCGGTCGCGATCGCCTATCCGAAATGGCAACAGGAACCGATCCCGAACACCTCCTCGCGGCCCACGGGGCGATCACAGGAATGATCGTCGGGACGCTCGCGCCCAACCGAATGGCGCTACGGACTCAAAGCCCGCAGGAGATCATTCGAAGGATGACATGGACGTGGACAGTGATGGTGCTGGCGGAGATGATGATATCGAGGCGATGATGCGCCGATCCATGGGATTCTCCCGATTCAGGAGCACGAAGAATACCAAGGTGCCGGGGAACAATGTCTATGGCGTGCGGAAAGAGAAGAAGACGGAGTACAGACAGTACATGAACCGTCAAGGAGGTTTCAACCGGCCTCTCAGCCCTTCAAGATAACGCAGATGAATCCGCATCGAGGCCTCCCTTTACCTTTCAAGTCTTCCCCCTTTTATCTTCTCTTCGATGTTCAATTTTCGCCGTTTCCCACATCTACCATTTTTCTTCTGCCAGGGCGATATCAATTTCCATGGGTTTGCAACATGCATTGCTGGCGTAAGATGGTTGGCTTCCATTTTCAATGTCTTTAAAATATCCAAGCAAATAAGATACCTTACAAATCCTGTCTAAGAGCCTGCATTGGTTTTCTTGCGCAATTTAACCAATCCTTATCAGTATGACAGGAAAAGCTCGGCACATGACCGTAGTGACGTATGTGCGTGGCTGTATGGTATAAGTTCTCCCTCCCACATGGACTCCTCCGAGGCACCAGCAAGTTCTTCCCCCGCTTCACCATTGTGGCTTCTCTAAGACTCCTGGGCTCCCGAATCGCGCCGTACCGCAAGATGTCGACCACTGGCGACCGCCGTGAAATTGTGATTGTTGGTACGGATATACTTTCGTTTCTTCCGGGTTACCCCGCATCCACGATTTGTGCTAACAGCTCTCTTAAGGCGGCGGTATCATCGGGTGCTGCTCTGCCTACTACCTGACCAGGCATCCTTCCTTCGACCCCTCACGCCATTCCGTCACTCTGATCGAGGCGTCCGAGATCGCAGGTGGCGCATCGGGGAAAGCGGGTGGTCTTCTGGCATTATGGGCATACCCGAGCAACATCGTACCACTGAGTTACAAGCTGCACGCAGACCTGGCGAAAGAGCACAATGGCAAAGATCGCTGGGGCTACCGAGAAGTCAACTGTGGGCAACTCATTGCAAGAGGTCGCCCACTCAGTGACAAGAAAGAGGCAGGCGGAGGTGGGAGCAAGAGCTCGGTCTCTCTGCAAAAGCGGAGTGCCGATGCTCTGGGGAAGTTGAAATCTGCAAGAGTTCCTCAGGACTTGGATTGGATTGAGCCCGAGCTTATGAGGGGATATGAAAGCATGAGTGACACGGGGGAGACTGCCCAGGTCCATCCTTACCTGTTCACAACCTCCATCGCCAAGCTTGCTGAAGAGAAGGGCGCAAAGATTGTCCTGGGCTCAGTGGATGACATCGGTTACTCCGAGGATGCGGTCCAGTCCGTGACGTATACCGATAAGAAAACTGGTGAAACCAAGAATATCCCTGCAACAGATGTGGTTGTTGCGGCCGGTCCTTGGACAAGAACGGTCCTGCCAGAAGCTCCCATCTCAGCGACCCGCGCGCACAGCGTTGTGATCCGGCCCGTCAGGCCGGTCAGCGCGTACACGCTCTTCACGAATATTGAAATCCCGGCCAACTTCGATCCCACAAAGCCCTCCCGACCAACGGTGGCGAATCCAGAAATCTACGCTCGCCCAGACGACACAGTCTATGCGTGCGGTGAAGGCGACCAGACTGTTCCGCTTCCAAAGACATCGGCAGAAGTTGAGGTGGATCAAGCGCGGTGCCAGGAAATCATTGACCAGGTCGGCAGCATCTCCGATGGGCTTCGCGACGGGGAAATCTGCGCCCGGCAGGCTTGCTACCTTCCTAACGTGGCCTCTGCGCGCGGAGGTCCATTGGTAGGTCATGCTGGTGCCAAGGGATTGTATCTCGCTGCCGGCCATACATGCTGGGGCATTCAGAATGCGCCGGGAACCGGCAAGCTCATCAGTGAGTTTGTCTTTGACGGCCAGGCTAAAAGCGCGAAGATCGGATCGCTCGATCCCAGGAACTATCTTTAGAATAGAAGCCCGTACATAGAGTTTTTGCTACTGACAGCAGTCATACGATATCTTGCATGTCTTGCAAGTGCATTTATAGTTCTCCGTAGCAGGAGCTTGCATGCTGCAGGACCCATCGGCAGCGGAGCTTGGGCCACGTAATTTGCGGAGCGGAAGGCGGCCGTTGTTCCAGCAGATGCCACATAGTATCTTCCAATGCAAGTCAACTTCCCCGGTGCCAATCTCTCCCACCAGGGTCATCCTCAGTTCCTGAGGCTCCAATTCGCTTCTTGATGCTTTCGACCTAGAAAATGCATCTCTCCAAGATATCCACAGTCCTCACACCGTTACTCAATGCGGTTGCGGTGCTCTCCAGCCAAGCTCCCGCCGATGACCTCTCCGTCCTGAGCCAGGAGGTGGCAAGGACCAACAACCAGTCTTTGCTATGGGGCCCCTACAAGCCCAACCTCTACTTCGGGGTTCGCCCTCGTATCCCGAACAGTCTGTTCGCAGGATTAATGTGGGCGAAGGTGGACGATTATGCCACGGCGCAACAAAGTACGTACCGGGAAGAAGACCAGCAACAACGAACCATCCCCCACCAATCCTCTCCCGACGAGGCTCCTGTACTGACCATGTCCAAGACTTTAGACATACCTGCGAACAGAATGAAGGAATGGCCGGATATGGCTGGGACGAGTACGACATTCGGAAGGGTGGCCGCCAGACGATCCATGACGCCGGAAACTCCATCGATCTGACAATTGACTTCGTGAAGGTCCCCGGTGGACAGCATGGAGGCAGCTGGGCTGCCCGTGTGAAGGGTGTCCCTCGCGAAGATGCTCTCCCTGATCAATCCACCACTCTCGTCTTCTATACTGGGTTGGAGGGGCTTGGTAACTTGGGTGTTACCACCGAGACTGAAGATGTCCGCGGCTTCGAGGGCGATGTTAAGTTTACTGGTTATACGTCGGAGCTTGGTGACTTCTCCATCGACGTTACTACCGGCCCTGAGAGCAACGAGCACCCTGAGCACGGCCACCCTACCTATGACGAGAAGCCCCTGGACCGCACTCTGGTGTCGAGTCTGAACATCCACCCGGAGCAGATTTGGCAGACGAAAGGTTCGTATCCACTTACTGGAGACCGCGTCGGTTCTCAATCGGAATGATTTCTAACAATATCTACAGTTATCCTTTTCACGCAGATGAAGAAGGAGGTCGACGAAGTCGTCAAGGTGTACGGGGCGGAGAACCCCCCGCCGCCATCCCAGCTTTTTGCCATCAAGAACGAGCCCGGTGATGGAAATATGCATCTCGTGCAGAAGGTCTTCCGTGGCGCTTTCGAGGTACTTATCCGCTGGTGTCAGCTCAAACCCATTGCTTACCTTCCTAGTTCGATATCCTCTTCTCGTCTGGATCTTCGTCGCAACCCGTGACCTGTAAGAGATACCTCCATTTTTTGTATCTACAATGAGCCTATGCTAATGAGTTCGATCAGCCGAAACTTTGACTGAGAAGATCGCAAGTACTTCTCTTGAATTCTCTGAGCGGTTCGACAAGGTCCACCCGCCACAAACTCCTTTCGACACTGAGGAATACTCCGAGTTCTCCAAATCCATGCTCTCCAACCTTGTCGGTGGCATTGGGTTCTTCCATGGTACCGATATTGTGGACCGTTCCGCAGCACCGGAGTATGATGAAGAAAACGAGGGATTCTGGGAAGAAACAGCTGAAGCTAGGGGTCGGGCGCAGCCTATTCTCGAAGGGCCAAAGGAGCTCTTCACCAGTGTTCCATCCCGTCCGTTCTTCCCTAGAGGGTTCCTCTGGGATGAGGGTTTCCATTTGATCCCTGTCATTGACTGGGATACCGATCTTGCGTATGTTCCTTCCGGTTCTGTTTCGTCGTTCCAAATTCGCTAATTCCAACAAGGCTCGAGATTGTGAAGAGCTGGCTCAGCCTCATGGACGAAGATGGCTGGATTGCTCGCGAACAGATCCTTGGCTCCGAAGCCCGCAGCAAGGTTCCGCCTGAGTTCACAGTCCAGTACCCCCATTATGCGAACCCCCCGACACTTTTCATTATCCTTGAGGCTTTCATTGATAAGCTGGATGCGAAGAAGAATGCTTCAATTCAGACAGTCGCTGAGACCGAAGCGGCGGACATCTTCCGTTCTGCCTACATTGAATCGGCGGAGTTGGGTGATGCCTATATCCGCTCAATCTATCCTCTGCTCAAGAAGCATTACCTCTGGTACAGAAGTACCCAGAAGGGTGATATCAAGTCCTATGATCGCGAGGCGTTCTCCACCAGGGAAGCGTACCGCTGGCGAGGACGTTCGGTTCAGCACATCTTGACCTCTGGATTGGATGATTATCCCCGTGCTCAGCCTCCTCACCCCGGTGAGCTGCACGTGGATCTGATCAGTTGGATGGGAATGATGACTCGTGCCCTTCGTCGGATCGCCTTGGCTATTGGAGAGACAGAGGATGCCGAGGAGTTTGGCAAATACGAAACCGCCATTGAGAGAAACATCGATGACCTGCACTGGGATGACGATGAGCGTACCTATTGCGATGCGACCATTGACGAGTATGAGGAGAGTGTCCACGTCTGCCACAAGGGTTATATCTCCATCTTCCCCTTCCTGACGGGCATGCTCGGTCCTGATAGCCCTCGGTTGAAGGCCATCTTGGATTTGATTGGAGACCCCGAGGAGTTGTGGAGTGACTATGGTATCCGCAGTTTGAGTAAGAAGGATGAGTTCTATGGCACTGCTGAGAACTACTGGAGGAGCCCCATCTGGGTGAACATCAACTATTTGGTGCTCAAGAACCTTTACGTGAGTTATTCTCTGATCTTCCGATAACTTGTGTATCCTTGCTGACCTTTCGTTCTAGGACACTGCTATCGTACCCGGTCCTCACAAGGAACAGGCCCGTGATCTCTATTCCAACCTGCGCAAGAACCTGGTTGAGAATGTTTTCAGGGAATGGAAGAAGACAGGATTTGCCTGGGAGCAGTACAACCCCGAAACCGGAAACGGACAACGCACGCAGCATTTCACCGGCTGGACCAGTATGGTGGTGAAGATGATGTCCATGCCCGAGCTGCCCGCCAGCGAGCAGAAGGGCCACGACGAATTGTAACCCGATAAGAGGTGAAGTGTGTATGACACAGTATATCATAGCCTAGATTATCATATCAAAGTCTGTACAATGTTGAATCCAGAACGCCAAACCCTCTAATAGTATGCGTAGCAATGGACGGCAAGCTAGAGCTCAGCGTCGTCGATGATAGTCAGAAGAGTCCTTCTCCCTCGGGGGGTTTCGATGCCGGTCCTCTCGGTGTCTCCTGTGTTCATCGCGCTTTCTATCTCTACTCCTTGACCGTGAGCGCGAGTGTCTTCTCCTGTGCTCGCGATCGCGATCGCGATCGCGGGATCTCGTTCTCGATCCGTGGCGATGACTCCGATGATGACGTTCCCCCTCGTCTCGATGTCTGCGATGCCTACGTTCCCGGTCTCGGTCCCGGTCCCTGTCCCTGTCGCTTGCTCGATCACGTCTTCTGTCCTTTCCTGGGCTCCGACTACGACCGCCGCGGCGGGACGAACCGTACCCAACACCCTTCCTTACACCATCCTCCTCCAAGTCCTCACCCGCTGCGGTATCCAGGGCTGGGTTTTGGCCTTCCCTATTGCCTAGCGGAACCATGTTGGCGTTATCTGAGGATTTGGTGGGCACGGGAAGACCCAGCGCTCGTGCCATCGCTTCTTCTTCGGCTTCCTTGACGCGTTGTTTCTCCTCGCGCTCCTTTCTGGCCTGGTCCTCGTCGTCGGCGTCTCCTTTCGCATACCAGGATAGATCCTTACCCTGTTGCCAACGACCCACGGGAGCCATGAGCGAGTGGCCGAGATAGTTCTCGCGGTGCGAGGAGTCCTTGACGTCGGACCATTTGAAGTCGCCGCGGCCGCCGCTAGAGGGAGGTATGATGGTTAGTTTCGGGGATTGTCTGCATGGGGTGTCCAGAAGACGGGGGGGAGGGGGGGGGTAGAGGGGGGCCACTAACCGACTGCCTTCTTTGCGAACTCCAGCGACCAAATCCATCTCGAGTATTGAGTGAATTTACCCTAAAGGGAGGGTGGTGACGAAGTGAGGGAGAAGTGATGGATGGCGAGAGTCGAAGCTGCGGGAAGACCAGCGGGGGCACGTGCACGAGCTCGGCCTGAGGCGGCGAAATACGGGGTTGGGTGACTTCATACCAGCCCGTAAGTTTCGTAATCGCGCCCGACTTTGCGATAGAATATACATGTCTCCTCCTTGCGACGTCCGCTGTGATCGCTGAACGAAGAGCAGCAGATCCCCTCTGTCCTGCTGGCTGGGACCTTGACTCACGCCCATGACTTCTTTTTCCTTTTCGTCCTCTTCTGCAGCCCTGTAAAGCAATATCCCAACTATCTCCGTCCGCCTTCAAGTGATGTCACTTCCATTGGATCCCAATACCCCTCGGCTTCTTTGAATGTCGGACTCTCTCCGCCCCCATTTCCTCCGATTCGCACTCTTCACCGCGAATGTTTGATCGTCGGACATATAATTTCGCGGCTACTATCCTCTCTTCCACTCATTTCCTGGCGAGAGCGACTGCGGTGCGCCAGCATGGCGTTCACTAGCAATGCTGCTAAACAGCCCAAGGCCCGCCCCCGAGAAGGTCTACATCTTCGGCCCCTGAATGTCGAGAAAGGGACGAAAAGAGTATGTACTTTGTCCTATCTTATAGATCTGGAGATGCCGCTTGTTGGGATTGTGTGCGTGGAACTGACTTCGTCTAGTACTCGTCGTATGTTCTCTGCTGCCACATGATTCGCAACGGCGTTGGTAAACCATGCTGAACAAAATTGCAGAGCAGACGATTCTTTCCCTCCGCAAACTGCTACATGGAGGAGTAACTTGGTATTTTTTTGTTCTCTATTTTTTCCCCTCTGCGCTCACGTATATAGCTGCTAACCTGATCAAAGATTGCGCTTTCCCAGCGCCATAATTTGCTCTTCGTCGCCTACAGCCACCAAATTTATGTCTGGGAGCCATCTGGGCCGTTCCAGACGCTGGGGAACAAGCCCGAGATGATCATCACTCCGGTCGTCAAGGAGCCTGGTGGGAGTGGCTATATCTCACCAGCCACGCCTCATGCGATCAATAATATCCTTGTTGATGATCTGGGTCGTGAAGAGGTTTTGTTGCTTGTCACTGATTCTGGAAATATATGCGGTTACCGCGTTGAGGCGATATTCTCTGCATTGCGGAGAGCTGCCGCGAATAAGGAGGATCGACCCCTCGATGGCACTCAGGTGGATCCATTCTTCATGGAATATGTCGAGGCCAGTGCATGGGGTCTAGCTATCCACAAATTCGCGCGCCTCATTGCCGTGAGTGCGAATACGGGCCTTATCACTGTTTTTGCGTTTGCGCTGGTGAATCCCGCTTCTGGTAACAGCGCCAACGCGGGCTATCATCCGGAGGATGATGAGGACTTCACGGATTATGGTCAAACCTGGCTGGATATCAAGAATCGAGAACAGTTTGTGCAGCTTCAACATCTGATGCCATACAAGCATCGCACGCGGAATATCAGGCTGACATATACTGGTCATTTTGCTAATATCCCTTCGGTTGATTTCCTGAACTGTGACCTCGACCCCAACGGCACCTGGATGGTCAGTACTGATATCGATAACAAGCTTCTGGTGTGGAAAATCTGGGAAAGTCTTGGCCCATTCAACGTCTATCACTTCAACGATATTTCCTTTAAGTCTTTTCCAGAAACATTACGGAGCGAGTAAGAACACCTCGCTGGAATCCGATCCGAGTCCTCGCTTGTGGCTGACCGAAGTAGCAGTGAGCGTGGCTGGACTGTACTTGCCCTGGACCCACGGACCTTTCATCTCCTCAAATCCGCAGAAGAAGCCTGCGGTGGCCCCCCTCAACGGCGCGTGAAGAACGGCCAAACTGTTTTCGACCTGACGAGAGCGAGTAGTCGGATACCCAGCGCTTCGCAGATCTATAACTATTTCCCACCTGCAGTCAAAACTGAGCCCGAACAACCAGTCTTACCGGACATCTTTGCAGCAGATTGCTGCATTAGTAGACAGAACAGTATCTCTCAAACTGCTTTGTCGACGCCCGCGGATCTTTTAGATTACAATAGATCTTCCACGATGAATGGCAGCATTCGCCTGCCGGACTCTGTTGATGGATTCAGCCACCGGGCTGTCGACGGCTCTGCATATGGAGACAATCTGAGCCGCGACGGCTCTGACGCCGATCAGAGTACGCATAATGCCCGAATCAGCGGACGTTTTCGGCGACTCGATGACACAGATCAACAAGCTGATACGTTGCCTCGTCAACTCGTTCCGGGAGCCTTAACGACACCGGAATTTCTCCAGTTCGCGCTCATTGAGGCTCTTGGTGGCGGTGCTCCCGATACCGAATACTACGACGATGACAGTATGGATGACTACTCCCCCGACGAGGATGAATACCACGACGATCAAGAGATGAACGATGCGGGCAGTAGCTCCGGCGAGGGTGATACCTCAACCACCGCAGCAGGATACCAAATCTTCGACCGTATGCCCCACTCTCTTCCTCGCGCCTTCTTTCCCCCTGTAGATATAGATATACAGGAAAGCTAACTGGTCTTCTCCAGCTCCGGCACACTCCAACTTCCCCATCCTTCACTTCTCACACTCAGACATCCGCCTCATACCCCATCCATTCGCATCCGGAGCAAGGGTCGTCTGCGGCGATCCGCTCCGACAACCATTCACCCATCCCATCGCATCCATCCGAGTCTGCGATCGATTCAACATGGTCAAATACATCCCCGAGCACGGCATCGTGGTCGCAGCCTCCCAGAAAGGCCGCGCAGCCATCATCGCCCTGACTGAATCCGAAACCACGGGCCTCTCATTCCGAATTGACTGGATCGTACCCTTTGAAAGCCAAGAGAAATACGGCGACCGCCCCCTCATCCCTCTCCTCGGAATGAGCGTCAGCCCCATCCAGGGCTTCGAAATCCCCCCGGACGTACCCTGCATCCCCCGTGACGTCAAGACCAACGATCTCGCCTTCGAGTATAAATACCTCAACCCCGACGACTCCGACAACAACAAAAACACCCACACCCCTCTCCACAACAGCAGCAGCGTCTTCCAACCCCACCACTCCAGCGACGACGGCGACAGTGACGGTGACGTAGACACCAATGACGACGAGACCAACCACGACCCCACGTTCTCCTACGACGCCGCCAGCGACGACTCCCTCCCTCCCCCCCTTACCTTACCCGAATCCCACGCCCGCGCAACCCGCGCTTACCAGCCCGAGGAAAGCTGGCGTGGCTGGAACCCATCCCGCCGCTATCGCTTGTTACTCATGTACGCGGACCACACCCTCATGAGCTATGAATTCTGGTATAATTGGAACACCACCGATACACCCACTCCCGGGACCCAGAATGACTTCGATGAAGATGATCTTCTTCTTGTATAAGCATTTTTCCTTATTATCTCTCTTCGGGAGAAAAAAAAAATGAATGAACTGGTACATAAAACGCGATAGACTGGAGATTTGAGTACGGGGTGAGGGGTGTGGTGTGATGGGGGTGTGCAACAGAGAAGGAGGAGGGAGGAGTGGCTAGTGAGGGATGGCAAACAGGCAGGCAGGCAGGCATTCTTCATTTATCGCATTTCGGTGGGCGTTTGGAGCGAGCAAGCGAGCGACATTTCGTCGGGTTCAGTCTAGCGCTATTTGCATTCTTCTTCCCTTTTTGTTCCGTTCTGTTCCCTGCGTGGTATTACAAAATTTCGTGTACTCTTGTCATTTCATTTCGGGATTGTATCTATTTACTTACTTGCTTGCTCTACTTGAGGGAAGAGTGGTGGATAAGAGAAGGGCAGGGCGATTCCGGGCTATTTATTCCAAGGGGCAAGATTGATATGATATGATCATATGTATGTATGTATGTATGTATGTGTGTATGTATGTATGTAAGAGAAACAGCTGATACTATCTCGCTAAAATGGACGTGAATTTCTAGCTGGTGATAGACGGACGCTTTTTGAACCAAATGATCTGATCATGATATACATGTAGGTTAGGTGATGGGGGTTTCGTCGTGGGAAAATGGGAGGGGTGGGGGGGGGATTAACGCGATCAATAAGCAAGCAAGCAAGTAAGCAAGCAATATAGAACAATGCCTGAGGCCAGTAACAAGATAGGGAAAAGGGGTTCGCTAATACAGAAATGTATGCATAGGTAGATAAGATAGTCATCAAAGTCATAGATAGGTAGTAGTAGTAATGGCAGTTTCGTACATGGGTCATAGCACAAGATAGGATAGATACTCGGTGGAATGGAATATTCACCAGAGTATATAGTAGATTAGATAGAAGAGGGTCGTCAAAAGTTGTCTTCGAGAGAATGCTGCTGAAATGAGGAAGAGAATGACGCTGTGTTGCGTAGAGAAGTCGTGTTTGTTGTCAGAGAGAATTTCTAGAAATCGTCGTCTAGTTCGTCACTATCCCATTCGTCTTCGCGGTCGTTTTGGACCAAGTCGAGGAATCTCTGCAGTCCTCTGATTTGTCCCTGGCGGTCCGGCTGGACGCGCAGAGGTGGACGGGCAGGTTCAACATCCGGGGCTCGGCGGACCTCGGCGATTGCTCGTGCTTGGGCCTGCCGCTCGGCGGCGGCGGCCCGGCCTGCTGCGTCTAGGCCATTGGGGTTGTTTCCGCGTTGACGGTGGCCCTCGGCGACTCCGTTGTTGACGCGGGGCGGGACCGGGGCAGGGGGTGGGGGTCGTCTTCCTAGCTCCCACGCCATGATATCCTCGTCATCACTGCCGTCGTCGAAATCCAGGAGCTCGTTTGGTACTTGGTGCAAGGCTGCGGCTCCGTCAGGATTGATACCGTCGCCGCCTTCCATGTCCCAGAGCCGGTTGAAGCAGTCGCTGTCAATGTCGTTGAAATGGCGGTAGGGGTTGTCCTCGCAGAGCCAGCTAGAGCACAGATAGCAAAAGTGCGTGTCGCATTTGAAGCACTTCATATGATTGCAGCCCATTTGCTTCTGGCACGGAGCATTGCATGTGGGGCACTCCGATGTGTACATTCGTAGGTATTCCTCCGTGGCTTTCTCCTCTGCCGATAGCTCCGCATCTCGACGTGGGAAGCACCGCACAAGCTCACCATGCCAGCCCTTCTTGCAAACACAGCAGAAGGCGTAGTTGCAGTCTTCGCAAATAGCCACACGATCGGCCATGGGTGGCAGCTGCGCCTCGTCGCCAAGGGGATCGAACACGGGGCCATCCTCCTCTTCTTCATACGGGGCGTCCACGTCATCTGTCATCGGGTCAACGGGCTTCGGATGCCGCTTTGAACGCGCTGCGCCTTGGCACCACTTTCGAGGACAGTAGACGGTCGACTTGTCGGCCTCGAGCGATTTCTTCCGTTTCAGAAACACATACCGTTGCACTGTTTCTTGTTCGAGCGGGATCTGGAGTAGTTCGCTGGGGCTTAGGGTCCGGTCCTGCTTTTTATGCTTCTTTGGCAGCACCTCCGTAGCTGAGGTGTGGTTCAACTCTTTGCCACAGTCAGGAGCCAGGCACTTGACACCTTCGACGTCACCCTCTGTTATGCAGCTGTTGTAGAAGTCTTGGAGGCATGGAACGCAAAAAACGTGCCCGCAGGATAGCAGTCGGTGGCACGTTGTGCCCTTCTTGGGCTCCAGGCATACTCCACACTCGAATGTCTCTTGTTCAAAGTTCTCCCGCTCAGCTTTACTGTTGAAGTCCAGCAAAGCAATCTTCAACTCTCGAGGGAGTTGGACCTCGCCATCGGGCATGTCGCTCACTCCAAAGGCCGAGTCTCCCAGTTGTTGAAGATGGTCGATGTACGTGAACACCACCAGGTCATTTCCGCATTCTTCCCATAGACGTCGTCCGTCATCCAACAAGTTTGCAATTATCGAAGATGGGAGCCAAGGTGGGCTTGTTTCGAGCTTGAAAATAGGTGCTGTATCCGACGGGTAGCCTTCAGGAAGCTCTATCTCGAGGCAGAGAGGCGGAAGGTGCGAGAGAACGTGGACATCTCGGTTGAGACCAACTGCAGGGTCCTGTTCCGTAGCCTTGAACGGGAACCCCGCGTCGTTGGCATCGATGGAGGTGGGAGGGGTCAGGACAGCGGGAAAGTCTGTCTCTGGTTGCTGCTGAAAGCATACGCGGAGAGGAGTGGAGGGTTTGACAAGCAGGCTCAGAGATGCTTTGAAGGGAGAAGAAGGATCTATCGTGATCTCCGGGTAAATGGCAGCAATCGATGACAGCTCTACCGAGCGATCATCATCGGGAAATAACTCAGACTCGGTCATGGTGCACACCGTTGTGATAGATAAGGAGCGAATGGGTACAGACAAAGCGAAGCCTTTCGATTGACCGATATATGCTGTCGAGTGTGGTGGGTGGCAAGGCAGGTAAGCCGGTTGGCGAAGCGAAGCGGTAGCCCAAGTATTTTTAAACCTCCGTGCCCTCTACAGTATTCATTCCTTCGGACACGATGGACATGCAGATATGGCGGTGGGGGAAGGAAAAGGAGTAGAATAGAGAGAAGTCACTAGCCTATGGATCAGCATCTAGCGGGAGGCGATGGTTTTTTTTTGGGGGTGGCAGAGGCCGGCGAGAGGCACCTTTTCAGGTACTGCAGATGTTCGCGGTCCAGACGGTCATGGAGGCAGTGGAGCCGTGGAACGAACAACGACAGAATGAGCGGCGGAAGGAGATCGAAGGGGGAGAGAGGCAGCGTCGGTTCTGGTCTGCAGTCGAGGTATACGAGAGGTGGAATGAAGACGAGGCCGTGGGGAGGAGAAGTGCGTCATGGTTTGGCCCGAGATAAGAAGAGAAGAAGATCGGAGTCAAGATGAGCAAAGCACGCAGTAGTTGCAGGTCGCAGGAGCTAAAGAGCTGGGACTCTCTCTAGTCGGGGGGAAGGGAATGGGGGAATCAACGAATTAATTTATTGTGGGAAGCGATGGGCATCAGAGGGGGGGGTTGCTGCCCAGTCCGGAGCCAACCATCATTCCAACATGCTGGACTGGATAGAGAGAGAGAGAGAGAGAGAGATGGAGGAGGAATCAATCAATCAATCATTTGTTCTCGATTCTTCTTCCGGATCTCCACGCCCAGTCGGCCTGAGGCCGCAGTTTCCCCTCCCCCTCCTTTCCCCCGCCGCTTTAGAGGACCCCCCCCCCCGGCAAGGCGGTGTCGCCGTGGCGCCATGTCCGCCTAAAGCAGCACCGCCGCCCAACCGCGCCTTCGCAGCCCCTGGCCATTCTTAGCTTAATTCTTAGCTGTTCTTACTCCTCCATCCCATCTAGTTCTTAGAAGCATACCGATCAGATCCCTCTTTATGGATCGTTCTAGAATCATCTAAGTCCCAGGCAAAGCAACTCGATCGCTGCTACACTAGTCTTCGCCGCTTTCTGATCCAGTTGCGTGTTGCCAGCTGGTCCTGTAACTCTGGGTAGCATCTCGTCTTAGCAGAACAGGAAACAATCTTTCTTGCTCCTTTTCTCCGGAATCTGAGTCAGCCAACATGGGTGATGTACCGTTGGCATCCTTGTCTCTGACTCACGTCCACTACGTAAGTCTTGGATTGCTGTGACCAGGGTGTTTGTCCGTAGCTAACCAGAGACTTATATTGGTGGCAGAACCCTCATGATCCACTGTCTTTCCTTTCTGCCTGGCTTGCGCTAGTGCCACAGGGACTATGCGTGGCCTATGTGACCCTCATCTGGGCCTCGAGGGAGGCGGAGGTGATCTTGATGTTCGCGGGTCAGATGGGCTGCGAGGCTTTGAACTTCGTGCTGAAGCGCATTATCAAGGAGGAAAGGCCCAAGCGTATGTGACTTGAAGCTTCTACAATCTCCTCCTAGCCAAAACTGACAATCTCCAGAAATACTAGGTAAGGGGTATGGCATGCCATCTTCCCATGCGCAATTTATGGTGTATCTCGCTATCTATGCGGGACTGTTCCTCGTCTTCCGGCACACCCCTGTTATTGTACGATCCGGAGCGGCACTTCACTTCTTGGTACGAGTCCTGCTTGCCCTGGTTTTGTGCTTGGGGGCTGGAGCAGTGGCCGGTAGCCGCATTTATTTGAACTATCATACCCCCAGGCAGGTTCTGGCCGGGTGTGGTGCTGGGGCAGTATGCGCGTTTGCATGGTTCTTTGTGACCAGGCTTCTCCGGGTGCATGGATGGATTGATTGGGTTTTGGACCAGGATATAGTTCGATGGTTTCGAGTGCGCGACTTGCTGGTAAGCGAAGATCTCGTCGAGGCCGGATGGCAGCAGTGGGAAGCAAAACGGAAGTTGAGTCGACGAGGCTCCAGTGATCATCCGTCAACCAAATCCGAATAGACAAGAAGTCTCGCATATGATCCGACTTCTGTGATACCCTTAGACTTTATTTATATGGAATGTGCATTTATTTTACTTGACGTTAGCAATGGGTGTAATGAAGATCGGGGTTTGATGTCCTGGATGTACAATAGATCACCCAATCTATTGGTGTGGTCAAGGAGGATTTGGCAGCGTAGGAGTGTCTACTACGATATCATGTACGAGATCAGGGGAAATATATCTTCCCGGGAAGGAGTGAAGTAACTATGACTGAATTGGTGTTGTGCCAATTCCACCCACCAACTTCATCTGTATGCTAGCCAAAGGGGAATTGCATGGCAAACTTGATCTTCACCTGGCCATTGTTCGAATTTTACAGTATTCTAGATTGAAGGTCGGGGGGAGTGAAGATAACGAGGGCCTCGACCCTCGACCGGTCCCCCGCACGTGACCGGCGAGTCCCGCGGATGGACGGCTTTCCTCCCAACCCAAACCCAACCAACCCATCGTGGATCTCATAAACGCTGCGGATAGCCGCTGCGCCAGAAACACCCCCCCCCCCAAAAGAAAGACACCATGTCTTCTTTCCTGGACTGAGTACCATGTTGGATCTTCCCTCCGCCTTTCTGCACCCACAATAGCTCGTGCATTGGCCTTTTCTTTCTCTCTTTGCTTCTTGCGGCCCGACCCACTCTATTTATTCACTTTCACCTGATACCCTTGATTTTGTAATAAACAGCCTGCATTCTTCACATTTTTTTCCTGTGGCCTATTGAATTCGCAGACCTGAAGCATCCTGATTGCGCCAAGATGGATGATACGCCGGAGCCCGCCGACAGTGCCATGCCAGAGCACCATATTGTCAAGGCAGACGAAGTCGACCAGACGGGGACGGACATCAGCCCCGTGTCGGATGACCAGTTGATGGAGCAGGTCGCGGAGGGATTGCGGCAGGAGCAGTCACCATCCAGTGCCTCGACCCCAGACCAGCCGCCGGCAGAGTCTGGCAAAGGGCCTAGACGCCCCGACCTGCGTCGGGATGCGGCCGCCCCGCCGCCTCCTCTACAGCCTCCACCGCCAGCTCCGGTTCAACAGAATGTGGAGAGACCCCCGGACTCGCTGAGTCTGGCTCAGCTCAGGCAGCTGGTTCAAGAGATGCCCAAGGTTGAACAGCCTGCATATGCCTTCGAGTATGCCGACTCCCAACCGTTCGCCGAAGAAATCGAAGAATGGTTCCAGTACAGCGAGTTTGATAGAGTCATGCTCATTGGCATGAAATCGTCCTTTGAGCACAGGTGGGGCTCATTCTGTGAAGACCAGTCTGCAGATTCTTCCCCGGAATCTTGGACTTATGCCTCTCATGAACATTTACGACAGACCTTTATGAGCCAAATAATTAACAACGTACGAGACCGCACAGTCTTGGTCCGGATCGAGGCCTTGGAAGCCCTGTGCTATGCTCTGACGGGAGTGTGGGGTGTCACTGCCGGAAGGACTGTGTATGGTTCTGTCGAAGGTAACCCTCGGCACGCAATGCAGATCAAGTGGATCGAGCACAATGTCCACTTAGTCCACCAGTGCTCGGGCCTTCAAACACTCGTGGACTGCCTGTGCCGTGTCTTTGAGAGACATCGCAGCTCATCATCGCAGGACATCGAGAGCAATGGACAGGAGAATGCAAACCCTGCGTATGTTGCTGCTTTGGAGCGCGAAGCGAACCTCGTATTGACGGCTCTCTATATGGTTGTGGAATTTGGTCGGAGAGAAGAAGCTCTCTACCCCAAGCCTAGCTCCGTGAGGGATACTCTTATGGGCTTGGAGCCCAACCTGCTGGTGTTCTTGGTGGAGATCATCGCGCGGTTGCGGTGGGACGACTCTGCTAATGTCCCGCTGACTCGGGTCATCCTCTTGTTCTGGAAGACTTTGCTTCTGTTCTTTGGAGGCAGTGATAAGCTGAAGCAGGCCAAAGAAATACTAGAGCCTTCATTCGAGGCAAGGGAAAACAGTTCTCCCCGGAGGACTCCCTTCCTCACAGCCTCACCCCTGGATTATCATGCTTTCAGGCAGGAGATTACGTCCAAGTACCCTGCCTATAACCCGCCGCCGCCTGCGGTCCCTTTAGACCTAGAAAATAACTCGGTCCTTCCACCGCTTCCTCAACACCCTAACCGGATGGGTGCCTCCAACGGTCCCTTCTCTGGCGTCGGTCCTCCGGTGGCGGGTAGCAGCGGTTCAATCATCCACCACCCGGTTCATATTGCTACGCCTGCACCGTCCCCCCCACCCTCGCCCATTGGACCAGGTGGAAAGGCTGGAAAGAAGCAAAACTACCAGACCAACCAGAACTTCCCCTTCATGTACCCCCCTCTAGACGATTCAAGTAACGACCTGGGTGGGAAGGGCACAACCGAGCTGCAAGATAACCTTGTAGGGAAACGGTGGGAAGGAAGCGATGTCCCGGCTTCGATCATCGAGGCTGGGAAGCTTTTCTCCACGCATGTGAAAATGACCCGGGCGATGCGGCAGCTCTGGGAGGAGCGAGAGCGCTTCATGAAATACGACCGTGGCTGGTACCCTGAGGATAACCATCCCCTTTCGACGGAAGATCCCTTTAACGATTTGGCCGAACAGCTGGGAAATTTGCATTTGCCGCAAAGGCCCAGCATTGCTAGTTCTTCTGAGAAGGAGACTGATAATGAAGACATTCAGCAGCGCCTGAACGCTGTCGAATCATTTTACGTGGGTTTTCCTGGCGCGGCAGAAGGACATCTGGCTTACGATTTGCACAGAGACAAGCACTGGTGCATCTACAGTCGATTACGATAGTTTTCCTGAAGATCGTCCTGACCAATGTCAGCGCCATGGTCAACCAGGCGAACGGGCAAGCACAGGCCATGGGGTATGTGATGTATCTATCTGTTGACCGCTGAGATCGTTGACAGCGTACTGATGCTTCCCCTCCAGTGACGGCTATAGCTCGATCAACGGCTTCCCAGCCGACCATTCCAACGGTCATGGAGACCTGAACTCTGAGGCTGCGATCGACGACCTCGATAATATCCGGCTCCGGGAGATTACCGGCAAGGCGATATCTGGCTCGCTGCTACTGCTGATCAAGTGGTTCAAGAGATCTCGTAAGCAGCACCGGTCCGAGATGGTTGACTGAAAGTGCTGACAGGCTACAGATATCTTGAAATTCGAGTACATGACTCAGCTACTACTCGACTCGAACTATTTGCCTCTGATCCTGAAGATGTTTGCTCACCAGGATGTCGACCAAGCGGTAGCGCATCGGAACGACCGGGAAGAATTGGGGTATGTACTCTGAACCGACGTCCACGACGTACAACTAACTAGATCAAAGCTTCTTCCGTTTCTGCCATCTTCACTCGAACCAACCGCCCGAATCGACGACCGACCTGGACGAAGACTCGTCACCTAGCGAGGACGAGGCCGCCCCACCACCCATCACGCGGCATCGACAGGACACAGACGCAGGCGCCTCGGTTCGAGGAATGTCGCCTGAGATCCCCGTCCCGGAGTTCGTGGAAGGGCCTCATCGCCCGGAGGTGGACGAGTTAGGCTACCCTACCGCACCGCCGCCAAAGGAGCCGATCACGGTGTTCTCCTTCCGCAACTTCTTCTCGGCGATCAACTACCTCCACATCATGCAGAAGATCACGCGCGACAAGGCGCACCGCTGCCTGCTGCTGGTGCAGTACAAGTCGAGCACGATCCTCCGCAAGGGCCTCAAGATCCCCGACCCGCACCTCCGCTTCTACACGCTCAAACTGTTCAAGTCGCAGGTGCCGTACTGCGGGCGCAAGTGGCGCCAGAGCAACATGCGCGTCATCACCGCCATCTACCTGTACTGCCGGCCCGAGCTGCGCGACGACTGGCTATCCGGCGGGGACATCGACTCGGAGGTCGAGGAGGCGTTGCCCCTGGAACAGGCGCTGCGGGGGCTAACGCACTGGTGGCATCTGCGCCGCTACAAGGACGTGATGGGCGGCGAGGAAGGAGCCTCGATGATGGAGGAGGAGCGCGACTTTTTCGTCCGTGAACTCGAGGCCATGGGCTGGGGCCTGGCCGGCGAGGAGTCGTACGGAGGCAGCGACGACGTCGAACTGGCTGCGGCTGGCGCTGGCGGGCCCATGGTCAACGGGACCGAATGGGATGGAGCTCCGCTGCAGATGGAGGGGTGGTGAGGAGTAGATAACAACTGGATAGAGCCGACACTGATCGATCACGAATGGAATCATGATAATACCATACCCAACCCCAACCCCAACCCCAACCACAACCACAACCACAACCACAATCTAGTTAACTCCATCGTAAACAAGAACACCGCCAACCAACCAGTTGGAACCACAGCAATAATAATCAAAAAACCACCCTTATCGATAAGGCCGCGGAACCCGCCACGTGACCGATCACTGCGGCAACTTTTTTTTTTTTTTTGCGGCAGAAAATCACGGCTTGGCTTGTCGGCTGCGAACCAGGCAGGAACAGAGCCTTTCCTTTCCCTCCTCCTCCCCATCCCTCCAAACCACCGAAACAAACCCCCCCCCCGCACCGTTGCGGTAGATATTCTGTCCCGCGCGGAAACTCCGTCAAGATGTCGTCCGATGAGATTGTTTGGCAGGTGATCAATCAGCAGTTTTGCGCTTATAAGCTGAAGTAAGTTTTGAAGAAGAAAAAAAAAAAATCATATCCGGGTTCCATCCATCCCAACTTGAGCAACCAACTCAAAGCCCACTCAATTTCAATCACAACCCAAAAGGAAACCAACTTTTTACTTTCTTTTAGAGAGCAATGCTGATTTACACTGTTTTTTTTTAAAAAAAAACAGAACCACCAAGGGCCAAAACTTCTGCCGAAACGAATACAACGTCAGCGGTCTGTGCAACCGGCAATCCTGTCCGTTGGCCAACTCCCGGTATGCGACGATCCGGTCGGACCCCGAGACGGGCGCCATGTACCTGTACATGAAGACGGTGGAGCGGGCGCACATGCCCAGCAAGTGGTGGGAGCGGATACGATTGTCGTCGAACTACGCGAAGGCGCTGGAGCAGCTCGACGAGCGCCTGATCTACTGGCCGAAGTTCCTGGTGCATAAGTGCAAGCAGCGGCTGACGCGGCTGACGCAGGTGGGGATCCGGATGAGGAAGCTGGCGAAGGAGGATGAGAGGCTGGGAGAGACGGTGGTGCCGAAGCTGGCGCCGAAGATTCGACGGAGGGAGGAGACGAGAGAGAGGAAGGCGGAGTCGGCGGCGAAGATTGAGCGGGCGATTGAGAGGGAGCTGATTGAGCGGTTGAGGAGCGGGGCGTATGGAGATCGGCCGTTGAATGTCGAGGAGGGCATCTGGAAGAAGGTGCTCCGCGGGCTGGAGAGGTCTGGGGAGGGAGAGCGCGATGAGGATCTGGATGATGGCGAGGAGATCAGTGACTTGGAGGAGGAGGATGAGGAGGAGGGAGTCGGCCAGGTCGAGTATGTTAGTGATCTCGATGAGGATGAGGAGGATCTGGAGGATATTGAGGACTGGCTCGGTGCTGGGTCGGGTGACTCGAGTGATGAGTATAGTGAGGAGAGTGACGAGGAGGAGGACAGTGAGGATGATGAGGAGGAGGAGGATGACAGCCACCACAGTGATGATGAGGAGGTCAAGAAGCCGAAGCCTGGCTTCAAGCGCAAGCGCCCTGCTCCTCAGGTCAAGCCTAGGAAGAAGGGTCCCCGGGTCGAGATCGAGTATGAGACCGAGGGTCCGGGCAAGGAGAGTGTCCTGGCTTGAAGTGGAGATGCAGGACAGGTGCGCATTGGACATAAAAAAACAAAAGGGGTGTTGTTATTTCCATTGTCCTTGTCATTGTTGTTGTTGTTGTTATGTTTGTTTCCTTTGTACTGTATGGCGTTATCTGGTTTCGAGATATTTGGTTGAATTGCTGTCGTTGGGCATTCATACCCAGTCATTGCATATAGTTAATCTACTGTTTGTGGCTGTTGCTGAGATTGGATTCGTGTTGGGTATAGTACAGAGGATAGAGAATGAGGTGGTGGTGGAAGTCCCGCCAGTTGGCCATCGTAGATGACTGAGGCAGACCAGCGATGACCGGGCTCACGTGCCAGGCGGGATGAAACACCGAGTGGACCGCCAACCCGTGAGCTCAACTCAATCAATCAATGCCAAACTCCCCCAAGGGGTGCTCCAAACCTCCCTCACCGTCACTCTTGCTGGCTGGCTCGCTCGAGATACTGTGTCCAATCTCATCTACACAGTCTATCCCATCCAGTCTTGCTCTCTGACTCCGGACGCCCCGGATACGAGCGTGCCTGCGCGCTTCCCGCATCATCTGTCCTGAACGCTTCGATACCCCACCATAGCGCTCACCTCCTTTTCCTGCCATTGTCCCACGCTGCGCTCCAATCCGTGACCACAACATTCACCAGAACCTACACCCACACCCACACCCACGCACCATGTTCTCTTCCTTCACCTCCTCCTCCGCCATCTCCAACCTGGGCACTCGGCTGCGTCGCGCGATCAACCTAGGCGACGAGGCGGACGACCCGGACCACGAAGACTGCTCGCACATCTCCAGCGTGCTGCGCGCCTACTACACTGAGAAGGGACGGCCATACCCGGGCTGGCTTCCACCTGACCCGAAAGCCCCCGCGCCCGCGCCCTCCCGGGTCATCGCGACGACTCAGATCCAGGCCGGCGGCGGCGGCGGTGGCGCGCCCGCAGCGGCGTCGTCGTATGGCCGCGGTGGCGGTCTAGGCGATTTGTGGGGAGACTCGGGTTCTGCGACGCCCCCGACCTCCCAGACAGCCAGCCTGCGACGAGGCCGACTGGCGCCCGGCGGCGGTATGGGGGGCGCTCCCCTGGCGGCCACGGCGAGCGCACCATCGGGCCCGATCCCTTCCCCTCACAGTCACTCGCCCGCACCCCCGGCGCATCCGGCCGGCGGACGGCCGCTGCCTAGCCAGCGACTCGGGTCGTATCAGACCATCTCGGGACCGGCTGGCGGCAGTGGGAGTCCAGGACTAGAGCGTGCGGCGTCGGCTCAAGAGCGACTCCGCGCGCGTCTCCATGGGGGCCGGTCTCCCAGTCCCGGGCAGAATCCGGGCAGTCGGCCGGGTTCGCCCTACGTAGCGGATCCTAGCGCACGAAAACCGGTAGGCATCCTGCCGGGTCGACGATAATGGACGGGACGGGGGGGGAAAGGGAGTTTAGCCTAATTTACCAACCGATTACGTGGGGATGGGGGGGGGGGGAGAAGACCCGGGAAAGACCGTCGAAGCTTGAAAGTTGGAAGAGTGGAAGGGGAACGAACGAGAAGGGTCTAGTGGCTGCAGGGCCTGCAAGCAAGATGGGGACTGCTGGTTAGTGCCTTGTCTTGTGTGGTGGTCGGGGCGGGTGAATGTATGAATAGGAACTAAGGGGAGGGGAGTAACTATCGGGATAGTGGTTGGTGGTTAGTGGTTTCCGTGGTTTGTTTGTTTCCATCCTGCATGTTCCACCCCCGGAAGAAAAACTCTCATCGGACCTGGTGAGGGAAGGCTGTGAAGGCCGAAGGGGGAGGGGGGGGGGAAGAAGGAACATGGGATGCCGTGTATCTAATATCCCGATCTGCTCGTTCGGGTCGGGAAGAAGCCAGCCGAGAAGATAATAATATAATCAGGTCCTTTTCACACCCATCCATCCAACGCACGCACACACACACACACACACACATCTTTCTCTCCATCTCCCTTTCGTTTATCCCGGACACGAAAGGGGGGCATAAACGTTCTTCCCTGGGTCGACAGTCCCGACTCCCAACATCAGCCGGGGGAAGTGGGGAACAGACTCGGGAGACTCAGACGACGAGGACTTGAGCCCTGGAGACTGTGGTCGGTCGGGACGCCATGTCTCAGGCCCGAAGGCTGAGTGGCCGACGAGAGCTGGCTGAACCTGGCTGGAACTCAAAGGACCGGCAGGGGAGCGAATGAGGGCGCCGGGTGGGGAGGAGGAGGGCGACAAGTCTGGGGGGATTGGGGAATTCGGGAGTGAACCAGCGGATGGGGAGATTGGGGGAAAATTATACCCAGTCACGGGGCCCCAAAAGAGGGGCGGGAGAACAATTGGCGCAAGTGCAAGTCACGGGGAATTATTTGGCTGGGCTGCACTTGACGGGCCGACCGACCCGTCAGAAGTTCAGAAGAGGCGGGCGTTCGGGCCAGTCACACGGCCTCAAAGGCCCGGAGAGTCGCCGACATTGTCCCGCTTTCGGGATTGGCCGGCGTCGGCTTACCTAACCGATTGCCCACGGGGAAGGAACGGGTTGCTGTTTCTGGGGATCTTCGCGACGCCGCCATTCTTCCTCCTCGCCTTTCCTGCATTCTTCCTGGCCCTTTGTTGGCCTGTTGGGCACCTACTCTCCTCTCTCTCTCTCTCGCTCGTACTGTCCCCACGGGCCCACTCCCCCGTCCCTTTGGCCTCCCCCAGTCATGGTTGACCTACCTGCGCTTCGGCATCCATGACCAGCTGCACCAGCCGGGGATGTCAACCCATGACGGTGACGATGGCCGATCTGGAGGAGTGGAGGGAGCATGCGCCCTTTAAAGCCTGGCGTCCTCCCCCCGGAAAAAAAGAAGATGTCTCTCTTTTCCCCCTTCTCTCTCCCCACCTCCGCCTCTCCTCCTCCTCCTCCTCGTGGTTGTGACAGCCCGTCCAGAGATCTGCGGTAGTCCTCCCCCTCTCCCCCGTACATATTTATATTTCCTCTCGTCTCATACATACATAATCTTTAATCAATCCGCCGGTCATCCCACCATGGGTGCCATGCATGATCTGGACACCCACCATGATGACCACAAGGAGGGCACCGCCTTCGAGATGGACGATGTCACAAAGGATCCCAAGGCCGTCGAGGAGTTCAACGAGGCTGCCATGGACGCCGAGCTCCAGCAGCTCGAGGTGCAGCTGCGGGAGATGAAGCCCTCCCGCTTCGGGGGTTTCTCCAACCCCTCCCTCTACACCTACGTCCTGGTTGCCTTCGCCTCCATGGGTGGTCTCCTCTCGGGTCTGGACCAGTCCCTCATTAGTGGTGCCAACCTGTACCTGCCCGAGGCCTTGAGCCTGTCCGACAACCAAAGTAGTCTGGTGGATGCCGGTATGCCTCTGGGTGCCGTGGCTGGTGCCCTAATTCTCTCCCCCTCCAACGAGTACCTGGGCCGTCGCATGGCTATCATCCTCGCTTGCGTTCTATACACCATCGGGGCGGGCTTGGAAGCCGGCGCCATCAACTTTGGCATGATCTTCGCCGGTCGTTTCATCCTCGGTATCGGTGTCGGTCTGGAGGGAGGTACCGTCCCTGTCTATGTAGCCGAGTGTGGTATGTATTCCTTGCTTCATGTCCTTGCCTCTCCACCGACTTCGTCCACGATGGCTGACCCACCCCAGTCCCTGGCAAGATGCGTGGTAACTTGGTCTCCTTGTACCAGCTGAACATTGCGCTCGGTGAAGTCCTGGGTTATGCCGTGGCCGCTATTTTCCTCGACGTCGAGGGCAACTGGCGCTACATTCTTGGATCTTCCCTGGTCTTCTCCACCATCCTCTTCGTGGGCATGCTCTTCCTGCCTGAGAGCCCCCGTTACCTCATGCACAAGGACCGGCCCGTGGAGGCGTACGGCGTCTGGAAGCGCATCCGCGGCTTCGATTCCTACGAGGCCAAGGACGAGTTCCTCGGCATGCGCCAGGCGGTCTCTGCTGAGAACGAAGAACAAGCCCGGACCAAGAAATACGCCTGGATGGACTTCTTCACCGTGCCCCGCGCTCGCCGTGCCATGGTTTACGCCAACATCATGATCTTCCTCGGCCAGTTCACCGGTATCAACTCCATCATGTACTACATGAGCACGCTCATGGAGAACATCGGCTTCTCGGCCCGTGACAGTGTCTTTATGTCCTTGGTCGGTGGTGGTTCGTTGCTGGTCGGCACTATCCCGGCGGTGATGTACATGGAGCGATTCGGACGGCGGTACTGGGCCAACGCGATGCTCCCGGGTTTCTTCATCGGTCTGGTCCTGGTCGGCATCGGCTTCCAAATCAACTACGAGACCCACCCGATGGCCGCCCAGGGTGTCTACCTGACCGGTATCATCATGTACCAGGCCTTCTTCGGCTCCTACGCGTGCCTGACCTGGGTCGTTCCCTCCGAAGTCTTCCCCACCTACCTGCGTAGTTACGGTATGACGACCGCGGACGCCAACCTGTTCCTGTGCTCCTTCATCGTCACCTACAACTTCACCCGCATGATGAACTCCATGACCCGGATCGGCCTGTCACTCGGCTTCTACGGCGGCATCGCTGTCCTCGGCTGGATTTACCAGATCATCTTCATGCCCGAGACCAAGAACAAGTCCCTCGAGGAGATCGATGAGCTCTTCTCCCGCCCCACCTCCGCCATCGTCAAGGAGAACCTCAAGACCACCGGCGAAGTCATCAACGATCTGGCTCACTTCCGCTTCAAGAAGGTGTTTTCGCCTCCGCCGAAGACCGATTAGACTGCTTGGTGTTGGTGAACATTATGACGATGGAAAATCACGGTGTAAATGTTTGATGAAAGAAATTATAGGATGATGAAGTAAGGAATGATTCAAACAACAACAACAGACAAAAAAGACAAAAAAAAAGAAGAAAACTGAAAGAAATGGGGTATTCCCGCTTTATACATCTTTTAATGCGCTTGTCATGATCTCTTTGTTTATCTACGTGCTGTGCTGTGCTGTCGATAGACAGGTGGCTTTGATGTCTGTCTATACTTCTACTCTATACCCTGTGTTATAAATAGTATTGCTCGTATACTCTACACTCTACTTGTAGTTTGCATTTTTGATATAGATGTAGATGTAAATGCTTTTCTTTATTCTGTGCCGAAGCATAGTGCGATTACTCAGGTTGATTGGTTGATTAATTGATTGATTAATTGATTGATTAATTGATTGATTGATTGATTGATTCATTGAATTCTTCATCCTTGATCGATTGCATAAACCATGCCATTCACGCTAAGCTAAGTTGAACTAAACAAAGTCTATATACCACACCATAGCACACCACACCTACCCACCATGCCCCCATTCAACAAACGAAGAAGCAAAAGGCCTAGAAGGGGTAAAGCAATGGGGACTATTTCGATGATATACAACCGGTACCAGATAGATCGTTAGCTGGTAGGTGTGTAGGTAGATAGGTAGGTAGGTAGGTAGGTAGGTAGGTAGGTAGGTAGGTAGGTAGGTGGAAGGTACGTAGGATGGCTCGAAAACATAAGACGACAGTAAGGTAGATAGATAGAGAACAAGATACAGGGATACGGATCGGATCGGATCGGATCGGTTCAGGTCAGATCCGGTCAAAGCGGATAGATCAACCGCGAACCTTCCTATAACTAGGGGGACTCCAGGAGCGCATGATGAGCTTGCCGGCCCAGATAGGGACGAGAGAGACGGCGCAGACGGCGCAGACGCGCCAGAGCCAGTCGACGGTGATGACGTACTGGAGCTCGAAGTAGGAGCCCAGGAAGGGGACGCTGGCGGCGTAGACGAGGGCGGTAGCGACGAGACAGAAGATCATGATGGGGTGCCAGGTAGTGATGGCGATGGCGACCATGAGGAGCTCGTTGATGACGAGGGCGGTGAAGGAGACGCTGATGAGACGGGGGCCGGAGATGGAGTCGAGCAGGATCTGCGAGAGGCCCTGGATGACGGCGCCTTGGTAGACGGAGACGAGGACCCAGGTGAAGAAGGAGCGGTAGGAGAGGGAGCGGCCGGATTTGAGTTCCTTGTAGAGTTCCGGGTAGAGGTTGGCGAGCTCTTCGTCGACGTCGCGGTCGAAGACGAGGGAGAAGACGGGGGCGTTGGTGTAGAGGGTGGCATAGCCGACCATGAGCCAGTTGATGAAGAGGCCCTTGGGGTCGAAGTGGGAGGCGATGCTGTACATGGTCTGGCAGGCGGAGATGATCAGGCCGCGGTGCATGATGAACTGGGCGAGTTTGGCGGAGCGTTTGTAGGAGTTGCGGCCGTGCCAGACGAGGAGCTTGGTGAGGTGGTGGAATTGCGTGATGCTGAAGTCGGCGGCCAGGGAGGCCTGGCGGCCTTCCTTGCCGACGATGCCGATGCCCACGTCCGCGGCTTGGATCATGGAGACGTCGTTGCCGCCGTCGCCGATGCAGCAGACGCGCTTCTTGGTGTGGTGGCGGATGAGGTCGGCGACTTCGGCCTTTTGGGTGGGCGAGCAGCGACAGGCGATCACGGCGGGGAGGAGGACCGCGACGGAGATGAAGGCCGTTCGGAACTGAGAGAGCATGAGCGCGAGGGACTCGCCGTCGATGAGGAGGCAGCAGTCGGTTTTGTTGCGCAGGAAGTCCAGGGTTTCTTGGGCGGTGGATTTGTCTTTGACTTTGGCGACGGTGTGGATGTACTGGCCGCGCGCGACGAGTTTGGCGGATATCGCTACACAGCGGGCTGTCTCGACCTTGTCGCCAGTTAACATCCAGATCTTCACGCCGGCGTTGCGCAGGAGTTCCAGGGAGGGCTTGACGTCTCGTTGGAGACGGTCCTCGACACCGGTCACGCCGAGGAGCTCGAGCTCTCGCTCGAGGTATTCGCCGACTACCTTGGCCATGCCGACGTCACGCCCTTGGAGGGCGAGAGAGGCTTGTCGGTATCTGTTGGTGAACTCCTCGTACTGCTGCGTGGAGAGCCGTCGTCGTCCGACAACCAGGGTTCGCAGGCCCTCCCGAGCCATGTTGGCGGTTTCCTCGTCGAGCCAATCGTTTGCCGCAACGATCGTGGACATGACGGTGTCTGCTCCTTTCTGATAGAACCATATCTCGCTGTCATCCTTGGAAGAGTCCAGAATGCCCTCGTCCGTCTCGAACTGTACGATGATTCCCATCCGCTTGCTGTCTGAGGTGAAGGGGAAGATGTCCAAGATGCGGACTCGAACGACGACTTTACCGGTGTGGGCAGATTCGAGGACTATGGACTGTCGATCACGGTAGACTACCTTTAGTCCAACCTCTTCCGTGTATCGAACGATCGCGATTTCGTCGGGCGACGAAGCCTGGTAATTGGTAACTTTGACGCCGTCTTCCTCGTCGAAGGTAGGGGTGACGTTGTGACAGAGAGCAAGGGCCAGGACAACATCTCTGACACGCGAGCCGATCTCTCTTCGTGTACGCGGAGCTGCCCCGACTCCTGCTTGCGTTCCAAAAACGGTCGAAGGAGTGGTCAGGGAGTCACCGGCAAAGCTTTGGCGGACGTATGACGCCACTTCCTCCATAGCGTCATTGGCGTATGAGACAGTTCCAACGTGGATCTTCTTGAGCTCCATTTCTGCTGACGTTAGTAGGAGACAAAAACAGCCGGCTGCAAAAGACGCAACTCACCGTTTTGGGTCAAAGTTCCTGTCTTGTCGGAAAGAAGGTACTCGATCCTGCCAAGGTCTTCGGGGATAGTGCTGGTTCGCACAACGGTGCCTGGGATATCCTTGTCTCTTTCGATGAACCGGCCGTACACGGATTTCGCCATGTCCAGGTTGACGCGCAGACTCATAGGAATGATGGTCGAGAAAAGAATTAGGTAGATCATGATTGCAACGTACCACACCTTGTCATTCGTCGGCTGGAACCCTTCCAGAGCAACCAGCACGATGGACAGGGCCAGGGTCAGAATGCAGAGGATCTTCGTCAGGTTGTTGATTTCATACTCCAGCAAGCCCACCTTCGACCGGGACGGTGAGGTCGAAAGGGCAGCCCGCGTCTGAGAGCCTGTGTAGATGATGGTCGCGTATGTGATGGTATTCGAGGCAAGGACCGTGTTGGCCCATGCCGTGTTGTCAATGGTTAGCGGAGCGGAATTGGCTTGCAAGTCGTGGTTCTCGTGGGCACCCCCGTTATCCCTTTTGTCGACATGAGGGTCATAAAACCCCGACGGCGGTCCAAGTTCGATGGTACCGATGAATTCGTTAACGCGTCTATCCGGCGCACTTGCAGTGACTTTCAACCTCGGCAAGTCACCGAAAGCTAGGCTTTGGGACAACTGGGAGGGCAAACGTAGCTTCCAGTCGGTTTCACCGTCAAGTTGATCGGTGCGAATGAACGTATCGCTTGCCGAAGAGACATCGGTGTCATTAGCCGCAGCGCTCGAGCTAGGCTCCGCCGGTGACAATAATGCTTGCTCCTGCGTGATTTCTGCGGGTCGCTCGGCCAAAGAACTTTGACGAGCAGCCGAGTCATTGGAGACGCTCTTCAGGATCACGACATCTGCAGGCAGCCGCTGGTTCTTGCGGACCTTCAAGACATCACCAACCCTTAGATCCCGAGACTTCTTGGTGACCTCCAACACCCCAGTTGTCCTATCGAAGTTCAGAACAGTAAATTCTTCCGCGTTGGCCTCTGCATCTCTTCGGCGACGCCCGATATCGTCCAATGCCTCTTTTCCCAGCGAAATACTAACGACGAAAGCTAAAGGCGCAATATAGGAGGACATGTAGCCTATTCGAAGGACCGGGATGATCTGCGAAAGCGCGACGAGGAGGAAGTATATGTTGAAGAAGAAGGAGAACTCGTTATAGAGGGTGCGGGGCAGGAAGCTCCACGGGGTGTATTTCGCGTTCGACACCACATTCGGGGGGTATTTGGTTCGTTGTGTCTGGCCGACGAGGACATCGCGCGGCGGTTTCGTTTCGTTGCGCTCGGCTCCATCCGCGAGAGCCCGATTAGAGCCGCCGAAGAACAAGCTCGCGGCCTTGATCCCAGGGATCCTGAGCCGAGAACCCCTATGCGACGCCCGCTCGACATCTAACGAGCGAGCAGAGCTACGCCTGCGTTCGTTCAGGAGGGGAGCATCATCATCGGTATAGTTGCGGGAGCTCGCATGCGATCTGCGCAGTCCGTCTTCCTCGCGATTCTCGAGCAGGCCATCCATGTCCTCCGGTCTTTGTGTTCCTGAAGCGTTTCGTCTCCATACTCGGTTCCCAACCCCTACACGCAGATTCCTCAAAGCTATGCCGGGACCACGACTCCTTTGTCGACTCGGTTCTTCGCGGGAGTGGCGAGGGGACCCGTACAGCTGGGTGGTGCTCGGATCCAGCTCCTCCAAGTCGAGATCATCGTCGGAGCCAGAATCGCCTGCGATGCTGGCACGACCGTGGGGGTGGAGGTAGTCGGATGACGAAGGCATGACGAAGAAGATCGGAAGGTAATCAGAAGTGGTATTTCGTGGGCAAGGAGCTAGTTGAAAGCTCCTGGGTCGACAATGGAAAGGTCATATCACGCCGAGTGGTAACTAGGGTGTCCCATCGGCACCATCGCTATTGTTGGATTCGGGGGGGGGTGTATGCAGTCGGTCGGGTTGATGGCGCGCAACCCGGAGACCCTTGGAGACGATAAGGTAGGACAAAATAAGCTAGTTAGTGGATAGTCAACCCGTTGCGCATCCCCTTGGAGTCGAGTCAACACCAGATACCCGCTTCAACAATGCGAGCGATTGTGAATTGTAATCGTGGTGGCCTAAAGCGGCTGTGATGGCAGGCGGAGGAAGGGCCGATCACATGATGGGTGCCGGGGGGAGCCACACGCAGCGCGGCTGTGGCGCACCCTTTCTGTTTCCATCTTTCCGAGCATGAAACAGCGATGTCATCGAGGCCCTGCCGTGAAACACCATCTATATCATAGTTATCCTACAAGTATGATTCAGGGGCTGCTGATCTGGAGTTCGGACTCCCCCGGGGACTGGGGAACTGGAGGACTGTTCACCATCTGGCACGGATACTAGCTAGATAGATAGATATCGATCGCATACAACCCCCGTAAGCTTGGCTGGGATCGACTGGGATCATTACTGCATGGGCCTTCCATCCTGCAGCTCGGCATGGGTCGGCCAGTCCCTGGGCACGTGACCTACAGGTTAGGTGGCACTTCCGCGCGGGCCAACCATCTTCCGCCCCGGATGACGGGCGCGTCCCAGAGACTGAACGCCCATTAGCCAGCAGCCACTCCGCCTGCCTGTCCGCAGCCCATCTCCAAGAAACTCCCTCGCATCCAAGCAGCTCAGGTCCAGCAGCACCTGGTCGGCTTCGAGGTCCCCCCCCCCCCCCTGCCAGTCCCCGGAGATGCAGTCATGATTTTACAGTTCTCTTCTTTCTTGTAATGTTTCATTGTTGACTCCAGCTCCTTGTATACTGTTTGTTTCATGCCTCAGTAAATCAGCACCTCCGACATTAGCGGTTTGCCTCTCGGTCCCCAGGGTGAGTGCATTTGGAAACGTGTCCGATAAGCCCACCCACCCCCCTCCCTGGACTGACGCCTGCCTCCTAGTGGAGCGATCCAACGTACAGCAAGCATGGCACATCATGACGTGGCCGCCGTGTGGAATCCGGCCCTCAGGTCAGACGATCATGAGCGCGCAAGTGAAAGCCCCATCCCAAGCCCCATCCCAAGCCCCGTCCCAACTGGTCCGAATGTCTTGGAAATCGATACCGCGATAGAGGCCACCACCATTCCTCTGGACTCCCCCATGGAGACTCCACACGATGTGACAATCGATAGCGTCTTTTTCGCAGACGATGACTCTCCTGCAGACTGGCCAGAAGCAGCTGCGCCCGATACGACCGATGCCCATTTCGCGCCGACCGCCGATCAAGGCTGGAACCACAACGAAGTACTCGAAGCAAGCCCTTCGCATGATACCCAGGCGATACCAGAGATGGCCGATCAGGGTTTCCCGGACGTGGAAGAACCACAGGTGGCACAGGAACAAGGGAATGACGATCAGGATATTCTTCTGGATGACACGGAGGATCAAATAACGGAGGCGCAGCCTGTTCACCACCAGGAAGAAGAGGAGACTATCCCAGCTGAAAACGGCGATGCGCAGGCTTTCTTCGCGGACGAGCGTAGTACTACACCACGACCCAGTGATCGTGCCGGAGGGAACCTCGCAGATGCCAATGGCGAGATCCAAAGTAGTCATGACATCTGGGGAAGCCCTGCCAATGAGGATACCGAGCAGGACGAATTCTTCGACCAGCTGAAGACCCAGACCAAGCCGATTTGGATGTCCCCGGAACCGGCTGATTCTCGATTTGAGGAAGGCATTCCGTTGCTGGGTGATATGCCCGACTCGCCGGCCAAGCCGGCGGAAACGCAAGACAGTTCGATAGATAACTTCTTCGCCGGCGATGATGAAAACGTTCCTTTCCTAGATGATACGCCCGAGTCACCGGCCAAGCCGGCGGAAGCGCAAGACAGCTCGATAGATAACTTCTTTGCCGGCGATGAGGACGAAGAAGACGGATTCTTCAAAGCGGTTCAGGACTTCGCGCCTCAAGAGGTCCCAGAGGACCATCAACTATCGTTGCATATCACGCGCAAGAGCACATCTCAAGTCATGGACTCCCTCGGCGTTTCGCTGGACTCCCCCATGAGTGATGCGGATCCTGCTGCACAAGAATTCGACAGTGTCTTGGCCGCAGCATCATCGGAAAGCAATGTCAAGAAGGTTTCTTCGGACGAGGATTTGGCCGCCCGCTGGCAAGCTGAGCTCGCCGAGGAATCGGCGGATCTTGCTGCCCCTGAAGACGATCTCGCTGCTCGCTGGCAGGCGGAACTCGACGATGACGACGATGATTTGCTTTTGGAGGAGGAGGAGGAGGTTGGTCAGGAGTCAGCAAAACCTCAGGAATCAGGTCTTCCCAATGTCACTGCGGTGGCTGCCAATGCTGTTCCCCCGAGTTTGGGCAGTCCCTTCGGTGCTTCGCAGAGCTTTGCCCAACCCAAGGCACCAGCTTCAGCTTACACGCCACACCAGCCGTCCACCTCGGATCTACTTCACGGTGTGCCTTTGCCAGGTGCTGTACCTCCCGCCAACACCGCCGCTACTGCAGACTATTTCAACCGACAGCCTCCACCAAGCGCCGGTGCCAACAAAGCAGAAAGCTTTGCTGAGCGAGCCAAGGAGGGCTACAGGTCACCTTATGACCTGCCAGACGACCTTGCTCGGCCACGGCGCCCTGTTGTCAGTCATAAGCCAGTGATTGCACAGCCTGGCAGTATGCCACCCCCCCCTCGGAGCAATAGCTTTCCAGTACCTCCGCCGACTTCGTCAACCATGCCAACACCCCCGATGGGTACAGCGTCGGCTTCGGCAGTGCCCGCTCCTAAGAACTTTTATGAAGAGCTTCCTTTGCCACCTCCTCGGGCGCAGTCTCGGCCGGTGAGTTCGGGGCGGTATACACCTGGTCCCCATGCAGTACCGCCTGTGAATACCCATGCTGTACCGCCTGTGACTGCCCATGCGCCTCCGCCACCGGCAAACCAATATGCCAGCATCCCTCCTGCTCCTCAGCCGGCTGTCGATTCTTATGCCCAGCCTCAGATGCAGCAGCCAGAGAGGCTAGATCCGTATGCCAGCTTGGCAGCCCCCAACATCCCAAGCGGTCCATCTATTCCTAGCGCTAGCACTTCGAGATATTCGCCCAAGCCCCCGACTTTGCAGGCCGGGACGAAGCCTCCGGCGTCGCCTAGATACTCCCCGGCACCTCCCCCGGCTGCTGCACCGGCACCTCCTCGCAATCGCTATGCTTCTCAACCGTCAATCCCGCCGATTCAGGGAGCCGCACTTCCGTTTCAGCCCCGCACATCGAGCCCGCTGGCCTACCACGAGAAGGTTTCTTATCGACCCCAGGAAAGCTTTGAGCAGCAACCTTCCGTACAACAGACTGGGCCTGCCGTTAACCGGCCTGCCGTGGCACCCGAAGTCGCGATCGATTCCGGAGCTGCTAACGGTGATGTCATGATGTACCAGGAGACCCAGCCGCTGGCATCGCCCCCGAGAAACCCATACGCGCCTTCCGATTATGTTGACGAGTTTTCCAAACGTGTTGCTCCCATAGACAGTGCTCCACCGGCGCCCGCTCCACCGGTCGATGATTCCCCATTTGTCCCTCCTCGCAGGTCGATGACACAATCTCCGGGTCAGCAAACGTTAGGCCCAAGGCTGTCTGTGCCGTCGGTTGATCCACTCCAGCGACCTGCCTCGGTTCACGGGTCAGGGTCGCCCACCAAGGCTGTCAACCCCTACGCACCAGCTCCGGTGTCTGCGCACAATCGAGTCGCTTCTCAGTCCCTTGACTTTATTCCTCCCACCGATGATCAGCAATTCGATCCTCTTGAGCGCTGGAAAGGGGCTCCGATTGTTCAGTTTGGATTCGGTGGTTCAATCCTCTCCTGCTTCCCGAAGCATATCCCGCGGTACTCTGCTGGTCAACCCGCCCCGAAGATCAAGTCGAGCCCTGGTGAGATCAAAATTCACCAGGTCAGTGACTGGATCCCCACCCCGGAAACCATTGCGCGACACCCGGGCCCTCTCAAGTCCAAGTCCAAGAAGAAGGACTTGCTCGCTTGGCTTTCTAGCAAAATAGCTGCGCTTGAGAACGAGGGCATACCGGCGAGTGCTCAGCTACATGAAGACTCCCATAAGAGACACGATGAAAAGGTCCTGCTGTGGAAGATCGTTCGAGTTTTGGTCGAGCATGATGGCGTACTGGAAGGATCACCCGATGTTGTGAAGTCCTTGCGCCAGATCATATTCCCCCACCTGCAGAACAGTGATTCTGAGCAAACATATGGCAGTGACTTCCCATCCTTGAGCACTCAGCCCATGGACGCCCCATCTCAACCCGATGCTGTTAATCCTCAAGCGGTAGAGAGCATTCGTAACAGTCTTCTCGTGGGCGAGCGTGAAAAGGCCGTCTGGAGTGCAGTTGACAATCGTCTATGGGGACATGCCATGACAATCGCTTCTACAATGGACAAATCTGTTTGGAAGCAGGTAGTCCAGGAGTTCGTGAGACGCGAGGTGAGGTCTACCTCGGGCAACACCGAATCGCTTGCAGCTCTCTATGAGATCTTTGCAGGAAACGTGGAAGAAAGTATTGATGAGCTCGTGCCTCCTTCCGCTAGAGCTGGTTTGCAGATGGTTAGCAAGGTGAATGGGCAAGGGCCTTCCAAGAATGCCCTCGATGGACTCAACAGCTGGAGAGATACCCTAGGGCTGGTACTGAGCAACCGCAGTGCCGAAGATTATCAGGCGCTATTGGCATTGGGCCGGCTCTTGTCATCCTACGGCCGGGTTGAAGCTGCGCACATCTGCTTCATCGTTTCACGGGCTGCTGTATTCGGTGGTGTCGATGATTTGCAGGCGAACGTCGTCCTCCTTGGTGTTGATCATCAGCGTTCGTCTCCTGCTGCTTTGCAGGACGAAGATTCCATCTTGCTCACTGAAGCATACGAATACGCCACCTCGGTTCTCTCAACCTCCCCTAAACCTACGCTGCCCCACCTTCTGGCGTTCAAGTTGGTTTATGCTTGGTCTCTCGCAGATCGTGGCCGCAAAACAGAAGCCCTGCAGTATTGCGATGCGATCGCGGCTACACTGAAGGCAACTACGAAGCCATCGAGCTTCCACCACCAGCACCTGTATTACGGAGTGGATGAGCTTTCGGCGCGCCTGCGGCAAACAGCCAGTGAAGGCGGGTCGTCGTGGATATCTAAGCCGAGCATGGAGAAGGTTTCTGGCTCAATGTGGGCGAAGTTCAACAGTTTCGTTGCCGGGGAAGATAACGAAGCCGCATCCAGTGGTTCGGCGAAGGCTGGAGATGGCGATATTGGCCCGTTTGCAAAGATTGCCGGTACTCCAAGCGTGAGTCGCTCGCCGTCAATGTCCGACATTTACGCGCCGTACTCCGCACAACCGAACTATGCCAGCGGCCCATCACGTTATCAGCCCAACAATCAGTACGCTCCAACCTCTTCGCCTGAGCAGTTCCGCGGAAGGTCATCCCTTGACTCGCAGAGATCTACGTCTTTCGGGACCGGTTTTGGACAGCGACGAGGATCCCAGGAGCCGTCAACGCCAGTTGACAACATGTACCAAGGAGGGATGCTCTACAACTCTCCCCCTGCTGTTGGCTTCCAGTCAACCCCACCCCAGACGTCTTACGTGTCCCTTGCCCCTGTCAAGGAAGACCTGGCTCCTCAGCCCCATGCCGAAGTCTCACCTGCTCCGGTTCAAGAGTCTTTCGGCGGCGGATCTCCGTACCAGCCCCATGGATACGGCTCCTTTGGTCAGCCTTTCAGCCCGGCTTCGGCAACAGGAGACTTTTCAGACGGAGCTGGCTACATGCCCCCGGTTGGGGGTGGTGGCTACGAGCCTCCCTCTGGAGAAGGTGAAGAGCCTGTGGCGACAATGCCAGAAGAACCGAGCGAGGAAAAGCCAGTCAAGAAGTCGTTTATGGATGACGATGACGATGATGATCTAGCGGCCCGGGCCGCTGCCGTGCAGAAAGCCGAAAGGGCTCGCAAGGATCGTGAAGCAGACGAAGCCTTCAGAAAGGCTGCTGAAGCCGATGGTGAGTACCTGAAACAGCCCCTGACACTGATATGTTACTAACAATGATCTTGTAGCTCAACGGCCGGGACCTGCTAAGAAGGGATGGTTCGGAGGGTGGTTTGGTGGTCCCAAGAAGGAGGGTGAAATGCCTGCCACTGCCAACAAACCCATTCGAGCCAAACTTGGCGAGCAGAGTTCTTTCTACTACGACACCGATCTGAAGAAATGGGTCAATAAGAAGGATCCCAACTCGGCCACTGCAGCTCGCGCCACACCGCCGCCGCCCCGAGGCTCGGCGCCTCCCAGCCGAACCGCCAGCGGCAGTAGTGCAGCACCGCCTCCTCCGGCGAGCGCATCCCCGATGCTGTCGGGTCCCAGCAGTCGGCCGCCGTCTACCACAGGGGTTCCCCCACCCCCCGGCAGCCCAGGACCGTCCTCGCTGGGGCTCCCACCTCCCCCTCCCTCTATCCAGCGGTCTGTTTCCACCGGTGCTGCCGTTCCCACGCCGCCAAGTAGTTTGGCAGCGCCCCCTCGGCCTGCAACATCTTTGAGCAACGCCAGCTCAATCGACGACCTGCTCGGAGCGCCCCAGGCGCGCAAAGGTCCCTCCGCCAAGCCCAAGAAGAAGGGGCGCTACGTGGATGTCATGGCCAAATGAGCGGCTCTTGCTCTGCCTGCTCTGCTCCGTGTAGTCCCCGTGGCTGGCGTTGATAATTTCTGTTAATTTACTAAACTTTCCTATTCTGGTAATGTCTAACGAATCTCCCTCCGAACCTCGTTGTCTGTTTGCATTGATTGGCACATGAAGCGCGTCCTGGCTTTTGTCTGGTTAGAACCCACCCAACCCATGGCGAGCCTGCTCCAAAGATCTGCATGCTGTCTTCTCCGAGAGCAAGACGGATTCAAGCCTTTCGGGCGTTTCTTTGCATAACCCCTACCCCTTCTTACCCCTGTATCTTACCCGTGTGTATATGTTACATATTTCCCCCATCTCCCTTTTCTTTTGCCTTTTCTTTTCCTTTGTCACTCCCCTTATGTGAACCATGGAGATGACGTCGATTGTTGCCGAGGACATGGATGCATGCCTCGGAGAGAACAAGTGTACTATTTTGTGCTCATGAACTATTAATTTAATACCTTGCTTGAGCTGTCCACACTTGCCATTGATGTCCTGGTGTGATTCTTTCAAACCTGATCACCATTTCTAGTATTCATTATCAGAGTAGATTCCCCACCAGTATACGCTTCACTATATAGTAACTATTATTCTTTGTTGACGACGGTAGCGTCGTTACACGGTGCCTCCTAGATCTCTAGCTCAAGTACATACATACTATCATCCCCCAGTAGATGCTTTACATCCGGGGTACGCTTCTTAAAAGATTCATTAACCGGTCATGACAATCATCGCCATTAAATTGAGTAAGAGTTGATATAATACTGCCGTGGACCATCATTAGCCCTGCCACATGTGCTTCCTTCAATGTCTGTGGAAAACTCACCGTCAAACAAGACTCCTCGTCGTTCCAGCTCCCCGGCAGGAAAACGTAGAGTACCAGCGCGGTCTCGTGGATGAAAGCTGTCAGGAAAGCCGTTAGTTAATACAGCCCTAACCCCAATAACAGAACAAAAAGAAAGAAAGAAAGAAAGAAAAAAACCCACAAGCAATAACCCTGGGATTCAACCTCCCCACACTCAACACCTTACTCCAATCCTTCCCATCCACCCTGACCTTCGCCCAACCCTTCTCATCATCCGCCGCCACCCCCCTCATCCTCTCACTGGGCAACCGCTCCACGGCCTCCTGATCCAGCCCGGTATGATCGAGGCTCGGATTCAGCAGATCGCTCCACACGGTAGAAATGGAGAAGGCATCGCCGACGATGGCCAACTTCAGCGACCCGTGCATGTTCGCCGATATCTCGAGTTTCGGACCCGACGCGGAGGTCGACGTGGATGTGGTGGCTCCCGCCGCCATGGTCTTGGATTCCGTGGCTAGTTTCGTGTATCGCTCCGAGATGCTCTTGAGCTGGAGCAGGCTGGGGAGCATGATGTGCACGTCAGGGTCCCGGCAGCGCGGCTGGTGGAGGCCTTCGACGGCTGATTCGTGGAGCACTTTCACGGGGATTTCTTGCGTGATTACCGTTTCGCGTTCGCGGGGGCCGGGGGGCGGGCTGGGTTGTTGGTGTCGGGGGGTTTGTTGCTGTTGTTGGGGTGGTGGTGGTGGTGGTGGTGGTGGTGGATGTGTCGGGAGGAAGGCCCAGCGCGTTGGGCGCATTCGACCACGATGTCGTGCGGATGGTCAATGCCAGGAGAGGCAGGTTACCTTTTTTGGTCAGGCGGATGTGCGAGAGTTTTGCTGCGACGGCGGAGCGGAGGGCCCGGTGGAGCACGTCGACGGATACTTCTAGGTTGATGTATCCGGTGTTGGATTCGAGGATGTAGGTTGATTCCTCGAAGATGGCGTCCTGAGGGGGGTGGTTAGTTTGTCTTTGTGATGTAGGGGTGTGATTGATGTTGGGGGGAATACATACTACGGGCAACTGGGCCCATACTTGTGTACCTTGGTCGGGGATGATGGTGAATCGAATGAAGCCTTCCTCGAGTCGCATCCAGCAGGTTTTGCCCAGGGATGAGAGGGAGGCTGTTAGCTCTGTTGTAAAAGGTGAGTTTGTTAGCGGAGGTGCTTTTTGATATGGCTTTCCGCAGTGAAGCTGGATGCATGGCAGCATGGACGTGTCTGTCTAAACGCCAGAACTTGTCGGCGCGACGGCAATGGGGATGGTTTGATGGGTACGTACTCGCGAATGTTGACGCGTTGGCTATTTGGGTTCGAAACCTCATCTTGGTCGGCGCATTCTCTTAACAACAGGAGAGTTGAACGTATCAATCGAGTGGACGTCGTGCTGACTGACTGACGGATTGGTATCGATGATGTCCTGCCGACCAATCAATCCCCGGTCCCTTCGTTTTACGACCACGTGACTGCGTATCGATGCGTCCAGTACAAAGAACTGCTGGATATCTGTCGAAATCAACCCCACGCTCTTGCTACACTACTCGGACTCTTACAGTATGAGGCATACCCATACCCGGACTGCAGCCCGAGCAAGACGTCCTTCTGCTCGCGTTTGGCCCTTTGCCACGTTCCGCCTATTGTTGTTAGTTGTTAGGTATCTATTCCTGGGACATGCAGGACCACTCGGCTATAGGGGGCCTCCACAGGTCTACTTATACTTCCGATCACATTTACCAGGAACTGTTCTATATTTCCAGCGAGGAATGAACGTGATGCATAGTAACATAGATACAGATACGAATTGAGTGCTAGTATACAATATAATACACGAGGGAGCGTAGCTCAACTCCAGCGAGCCTCCCAGAGTAAATACTATCCCTTATCATGCCCTTTCTTAGGAAGAGAAAGAGTACTCGGTGACCGTCCAGGTCTTGCCACCGTCACCCTTGGCAAACACTCTTGACGCACTCTGATAATAGACTCTTACTGTGAGCGCCAACAGTGCCGCAGTTGTCCTCGGCACACTCAACAGCGCTACCCCAGCCCTGGGCCTTGCCATCGCCGGTCGAGATGGGAGATCGATAAAGATATTCAGGGCGTGCCTTGTCTTAACGAAAACCCTTCCAGCGAGCGAAAGGCGCGATCGTGTCTCGCGCTTGAAGTACTCATATTCTCGCACCTTCTTCCATCGTTGCTGGGAGCTCGGATCCCGACAATCCCACGGGCGATTTTCGCAGAATTGCTCGGAGTGGCGTTTGTTCCATGTCATGTTCCACATGGGTCATAGCTTGACGGACCCTGGGCCAGCCAGCCCTCGAATTTCGCGCTGGGCAGTGGCCAAGTGTGTTGTGTCTTGGTAGTGTTCGTGTTCCAGCGAGGACCGTGAAGCCCCTTTGCCGCGCGACTACAGATCACAGGGAAACCCTCTCCTTGCGGATGCGCAGCCGATGGGACGAGGAATTCAATGACCCAAAATAGCCCACTGGGATGTGATGCGCCCCTGAAAAATGTTTCCGGGGAATGTCCCCCACGTGGTCCGCAACAATATTGCCGGATGTACGACTGTGAGTTAGATAGATCTTCTTCGAAGTTCGAAGCTCGAGAACCTGTGCTTCCAGATTCCTTACAGATATCGCCCTCGTCTTTGTCCTCGGGATCAAGGGCTGCCTTGCTGGCAGCCTGGCACACCGTCTGGCGCCTTCTATAAAAGGGCCAGACCAGGCCTTGTCCGTCCCTTGCTCCTTCCGCGAGGGGGAGGCTATGGACCAGATGGCCTTCATTGGCTCTACCAGAAACAAGTCACTATCCCTGCTGCCTCTGCTAATTTCGAATGCGTTCGTTCAGTAGCCGAGATGATCGAAGTCGCGTGATCGCCAGCTCGCCCATCTCTGCCGTATTTCGCACGGATGGTGATCTACTCGAGGACAGTACGGAGTACACGGTGTCTGTTCGCTGTTGCGGCCCACTTGCGGAGATATCTGCCGCACTGTGCATCCAGAGCCGTCCGCACACACACACACACACAGAGACACAGACACACAAAAAAGGCGGACAGGTGGTCATCATCGAGAGACAACTCCTAGGAATCAATGCAAGAGACTGAGACAATTTTGACCGCCGGTGTGGACGCCCAACCTATGTGCGCTGGGGTGTATGGATTTCCTAGAAAGGGTGATCTCAGTCGCGATTGAGAATTGAGATACGACAAGGCTTTAGGGGGCGCGCGAGCGCGCCTTGTACAATTATATAGATATAAATACAAAAATTGTTGAAATTAAGTATATATATAACTGTAATTAAATTAAATCTAACTTATAATAAACAGGAATACAGGATATTGTAGTAATAAAATAAATTATTATAACTAATTAAAAGTAGTATATTTATATATATATATTCTTTTTTTTCATCTTCTACTCTTATTCTTAGCTCTTTAAATAATCATTAATAAGAAGACTGTGTAAGGGATGATATCCGCGGGATATGCATACTTCAAGTTACTACAAGGGTGAAGCCCACCTCCTAGGCTCCTCCCGGGTGTACTTGAGTATATCATATATGGGATTCTAGGGGTCCGCAGGTAACTGCGGGTAATGTTCGACTTTTGCCTCAGTGACAACAACTCCCCTAGGTTGATGTTTTACATTATCTTGAGATAACCGGGGATTTAAAGACAATTAACATATAATATAGGAAAAATAATTATACTTGATTACTTATAAGGGGTGCTTATGAGATAGTGCGAGAAAGATATATCTATCGCGAAGTCAAGGTATGGGCTGTATTGCTTAAAATATTATTACTAGCTTTCTATCTAGATTTTTCTTATAACTAGATATATTTACAAGAGTAGTACATAGATTATATATACTATATGCTATCTGCTAGCGTGAAGTCTTGATAAGACAGTCTCGAGCCCTCCCGCGGAGAGATTGTTTTGCAGCATGGGTATTCCTTGTGATATAAGGATTACTACTAGTATCCTTACATCTATCGATCGCGGCCAGCTAATTAATTATCCTAAAACACAGATTTTGCAGATTTGATCAATGAGAGGGCTGGTACAAAAGAAACCTCAAAGCGATCATTATATATGTAGATATGCAAGGGAGGGCCGATCAGTGATCTACTATCCGGACCTTTATCCGATCAAGCAATCAGCTGAGGGGTGAAGAAGGGCCGTATTGAGCGGGGGGCGGTGGGCAAGCTGTGCAGGATCAGGTTCAATTGATTGACGATGCAATCACACCGCGCAAGACGCGAGTAGGTAGGTAAACTTTACTCGGTCGGCGTCTGCGCGGAATCGCGCGGCACAGCTCGCGTCGCGACGATGGACGGTGGTCGTGGCCGTGGCAGGGGGTGTCAAAGCGGATCATTCCTGGTCCGCAGAACTCCGAGGTCATGTACCTATGCATGAGATTCGGGCCTCGTGTGAGACATGAAGGGGGGGGGGGGGGGGACCATCATCTACAGGAATCCACCGGGGACTGTATGTCGTACAGGGAGGGTGCATTTCCTGACAGATCTAAGTATGGAAGTGCTGCATCCAATTCCCCAGGGTCTGGTGGTGTGGTGTGAACACCTGGGGGGAGAGGGATTCTGGGGAGGAGGGGGGGGAATTATGGAATACTCCGTCCGGGCCGACGGGGGAGGAAACCATAAAAAAAAAAAAAAAAGAAAAAGAAAAAGAAAAGGAGACTAGTAGCTACATGCCTGCCTGCAGCGAGGCGTGGTTAGTGCTGTAGAAACTAAAAATCTCTAGGTAGACAGATAAAGGATGGATAGTTACGTATAGTGACCTAATCCATTAATTTGTCTTGATATTAAGGGCCAATTTCCATCGGCCACATCCTGTTCAGCGTACCACTTCGATACTAACTATACAGACAGTGACAGCGTATACTTAGTAACAATCCCCCCCTATTGGCGTGGCTCCACCGCAGCCCGGCCCTCTCGCCAGTCGCCAGTCGCCAGTCGCCAACCCAAACGTCCACGCCATCAACCTACAACTCACCACTGCATATCCCTCATCTTCATCCTTCCCCCCCCCCGTCTTCGAATCATTCGTCGCCACTATCCGCGCCCTGTCATTCCCTCCTCGGTCAAGAGCTGGTCCTCTCCGATCGCAATCGTCCCACCCTCGTTATCGTCCCTCTCCTGCTCCTGCAGCCACCCAAACCTTCTCTCCCTGGCGCCATCCGCCCGTTTTCAGGCCTGCATTGTGATCTATCATCATCATCCACTGAACTCTCCTCCACAGAGTTCTTATTCTCTCTCTCTCTCTCTCTCTCTTTCTTCTTCCTCACCCGATTTCCCTCTTTAATCGACCGTGCTGCTGCCCCCTCCGAGCCTCCTCTTCAGCCTCTCCAGCACGGCGACTCGATATAACATAGACCGACCGACCCCCTCCGCACCGTTCCGCCCGATCCTCGCGACCTCCCTGCCCGTCCCCTCACGACTTCAGGCTGTCCTTCTAGCTAGCTAGCTTTGGCGGGATCGCGTCAGCATGCTTGCTCTACAGCTACACACACTCTCTCTTACACTTGATACTGCAGCTCGACCGCCGTCAATCGAACCCCGTTATTGATTATTCGCGACTGTCTTGACCCCCGGTTTCCTGAGAGCCGCCGTTCCCCGGGACGTTGCCGTTCTATCCCGACATGGCCAGCAGTCGCGTCACCCCCCTTCGTCCACCCACTCGTCCCACCAGCACGGCGCGGGCCCAGTCGCCGGGCCGGCCGGCGGTGCTGGACTATCAGAATCTCGACCCTCTCCTCGGCAACCTGTCGCCCGAATCCACCCTCCAAGCCCTCTCCTACACCGACGCCGTCCCCAAGAACGAACAAGCCGCCCATGATATTCTCACCAAAAGCATATCGCAGGTCTCTCCAGCCGAGCGCGCCCTCGGTATACGCGCCGCAGTTGTGGCCCAGAAACTCAACCTATGGTACAAAGAAATTCAGTCGTGGGAGTGGCCGAATCGCACCGATGTACACCTAGGGAAGGGATTCGTCCCTCCCTCGGACGAGACCGACATTGATTATTATGGAAGCCTTCCCGTGGCTGTTGTTGAGGAGCATGAGAAACGGATCGAGGAGATCCGGGATGGGATGGATGTTCTAGACGTGGACGAACTTAAGGAGCACGTCCTCAGCGCGCACATTCCAGCGCGGTCTCGGCCTTCGTCATCCAACAGCACCATATCGGTGCCTCCCCCGCTTAGTTATGTCCAGCTTAGCGACTTCACCGCCGTCGTCACTGCCACCATCCTCCGGGCCCTTCCTCTTCTCTCCCGTTTGAACAGCCTCCTCTCTACCTGGGACGTTCGACTGCTGGTGCTCCGCCAGATCCCTGCACTGCTGCGAGCTCTGCAGCAAGCGCGCTCCGAACTGAACTCTGCCTTGGAGTTGTTGAGGTCGCAAACCTCCCCAGGCGAGAAGGATGCCTTGTATTCGCGCGACAATTATCATGCCAGGAGGGCTTCTTTGGAGGATACCGTCGTATCGGCGGGCCGAAAATTGGACCGCGTACTCGATGCTCTGGAAGGAAGAGAAGACTCGCTCCCTGAAAGCTGGATAGACGATCTTGAGGGCATCGAGTCCGAGTTTGGTACCTGGGTAATGGAAGCCGAAAGACGTACTGTCGAGAATGAATGGCGGCGCACGACAGTCAGCCCTAGCATTGTCGCACAAGCCGAAAGCGTGCAGGATGCGCCGGCGCACTCCTCACCCGAATCAAGGAACCATGAGAAACTGTCCTTGAATACGTCAGTACCCGTTTCGCAGACTGGTCACCTGGAGACCATAGAAGAAGAAATCGGCAGCCCTACTGAGGCTACGCCCTCGACTGAAGCCCAAGGTGACCGGGGCGCTTCCATTTTGGAGTCGATCATCCCGACTACTGCTCTCGAAACCAGCAACCCACCATTTCCCAGTACTTCGGATGCCACGGATACAACAGATGCCGTTACCCACCCAGCTCGAAACATGGACCCGATCATCGTTCCCCAAGATGACCCAACATCGGCCACTCCAAACATCACCGCTCCCTCTATCAATGCCTCAGAGAATACCGATATATCGACCGACGCTATCCAGGCCACTGAACCGGGTGTTTCCCAAATCAGTCAATCTGCAATTGCACTGGAGAATGATCCTGTTGTGGACGCCTGCGATGGAATTCTGTCTCGAGATGAATATACTTCTCGGCAATCTCCCCTCTCTGCTGTTGAAAACTTGAAATCGGCTTCCACCCTTGATGAGACGACTCCATGTGCGCAGGAAGAGACGATCTCACGAACTTCTATGGATGTTCAACCAGAGATGGAAGACTACCCTTCGAACATCACTGTGGAAGCCCCTCATTGCGTTCCTAAGGAAGAGCCTGAAGATCTAGTATCCTGGCCAACGCTCGACGCATCTCCTCGTCCTTCCTCGTCTGGAAAGGGCTTGCAAGTGCCAGCCAGTCCCGACGCACAATCATCAGATACCGGAAGCGTAATCATACGGCGACAAACGACTATCGCCCCGTCTCCTCTTAGTCGGAGAAGAGATTGGTCGGAAAATGAAGGTGAAGCTTTGTCTGAGACTGATAGCACCGACTCCGTCGTCGAAAGCCGTGATCAGCTACAGTCTACTTTGGTTGAAGATCAAGAAGCCACTGTTGTCAGTGGGAAAGGTCATGCCGCGTCGACTGATGTTCCTGCTGCGCCGTCAACAGCCCAGGAATACTCCCTCTCTTTGCCGCCCGTTAATGCCTCGCTCGAATCACCAGGGAACAAGGACAAAATATCTTCAAGCCCTCTTCCCATGGACAAGGCTCACGAAGAGTCCCAGGAAGGTCGTACTTTGAAAAAGCCCCTGGAGAGTCCGATCAAATTGTCCAAAACCCGTCCAGAACGCCTGTTTCTTGAGAAAGAGACATCAAAGTCCCGTGGCCGACGGGGATCGATTGCTTCGTCTCTGTCAGATTATCCATCGCTTGTATCAAGTCCTGAGAATCGCGAGCCCCGTACGTCTTCTTCAAACGAGACTCCTCTGCTTCTCGAAACGCCCCCGCCGTTTCAATCCGACTACCAGACATCCTCCCCCATGCCACCCGGCAGCGATCATACGTTGCGAGAGGATCGTCTATTCCGTTTAGACAACCAGAAGCCATCGCCACGTGCAAGCTTCGCGCACAATCGGAATCTCAGTCTCCCTCTACAGCGCTTCATCAACGAAAGATTGGAATTGAACTATGAGGATGAAAGTGGGAGTGATATGGACGGCGCTGCCGCAAACAGAAAGTCTACCGATGTGTTTACAGATCTGCGCTTCGGTCAGAAGAAAGCAGTAATGCCGTCGCAGAATGGGATACCATTCAGCTCAACTAAGAATGGACGCCGTGCTGCAGCTCGAGGCCTGGAGACTCATCGTGAAGAGAGCCCCAAACTGGGGACTGGTCCTGTTACTAAGGCTTTGTCCAAGGCCTGGGAACATACCAAAAGTTCTGCTCCAAAGCCTGCAAACCAAAGTGCTCTGCCGTCGGAGCCGCCTGCACACTCAAATACCACCCGCTTGAAGAGACAGTTGACAGCTCACCCTAGCCTTGAGAGTATTGGAGCATACAAATCCAACGCTCAATCTGAAACTTCTTCTGCTCGCGCTTTCTCCAAAGCAGGGTCCCGGCCCACTACGCCAAGTGCTCAAATGAAGAAGCACAAAGACCACTTGGACGAGAAAATCACGTCGATTTTGTCGAGTCTCCCTACCCGAATCCATCTGGTGTCAGCTGATGATAACCACGATGGAGCCTCTGCGGCAACTTCCCTTCCCCTGAAGGCAAGGGAGCGGTTTCGCTCTATTTCCCCTCAAGGAATGCCACCACGATGCACCACTCCTACTCCTTCCCTGACTCTGACAGCTGCCCCCTCACGCAGGAGGTATTCTCATGCACACGCCCCAGAGGAAAGCTCCGTGAAGCTCTATCATCTTCATCGGGGTGGAAAAGCTGCTCCAACCAAACTCTTTGTTCGGTCAGTGGGAGAAAAAGGGGAGCGTGTGATGGTGCGAGTAGGAGGAGGGTGGGCAGACCTGGGTGAATACCTGAGGGAATATGCCATCCATCACGGACGTCGAAATGTGTCAGACACGCCTCGCGTGGAGGTCCAGGGGCTATCCGCCACTCGTACCTCAACCTCTCCAACGTACTCCGTCAGTGGACGCCGCACTCCATCCCGGCCGCGGTCTGTTCTCAGCAATAGACCGGCATCTTCCTTGGCTGTGCACAAGACTAGACGCACTTCGAATGTGTCCGACGTGACAGAGTTCCGCGCATCTCACGCCGGAGAGACGCTCAACTCATACTCTCCTATGTCGACTATGTCCTCGCGCAGACGACTTTCAGCTTCGTCCAACGCCTCAATGGGCGCGGCTTCGCTGGCGAGCGAATTCCGTCACGGATCTTCGTATTCCCCCTCAGCAACCGGAGCTGGCAGCACTCATTCAATCCCCCTCGGCCTTGCGGGGCCGAAGCCGCGGCCACGACACGTCTCCATCAGCCCGGAGAGCGAGGCCTGGGTTGAAGGTGTCCTTGGCCAAGCCCGAAGGAGCTCTTCTCTGCGGCCGTATAAATTCGGGCTACCGCCCCCCCAAGAACCCGAGCCCGCACCAGTCAAAACGCCGACCATCCCCAAATCCAGAAGTATCAGCGATCTGGGCACCGCCGGCTCCAGCAGACGCATCGCCCTACGCGGACTGGCAAACCGATGAACTCGTCCATCCTCCTGACCCTAATCCTAACTTCCGTCCTCACATCTCATCTACTTCCTCGCATACATATGATATCTCGCTCCTCGACTCACCTCCTCCCTCTCCTCTTCACCTGCTTTGTCTACTAGCACTGGCGTTCGCCGTTAGCCTGGGTTTTCCGTTTCGTGATTTGTTTTGGATCAGAGACGAGGGTACTAAAAGTGTTGACATCTATCTATTCTGCATTATCCGTTATTTTTCGGTTGCATTATCAGGGCGAATTATCTTTTCTTCATTCAACCTTTTTTCATCATCTTCATCGGCATATACAAGAAGACATCATCATCATCATCTTGGGTTACCTGCTGCCGTTTTCTTCATCATCTATTCATTACCGGTGCATCAGCGGGCTTTTTTCTCTCTCCCTCCATTCTTCTCCCTCTCTCTCTCTTCTTTCTTTCATATCCCCCTATATCTTGATAATCTTGATATACCGGGGATATCGCCCCAGGCCCTGGCTGGCCTGGTCTTGGCTTATATCCATCCATTCAATATCTTTTTTTTTCTTCTTTCTTGTTCGAGGTCCTGTCTGATGTTACTTAGCCCTTGATTGGTTTTTTCTTTTCATCCTTACTTACTCTGTAGATAGATACCCTTCGGTAAGGCTTGGGTTTATTTTTATTTATATTTTCGTCGTTGTGGTTGTTGGTTTCTTCTGTCTACCCCACTGTCTACCCCATCCACTGCCTGTTGATTTTGTGTTTATACTTTTTTTTTGTGGTGGGGGTGGGGTGGGAAGCGGGGGTAAGGGGTAGATCTAGGAAACGGTTGTTTGTACATAGTACATAGGGGAATTTTAACTGTTGATAATTATTTTATTTACGGAGTTCGTAGTTGTATCTATGTGGAGTGAATATGTGAATGGGTGTTTCCACTTGAAAAACTGTACGTAGTAAACCAATTGCAATTGAGAGTATCAATCATCTCATGTCATGCGTTAGTATAGCGAGCTAGCTAGCTGGCCAATGAAAAATAAAAAGACTGAGACTAAGTAAGAATACGAGAGAAATAAGAATAAGGATAGGAATACTAAGAATAACACGAAAGACGCAAAAGTATACTTGCTAAAAACGAGAACGCCGCTATCCTATCCTATCCTAAACCCAAGCCGAGAAACAGAGCAGAATACCCAGATGTCATCACATGGTACAAACATATCAAGCGTAGCGGAGCGTGTCAAAGGGTCATGAAGCATGAGGTTGAGGGATGTAACGTAACGTAACGTAACGTATCTCGGAGCAAAAAAAAAAAGAAAAAAAAAAAAAAAAAGAGCGTGTATACGTTCATTGATAGCGTCGCGGGGGGAGGGGTTATGGACGAGGTTGAGTGTGGAATGATATGGTCAGTTGCGTGACGGAGTCGTGGCTTCTTCGCTGGACTGTTTCTGCTGCTTAGCAGAGGAAGAAGGGGTCGGTTTGCGGGCCCATGGGATGCTCTTGGTGAGAAGCTCTCTGAGTTCCGGGGAGATCACTTTGGAGTCTCCAGTATCGCGGAGGGCGGTGCTTGGGCCGGCGCTGACGCCGCTGCTGAAACCGGTGCTTTGGGGGCGTTGGGGTGCTTTGCCTTTGTTGGCATTGATATTTGTATCGGTGTTGTTGTTTGAGGTGGTGGAGTCCTGGGTAGGTTTGCGTTGGTGGGCTGCGGGAGCTGGGAAGTTGTTCTTTTTGTCGATGGCTTGGACGGACCGCTCGAAGCGATGGAAGAGGGATTCGGCGCGGGTGAGGATGGGGACGAGCTCGATGGTGTTGGAGAGTTCGTTGACTGGTTGGTTGTTTGGGTTAGCATTGTGACTATGCATGTACTGGTGCACGGGGCATTGACGTACTGTATTTGAGAACCTCGTCGAATGCCTTCAGATGATCCATGATCACATCCCGGTGTTTCTCGAGGATCGCCAGAGCGATAAAGAGGTGGAAGCTGCTGGAGAGGTAGTCGGTCCATAGGGTCTCCCACAGGCGTAAGACGTCCACCCATTCGAATTCGCGCTTGTACCAGACGAGAAGCATGCGGAAGAAAAAGAAAAAGTTGGTGCTGTCGGCGGACTGGAGGTGCAGGTAGAGCTGGGGGTCCATGAGCTGAACGAGGTGGTCCAGAGTGAGTAGCTGGGTTCGCATGCCCGACTGGTCACGGAGGAAGTTACGTTCCTGGTTTGAATGTCAGTACGGTGGGGAATTGGTGAGGGGGTAGGAATTACCATTCTGTCCATGAAACCAACAAAAGCCCAGAATGCGACCGCGTCGTCTTGCATGACCGCATAAATCGGGGCTAGGAGATCACTCATGCCTTGGACATAACCCAGGTCAGGGTTGTATTCGTTATACGTAAGAAGCATGTCTTTCATCTGCTCCATATGCACGTTGGTTCCTGTATCTGCGAAAGGCGAATCCGGATCTGGGTGGGGGATGTCTTCCCCAGCAAAAAGGGGTATCGTGCGGTCTGTACGGTGAACGTCTTTCTCTATATCAATGGGTCAGAGAAGGCGCATTGTAAGTGTCAGATCGACTGTAAGCGTACCTATTCGGTTCCTCTGCTCTTTCCACCATTCGTACTCCTCCGCTGTAGAATTGCCTTCGATCATTCTTTCCCACCACGCACCTTTCAGCCGGATATATTCATCCCGCTTCGAGTTCATCAGCGCCTGTCGCTCATCGTGGCTGCTATCCCAGGGGTACACTCCCAGGAGGAACAACCATGCCTCCTTTCTCACTCCGTCATTTGGATCGAGACTCCCGTGGAATATTCTTTCTTTCACTTCCTCGACGGTCAAATGTAGCCTTCCAGTGGTCGAGTCAAAGAAGCTCCTCCACTCTTCCAGTGTGACTACCTTACGACGCTCCTGGATGGATAGGGTCCCCGTCTCGAGGTCGAGGATCTCGAAATCACCCACAGAGCTGTTCTCCATATCGAGAACATCCCTTGCGGTCCATATCCGTTGGTTCCTTTCGCGTTCGCTCTGCTCCGATATGCTCATAGCCCAGCGGGCTAGATACAGCCTGGCACTGTCAAACTCATCCTGGAGAGTTTGGATTTCGGGGGTCCTCATCAGACGACGGACCTGCGGAGGTATCCGGGGGTTGTCCGCCAACTCGTTCGCCGTTCGCCTCGTGAATGTGGTAATCTTGCTCAACTGCTCCAGCACCTTCCACCTGGTCTCCTTGAGCGCCTTGACAAATGGGTCCATTCCGGCATCTCGCTGCCCGCTTCCACTGGCCTGGGCTGGAGCAGCAGGGAGACCCTGCGCTCTTGCCACCGACCCGTCCGCGGTGAGTGGCCGTCCAAACGATAGCCGATCTTCCTCTGAAGGGTTGATCAGATATACACTGTTGTCGACGGCCGAGCGAGGGATCTCCGCATATTTCCGCAGCCACCGCAACACCTCGTCGCCACCCCAGAACACGCTGCCATCCTCGCCAAACGGATCAAAGCTTTCCCTGGTCCGCCGCTTCTTCTGCAGTATTGTCGACTCACACTCGGTATCGTGGAAAAACAGGGCGGGGAAACTATCTCCTGCGCGGGTGTTGATCACCAGACTCCCGAACCACCAGCCCAGGCTTGGAGGTCGCACAAGGAGCGAGTAGATCTCGGAGAGAGGTACAGCAAAGGCATAGAGGCCGATTGGGTCCTTGTAGGTGGTCGTTGTTGGAAGCGCAGGCACCAGATACTTCTGTCGCGGAGAGGAAGAGTCATCTGTGAGGTCGACTTTGACGTAGGTGCTATAGGCGTCACCCAGGGAGGATTCGGGTACCCAGGCTAGAAGGTAGGAGGAGAGATCGGGCGAGGAGTTGTCGGGATTGGAGGGGGCATTTCTGGAGGCAGGGAGAGGCTTTTGTTGGATGAGGGCGATGAATCCCGGGATGTTGTCTTTCGAGGAAGGAGTTGGGTGAACGTAGACCTGGGGCGCTCGGAATCGATCGGATCAGCGGGTCATTCGGATAGCTCTCACACTTGGTGGTAAACCTACCTTGCTCTTGGAGAAAAGAAGCTTGACGCCTCTGCGGGAGGTGGAGTGAGAGATGGTGTTGTAGTCGTCCTCCTCGTCGTCACTGACGTCGTAGTAGGAGGCCGTCGGCGAAGGCGGCGACGGAGGAGGGGTGTATTTGACGCCGTTGTCGGGCATGGTGAGGAAGATGGATCTGACGGGGCTGGATGATCAAACGCCGTTCATAATGCTGTTGATGTCTGGAATGATCAAGTAAGTCAGCGGTCGGTCGGCGAGGAATTGCGGAGAGCGAAAGCGAGTCTCTCAGTCACGCCCGGAGGTCACGACGTAATCGTGGGGCCCGCCATGTGATCCGCTCTTTCGCTCTCTTTCGCTCTCTCTCTCTCTCTCTCTCTCTCTCTCCCCCTCCATCTTCCTCTCACACTCTCTCACCACACTCCCAACAGAATCAGGACTGGACTTACCTAGCAGACTTTCTATTGAAACGCGCGGTATGAAGGAAATCCTCTGCGCAGGAGAGTGCTTGCAGGGATGATGGGTCGGCGAACTGCTCCATAATGACTCCCCATTGCCACCGCCCCAAATCCAGGCAGCAATCAAACGGGCAACTGTGACTCCGACACGAAACACAATGGATGTTCGCCAGGCAGATACATAGATTATCGCCAATCCTTTATCAACCAGGCTTCCTATCTTGATATATACATTTCGGAAGGTTGAAAAAATAGAGCTTCATCTTGAAGATTTATCCAGATTGGCTCTCCGCAGGATGTCCGGAGACGCCTCGATCTTATCTGCCACACTTCTACTTATTATCTGCTTCAACGAATGTGAGGTTCAGGTCATCAAGAGTGATTTGATTTGTCCCTACTCCTCACAGATAATCGTGCAATACCAGGGTCATTCTACGTGGTGTCAAGCTGCCAGGATACCAAACTTCCTTCTGGATCGATTCCAGATGACGACCTGTCAGCTCATTAATCATTCGCCGCGGCATGGAATCACGTACTGTAGATTTTGCCTTTGGCGCACGGGATCCAATATCCTCTTCAGGCAACGATTTGCCCGTCCAATTAAGAAATACCTTTGCACATGTTGCAGGAGACAGACGTACATGGTGCATACGTATCGGCATCTATAAATACCAGGGACTTGGGCCCCATACGGCGTGTCGGCCAAATTGTATTGAGAGCTGAGGTCAGGCGAGAGCTTCAAGTATACACTCGCAATGTCCGAACTTGAGCGCACGTTGCCAGCTTCCTGGTATCGTAGTCCGCCTCTCTATCAGCTTGAGCGAAGAGCTGTCTTCTTCAAGGTAAGCAGATGTGCAGATCCGGGCATGGTCTTCGTGGTCTTAAGCATATCTCTAGTCATGGTATCTCATGGGCCCAGTCACCCGGTTCCGTGATGTTGGCGCCAGTGTTGAATATGAGATTGCTCAGCGGCCAATTCGCGTGTTTCGAAACTCGGGAGACGAGCCTTTTCCGGGAGATGAGGAAATATCGGTGGTTTGTGCGCAGAGTGTATGTCAAACAACACATGCGCCGGGCTCAGTCCACACCTGTCGGGTATCCATCGAGTCATGATATTGATGAAATCCTAGGAGCGGCCTCTACGGCACCATGTCACACCCACCGGCCTCGTCTTCGCTACTCTATCAGACGAAGCACCCAGCTTCCACGAGTATTTCCCGGAGCTGGAGCCCTTGCTCCAAAGAGTGAACTTTACCAAGCTCCCGTACCGACACAGCATCAAGTACGAGGGACGCTTTAACTGGAAAACCATGTACATGGCGCCCGTCCTCGTATTCGGAAGTGGTCATGACTCCTGACTTGGGTTCTGTAACAGGGTCGATGGCTACCAGGAATGCCTGCATTGTCAATACACGCATCCGTCATTCTCCGTCTACTACCCGCCAACCTCCTATGCAGTGCACAACCATCAGAACTTCTCGCAGCACATTGCGAATCCAAATAAGCCCGACGACGGCCTTTTCCTCTATTTCTTTCCAAACTGCACTTTGAATGTCTACGGTGGGGGGATGTCCTCATTTCGAATATGCCCCACGGATGATCCCAACGTGACGAGGATGGAGTTCGACTACTATCACATGGAGTCGGGCGAGAAGTTCGAGGAATACTTCAGATTCGTCCGTCAAGTCGCTCTAGAAGACTACGAGCTCTGTGAAAAGGCCCAAGACAACCTTACCAAGGGGATCTATAGCGAAGGAATACTCAACCCAGAGAAGGAAAGCGGGGTCTCGTGTGAGTATATGAACTTTTGAAGACATGTTCGATTTTATCTCCAGCTAACACATTAAAGTCTACCAGGATCGTGTTTTTGAGCTTGTATGCCAGCAGCATACGACAGAAAGAATGGAGAAGGAGCCCAACCAAGCCGGGCTGGAAGGCCAGACAAGTGGACTTGAACATGTCACAACAGCTGCATGAGATAATGCAACTGAGATTGGGGGGGGGGTGCAGGCTACTTACTATCAGTCGTACCATGTAGTGGTCTTGCTATAGCACGATGCAGCTAGTAGAAAGTTTGTGGTAGAGGCGTGAGGTGCAAATTGAGAACTCTCCATGCTGGATAGGCCAACAACTAGCCGAGAGAGAAAGCTCCTGCTGCACCTAGCATCATCCCTGATACGTGGATGCAGGAAGCTGGAAAGGCTTGCCAGATCCGGCAGGTCAATGAGAACCTTCTGCCCTGGCGCAAAGTCATTCGGGGGCATCCTCGCCTCTGAATGGCCGGCGCGAGTGGATATGGGGATCTGTGCTCTGCTCATCGTCCTGCTCGGAGGTTTCCTTAAAGAAGCTTCACCAAGCCCTCGATCTGACGAGAGTTTTCTGATGGCACCGCTCTGTCCAAGATGGTCATCACATTTGATAAGGAGATGTTGAGCTTAGCCCTACCTCCGGCAATAGCCGTGTTTGTGCCGGTGGTCTTGCTGGCCGGGCTCGCCCTTCTATTCCAAGCCTGGTCCCGTCCGTTGTTGAACGCATCGCTTCATGAGGAGAATGAAGCCAACGTTGTCGCCAAAGAGTCCGACTTCCCAGCAGACTGGTGGGTTGGGTCCAATCTCTTCGAACTGGAAAAGCGTGCGATCTTCAGCAAGGTACAAGCTCTTCATCTGCCTTCCAACAGTCAAAACATCAGACATATTGCTGACAAAGCCTAGAGATGGCTGTACCTTTCTCACCGGAGCCGATTTTCCAAAGCGGGCGACTACCATTCCTACGAAGTGGCCGACATCCCCATCTTCCTGATCTTGGGGAAAGACGGTGTCGTTCGGGCCTTCCACAACGTTTGCCGGCATAGAGCATACGCTGTCACGAGAAAGGAGTGCGGTTCTTCTCTGGTCCTTAGATGCCGTTATCATGGCTGGAGTTTTAACACTTACGGGCAACTTGTCAAGGCGCCCCATTTTGACCACGTACCTGGGTTCGATAAATCCCAGAACGACTTGTTTGCAATCCATACTACTACAACTAACTCTGGCTTTATTTTGGTGAATTTGGATGCGAGTACGATAGCGCCACCTCTAGAGACATGGCCGCTTGATTCTTTGGCGAGCAGGCACGGTTTGGGTCGACGATCAAGCTGGGTGGGAGGGCAAACAATAGAGGGACAGTTTAACTGGAAAATGTGTTGTAAGTTTACCGAGTTTCGCTCCCATCACTTGATATATAGGTGCTTATCTCGCTCTCTAGTGCGGCCTAGGAAGTTCCTCGGTGGTGAAGCGTGGGAACACGCACCCCCCAAGAGATCGTACATGTTACTGCTCTCGAGACTATTCAATAAAATACCAAACTACCCAGAGGACATTATAGTCTTTCCATTCACCACTATTCACACCCTAAAACGCACAACATACTGGTACTCGTTGAGCTTTATTCCCATATCCGAGAAAAGAACCTCGATCCGGTTCGACTTGCATTGTACCAGAGACTCCAGCAGCCCCAACCATCTCATCATATTAGAGGGACTGATTGGCCTGGTTAACAAAAGCAGTCGGGCACTGGAAGCTGAATACCAATCCTATACAGATGATTCAAAGTACGTTACATCAAGACCCAAGATCGCAAGGATTCACTAAGATTCTGTTTGTTTAGATCCGCAACAGCCGTTTCAGCATTCGACACAAGTACCGAAAGTAAGCCCTAGAACTGCCCTCTACGTGGGTAATCTCCCCAACCTAACAGAGACCAGATACACAAAAGGAAATCCTGGGTCTCCTCCAAGCCCACGCCAAGCTCGAGAAGCAACAGGGCACGGAAGTGTTTCCCGCCATGAGACAACCCCGGCAAAACGCAAGATATGAACAGGCTGAGCAACGTCAGTGCATACCATCTTACTATCTGGAGATTCCAAACCAGGCTTGCTAAACTAAAGCCGTAGTCTGCAAAGAACTCGACTGCCAAGACGCCTTGAATCGGCAGAGCCTAGCGTGGTGAGATGAGGTGAGGTGAGTATCTGGTGCACATGTCCATGGTGGTACAGCATAGGGCACGCGCTGCCCCTGGTGTGACCTATTCGAAGGTTAGTCGTATAAATAGCACCGAGGTTGCTCAATCGGGCTAGATGGGAATTGTTTATTGAGTGCTCCATGTTTGTTGATTCAGGCGAGAGGGTCGCAAGTCCAACGGAATATGGAATATTCCTTGCGCGGTTTCACATTTGACTCGGTTTGAGACACTGCAGTTAGGCAACTAGGCAGTTTGTGCCAGGTGAAGATCTTTGGTCCATAGGAAAACAGGTATCCAGTACATGGTGGGTGGGAAAGACAAAGATCCGGCAAGGGGGAGTTGCGGGAAATAAACAGCACGATCCTGGATTTCGAACCCCGGAAGGCGTAGGTAAGCATCCTGGTATTCTGTACGGAGTATCGACGTGAGTAAAATGCCGTTTTGCTGGTCCAATATCCATATCCAAGTCCGTCCTCTTTGCTGGCCGTTGCAGTCCGGACCGGCAGCGTGTCAACCTTCCCTTTTCTCCTCACCGATCTGTCCCTCACAACTCCACAAACCTATATAAATCGCTATCTTCCCAACCATTACCATCAATTCCCGAAATTATTATCGAAATCGCCCTTTAGGGGAAGAAACAAAAAAGGGAACATACTCATATAACTTTCCGCCCGCGTAAACACCAACGGTTGGTCAGATCCCGCCAAAATCCCTCGGCGAGAGTCAAGCGCGGAAGATCGTGAGACTCCAGACTCCAGACTCCAGACAGGTAGGTCCTCTCCCTTTCCCGCCACGTGGGTTGGGTTTCTAAAGCTGAAACCAAACCGGAGTGAGTAACAGTAAGCACGAACTGTCTCGCCCTTGTGGGACACGAGACAAACGACCACTACCTACACCCGCGTCGGGTACCTACAGTAAATCGACTCGACCATGGCTCTTCCTGCGATAGCCAGGGCGACCTTGCAAGCTGCGCTCATCAATGCCGGCTCTAATGTTCTGGCCCAGGCAATCGGGGCGCACAGAGACGAGGTGTGTTGGTTGCCTTTTCCCCTCCCTGTCCCCCTCCCCCAATCTTCCCTGAGAGTGAGACACATATCGCCCTGTTGGTTAGCCTGCTACTCGGGATAGCGAACTAGACATCCACCGTCCTTGAAGAAATAATTAAAGAGCAGGGCTGACGAATGATATGCTTTCTCGGCCAACCACGGGCGGGCTCTCTCCTCCCTGGTTGCCGATACCGTTATGCTACTACACAGAGGCCCTTTGAGCTAGACACCCAAGCACTATTCCACTTCACGACATGCGCGTTCATTGTCTCGCCCTTGACGTTTCTCTGGCTCGAGGGACTAGAGTCAAAATTTCCCGGCTATGATAGCCCCAATCCTAGCAAGGCAGAGAAAAGAGGCCAACAGCAGCAGCAGCAGCAGCAGCAGAAGCCCAAGCTTAATGTGACAAACACCGTCGCGAAGATAGTCATTGACCAGCTGATCGGAGGTGCCTGGAACACGGCCCTCTTTATCATGACCATGGGGTTGCTGCGTGGCCAGGAGTGGGACTTGATCGTGCAGCAGATCCAGAAGGTTTGTCGAACGTCGTGGGATATCTGCCAGATTGACTGATGCTGACCTGGGTGTAGGATTTCTGGCCCATCATGATCGCAGGGTTCAAGCTGTGGCCGTTTGTCTCGATCCTTAACTTCACGATCGTGCCCACGGATAAGAGGCTGCTGGTGGGCAGTCTGTTTGGTGTGCTCTGGGCTATTTATCTCAGTCTTATGTCTGGTTGATGGCCTGGATTAGGGAAGGGCAGGGGCGAGTGTGTAGTAATCTCCGGCCTGGCCCATGGCTCTTCTACACATGTACAGCAAGATCCTTACCTAAAATTCGGACTGACTCGCGGAGGCGGGACATATAATATCTGATTACCGTTCTAGCAGCCCAACAAACTGCTTTCTACAGAACTTGGTAGTATTGATCAGAGTAGAATCTAAATATAGCCAGATTTTGTTGGGAAATTAGTCGCTCATCAAGCATCTGAGGGAGACCTATCGTGGATAGTAAGCGACCAAAAATCGACCAACTACCTCAGTAAGAAGAATTCCATTGAACCAGGCAATAAAAGGGGAGTGAGGGAGGTCAAAGCCAAATAACAGCTGCACGCGAGGAAAATTAGATTACTGGACCCGATCCAGTCTAAGTAGATAGGTACAGTACACGACCCGTTCATCCATCATGCAATTATCGATCTATCTGCTAAACACGGTTTCCCGGTTGGCCCCAACCAGAGTCAGACTCCATGTCCGAGTCCAACTCCGGGCATCCGAAGATGCCACCGCAGTGGAGTGAGAGTGGAGGGGGGGTGGCCTAACTACTATCTACAAAGTAACTAACTCAGCAGCTCCCAGAGACCTTCTCGGTAGACCGACCCACTTGCATAATGGGGCCGAATTGCGTACGTAGGTACTGTACCTTGCCTTGCCTTGCCAACCTAGCATCTGCGCCTTGTGGGAATAGGAATACAGCTCGGTCCTATCGGTCACCATGATCATATGTAGGTATCTATGTACTTATGTATCTAAGGTCGTGAAAGATCAACCGGTTTGGAACTGGAAGGAAGGGAGGAAGTCCGGTTCCAGTGCGGGTGTACCTGAACTATAACCTTATTCGGCATAGTCGAGCAGGTACTTGACCCATACCCCACCCTACCCTCGGATTATGATAATGGTCAGTACGGTGGAGGCTAGGCTATCTATGCTGGGTGTGGTGTAGGATTATATGCAAGGCGTTTTCAGTGGAGGCGTTCATGTTCATGTTTGCGTGATAAACTAGGTACCTAGGTACCTAAGCCGCAAGAGAAACGGCAGCGTCTTACGAACGCATAGTCCGAAACAAAATTGGCAACTGGATAGGAAAGTGTGCCTTGTTTGATTGTCGGATCGTTCTTGTTGGCTGGATGGGGTAGAGTGTACCGGTTAAGTACCTTAAGTAGGTGCTTATACGGTAGGTAGGACTTATGATCTGACCCCAAGGTAGTTAGTTACATAAGACGCGTTTGCAATCGATATTGAGATTCGGGTGCGGGCTATGAAACCGTTGGTTCAAGCCATGTCCGCACATGGCCGTGTTTGACATATCGAATGGTATAGAGAATAGGGGAATAAAAGGCGAGTCAGATGCCTGCGTGCATGCATGATGGTTATTGGGTTTGGTTGGTTGGTATATCTAATACTATACATGCATGTCATGGGCTACTCAGAGAGTTAGTTATCTTAGTAGTATCGATCGATATTGTTCTTGAGAGTCTGCGATTGACTGGCTTTCGACTATCTCGGTCTTCAGCAGGTACCAATAGACTAATCGCCCCAGAGACAGAGACTAGACTGCCAGAACGACGGCAATTTCTCAAGGCAGCTAGATACTAGCAGTGATGGCGCCCACCAGTGCTGCACGAGCAGGGATAGCCTGCTGCGGACGGACGCAAATCTCTCGGGAAGAATCACTGCAATCAATAATACTGCGTGGCTCGCTGCATGGCTCTTCCACCTTCCACGCAGCACTGCCTCGCTTCTCGACATTTAACCCTGTTGGAACTGGAAGGGGCCCTTCTAGCGGCTGAGCTCGGTGTTAAGGCTGACCATAATAAGTAGTTCGCGAAGGCTGTGAGGGATACTCGCAGAAGTTGGTTGCCGTCAAACGCGCGATAGTTAACGGCTTGAAGAACTTACTAACCTACTAATACATAGTTAGTTAGTTACACAATACGCACCTTGACAAGAGTCCAAGATAGTACTGCTGCACCTAGCACGGTAGGTAGTAGACCTTTCCTCAGAAACTAAAGTTCTCGCGATTATCTACTGTGCGCTTATTTAGAGTATGCGAATAATCCCGCTTACCTCTGATCTCCCTTCTTCATCCTTCAGCGATTGGCGAGTTCGTGAAGGACAAGAGAGGGGCGGGGGAAGGAATGGAGGCAGTACGGTACGGTACCGGCTGTGGCACGCCCCATGCGGGATAGCGGGCGCACTTACTGCCCAGACGGGCCTAGCTTTTGGCCCCCCCGCGCTGGAATCCAGGCTTCGGGCTTGACAATTGAGTCGATCCATTCCACCCTTCCCACACTTCCCCCGTGTCACCCTCCAGAATCGAACTATCGACGACTCGCAAGCGACTTCGTCTTCCACTCAGCCTATCGCTGCCCGCCTCCTGGCCTTGCTCCATCATTAAGCTGGCCTCATGTCGTCAATTCGCCCTGCCCCCCTCCACCCCCCCCCGGCCAGGGATAAGAAAAGCCTCCCCGGCACGTGGAGGCTGCTGGCAACCTACATATGTAGCTAGTTGTTAGTTCGTTAGTCAGACCCCATTCTTGAGCAGGTCTGCGATGACAGGCATCAGTCCGACTCTCTCATCTTCTCTCACTCGCGTCCCCCGGATCATTCTGTGTGCAGTCCCTGCGTTCTATGGTCAGTTGAAACTCCTTTTCTTTGTCCGTCCACTTGGCGTTGGCCGTCACTATCTATACGGAGTACCGATCCAGACATTGCGCCCTTCATTGTGCCTGAGAGCTAACCCTTTGCGACAGTCAGGTGGCACTTTTCGCTCTCTTTGTACCCTGGATTTGAAAGAGTGCACCCAACCTCGGCGAAACAAAGTTGGACTCGTCGCGGCAACACGCTCGGATCGGATCCATCAATCATTGCGTTTCGGCCGTACAAGGGCCTGGTCGATCTAGCAACTCTAAGCCGTTTGTTCGCAGAGAACGCCCCGGCTAGTCTGGCTGCTAAATTTACAGAAAAAAAAGCGTTGGAAGGCGTCCGGAATAACATTGTCGGCCGTGACAAAGACATCAACAAGGGTCGCTTTGGACCATGCGCATGTCCAAGAACAGACGGGTGCAGTTCGCCGTGTGAGGCCCGATACCGTGTATAGGCACCAATCATTAGCCTCAGTCAATCTATCCAGACGCCCCAGGAGATCTCTCTTGTCCCGATCTGGAAACCCATCCTGCTGTGTATAGGCTTTCAACGCTCGGTGTAGGGCTAGTTAAATGCCTGCAATGCCCGAGATGGACGTTCTACTCTCGCCTGACGCAACAACCGTTTCACATGCCTCCAAAGTCACTATGGAAGAGCCAAAGCCTCACCGTTCGGACGACGAGTTATTATCAGATGATCCAATTCCGGCCGGGAGTGATGAGGAGAAAGACGACCTTTCTATCTCACCCGTCTCCGACAGGGCACCACCGTGGTCTGGAACCCGCTGGGCCCGGTTCTTCCCCGAACTCTCCTCGCATTTTTCTCTGACGTCTCCCACAAGCGCAACTCATCCTCAGATGAGTGGCTCACATAACGCAGATCACTATTTGCACCAGAAGACTTGGACTTCTTCAGACCACGGGAGAGCGTCATCTTCTTTGTCCTCGGAAGAGCTTACTGATAACAGATCATCCAGCTATACGAGAAGATCTTCCATGACAAGTCAAGGGTCCGAAATCACTTCAACCGCGTACAGATTTCCGGATGCTTTTCCTATACCGCCCTCCTCTGTGGCTGGTGGCTTTGACGAGTCAATCCCTACACTGCTTCCGCCGCCATTGACAAAGCGACGTTTCGTTTCCCCGCCCAGAGATAAGCCGCTTCCTCAACAGCCACCGATTGAGTTGACTCCACTTTCGCTGCGCGTCAAAACTGGGCAATTGCCGCAGATCTACGATGGTGAATATAGTCAGCATACAGACCATTTGCCGCGCACTGCAAAGCATTCAAGTCGCCATCAGCCAACGCTGTCGCAAGCCGCCATCGATCTAGAGAGAACTTTGGCTGGACTCACTGAGCATCGACATACGCCAGTGCAACTTTCACCTCGCAGTCCTCATCAAATCCCTGATGGGCCGTTGCAGATAAGCAGAGGAAACATGGACATGATCGCCACACGACCAGCACCTCGGCCCCCTGTTAGTGTGCATCAGAGCAGGCAGATACACAAAGCGAAGTCTCGTGAAGATTTGAAACAAACAAAGAAGCCGCACAAGACAAAGACCCCGTTCTCCTTCACAGTGCCAAGCTTCGGTCGGAAACAGAGCCGCGCCCATCTCCGATCTGCAAGCAGCTCCAGCGTGAAGTCAGAACCAGGATCTCAGGTAGTGAGCGCCTTACAGCCACCGATTGTCAGGGCACTTGCGGACAAGGACGGGGTGGCTGAGTTGCCGGGGTCTCCGATCACTCGCCTTGGTGAGAGGCCTGCATCTGTGAGCAGTGAAAGGGAGCTTCGGATGAAACTCCCTCGCCTTCAAACAAAGGAAAGGAAAGTCATCGACCGCGACGGTGTAATAGCCCCTCTCAGCCCTGCTGAACTCCCAGCCTACAGCCCTCGAGAATCTCACAATCTGCAGAAAAAGCCATACGAGAGGCCAAGAGGGGAGTCTATTGGTGAAAAATATTTTGTGTCCCATAGTAAATCTGGCAAACCGGCTGCAGGACCAGTCCACCCAGATTTGAAAGCGCTGCAGGCGCCAACGACGGTCTACGAACTTGATTCTGGTTCTTCATTGTCGCCAGCTGAATTGCAAGGCGACACTACCGTCTCAATCCCCAGTCAAATCCCCAGTCATATGGAGAAGACAGGGGTGATCACCACGCCTATGACCTTTCCGGACCGTGCCATCCTATCTATCTTGAGACAAGTCGATTCGCTCGATGTCCTCTTCAGGGTAGCGGTGGTCTGCAAAGACTTCTACCGGGTATTCAAGGAGCACGAGCTGGACCTTATGAGGAGTGCGGTTTTCGCAATGTCGGCGCCCGCATGGGAGTTGCGCGAGATAAGCCCCCCATGGGACACTGAATGGCAGGTTCTGTTGGCTCCCGATGCGCCTGCACCGGAATACACTCCGTCCTCCTATCTGCAGCGTTACGCTCAGGATATCTACACGCTAGCACATCTCAAGTCGCTTATACTAGCTCGGTGTGGGACGTTTCTACGTCCTGACACGATCCAAGGCCTGGCTGGAAATGATGACACCCGCGCAACGGAGGTCGACGACGCCTTCTGGAGGGTTTGGACGTTTTGTCGCATTTTCGGATCCGGAAAGCGTAGAGAAAGCGACACCGTGGGGCAGTTGGATTGGTTGAGAGGTGGTTCCAAGGCCGCGGGCCGGCATATCTCGGTGGCGACGTCCATCACCGAGCCATTCAATATGGATAGCGTTTTGTTCGAACCCCCGGCAGGCTTCGGGTGCGGTAACAAAGGTGGCTTGTCGAAGAGTCAACTTGTTGATATGACGGAGATCTGGACCTGTCTAGGTGTGCTGCTCCAACCACTGCATGGCAGGTGTGACGAGGCGCGGAAAGTTGGAATATTCGATGGACACGATGTAGCGCTAAACGACACGGCAAAGGAGGGAGCAGTCTTAGGTCAGTAGATTCTCATCCGATGGGTATTGCAATCGGGAGACTAATGCACCTGAACAGAAGAATGGTCTCACTACGTCCTCACTCTTGGACCTTCAGCCGTCTTACTTCTCGGCTCCATCCACTCCCATGACAACAATGCGGCCGCAAGTTTTGAGAAAGCCCAAATGATGGGCTTGACGAAGTGGGAACCTTGCGATACCGGGGGCAGTCGGTCCTCCTTCCTCAGGGAGGCTGTGTCGAAAGCTTATCAGCCACCGAGAAGCATTGCTTCTCGGACATCTTCACACTCTTCGGGGATGAACTCTCGCCTATCGGACTCGCTCACCAGTCACGATGGCTTCTCGATGGCTGGCAGCCCTGTTGAACGCCAGTCTTCGCCTGACTTCCACCGCCAGCGACAAGCTGCTTATTCTGCGCAACTAAGGAACCAAAGACAGCACCAATTGAGTCCTCCCAATGCCACAATCGCTGAGGAACGCCCGTTATCGAACTATGCTTCCATCATGAGCCGCCTGGAAGGCGCACCCCCCTCGCCACCATATCGAACGCCCATGCCAGAGGCGGGAGCCTCGCAGATGGTCAACCCCAACATGCCGAACGTCCACTATATACGGGCACCCCAGCAGCAACAGCAGGTCCGTGACCCTGTCGATCAAGCCATTGAGACAATGGTCCGGGATCTCGGCTTTGCGGAAGAGGATGCCAAATGGGCTCTCAAAGTGACCGACAACGGCGAGGGGATCGACCTGAATGCCGCGATCTCGCTGCTCAAGAGAGAGCGCAAGAACCAAGAGCGGAACAAGCGCGGTTTCTCCCTGCGAAAACGCGGCAATATTCTATCCTCGGTTCTCAACAGCCCGGAGTCCAGAAATTCGGGCTGGAAGTGGGCGTGACCAATGCATTAATTAATTATTATTGTTTATCCATTGGTCATTTCTTTGAGGGGTTGTCGCACATATGCATTCCTCTCTATCACTCCGAAAACCTGTCAAAATTGTGTGTCTGTTTGTGCAGCTATGCAATGGACATTCATCTTGATGTGTCTCTTTCTTGTTCTGATGCCATGTCCCTCCTTTCCACTACCAGGCGTTGCATTTTCTTGATACCACCCACCATGTACCATTCTTTCCTTGTTTTGTGTGACCTTGATTGGCCTGTATTAGATTAACCTGTCTAGATCTCTGGAAGATTAGCTTGACGATTTCATCAAGAATACTTGATTCGTATTTTAGCATCCTGCTAGTGTAGATTCAGGATTTGCCACACACTTGATCTAGGCCCCTGGCAAGGACAACGTCAAGGAGACGAGGCGATTCGTCCTCCTTGGTGTTAGTATATGACTGTTTTGTAATTGTAAACACTGAGATCATAACCGGTGATGTAATTCGAGCCCCACTGCTGATCTTTAGTCTTCCTTTATCATGTCTGTGAGGCCGAAGTAGGGCTGACAGACAAGACAGGAGACAAGATCTCAGGTTTTGCTTCACATCTGTCGGATATTTCTCTGCCCTACAGGGGTGGGAGCCCCTGATAGAAAATCAACACAATCAATGCCCTGAGCCCCCTCCACTCCCCGTAGGAGTTTTCCAAGGAGTTCTTCACTGGGATGGGCTGGAAAGGCCGGATTATCACAATCGATCTTCGTTGATCGGCCCTTGACTCGGGCCAAAGCCATCGTCATCAGGGCCAACCGAAATCCTTCCTTACGGCGCGGGCGGCGCGCCACGGCTGGCGGTCATCGCCGACCGATCAACCATTCAACCATTCAACCATCCATCTTTCCTTCCTTCCTTCTCGGCCCAGCTTTCCCTTTCCCTCCCCTCCCCTCCACCAACCCAGGATAGCAATCGCCGTGGACCTTTCCTCCCTTCAAGCCCCGGTCGAGGAGGAAAGTCTAATCGAGTTCCGATACGACCAGTCCGGGACTGAAAACAAACTCCCACACTATTGTCTCGAGTATCGTTCCGTTGTTCTTCGGGCGTTCTAGCAGTAGCCTCCCAATATTCCCAATGCAGGCTGGCGAGCTGTCATCAACACAACACGGTGAGGTCAACCCGATCCACTTTGCACGTACCGTAGGTACTTTCGGTAGTTATGCTCATGCGGGGCCTTCCAACTGACAGTCAGAGTCGAGCATGAGCATGAGAGCATATTACCCTGCGTATGCAGGTCGGTCTCGACAGTCGACATCCATGGCTATGAAATCTGCCTGCCTGCATGCCGACAGGCATGAAGGAACGAATGAATGAATGAATGACTTCCTAGTCTTACTGGTTCTGTCCCGTGGCGGGATCCAATTATTGGATGCTCCTTGACGCGTCTGTGATGTATCAACTCGGGAGGCCAAGCAGACGCGACGGTCCCGAACGAGGGACTTTCTGCTTCGGGGGGGTCTCCATGTCGATGAAGGGCAACGGTGCTTCTCCCCGGGAGTTATGTGACAGGTGAAATGCCAATCTCATGGCAATAGAGGATAAGGTCGCATGATGACCGCGAAGGATTGGATATATCTATCTATATGTGCCTTGGCTCGGGGGGGGGCAGAGATAATACGGTGAGCGTGCAGTGCAGACTGCAGACTGCAGAGACTGAGAGACGGGGATGGGTTCTGTTCCCATAGGTAGGTGGGTGGGTGGTTCGACGCAAGGGGCCCCTTGTTATTGAAGGGAGCGAAACGAGGGGAACCGGAGTGGAATCATGGGTCTGGTCGCACCGAAACGATCCGTCTGTCCGTCTGTCCCTTGAGATCGAGATAGATACCGGCTGGCTGTGATGCAAGAAGGAGGGCAAAGCAAAAAACGCCATCCAAATCGCCTACATACCCTGTGGCTCAGCCACTCTCCCGTCCCCTGCCCTCCCCTGGGCTCATCGATCAATCGATCGTTCAATATATCACTTCCTGCTGAACTCAACCGCCCTCTCCTCCTCCCAAGTTTTCTGTTCCAGACTACGATGCGAGGGATGACACGCGTTGACGCTAGAGGAGAAACTCCCCCCCCAGTCCCTCCTTGGAACGACCAAATATGCGGCACCGCCGTTTACTACTAGAGAAAGAACCACCGGGAGACCTGCATATGTATGTACATATGTATGTCCACCAGCACGTCCAACAGTCCATTGAAAATGACGCCTCATCCGGTCTCTGATGCCCTGATTTCTTCCCCGACATCTGTCTAAGACGTTACGGCCTGAGTTTCTCGCCGCCGTTCTTCTTTCCTCCCCTCTTTCTCTATCCCATCCTTTGGCATCTCACTTTCGTTTCAACATGAGTAAGGACTACAGTTCCCACGCGCCCGGGTCGGTCGAGAGGTGAGTTTCATGCAATCTCTCTTGCCTTTGCAGCTGCAGCACAGCTTGGACTTCACCGTGATTAAATTCGCCCACTGACCACACACTTTGATTGGCCAGAGATTTCGGTGATCAGCAAGCAGCAGCACTACAGATGGACGCGAAGCGACAGTTCGAGCGGGAAATCATCCTGAGAAATTCGATCCAGGGTGCTCCCAACCGTTTCGAGGCGAAGAACCGTATCCTACGAGCCTCCGATGTCTTGCTGTCTTTGGTGGGCAAATCCACGACCGGTATGCTCCCCCCCTCCCCCGGGCTACCTACATATCACCGCGTCGGGCGGTTGGTTTGGTATTAGCTGACCCGAACGAACCCCGGATATAGAATCCGACGATACACATGCAGGTGTTGCGAGCCCCCAGGAAGCCCTCCGGCTTTTCCCTCCGTTTCGAGACGATGATGGACTCATATTTGGTGCCGTGAATGTCAATTGTCCTGACTGCGACGCGGTCTTCTCTTCGCTGTACGGAAAACCCCATCTCCCTCTGTCAATGAAGCCAGATGTGGTTAACCGGTCTTGTAGGGATGAGTTGAAACAACACTACTTAACAAAGTACTGCCCAGGGACTGCAGTGGCTGTCTATGTGATGACGCGGGATCGGTAATCCGTCCATCCCCAGCTCGTCCTAACCAGATTACTGATCCTATTCCCGATTTAAGTCTAATCACGAAAGGATACCGAGTGGAAAAGCGCTTCATCTCGCTCAATTCCCGCCCCATATATTTTTTCTGCGATAACTGTGAGAGACAATTTACGTTCGGCGAAGACGACAACGAAGGTCTTGATCGGCAGCGAGGTACGATATCACGCCTCTTATATTTCGAGTTACATTTAATAAAATATTCCAGACGAATCGCACTACATCGACTGCAAGCATTGTGGAGAGCAATGCAACGTTGCGTGAGTGTTGTCTTGCCCTAAGAACCGAGGCGGTGATTGTGTTGCGTGCAGATCCTAACACGATATCGCAGATACCAACCGATTCTGAACGATCCTCGAGACGGTACCATCTTTCGAGATTCCATCAGTCATAGTCGGAGTTCTAGCATTGCACCCACGGGGTCTGTTGGCTGCAAAATCCCTTCGGCGCCAGGTGTCTTGGGGGATCAATCCTTCTCGAGAAAAGCGAAGAAGCTGCGGGACTCGTGGTCGTTCAGAAGTATGTCTGCTGTTGACGGTTTTATTGAATATGGCCAGTACTGATGCCTTCCAGAATTTTCGCAGAGCGAAGAGGACGAACTGGTTGCGATCAGCTTTGCAGGACTATATGATTTGGAACGAGGTATATCTGGAGGAGCTTCTATCACCTCAGGGTACTGACTCCGCAGCAGTGCACGCCCCTAATGGCATTTATCGGCAAATTGATGCTAATAATGAGCCACGCAAGGCTCAGTCTGCTATAAGCTATGTTTCGAACGGTATATTTAATGCCATCCTGAATTGCTTGTTGGAAAGAGCTACAGCTAACATTAGAGCTAGGAATGAATGGCGCATCTACCATTGAATCCAAGAGGACAGTCTGCGAGGAGGGCGAGCATCCCAGAAATGGCGCCACCGATTCCGAAAATGAAAATTCAGACGGCCAAGGATCTCAACAGACGCAATCAAGAACCTCGAGGAGACAGTCCTTCTTGCAGAGGCTGTTTGGCCGCAAGGTTCCAAAGGGTTAGTAAATGAGAACCCGTAACCAAAGTCAGTATTAACACGTTGTAGGAGTCTCACGAGCACGGTCTACTGCCGACCGCAGCAAACGGCTGATGAAAAGGGCAAACACTATCCGATTTTCCTTCGTTACCAAGTATACACGCAGCGAAAGCCGGGCAACCGCCCGCAAAAGTGAGTCGGATGCCTATACGAAGGCGGCAACAGAGCCAAAGCAGGAATCAGTTGCCGATACTGAATATATTGCCCTGCTACGGGGAACTCAGAACATCTTCATTCACACCCAGCATATCTCTGGGGGAACCATTGTTCACGACGCAGCTGGACGGCAAAGGATCCTCAAGATCGACGATGTTGCACAGCTTTTTCTACAGATGAAAGATGAGGCCGCATCAGCGAGTATCTGGTCTCGTACTATCGGCGCGCAAATACGAGCTGAGACGGCTCTGAAGCAAGGGAACCTGAAAGCAACAGTTGTGGAATACCATAATGCCTTGAGGATGCTCGACGACACACCGGGGCTGGACATGGACAAACAGTCACGCGCGGCAATTTTGCATTCCCTGGGACAAGCGTATCGCGATCTCGATATGACGCAGGAGTCGGCAGTATGTTATTTGAAGGCTTTGGGACTATTCAAACGGACGCTTGGGCGTGACCATCCTAACAACTTCGCCATCCTACACGACCTCGGAGACCTCTGTGCGAAAGACGGGTACGCCACGGAAGCATCGGCCTTGTATGAGCGGTCATATGCAGGTCGCAATAAGACTCTAGGTCACAATGCCCCGGAGACCTTGAGGAGTATGCAGGACCTTGCCTCCCTGAAAGTCTCCCTGGGCGATCTCGAATCGGCCCTTTTTCTGCTAGAGAAAGCCGTTCCAGCACTCGATACGGTGTTCGGGTTGCAGAACGCAACGACGCTCAGCGCAAAGAACCAACTGTCTCTGCTGTACCACAAGCTTGGATTCAACAAGGAGGCGCGAACGATATGCGAGAGGACGATCCCACACTATAAGACCTTCTTCGGCATCACCAGCCCAATCATCAGGGAAGCTGTGGTCCGATACCTTGAATGCTCAGAGAACCTGGACTTTCCCAGCGAAATCAAGGACACCCTCGATCAATATCAACAGTCTCGGGAACCCGATGCACTCCGGGTCATCCATCGTCTGGGACGGTCGTATATGAAGGCTGGTCTCAACCGAGACGCAGCCAACATATTCGAGGCCTTAGTCGAGGACTTCCTGGCCGTCAAGGGCCCCGAAGCAACGGAGACATTTGACGCGCTCAGCGCTCTCTGTGTATCTCGCGAGCAGCTCGACTCCCTCGACCAAGCGATTCTGGCCTACAAGCAGCTCGTCCACATGGCCCGAAGAACCCCCGGAGATCGCTACATGCAGAAGAGGATCGTCTTCGCTGAGAAGAAGATCTGTGAGCTCAACGGCCGCCGTGACATGCTCGCCGCAGAGAGAAAAGAATGGGCATTGCAAGAACCCGGGCCGTGTGAGAGCTGCGAGGCGTCCACCACCACCCTCTGCAACAGTAAGTAACTCACCACCCCATCCAACCCTAATCTAACATCTCAATCCAACTCCAGCCTGCAAAATCTTCCGCTTTTGCAGCGACACCTGCCACAAGTCCGCAACAACCACCCACCAACCCGCCTGCATCCCCTCCGTCTCCGTGCTCGAATCGCACTCCCTCAAAATGAAACACAAATGCCCCGTCTCCGCACGCGACCAAGCCATCTCCAAGATCCGACAAATAGACGCCTATCGCCCCGTCAGCATCACAGCAAGCCACACCTTCCACCTCGACTCCCGCAAATTCACCACCTTCCGCATGAAACTCAACCCGGACGTCAACACCGCTATCGTCTTCTCCCGCGAATCCGACATCCGGTACACCATCCTCGATAACTCCTCTGCTGCTCAATCCTCCACAACCCCCAGCTTCAAGACCGCTGTCTCCTCGCTGCAACGCCCCAGAGTCGGTGGTGGTGGAGCTGTGCAGTGGCTCTCCCCCGAACAGCAAGAATCCATCTGCCATATCCCCCCAGAGACCCTCATCGCCGACCAAGCCTCTCAGTATCTGCTCGTCGCTCCGGGGACGAAGATGCTCCGCGCGCTTATTGATAAGCGTGTACGTGTTCGTGGCGGAGGCGGCGAGAAGGAGACCTTCCGTGCGCTGGAGCTCCCCAATGAGGATCTGGTGGAGTATGCCCAGGGTCTCGATTTGAGTGATTATCCCTATGAGCCGTTTATGTATATCTTTGAGTGGGTGTGGAAATGAATGTGATAACAAGAAGGAAAGAGGGAGGGAGAGACCGGAGCATTGATTTGATGAGTGATGGCCGATATGGTCGTGATGTGTGTGTGGGTGATTGACTGATTGATTGATTGATTGACAAATCTCGGCTGTACTTTTTTTTGGTTTTCTCTTTTTTGCTTCGACTGTCACCAACACCATCTTCCTATTCACTGCACTGGTGCAAGAATGTTTTTTTTTCCTTTTATTTTTTTTCATGGTTATCTATCTATCCATCTGTCTATCGGCACTGTTTGGGAGTATATAGGTACATTTCTTGGATGTTTTTTTTCTTTCCTACTTTTCTGCTTGTTTATGTGATTTCATTTCATTTTATTTTCCACTTCTCTCTCTATTCTTTCTTTCTTTCTTTACTAGGAAGCAGAGCAGACAAGATAGGGTCATGGTTATGGTCATGGTTATGGTGATGGTGATGCAACAACAGGCTTCGATTTGAATTACTACCTGTCTATCTATCTATCTATCTATCTATTTATCGTTCTGGGCTTTGTTTTCTATGTTAGTTAGTCAGTTGGCTAGTTGGCTAGCTGTATAACCGACCAATCGATATCTCTTTTGTTAGGATTAGGCTTTTATTCCGACTGGTTGATACCTATACTTCCTGGCTCTGTCTCTGTATTCAGATGCTAAATTACGGACTAAAAAGGCGTATATACCTATGGAAATTAGAAGAAAAGGCTATATCACGATATTTATCTCTTTTTTCTCTTCATCTTGATCTTGATCTTGATTTGGGTCTTGATCATAATCACAATCATGGTCTTAGTTTAATTTAATTCCTTGGAGAATACACGAATCAAAGTCTAGTAATTTCTAATGATACAACTGCCCCCAGACCAGACGGGCCAAACCAAAAGAGTAATAAAAAGCAAAGCAACTAGCAAACAAGACCAGGTAGGGTAGGTAGGGTAGGGTAAGGTTTTGACCAAAAGCAAGCAAGCAAGCCATGAATGACCCCCCCCCCCCCCCCAAAAAAAAGAATAAAGAATAAAGGTATCCTAACACTTGTTCGAATTCCAAACCCCTCATCCTTAGACCAACTGACTAAACTAGAGAAACATCTTCCAACGCCAAACACCACGCACCTATGCATCTGGAACTGGAAAAGGAATGACATCGCACTTGCAGAAATATAGAAGACAGACGCTATAAGAGCTCACTCAGGTAGGGAGGGGGCAGGCGAGGCGAGGCGAGGCGAGGCGAGGTAGCCTGTTTTCTTTCTATGGGGGCTGTAAGGGCTGTAAGTGATAATAATCATGAGGTCGTGATTGAAGAAATTAATTCTTTTCTTGTCTCTGTTCTTGGTGATTTTTATTGTACTGTGGTATGATGTGATGTGATATGTGTGAAAGGAGTGAATAGTGGAGGCGTTTACGGGCCGGCGGCTTCATCATCGTCGGACTTGTAGGTGTCGTCGCTGTCGCTTTCCCAATCTTCTGCCTCGAGGGATCGGCCTCGGATGCCGAAACTCAGGATAAAGCCGACGAAGGATACGGCGGCGAAGACACCGAATGGCATGGCTTCGCCCTTTTGTTTCAGTCTGGAGGCCATGGAAAATAGACTACCAGAGAGGAACGGGCCGGCTGCACGGCCGGCTGCGGAAAGGGTCTGGGCGAGGCCGTTGAGGGATCCGAGGACGGCGTGGTCCGGGGCGGAGTTTGTTATCTGAAGCTATGGTTAATTCACCGGGGTACTGGTCAATATCTGAGGGAGGAGATATTTACCAGCAAGAGCGCACTCGTCAGTCCGCCCACAGAGGCGACGGTCTTAACTAGCATCGCGAAGCACAGCTCAACACCCACAAGTGCGCTACCAGATTCCTTGCTCTTATATCCGACAAAAGGCATAAGGATGAAAGCGATAACGAAGCCGAACAGACCGGCTCGGTAAGACCAGCGATTTCCCATCTTGTCCCTTAGCTTGCCGAAGATGCAAATCTGGAAGATGATCGTTACGAAGCCGGAAAATCCTTGGGCAAGACCGATTTCAGATGGACCCAGACCACGACCAATCGGAGGGGGCGCCTGCGAGAAGATCGGGAACAACGAGTTGAATGAAACGTTGCACAGAGCAAAGATCAGGTATGTCAAGAGGAGCAGGACAGTATCCCGGTTGAAGATCTCGCTTCGTGTCAACGATTCATGGTGAGGTTCACGGGTTTCCGATACCTCTGATGCCGAGTCTAGTTCGCTATCATGATCCTGACTGTCGTCCGACTGTGTGCGAAGGTGGCGATACTGGGCGCCATGCGGCGGCTTCATCCGACTCGCGTTCTTCGCCGCGCTGGTCCACTCCCACAGCCATGAAAACAGGGCCCGGACTCTCCGCGAGAAATTCGGCAGGGTATCGGCATCTTCATGGCTCTCCTCGAGGAAGAAGATCGACAACACAAAGTCCACGACGAGGATGACAGCGGAGATGGCGTTCGGCGCGAGATACGGGAAAGGATTGGGCTTGCTTTTGTCGAAAGGGTTTCGCTCGAAAATCAGTAGGCCACCCAGAAGCGGGCCCGTGATGCCTCCAATCCCATACAGAACCGGGAGATAAGTGAAGGCCTTCGACTGGTTGCTCCGATCCGTGATTTCGCCTAGGCAGGTGGACACCAAGCCCTGGTTGCCATTGACGGCGCCCATGAAGGCCTGCACAATGATCGCCTGATAGAGCGTCTTGCAAAACCCGAAGGCGAGAAAGCATCCCGCCGTGAGGATTGTACCCAGTAGAATCACCGGCTTCCGGCCCACGCGATCCGACAGCCAACCCCAGAAGTAATTGGTAACCAGCTGTGCCACCGCAAACGCCGTAGCAATCGCTCCAACGTATACACCAACCATGTTCGGCTCGACCTCGGGGAACGACGTTGCCATATCGGGAAGGTACGGGCTAATGGAGTTGAACGCCGTCTGTTCGCAGAGCGAGATCATGGCGAGAACCGCCATCTGCCTCTTGGGGAGAGGCGACTCGGAACCCGGTTCGTGGCCCGAATCATGTGGCTGGTAGTGTGACTCCCCACCCGATGACCCAGACTGTCCAGAGTTCGGCCTTCCACGAGATCTCGGTGGCGGGGTATCGAAGGTCTGGTAGTGCAGTGTGGAGGAGTGTCGCCGAATGAGCTGGTTTTGCTCGTCGGCCCTCATCTTCGCGATACGGGGCAAGACGCAGGCGTAGGGGATATTCTTGCGGGGGGTGCAATATCCGGCGAAACGGTAACCGTGGCTGAGCCTCACTAACGGGGTAAGCAGTTGTGATAGGGCTCAATGGCCACTACCTCGATCGCGATGCGGGGGGGCGTTGGACCCCCCAGAAAAGAAGGCTCGGGTGGATGTAGATCAACAATGGCAGGCTGGACTCGGATGGAATTTCGACACCGTGCACACAGAGGCCAGGTCTCTGGAAGAATAACCAAAACGAAGCAGTTAACCGAGGCCGAAAGGGTGTCCGGGGGAGGAGGGGGGGGGGAAGAAGAACTCCTGGATAACGAAAGCGCGGAGGCGGAAGGCGGAGGCGCATCGGCAAAGCAAACCAGACCAGATGATGTAAGCGGTCTGGCTCCGGGCCACCCCCGGCTGAGTCATCGCTTGGCCGCATCTTTACTCGGACTATCAGATACAACAGAGATACACTATCACAGGGCTAGTGGGTAGATAGTCATGGCCATGACTAGTCGATAGATATGAAGGCTGCAAGAACCTACGTGTCCTCAGTAATGGTGTAAGCCGGTCGATGCAATCCAAGAGGTGAATTTCTTCACCACTGGGTCAGAACAAAGGGAACTTTTTCCCTGACTCTGCTACCGATGCAACGCTCCACTTGGGTCCCTGAACCTGCTTTGCTAGGACGCCGATGATTGCGGAGTCTATTTTGTCTTTCCTGGACTGATTCCTTGCCTTGAAAGATCCACCTTGCAAAACATTGGGACAATATCAATGTCTAAGGATTATGTAGCTATGCTAAAAGCCTACACTCAGCAATTGGCCTGCTGGCCCAATGGTAAGGCGCTTGACTACGGATCAAGAGATTGCAGGTTCGAATCCTGCGTAGGTCATTTCTTTTTGCAAGATTACCATCTTTAATTTTGTTCTGGAGAACATCATCGAGGCCGGGAAGTATCTGGCTGGGGGGTTACTATGTGCATTGTTACTAAACATTAGAGGCTTAAACGAACTGGCTCGCATTAATATATGACTCGTAAACCCGTAAATGACTACCTCGGACACGTCTTCCGTTCTGTCTGCCTGTACAACGAGAGAGATCCTTCCTTCTATGGAAGCAAATTACTCCGCAGGTATTTGTATCTCGATCACTTCATCAGCAGGCTGACCGCCCAAGGGACACTGAGGCCTCTCAGATCCCCGTAATGCTGACCAACGCCCAAAAAGACAATGGGAATGCCTGTAGCATGCACCATGCTGACCAGGGTACCCACCATGTCGCCAACGGTATCGCACTTGCTGATGATGAACCCATCAAGGTTGCGTCCAGTGCCAAAAGCTTGGTTGAAATTACGTGCCTGCATCACACTGTCGGTGCCGACCAAGGCTTCGCCCACCATAAAGATCTTGTCCGGGTTAGCGAACTTAGCGAACTTCTCCAGCGAAGACATCAGGCGCTGGTCGTTGTGGCGGCGACCAGCGGTATCGATCAGGACAACGTCGAATTTGTGGGCGGCGCCATATTCAACGGCATCCTTGGCCACGTTGGCTGCATCCTTTCCGTAGCCCTTCTCATACAGCTCGACTTCGCCAGCAGTCTCACGGGAGCTGAGCTCCTTGAGGTTCCGTGCATGAACACGTAGCTGCTCCACAGCTCCAGATCGGAAAGTATCGCAGGCCGCGATAAGAACACGATAATTGTTCTGCAGAAGGAAATAGCAGATCTTTCCCAGATTTGTCGACTTTCCAACGCCATTGACCCCAACGATCGAGATAACGTAGGGGCGAGGAGCTTGCTGTTTGCTTGTAGGGGCGGTGACCCCGTCAATCTCCCGAAGCAAGTCAAGAGAGGATGTAGGGGTCAAGATCTTGTGCAAAGATGACTCCATGGCCGAATGCAGAGCAGCATCCACGCTTTGGAAGTTGGCCGTCTTCTTACCTACAAGCTCTCGCTGGACGCCATCGCACAATCGAACTGCTGCCTCGCGCGCAACATTCTTCTTCATCAGATGGTCTTCCATGGCCTTCAGGGGCTTCTCCAGATCAGCTTCCGTCAGAACCTTCCCGCCCACGATATTGCGTAGAAGACCTCCAATTGCATTGAATCCCGAACCAACGAAACCCTTGGATGGAGTGTCCTTCCCTTTGTCGCTGTTGGCATTATCCAGGATCGAATGCACTTCGTCCCCTAAGTCCTTCAGAACGAACTGGCCTTTACCGGTTCGGTGTCCCCAAGAATCCTGCGAGACGGCCTCCACCACCGGAGCCGGTGCTTCTTCACCATCAGCAGGCGCGGAGTAGTCGAGGACCCGACCGTCATCCTCGTCGGCAAATCCATCTGCATCCCACTTGCGCATCTTCTTTGTGCTCTTGGGCGTCTTTCCTTTGCGAACGTTCTCGTCACCGGAGGACACATTGGCGCTGGCGTTGGCAGCCTTGCGTGCACGGCGTGAAACGCGGCCAGCCGGTCCTCCCTTGGCAGCTAATATATGGCCTGGAACAGGCGTCGATGACCGCGAAGTATCCGGTGTTTGTGGTGGCGTACCCTCATCAGAGGTAGCCACGCCTGGCGCAGCTGAATGCTGCGCTTTATGGTTGTCAGCGTGAGTCAGGGAGAAAACATACAGCAAGGAGCTCACCTTTGAGAAGGCCAGGCACTGGCGGTGGCGGCGGGCCCCCGTTGTCAGATGAGACAAGCGGATCTTTCTTATCAACTGCATGAGCTACGAACGCCTCCGAGGAGATGGATCCGGAATTATCCTCGAGCTCTCGAACTTGCTGGTCAAAGTATTTGTCGAAGGGGTATTGTACGATCCTTGCGCGGGTGCTCTTCAGCTGGTCCTTGTACAGGTCGATGTAAAGGGTGGAGATGTTATCCAGAAGTTTATCGATCCACCCGAGTTGTAGGAGTGACTGGTAGACGGCCTAAAGCGACTCGGGGTCAAAGTCTGGACATCGAGGGTGCGACGGAGTGCAACTCATACCACGAAGATCAAATCAAACTCCTTCACGCGCTTCCACTTCAGGGTGTATTTCTCCTTCTTGAACGTCGGGGCTGCGTTGTTGGCTGCCTGAAGCTGGACCTTTTCCTCGATAAAAACATCATTGATAAGGCTGTTGACGATATGCGCACCGACCGGAGCGTAGGATCTCGACCACAGGACGACGCCTGACGTCGTGAGGATCTCGAAGGCTTCCAACATTTCGGGGGTATTGTGGTGTTGTTGGGGGGTTGTTGGGTGATGATGGAGGTGGAGTTGGAGTACCAGGTAATATTGAGTAATAGGAATGGCAAGATCCGCGCGGTGGGGAATTTGCGGGCGGCAAGCTGATCTGTCGGTCATCGGAAGGGAAGGACTTCAGCCACGTATAAACACCCTCCTCCTCCATCATCCTTCCATACTGCGCTTCAGCTCCCCCCCGATTTGCCGTCTGGGCAGCCCTCGATTTCTTCTGTCCTTCCGTGACCCTCGATTTCTCTCCCGCCAGTTCCATCAACCCCTGAAACCATGTATCGCCAGTCCTTCGCTCCGCCCCCAGCGCAATCCCCTCCGCTTCACCATCCGGTGCCTCAGCATGTTTCGACCGTCCCTATGATGCGCTCGCCGCCCCCTCCGGCACCTCAACAGTCCCAGGCTGGCTATGGCAACCCGTACCAGCCCGCCCCGGCACAGGGTGGCAGCGGGACGTACGCTCCTGGCTTTGGTGGGTTCATCAATGATCCTACCGCGCAGATGGGATTCCAAGTCGGCAAGACCGCGATGGCGGCTGGACAGGAATACATGGAGTCGAACGTAAGCAGCAACAAGACCCGATCGATATCTATGGGAGGTGAGTATGCTAACCAATCCATATAGTTCAATCGCTATGTCTCCATCCCGGCCCTTAAGCACTACTTCAACGTCTCCAACTCCTACGTCCTGAATAAGCTGGCTCTCGTCCTGTTCCCTTGGCGACACAAGCCCTGGTCTCGTCAGCAGGCACGCCTCGCGACGGCTGCAACTGGTCCCAATGGCCAGATATCCCAGCAGCAGTACTCGTCGATGTTCCTCCCTCCGCGTGATGATCTCAACTCCCCGGACATGTACATCCCCGTCATGGCCCTGGTCACATACATCCTCTTCTCGACGATGCTCGCCGGGTTCCGTGGCAACTTCCACCCAGAGCTTCTTGGTTCGATCACGACCACGGCCATTGCCGTCATTCTCTTCGAGATCCTCTGTCTGAAGCTGGCCATGTACATCCTCAGCATCAACAACGAGTCGCAGCTGTTGGACCTGGTGGCTTATTCCGGATACAAGTTCGTCGGGATCATTGTCACCTTGCTGGCATCTGAGGTCTTGAGCCCGGGGAGAGGAACTGGCGGCTGGGTTGGATGGGTTGTGTTCATTTACACCTTCCTGGCTAATGCCTTCTTCCTGGTAAGTTTATTCTGCCTTTTTCTGCACGTCGAATACTAATCCGATCTCATAGCTCCGCTCCTTGAAATACGTGCTGCTTCCGGACTCGACCAGCGATTCGTCCATGCGCACTGGATCTATGCACACGGTGGCTCGGTCCCAGCGCAACCGTCGCACCCAGTTTCTGTTCGTTTACGCGTATGTTGTCCAGTTCGTTTTCATGTGGGTGCTAAGCCGCGAGGGCCCGACGTCGATGGTTGCCGCCGCCAAGGGCAGTGGTTCTTCATAGCGTCATAATGAGACGGGGCTGCACATAATGAAATAGAAGGTCATGAAAAGGGATATGGGAACAGGTTATAGTCTTGTACTCTGTGCAAGCTCGCAAAATTCGATCCAGATATTGTCACATTGTTTTCGAAGTAGCCGCTTTCCCTCTCATCTTGCCGATGTCTACTCCGTAGTGGCAGCCAGACCGAGAACGTGCGGGATAGGTTCGCCGGGCAGGAGTGGGGTTACTTACCCACAGCAGGCAGACGTCAAGGTACTACTCCAATAGTCTACAGTTCTCAGTAGAGAACGATTATTGATATGCAAAATTATTGGAAATTTACAGTAGGACGAGTTTATTGAGCAACATCAATGACATTGGTATTAAATCTATATAAAGGACGCCAGGGCACGCAAATTCAGATATACCTATTCATTCCACGTTAGTCACAAAATCAAACAACAGATGAGTGATAAAATTCGTAGAATAGCATGTTCCTCAGAGATCTTGGTGATGAGAGAAATTTCATTGCCAAAGGCATCAATTACTATCTAGGCGTGATACAGTTTCTTAATCACTGGAAGGGGAGTGGGTAGTGCAAGAGGGTGGAGTAGTTGACAACATACCGAAAGAGCACGATCTTGGTCGCGGGCTGGTGTTATGTTAAAAGTGTTGATAGGAGTGATATCTGCCAAGTCTTTTGAGATGTCAGCAGGAGGACTCTCAAGTCAAGTTATGCCAACAACAGGTTGAAAGAATCAAGAATATCAGAATATGTAAGAAAATGAATATCATGCTGCAGTGCTGTATTGAAGACTCCGGCGAGAGTTTCACAGACACTGGGTCAATCGCAAATTACCGCATCATGTGAGGTTGAATTGGAGAAAAAAAAAAGAAAGAAAAAAGTGAAGTCACATACCGGTTAGTATAAGCTGAAGGCTCACTGGTGGGGTTAGTGGGACAGCAAGAGAGATCAAGTCAGAACGACATTTATTCTGAAGCAGTCGAGGGAAGGGTCTGGACCACAACAACCTCGCTGTAGCGGCTGCACGCTCAAGATTATAAGCAAAGGCAAGTTCCGGCGAAAACCCGCCGCTTAAAAGGAAACGCGTCGGAGCGGAAAATAGCCGACCTCCGATGGCGCGCGCTAAGGCGGCGAGGCAGCCCTAGGCCGCACGCACACCCCGGCGGCGGGCTGCTACTGGCTGCTAAGCGAGACTCTTGTGGGCGAAGGGCCGCAACACCGAAATTCGCGATCCAGCAGCCCAGAGCGACTTGTGCAGTTTCGGACGACTTCGACAACCCCGACATTTCGACAACAAATTCCCACCCCTCGTCCTTCCGGAGTCTGTCGACCGTGAGTTACCGATCGCCCTGCACCCGACCGTTGCATTTGCACTAAGACGTTCCTTTTCGCTGTTTTTCTAGGTAGCCCTCGCCATGGCCGATATCGATGTCACGATTGCTCAGTGGAAGCTGGTTGAGGTTGGCCGCGTTGTGCTGATCCGCAGCGGTCCCTTCACCGGCAAGCTCGCTGCCATTGTTGAGATTGTCGACCACAGACGTGTACGTTGCGCCGAACACCGGGATCTTGAATTTGAAATGGGACAGGAAATGGGATTTCTAAGGAGGACGCGATATTGACAAGTGTTGCACCGAATAGGTTCTGGTTGATGGTCCCTCCACCGAGGAGAAGAAGATCGTCCCCCGCCACGTCGTTCCTCTCGCTCACGTCACCCTCACTCACTTCGTCATCCCCCAGCTGCCCCGCGCCGCCGGCACTGGCCCCGTGAGAAAGCTCTGGCAGAAGAACGAGATCGATGGCAAGTGGGCCAAGTCCAGCTTCGCCCAGAAGACTGAGCGCGTCGAGCGGAGGAAGAACCTGACCGACTTCGAGCGCTTCAAGGTCCTCAGACTCAGGAAGCAGGTACGTTTGAGATATGCGGCGAGGATGCGGATGTGGATCAGGAGGATCGGGGCACATGGTTGCGGTCTATCAGGCACATGGGGTCTGGATATTCCGCGGAAGAGTCGGGAATTTGCGAAAGCCATGCATGGGGAAAATGGATGCGAGAGGACTTGGGCTAACATTCGGAATCTATAGGCTCGCTACGAGGTCCAGAAGGCTCACGCCAAGATCAGGGCGGCTGCTCCTAAGTCATAGACGGTTTATGAGGCTCGGTGCATAGTGTGACAGGGTGCCTTGGGACGGTTTATTTGCTGAGGGTTTAATTTATTTCAGCAAAAAATTCGCTGTACGCATTATTGACAGCATAAAATGATTCAAGAACCTTTGATATCCTGACCTGGGTTATCCTCGTACGTCATGAAAGATGAAAGGCGGCTCGGAACGGCTTTCAATTTAGTATATGGCAATGGTATCTCTGGGTATTAATGCTCTTGACACGATAAAGCGGGTCAGTCAGCCTCCTAGATGAATCCAGTCAACAGACACATTTTTCCCATTGTACGCGCATCGCAACCGTAAATTTAAATGCCTGCTGGTAAATTGCTGTGAATTCCAGCATGGATGGTTTGTAGAAGTGGTGGTGGTACTGTTGTTGTACATGCGATCTGTAGATGCGTCGCTTCTGTGTGTCCGGGGTGAGGGTCCCAATAAGCTCGCTAACGATTTTCGGCGGGATGACATTCACACAGCTTTGCGACTTCCCAACTACTACAACAAGGCAAAAAAACCCCTCTCATCCACCACAGCTCTCTGTTCTACCTCCAGGTGAGTCCAGATGGAATTCCTATCCGCGAAATCGAATTCTACGCTTGATTTTGGCCTATTCCCGCGGATTTGTGGGTGTACCACGGTCTGAGGGGAATATCCTCGAGCCTCCCACTTCCCAGCCGACCCAGCCCAGTCCCGCAGAGCAAATTGCTGACCATCCCATCCCCCCCCAATCCCCTCCAGCCCTTTTAGGCTTTCTCAATATACAAAATGGCCGACCCCCGTGTTGAAGAGCTCCCCGATGAGGAGGTCCCCAAGACCCAGGTTGAGGATGCCGGCAGCTCCTCCGAGTCTGAGGCTGGCGATGAGCCCACCATCCCCGGTGGTGCCGCCGTCACCATCCACTCTCGCAACGAGAAGAAGGCTCGCAAGGCCATTGGCAAGCTCGGCCTGAAGCACGTTCCCGGCATCACCCGTGTCACTCTCCGCAGACCCAAGAACGTATGGATACGGCCCTGTCCCTCCTTCCCGTGCGACGCTCAGCAAACCCTGCATTTTACAAAAAAAAATGCCTGTGAGCGGCGAAGGCATCTGACCCCGCAGAGGGCTAATCTCTCTCTCTCTCTCTCTCTCTCTCTCTAGATCCTCTTCGTCATCAACCAGCCCGATGTCTACCGCTCCCCCACCAGCAACACCTGGATGTAGGTGTTTTCCCTTGGCCCACGACGAAGTGATGATCATATCAGGCTTACATTGTTGGAATAGCATCTTCGGTGAGGCCAAGATCGAGGATCTGAACGCCAGCGCTCAGGCTTCCGCTGCCCAGCAGCTGGCTGAGGCCGCTGCCAACGAGCACGCTGGTCACGACCACGACCACGACCACGAACATGACGACGTCCTCGGCAAGAAGGTCCCCGAGGCCGAGGCCAAGAAGGAGGAGGAGGAGGATGACGGCGAGGCGGTCGACGAGTCCGGTCTCGAGGCCAAGGACATTGAACTGGTTATGGCCCAGGCTAATGTGTCCCGCAACAAGGCCGTCAAGGCTCTGCGGGAGAACGACAACGACATCGTCAACTCCATCATGGCTCTCAGCATATAAACCTCGCCGACTTGAACGCACGACTCAGGGGCTGACGTCTCTTGGCCCTGCTGGCAGGATGGATTTTGGGTGCGAGGTCAGATTTGATATCCCCTAGGATGCATGTACTGTCAGGCCCCCTTAGTGTAAATCATTTAGCCAAAAGCAGAATTGAATGATGCAAAACACTAATTGGAGCCACTACTTGTGTTGTGCTTCACGTAGAGATGTAGACTGGTTTTTTTTAAAACCTTTAATAAACAAAAAAAAATACATAGACCATTTCAATGCGTCTGTTCTGTTAGATACCTCTGCTAGCTGGATACTCCCCCTTGGCTGTTGTGTTGGGTGGCAGTTCGGGAAACGGGAACGGGCGGTCACGTGAGCCCATCCCCATTCCAAATCTTGCCGAGTCAACCCTCGCCCTCCCGAACTCCCAGCTTTGCACGTTGAACTCCCCTCTCCCACCCCAACCTTCTCCCTCCCACACCTCACAATGGCCACTGTACGTGGGTCCTATGCCCCCCCCCCCTACACTCCCTCTATGGAATTGTCTCTGTCGCAGATGAGACAGCATCCGCTAACTGCTCGGTGTACAGCGTAGCGCCGCTCTCAAGATCGACTGGACCAAGTTGACCGGCTCGCTCGGTCTCCGCGGCCAGACCGCCGCCTCTCTCCAGGCCTTCAAGAAGCGTAACGACGATGCGCGCCGCAAGGTCCAGCTCCTGTCCGAGCAGGCTCAGACCGTCGACTTCGCCCACTACCGCGAGGTCCTGAAGAACCAGGCCATCGTCAACCAGATCGAGAACCACTTCAAGACCTTCAAGCCCGCCACCTACGATGTCAGCCGCCAGCTGAAGGCCATCGACGCTTTCGAGGCCCAGGCCATCCAGAGCGCTGAGGAGACCAAGGGCAAGGTCGAGGCCGAGCTCCGCAACCTGGAGAAGACCCTCGAGAACATCGAGACCGCCCGTCCCTTCGAGGACCTCACCGTTGTATGTTTTGGTCGTCACCGAACATTGTCTGGGCTGTGGTACAGATTGATTAACTTCACTTTTTCTCCCTGCAGGACGAGGTTGCCGCTGCTCAGCCCGAGATCGACGAGAAGACCGCCTCCCTTGTCTCCAAGGGCAGATGGATGCCGGCCGGTTACAAGGTGCGTTGTCCAATTTTGAAAACACCTGCTCTGCTCTACGTGGGTGGCTTGAAGCTAATGGTTGTTCGATCTCTAGGAGCGCTTCGGCGACATGTCCGTTGTTTAAGCGGATTGACTTTTTGTATCTCCTACCGTCTCTCTCATCCTTCGATCGGTTAATCGCACAAAGAAGTCTCCCTTTGTTGCCAAGCATGTTGGCCAGCTAGGATACCCTTGGTCACTGGCAGTGTGGTTGCGGTTGTCGGGTTATGTATAGAAACAATGTTGAATTTATCAGGTTCTCTATATTTGGCGGGCTGCTGTTGTATGCCACCACCCTCAACCTCTGCATCTCGCGTCTCACATCTCGCATATTGTTCTGCATGTGTTGAGCAGTCTGTCCCCCCATGTTATGGTTGGATTGCAGAGTATAGATATCCAGTGTGCAATATTGCAACCACGTAGTAAGCTATTGGGATCTAATGCGTAGGCGGGACCTGTTCCCGACTCAACCCCGTATCGGTGGGATTGATTTGGGTTCGAATACGGGGTAGGCTGGTTCAGATTGACCATTTTCTGCTTGGATCTCTGGATCACCCGGATTGAACCAGGTTCGGTTTCGTTCAATCCCAGGTCAAAGTTGCATGGGGTATTGTTTGTCCGTTCTTCTTGATGATTACTCCGCTCCTGCCGACCCAACCAGACTCCCTCAACAGTCAACCCACACACAACAGAGTATCCTGGGATGCGCCTGCCCCCTCCGATATCCACTGTATGGATGGTGGATCACTTGGAGCTGCAGGGTCATTGAACTGTTGTTTCTACCTACCGGAATCATCCGTCATTACAGTCCTTTAACGTCTTGTTGAACCCCCATCCCCGCATTGCATTGCTGCTCACTCTGGCTGAACCCCCGCCCCATCTTTGCTGGGCCTTGAATGACCAAGCAGACTGCAGGATCTAGGTCAGTACTAGTTACTTTTACTATCTGGGTCTTGTTGTAATCAGGTGAAGGGAGATTGGTGCATTGGCCATGGAGTGTTAAGTCCATCTAGTCACCCGCAGAAGCTCCCGTGGTACATCCAAAACTATATATCTTCCTGGCCGAAGTGAGAGACCAGACCATGTCGGAGGCACCACGTCCAGCTCTAGCAACGCTGGAGTGTTTGCCCGTGGAAATTATCCAGGAAATCTTTCTCCACGCCCTCGAGGTCAACTTTCCACGAGCCTCCATACACATTGCTCGCGCTCTCTCACATCCCCTCATGTACAGCTGGATCATCCGCGTGGCGTTTAGCAGCTTAGAGGACCCCTCGAGGAACGGTTTTTTCACACGCGACTTTCTTCCGGAGCCGCTTGACCCCTTCGCCATCTCCCCAGAGGAGCGAAGGGGCCTGCAGACCGCCGTCCTCGGTTGTCGCTGGTGCACACTACCTCTGATGCGCAGATGCCAACGGGAATATCTCGAGCATGTGGTTCGTCGTAAGTGCGGCGACCTGGTCATCTCGCCCTCCGATTATCAGAGTCTTCTTAGTATTGGCAGTCAGTTGAGCGGTCTAGATGGCCTTATACCAAATGAACCCTTTAACCCCGACTTGTGCGTCCAAGCTAAAGTCCGGGGATCCAACAGGGACAGTCCACTCATGGTGATCTTTTACTTCGGCATGTTTGTCATCCGCTACGATTTGTTTCAACTCCCATGGGGCAGGCAAGACATGCCAGCTCTTGTACCGGACAAGCTGCTTTGCCCCCCTTGGACTAAATCCAAGCTGGAATTTCTCCAAATACTCACGAGGTTTGCATGCATCGATGAGAATGCTGACGGCACTCGTTCGAGGCGGGTTCTTCGGCAGGTGATCCGGGATCGCGACTTTGCGACCTTCAAGCGATTCATGTATATGGTGGTTCGTGTACCGTGGTCCAAAGACTTGAACTTTTGGCCGGTCCATGCAAACCACTTTCATGCAGCATTGAAATATGCAGAGAAACCGGACGATCCTTTCGTGAGTATGCTGGTTAAGGAGCGATGGGACAATGTCCCAAAAGATGATCATAAACTCCAGGATGCTTTGTTGACCAATTTGTGGGCGAACGGCACCACATAAGGCTGCATACAGCTGCCATTACTACCGGGTTTACGGAAGACAGGTATTTACTGCAAAGCGAGCATGGATGGACTTCGATGAAAGAATTAATTCGTAAACCATCAGATATCAGAAACTAGAAAGACACAGGTATTGCGGACAAAACAAGAAACCCTCAGAACCATAAACTCCAAACCGATATCTGTATCTGTCGTAACTCATGGCGTTTGGATCAAGGTCGGGTCTTCCGTATATTAATTAGACTCTCGACCTCCGCGTTCTCCTCCTTCGTCCACCGCAGGATCCGCAGGTAAGGCACGAGATGATCACGTCGAAGAGGGTAACCACGCCGTCGATTATGGCCTTGCAGACAGCCCCGATTGTGTTGACGATGCCCATCAGGCACGCGCCGATGGCGTGGAAGATGCTTGCGATCTATAATAGAGTAGAGAACCCATTAGCAAGAGGTGTCTGACAGACTGGAGAGGCGTGAGGTGGCAAGAGACTAGAGACTTACACAGGAGACAACGGCACCCATTTTGTCAAAGTCTCCGACAGTAAGTAGTAGGAGGATAGGATGATATTTTATTTCGGAGTCTTGGGAGTAGAAGAGTTGTAACTTGAGGAAGCAGGAGTGTGTGTAGTCGTGTCACTGAAAGGACGCATGTTGAAAAGCCTGAAGTAGCAGGTACAAAGAGGGTATATATATATGTGTGCTGTATTCACTTCCTTGCAGCAGCAGTCGCAGAGGCAGATGGATGATGTATGTGTAGTAGTTAGTGAGGGATGATAATGATCGGCCCTACATTACATATTTGAAGTAGCCATTCAACACCGAAAATCCTTGGAACCCTGATCGACCCTGTTCCCTCTGTGCCTTGGATGCCGTCATAGCGACGACGTTCCGGTTCATGGTTCGACCCGAAAGGGTAAACCCTCGCGGATCAGCACCCCCAAGTGACGAGCGACACGGGGCTGGTGTCGCTCCCAGCTGGCACAGGGGCCCTGAGACGCAGCTTGCCACTTGATAAGGCTGAGCGCACTTGACGTGTGATGGCTTCATTTGTCGTGACTTTGTCGTTCTCGTTGCCCCTGGCCGGGCGGGAGGTTGTATCGCCGTGACGTCATGACTTCCGCGCCAATTCATCGTCCCGCTGTCCGCTTCCGGGCTAGCGGTAGGGCCTGATTCACCAACCCTAGAGCTGCCGTTCTGGGCGACGATCGGCACGGCTTTTCCCCGGGGTGTTTGCTCTGTTTGCAGGTTATTGTTTGACAGTCGCGATTCCATCCATCTTCTTCCCCTTCTTCATCTTCACTCTTGCCTACGCTCCTCAACGCAGGGTTTCAGCTGGCTCTGAAATACCCACCCGATCGCCCATGCCACGACACCGACCGGACATGGCCCCCTGAAACCACCCCCCCCCCCGCGCAAACGCATCCAATCCATCCACTAGCCGGGCATGCTCACGCCCATCTGGGTCCGCGGCCGCAGGAGAAAACGTCCTGCCGAGGAATCCTTCAACGATGAGAACCCGAGGCCGATACCGAGCGGACCCAAGGGCGGCCGACCCCTGATGTCCCGCCAGGCGAAGCTCGATTCCTCGCAAGCCAAAACCGACAAGCGAGCACGTCTGCTCGTCGCCAAACCGACCAAGCAGCGGAAGAAGCTGTCGAATCTGGAATCGCTGCCCGTCGAGCTGATCGAGAAGATCTTCCTCTACTCGCTGAACGTGAACTTCGCCCGCTGCTCATTGCCCCTCATCGCGGCGATCTCTAGCGAACGCATCTACCGGGCCTTGATCCTGCTGGCCTTCTGGGACGATACCTCGACGACAGCCGCGGGAACGCGCGCCTCCGAAACAGCCATATCCAGAATCCTGCGGCCACTGGACTACTCACCCCTCCGCGATGCAGACCGCAGACAATTGCAGGATACCATCCTGCGCTGCAAATGGTGCACCGTGCAGCGACTCCTGGCTCAGCTCCCCGACCTCATGAACCTCTGCATCCAGCGCCACTGGTTCGGCGCAGGGATCGTCATGGCCCCGGAACAAGAAGACGCATTGAACCGATTCCTCGCGCAAGAACAAGACATCCGCACCTTTGAAGGCACCGACCCTACCAGCACCACTACCACCGACGACGACGACGACGACGACGACGACGACAACCCAACCCACTACACCCTAACCATCAACCCCCTCGTCTCCATCACAATCACCCACCACGAGACCGACCAAACAACCACCCACCCCATCCTAGGCGTGCTCCTCATCCCCCCCAACCTCCTACAAGGCGGGCCCCTCGACTCGGAAGAAGAAGGCTTCACCTCCCCAGCACACACAAACTACCTTGAAACCCTCCGCATCGCCAGCGGTTTCAACCGCACCGCCCTCACCAAACCCACCGTCACGCTCTCCCGCCCCGCCCTGCAACGAGGCATCCACACCGCGCTGGTCGAAAACAACCGGAAGGCCCTCACCACCCTCCTCAAAATCGACGAATACCATTTCCGCGCCGAGAACACCGACATCGACCCTGCCTCCGCCGCCATGATACCGTATACCCTCCCCGCGGAACACTTCCGGACGGCCGTCCGCGTCGCCCGTCGCGATCCGGTCTTCTTTCAAATCCTGCTGCGCGCCAGTGCGGAGTCCGTGCCCGCTGATGACCCCGAGATCACGGAGTGGGCCATGCAGCAGCGGGATGCGTTTGGGGCCTGGCTGTTGGATCTCATGCTGCATTTGCCCGAGCAGATCGAGGCTGCGCGGACGAATCCGGCCGAGCAGGCGGTGTTTTATCTGGGACGGGCGAATGCGCAGAGGGGGCTGGCGAGACGGTACCTTAGGGAGGTGCTGGGGGTGGAGGAGTTGGGCAGTTGGTTGGAGGAGTCGACTTTTGATGTTTCCGGGTTGTGGAAGATACCGAGGATCGATTGAGTGGTTCCTACCTACCTACCTACCTACCTACCTACCTAGAGAGAGACCGAGTGAGTGATTTTAGTAGTCTATGGCTGGCTATGTCTTGGGTTTTGGGAGTGATGTGTTGGATGGGAAAGCCACTCACTGCTTGCTATAGGGGTGTTTGCATCACCACTCCGTACTTGTTCACCCGCTCGCTATCCTACCTCTTCACATCTCAAGAGAGAGAAACAAAGGAAAGAAAGAAAGAAAGAAAGAAAGCATATATGCATAATCTCATTAATATAGTACTACTAGTTACTACTACTATTTATCTTAACATATCTTACAACCCACTCCACTCAACAACTCATCCGTATCCATATCCATATCTATACATACACTCACACTCACACTCACACTCACACCCACACCTCACCACCAATCCACAGTCTCAGTTACATATTCCCCAACAACCTCACAATCCCCTTAACCCTCCCCACAAGCCCAATCTGATACCCCGTCTCGACAACCCCCTTACACATCTCCCACGCGCCGGTCCCATCCTCCTTGGCTCCCATCCCCACCCCCTTACAGATCGGATAATCCACTCTGGGCGGAATCCTCGTCCCCATCAACCTGGGGAACCGATCCACACAGACCGCCTTCGTATTACTCACGCCCCGCAGGCCCTCCTCGCCCGCGAACCGGCCATACCCGGAACCCTTCACGCCGCCAAACGGCAACTGCACGGCGTAATAGCTCCCGAAATCGTTGACGGAGACCATCCCCGCCTGGATGTTTGCGAGACACGCGGCCACGTCGGACGCGTTGTGTCCGAAGACGCTGGCGCCGAGGCCGTAGTCGGTTGAGTTGGCGATGGAGATGGCGTCTGGGACGGAGACGGCGCGCATGAGGAGGAAGACCGGGGCGAATAGTTCCGTTTGCGCGATGGCCATGGTGGGTGTTACGTCGGCGAGGAGGGTGGGGGTGAAGTAGTGGCCGAGCGGGTGGGTGGGGTGTTGGTGCCGAGTGCCGCCGTGGATGAGGCGAGCGCCGTGGGAGACGGCGTCGGCGATGAGGGACTCGAGACGGGAGAAGGAGGCCGGGGAGATCATGGCGCCGATGTCGGGCGTGGAGGGGTGATCGAGGAGGATGGAGCCGAGGGAGAGGGATTTTATGCGGGCGGAGACGAGGGCGAGGAGGGGGTCGTAGGAGCCCGGGAGGGCGATGATGCGTTCGACGCCGATGCAGTTCTGGCCGGCGGATTGGAAGACGCCGCGCATGAGGATGGAGGCGATGGCGGGGAGGTCGCGGATGGTGCGCGCGTCGTCGAGGATCACGGCGGGGTCTTTGCCGCCCAGTTCGACGGTGACGGGGGTGAGGGCCTTCGCGGCGGATTCGCACACTTTGTGCGCGACGGGCTTGGAGCCGATGAAGGTGATTTGCGAGAGCCCCGCGTGGGAGGTGAGGTGGGAGGCGACGGCGGGGAGGCAGATGATGGATTGCACGAGGTCGCGCGAGTGCCCGCAGCTGGAGAGCGCGCCGCGGATGACCTCCAGGAAGAAGGCGGACGACCAGGCGGTTTGCTCGGAGGGTTTCACCACGATGGCGTTTCCGGCAAACAGCGCGCTGATCACCGGCGAGATGAAGTTGTGGAACGGGTAGTTCCAGGAGACGCAGGCGGAGACGACGCCCAGGGGCTCGTAGGTCACCATGTTCTTCTTGTACATCATGAGGAAGTTGGTCGGACGTGATTCGGGGGATAGCGCTCTCTCGCCGTGGTCGAGCGTCCATTTCAGCTTCTCGGCTGTCACGAGGATCTCGCCGAATGCTGCGTCGACTTTGGTCTTTCCGGAGTCGAGGCAGCAGGCTGTTACGAGGTCGTCTTGGTGGTCGAGGACGTATCTGTGAGAGGAGGGGGTTGGTCAGTGTTTGTGTTTGTGGTTTGGGGTGGATTTGGACAACGGTTGGAGGGAATCACGCACTTCAGCAATGTGCGTAGGACCTTCCTCCTCTCCGCGAAACTGGTATGGGCCCATTCGGATTGCGCGTTCTTCGCGGCTTCGATGGCGCGGTCGACGTCGTCAGGAGTCGCGGGTTTGATTCCTTTGCCGAGGACTCTTCCGTCCGCGGGACAGTAGCTCATGATCAGTTCGTCGTTCCATTGCTATGTAGTCAATCAACCAGGTTAGCGGGGATGCGGCGGCATGAGATGGGTGGTAGAAGAAATCGCACTGAGTGCATTGACAGTGACAGTTGGGTATAGGCAAACTGACTCCTTGGATTTGTCCCTCGAGGACTTTCCTCCCCTCGCCTTGCAGTTCGTCCCACTTCTGGCCAGTCCAATTGGCGCGGATCTCGGGGGGGATGGGCACGTTGAATGTGACGGCGGCTTCGGTGCGACCCAGCAGGTAGAGATAGCCCAGGTATGCGGCGGCGAGCGAGAGCAAGGCGACCCCGAGCATCGGACACTGGGTGCGGAGGTGGGCCGCGAGAGGCTGCAAGGCCGGCGGGATGAAGGGGGCCAGGCAGTCCATGGTGAGGCAGAGTGCAATTGAGGGCACTCAGCTTGTCTGACCCTTTCTGGAGGGGGGGATGGAGATGGAGAGATGGAGAGATGGAGAGATGATGGAGGAGTCAATAAATATGCGCCGGAGTACTCCGTACAGTTAATAGTTGTTGGACTCCGCGGGTGGTTCGATGCCTGAGTCCGCCGCTCCGATGCGTGGGCACGTGCCGGTCACGGGGGTTCCTCCACAACAACCATACAGAAAAAGGGTGAATTTGGGGAAATAAGTAAGGTGTTTTTAGGGCTGTACTTGGGAGATTTTAGGGGCTTGTGTCTATGGGTCATGAAGCAAATTGAACCGTATTGGAAGGTAAATTGACCTAACTCATGCCGTACGGATCCACAGAGATATATATCTTTATATACTGTACAGTATCAAGTGCCGATCAATGTCACGGTTGCAAATTATTTATCCGGAAAATCAATCTATTCTGTTCTGTCGAGTAGGAGGATGCTTACTACAATAATCTACGGTAGGAAGGGAGCCTGAGCTCTTTAATAGAGAACTTAATGGACCCTCTATGGTTCTTAGACATAATCTCAACAAAGCTAAGAAACCCACAGATCTGAAAAAAAAAAAAAAATCTAGAATACCCAAGCAATAATCAACCGCAGCGCTTCTTTCCATTCTTTCCCCCACCATCCCCTCCCACTCCCACTCCCTTCCTCTTCCCCGTCCTCGTCACCAGATGATCAATGACACAGCCCTCGTCCCACCCAACAGCCGACTGCCCGGTAATCGCCCGACACCGGGGACACAATTTCCCATGACGGATGAAGAGCTGATGCAGCGAATACTTCAGATGATCCGGGATCCGGACCTCCAGATGCCGATACGCCGTGATCTCGTTCACCTTCTCGGGCAGCCAATGCAGCCACTTACAGAGGCGGAAGATATGCGTATCGACCGCGAAGCACGGGCGCTGGAGACAGAAGAGCAGCACGCACCCCGCTGTCTTGGGACCGATGCCGGGGTATTTCACCAGTTCGGCCATGGCTTTATCAGTGGGGAGGGTGTGGAGGTGGTCGAGGGAGAGGAGGTTGTTGTCCGGACATGCGAGGAGTTTGCCACCCTCCTCAGGCTTGGGGGGCGGATCCCGGCGACGTTGCTGGTTTTCCGCATACACCATGTCGAGGATGGCTTTGATCTTCTTGCTCTTGAGATCTGCTAGTCCACCGGGCTTGATGGCTTCGAAGATGTCTTTGAGTGGGGCCTGGCGGACAGCGTCCCAGTTCACGCTGCCTTTGCCGGTTCCGTCGGTTAGGATACCGAATCTCTGCACGAGGCCGTTGAAGGCCATGGCGGCGTTGGTTGTTGTCGTTGCCCCGCTGAGTAAGGTGCGTATCAGGGCGTCGAGAACCGAGGGCACTTCGCCGCAGCCTGTGACGGTGAGTGATGGCGGCGGGATAGTGGCCGGTTGGATGATGTTGATATCCCCGTGCGCGGCGGAGAGCAGACGATTGACCTCTTCGCATTCCTCCGGAGTGGGATGCACCCAGTCGGGGAACGGGGTAACGCCGGGCGTGAGGCCATATTGGTTGTTGGTCTTCTTGGGGTGTTGCAACTCGCTGGCAAGGCCGTCTATTTCTTCCTTCTTGAGGATGACGGGTCTGGGTTTGTCTGCCTTGGTTGGCGGCTTTGTGCTACTAGTCGGGGATGGATGAATGAGTGGTCCCAGGTTATGAGGGAGTTGCGGTGGCGAAGGGGGTTGTGGCCGGAGAAAAGCGCTGGAAAGGCTTGATTCCTCCGTGTGCTGTTTGACTGCGGTGGCGTTTGTCTTCAGCCTCTTGAAGCTGCTTCCTGATGAAGAGGAAGAGGGGCTCTGATCTGCAGATGCGTCGATGTCGACTCTTTTCGCCGGCTTGGGCGAGGATCCAGCCTCCGGGGACGTGCTGGGTTGCGTTTCAGCTGCCAGCAGAGCGGCCGCTCGCGCAGCAGACCGTGTTGCCCGTGTCATGGCGAATCGCTCAATAACAGGTTGTGGGGATGATGGCAGTCGCACGGAATCGTGTAGTACTGTAACAACCCCGATGTGGTACACAATCACATCAAACAGGACTACTATGAGTCCGGAATGGCTGGACGACGAGCCTGGCGGGGCAGTTGCAGAAGCGCATGGCCTGGTGACTGGTGACGATGATGTCTGATGGAATTCTTAGATCATAGCGACAGAGAGTCGTCATGTTCAAGTCAGGGCCAGGCTCTACAGTGGCCGGCGTCACATGACGGGGGGGAAGCCAAATCCGCTTCAAGTGTGAAGATACATCATCTCGTCGAGAGTACGTCCAGAGTAGGTCCAAAGATCCAAAGGCCCAGAAGGTCCAGAAAGGTAGCAAGTTTCATCCAAGGTCTATATATATTCGTGGGCACGGAGGGTGTCTCAACCCTCGTGGTTCCCAAGATGTATTCAAACGTCAAAACAGACAGCCAGCCAGCCTCCCGGTCTATTTGCATCCACCGTCTACGAACTCCGAGACTCCAGATCAGAACACGATGCCATCACATGGTATAAATTAGGCCATAAGTTCATAATCATTCGTGGTCAGCGATGTTATGGATGCTGATGTCCATGCGATCCTTGACCTTGGGGGGCTCCTCCTCAGTATGATGCTTCCGAGTGGGGCACACGCTCACTTGGGGCACTTCAGACTCGCTCGGGTCTTGCGCAGCGATGATGTTGCCCTGGGCGTCCAGCTTGACCCCGTTGGCAGCCATCCGGAAGTCCTTCTCGCTGGCGAAGCCGTGGGTGACGGCTTCCTTGGCCCGGTCCAGGGCCTTGATCTTGCGACCCTCGCCTCTCAGCTTCTCCAGGTGCTCGAAGTAGTCCTCTGCGACTGGCGTGATGTACTTGCCACAGAACACACCGACTTCGAAGTCGTGGGGCTCGGACAGCCCGTTCTCCTTGGCGATCTCCGCGCAGGCGCCCTTGAGGTCATCCAAGGTCTGGTAGATTACGCTGTCAGCGCCGATGTGCTTGGCAACCATCTCCGGGTTGCGGTTGTGCGCAACCAACTCGGTGGGCGACGCCAGGTCAATACCATAGATGTGAGCGTGCCTGTGTAAAGGATTAGCAACATGATCGCAAACAACACGTTCAGAGCAACTCACGTAATCTCCGGCGAGCAGCTGGCAAAGTAGACCTTCTTGGCACCGGCTTCCCGGGCCATGGTGACAATCTCACGACTAGTCGTTCCGCGCACGATACTATCATCGACCAAGAGGACATTTCGGTCCTTGAACTCGGCCTGCATGGCATTGAGCTTGCGGCGGACACCCTTCTGGCGGGTCTTCTGCTCGGGCATGATGAACGTGCGGAAGACGTAGCGGTTCTTGACGAAACCCTGGCAGTAGGGCTTGTCCAGATACCGGGCGACAGCCGCAGCAGATGTAGTCGACGTCTCGGGGATGGGGATCACAACATCAATATCCTTGACCACTTCCGGTCCAAGGACATCAAGGATCCTGGCAGCGAGACGGTCACCCATCCGTTGACGGCTACGGTACACACTAATACCATCGATGACGGAATCAGGGCGGGCAAAGTAGACGTATTCGAAGATGTCCGGCGCGTAGGCCTTCTTGGGAGCCACCTGGCGGAAGACAGGCTCGCAACCTTTCTCGATGATGACCGCCTCACCCGGCTGGATGTCCCGGATGTCGCCGAAGCCAAGCTGGTGCAGAGCAACCGACTCGGAGGCCATCATGTAGTCCATACCCTCACCGTCAACCGAGGGCCGGGAGCCCAGGACGAGAGGACGGATGCCGTAGGAGTCACGGAAGCCAAGCAGACCGAACCCGGCCAGCAGGGCAGCACAGGCCCAGCCACCTTCGCAACGCTCGTACATCCGACTGAGACTGGCGAAGAGGTCTTCCGTGTTGACACGGGCCTTCTTGGTCTCGCTCAGCTCGTCGGCCCAGATGTTCAACATCAGCTCACTGTCACTGTCGGTGTTGATGTGACGGTGGGCCTCGATGTCGAGATACCGCTTCAGCTCGGGAGCATTGATCAAGTTGCCGTTGTGAGCCAGGCAGATACCATATGGACTGTTCACATAGAATGGCTGAGCCTCGGCATTGGCACTGCTCCCGGCGGTGGGATATCTCAGGTGACCAATTCCCATCGACCCCGGAAGGTCTGCCACCCTGGCGCCATCGTTGAACACCTTGGCGGCCATACCGTTCGACTTCAGCTGATAGATGCGACCGCCGGTTGCACAAGTGGCGATTCCCGCTGCATCCTGACCTCTGTCTGTGCGCACGCAACTCCGACATTAGTCCGTGGTCCTCTCACGGGGGGACCAGTGCGCTCGCGCTCTCGGGGCTCAACTCACGTTGAAGCAGGTAAAGTGCCTCATGGAGATCGATGGCAGCGGACGACGACGGGTTCGCCTGGATCAGAGCAATGATACCACACATTGTGTCGGCGGGGGGATATTCTGTAGAGCCACATGAGATTAGCGTCGGTCCTTGAGAAATCAAGTCACGAGAAGGCCAGATTGCAGGATGCAGCTTGAGTCAGATCGGAAAATATCCGCAATGTTTGCTTAGGAAGTCTAACATCTATAAAAAAAACCGAAATTCATCATAGAGAGGGGCGAGAGGGTATAGTGTGAAGACACACAGGCGGGGAGGGCAGGCAGACAGAGGCCGGGCGTAGGGGACATTCACACAACTCACATTAAAAGGGGGAGAGACCGTCTTGGGCACACACACACACACAGTGTGGTGGGGGGGGGAAGGAAGAGGTAGAGGGGGGGGGGAAGAAAACGGAATTGGGCGGGTTCAAAGATGGGATAGAGCCGGAAACGTCTATGGAGACATAACCAGGGTCATATAGAGGAAAGGAGGGGTGGCTAGGTAGCGGAAAGATGGCCAATGTCACGCCCACGGAGGGATCAGTGAAGCGAATAACATGGCTAAAGAAGTTTTTCAGGAGAGGAAGAGAGGGACGAGACGGCCCTCATCTTTATTTCTCTCCACTGCCAACCGAGTTAAAAAGGAAGAAAATTTGCGGGTGCCGCTAAACCCAAGAAGATTCCTCGAACCGCCGTTTCTTCCCCCGTCCGGCTGACTCATCCGGCCCGATGCCGGCATGACTCAGCTCAGAGCAGCCTCTCATTGGTCGCAGTCTCGGCCAATGGGAGAGGCCCCAATGGAAACATTCACCTTACCTGTTTAGGGCACTGCTATACAAAGTAGACCGACAGACAGAGGGGGAAACTACTATAGCAATCCACAGGGACTATTGGTGACCTTTTGTTTGTCTCACTGTCTGGTGTTATAATGAGTGTGAGTACAAAGAGAGCAGAGCCTACTCTGAAGGCTGCAAGTTTGCATGTGCCCCCCCCGTGATGGATCACAGTGGACGGTACCTGAATCCCCCCTTCCACGGGGGGTTCTGGGGTCACTTGGAATAACCTCACTTCATTGAATTGGTGGCCTCACCTTCTCGCCATCTCTTACTCACTGCTGCCTGACCTCTGCTTTTACTCACCACCGCCTTGCTTTTGCTGTTAGTCTATCACACCTCACCCTTCCCCTGATTTACGGTCCTGGCAGCTGATAGATTCCTTGGTTGCTTGTCAGCTCACTTGGCGTTGGAACATATTTTGAGAAAGTGAATCCCTATAGTGCAGCCTCTTCTCAGATTTCTTCAGTGTTACTTCATGCCCCACTCACTCTTCTTTCGCCAATCCTCCTCTGCGCCCAACTTGCTTCCTACAAGTCTCTGCATTTACGGTGTATCATCGTAGGTCCCCTAGAGGCTCAGAATCCCCAGCGAGCAATTCCCCGGAAGATTCCCGCAGCCTTCATGGCATCTACAATGGATCCTTTTCCCACCACCTGGTCATTTCTCTTTGACAAGGACAAGGGTGAAGCCTTGAAGCCAAAGCCTATCGAGGTTGATTCAAACTGGGACTCCGACGCCTCCAGCGTCACACTCGATAATGACCCAGACAGATCTCTATACCTGGACTGTGCTCCAAGTCATCGAAAATGTGACAGCGACAGCTCGCCCCGCCAGCAGTCAGTCGATATCTGCGAAGTCATTGATCTCACCTCGGGAACGGAAGGCTTTAGCGACGGTGACTATCTCACCGACGAATGCTACCGAAGACTCCTTCTCAACTGGGAGGGAAGCAGTCCCCATAGGCCTCAAGTGATCGATGAATGGCCTACAGAGCGGTTGCTTGAGGAGGCGTGCGTGAACGGAATTGTTTACCGCCCGGGCCAGTCGCTTGAGTTGATCGATGGAACCTTCATCCGCATCGAAATAATCCTACAAACCGCTGCAGACAAAATACAATTCAACGGAAGGCACCTAATTCGAACTGCAGTCCACACGGGGACGTTCATCCCTAGCTGGGCCAACGAGCTTGTGTGGATTGCGAATGAAACAGATCTGGTCTCATTCGATTTGGTCCGGCGCTTTGTGAATATCAACTTCACAAACTACTGCCACATCGACCAAGACGGCCAGAAAAGGGATCGCCCGCAGGACCTGTTTTGCCGGCTGAAGGAACACTTTGCGTCAGGGGCAAAGGAGGCCGCATCAGTCGAGTACGTGTCGTTTAACGAAGCCGATGAAGGTTTCCAGCACGATCCCGCGAATCTACGGTGTGCCTGGAGGGGGGAGACCAGTCCGTTCGGAGAGGCTGAATGCCACCCAATCGCCTTGGAAAATTTGGTCGATCTCACTGACGAAGAGCCGGTCATCGACAAAAACCAACGACAGTATACTTTCGGCGATGGCTTTTGCGGAGCAGGCGGGGTATCCTGCGGTGCTCGCTCGGCCGGACTGCGCCCCCACTGGGCATTTGACCATTCACCGTATGCCGTTGCTACCTATAGACTGAACTATGACACCGCCGCCTGCGAAGGTTCCGACATATTCAACTTCTTGACGAATGATTACCAGTTCCTGAAGATCGATGTCAGCCACGGGTCGCCGCCATGCCAAACGTTTTCCGCTGCTCATACGATTGAGTGTGCCACCGACGATGCCAACTCGGCATGTATCTTCGCATGTTCCAACATAATCAAGAAGGCCAGACCGAGGGTACACACGATGGAAGAAACGAGTGGACTGTTCGAACGACACAAGGACACCTTCTATCGCGTTATCCAGGATTTTGTGGAGATCGGATATTCTGTTCGGTGGGCGATATTGAACTGCGTGGAATACGGGGTGCCACAGTTGCGAAAACGGTTGATCATCATCGCCTCCGGGTGCGTCCAGGCATTGGGAATTGCAAGTAACGTTCATCCATACTGACAGTGTATAGACCCGGGGAGACGCTGCCGCCCCTCCCGAAACCCACCCATGGCCTCCCGGGGTCTGGTCTGAAGCCGTACAGCACTATCAACCATGTCATCTCACGGATCCCTCGGGGAGCGCCCGATCACGATGTCGAAGGCGCCCTGGGCCGCAACCCCAACCGTGCCCCGTTCGACCCCAACCAGCAAGCTCGCACCATCACTTGCGGGGGCGGTGATAACAATTACCACCCCTCGGGTCAGCGAGGGTTTACGAACCGCGAGTTCGCCTGTCTCCAGACGTTTCCGATGAGCTACCGCTTCGGACCCCGACAGGTGCGCAAGCAGATCGGGAACGCGGTTCCTCCGCTGCTTGCCGAGGCCTGTTATCGAGCGATTAAGGACTCTCTGAATGCGACGGACGAGAGAGAGATGAGAGCACATGGCTGATACTGTCGAGATCCGTTCCTGTTTCCGCTTTGACTCTTCTTGGTGTCAACCCGGCGGGCTTTGGTGTCCTCGGCGGGTGGAGCCAGCGCCTGTCAATAGGAAGGGATGGACGGGGATGATCCGCCGCCGAGATCCACATGCCTCCTCCCATTAATTAATGGGTGATGAAAGAATGATGGCCGCGGGAACGAGGAGATGGCAGAAGAGGAAGCAGGATAACAGAAACCCCATGGGACAATTGGTGTATTAGCTCTGCCGAATGTTAAATAAAGAGAACAATAAAAAGGATGTGACATCTCCAAGAATATTGAACCGGGCGGGATGATCAGTGTGCGTCAATCTGCACGATGAGGTTACTGTGTAAGCAAGGTGGCTCTCGTGCATGGTGCTAAGTGACTAGCAGCTGCTCTCGGCCGCGCAGGAAACCAGAGTGCCTCGATGGGATTTCTCGACCTCGGGGGAAGGAAGGGAGAAAGAAGCCTGGGACGGCCACATGCAAATGAACGGATAGCCAATGGTAGAGGCAATTGAAGTTCTGAATTTTGGGACCCCTTTGGCCCGATTCTGGGGGGAGACTTACTTCCATGAGGAGGTTGTGGGAGCAAAGGAAGAGAGAGAGAGAGACTGAGAGACTGAGAGAGAGGCTTCGGCCCAGCCGGCAATAGCCGTGCGGTGGCCTCGGCTTCCAGGCTCCCCCCCGGGCGGGAGCAATAATGAGCTCAGGCGGACCAGCAATGCAACTCACCGTCTCCGTCGCTCTCCCTGTCCTGCCTGTCCTTTTATTTTCCTCCTCCCCCTCCCTTTCTCACTAGATCGCCTCGCTGCACCACTCTCCTCCCTCCATTGCATCTTGTCTCTCGGGTATTGCGCCCTCTCTCCTTCCCTTCTGTTCCTGCAGCGCCATGTCTGCCTCTTGTTCAGCGCTGAGACGGCTGACCCACAGGTCTCCCCGCACTTGGTCCTCCCGCATCGCTTCCGTCTCCAGGCCCTCCTCCTCGTCCCTCTCCTCCCTCCCCTCCGTTGCCCATCACAGCCTCAGGGCCTCTACACTCCCCCGTGTATCTCGATTCTCAACCATGGCCGCCCTTCAGCATGCCGCCCCCGTCGTGCCCGGCGACAAGGCCTACGACCCCGAGATCAAGGACATGGCCGACTACATCCACAACTACAAGGTCGACTCCGACTTGGCGGTAGGTCCCCCCATACCCGCCCGGCTCCCCATTTCCCGTTCCCCGTTCCCCGTTCGACCCGTCCGTCGAGTGAACATTGGGGCTTCTGTTTCTTCGTCTACACCTGGTATTCTGACAAAACATGTGATCTCGATTTCTAGTATGACACCGCGCGTCTGGTGTTTCTTGACACCTTGGGATGCGGGCTGGAGGCGCTGAAGTTCAAGGAATGCGCCAAGCTGCTGGGCCCGGTGGTCGATGGCACGGTGGTCCCCCACGGCACTCGTGTTCCCGGAACCCCCTACCAGCTGGACCCCGTCAACGGTGCCTTCAACATTGGTGCCATGATCCGCTGGCTCGACTACAACGACTGCTGGCTGGCCGCGGAGTGGGGTCACCCCTCCGACAACCTGGGTGGTATCCTGGCGGTCGCGGACTGGGTCTCCCGCACCAACCGGGCTGGAGGTAATATCGCCGGAGGCAAGATCTTCAAGGTCAAGGATGTGCTGGAGGCCATGATTAAGGCCCATGAGATCCAGGGTGTGTTGGCGCTCGAGAACTCCTACAACAAGGTCGGCCTGGACCACGTCGTTCTCGTCAAGGTTGCGACCACGGCTGTGGTCTCCAAGATGCTCGGTCTGAGCGAGAAGCAGACTGCGGACGCGATCACCCAGGCGTTCGTGGATGGCCAGTCCCTCCGCACCTACAGACACTCCCCCAACACCATGTCCCGGAAGTCGTGGGCGGCCGGTGACGCCTGTCAGCGGGCCGTCAACCTGGTCCTGAAGGTGCAGAAGGGAGAAGGTGGTCTGCACACCGTCCTCTCTGCCCCGGTCTGGGGCTTCTACGATGTCCTATTCAAGGGCAACAAGTTCCAGTTCCAGCGTCCGTACGGCAGCTACGTCATGGAGAACGTCCTCTTCAAGGTTTCTTACCCAGGTAAGTCTGGCAATAACCCGGCAGACGGAAGACGACTAATGTTCCATCACAGCGGAGTTCCACTCCCAGACCGCGATCGAGGCGGCTCAGATCGTGAATGCGAAGCTGAAGGCGCTGGGCAAGAGCGCTAAGGACATCAAGGAGATCAGCAACCGCACTCACGAGGCGTGCATCCGGATCATCGACAAGCAGTTCAAGGCGATGGACAACTTTGCGGACCGTGACCACTGTGTTCAGGTGAGCTTTTCGGAATAATACCATGCAACAAACATGCTAATAAAATTGTAGTACATGGTTGCGACCATGCTGGTCTTCAACCGGCTGACAGCCAGCGACTACGCCGACGGCTCGGAGGCCGCCACCTCTCCGCTCCTGGAGGACCTACGCAAGCGCATCAGCTGTGTCGAGGACCCCCAGTTCACGACGGACTACCACGACCCCAGCAAGCGCACGATCCCCAACGCGCTCACCGTCACCCTGAAGGACGGAACCGTGCTCGACGAGGTGGTCGTGGAGGCGCCTCTGGGCCACCGCCTGCGCCGCGAGGAGGCCAAGCCCGAGATCCTGGCCAAGTACAAGCGTCACCTGGAGGCGCACTTCGAGCAGAGCCGCATTGACGAGCTCATCGAGCTGGGCTGGAACCGCTCTGCTCTGGAGAGCCATGACGTGGACAGCTACGTTGATCTGTACGTGAAGGACAAGATGGTGGCCGCGCAGTAGAGATATAAATATGTGGGATAGAGCTGCCGGTTTAATTTTGGCGATTGGAAAGCAACCAGAGCGTGTTTTGAGCTAGCCAGCAGGATATGATGTATGAGACAAGCATGTTTGCAGAATAAAGACATTTTCAAATTACCGGTGACCAAGTTCCGCATGAGATGTAGTAGTTTCGACAAGACAGACTGCGCGAACCCAGCCAGATCCACAGCCAGATCCGCCCCGTCAAACGCGCTGCCAACAGCACAGCAACACCGATGCGTCTGCGTCTGCGTCTTCGTCTGCAACGAAGAGAACCGAATCTACCACATAATAGTACCTACAACCCCCCTTTTACAAAAATAATCATCTGAAACACCTCAACCCACATATATAATTAGAAAATACCCTCACCCACCGCCACTGAAAATACAATGGTTGGTTGACTATTGGTGCGCAGGGCGAAAAGCAACTTGGAATATTGTACACCCTTAAGGAACTATAATTCGGCTGTATCTTCATCAAACAAGTCTTCATGGTGTAGTTGGTTATCACGTGGGTCTCATATGAATAGTATGACTAGGAAGTAACAACTTCTTGGATATCCCAAGGCCGGGAGTTCGAACCTCCCTGAGGACAGTTCTTTTTTGGGGTTGGTTTTGATTTTTTTGGGTGGTGGAGTGGAGAGGAGTGGAGCAGATCCAGGCTGCACCGCATCGGATTGGACTGGACTGGACTGGACTGGACTGGACTCGGTTCGATGCTGTGTACAACTACTCCGTACACTACTGTAAATACTATATAGTAGATAGTAGTAGTAGTAGATAGATTGGCCACCAATTTGCTTTGCATTTTTGCATCTACCTAGTATCTACTTTCTTCTCTCATTACTCACCAAGGGAGAGACATAACCTTAGCAACACCACTCCCACATCTCATCCACCTACAAGAAGAATCCACCATACAACAAATAGTACCTCTATCTCCAAGGCAGCTAGAAGGTTTTCGAGACATCGAGACAACCTTTCAGTCTAGGGGGTATCTGTAAGTTATCTGACAAAAGCCTACCTACCTACCTACCTACTGACCCAACGACAAGACACAATACCCAGAATCCATCTACTCCCCCCCTCAAAATCCCCCCTCACCTTGCTCGCGAACTCATCATCCACGACCATCTGGCACGCTACGACAGCCATCCCCGCCGCACAAGCCAGACTGCGCTCATGCGCCTCGGAGGACCCCGCCCCCTTCGTGAACAGCGGGGTATGATTCACCCCCTCGGTGGGGATGGTGAAGAGGCCGTGGAATCCGGGGACGGCGTAGGATACATTTCCTGTGAGGGTTAGTATTTTATTACCGGGGAATAAAATGGCCACCAGTTGGATAACGTACCCATATCCGTCGATGCACCGGTCAACTCACTCGCCTGCCCGGCGTTATTCAACAGAGTGTGGTGGCCCATGGCCCGCATGACGGAGACGTAGCTCTCGCATAGCGGCGTGTTAGTTTTCAGGTCGTCGTAGGATATGCCCCTGCATTGCATAGAGATTGGCATCTTACTCTACATCCAACACAAACCAGAGCAAAGCAAAAAAAAAAAAGGGACCTACCACTGAATATCAACCCCACACCCGGTCGCATCCCCCGCGGCCTCAAAACACCTCACGACTCTCTGCGTCAACGCCCGCAACTCCGCCCTCGTCCTCGCCCGCACATAATACTCGACCGTCGCCTCCCCCGGGATAACATTCGGCCTGTCCCCCCCATTCACAATGACACCATGAATCCTCTGCTCGGGGCGAATCTGCTGCCTGAGCAAACTGATATTCACGTACGCCGCGACCACCGCATCCAGGGCATTGACGCCCTCCCACGGGGCGGCCGCCGCATGCGCCGGCTTGCCCGTGAAGGTCACCCGGAACTTATCATTCGCCAGGAAGCCGCCGGGCAGGACGGTGGCCATGCTGAGTAAATTGGGGTGGCCGGGGGCCATGGAGATCGGGTGGACCATCAGGCAGGCGGAGACGTCCTTGTAGGCGCCGTTTTGGAGGAGGTGGACCTTGCCGCCGTAGGATTCTTCGGCGGGGGTGCCGAGGAGGCGGATTGTGTAGGTTGGGGTGGTGGCATTGGCGTTCGGGAACTGGGATGTGAGGGCTTCGCAGGTGGCGAGGAATGCGGCGATCGAGCTGGTCGCGATGAGGTTGTGGCCGCAGGCGTGGCCGATGCCGGGAAGGGCGTCGTATTCGGCGTTGAAGACGATGGTGCGGTTGGATTTGTTGGGGGTGGGATCGGAGTTGTTGGTGAAGGTGATTTCGAAGGCGGTTTCGAGACCCCAGGCGGAGCGGGTCACTTTGTAGCCGTGAGGGGTGAGGGCGTCGAAGAGCGCGCAGATGTTGTCGTGGGCTTGGTGTTCGGCGTAGCCAAGTTCGGGGGTGGACCAGATCTTGGGTAGGGGGGGTTAGAGAGAAGGAGAAGAAAAGAGAGTGGTGTTCAGATAATATAAAGAACATACCTTATTGTTGATGGCTTTCAATTCGGCGTCATATTTCTGGAGAGCGGATTGTACGCTGCCGATGAAGCGTTGCTGGGTTGCGGGGAGGTACATCGTAAGGGGATGGATGTTTGTGTACTACCGGGGACTGAGTGATACATCTGCGATAATGCTGTGATGCGGTGCATCTTATAGATGGGTGATAACAAAGATAGGACAATGCGTGTCAGTGTCATCGCCGTGCGGAGGAGTAACTAACTACTCGTAAGGAATAAGGATGCACCATCGCCACTGCCGATGGTGGCCCCAGGCACAGACCTGTGATTGGACGGCTGTCGGCCAAGTCACCTGACTCTTGCCGACGCAGCCAATCACCAGCCTCGGCTCGGCAGTGCAGCGGGCCGGGGCTTTTCCGGCATCGGCAGGTGTCAGTACTTAGTCGTCGTACGTACTAGTATCTATGCTGTCAGCCTGTCACTCCAGTGCACAATCTTCCCCGCGCCTCCGCGCTTGATCTTCTTTTCAATGTCGCGCTCGCCTCTCGGCTCCCTCACGCCAATGGACCTGTCCACACCAACCCCACGATCAAGTCTCGACAGCAAATCTGTGGAGCCTAGATAGGACGATGTACACCCTCGGCAGGAAGACTCGCTCTAGGACCGGTGAGGACCCGCCTTGCTTCTGGCTATCGTCTACATAGCGCTCTCCGACGCCAACTGACAGCTCCTCCCCTTCTCCCCCCTCCAGGCTGCCGCACGTGTCGAGTCCGCAAGGTCAAATGCGACGAGGAGAAACTATCCGTCCCCGGCCAGAAGGAGCCGCAGTGCAGGCGCTGTGCCGCCGCCCAGATCCTCTGCGAGTGGAAGGGTGGCCCCATCCCACGCGGACCGGCCAAGGCCTCATTGGCGAAGACGGTGGGCGTTCTCACTAGATCCGTGAAACGCCCGGCCCATGTCCCCCCGACCCCGTCGCCCACCGTGGCCTTATCTCCGCCCGGAGGCTCAGAGACGAGAATCCAGGCTGCTAATTCCCTAGCGCTGTCGGTGTTCGACCGCTCCTGTCTAGGATATCTCCAGGATTCCGCGCTGGTCGTCATCCTGGGCAAGCATTGGCCGTGGTCCACCGTCTCATATGCGTACCACAAGATCGCCGTCAGGGAACCCATGGTCATGAGCATGATGCTGGCGACTACCTCTAGCGAGATCAATAGGTCGCGTCTCTATGCCCGGGCGGAGGAATCCTCGGTTCAGGACTTGTCCGACGTGGATAGCCGGGTGCACTACGGTCGAGCCCTGTCTGGCCTCCGGGAGGCGCTGAAACCGGACGTGAAGTCCCCGGCAGAGATCGAGGCGATCTTTATTACCTTGTGGATGATGATCGACTACGAGAACCGGTTTGGGAGCGGCACTGCGGGAATCAATATCCACATCCGTGGCATCGAAAGCCTGCTGTTCAACCATGTCGTGCCCTCGCTCAAGCAATTGGAACCTCCGCAAGCTGCCATTACAGCTGGAGATTTTAAACCGGCGGCCGGACCCAAGAACGAGATGGGGAGCAAGGGGTTGGCCCTTCCGCCTGAACGACCGGGTGGCGGGGAGATCTCAAAGAGCCGGCTTCGGAATACAGCCGTCCCGCTATTTCTGCTTTGGACGCTGTATTTCTTTACGCCTGGCGCTCTGCTCTCTGGTCCTGGGGCTGCCAGGCTGGATGCCGACCTGTTCAAGTTCTTCATCCAGGAAGAAACGGAAAACGCGGGACTGAGTCTGGCGGAACTCTACCGCATCGGCAGACAATCGCCGTCCCGGTTCTGGGGGGAGTCGTACCCGGCGACTGCCCAGCTGGATGATCTGGAGAACCTGTCGGGGCTGACACTGTACCATAGAAGCCATGTGACACAGTTCAAGATCACGGAGCTGTTTCGTCAGGGCTGTCCCTCGTGTCAGGGGATCATTGATGAGCTCCTCATGCTGTCTGATGTAAGAATTAGCGGGGATGTCAACTCGTCAAAGGCTAACAGCGCCAGGAATACGATACTCTACTGTCGTCAGCGAAATCCGCACCGTCCTGCGACATCGTCGGAGGCGGGCGTCGCGTGATTGAAACCATCTTTTGGGCAGCAATCACCTACTACGGCACGATAGTTTACTTCCACCTGTGCTTCAAGGATCTTGCCAAGCAAAACCACCGGCCAGGACTGATGTCTCTGGACGAAGCGGTGTCTCGCGTTCTGGAGCTGTCCTTGAAGCTCCATCGCAGCCGTCCACACCTGATGCTGCGGATCACCTGGCCCCTGTTCATCGCAGGCATTGCCACACCCGACAGGATCTACCAGGATTGGGTATCAATCCGGCTGCATGAGCTGGGTCGCTACGGGCTGAACTACGCCCGTGCCAGTACGCGCTTCGACGAGATCATCCAGGGAAGCGATCCGTTTGCACAAGGCCAGAGGCCTTTATGCACTTAAGAGTTGACGGGCTTGTGTGGTCAACGAGGAGATCTGCGCCTGGTGTCACATCTGGACACGATACGAAGACATCTGCACGACTTGTCAACCTCTTCTGGATACGCAGGATGGCCGATTCCGCCTCAAAACGCATGTCGGTAATAACTAGCCTTGTGAATGGCTCTAGCTGCTCTTTGCCGGCATTAGCCAGACAACCTGCAAGAGATTAAGGCGTACATTGCGAAGTTTTTTCCGGTTAAAATTACATGCCTCGACATTCACTTATCTGACGCCCTGATTTGAGCAGTCGCCCAGAAGGTTCCTCACAAAGTGTCTGTTCAAGTGTTGCATGACAGGCAGTGATAACTCGTGGGTCGTTCAGAACGCTCCCCGAGTGTCTGTCTAAAATCACATGTTTCGTGTACATGACTTCATTGAGACCGGTGGCTGTGGACCTAACAAACTTAGAGTTTCCCGACCAGAATACCATTGTCTTGGCGCGATGCACTGTCGAGGACATAGAAGGAGCCCCATTACAACTGCAGACCCGTCCTACCTGCGAGGAGAATAGGATGTCTGACACGTTGGGCACCTGTACTGGTGATACTCGAACCAGGAGGCCAGACAGGAAGCATGGAATGCGTGGTGACATCGATTCAGGACCAGGATATTCCTCCCCCCTCCGGCCCGACCTCTCTCCATGGACTCTGGGGTCGCTTCATCCGGGGGCGAAGGTGCGATGCAGGCGGGCTCCGGATACGGGAGGGTGTCTTGAGAGGGGGCCAATAGACCCGATAAACAGATAGGACTACCCCACGCATCAGTTTCTGGGTCCGAAGGCCAAGACCACTAACAGCCCGCGTATCACGGGCCAAGCGTTGGCGCGACCAAGGATGGGACAGCCTTACCAGGATTCCTGCGCGTACTCCCAGTGCTCGTTATCCGCCCGGGTCTGCTCTTCCAGCCATCTCTCGACGGAGACTTGGCGCATGGTGCCGTCTGTGGTGAGGTCGCGGAGCTCACTGTCGCGTCTCAGGGGGTGTGTTCGACGATGGTACATGAGGATCGCACTAGTCGGGTCAGAGAAGAACGCTCACATTCTACTGCTTCCAGAATCGAATGTGCGATCACACCGAAGGGGAGCACTTACAGCGGGACGAAACTCATGGCCGCAAACAACAGCACTGCGCCCACCACCACCCCGACAATGCTGGAGCTAGACTGCTCAGGAGTCATGGCAGCGGGCACGCGAGGACAAGGAGGGATGATAGATCGAATGAGACACAGCAGCTGCGTCGGATAGATCGGCCAACACGCAGCAGTCCACTTGCCCCTCCCCAGGGCCCAGAAGAAGGAGGTGGGGTGCAGTGAATGCCGGGGTAGACCCAGGAGGTCGGAGGCCTGGTTTTAAGGTTGGCCAGCGACTGGCTCTCAGACCCTCCCCGCAGCAGCACGCCAAGCGCGTCTGAACCATCGGAGGGCCGTCCATCCCAGGCGGAGATGCCTTCCAGAGGCGCCAAGCCTCCCGCGCTCCGGAACCACCTTGGCGTTCCGCTGGGGCAGGCAGCGCCGCAGCACCAATCGCGCGCTGGCCTGCCGCAGTCGCCGCGCGGCCGAACATCGACCGACCCCCCGTGTGGACATCCGCGGTCGTTTGCGTCATATGCGGCGAGGCGAGAGCCAGAACCCATCCAAGGTTCGCGCCAAGATGTCCGACCCGACGACGCGTGATTGGTGCTTGGCCGGTCTGGGCATCGGTCTATACACTCGCCAAGAGGATTCGCCCAGCAGAGGAAGACGGATATCGCCCCTGAGAAGAAGAAGAGGACGCTTAAATAGGACGAGACATCACCCGTCGGAGTTTCACAAAAGACCAGATCTAGATCATTCCAGTGACCCCTTTGGCTCATACTCTGGAAAATACAATAAATCTATGGCATACCCGTGAGATTTACCTACTTAGGTAGATTAGACAACAAACAAAGAACAGGACTGACTCACCATGGGTCCTGAGAAACAACCTCAGTCCCAAAACATCTCCCTCTCCCAACCCGCTCATACCCTCCCCTGCTCTACCATCCTGCGCGAGCTATCCGTCAACCCGGAAGATGGCCTCAGCAGTCACGAGGCCCAGACCCGGTTACAGACCTGCGGGCCGAATGACCTGGAAGGCGACGAGGGCATCTCTCTGGTGAAGATTGTTATCCGCCAAATTGCTAACGCGATGATGCTGGTTAGTTGAACCCCAACATCAAGCTCAAGCTTACTCCACCCTCACTCTCACATCTACCCACTGTCGTACCCCCTCCCCATTTCCTGACAGCCTTGCTACCACTCCCTGTAAGCTATGGCACGCACTAAAACCCCACAGGTCCTCATCATCGCCATGGCAGTCAGCTTCGGCATCCAATCGTGGATCGAAGGCGGGGTAATCGGCGCCGTAATCGGACTGAACCTCATTGTGGGAGTGTATCAAGACTACGCAGCAGAGAAGACGATGGACTCACTGCGGGGACTTAGCTCGCCCACGGGGGTGGTCACCCGCGACGGAAGGACGGGGACGATCCCGGCCGTGGAGATCGTAGTGGGCGATATGGTCGAGTTGAAAGTGGGAGATACGGTCCCTGCCGATTTACGGTATGTCACTCACTCCCTCAATTTCTCTCTGTAGAATACTCTCTTTCCCTATTGCTTTCCTTCCAGAGGGCATAAAACCCGGCTAATCCCCCCAGACTCGTCGACGCCATGAACTTCGAAACGGACGAAGCCCTCCTGACCGGCGAATCCCTCCCGGTACAAAAAGAAGCCGAACCCACGTACCCCAGCGACACCGGGCCAGGCGACCGCCTCAACATCGCCTACAGCTCCTCAACCGTAACCCGCGGACGAGCGCGAGGAGTCGTCATCGGAACAGGCATGAAGACCGAAATCGGGGCGATCGCCGCAGCCCTCCGCGCCAAAGACTCGAAACGGCGGCCCGTCCGCCGCGGGCCCAGCGGCGAGACCAAGAAGCGGTGGTACGTGCAAGCATGGACACTGACCTGCACGGACGCGGTCGGCCGGTTCCTGGGCATCAACGTGGGGACGCCACTGCAGCGCAAACTCTCAAAACTGGCGCTGTTGCTGTTTGGGATTGCGGTGGTGTTTGCGATCATCGTGATGGGGGCGAACGGGATGCGGAATGATAACGAAGTGATCATCTATGCGGTGGCGACGGGGCTGGCCATGATCCCGGCGTGTTTGGTGGTCGTGTTGACGATCACGATGGCTGTTGGCACGAAGCAGATGGTACAGAGACATGTTATTGTGAGGAAGCTGGACTCGCTTGAGGCGTTGGGGGCCGTTACGAATATCTGCTCGGATAAGACGGGGACGTTGACGCAGGGGCGTATGGTCACGAAGAGGGCATGGGTGCCTGCTCTTGGGACTGTGTCGGTGGGGATGGCGAAGGATCCGTTGGATCCGATGGAGGGGGAGATGAGGGTGCAGAGTGCTGTGGAGGAGGGAGATGGGGAGGTGGTTAGACCGGGGGAGTTGGTTCAGGGGAATGCAGAGCTGGAGACGTATCTCAATGTGGCAGCGATGGCCAATCTGGCGCATGTGCATCGGTCCGAAGAGAACGGACAGTGGCAGGCACGCGGCGAGCCCACGGATATCGCCATCCAGGTGTTTGCGACGCGGTTCGACTGGGGCCGCGACCGATGGACCAAGGGCGACAAGCCTGTCTGGACGCAGCGCGCGGAGTATCCGTTCGACTCGACGGTGAAGAAGATGTCTGTCATATTCCGCCGTGACGACGCGACGGAGATGATCTTCACGAAGGGAGCCGTGGAGCGGGTGCTGGAGGCATGCTCCTCCGTCACCAGGACTGCCGGCTCCCCCCCCGTTCTCCTGGACGAGCCGATGCGCGAGACCATCCTGCAGACGATGGAGAGTCTCGCGCAGGAAGGACTGCGAGTGCTGGCCCTGGCCAGCCGCAAGAGCCCTGGCTTCGGCCCCGAGGGCCCCCCTCCGCGCGACGCCGTCGAGAAAGACCTCGTCTTCAGCGGACTCATCGGGCTCTACGATCCCCCTCGCCCCGAGACGGCCGGAGCCATCGAAGAGTGCTACCGTGCTGGCATTGCCGTGCATATGGTGACAGGCGATCACCCGGGGACGGCGCGGGCCATCGCAGCCCAAGTGGGCATCATCCCCCAGGACACGAAGCACCTAGCCAAAGACATCTCCGACACCCTAGTAATGACAGCCAGCCAATTCGACAAACTGACCGACTCGGAAATCGACGCCCTGCCCACCCTGCCCGCCGTGATCGCGCGCTGCGCCCCACACACCAAAGTGCGGATGATCGACGCCCTGCACCGACGCGGACGCTACGCCGCGATGACAGGCGACGGGGTGAACGACTCGCCGTCGCTCAAGCGGGCCGACGTCGGCATCGCCATGGGGCAGTCCGGCAGCGACGTGGCCAAAGATGCGTCCGAACTGGTGCTGACAGACGATAACTTCGCCAGCATCATCAATGGCATCGAAGAGGGACGGCGCATCTTCGACAATATCCAGAAGTTCGTCCTGCATCTACTGGCGGAGAATGTCGGGTTGGCGTTGACGCTGTTGATCGGGTTGGTGTTTAAGGATGAGAATGGCCAGTCGGTGTTTCCGATTGCTCCGGTGGAGATCCTCTGGATTATTATGGTCACGTCCGGGTTGCCGGATATGGGGCTGGGGATGGAGATGGCCGCCGAGGATGTTATGGAGAGGCCGCCTCAGTCGGTATGCTTCTTTTTCTTTCTTACTTTCCTTGCCCTATTCAACTTTGACAAATATCTTACATCCCCTTCCCCATCCCCCCAACTCCAGCATACACCCAAACTAACAAATCATAGAAACAAGGCATCTTCACCCCCGAAATCATCATTGACACCCTCGTGTACGGCATTTGGATGGCCACTCTATGCCTCACCTCCTTCTCCCTCGTCCTCTTCGCCTGGGGCGACGGCAACCTCGCCACAAACTGCAACAGCCGGTACTCGCCCGCCTGCGACACCGTCTACCGCGCCCGCGCCACCACCTTCGTCTGCATGACCTGGTTTGCCCTGTTCCTGGCATGGGAGATGATGCATCTGCGACGGAGCTTTTTCGATATGCACCCAGGCCCGAACCCATCAAGCTCACAAACCCCCACCCCCACCCCTCATCCTCATCCCCCCCAAAGGTCCGGACCCCCCCAGGCTGGATAAGCGACATCTGGCGCAACCAGTTCCTCTTCTGGGGCATCATGGTCGGCTTCCTCCTCACCTTCCCGGTGCTGTACATTCCCGTGATCAACGACGTGGTGTTCAAGCACACGGGGATCGGGTGGGAGTGGGGGTTGTGTTTGTGGAGGCGGGGCTGTTTTTCGGGGGCGTCGAGGGGTGGAAGTTTCTTAAACGGGCTTATTTTAGGAGGAAGGAAGGGAAGGGGTATGAGTATGGGAGGGAGAGGGAGAAGAGGGATGGTGGGAATAGAGGTGGGGAGATGGAGAAGGGTTGGGGGCGAGTGCGAGTGCGAGTGGGGGGTTTAGTCGGTATACGACCATGTCGAGGGATGAGGGGGAGGGGGTGGGGTATGGGTTGGGGAGAAGAAAGGGGGGAGGGAGGTGGAGGTTGTTTAGATTTAGATTTCTGTTTTCTCTTTCTCTTTCTCTCTCTCTCTCTCATTCTCATTCGATCTCTCATTCTCTCTACTTGCCTTTCTCTGCCTCTCTCACACTTTCTCATCCTGTCGCTGTGTGCAAGTCTCTTCAGGACAGCAAAGGACACACAAGAAAAAAAAAAAGAAACACAAAAACAAAAACAAAAACAAAAAGAAAAAGAACAGGGGTAGGTCGGTTGTATCAAGTACAAGTACATTCATATTCACACTTACCCTTTACATCATACAGCTAAATTGATAGAGCCGCTTTGAACAGCACTAGTATTCCATTCTCTATTCCATAAACTAAACCGGCATATATATAGTACTACTATACGAGCCCTCACGTACATAATCCAGGTAAGGTACAGACAGATATAATGTTCGTTTCCCTTGCCTGTTTGACAGTATAACATGACAAGGTTGTCACCATCACCATCACTATCACTATCACTATCAGACTGGGATGAGGGGAATAAAGCATATTCATTCACTCGAGGATGACGATATACCATATCATATACCGTAGGTGGAAAGGGAGGGTACATGCAGTACAGCAAGTCGAGGTATCTATACCGTCACTTGGACGGATGGGACTTGGCTAAGGTCGGAAGAGAAAGAGGAAGAAGAAGAAGAAGAAGAAGAAGAAGAAGAAGAAGAAGAAGAAGAAGAAGAAGAAGAAGAAGAAGAAGAAGAAGAAGAAGAAGAAGAAGAAGAAGAAGAAGAAGAAGAAGAAGAAGAAGAAGAAGAAGAAAAGGACGGTACTGAAGCGATGAACACCGACCAGCTGACTACTCAAGTCAAAGAATTGAAATCAAATATAGCAAATCTACATCTATATACTCGTAAAGCAAGTTTAGCCAAAGCCAACCGTCTATCAAATCAGAACGTGTCTAACTAAATCACCGCGCTGCCGATGCAAACAAACCAAGCAAAATAGAGAACAGAACCAGATACAGTCAATCAATCGATCCATTACTCAGCCTCGTCGTCGGTGTCGACGGGCTTGGGAGTGCCCTTGGGAGATTGGAGCCTGGGATAGGTTAGACATGGGTGAGGCTAAAAAGAGGAAGATGAACAGGGGGGGCATACCATTCAAGGTGACGCAGACGGCGACGGGCCTCGCGCTCCTTCTGCTGAGCACGGGTCATCTTCTTCTTCTTCTTGGCCTTGAACTTGAGGTCACCCTCCTCGGCGCCGGAGTTGACGGCGGAGGCGGCGGCGCTGGTGGTGGTGGAGTTGACGGCGGTGCTGCCGGGCTGGGGGAGCTGGCGGCGCTGTCCTCGAAGCGGTCGAGGGAGACAGCGGTGTTGGTGCGCGAGACGATGCGGCCGTCGGCGACGTGCAGCTGCTCCGGGCAGAGGGCGCCCACGAACTCCTCGTTGTGAGAGATCATGACCACACCACCCTTGAAGTCGCGGATGGCCACGGCCAGACCACCCAGGGAGTCACGATCCAAGAAGTTAGTCGGCTCGTCCAGGACCAGCAAATGGGGGTTGTTCCACATGGCTCCGGCCAACACGACCTTGACCTTCTGGCCACCGGACAGACCGGAGATCTCGTTGTGGGTGGCGATCTCGGGGTCCAGACCAACGTCCTCGAAGTGCTTGGCGATGATCTTGGGGTCGAGCACACGGAAGCCGAGACCCTCGCGGGACGCCTCGTGGTCGTCGAACTCCTGGATCAGCTTGAAGAAGCCCAGCTTGAGCAGGGTCTCGCGGGAGATCATGGTGTTGTGCTTCGGCAGGAGACCGATCCATTTGCTGGAGAGTGTTAGAAAAAGGTCGGAGAAAAAAAAACCGGGAAGAGGGATGCTTACATTTCGTATTGGAACGACTTCTTCCACTTCTGACGACCCATGATGGCCTCAATGCGGCGGGGGCCGCGGCCGTCGCCCAGGTCGACCGGCTTCTCCAGCTGGGCCTTGTCCTCCTCGGTGAGGATACGGGTCTGCTTGAGGTGCACCTCACGGTCGTCACCGTTGGCGTAACGCCACTGCAGGTACTGACTGGGGGTCTTCTCCAGGTGCATCTCGACGTGCTCCAGGGCGTGCTGCTTGATGTAGCCGATACGCATGTTGGGGTGCTTCTCGACCTTGCCACTCTGGGGGATGGTCTCGCCCGTGAGCATCTTGATGAAGGTCGACTTACCCGCACCGTTGCCACCGATGATGGCCACACGGGACGACAGCGTCAGCGACAGGGAGGCGTCCGTCAGGGACGGCTTGCTGGCGCCGGGGTAGGTGTAGGAGCAGTTGGTCATGCGGAGGATGGAGCGGGTGTTGGACTTGATACCAGCCAGGATACCGGGGGGAGGGAACTTGAACTGGACGATACTGGCGGACAGAGTGTAGTAACTCTTGGCCTCGGGCTTGACCTTGACGAAGCTGTGGACGTTAGTGCGGCTCGGGAGCGAACGAGTGGGACACTTACTCGGCCAGGTTACCCTTGTAGCAGACCAGCTTCTTCTGCTCGTAGTGGTAGATGTCCGTGCAGACCTCGTCCAGGAAACCGGAGTCGTGACTGACGATCAAACTGGTGATCTCGGTGTGCTTCTTCAGGTACTCCTGGAGCCACTTGACGTTGGCCACATCCAAGTGGTTAGTCGGTTCGTCCAGCAGGAGGACATCGGCCTTGCGGAGCATGGCACGCGCCAGGGCCAGCTTCATCTTCCATCCACCGGACAGGGAGCCGACGCCCTGCGACTGGCGGCCCTCGGGACCGTCGGTGAAGCCGAACTCGAGCAGGACGCTGCGGATGTGCTCTTCACCTTCAGCGGCGATCGTGGGGTCCTTGCAGACGTACTCGAAGATGCTCAGGTCGGCGTCCTCGCCCTGGTTGTGCTCGACGAAGCAGGTGCGGACCTGGTCCTGGGTGGGGAAGCCCTCGAGCTTCTCGTTGGCGATACTGCGCATGAGCGTCGACTTACCGGCACCGTTGCGACCACAGAGACCGTAGCGGTGACCCTTCAGCAGGCGCAGGTTGGTGTGCGACAGCAGCAGCATACCACCGTAGGCGAGGGAGAAGTTGGCGTTGACGATCTCGACCTCGTTGGGGTCATCCGGGATGGGCTTGCCGAACTTGCGGTGGTCCTCCTCGACGAAGTGCGCCTGGACGGCGGCAGCGACGGCGTCCTCCTTGTCCTCCGGGAGGTATCCGCGCAGGTAGGGGGCAACACAGCCGGGGATGCGGTCGTGCATGCGGCAGTTGACATCCTCGCGCACCATCTCGGCGATGTAGTTCTTGCCGAGGGTGAACAGGGTGACATCGTCGGGACGTGTTAGGCCGCCGTTCGCCTGGATCTGGGCCTCGAGGACCAGCAGGACCTCCTCGGGGGTGACCTTGACGACGACGCCGGCGGCGACGTCCTTGTCGGCCATGGCCTTCTCGATGACGTCCAGGGCGCGGGTGGCGAGCTCACGGACTTCGGGCAGCGAGGCGCGGTCCTTGACGCGCTGGACACCGGGCTTGAGCTTAGGCAGGAAGGTACGGGCCTCGGCGGGGTCGTGGACCAGCTTGGTCAGGTTCTCGACGACGACGACGGTCTGACGGAGGGTCTCCTGGGGGGTGGTGGGGGTGTTCAGGGAGCGCTCCAGCAGGGGAGTCAGCAGGGCGAGGACGGGGGACGTGACAATGGCGACGAAGGTGGTCTGGGACAGGGCGTGGATGGCCTTCTGCAGGGTCTGCTCGGAGGGCTGCTCGATGGTCTTGATGAGGAGGGGCACGCGGGGGGCGACGTCGTCGTTGGACAGGAGGGTGGTGACGGCGTTCATGGCCTTGACGGCCTGCTTGGCGACCTCGCTCTTGAGGTCGTGCATGCCGGACTCGACGAGGGGGATGAGGTCCTTCAGGGTCTTGCCCATGGCCTCGCGCAGAACGTCCTTCTCGCTCTCCTCCTCGTGGGAGCCGGTGCCCATCTGGGCCTTGACGGCCATCTTCTCGATGAGCTTGTAGGCGCCGACGAAGCCCTGCCACTTGCCGGAGGTCTGGTGGAGGTAGGCGGAGAGGGCGGGGAGGAGGGCGTTGACGAGGGACTCGGCCTTGAGGCCGGCGAAGAGGGCGTCAATGGCGTACTGGGCGGCATCGCGCACGACGGCACCCTTGTCAGCCAGCAGGTCGAGGGCGAGGTTGAGAAGGCCCCCGTCCTGCAGGAGAAAGACGACCTCGCTCAGGGGGTGCTCGCGGGGGAAGCGCTCGAATAGGGCGCCCAGGATGAGCATGGAGCTCTCGCGACGGGCGCCATTCTTCTTGTCGGTGGCGGCCTTCTTGACCTCGGGGAGGAAGTTGTAGCGGTGGAAGCCGGAGGGGCCGACGCTCTGGATCAGCAGGTTGGTGAGGGCGTAGGCGGCATCGAGCGACTGCTGGGAGGAATCGGCGCCGAAGACGGTGGCGAGGAGGGAGGCGATCTCTTCTTGGGTGGGGGGGATCCCGGAGGGAGTCTTGGAGACGATGGTGGTCATAGCTGGTGTGGGGGATTCAGGATGAGGCATGATATCGTATGAGGGGTATGAGGGAGAGGGAGAGGCTGACACCGAGGAAGTGTTGGCGTCGCAGAAGAAAGGAAACGAGAAAAAAGACGGAAAAAAGACAAGGGGAGGGGAGAGGGTCAACAAGGAAACAGAAGCAGAACTTTTAAAGGGCAATCCTCAAGAGGATGCGTATGCACACAACAGGGGGGGGTATACGGGGGAAGAAAGAAAAGGAAAGGGAAGAGGAGGAGGAGAGGACCAGAGAATAAAAAACACGATGGAGGGGCGATAAGCTGCCCGCCCGGGTTTTTACACGGCGGCCCATTGGCTGCGTCTTTGGGCGGCGAGAAATCTCTGCCTGGCGGCCTGAGGCGCCAGGCCTATCAGAGGCCGGAGCTCAGCCACGGGGGGGGGGCGTGGTGTGGCTGGTACGGGTGCCATATCATGCAGGTGTCGAGGCACGCAAAGCAAGGCAGAAAGGCAGCAAGGCAGAAAGGCAACAAGGAGATAAGGCAACAAGGCACCCACCACTCGGGCATCCGATTGGGGGTACCCCGCACGGGCGGCCCACTGTTACCGGCCCCAAATGGAGACGGTTTAATCTCTTAACCCTCATTGTCGACAGCCTAACGCCCGCCGTCGCTCTACTAAATCTCCCCGTGCAGATGATGACAGCATAATTAGACGGCCATCTGTCTTCTCACTGCATCCTGACGATGCATGCATCACAACTCAGAACCCGGGCCAGCAGAGGCAGAAGAGATTTCATCCCTCGGTCAGACCCCTCAAAAATGGGTGAACCATCCCAATGCCAGCATCTCGTCACCTCTGGGTCATGCAGATCCGCTCCGCTTCGCCGACCCCTCGCGATGCCCCCCAGATCGATCCCCGAGACTCAAAGAACAGACCATGACACCACCCACGCTGATCCCTGCTAGCCGGACTCGGGCTGGCCATCAGCGGTGAGGACGCCTCCGCATGCAGCCGTGCCTTGCCTCGGCTGGGCCATCACCGCGGCCAACCGGCCACCCTCTCTTTCTTTCTTTCTTTCTTTCACCTTTCATTCGGTCCTCGCACTTGGTCTCATTCCTAGACCACCATCCTATTCTTATCCTTCTTACCCCCCTCAATCTCTCTCTGTCATCCATCTACTTCTCTACACCCACCTACACCCCATCCCTTCCCGCATACCACACATACCAACCATCATGTCGATACGCCCGACCACCCGCCATGCCACCAAGCTGGCCCAGGTACCTCCTCTCCCCCCCTCCCCCTCTCCTGTCCCAAACCACACTAACCCAGTAGCCCCTCTTCCGTTCCACCCGCCGCTACACCACCGAACCCGACCTGAAAACCGCCCTGAAGGCCACCATCCCCGCCAAACGGGCGCTCCTCCAAGAAGTCAAAGCCCGGGGCGACACCGTCATCGGCGACATCAAGATCAGCAATGTGATCGGCGGCATGCGCGGGCTAAAGTCCATGCTGTGGGAGGGCTCCGTGCTGGACGCCGACGAGGGCATCCGCTTCCACGGCAAAACCATCAAGGACTGCCAGCGCGAGCTGCCCAAGGGCCCCACGGGCACCGAGATGCTTCCCGAGGCCATGTTCTGGCTGCTGCTGACGGGCCAGGTGCCCTCCACCGCACAGGTCCGCGCCTTCAGCCGCGAACTAGCCGAGAAGTCGCACCTCCCGGACCACATCCTGGGCCTGATCAAGTCGTTCCCCAAGAACATGCACCCCATGACGCAGCTGTCCGTGGCGGTGGCGGCGCTGAACACCGAGTCGGCGTTCGCCAAGGCGTACGAGCAGGGGCTGAACAAGAGCGAGTACTGGGAGCCGACGTTCGACGACGCCATCTCGCTGCTGGCGAAGATTCCCCGTGTCGCGGCGCTGGTGTTCCGCTCCGACGAGATCGATCAGGTCGGCACCCAGGTGCTGGACGCCACGCAGGACTGGTCGCATAACTTCGCGGAGCTGCTGGGCAAGGGCGGCCGGGAGCACGCCGACTTCCACGATCTGCTGCGGCTGTACCTGGCGCTGCACGGGGACCACGAGGGCGGCAATGTGTCGGCGCACGCGACGCATCTGGTGGGTAGCGCGCTGAGCGACCCCTACCTCAGCTACAGCGCGGGGCTGCTGGGGCTGGCGGGCCCGCTGCACGGGCTGGCGGCGCAGGAGGTGCTGCGGTGGATCCTGGCGATGCAGGAGCAGATCGGGACGAAGTTTGGAGACGAGGAGGTGCGCACGTACCTGTGGGAGACACTGAAGTCTGGACGGGTGGTGCCGGGGTACGGGCATGGGGTGCTGCGCAAGCCCGACCCCCGGTTCCAGGCCCTGATGGACTTCGCCGCCACCCGGCCGGACGTGCTGGCCAACCCGGTGTTCCAGCTGGTGAAGAAGAACTCGGAGATTGCCCCTGGCGTGCTGACGGAGCATGGCAAGGTAGGCGCGCTCCCTCTGTCGTCGTGGGAGATGACGGTCGAGCTAACAAGGTGCAATAGACGAAAAACCCCCACCCCAACGTCGACGCCGCGTCGGGCGTGCTCTTCTACCACTACGGCTTCCAGCAGCCGCTGTACTACACCGTGACCTTCGGGGTGAGTCGCGCGCTGGGGCCGCTGGTGCAGCTGATCTGGGATCGGGCGCTGGGGCTGCCGATCGAGCGGCCCAAGAGCATCAACCTGCTGGGGCTGCGGGCGTGAACCCGATCTCATGGGAGCTGGACTAGCTAGCATTGGACTAGCATTGGAAGCACGATCTAGCAGTTGAAGCATGATTGGATCTAGCGGGCATTAGAGCTCATTGCTCATTAGTAAGACAATATATGGTAGTTAGTTATACTATACTCATTCTATACCCCGCCAAATGCGCAAGAGTAAGAAACGGAAGGGTATATATCAAGATTCCAGATTCAAGACCTCTCCACGGTCAGCTCGGTCACCGTCTGGATCTGAAACGCGCTGGTCGTGCCATCCCTGCGCACCAACGGCGGCCTCTGCAGTGCCCCAGACGCAGAGGGAGAGGCAAACGCAGAAGCCGTTGTCCCCAGCCCTGTCCCTGGGTCCATGCCCATGCCCATGCCGCCAACTCCAACACCCAGCCCAGCCAGGCCCGCAAGCCCCGGGTCCAGCGTACTCTCACTCCCCGTGCCCGTGCCCGGCGTCCCCGTCGTCCCACTAGGACTAACACTCAGACTGACACTTTCCCCCGGACTCTTCCCCTTATGCCCCCCTTCCCCCTCCCCACACGGATTCACCCCAACCTCATCCCCATCCTCCGGACTCGGCCCGGGCTCGCAAACACGACCTCCTCCTCATCCCCACTCTTCAGACTCAACCCCGTCAAACTCCACCCGCGACTCAACACCGGCACCACGCCCCCGCCCCTGGACCTCGTCCTGGCGGGCTGCAGCGCCGTAATAGCCGTGGTATTCGTGCCTCCTCCCGTTCCCAACCCAGCCGCATTCTGATTCTGATTCCGATTCCGATTCAGACCCCGAGTAAACGGTACCTTGGCATGTTCGATCTCAGCGGCAGAGGGCTTGCGGGAGGATGAAGCTTTGCGGTGCCGGTAGGCGCGGACAGAGGATTTGGATTTTGTGCTTTGGGGGGAGTAGGAGTTGGAGTGCGTGTGGGAGGGGAGGAGGTGTTGGTTGTGGTGGTGGTGGTGGTGGTGGTGTTGGCTGGAGACGAGAGGGTGGTGGCCATGGCGTGGATGAGGGGGCCGTAGGTGGGGATGCAGGTTATCATTACCTTTATATCCATATGATTATTATTATTATTATCTGTATATTTTATGGAGATCGAGAGAGAGAGAGAGAGAGGAGGGGGGGGAATACATACCCCTAAACTAATCTCCACATCCGACCAGATGACCACGGGCTCGCTGTCGGTCCAGGTGCGCAGGTTGCGGATCGTGCAGATGCGGATGATCTGGATGATGGTGATGAAGAAGCCGAGGGCGAAGACGCCGACGAGGGCGATCTATTAAGATTATTTTTTGGGGTTTAGTGGTGTTCGATGATTGATGATTGATTTGGGTTGGATGGACGGATGGGGAGTGAGATATAGACAGAAGAAAGAGTGAGATGGAAAGTACTAAAAAGAGAAAGAGGGAATCACCTTCTGCCGCAACCTAAGCTGCAACTTCCACAAAACGGGCAGAGGAAGCGCGATAATGATGATATCGAATCCGAGGCCGGTTACTGCATCAAGGCATGCATTAGCCCTAATCCATCCCATCCCATCCCATCCTTTTTCCTACAGTATTTGGAGTAAGAGATATGTACTTACCTGCAAGAGCTAAATCCAATCCAGTTAGTCCATTCCAACCAGTAATTATCTCTTTATGTTCCTAGGAAAAAAAAAAAAGAGAAAGAAAAGAAATAAAGACACACACCATAATAAGAAGCAATAGTGTTCATACAAACCCCCGGGATGGAATTATCCCACTGCTTAGCCACCTGCGCCACACAATCATCAGCATGAGCCTTGTCACCCCACCACAAATCCCACTATAGAGTAAAGCAGGGAGAAAGGAAAAAATAAAAAGGGACAAACTCACCGGCCAACACGCAAACGTCAAAACAAAGGTAAAAGCCAACTGGTTCAGCACGCACGCCACGATGGCCACGAAGATGGTCAGTCGGTAGGCTTTGACGAAGCCGCCGATGCGGATGTACGAGCACAGCAGGGAGACTTTGAAGCCGAGTAGTGCGAGGGTGTAGAGGGGGCCGCCGGCGTATTGGATCTGATCATTATGGGGGATTGATTAGGATCCGTGAGTTTCTCTGGAGATGGGTGATGCCGCGGTGATGGGCAAGGGGCTCTCCAGCTCTCCCGGGAGGGCTGAATCGCAGGGAATATAAGAGAGATACATGGGTATTGAGTATGAGTGTGGGAATTGAGCATACCTTGCCAAACATGACGATATTCGCATCAGGGAAATACTCCTCGCTGAGACCGAGGCCCCAGCGCGTTTCTTGTAGTCAGTCAGTCAATCAGTCAGTCAGTATACCATTCCAGCCCAGTATCTTCCACTTCACTGCACTCCCCAACTAACCAAAACAAAGAACCGAAAACTGAAAACCGAAAATAGAAATAGAAAGAAAAAAAAAAAAAAAAAAAAACTCACGCTCAACCGAAACCCCCGCATACGCCATGCCGAGCATAGCGCTCAACAACGAGGCAAAATCATCGCACCAGATCCTCCTCTTTGTATGCACGCGGACATAGAACCTAAGCGCGACAGCAACACACGCGAGGATCGAGAACGCAAGACACAGGCCGACGACGCGGGCGACATGGCTGTGCGGGTCGGTTGTGTGGAGATTGTACACCCAGCCCATTATTGATTAGCCTGTTATCCCCATTGTTGCATTGATTTGGTTGTGTAGGCTGGGTTGGATTGATTGAATTGGATGGATTGGATTGAATCAGCCGGCGACGTAGTGTGGTATAACCGTAAGCTGTCATATAATAAATATAGTATACCGAGTATATAGCAAGAACAAGGATCCCCGACCACGACGTGAGACCAAGGCAAGTAGGTAGGCAAGGGTTGTTTATAACCAAGGCAAAGGAGAGCGAGATAGGAAGGAGATAGAAACAAAAAGGAAGGGGAAGAAGAGGGAGGGGAGCTTGCCGGCTGTTTATGATGTAGACGGCCCGATGCAGACAGGTTCATGTCTGATGGAGGTCTGGTTCAGGCGGATGCGGAAAGGTTACGGGTGAGAAAAGTTTGTTGTTCTTCTTCTTCTGATGATTTGGGTTGAGCTCGCCGGTAAGCAGTCTGATGGTGATGATGAGGATGATGAGCTTTCTATTTTGGTCGGGTGTAGTTGCAGTGGTTGTGGTTGTGGTGATGGTGCTGGGATAGACGGCTAGGGCATCATTGATATAACTATTAATATCTCGATCCAATCCCTCCCTCCCCATCATATCATACCATACCATATACACCGCCTCAACCACCCTCCCCTCCTGCCTAGAACCAACTAGCTCCCACACCCTCACCACAACGGTACAACCCAAGTACTATCCATCCATCACTTTCACCAACAGCAACAGCAACGCAACAACAACGAACCAAGAATCCGGAACCAACCACCGACCCTCCCGACCGCAAGTGCCCCCCCCAATGTAAGTGGATGGAACTCCACACCGACCAGGCCCACAGAACCCACACCTGAACAGAATCCAGCTCTAACCTCCGCCTTCCGCGGCGCCATGCCATCACCATCCGCGGCCCTCCAGCCCCCCGTCACCCAGAAACCCAAATCCCCATGAACAGGGTCCGACCGGCATCTCCGTATCTGGTTTTCTGCAACGCCGACCGAACAACCTACATACTAACCTAACACACCTGTCTGGGCGAACCAGGAAGAGATGAGCCAATTATGTGTCTGCGATGGCACCGGAAATATACTATCTGCGGTGAGGCAAGGGACAGGGCGGGTTGATGCGGTGGCGTGGGGAGGAAGTATATAAGGTTTTGGGGGGGTGGTTCCTAGTACTGCTGGAATATGGATGGATGTTCATGTGCTTTATTCATGTACTATGTATGTAAGAGGTGTTGGTGTTAGGGTTGGATGCGCGGGAAGGAGGCGGGCGAGTTATATCATGATATAACAGGACCACTCGGCTAAAAAGGTGTCCAGACACCTAAGTAGGCGTGATACTGAATGATACTGGGTTTGACAGATTGTCATTGTACAGCAGGCTTCCGGTGCGGGAGCCCTAATCCCGCCTGCCAGCCAACCGCCCGCCCCCTTGCTGGAGCCATGGACATGCAGGACAGGTCCGGACATGCATTGACTACATTTACCAGTTACGGCGTTCGACAGTTCTATTTCTTAACTATCTGATTCTGCCCTGTCGATCCCGTTAACTGCTTACCGGGGCATCCAAGTACCCAGGCTATCCCGGTATAACCATGTCTCTTCCCAGAGCCAGCACCCTAATACTCGAAGACAAAACTCCAATTGTCGGGGTGCTTTTCTTCCGCCCCGCGGAGAGATCTGCGCTAGAGTAGAGGGATTTGACTGCCTATGTAGTAACTATAGTTGTGGACTTTCATTTATTGAGTTGGATTGGATTGGATTGAATTAGACTGTTCACTCATTCTTCTATCTATACAATGCAATGCAATGTTTTTGGTGGTTTACACTTGATATTAATAAAACAAACACGATACCCACGCAGATCAGATCCAACCCCAAACCCCATAAATACACCAACAAAAACCCACCCCCAGCCGAAAATCACCTAAATCACCATAACCCACCCGCAAAAACCCATCGATGCAACTCCGAGTCCCACCTTCCCTTTTCCCTTCAAATCAATTCATCTCCACCACAATCACAACCTCGCCCTCCCCTCACTAATACCCGCCCACTCCCCCTCCCCAAACGGGACATATCCCTGCCGCTCCCCCTGTCCGGGAGGCAACCAGAACAACCGATCGCCCCTCCCCTCGACATCCTGGGTGCCAATCTTGCCCGGATCGACCCCCTCCTCGCGCAGCGGCCCCTTGTTCTGCTTGTGGTTGTGGATGTGCGAGGGGCTCTGGACGATGCGCAGGAACACGGGGACGGCGTAGCGGGGGAGGCGGGCGTGGAGGAAGGTGGCGAGGGCGGTCATGTCAATACCAACACCATTCCTGATGTCTGTGGATGTGGGATGGGAGTGGGAGTGGGAGTGGGAGTTGGGGCCCGGGCAAGGTGCAGGGCGGCGCAGCCGGCGCGGCCGTCGTGGTGCGGGATCAGCACGCCGTAGACGTTGGCTTCTTGGATTCCCGGGAAGAGGCCGAGGGTTTGGGAGACTTCGGCGGTTGAGCTGTTGATGTATATGTTGAAGATTAGTAGGGGTGAGAAAGGATAAGGATGGGGATAGGGGGTGTGGGTAGTATGACTTGGAAAAAAAAAAAAAAAAAAAAAAAAAGAGAAAGGAGATGGTAACGAGAGAGAGAGATAGAGAGAGAGAGAGAGAAAAATGGGGAAACATACACATTCTCACTCTTCCAGCGAAAGGTATCCCCCAACCTATCCAAAAAGAACCACCTCCCATCAGCATCCCTCCTCAACGCATCCCCGGACCGATACCACAAATCGCCCTTCCTCAACACATCCCCCACAAACTTCTTCCGCGTGGCCTGCTCGTTGCCCCAATACCCCGCGAAAGCCTTCTCATCGGGCACGCGGACCAGAATCTCCCCGCCCTGCTCATAGCCCCTCCGCACGGCGAGACCCGTGCGGTCATCACGGAGAATCTCGCCCGTCTCCGCCTCCACCGCCACCGGGACATACACATCCCGCATGAGGCGGCGCATGAGGGCGCCATGATGTCCGACCGAGCCGGCCGTGAACGGTCCCTTGTTGAGATTGAAGAGGGTGAACACGCCTTCCGTACTATTGAAAAACTCGCCCACCTCGGGGACCCCGAACCGCTGCCGGAACCGCTCCCAGACGTCCGGCCGGAGCCCGTTGCCGTACATCATGCGCAGACGGTGGGCGCGGTCGAGCGGGGAGGGCGGCGCGGCGAGGAGGTAGCGGGCAGCCTCGCCGACGTACACGAAGACAGTGGACTGGGAGTCGCGGATGTCGGACCAGAAGGTCGAGACGCGGAAGCGAGGGGCGATGGCGATGGCGCGCCCGTTCAGGAGGTTGCCGATGAGACTGATGGCGGAGGTGCCGTGGTAGAGCGGCATGGCACTGTACCACCGATCGCCGGCGGGGCCGGGGGAGTCGCTGGCGGCGAGGCGGCGGAGGGCGGCGGTGTATTGCAGACGGGACATGGTGAAGGGGCAGCCTTTGGGGTGGCCGGTGGTGCCGGAGGTGTAGAGGAGGATGGCGGGGAAGGATGGGGGGGTGTTCCTTGCTGAGGGATTGGCGGCGGTCTGGTCGTGGTGCGAAGGGAGGGCAGAGAGTGTCGCCGTGAAGGCCTCGTCCAGGGGGATGATCTCCATCTGCAGCTCCTCCTCGATCGGATGCCTCTTCGCATCGATCCGGGCCCGACAATCCGCCTCCGGATCGACCAGGACGATCCTCGCGCCGCTGATCGCCAGACAGTGCGTCAATGCATCCCCCGTCAGGTGGTAGTTGATGGCAGCCGGCGCGCATCCGATACTCCAGAGCCCGAGCCAGGCGAAGATGAACTCGGGACGGGTCTGCAGGTAGAAGGCGACCAGGTCGCCCTTGTGGACGCCCTTGATGCGGTAGAAGTGGGCGTATTGGGTGGCGGCGGCGAGGGTCTGGCGGTAGGTGTAGCTGCGGTCGCGCGTCCACAGGCAGACCATGTCTGGGTGGGTGGTGGCCGCGTCGAGGAAGAGCAGCCAGGGGTTGATGCGCCCGGAAGAGGCGGCGTGTTGGACGGCGCGCAGGGCCCGGCGCTGGCCGAGCAGGGTGGTTCCATCGCGGGTGAGGTGGAATTTGGCGTCGAGGTAGGCGGCGAGGGTGAGGGTGGCAGCTGTTGCTGTGGGGGGGGGGGGTTAGTTTGGAAATAGGATAGATGGAGAGTAATGAGAGTAAGACATACCTAAAGCCATGGTGGAATGTGGGCGGGAGGGGAGGACAGTGGAGTGGAGCGGAGGGAGAGGGAGGATATAAGTAAGTACGGCACTCCTACCAGTACTTTACTACCGTGAGCCTCGGCCCAGATCCTCACTCAGATCCTCTCCGCATCCGGCGATGCTGGCACAAATCAGACACCACGGTGCATGGTGTGGGGCTTGCAAGGAGACCCGTAAGGCGATCTGTCAGGGCTAGGTGGGGGATGAAGATACGATATCTGCCGGTATTTAATGGTCCTGGTCTCGGAGGAGGGCTTGCGGGCTGAAGCCATGATGGCATAATCTCCCCCCTCTCCTCTTTCTCCTCTTCTTTTCCCTCTTCTTCTTCTCCATCCCATCTGCATCCGGTTTGGTTTTGACCTTCAGGTACGCAGAAACCATGCCACTGTTTCCTTTCGTTTCCCGTTCTGGCCCCTCATCCGGCCTTCACTGCCTCCCCCGCCATCCTCTCCGTTTTCTCTCTCGAAGAGTCTCGTCCCTGCCATCCTCGCTCGCATCTCTCTCCCCCCGCCGTCTCACCATGTCTTCCTCCTCCTCCGCCCTTCCCTCCCAGCACCAGCTGACTGACATCCTCAAAATCCCCCTTCAAGAAGACCACTGCTGCCTCGGCACCTCCAACTCCTTCAATCGCCGCTGCCACAACCTGGTCCATCGCCGCCACCGTCGTGAGGCCCGCCAGCTGCTGGCCCAAGGCAGCCTGCGTCTCCAGCAGGGCAACCCGGCCTCGTCGCTGGACCCACTGCTCACCGAGCTGGCTCCGCTGCTGCTCTGCACCGGCGCCCATCAGCACCAGGCCCCGACCCTCGTGGCGCAGTGGAAGGAGAAGCTGCTGGCCCACCATTCGAACATGAACCGCCCCGTCGTGCAGGCCGGCACCGCCGTGGCCCTTGCACCGGCCCCGCGTCCGGATGTCCTCGACCCTCGCTCGAGCGGCGAGACGGCCGGGGTGACTGTCAACGCAGCGGCCGCCCTCGTGTCGCCCTCCCCCATGCTGCAAAATAACCACCACCAGCAGCAGCAGGTGATGATCCGACAAACCCTCCGCTTCGCCCGCGACCATCAACAGCCAGTCTTCCTCCCCCAGAGCCAGTTGGTCAGGGAAGAGTGGTGCAACAATCTCACCCGGCCCCGTCCCGTGAAAGGAGAGTGCGGCATCTGTCTGCTTCCGTACGCGGACGACCCTGCCGGATACGACGACGTGGAAGATGGGGATGACTATGACTACGGCTCGAGTTACTGTGAGTGATCCTTTTCTTGTTCATCCCCATCCCCATCCCGCTAGTCGGATAGCCACATCCGCCCATCTAACACACCCATCTAGATTCCCTCGCCCCCCCAGACTACGACCACGAGAACCTCACCTGGTGTCGCGCCTTCTGCGGCACCAACTACCACCGCAAGTGTATGGACCAGTGGATCGAGACCTTTGACGTCATGGAGCCCACCTGTCCCACCTGCCGGAAGTTTTGGGTCGACGATTAGCGCTGACTATCTACCTCTCTACCGGATCGTCGCATGGCGGAGTTTTGCGCTTCTTCTTCTTCTTCTTCTTTGTTTCTTTCGCGTTGCGTTGCGCGTCTGAAGATCATCATGCTTCGGAAGACTGCATCTACCTACCGCTCTTTTCCTTCTTCTTTATTGTTGTTGGTGATCGTGATCATGATCATGCCGGATATGACCGTGACGGATCACTACGATGCGATACAATACACTAATAAGAAACCAAGAAGACCAGACCATGCATGATGGACGGAACATGGGCTGGGAGGATGATAATGGAATAGGTGAGGATCGCGTTGGGTGGGGGTACTGAAGACTTGCGTTGCGTGCGTGCGTGCGTGCGTGATTCATTACGGACGGGACGGATTGATTGTTTCTTTGGCGTTGGCGTGCGATGGATTTTCTGGTTCGGACATTTTAGCAAGATATCAAACGGACACACATCCGAGATTTCAGGATTTAGGGGTGGATGATGCGTGTGGTTTCATAATGCAGGTTGAGTGGGAATGCAAGCGGTATCTTGTATTTTGCTCTGTCGTAGGTGGTGGTAGGGATGGTCTGTAGGAATAGATGGTAGACTACAGATGGTAGGGTCAGGTAAGAGGAACTTAGGAGGTGGTAGGTAGGTGACGGGTAAAAGTAGTAGTAACAAGGAACAGAAACAATAGGCAACAGTGGATAGTTAGCTAGCTAGCTAGTTATATACAAAGGCAATCGCCATGCCATATACTACCATCCATAGCCAGCACTCCTCATATCCAGAAGTTATATACGGTGGCTAAGCTATAACTCTCTCTCTATATATATATATATATACATATATACACTAGCCACGTCACAGCATCTATATCCTATCTATAAAGCAGGATCTATCTCTATGTATCATCACACCTGCACTTCTTCCTCATTCCTCTTCCCACTTCATGCGGCAAACAAACTCACAACCTAGCTACTCTCTTCTCCCCCTGCGCCTGTCCCATCCCCAGTCCCAGCCCCTGTGACTGTGACTGTGACTGTGTCTGTGTCTGTGGTGATTGCCGTTCAACCAACCACCCCCTTATCGTCTCCACCAACCCATCAATCTCCTCGACCGTATTGCCCGCATGCAGACAGACCCTGACGCGCTCCTTGCCGACCGGCACCGTCGGGGCCATGATGGCGCGCACGACGAAGCCTTTCCGCTGACACGCGGCCGCGAGATGGCGCGGGACGGGGCTGCGGAGGGAGAAGATCGGGGAGCGGGGGAAGTGGTCGACTGCGAAGAGGGGGGTGGGGTTGCCGGTGGGGTTGCCGTCTTCGTCTAGGGTGAGGGTGAGGGTGAGGGTGTCGAGGGAGGCGAGGCGCGCGCGGAGGTAGCGGATGAGGGATTGGAGGGTTGCTTGGGGCTAGGGAGGGAGCAGGATCAATCAGGGGAGTAGGGGTTAGTGGGTTATTTTTTTTTGTATGGGGAGTGGGGTTGGGATTGGGGCAGAGGGGGTAAGGGTGGGTACCTCTTCGGTCTCGCCTTCGGATAGCAGCTCGTAGGCGGTGCGGATGGCCGCCAGCGAGGGGAAGCCCATGGCTGTGGTGTAGATGACGGTGCGGGCGTAGTTGATGAGGTAGTCGCGGGTGTCGGGGCAGCAGAGGACGATAGCTACCGGGATGAGTCTTAGCAAACACAAACACATATATACATCCACTCAAATACCGCAGATACACCACCCAACGCAGAAAGAGGGGGGGGGGGGGGGGGGAATGACGAAACGAAAAGAAAAGAAAGGAGAAGAAAGAAAGAAAGAAAGTAGAGGGGGTAAACCCACCCCCGTGACTCGCCAACGCCTTCCCAAACGTATGCACCCTCACAAACATCCTCTCCTGCAGGCCCAACTCCTTGACGACCCCGGCGCCCCCGGGCCCAAAAACCCCCGTCGCATGCGCCTCATCGACGACAAAATACCCATTCCCGCACGGCAACACCCTCTCCACCACCTCGACAAACTCCCTCAACGGCGCGATATCCCCGTCCATACTGTACACGGACTCCACGACCACGAACACGTTCCGCGAGCCGTCCCGGATCCCCGCATCGGCGGCGATTTCCGCCGTCAGCACGGCCTCCAAGCTCTCTGGCGAACTGTGCAAGAACGGCACGGTCTTCCCGGCGCGGGACAGCCGCATGCCCTCGTGCGCACTGGCGTGGATGAACTCATCGTGCACGATCAGATCGCCCGGCTGCGGTAGGCACGAGAGCACGCCGACGTTGGCGTCGAAGCCGGAGTTGAAGAGCAGGCCAGTCGGGCGGAGTGGAAGGCCGCGATGAAGGACTCGAGGGCTTCGGCGTAGGGTGAGTTGCCGTCCAGCAGCCGTGAGCCGCCGCTGGCGAAGGGGTAGCGGGGCGGGGCGGACTGGAGGTGGGCGAGAAGCCGGGCGCGGAAGAGCGGGGAGGTGGAGAGCGAGAGGAAGTCGTTCGAGGAAAAGTCGGTGGAGGTTGGGGGGAGGATGGTGAGACGGCGGCGCGAGAGACGGGTTTCGCGCTTTTGGAGGGCGGATTGGAGGGAGGCGAGGAGGGAGGGTTGGTTTTTCGTGGTGGTGGTGGTGGTCATTGGGAGGGTCGGTTGACCGTTTGGAGGCCGGTCAATTGGTGAGGGTGCAGGGTGAGGGTATCATCGACATGCATGGAGGATGGGTATGGAATATGGACGGTCGAGGGAGGGGGCTGCAGAGCGACATGGCGCCGCCGGGGGAAGGGAGCTATCGCGAGGAGGCATTCTCGTCAGCCGTCACAGCTCGTGGTGGAGTCGCCGGTGTGTCTGATGCTGCAGTGGGAGCAGTGGGTGCAGCGGTTCGATTGGTGTTCTGGCGGGGTCTAGCAGAGCGACTAGTGGTGAGAAGTGGGGAGGGCAGGCGTTGGCCTCGGCAGTGAGGGAGGGAGGAGTGGAAGAGTGGGATGGAAGAGGAAGAAAGTGGGAACAGCCGGAAGACGCGATGCTTGTTGCTGTGGTTGGGGTTCAACCACGGTTCAAGGCCTGCCGACTTGACACTTAGTGCCTGGGTGCCTTGTGGCCTGGCTGACTTGATACTCAGTGCCTGGGTGCCTGAGCCGTGTGCCTCGGCAGTCTCTTTCAGCCCAGTTCATACGCGTCTTCAGGTGCTCGAATGGAAACCAGTGTCTTAGCTCTTCTTCCTATTAAAGATTAGCACATTTCTAAATTTATGTCTGAATTTAAAGCCCATGCCATTTTTTCGGCATTGGGGGTTGCCAAAGAACGTCACCCCCAATATCTCTGCGCAGTTCGCCATATACCCAACGCAGAGTATATGGTGGGAAATATTCCACTTGGGAGCGAAATCCGGTGTGACACTTTGACAGTTCAAGTCTCCTAGTACCCGCCTGACTGTTGCAAGAGGATAGAAAGTGGATCATCCATGTCCAGACGAAAGAACCCTGTCGAGAAACTCTATCGGATATGCCGCTGCGATATCCCGAATCCCACTCACTACCTTGGACACACAAGCAGCACCAGGCAATAACAGCAGCCAGACGAAAGCAGCAAGCCCGTCAAATGTGGGCGGGCAAGAAACCTTCAGGCGTCCGCAACCACCGAGTTTGCTAGCTAGCAAGGAGGGTTTGGTATATCATGCAGAGGAGCAAATAGGGCTCATGAAGCCGGCCCGTAGATGTAACTAGAACAACGTCCATGGTGATTGGTTCCACGGTTCAAAATTGCGCGAGATTATCGCGTCAGGGACCAGGGTATCAGGCACGCCTTCTCGCAACATTGTCTGGACTGATAGTATATGTGTGCCGACTAGTTTCGTCAGTGAGCTGCAAAAGGATAATTTCTAAAGCCATTTGCAACTGACTGGAGGGTAGGGGATAAAGCACGACGGTGGTCGTTGGGTCTCTCTGGGTAAACCAGAGAGATGTCTCTTTCTCAAGCATGTCTGTCGAAAAGGATTCTCCGACATGCGGGAAGAATTACCTCTTTCTGGAAGGGAGATAATTGTAGTATCGTGAATGAGGCGCAATCTGTAGAAATGAAATTCCACATTGTGGGAATAACAATATAGATATGATGTCCCTTCTGAGCAGCGTCTTTGCACGTGTGCCATCAGGCGTAGACTCAGAAATGTCGACGACAGTCGAATATAATCATGGTACCGCGGGATGCCCCTCTTTCCCTGATAGGACGAACCAGTGGTCATGATATCGAGGGCGGACTTCTATCCCCATTCGTCCCATTCATGTATGCTGAAACCATATCATGACAAAATTGAAATCTAAGATCTTTGGGCCGCTTTTCCAGAAAAGAAACTATATATACTGTGGAGTCGGCGACAGGTATCCGGTCCGAGAATTGTTGTTTTCGATACAACCAGCGATAAAGATCTGATGAAAAGTCTCTGGACAGGCGCCGCTCACAAAGCCGCCTAAAGCCACAGCAAAACTCCCGGCTACGACTCCAGGAAATAGAGTACCCGACGAGTCGGTTATTCTACACTCTCGGGCAGGGTAAAAAGTGTCTCTCATCCATGAGCTCAACGGACACCTCTCGTTTTCCTTCGATCTAGTCCGTCCCAGACGAGTAAGCCGAGTCTGTAATATCGAATGAATGGGGAGCTCCGTAACCTGCCCACAGAACAGCCATGAACAGCAGCTGGCATACTCGCAGGAGACTGTACGGAGATTCACCATTCGGCTAAACCTACCAAGGATGTCCCAAGAACACCGTCTCTAGCATTAGAGCCGCAGGAACGCGATACTACCATCGTAGGTACCGTGGGAAGACACTGCCATGCATGTAGAACTTGGAGGAGGCGGATATCAAATGTTCTTGTGCTTTGAAACACCATGTAGGTTCATGCACAGCAGAACATAATGAGCTGACCCTGTTGCACGGTCTGTAAAATGCCGTGAATGTCATAGTCTTAGTCTGGCGACCTTCATATCGCTCGAAAAAACGATGACTCAATTTGTCTGTCCCACTGGGCAAGAAGGGAGAGCCTTTGGCAGGCTTTTATTTCCAGAAGGGCAAAGATATCCGATGGGAACGATGAATCAAACGCTACTTGGCCTTTCTATTTCCCTTAATATTCTTTTCCACTGTTCGTTGCGAACTTCTCCACTTCGCTCCTTGGCAGCCCTTACTCTTGTCGTCGCCGCTTTGAATCCGACCAGCGTCATCTCCACCGAGACCAGAAGCAGCGCCCAATGCGGCGACTGCGGCGACTGCGGCTTGGGCCCTGGCTTCGAGATCAGGAGTGTATGTGATGAGGACGGTGGAGTCCACGAGGAACCAGAAAATGATGTCGAGAGTGAGCATGTGACAGTGGAAACAGACAGTGACCTGAAGAAGAACAAATGCTCAAAGGCAACAAGGAGGGTGAGTGCTGGCATTGATCGGGCTCCGAGATCTGGTTAAGATGTCTGTGTCTCACAGGCTAACACCCTGCATGGACAGACACAACCCACACAGCAGAATCAGATATATTCATTATATCCATACTGCAGACCTACTAGGTATGTTGGTACGCGGTTCGTGCCGGAGGGGGTGGAGGAGGCATCATGCGCCTTGTGTCGCAGATCGCATTGGCCACTGGCCACTTTCCGCAGCCTGGTATCGAGCACAAGAAAACCGGGACACGCTCTCCGACTGTTGACAAAGTCTGGGATGGAAAATATTCTCCAATAATCAACCTTGAGGTGTAAGATGCAGAACGATATACCACATCCCGACCGTGACAAGAATGCAGATTATTTACAGAAGATGGAGAGGATGGAGGGTTGAGGGCGGTTAAATAGACAATGTGAGAGGTGAATCATACCCCGAGCGTTGAGGGAAGATAAATGCAATCAGGACTACGTATGCAGGCTCAGGTCGGTGAATAATACCAGTCCCAACTTGAATACATCATCCATCCATAAAAAAAAACAGTATTCATCAAGTCATATCATTCAATCCCACATCCATGAAACCCAGTCAGCCAGCCCCAGGCCCAGCTTCAACCGCAAGCCCCATATATGCAATGCAATGCAAAATCGAAAAAAAAAAAAAAAAAAAAAAACACCCACCCTTGAAAGCATCATCGCACAGCGAGCTTCCATGTCACTCCATTCCCGAAACGCCTTAACCGAGCCCAAACCTTAACCGGAACCAAAGAAAATGCGCGCGTGCCATAATCATGCCGTCACCATCACGAAAGATCGTAGACCACCAGGGCGCGCTCGATATCCTGCACGGTTTCTTTGTCGCCGTAGGCGTCCATGAGGGCGCGGTTCTTGCGGAGGCGTTCTTCTTCGTCGAGGTTGTATCGATGGCGGTGGCCTTGGGTTTCGTAGTAGTTGGCGACGCCGAAGCCTGGATGGATCGTTAGATGGGTTGAGGGAGGAGCGATGCGGGGTGACGTACCGAGAGCGATGACGCCCATTAGAGGGAGGTACCTAGTCTGGCTGTTAGCGAGGGCTGGAATGATGAAGCGATGGGGACGATGAGACGAACCATCTGCTCGGCTTCTTGAAACCCGGGGCCAGGGAGGGCTGCTTCATCAACGGTCGGGGAGCGCCGTGGGATGTGGAGAGGCTCATGTTTGTAATCCTCGATCGGTGATTTGAATCGCGTTGTTTTGTCTGTGATAGTAGATAGTAGATAGTGAGTGGTTGGCAGCCCGACCTCCGACCACTGGAGCGCGGTGTATTTATAAGGGGCGATCGATCAGCTTACCCGAACGCCCTCGGGTGTGGCATGATCGGGATTTCGTCATACGATAAACTGCCGATCCCCCAACGTCACGACTGCATCCCTTCCACTTCACTTCACACCACGACGGTTTGAATCAGGGAGCGGCCAGCGAGTTTCCTTCATCGATCACTCCATCGCATCGCCCCGGCGTGGTGTTGTCTTGCCCGGGCTATTATCCGGGGTGCAGTCTGATCTCATGGGTGCTTCATTCATGGGCGGATGATCTTCGTGTGACGATCGGATGTTGCTGAGCTGTGTTTCTGTCCCTCGTTCTGTTGTTGTTCGATTTCCGACTTGATACTGGGACAGTGCCATCACTTCCCCAACCTTGAATTGTGTTGAAGCCCTAGGAGGGACACCCGCTAGTCCGCATCGAGAATACCCCGGAAAGTGGTCACTGCAGATCAGCTAGTCAGTTACCCGTCAGCATTCTAACCAAGGCTCCCCCCCTCACGGCGCGTAGGATCAGCTTTCAAGCAACATACTATCTCCGAATAGAGACCCGATTCCAGTGGTAAGTCGACGATTCTAGTGTCAGGATATCCAGCCCGTCAGTTGGCCGTGACCCTGGACGAATCAGGCTACGACAAAACGGCCTCTGCATGGGCCGCTGCATCAAGATGAAGCAATCGATTGAGCATTCTTCAACCCCTCTTCGGTAATCCAATCAGAGCAATCTGCAAGCACTGTCGAAAGGTGGATCCGCCGTCATATCGCAGGGGGTACACGCATGCCGCACTTGGCTAGCGACCGAGAAGCAAGGCCGAAGCGTTCTGGATTTGTCCGAGTCCTCAGCCCACTCGGATAGAATGAGAACACTGGTCCGTGAGCCCTCTTTTGTGATGTTTCATCGGGAGTCCTCTGACCCAGAGCTGCCGAGCATGAAATAACCCTGACCCATCCCAATTGAATTCGCACCAATACCAATCTAGTCTGAATCGTTGTTCTCAACAGGTAATCCCCTTGTCGGCCCTCGATGCGAGACGCCGTGTCAATGCGTCGTCATCGATACGGGAGTTCGACTCCAACTTTCGGACCAGCACCATTGTAATCCCTATATCAGGCACGTAGTCGAGGAACTTCCGAATAACATCCTCCGAAGAGCTTGCAAACACCCTCTCAACCGCTCGCGCGGTCGCTTGTATGGGAAGTTCATGCATGGCGCAGTATTCAATGCAATCTTCCCCCCAAGGGGAGAGCGTCGGGCCCCACAGCAATATGCGTTCTGAGGCAACAAAAGTCCCATGTTGTAAAAGCAGAGCAAACATTTCCTGTCTCTCAATCCGAGGGGTTGATGTCCATGCTTCTTCCCAGACGTTCTGAAGTTCCACGTCATGGTTCACGCACTCAACATTTCATTCAAGATTCGAGGCGTGATACGCATGTCATCACGCCGTCGATCCAAAACTAACTGAAGCATCTCAGTGTTGAGCATTCTGTTTCCCATTATGCCAATTAGGACGTCTTCAGTGATAGGTACTGCCGCTCAGCTATGATCCAGAAGCTAGGATAGTATTTTTGACTCATATCTTTCATTGCGGGCTGCTCTAATGACAGCCTCCTCATCCATGGCTCCGGCAAATTCACCATAAAACGCACCCTTAGCCCAGAGCTTGGAACCAACCAACTAACCAGCCCCTAGCTATATATACAGTTCAAAATTCCTATCATTATACCGTAAGGCAGGGGGAGTGGTCAAAAGAGTGTGCGTGTAGCAGTCAGTCTCAGTGGGTGCGTGTGTGCGTCGCGAATTCTGAGAATATCTTTCTCGGCATGTAGGGCTCGCAGCCTCATACAGGACATACTATACCTGGTACTCTACCATACTACTCGAATGAAAAGAAAAAGAATTTAATCATCACCATGGGAAAAGAAAAAAAGGAACAGAACTAGTTGGCTGCACGGGGTAGAACAGGGGTAGGGCAGGTAGGTAGGTAGGTAGGTAGATAGATACGTAGCAGTGCATCAATAAGTCAATCATTCCTACTTATATCGAATAGTATACCCTCCTCCTCCAATTTTACCACCACCACCACCACCATACATCATTAACCCAGCACTAATCACCAAATCCCTACCTATTCCATAGCTAGCCACTAACCAACCAAACCCACAAGTCCAATTCAACCCAACCCAACCCAACCCAAACAAAACCCAAACAAAGCCCAAACTACAAAACAGGAAATAAAGAAGCCAAGGTGCTGGTACTAGATATACTCCCAAGCCTCCACACTAACATTCCGTCCCACCGTAACCGCCTGAAACCCCAAACAGGCATTAACATCGCCCCCGGGCACGGTGGCATTGCTCCAGTTCGCAAAAACCTGCCACTTTGCGCCGCCGCCGCCAGCCGCACCGGCAGACGGGGTCGGAGTCGCGGAGGAGGAACCGGGCCGGCCGTGGGGGGTGCCGGACGAGGAGGAGGGGACGGCGTGGGGGGTGGGGATGGGGAGGCAGCGGAGGAGGAAGTGTGGGGGGAGGCGTGGGGCGGTGGTGAAGCGAAAGATGATGATGAGGGCTGGGGGGAGGCGTGTGGTGGTGCGGATGAAGAGGAACCGCCTGGTGAAGCGTGGGGAGGTGCAGATGAAGACGAACCGCCTGGCGAGGCATGAGGAGGTGCAGACGAAGATGAACCGCCTGGCGAGGCGTGGGGAGGCGCAGATGAAGAAGGCGAGATAGACGCGGAAGAGGAATGGGGTGTCGCGTGGGGCACGGATCCAGAGGACGAGGCACCCGCGGAGGAGCTACCGGCGCCGCCACCGATGGGGCAGGCCATGAAGCCGCCGTCAAAACTCCAGGTCCCGGTTGGGTCGCCGGCGCTGTAGTAGAACGGGCCGGTTGAGGAGCCTGGCGGGATGTAGGCGCTGTGCGGCTGCGTGAAGGCAAGGGCGCCTTTGGAGGTGACGTATATTTGTTGGCCGCCGGGGACGGAGACACTCTGGGGGGTGTTAGTGAGATGGTTTGCATGGAGGGATGGGGGTGAGGGCTTTTTGGGGCGGGTGGATAGGCTAGGTAGGGTTGGGTTATGTTGACTCGGGTGGGTGGATACGAAAGCGCGTGAGAAAGAGATGGGAAGTGTATGGATTGAAGAAGAAAGAAAACACATACCAAAGCAGTCCCACCATCAATGGCAGTCGCATTTCCCGGTGGACAGCCGCCCTCAGCCTCCACCCCTGGGGGACAGTACGTGGATGTCCTCCCACCGAGATAGAAGTACCCCCCATTGGCATTCAGCGCCAGCTGATGGATAGACGAGCCGGAACGGGAGGCCGTGACCGTGAACACCGATGACGAAGAAGTCGAGGATGAACCAGAGCCTGCTCCAGAGCCTGCTCCAGAGCCAGAGCCAGGGCCAGAGCCAGCTCCCGTGCCCCCGCCACCCTGACACTGCCCCCCCTGGGCGCAGGCAAGTGTGATGGCGGAGAGGAAGGCGAGGATTTTCATTTTGTTGCTTCTTGGAGGTTGTGTTGCAGGACGGACTGGACGTAATTTTGGGAGAGGAGCGAGTTGGAAGAAGAGGGGGGTTTCGGTTGGAATGGGGGTTATATGTCTGTTTTAAAGTATGGTTGAGTTCCATGTGAAGTCGTGCTAGGGCTGGAACACGCTCTACTGGTGCGTTGACGGGATCGGACATGGCTTCCTCGAGGTGACGACGGAAGATTCGTATGATGGCCTTGCGGGTGAGAGGCGATTAAGGCGGGGTTCAATTCCCATGAGGATGCTGTTGGGCTACTGTTGGGATTGGGGCTGGAAATGCTGCTGCCTCGATTCTTTCGCTGGAAGCTTGGGACTGTAGGTGCGTATACCTTGTGCCTGTTCCCATGCAGGGTTGCCAGTGGCTCGGAATACAGCGCCCATCAGCGGATCCTTGGTGGTGAATGGGGTTGCATGTGCTTTGATTGTCCGCTGATTATGGTTACATCGGGTTGGTCTGACGTATCTCGGCGGACATGATTCCCGCGATGGTTTATTAGGGTTCCTATCCCTACGATATATCCCAGTGCTAAGGAGATGGTCCGCAACTTCCAATAGCCTGAAGCTTGAAGACACTTCGTCGGAATGGAAAATACATCTATCCAACACTGTTGGTACGATGCAGGAATTCATGCATTTTAGTTGGCCTCCTGTTTTACTACATTTCTGTCGAACACATACTTTTAAAGCTTCGCCATATACGAAGAGTCTGGCTTCTCTACCCCTAACATCGCACTGGCATACAGACAGTCCCGAACCAGTCCGAGGAATTCAGCGATCTGGGAATCGGAATGATACGTCTGATTGTAGCAAGCCCGGATGAAAAGCTTCTTTCCCAGAGTCTGAATCCCCGTGTAGATGCGCTCGTCAGCTGGCGTTGCAACCATCAAAATATCCCTAATCTTGAAAGGGCCGTAGGTCTCTGGAAAGACATCCGACAGATCCCCGATGAAGCTGGCAGCGACCCCCTTGAAATAAGTCTCGTGTAGGACAGATGCCGACTTTGTCAAATACTGCGGCATGGCGCCAAGCATGTCTGCCTTCTTCCGCTGAGCCATCGCCTTGTACTCGTGTTTCAGATTCCGTGCTGTGCGTTGGAAATCATCCGACATCTCCACCTGCACAGGCCAGAAGCAAACCCGCGGCGCAGCGGCTCGGGAGGCAGCATTGAGAGGCTCCCCGGAGCATAGCTCACGGAAACTGAAAACCAGACCCGTTGAATGAATAGTTCCGTTCGAATTAGGGCTGAGCTTCTTCCCTGCGTGAAGCAGTGCCGCGTGTATCAACGGTGTGATCCCCAGACGTAACCTCTTGGCTATACCCATCAGCCCCAAGGTTTGCTCCTCGGAGAACTCGAGCGTCTGTGCCTTGCCCGCGCCGGGGTTTAGGGCATTGTTCTCCGACGGAACCTCAAATGCCTCCTCATTTACTCGGGGCTCGGGAAGAGAGGATATGAGCTGCGCAGACTTAGCCTGTTGTTCCTCCGTGATTCCAGCGGAATCAAATGCGCTATAAGGAAGGTTCTGCACTTCCTCACCCAACGGCGCCCTGATAACCTCTCCACCGGCGTCTAACCGCTTCATCTCGGACAACAAGTCGTGCAGCATGACCGTAGCTGCCTGTCCATCTGCCTGCATGTGTGTCGTACGGAAGATGAACCTTTTCGTGTGGGGGAAGCAATAGAACATCGGTTTCTGAACAATAGGCGCAATGCTAAAGTCCAAACAGCCTGGCGATTCCATGCTCGGGTCCCAATCTTTGACTACAAAGGTGGTCTCTATCCATTTATCGATATCAGACTCATCAGCCAAAGCAACGTACTGGAACCCGCGCGGGGTGACATCGGCAGCCAGGGCAGGATGGAGGTAACGCAATCGCATCCATGCCTTCTTGCCCATGTCCATGAGCTCGCGTGGCTGCCTGTTCGTGTCGATGTCGACACTGATGAAGGTGTCGAGACCCCGGAACTCTGGCCGGGCTGGGTCATGGCAAAGAGAGGTGAAGGTTTGCTCGAACGGGTCGAAGGGTCGGATATAGTGGGTTTTGCTGACCTTCTGCCAGCGCGACGGCTTTGTATCAGGGTTGATGTGGCCCGGGGTGGCCGATGGCTTTCCGACAGCTTCGTCGACCTCAGAGTTGCGAGCTGGTGCTGGAGTCATTTTCAGTCGATGAAATGGTAAGTGACTAGTAGCAAAGGCGGGTGGACATCAGGAATTCTATTCACTCCGAATAGCAGTGAATGAGATGTTGCAGCAAGAGATGGGAAGTCTTCCCATTTTCTTTCTTTTCTAAAAACGCCCACTCAATCCTAGTCAACAGTGGAGCACCCACGACTCAAATAAGACGCATGCTGCTATCTATAGACGCCATTTTAGCCACAGATCGACATCATCCGCCTCGTACAGAGGGCGATGCTGAAGATCCCTTCCCACACAAGGCATGATTTAGATGCGAGCGACCGATTTGGAACTGTTCCTCAGATTATCCTGGACAGACTTCACGATTTGCCACCCGAACCAGCTCCCTGCGTTGATTAGACGCGGGTTGAAGCTTGCTCGTGCCCAGAGCTGACCTGTTCTACAACACTTCTCAAACCTGCCTTGGCGTTCAGATCTAAGATGCCTTCAGCTGCCTCGACAGAAATTTCTGACTTTGGTATGTGGGCAAATTGCCTGGATTCGAAATTTTACTGCCTTGGCCTTGAATTCAAATTCAATCAGTGGTAGGGGAATACCCGAGCACCTTTATAGATCATTCTCCGATTCGAACCGAAATCAACAGCCGTTGACCTTCTCATCGGGTAGACCAATGGGGCAGGAGTCCCCTTCGCCCCCTTTCGAGGAAAGACACGGGGATGCTACCTAGGCGGAGCCTTCAGGTGATGCCGTTGTAGGGATTTAGCCAGTTCTTAGCATTCCTGATTCAAAGTTAAGTTGTCACGCGACTCATGCCAGGCATCACCAGACAATTGATGCCCGGAATGAGGTTGGTGACGTACTAGTAGTTGGTGACGAGCTCCGAGCTCGGTTTTCAACATATATCCAGAACTGTATCATGCCGGTAGGGGGGCTGGAATAGGAAGAATCGAAAGCTACATCCAGACAAACCTGAACTCTTTCTTCTGTTAAATGCGCCCAAAAACAAGGTCAGGTTCTAAAAGAAATTGAAGATTTAATTTACTCGGTGTCCATCTGTTTCCAAAACCACTTCACTTATTGTCAAATAGTTTCTTCGAACCTTGAAATTCAACGATCCTAGAGAGGACGGAGCAAGCAAAATGCCGGAGATTCCTAGTATCGAAGCCATGACCAATGCTGTGGCAGGAAAGGGGCATATGTCTCGACCAGCACCAACGTTTGCGCAAAGTGAATATAATGTTGGGAAATACCTTGCATATCGTCTGGAGGAGATTGGGATCAAAGACTATTTTGTCATCCCCGGTGAGTCTTCACTAGCAGGAAAAACACCCCCGCGAGCGGTGCTTATAGACATAGGGGATTTTAACTTGCTGCTCCTGGATCAGATACTGAAGAATGACAACCTCCGCCTGGTGGGCTGCTGCAATGAGTTAAATGCTGGCTACACTGCCGATGGCTATGCTCGGTCTTCACCACAAAGGGTCGCTGTCGTCGTCGTCACTTTCATGGTAGGAGGGCTGTCGCTTATCAATGCGATTGCAGGTGCGTATTCCGACAGAGTAAGGGTTATCGTGGTCTGTGGAGCACCTCCATCAGACACATTCGGGCAAGACAGTTTGATCCACCATACCACCGGCCTGAAAGATCGAGACCAGGCCCTTCGCATGTTTGAGCAAGTCACCGCCGCCTCTGTCCGGTTGGACCGCACAGCAAACGCCACGGCGATCTTGGATGGAGCGCTGATCGAATGTCTCGACAAGTCACTGCCGGTTTATATCGAGGTTCCAATCGATATTCCACAGATGCCATGTGAATCCCCTATGCCTCTCATTGTCCGGGGCCCTCCAATTCCATCGCCTAACAGCGTTCGACATGCTTTCAACGTCTTCGGCAGTCATTGGAGAGCTGCCAAACGCCCAGTGATTATTGTAGGTACGCTGGCGCGACACTCCCTTGCCACGGACAGGCTTGTCTCCCTAGTCGAGAAGCTAGGATGCCCCGTCTTTTGTCAACCGGATGCTAAGTCTGTGTTTCCCGAACCACATCCCCAATTCCAAGGTACGTTTTGGGGAAGCGCTTCAGATGAGGCATGTCTGGAGAAAGTCATGAGAGCAGACTTGTGGGTGGAAGTTGGATCCCGTTGGTTTGACTACCACATGGTCAAGAAACCTAAGCCCCCACAGGTGGCTATCCAGCCAGATCACCTTCGGGCCCCAGACGGTGGCTCCATCAATTCCATCACGATAGAGGATGTGTGCGATACCATTATCCATTCCGATCTCAACAGTCACTATACGGAGCCCAACGTATCGACCAGCGACGTGAAATTAATCCGAGATGGGGAGGGTGTGCATAAACCAATCAACCAACCCCTAACAAGCGCAAGAATCTTGGAAGGAATTCAATCGATACTTAAACGGGGGAACACTCTGATCGTCGAAGCCGGTGACAGTTGGTTCAATGGGCAGAAAATAAAGCTCCCGTATGGAGTGGACTACCAGAAGCAGATGATGTACGGTTCAATTGGATGGAGTCTACCCGCTATATTGGGATCGCAACTCGCCAGACCGGATGGGCGGACGATTCTGATGATCGGGGACGGGAGCTTTCAGATGACGGCTCAAGAACTGAGCACGATGATTCGACTAAAGGCAAACCCTGTTATTTTCATCTTCAACGGCCTGGGATATAAAATCCAGGTAAGTCGTCCAGTTGACACTATTGAACCATCTAACCATTCGGACTGGTCAGAGTACATTCCATGACGGGCCCTACAACTACGTTAGCAACTGGAACTATGCCCTCCTGGCCCAATCCATGTGCAATGTAACCCACAGCCTCGGCAATGGGAACGTATTTCTGACAGACCAGGCGCGGCGAGAACAACACAATCCTGCCATGTTTGCCATGCGCATCAAAACCCACGATGAACTACATCTAGCACTCGATCGTGTCCTCGGAGAACCGGAAAAGCTCGCTTTTCTCGAGTGCTGCATTCATCCGTCGGATGTCAGCGACAGCATGGTTCGATTCTGCCAGGCAGCTGGCTCGAAATAGAAGTGACACCCCGCATCAGTACTGATAACTGGCAAGCTAGATTCTTCGAGTTTACTACAGGTCAGACCTTTGGATCCAAGCTTCAATACCCAGATCATAAGGAGTGATGGATAGCGCCAGAGTGTAGCAAACTAGACACATTTTATGTTTCAGTACACACTAAATACAGATATCACAAGTCATTCCCACAGCCCTCATTTTCTATAATCGTCCGTTCCACAAGAGCCGAATCCATATAGGCCCTCAACTCTTCGATCACCCCCTCTTGATTCCACCGGAAGACCCAGGCATATTTGTTATCGAACCTGGTGCCTACCAAAAGTCAGCTGGAGGCTGGCTTATGGATATTTTCGGATGAGTGACGACTAAAGAGCACATTTCTTCTCGGTAGAGAATTGTGTCGAGCTCACCATTCCTAGTATGCCCGTTACTCTCAGGCTCGGCAACAGCCCACGGCTGTGTTCCTCCCCCAGCAATGTTGATGACCTTCAGCACGAGACCATCGGAATCCATGCATCTACCTATTCTTGACAATGGACCTTTTTGGAGATCGGACTTGTTTTCAAAGACACCCGATGTGGGGTGGGTGCCAGTCACAGTCCAATGCACGTCGTCGGCGACGTGGGTGAAGAAGGCATCGTAATTACCGGTCTCGAGGTTGGAAAAGATTTCCTGCATTGTGGGGATATCAGGATATGGAGTATACGATGCCATTATGAAAGGTGTTGGACTATAGAGAGCAGATTCCTCGAACACTGTATCTGAAAGGCTGGTTGTCAAGGCTGAGGTCAGCTGCATAGCTGTAACCCTAACCCGGCCAGGCTGACAAAACCATGTCTAACTGCTATCGATTTAATATGCAGAGTCACAGGCAGGACTCCGGATGTTAACCCAAACGAGTCATCCTTGCATTTCTGGCATGCTGTCCTACTTCACCATGGTTGTCCCAATGTTATAGACAACCTCCAACCCCCTTTCGGTGCGGGGCCTGCGGCCATACCATGCATTATCGGGATAGGTAATACACTGTGGTCTTACCATAGCACCTCGATCTGGACCAAATACCCCGCTTCCAATTCCAGTTTGATCACTCAGCACCCCCAGGCTGGTTTTGCGATTGGATTGAGGTCACCTCCGGGGGTGGTGCGCCACATCCCCGCACTTTGGCGCATCCATCCCAATACTATTACAGCCATACCCTCCATCATCCAAGCGGCTGTGTCACCGAATAAAGCCGGTGATATATTGCCAAGAATCATTTAGTACGATCTAAGTAGGTTTCCACCTCTTATAACACTCAGGAGTACACTATGTTCACCCTGGGAGCTGGGCACAAAGTCTTACCTTGGGCAACATCTACACGTATCACTCGGAGGGTTTAGAACCAAGCTTCCTTTAATCCTCCGAGTAGTCACCTGAAGGGACAAAGCACCCTACATAGCTGCTAAAGCTGCTTGGTACCATAGAGTCTTCCAGTCAGAAGTCAGAAGCTTATTTCATCTGTCACCGTCCTTAAATATGGATGCGGAAAGGTTATAGTTCTTGGATAATGGTAGATTGATATGGTAGGCTGATTCATTCGCCTCCAATACTTTTCAAGATTAAAAGTGTGAGCACTGTCTATGTGCGTACTTATCATCTCAAAAGGGTTGCCATCATCCTGAAAATATCAAATATGGCTGGCGACGGCTTCGTCTCCCCCACTTCTGGCACATTCTAGCACATAACGTCGCAAAGGACATAGTCTTATTCCGCTATCAGGAATATTGCAAGAACTATTAGCATAATGCAAGATACTCTGCCAGAGTCGTCCCGCAGGATCAAGATCAAATGGCCGCAAGTGGGCATCACGGTCACCGCACATATGAACGACACGGTCAACCCACGCCTGATCGACCTTCTGTTTGAGCATCTTCCCTATCGGTCTCTTCAAAACCATGCTCTAGTCTCAGGCGACCACTTGTACCACCTCGTTCCCTCTGAGATGTTGATTGTAAGTGGCTGTCAATGCCATTGACTCCCCGCTGTACTGATCCTTTCACCCAGTACACCCACGCGGACTACAAAGTACCAGACAGAACCCTCGAGCCCGACGGTACCGTCTTTCTTTCTGGACTGCAGCATCTTGCCATTAAATATGGCCCTCTATCCGAGTATCTCCCTGCAGCACCTTGCGGAAATGTCATACCCGAGGACATGGAAAACCTCCGACTCGCCGGTAACGCGGTGTGGAAAGCATGCAATAAGACGAAACAGATAATCGAGGTTATTGTTTGGGACGCCTCGCAGCCCGAGCCGACAGAGCATCTTCCACTTCAGCTGGAGCGGATTGGAGTGACCGATGAGGTGAAGGCTTTAGTTCACAGGATCCATGACGAGGTACGACTTTCCTCTGAGCCGCGAGTGGTAAATACCATCCAAGCTAATCCCTCCAAGACAGAAAGATACTGGTCTGGAATATGTCCGGATATCGAGACCGTACATAACGGCCTGGCAGGTTCATTAGCAGGCTCCAAAGGATCCTACTTCGCCACAATGGTCTTTCTGAACGGGGAGGTCCGACCACTCGGCTACAACATCCTGAACAATATCCTCGCGGTTGCAGCGACTCAACCGCACTTCGACCTGCAACACCTCATCACCCTCTACCGAGTCTTCACATCAACACCGTCGGAGTTTGTGGGCTACACAGGTGCCACTTTTCTTTGCTCGACATATCGGCAAATCGACGCTCTCATTACGGAGAGAATTCAACCCAATCCCGATACCGAACAGGCTCGGGAAGACTTTCTGGCTATGATCAGCGCGTTTGCTCGCTATGTCAATCTCTTGAATGCACAGAATTTGCATATTTTTCCTTGGAGACATACTATCGAGTATCCCATGAACCTGAATTAGATGGAACAATGGCTTTGCTGTGTTTCCTGCGCTTGACTGTACTTACCGGAAAGGCTGGAATAAAAATGAGACCATTGTTCCAGGCCGCAAAAAAAGCTTCTCTTGGTTATTGGATCATCTTTTAGTTGCATCTTCATCTCAATGCAGATACGCAGGATGCATCCTGTTCTAGCCATTCACCGCAAAGCAAGGCCAAGCATTCAAGCTTGAGCTTGCGGGCCGCCAAGTCCCGGCAACAGACGAGCCTAAAGCGATGTGTACTAATGCTGATACCACCGGCAGGTCACCATCGTCAGTCTCAACCAGGTGGATCAGTACACTAGAATTTGTTCCCCGTTAGGAGGGTATTGCGACAATATCCAGCTTCTCTTGGGAACAAGAGGTCAGGACTGTGTTGAGAAACAAGATTATCGCTTGCTAGGCTCAACCTGTGGTTTCGCTGGGTGGGTAGCTGCTGAGAGTTATCAAAGTCTGCTTAGATTCGAGCTAACTGTTGCTAGGCTAAATGGTCTCTGTATGGCTCACTGATGTGATTCTCGACGACTGAAGACTAGATATATATGCGGAAATGTAGCCGAAATGGCGCATCTTGATGACCGAACAGGTATGGTCACACCCCGATGTCTGCTCGCACACCCCGGCGGTTACCCAAAATTGCCCAGGCCTTGAGGCTTTAGTATCAAGGCAGGAAGAATGGTTGGTTCTGCCAGTGATATCAGGCATCAAGGTAGTATCCACAGATATGTAGACACTCCTAGACATCCATGAGTCCAAGCACATCAAAACTAAATTGGTGGCACAGCCACCTATTAATCACATATATATCTCAAAGAGCGGACCCATCACCTCCACGACGGCATATATCTCCCCCCCTCTTTCTCCCTCCCCTAGCTCAAACTCCACACCAAAACGCGTCAGGACGCGGTATGCAAAGAGCTATACAGCCCCCTGAGCTCAGAATCCTGTTGCAGTAACGCCATAGGACTATCACATTCAACGAGTGCCCCGTTCTTCAGCACGACGACGCGATCAAAGCGATCGATATACCGCAAGCGATGCATAACAGAGACGACGGTGTGATGGGCGAATTCTCTCTCGATGATGTCCTGCATCATTGTTTCTGTTGTTTCGTCGACGCTATTCCATCATAAAATCAGTATTCAGTATTCAGGATATATATCTATGTGTGTGTGTGGGAGAGAGAGGGGGGGGGTAGGAATACCTGCTCATCGCCTCATCCAAGACCAAAACCGGACAAGTAACACCAACGACCAACGCCCTCGCCAGAGCCAACAACTGTCTCTCGCCCATCGACCAATCCTCCGCTTTCAGATCCATATCTAACCCTTCCGCCCCGCCGACCCGTCGCCACAGTCCGACCTTCTCAACCGCCGACTGAATCGTCTCATCGGTAGCGCGGACATGAGGGTCCAGATTAAACCGCACCGAGCCAGGCATGAAGAACGGGTCCTGGGGGATGATGTTCAAGCGCAGTCGGATGTCCTTCGGCTGGAAGGTTGCCAGGTCCCGACCATCGATGGATACCCGTCCTTCCTGGATGTCGATCATCTGGAGAAGAGCCATGATGAGGGAGGTTTTGCCGCTGCCGGAGGGGCCGCAGATGGCGAGCTTTTCGCGGGGACGGATTTCGAGGGAGATGTTTTTGAGGATGGGGGTGGTTTGGCTGGCGGGGGAGCTGGGTGGGTTTGGTTCATTCATTACTGGGTTGAAGAGGGGAGGTGGTGGTTGTGGAGGTAGATGCTTACCCATGCACGGCGGTGATGTTCTCGAATGTGATCGCGCCGTCCGACGGCCATTCGTGGACCGGGGGAAGTGGAGTCATGAGATCGTTTCTTTCGGACGGTGTCTCTCGCATGAAATTCTGAACCCGGGAAACTGCCCCGATGGATGTCTCCAGCTGGGTCCAAGACTGCACGGTACGTACGATCTCCTGGTTGAAGGTCAAGACCATATTCAGAGCCACACCGATGGCCGCAGCGCTGAACTTGTCCTTCATCGATGTGATAATGGCCAGCAGGATGACTGCCATGGCGGTCACGACGAGATTGAGCACCAGGGCCAGCCATTGCTGGATACAAAACAGCATGTAGAATGGTCGTTGTGAGTGGTTAAGTTTGGTTTGGAGATGGGTCTGAAATGCAAGTTGCCATCCGAGGGCGCGGATGGTCGAGATGCCTTTCATGGTTTCGGTGAAGTGGCTGTACAGGGGTGATTTGGCTTCGATGTCGAGCAGTCTTACCTGACGAGAGGTGCGGAGGTAGTAAGACTGGATGATGAAGAAGGCCAAGACGAGGATGGGGAATGTCGCCGCCATGTACTTTCCCACGACGCAGATGATGATCAGCTTCATGATGGTGGATGTTCCGTCTGTGGGAGGTTGTGTTAGTACATGCTCGACGGAGGGTGGAAAGAGGAACGGGTTGGTTACTTCCGAAGGTATTCATCACACAGATGGGAAGATTCATGTCGATCAGATCCATGTCCTGGCTGAATCGGTTCGTCACACTTCCGGTGTCGGTTGTTTGGAAGAAGCTCATGGGTGCGTTGAGGGTGGACGCCAGTAGGTCGGTGTGCAGTCCCATCGCGGTGTCATTGATGATCTTCATGAATAACAGGCTACAAATGTTAGCAAAACAATTGGTTAGAAGCAGACAACCTTACTAGCAAGCCATCGCAATACCCGTGGCATTCAAAACCGCAAATGCCGTGTATACCCCGAGATAGAAGCCCACTTTGCCATTTGGGTCTGTCTCATTGGAATCGGACCACCACTGGATCCATATCGCTGAATTTCTGTCAGACCGAAGCTGGAGAGGATGCATAACAGCGCTGCTTACTTGAAAAGTTTTTCAAGAACGTCGAAACCAGAGAAGATGCGACGAAGCCAAAAACCATCTTGTAACCCGCACTCCTGGCGTAGTATTTGTACACATCCCACGTACCGTCGCGTCGGGAGAAGTCACGATCTGAGGGTTGGTTTTGCTGATGAGTCGCTTTGGTAGCGACAGCTTTTTCCAACTCAGTATTGCGGTCACTGTCAACATTTTCTTCACTACCTGGCAATGTTAAACACTTTGCTGCGATATCCGGTGTCCTGGATATGATATCCCGGTAAGCCCCGCTGTCAACCACAGCACCCTGATCCAGAACAATGATCTCGTCCGCGTATGGCAGTAGACGCTCTGTACATGTTAGTCAGATACCCACGATCGTGATACTGTAGTCTTACGAGTATGAGTGGCAAGAATCACCGACGTCCCGGCTTTGCGAAAGTGCCCATCTGGAGCAAAGAGCGTGGAGATAATGTGGCCAATACACCTCGAATCCAAGCCACTAAACACATCGTCAAGCAGAATATTCGGCAGCCTGGAATACATGGCTCGCGCAAGCGCCTTTGAAGCATTAGCCTCAGTCCATATTGATACCTTCAGAATACCACATACCACACGCTGCTTCTGACCCCCACTCAGCGAAACACCATCGCTTCCAGCCACATGCATATCTCCAGCAGGCAGACTCGCCAAATCATCGTCCAGACCGCACGCGGAAACGCAAAAGCGATACCACTTCATATCGAACCGTGTTCCGCCCGTGATATTATGCTGGATGGTATTGTTGACGATCCATGGCTTTTGGGAGCAGTACGCAACGTTCGATAGCCCGGCGCGTCTAGTCCCGTTGCGGATGACTGTCTCTCCTAAAATACTCTCGATCAGTGCCGACTTTCCAGATCCCACGGGGCCGATGAGCATCGTGATTCCTCTGCCAATATCTAAGTGGAGATCCCGAAGCACGGTGTCGGAGTCGGGAGACCATGCTATATCTACCCCGTTGAACGACACTAAGGTAGAGGCTTGCGGTACGGCTGCAAATCTCGTTAATTCCAGTCCTTCGCGCGGAGACAGATCGGTCGATGCGACGCTTGATGGGGTGAGATCGTCAACCACGGCAGGCTTCTTCTCCAAATACGCCTCAATGCGCTCAAAAGACCCACTACACTGCACGAGCTGAGGAACCGCCCGGATGAAGGTGACCAACGGGGACGTCAGCAGCGAAATCAAGGACAGCGAAGTGAACGCCCGAGAAGCCAGAAGAGACTGGTCGTTACGGACAACCGAAATGATAGCGTACACCGCAAACGTGGCGTACGGTGCAAAGTCCAGCGGGATGTTCGCTGGAAAATTAGGCTTCTGTCAGTTGTAATTTGTAGAGAAGAGGTCTTACATATCACCACCATCGAGATAAACAGCCTGCGGAAGTGCGACGACGTAGCGAGTTCGGCCTGTCGTAGCTTCGTTATCAGACCAAAGAGAACGTCGGTCAGCCCGAGCATCTGGACGGCCTTCATGTCGCCTAGCATGGCGGATGTTGCTGCGATTCTCGTTTGGACTTTCCCGACCCAGGCCTTCTGCGCGGGCCCGGTGCGGGAGGATATGGGGCGTGTTCCGAGGATGCATGCTGCTCGTGTCAGTGTTCTCTACGGTGGAAAATAACAGAAGTAGACCCGATGGGTACATACCAACCGTGATTCCCGCAGGCACGAGACAAACCAGGAATATCTGGCGCTCCAGGAGATACAAAGCGATCGCGACTTCAATCACTGAAGCCCACGTCTCGTGCAACAACCTGAAACTGGTGCAAATCCGCTCCACGTCCGTACCCATCAAGGTGAGCGCAGCAGTGTCTTTGACATCATTGCTCGTCAATCTAGTTGTCTGTTGATAGATCATGGATATAAGACCAGCTCGCACAGTGGTAATGAGCCGATACGCCTGACGCCAGTAAACAGCCGTGGATATCTACCACCGTCCACAGACCACGCATTAGCCAAAACCACAGCAACTCAACCACTACTCAGAGCATTACTCACCGCGATCCCCAAATAAACCAACAGATAAGCGCCCACCAACGCCCGACCATACTTTCTGATATCGTCCGTCGAGCCATCCTCAAAATAACCAATCGTCGAGGCGATCAAGAACGGCTGACAGAAGGTAAACCCACTCAGCGCCAGACGAGGAACAACAGCAGACAGCACGGGCCACAGATACGCGTGAAACACGGCCTTGAGAAGTCGACGGCTCGGCTTGCAGTCTACCCAGGCGTTCTCGAGTCTTTGTCGCGCTATGTCGCCTTGCAGGGCTTTATCCGTCTCGGGGAGATCCTCGACGGAGAGGATGTCCGAGAAGCCAGCCCTGAACAGGGGAGTCACCCAGATGAAGAAACTGCGGCCCCAGAATCCGATGACTTGCTCTTTCGTCACGTCTTGGTAGAGGGACCGGAGGATTTTGAGCTTCTTCATTGATTCCAGGAAGAGGGCTACGACAGTCAGGATGTATATGGCGGTCCAGAGGCCTCGGCAGATGTCCGTGTCGGGGATCAGCCATAGTGAGCGCAGTCGGGGGATGTCAAGGAGGGTCAACGCGGAGAAATAGACGACGAGAAGATCGGATGGCTCGATTGAGTGTTGGTCTTCGACGAAGGAGAGACATGCTGCCGCAGCGGTGGCGATGATACTGAGGACGTCGGATGTTGTCGCGAGTTTCGTGTGCAGCGCCGCCGTTTTGAGGCGGTTGACTGCGTAGACTACCTGGAGAACGAAGAGGGTTCCTACACAGATCTTTCGACACGATTATTATTCGAGCAGATCGGCGATGAATCGTGTTCTCTTACCGATTTGCAGATCGCAAGCCTGTAGGTGGTGACTTTGACAGGCGCCCTGCGGAGAAGCTGCAGCCGTGCGGGCAGAAGCAGGATCAGTAGGGCTGCGGGGAGAACGGCGAAGAAGGCGTCCTCGAACAGCAGGGTGAAGTCAAACGGTCGGCAATCCGGGTCCACCCGAGGCCCGAACTGATTGTCGCTGTTGAGGCAGACTGAACTCGCCATCTGGAAGTTGCTTGGGTATTCCCTTCTGGGGCAGAGGGACCCTGCAGTAGGCTACCGTGGAGATGCATGATTCTCCAGGTCTGAAGTCTTTATACCCCAGAGTCCAGTCCAGTTGGCCTCTAATTTCCGAGGGAAACACAAATGGCTGACATTATTGGACAGAGATAGTGACCGTTTGATTGCTTCTGCAGTAGCGTGAGCTTGGGGGGATGCTGGCCCAACCAGATGCTGGGGAGGCCTTAGAAGCATTCACTATGGGGCTGCTAGCGTTGGCTCAGCCACCACTGTCAACCCAGCGCGGAGGAGCCTGAAAAGTCAGGACACCCATGGTGGAAGATGCCAAGAAGATGGCGATCTGGGTATACAAGCAGACCAGATTATTAATACTGACTCGGGTTTCCCTACCATGAGAGTGGATTTCTTTATCCGATGAATCAGAGCACCAATAATGTACTCCGTATGCAACTCTGATATGTACTCTATGTATCGGCCTGCCACCCACCACTCACGGGCGCGATATCCGCCAAGCCCGGCCCAGACCAATCACGCCGCCCGCAAGCAGCGAGTCAGCCGGTTTGCTGATGTCCGCCCTGATGAAGCGATGACATCTTTGCCCTGCCCTACTTTGTACCCTCGACATCCGCAAATCCGGCCCCTTCGGAGCAACGAACCCCTCGGGATGAATCTTTTCTGGCCTAAATTTGAGCATCCACTCCGAGGTTACTCGGGTTTATGTGTTGTTCATGATGCCATACTAGAGTCCCCCGTTTTTGAGGAAGAAGATGGGGTCAAGTGCGAACACCTCCACACCGACTGGATCTGATCTATCATCCGGCATACTATTTTCTATTTTGGGCGATTGGTACCATGTCATTGGAGAAACTACTGTTCTCTGTACAGGTACATTTGCCTGCAGCACGCAGGATTAGCTAAGCCGGTCGCATAGTTAGTAACTATGCGAGTTCCTGGTGGCGAGGGCCAGAGCCCCCCGACCTTCTTCTTTGGATGCTAATCAGTCAGGACGGAAGTCCCGGTACTGTGTAGTTTGCATGTTGCAATATCTCACCTCTTAAAAAGCTCCTACCGTATTCCGTATATAACCATCCAAATCCATCGACAAAGAACCCGACCCAAGACTCATCAGGCCGCGTGTTCCGGCTGGGCCATCTTCCCCTCTCGACGTCCAGGCCTGCCCTGGACGCCCCATCGCCCATGATTCCATCATCCACGGCACGTGCAACAGTTATTTTACTGGTGAAAGACCAAGGGTTGGCACCAATGATGCATGCAAGCCAAAGCTGCGCGGTGGATCCGTCAGAATCGCCCTGACGTCACGGATCGCCGTTCCGCCAGACCCTGACAAAACAAGATTCCCTCGCATCCGCCGTGAAGGAATGCAGCCCTGGCGGACTAGTCCTGGCTACTACTGACGTGGTCCATCCATCCCGTCATTAAGGCGCTGGTTGCATTCTATAAGAAAAAAAAAAGTCGTTCCTGCGCTTGCGCTTTGAAGAGGTTTCGACAATAATTCCTACATCGATCCGATCCACCACACCCGAGCTCTCCCACCCAACCCACCCTCACCACTCTCCCTCCCCCCAACGCCACCACAACCCCAGCAATGGCCGTCATCTGGGGGCTGGATCTCAAAGAGATCCAATGGAGCAAATTCAAGAGCTCGTACATGTTCACGCGCGAATACCACCTGCGACGCACGAAGATGATCGTTTACCAGCTCGCGATGATTCTGTGTGTCTGCTCCGAATCAACAGGGACGGCGGCGTTGTCGGGTGAGTACAAGCCTTTCCATTACCCTTACTCCTTCTTCTCCTTCTCCTTCTCCTGATTCTACGCGTGAAACAAACCCGTATACTAATATTGGTGTCTGGCGATAGACTACGTCGACCAGCAAACCGAGATCGAAAGCCAACACCCCGGGATATACGTCTGGAACAACGACTTCATCGGCGCCGCGTCGTATAACATCTTCTGCGGGGTAGCGGTGGCCTTTATCTTCGGTGGCGCGTTCTTCTTCGACCTGTTCTGGCCGGAGCGGCACGAGAGCAGATCGGTCCGGTTGGCGTGGAAGATCTGCGCGGTGGTCGTGTCGGTTATGATGCTTAGTTCGGCGTTGACGATGACGGTATGTGTATCCTCGATGGGATGGGGGTGATGCTAATCGGAGACAGATTATCACCGCGATGCACAGCGCGCGCATCGATGGGACGGATGCGCAGACGGCCCGGACGTTTTGGGAGGAGGTCGAGAAGAAGCCGGCTTTGAGTACGTCCATTCTCCATCAGAATATGCAGTTGGAGTGAAGTATATGCTGACCGATGACAGAATATCGAACCAACCCCAAGGCCCTCGCGTCGGTGGTGCTCTCCTGGCCGGGATTTCTCTTTACGGTGGCGAGGTATGCTTCCTCCTTTCCCCAAGATGCCCCCGAGATGCTTCGAAACTAACCATTTCCACAGCACCGTCATCCTCTTCATGTCGCAACGTCACGACGACCAATACGGACCCAAGTCCGGCTACGGTCGAGAGCTGGAGGAGGGCGCCGCGCACGATCGTGCCGCCGCGATCGGGGAAAAGCCCGAGGGCAGCGAATAAGCCCGCCGCCAGGAGCCTATCTATGCCCTCAACACTGTAACTGTACACTATTGTATGCGATGATATTCACCGGTTATGATGTACAAAGGGAGGAAGACCATAAATAATGTCTTTGGTTCACGCGGCGCATTTTTTGACGACCTTTTTATGACATGTCAATAGAGGATAGATCTGGTCTGGGAATGGAATTATTTTGGATATCGCTTTCCGAGTAGACAATCTCATTACTAACTGATGATGTATATCCATTCTGCTGCTATCATGGGTGCCTCAATCGATATTATCACCCTCTCCTGAACCACTACCCGAGTCCCTCAAACCACCATCCCACCTAAAAGAACTCCTCACAAAAGGCCCTTGTCACCTCCCAACACCCTCTCCACATGCGCCCCCGTATACACCAAATTCAACGCAAAGAACCCGCGATGGCCAATGTAACCCCCACTCTCAAGCAAATCAAAATAATACAAATCCCTAAGCAGCTCGCCATCCGCCAACGGAAACCACAAACCCACCGCAGTCCCAAACCCCCCTGGTCCGCAAAACACCAGGGCACCTCTCCGCAAAGATGCTCTCCACGCCCCTCTTCAACTCCTCCCCGAGCTCACTACACTTCCTTAACGCCTCGCGGGTCATCAGATTAGCAGCCACGATCCCCGCGTTCATCGAGAATACATTATTATTCCACGTGCCGGACTGGGCCACATACACCCCAGATGCAGATACAGAAGCATACGCAGGATCGAACAACCGCATAATCTCCCTGCTGGCACCGAAGGCACCGAACGAGAACCCAGTGTTATTTATTAGCTGGGTCTTTGTTCTCCTGTCTTGGTTGGTCCTGTCCGTATACTCGTGTTCTATCCACCCACTCTCACCCTGTCAGTCATCCTCAGACCAGGGGTAGTTAATGGGTAATAAATAACAGTCATGCCATGCATGTGAAACCCCAATAAGACACAGAGACAGATAAAACATACAACCTTTTCCAAAGGGAAAAGGGAAAGGGGGGAAGGGAAAAGCAATGCCTCCATCCCTCCCACCAAACTACCCTCTCCACGCGGGCTATCCCTCCGTGCCAACCTACCTCCACCTCCGCTCCACCTCCGGCCTGAACCCCCAAGAGCCCCGAGCAAGCAACCGCGGCCCTGAAGGGTACTATAGCTGGTACGGGTGCTACATCACCCACGCCTGCGACCGTTCCGCGCCTGGCAACATCAACGCCATCCACGAAGAGGACGAAGAAAACATCGCCGACGTGGCCGTGCTACCGACGCACCAGCGGAAGGGACTGGGAGACGCGATCGTGAAGCACCTCCTCCAGCGGATCGAGGATGAAGTACCCGTCACTGTCAGCGGGGACTCTGTCTGCACGTATGTGACTTTGATGGCGGATGAGCCGGGGAGGAAGCTGTATCTGCGCAATGGGTTTGTGGAGTCGGCTCCGAAGTCGGTGGGAATCATGATGGTGAGGTTGGTTGGGTGAGATACTATATATATTCCGGGTGGGGATGGATGAAGGTGGGGAAGTTTGGGAGGAAGAATGACACAGTAGCTGATAAAGGTTGGAAGTTGATCCGCTGACATCAACTGGGTCCCATAGCTCAGTTGGTTAGAGCGTAACGCTAATAACGTTAAAGTCGAGGGTTCGACCCCCTCTGGGACCATTTCTTTTTTGCCTTTCGTTTTTTTATTATTTTACCTTGTTTCTGTCTGTTTTGATTGTTCGCTGGTGTGGTGGCTAATAATACTATAGAGAGAGGTCTTTGTGTGGTGGGGTTGATGCAGGTCCAGATCGCGATCAGCAGTCCCTAACCCTACTCTACTATATGTACCCAACAGCAGCCCCAACTAGACACTAGAATTCAAAGTAAATTGAAGGATGTAAAATCAGGGCAAACACCACATTAGTCCCGCACCCAATCACCCAAAAGACCAAACCAAAACCAACTCCAACACCAGCCAAAAACCACAATATCAGATCCCTAAACAGCAACACTCTCCTTCTCCTTCTCCCCCTCCCCAACCACCCCCCTTTCCCCCCCAATACATTCCCCTCGCCCTCCACATTCAAATCCGTCGCGCGGTGGCCGTCCAGAAACCGCTTACTCACGGTATTCGCGTAGATGGGAAACGCCAACGACAGGACGTAGAACGCCGTGGGGATGGCCATCGCCTTGTGGAAGCTGCCGGTGTTGGTGGCCACGGCGCCCGTCATGGGCGGCACGGCGGCGCCGCCCGAGATGGCCGCCACGATCAGACTGCCGCCGCGTTTGGTGTGGTGGCCGAGCCCGCGGAGGGCGAGGGTGAAGATGGTGGCGAAGCAGGCCTGGACTTGATTAGTCGCGTGGGGTTGTGGGTGGGTTGGTGTACAGGGTGGAGGAAGATGGAAAGGATGGGGCAGGGGGGTGTACGCTTTCAAACGTGAGCACCAGAATGAGCATCACGACGCTGGTCGTCCCAGTGGTCGTTGTGGCGGCGACACCGAAGATGAAGCACAAGGTGAGGTAGACGCCCATGATGTGTCGGGGTCTGACGCCCAGAGTCATCAAGCCGCCGGAGACGAAGCGCATGAATGTGTACAGGCCCTGGCCGACAGCAAGTAGGTTTGCTGCACAGACATACCCCCCTATTAGCCGCTGTTCTGAGCTCGAACCAGAAGGAGAAAGAGAGAAAGACTAACAAGACATGGAGGCCGAATACCCCGCCTCCTCGGCGAAATTGATAAAATAATTCGCGACGGCAACCTGGGCGCCAACGTAGCAAAACTGGCCCCAAATGCCAAAGAACAGATTATACTGCTTCGAGAGCGGGCCCACTTCCGCCGCGCTGATATCCTGCTCCTGCAGACCCATATCCGCGTCGGTGACCTCGGGCATCGGGGCGAGCCAGAAGAGGATGATGAGGAGGGCGACGAAGCAGGCGATGCCGAGGTAGACCCATTGCACGTTCTTCAGCCCTTGCTGGGTGTCGACGGTTTTGGCGAAGAAGACGCGCGAGGCGAGGAGGGGCGCCACGAAGGAGCCCACGCCTTGGATGCCCTGCGCCAGGTTGAGGCGGATCTCCGAGTATCGTGGCGGGCCGCAGATGGAGAGGAAGTTGTCGGCGCCGGTTTCGAGGGTTGACAGGCCCGCGCCTACTACGAACATGCTGCCGCAGAAGCCGCCGAAGGAGGCTTTTACGCCGCTGGGCCAGAAGAGGAGGCAGCCGACGGCGAGGACGGCGAGGCTGGGATGGTTAGTTGGGTTGCAGGGAGGGAGGAGGAGGAGGAGAAGGGAAGGGGAGGGTACCCGGTCATGAAGGTGACTCTGAATCCATAGCGACGCAGAATCCACCCCGAGACTGTGAGCGGACAGATGAAGTAGGCGCCGAAGTAGGCGGCCGAGAGCCCAGAGGACATGCTCGCGCTGATGTTGAGCTCCGACTGGAAGTGCGAGTTCAGGACATCGAGCAGGCCGTAGGCGAAGCCCCAGAGGAAGAAGAGGATGGTGACTGTACCGGTCTGTTAGATCACGATAGAATGCAATGCACCCACTGCGTCAAAAATACCAAGCAAATTCGGAAACAGCGACTGCTTGAGCGTGATGCCCGAGCCATCGGTGATGGCATGGTCATCGATCGTGATATTCCGTCGCCACAACATATCGATCAGGACGGCATTCAGCTAGCACTAGACTATTAATACCGTGGAAAAAGCACCCAGGAGAATAGGCATCCACGCCAGAACCAACCCCGCGTTGGACCCTCGCTCGCTTTTATCCATCTGCTTCTCCATCTCGGGACAATCCCAACCGAGTCCCCAAGCCATGTGCACGACCAACGACTCTCCACCAAGGGAAAAAAACCCCACGGGGAATGGCCCGAGCTGAAGCCCCCCCACGGCGGTTGGTCACAGAAACGCCACCACCACTGCAGCTATAGTATCCCCACTCCCCCGTCCAGCTGCATCGCCATGGGACCAGACGAGTCTCTCTTACGCGATTGGGCCGCCGATCAGGATTATCCGGGGTGAACGGGATGAATTGGCTCCCGGATGTAATTAAATCAAATTAAATTAGGTTTGCGGGGACATGAGATGCGATGCATGACTCGACTCGGGCAGGAGATTGACGTTGGGTAGAGTCCGCCAGGACCCTCCCCTTCGAGACCGCTCGTCAGTGGTAGGAAGATTTATCTATCTGGAAAAGAGGACTGCCATCAGCCTGCTGCTGCTTTCCGTCCACGGTATAAGACTCCACTGAGAACGACAGCCAGCCCAGACTGTTCGTCAAGGAGTGGCAGACCAGCCTCGACCCCTTTTTTAATCTGGGTCCAGTATCTCCCAGCAAGCCCTTCTTCCCCCAAGGAAGAGTGTGACGGGGGCACAATGGGGGAGCTTCGGTTTCCCGCCGCGGATCTTCTGCGGCATCCCCGCACTGGGGCGGGATAATGTTGCCCGAGTGGAAGCTGGAGGAATCAGGGCAAACAAGAGTTTTTTTTTTTTTTTTTGCTTGCATGCAGAGGCAGGTCATAGGTGCATAAGTGGAGATTGGTAATGACCTGCTTTCTAGATATTTTCTCTCTACTGGAGCATGGTGTGGGGTCGGAGGGAGATCCCCAGACCCTGTTGTAGAAGAAGTTTGATTAACGTTAGTAGAAGATAGTTGACATGATAAAGGCCCTTTATTCAAGATAAACGCTAAGAACAGGAGGGAGTGTTTGTCTGCTTTGTCTTTTGAAAAAAAAAAAAAGCATCTTGAATAAATATCCTGTTTCAACCATACAGCTCAGCCAGCGATGATATTGGGTGAACCAACTTTGGAACCCTGGAATAAAAGAGCTGAAGAAAATAGCTCAACATGCTTCAAACACCCCAATGCCTTACACCATTGCAAATAATAGGCAAGCAAGTAGATTTGGGAAGCCTACAACCATTCCTGAGGGTAGTTCACAGGGTAACAGAGCCAGATGGCCATTCACTGCAACCAGCCCGAGGCAGGCAATCTGCTGTCCGACGCGTGCTGGCCTCACCATCCTGCTGGACTGTTTACTGACCTTTCACTTCTCTTCCTCTCGCGTCACCTTTCTCCTCCTGTTCGACGCGTTCTTTCTCTTGGTGTCATCTCCATTTTCTACTGTCTCGGCCTAGTTCCGTTCCGCTTCCTCGGCATCACCGTGGACCTCCAGGGTGATGCCTCCAGCCGTCAACCTGTGCCACTGGCTCTCCTGCCTGTTCCCACGGGTGAAAGGTAAGACGGTGGCCAGTCAGCCTCTCCCCGTGGGATGCGGCCAGTGCGGCAAGACCGTGGATCTGAAGCTGTGCGGCTCGTGCAGAGCAATGCACTACTGCAGCAGTGAGCACCAGATGATGCACCACGCCACGCACCGACCAACCTGCGAGCTCGTCCGAAAGGCCCGCGAACGCTTCAAGTTCGAAGAAGGCCAGGCGATGATCGCGTGCGACGGCCCCATCAACCTCGCCAACGTCAACGACACCTTCGGAGCAGACTACCTGGTCGTGCACTTCTACCTGAACGGATATCTCAACTCGCGCCAGAGCCTCATCCGGTCCCTGCAGCACATCCGCACCCGCACCGCCGTCGAAGAACAGCTCCGCCACCTGATGGGCGTGCTCGAGATCATGCGGTCAGACGAGATGGGTCTCCGGTTCCTGATCCCCGCGCTGATGCTGCGTCTCAACGAGGACCAGAAGTGCTACGACTTCATGAAGTGGTACTCCCTGCAGGGCAGCCGGCGGTACGACGCGTGGTCCAACCCCGACATGCCCTTCCTGGACCTCAAGGACGCCGACGCCTTCGAGGACGTGACCTTCGTCGCGGACGAATGGAACATCAACCCCATCTCGCAGGGCATCAACAGCGCCATCACCCTGGGGCTCCTCAAACTCCGCATCATCCTTGACCTCCAAACCCTACAGGCCTCCGCCGCAGCCATCGGCCGTTACCTCCCAGTCGAGCTGTTGGTCATGATCCAGGGGTACGTCGTCAGATCCGACATCGTCGCCAACAAGCGTGCGCTGCTCGAGAAGATCGACCACGCGGAGGAAATCGCCAGGCTGGAGGCCCAGGTGCTGCAGCTGCTGGAGAGTGCGCAGCGCTTCAACCCGCGCATCTGGCCTCTTATCCTCTCTCGTCGCACTGTTCCCATGACCCCCACGTTTGACCCTGGCACTCTCGAGGAGGCGCAGAATGTCGTCGCCCAGTGCAGCCCTGGTTGGGCGGAGACCCCGGGCGCGATCGAGTACCTCGAGAAGCGGGCTGCCCATCTGCGTACCGTCGATAGCCCTCGTATCCGTGCGATGTCCCGCGTCATGCGCAACCCTTAGGGAGCTTCGTGATCTGGCGGATCTGAATGGCGCTGATGATATTGCGGTCCACTTGCGAGGGGATTTCCAGTGATGTGACTGAATAGCGGTGATATTAATGGTCCATTCCTGAGGAGACATGTGGTTATCTGACTGACTGGCGGTTGATGGTGATGTCGTGATCCACTGGTGAGGGAATTTGTGAAGGTTCGGAGGTGGTTGATAATAGTGGACATGTACGTGCTTGTTTAATCCAGTCAGTTTTAATTGTGTTGCTTGCTTTCCTATTGCCCCGTACGTAGACTCGAGTCCGCGTTCTGAAACGTGATTTTTCGGGCACAAAACTGGTCAGACAAGACGACCCCCCTTTGGAGACGGCCGAAACAAAGATGGAGTGAAAAGATCTCCACCAAAATCAGTATTCTAGGACTTGATGTGAGTGGGAGACGCTTAGAGAATGTCAGCAGTGGGCTACAACGAGGACACACGTCGGCATCTTCCGTACGTTTCCCAGCGGGAGCGGGCAACAATGAGGGGGGTCTCGGATTTATGCCGACTTGCAGCGGAAGTTCTGGAAGATGATATATCTTTACCCCACCCAGCTCACTAATATGAGATGGGAATCTAGTGAGAAATGAATAGTGCCTCAGCGTATATAGCCACAAGTTTCCCTGTAAAACTTGAAAGAGAATCACAATATCTATACTATACACTGACCTTTCCCTTCCCCAACGAAGCCGCCATCCAAAAGCGGATATTGCGGGGCAGCCAGCGGCCCGCTCACGTGCCAGTCCAGTATTTTGTCACCAGCCATCATCATCATCATCATCGGTCTAGCAATGTTTCTTATCACATCTTTCTGCTATCAACCAAACACTTTCAACAGTCTATGATCCTGGCTATTCAATACTTTCAAGAGAAACACTCCAACGCAACTCCACAGCCACCATGAACCCAACCGCCACCTGACCCAACAAAATGGAGCGATCATCGGCCCCATCGGAACGAAGTCGCCAGGCCTGTGAACCATGCCGGTGAGTTTAACTTCCATTATCTGGTAGCGGGATCCAAATTCTAAACCATGGATCCAGTCGGAAAAAGACAAAATGTCCCGGCGAAAAGCCCAGCTGTTCTTTCTGTCAGAGGCTGAACCAGCAATGCGTCTACCGCGCCAGGGAGACATCGAAGGTCCCTGGGAGGAAGGTTATAAAAGGGTGAGAAAGAGGGTGAGGGATGGCTCTGATTATATAGTTTACTGAGCGTGATCTAGGAGAGGCACTCGAGATCGGCTCCGAACGCTGGAGTCGCAGGTCAGTGGCATTTATGATGTGTTGTGGTGGGTTACCTACCTCTTTTTGGACGATATTGAAAACGGCTGATGTGATTGATTGATGAATTGGATGAAGCTCGCAACCCGGTCGAAATGGTGGGCAATTATCTGAGACGCCGGAAGGCAGTAGACGCGCTTTCAATGAGACTGATATAAACCCTCGCGTGGAAAGGGGTCGCGGGGACACGTCTGTTTCTGCAGAAACAAAGTAAGATAGAATAAGTGATCAATGCGAAGGCAGGACACATGCTGAAAGTCCTCTAGCTTGGAACTGCCCATCGGGGTACTAGCCCACGCGATTGATGTGTATGGAAAGAAGATACACCTACAGCCGCTCCCACTGTTTAGTCTTGATGCTTTACCGTCATTCCTGGAAAAGGCACCGGAGTTTCTTACCTTGAGCTTTCTCGCGCTTACACTGTCCTTCTCTGGTCATGAGTTCTTTCATGCTGGGGAATCAGACGCTAGAGAGTCTTATATTCGCTCTGCGGAAGACACGGTTTGGAAAATGGCCGCGGAAGGTGTGCCAAAGATTGAGGTCGTCCAGTCGCTGTGTCTGTTGGCTCTGACACATCTCAGAGGTGAATGTGGTGTTCACACTACAGAAGAAGCCTTCTAACCTATAGTGCAGATCGCAATGAACCCAAAGCATGGGTGGCTATCGGGATGGCATCCCGACTCGACTCGTTTCGGAATATGATCCAAACCCCCTCATACTCCAGCAACGACCCCACGAACTCAGGAAGATGCTACTGGAGCATACGCATCATCGAGACCATCCTCTCCCCCTCGCTGTCCATCCCAACACCAACCCATCCTCAACCGGCATACCCACCAAGCGCACCCCTCCCACCACCCCCTACCCCCTTCCAACACCCCAAACTCCCCTCCCTCCCCCTCCCCCCTGGACAACATCAAACCCCCCGACCTGGGCATAACCGCCTACACCAGCCAGCTCACCACCACCTGGAACCGAGTAACCTCCTACCTGCACGCCCTGCGCACCTCATCCACAACCCCCGAACCCCCCTGGTCGCCCACCTCCACCTACACAACCCTCACCACCACCCTGCACAAATTCGACTCCGACGTCCCCGACACCCATCTCCTCCGCAACGTCTCCTTCACCAAACGCTCCGCCGCCGACCTCCGCCTCCACCACGAGTACTGGCACCCGTGGATCAGCATGCAGTTCCTCTCTCACGGCTGCGCCGCGATCATCAACCACCCGTTCATCCACCTGGTTGTTCTTCGAAGCGCTCGTGGCGTCGCCCAGTCCAGACTGTTTCTGCAGCAGGCCGTTGACCAGGCGCTGTTCCACTCCGCTTGGGTATTTCGACTCGTTTGTGCGTGCGAGGAGCTGGAGTTTCCGGTTTGCGATCCGTTGGTCGGGCATGTGGTTGCGGCGACAGCGACGGTGGCGTGGATATTCCAGTTCGCGAGGGATGAGAGCATTTCGGCGAAGGCGAAGGAGCAGTTGGCGGTTTTTGAGGGCTGTTTAGGGAGGATGGCGCGGGTGTGGCCCCATCTGGAACATAAGGTATGTATTCCCCTACCCGAATGGCCCTCTCTCTGTTTGCGATGCGAATAATCTGACTATCCGAAGCGCCACCTCCTCCGATCCCTCCAATCTGTCTCTGTCACTACCAACGCAGCCAAGGAAACCAGGGCCCAAGGATCGACAATCGCCTTTCAGCCATCGCTACTCTGGGAGCTCCTTGACCCTAAACTCTGTAGCACAGCAGCAATGTCGGCCGACCTCACCGCCCAAGAAGAAGAGGGAGGAGTATTTCCTCGACCCACCGGCGCCAGGATGCATGTCACAACACAGTTCGTCCATCCGCTCACGGAAGAGCAGGCGGATGAGCACGACCAACCGTCCTTTCCTGGTACTCCTGATGGCGGTGGATCTGCTGCGCTGGTATCCGGCGCGGAGGGGCTAGAACAGTTATCGCTGGATGAGCTGTTCGCGCAGTTTGCGCCGGATGATTTCATCTGGGGGGAGTAGTATTGACTGGATATTCAATTATCACATAGGACATCAATCGATTACCTCTCACCTCAGCCTATCCACCGAATGCTGACGCCGTCAATGCTAGTAAGAACACTGATTTGCCGAATACGCTACTTCTCAAAGTCAGAGTGGCAGTATAGGATAATCGCAAGCAAAGACTCTATATACAACCAAACACGAAGTAAACACTACCTATCCGAGCTCACAGTCTCGCTCTCTCCCTCGCATTCAACTCCCGTCTAGCAGGGCCCCCACGACTCCCATCCCCCAGAAACACATCCTTCCTGTCTGCGTAATCTTTCCGGAAGCGCCATTTCTCCGCCAAATGCTGCACCAGACCCCGTTTGATCGCAAGAGACATGTATTCTCCCAGCACAGGCAAAAATTTAAAACCACTGGAAGACCTCATTAGCAATCCTCGTTCCCCTGTCCCCCATCGTCCAGGATCAACAAGTAAAATGAGATAGAATCAAAACTTACTGTCCACTGCCCGCCCCCCCAACAAACAAATTGGCAAAATCCGGATGATAATCCATAACAAAGTCCCCGGTGGGCGTATCCGTATACCAACACAGCGCGAGCCTGTCAAACGGACGATCCGCCAACTCAGGCAAAATCTCACGCAATCCGTCTCTGAGGCGATCCTCTCCATCCGAGGGGACGAAATTGCGACGCTCACGGGGCGGAATCAGCGGCGGGGCGGAGACATTCGACGTGACGGCCAGGGACTCCCCCTCGCCGGGGACGCGAGTGTAACCCCACCCGTGGACAGCCATCTTCAGCATCGCGGTCTCCTCATGCGGGGGGAAATTGAACCACCCGGTCGAGAAATTCGCGTAGATCGGAAGGTCGCGGTACCGGCGTACTTCGTCGGGAGTGAGACGCATATACCCGACTACCTGGGCCGTGGACAACGTGGAATTATACATGGGGACGAGACTAGAGGCCCATGCGCCGGCGGCGAGGATGAAATGGTCGCCTGCTATGGGGCTTCCGATGAGGGTTCGAGCGGCGGTTATGGTATTCTTGTGGTCGGGATCAGTATCCAATTCAACCACCGTCCCGCGCCGACCACAGATGAACGAGACGCCTAGCTCAAGACAGTCGTCGCGAAGTAGGAGAATCGCTTTGTTGGCGTCCGCCCACCCCGCATTTCTATGGTGGTAGCCCGCGAACGGAGGCGCCGCCAGCTCTCCGCTCAACACGGGGTATACGCGCTTCGCTTCGGCGGCGTCATCTACCTTGGTCCAGGGGAGCTGGGAGCGGGTCAGCGCTTCGGTGGTTTTCTTGATCCAGGCTTGTCCGTGCGGGCTGGAGCTGCCTGTTAGCATGAATGGGGCCGGGAAGAAAATGCCCTGGTATTTGGGCTGTTGCCATTTGAGGTATGCGGCGTGGGAGATGCGGAGGTAGTCGTCGTCGGCGTAGTCGAAGCGGATGACCCGGGAGATGTCGGAGCTTGAGCCATCTGAGACCTGGGTTTGGATTAGCGGGGTTTGGGGGGTTATGGGGGGATGTTGAGGGGAGATGGGATTCACTGGGGGAATGTGTCGGTCGAGAACGACGACGTTTCGGTATCCTTCCGAGGCGAGCTGGTGGGCTGTCGATAGGCCGAATACGCCGGCGCCGATGATGACGATGCGGCTGTCTTTGTCCATGTTCGCGATATATGTCTGATGGGTATTGAGGGGTTGGATGGAATGAAATAGTGTTGAGCCTGAAGATCCTGGGGTCGTTAACTATATGGCCGGAAAAGCCGGATGCAGTTCTCTTCTCCGCTTCCGCTCACGTGGTCGGCTGTGAGCCATAATGATCCGAACAGAGATAGACTCCATACATGTCATTGTGGGTGGTGAATGTCGTGTCCCTGCCTCTAGAGTCTGCGAGCAATGCTTATCACCACCTTGCTTGGTGGAGTGATAACACACTGTTGTGTGGTGGCCATTATCTGTCTAGAGAATGGGGGTGTGGGGACGGAGTTGGGCTGGACACATGTCGCCTCCGTCTCCGAGTCTGTTCGAAGAGTTTCCAGGGGGGAAAAGTGGGAAAGAAACATGAAATCAAGTGTGAATCGCCTTTATCTCATGTCCTGCCTTATTAGTCCGAGTGTCATAAAATGGTCTCACGATTTGGGTGAAGCGTTCATCGTGGGTGACTGACGAACAAAAAAGCCATCTGCCATCTGGTTAATTAATGCCTGGGAACTGTGAGTTACGCGGGTTCAAGCAGGGAATTCGCTGGACTGACACCAAGTTAAATACTGACACATTTATCAATGTAAGCCTTCTTCTGATTGGTATCGCATCAAAATGAGGATTGAGTGTCAGGTCAAAGTGTCAACAGACATTCCCTTCCCCCCCCGCCCCGTCCCTCCCAAACAGGCTCGCGGAGTTTCCTTCATCAAAACAATATGCATGAATGTTGAATATCAGAGAGTTTTCCTCAATCCAAAAAACATCTGATGATTATGATGCTCGATATTTCCTGCAGATATTCCAACCAAACATCATCTTCAATAGCGCAGGAAAAACTTCGAGGCTCCCATCGCGACAAGTATATGTCAGATAAGTACCCATTAGCGGGAACAATTCCTATGAAAAAATACTTTTCTCTTCCATCGACAGGTGGAATGTGCACAAATAGCTTTTCGTTGCCAATATATTGACCATAATAGTCCGTACAAAGACGTACGTGTTTCAATTTTCTCAAACAGATGGGGATTCTCCACAGTCTCCGCCCTCTCTCCCCATTGCCGCATATATCCATCATATTCTCCACAGACAGTCAGATCACTGAATCCATGGATTGAGATTGATACTCTAAGGGTTTTCAATTATAGACAAGGAAAAGAGGGACTGGTTGATGCTGATTAATTGTTCCAGGGCCGTATATTAAGACTCGCTCAAAGTACGCGTGTGGCAATTGTGGCCGATGCTGAAACGGAAATGAGATGAAATATAAGAGAAAGTTTCCTTATCATAACAGGTTTACCAGTCATCTGTAATGTAATCAAGGTACTTATATAATGAGCTTGTTGGATCATGAACTATTTAGCCCATACTGGCACTCAAATAACCAAATCCGCTAAAACCAGTCCGCGAGTGGCATGCAGGACAAGAATTCTCCGAGTAGGAGTTCTAGTCAACGTTGACTTCCATTACGGCTGATGGAGATATTTCGCTCATTGTTCGGGAAATCTAGCCGAATTTTCAATTGGCCCAAACATCGCGCATGGAAAGGTTGGTCGAAAATGCAATTCATCTGAAAACGCTAAAATTCATTTGACATGATGGTTCGATGTGCAGTGGACTTTGAAGCGAGCGGGCCGCTGGAGCATGCAAGAATGGCGGATACGAGAACCACGAGTTCTCTGTCCTCTGTGGATTTTCCCTGCGGCCGGAGCTTAAACCGAGCTCTCTGCATACCGCCAAGGTGAGTGAACTTTAATTGAAATTTTCGTGCCTGTTAAAATCCCCAATTCGTTCCAATGACTTGCACACAACCGGAAAATTTCCAGCGGCCGACAAAGGTAAATGGGGATGAAATTTCTACAGATAAGATCTTTGATGAGGAAAAGACCAGTCTGGAACCAAGTTGCAAGACTCAACTCGGCCTCGATACCTACACCTGTTGGCATTTCAGTCGAAGCCTTGGGCAGAGATGAAAATTTCACGGTCTAGAATCATGGTCGAGCTGTCGCCCCGAGGTCATGTGCTTGGCATCTCGTACGATCTCAAAATGTCTGTCCAGTTTTCAACCCGGACACAAAATTCGGGGCATGTCTCATGGGATGTTTCCTTCCAGTACGTAATAATCCTATGGTGTCGATGGTTCGCTACACCATTTCGGTCATTGATCCAATCATGGCGGATGCGGCGGAGCCTACTTTGGACCCCAACAAAGTAGACAACTGCGAAGGGGATCCGTGCTCACTGTCCATGCTGACCCTTTGCACTGTCACAAATGTTTGGACGATGGATGCGACAGTGATATCTATATGCCTGCAGTGCGACCGGTATCCATAAAGCCGAGTTGGGCATGGAACACAGTGAGTCTATTCTGTGTTCCGTTCTGCGCACGCACGATGCTACCACATAACTGATGATCCGGTAAATGAAAAGGAGAGGAACCAGTAAAGTTGATCAGATTCCCGCAGATAAGATTGATAGGTAGGCAGCCATGTTAATTTTTTTCGCTGTCAGGCGCCCGATCCTTCCAGGTCCTCACCGAGTCAGCAGATTTTTCACGACCGAACATCTGCGAAAAAGCGTATCGGGGGACGAAATTGCTTGCACCCGTAATGAGGAAGGATTGGAGAAATTCTCACCTAGTGCGCAGATCGAGTCGGAATCATATGGACTGTCCAATGGCATACGGCCATGGGAGAGCCGGCTAGACCCCTTCGAGGAGGTGGCCTGGCTGATTGTCTAGATTGGTGCGCGTGCTCCTCCCACCACGAGAAGGTGTGGTTCCATGGCAGAAACAGCCTGATCCGGGCAGCAACGGGTGGGGCCTGGCAAGTCCGACCGAGTGCCCCTATTGGCTGGCTTCCATCATCCCACCCGGCATCGGTCGGAAATTCCCCGCGTTGATTGGCCAGCCGTCCTCCGTGGTGATTATCTGATCCATCGCCCGGTTATCTGATTGCGCTTATTCCGCCTATTGCCCCCCCCCCCCTTCTTTGGCGCACGCGCCCCAACAATGCTGGCCCCTCTGCTCCATCGGCGACTCCGGCACGGTTTGTGGTGCGATCGGCCTTGTTGCCACGACCCTGGAGCTGAAAGCCGTTTAGACTCGAAGGATCATTCTCCACCTGAGCCATATAGGAAAAATTAAAATGCCATGATGTTGGCGCTAGTCTGGAGCTAGGGGCAAAGAAAAATGGATAACCAGCAAGGGAAAGAAAGGGTCTTGGGGGGAAAAGAAAAAAAGCAAAGCCACGGTGTGACAGGCAACTGCAACATCCCGCCTATATATACGGCCCTGCGATCGGCCGTTTCCTTTCCTCTTTCCATCGAATTTCTCCCCCCTTGTTCATCCCTCTCACCCTTTCTTTGAAGAGACCTCCCATCTCTCAAACTAGCCATCATGGGTTTCGTTGTCGACCGGCTGAAGGGTCGCAAGACCAACCACATCGTGGAAGACCTCCGCCCTGTGGAGGATTCCAGTGAGCCAAATGCGGAAGCCCCCGCCGACAACCTCGATCGCGCGGAGAAGGAGGCTCAACAGCATCCCGAAGAGGTCTCCACGACCGCCCCCATTGGTGTGCAGAAGGCAGAGGCTGCTGCCCTTGTGTGGAGTAAGAAGGCTACATATCTCACTTACGGATGGTAGGTTCAACAGGGACCAAAAAATCGAGGGATCGATAGTTCAGCATCGCTAACGACAACACAGGATCTGGATCTGCTACTTCATGCTTGCGCTTCACGAATACATCAACACCAACGTCTACTTCTATGCCTATTCGAACTTCTCCAGCGCATCCCAGGTCACTACCGCCGCTATCCTTGCGACCATCATTGGTGGAGTGCTTAAGCTGCCTATCGGAAAACTGCTTGGAATCTGGGGACGTGCGGAAGGTCTGATCATTTTCGTCGCCGTCTACGTCCTAGGTCTGATCATCCTCGCCTCGTGCAATGGACCCAACGCATATGCTGCCGGTTACGTTTTCTACTGGATCGGTTACGATGCCATTTACCTCATTCTCGAGATCTTCATCGCAGATACCTCAGGCCTGCGCAATCGTGCCTTCGCCTTTGGTTTTTCCACCACGCCTTTCATCTGCTGTGCCTTCACCGGATCTCTGGCTGCGAACTCCTTCCTGAAGACCGGTGGCTGGCGCTGGGCCTATGGTGCTTTTGCGATCATCCAGCCGTTTGTGTTCGCGCCCCTGATTTGCGTCTTCAAGTACTATGAACGCAAGGCCTACAAGCAGGGCATTCTGGTCCGCCAGGAGAGCGGTCGGACTGCGCTGCAGTCATTCATCCACTATGTCCACGAGTTCGATGGTAAGCTTCATTGCCCCCCTGGTTAATCCTTTCATTCTCTCATCCTCCATGATTTTCCTGGAATGATCGAAACCTAACAACCCAAACAGTCATCGGCGCCATCATTCTCATGGCCGCTTTCGTCCTCTTCCTCCTCCCCTTCAGCTTAGCCAGCTACGGTCGGACCCAGTACAAGGATGCCGCCTTCATCGCGGAAGTCGTCGTCGGGTTCTTCCTCTTCTTCGTCTTCGCCGCGTGGGAGAAATGGTTCGCGCGCGTGCACTTCATCCCCTACGAGCTCCTCCGCGACCGCACCGTGCTGGGCTCGTGCCTGCTCGCGGCAGTCCTCTACTTCAGCTTCTACTGCTGGGACAGCTACTTCTACTACTTCGTGATGGTGGTGTACAACCTCAGCGTGACCAAGACCGGGTACATGACGTCGATCTACACGGTCGGATCGTGCGTGTGGTCCCCGATCTTCGGGTTCTGGATCCGCATGGTGCGAGAATTCAAGTACTCGTGTCTGTTCTTCGCGGTGCCGCTGATGTTCCTGGGCGCTGGTCTGATGATCCACTTCCGTGGCTCGGACGGGGATATCGGCTACGTGATTATGTGCCAGATCTTCATTGCGTTCTCCGGTGGTATGCTGGTCATCAGTCAGCAGATGGCGGTGATGTGTGCGTCCGACCGTGATGGTATCCCCATCATGCTGTCCATGCTGGGTCTGTTCAACAGTATCGGTGGTGCGATCGGTTACGCTGTTGCTGCTGCTATCTACACCAACACCTTCTCCCAGGGTCTGCGCAAGGCGCTTCCCGAGGCTGATCAGGATCTGTGGGAGAGTCTGTATGCCGGTGGCTACCTTACCCAGATGAAGTATGAACCTGGTTCGGCCGTCCGTGATGCCGTCAACTATGCTTGGGGTTACACCCAGAAGTATGAGGCTATTGCCGCTACTTGTATCCTGGTTCTGATGATTCCTGCTGTTGGTATGTGGAGACACTACAGTGTTGACAAGAAGCAGAACAAGGGTACGATGATGTAAGGGGTTGGTGGAGATATTTAAAAAGGTTAGAATGAGGATGGAAGATTTGGAAGAGCGGATAATGTTTACTTTAATAACGGTCTTTTGATGATATCATAATATACATAGACGAATTTAATGATCAGGGCTGCAGGTCTGGTGTCTCTTACTAAAATTTGTATCCCACTGTAATCACAAAGCAAACGGACGAGATATCAGAGGGAATCCATGTCAGAGATTGAATGCAAGTCTAATGCTTTTTCTCTCTACAAAAGACACTACTTCTTATGCCGAAGCCATAACAATTGCCTCAAGTCCAGCATTCTAGAGATATTTTAATTTTCATGGTATGCTATTCTCTCTCACGGAGATGCAATAAGTCTCTGTTCTCCATATTTCCCTTCTCGCACTTCCAAATAAGAGTTTCAGTCCACAATATATTATTCACTCTAACCATATGAATTCCTCAGTGAATAATTCCCAAGCCGCACATTTTTCTGCGAAATCTTACGCCATGCAAGGAGGCTGATTGAGACGGACTCCACTACAAACACACTTAACCTTGACAGGAAGTGAAGCTGACGATCTCCATAAGTTGCCGTCAAACGCCTCGATAAGGTGCGGGGGAAGATGATAACACCATCCCACACATGTCTACTCCGTACTTCCTAGGCAGCTTTTCCCCGTCTGATAAGCACGGTCACTGATAATCGGGTGCCAAACAAGTCGCGACAAATGGTCCCTATCTTGACACTGCTCCGGGGGGGTGGGCCGATGGGGATAACGATTCTGGTGCTGCTGCCTCGGGATGCGGGCCGACAGTTGCACGCAAAGACTGATGTCGTGGCCCTTATGAAGGACCTTCATCCACTTCTCCTATGTTCGGAAAGAGAACTCGCAAGAACTTGGATCCTCTTCACCTGCAATTATGCCAATTTTGATACCCAGTCGACAGTTATGCATCTCCATAGGTCAGTCAAATCCAAACATCCTGGGAAGGCGCTACAGTCACACAGCATTAGTTACTTCCACGCACTTGCCATTGTAATTTCCCCTCTCTTCGGGGATTTATTACCAGTAGACTACTTTCTAGAACGAAGTTCAGCTCTGATACCCGTGGCATTATAGCGAGCATGGCGTGGCTGTAACTACTCCCACGGATCGACCCGCTAACACTACTACAGATCGCGGTGGAACATTCACTGACTGTATCTGCAAGGTACCTGGTGAAGAGGACATCGTCGTGAAATTCCTCTCGGTTGATCCCAAAAATTACGATGATGCCCCCACAGAAGCGATCCGGAAGGTTCTGGAGATCTACTACGGCAAAAGCATACCTCGCAGGACGGGTCTGGACACGAAGGACATCGGTAGGAAACACTCTCCCGGTGTTCAAACCATCCATTTTCTCACTCTGGCGCATAGAATGAATTCGAATGGGAACAACAATCGCGACAAACGCGGTGATGGGGCGCATCCTGGTGGCGAAGGGGTGATCCGCGACGTGGAGTTTCGGACCCCCATGACGGCGTCGGTTCTGTCTGAGAGGCATAGCTTCAGTCCGTATGGGATGGCGGGGGAAGACGATGGGAAGCGGAGATTGAATACGTGGGTTCAGCATTCGGGGACGACGGTGTCGATTGGAGGGAAGAACTCGATTCTGGTTTCTGCTGGCGATCGCATGGTGATTGAGACGCCTGGTGGTGGCGGGTATGGGAGGAAGCAGGATCGTCTGGGACAGGGTCTTTTGTCTGATATGTCCAAGGTTATGCCTTCGTTTGTGCCTCTTGCGAATGGCTCTGTCGAGGCGACTCGTAGCTTGGCAGAGCAGGTATAGTTGTGAATTAGGGTACTAACTACAGATTACTTGATTATGTAAACAGGACAAGGAGAAGGGTTTTCTAATTGAAAGCTCAACATCACTTGGTCATCTGCATTGGAAGTGGTTGTATGCATCTGGGGTGAGCTTTTCCCATGGGGGTATTTATTTGTGTCGATCTAACATATTCAGTCCAGTGTTCCATAGCCGAAGAAAGTAAGAGTATGAGAAAAGTGATAAACGAAAGGACAGTAATAAGTTAATGAGAATACAAGTCGCACAAGAAAACCTAGCCCTGTTACATCCCCAGCAACAAACTACTGGCTATCTAGATTCGGGTCGCGCCAGTTCCAAATCTTGAAACCGAACGAGTCATCCATCGTAAAGCTTTTCTCAAATAGGGGAAGCGGGGTCAGGGCATCTTCGTCGTTCCGGCTTTGTGATGGATCTCTTCGAGTGAGCGAGAGCCAGAAACGGGAATAGGGTCTACCCTTTGAGCAATCATCTTCAGAGACCACAGCATAGAGCTCCCAGTCCGCGGCTACTTCCTTAAACCCCGAGACGTGGGAAAGCTCTTTTCGCAACCCATGCAACGAGTCAACCTCGAACGGAAATACGTGATCATAGCTCAAACAGTCGACGTCCACAAGGAGAGTGGAAATCTGAGGAGTTATGCGTACTTGGTCCATCCAGTCTCGCTTGCAGAAGTTGTGCATTCTAGCGAATTCATCATCACGAGGCAGAAAATAGAGAGGTAATTCTCTGCGTCGGCAGATATGAAGGGTGTGCAAATGCTGGAGATTCTTCCGAATGAAGGCAAAAAGATCTAACCAGGGATCAATCAAGTATAATTCCGGATCCTGTCTTTCGCTATCGATGTATTTCTTTACCAAACTCCAAAGCCATGTTTCCTCAGACGACCTTTTTGTGCGATCTGCAAACGTGCTCATGGTTAGCTTGAGATGACGGATCCCTCTTACTCCCACGAATGAGTGAGATGAGAGGAATTCAAGAGCCTTTGCAGGGGGGGCATCGATCCAGATCTTGCTGTTTTCGTAGAGGGCTAGCAGCGCTTCCTCATGCACAACCTTGCAGGTGTACAAGATAGCAGTGTCCAGCGGCCTTGTACATCCGTTGTATTCCCTCTTACGCCGACAATAGCATTGCTTCGTCACGTCGGACCATCGTTTTGATTCGTCGGACCATCGGATGAAGATCTCATCATGGTCGGGCCGGGTTAGCAGCTCTCGATATATTTGATCGCGAATCTCTCGTGGGAGACGGAGGAATGGAAAATTGGAAAGAGGAGCCTTTTCGCGATGGACTAGAGACACAGATCGGGTACAGAACCACTGGATTAGTTGGGCCATTTTTGCAACTTGTCAAGATGGCTTTTGTTGGTTTCAAAAGCCACTAGGACGGAAAATTTACAATCAGTAACTGTCATTCCCCGAGGTCTGCTTGCGGTGATATATATAAGAAGGGAAGGTGGAAAAAGGTAGATGCCGAGAGGGGAAGAACTAAAGTGAGACAACTATAAGCTTTCAACACACAGTAGGATGAGGAGTTGGACTCGAATAGATCTTTTAGTGATAAGAAATCATCCTGGAGTAGGAGGATTCCGAGATCTGACCTGTTGAATGACTTCAGTTAATAGGAGCCTTTATTCACTCCATATGACCAAGTCATGAAGATTATGACTGCAGCGATAGTAAGGTAAATGGCGTTACTTGTCCCTACCCTTTCCTTGGCCTTGTGCAACTGGTGGACTCTTTAGCTCCATACTGGTCACTGGAAATCCCCTATAGGAAACAGGACTTCGCCCTCTTTCCGGTATAGGCCTTTGCAGCATCAGTTCAACCAGCCTTTCAGCCACGAATACTCAGGAAGCCGTTTTATTGTAGGACATTGGCCCATTGTCTCGGAAACTAAGAGGGCTTGGGTATTCTGCACTACTCTTACATGGCAAGCGCTTTGTTGTGTAATCAGCCCACACGCAACCTTTCCCCTGTCGTTTCCTTTGTCCCTGGACGGTCCGCCTTTCTGTCATACTTATGCAGATTTGAATAATTTTCATTTTTGGTCACCTCTATCATTTCAGCGGGGCCACTGCCTGCAGCGCCTGCAGTGACTGCCTCCGCAGCCTCCTCCCTGTTCCTCCCTCTTCCTCCTGGGGACGCACTTAGCTAGCCGATCCCCTACACCAATCCAACGGTCTCATAACCTCATTTTCCTTGCTGCTGTAGGCTCTTGTCGTGAGATCATATGCTACCCCCTTCCGTAGAGGAGTCTCAAAACACCGAACACCTTATTTTGTCCTTGTCCTGTCATGTCAAAGTACTTGGATACAAACGGTTAGAGTCTTCACTACATAATGTGTCAGTCCGTAGATGTCAACGGCCACAATGTCATTCTTTTGTCACTGCTTATTGAAACGCGATCCATGTGGTAGATTAAGCTGAATAATATTATTTACTTCATATTTTGCAACACAGCATCCACTTAAGTAGTGACCTAACGTATAAGAAATCAGGGTAGAGGCAGATATACACGGCCAAAGCCAGACTGACGACCATGGACGATGGCCTAATCATCGGGATGCAGATCCTCACTCTGCTCGGTATCTAATTCATGATGATCAGTTCCTCATCGTCAAGATCAAAGGTAAGGTAGACAAACTACCAGTATAGGGCCGGAAGGAATGCGCCTTAGCCTGAGCGGCCTGCGTCCGGTGCGTAGTGGAGGAAGTAGTGCCGGTACCACCACCGGTCGCAGACTGCTGCTGGGCTCTCTGGTTCAGTTCTCCCCAGCGTCCCTCCGAGCCCAGATCGTCGATGGACTCGACGATTTGCGAGCCCGTCAGATGGTACTGTCCGGACTGCTTACGGGGTTCCGAAGACATGGTGAAGACCGATATATCGACGTGGTCAAAATGAACTTGATAGCATGGATTTCATAGGGAATGACAAGTTGTCTTGGAACGTCGTTCCGGGCGGCCAGCGGGGAATTTAAGTATTCGGCATGGGGTGTCATGACATCGTGGGGTGATGCTGGAACCATGGCTGGGCCCGGGGCTGGGATCGCTTCATTGGGCGGCATCCTTCGGCTGACGCCCGTCAAAGGCCTCCGCATGGGGTTCGCCAATCACTGCCGGCTGTGGTTACGCAGCCATTGCATCACACCTCGTACGTCGCCGCGATCATTGCCATGCGATCTGCAAGGTTATCAGATGATCTCGCTTGATGGTTCACGTAGAAAGGTCGCGGGGGATTGATGTTGATGGATGATGGAATTGAATATATGCTGTAGAAAGAAGTGGGCATGTTGTGCTACTAGAACCTCTAGTTCAAGACACATGCTTCTCACAATGCTATCGATTCTTACTGAAAGGCTTCAGGATCTAGGTCGTGGGTTTCAGATTCCTACATGTATTTATTCATCGATAAATTGCCTCAGAAACCATGCTCCAGACAAGGACAAGACTATACATACACAACCCGGCCAGGTGATCGGGGAAACCCTAAGACAACAATACCCGGAGGCTAAACCCCGGCCTTTCATCAACGCCAGATCGAAAGTGACCTTACAAACCAGGTACCTTTCCTTTCATGTGTGCAATGAAGGAGCTTATGATACGGGGAAGGGAAAGTAAACATTAGCAGTCTTCAACACCGAGTGGGACGGACACCGTACGGCCTCTGCTGTCGCCCGCTGGATCTCGGTTGGTCCACACGCATGGTGAAGTAGATTTTGAACTTCCTGCAATGGGTATATTTTGCTTTCCTGTCAGGACTGGAGAGCCAGCTTGCTGGGCGATCGAGATTTTCTCCGAGGGTGTTTCGGAGACAGCGGTGTCAGCAATCCGCTGGCGTCTTTTCGCGAAATTGGTTTTGGTGATATGCGCCCTCATGCGCTTGGCAGAAACCTTGGACAAGCTCGATGCCCCGGTTGTGTTTAGGAATGTGTAGCTTATAGGCTCCATAGTTTATTCCTTTCTGTAGCAACGGAAAAGAGTGGGTTCATTCGGGTGGGAGGGGCCAGGCATCGCGGCGACCAAGTAGCGTCAACCCCAGTATCATTCAGTATCACGCCTACTTAGGTGTCTGGACACCTTTTTTGCCGAGTGGTCTTTTTGGTCTGTCAACTAGAAAGTTGCGGTCACGTGATCCCAGAGCAGCTCCCGCCAATATATACTCATCCTCCATGTCGGCCCTTGTGCAGCTCTCCGAGACATTGCGTGCTGGGGACGACTGGGGGCTTGGTCTGGAAAGGGCCACCCAGTGCTGCGGTGAGGGTCGCCTCCCGCTGGTGTCCGGTTTGGTTACTAGGCAGTCTGTGTGTCCAAATGTGTACGGAATCGTTCATCTGACCAGTGCTGTAGGACCAGATGCTGAGGAATGGGCACGGGTTGGAGATACTAGTTAATGGTGGGAGTTAGAGGTGATGTATAGTCAGGGCGTAGTCAGTTTGTATTGTCATTTTGGCTGATAAGGCAGGCTCGGAGAGCCATATGTAAGGAGTACGGTATGCCTGCTAGTCAGCTAGTCAGCTAGTCAGATGGAATAATATAAAGCAGATATTATCGAAGGCAGGTATCTCAGAGATAGTAGAGATGGGTTCCTATGCCCGGGATCTGATTCCAGCTCATATGACTATCGCCTTGGACTGATATAGTATCCCAGTCCAAATACCCTACTTGATTGCGCGAAACGTTTGCATGCATGCACGAAGCTGGCTGACAAGATAGACCCAGCTAATTCCCCAAGCTCGTGCTGTTCCCATATCGATCCGACCCAACACAATATCTCCTCCCCTGCACCAAAGCCCCATCACATTGAGCCCCTCCCAGCGAAGGGTTCAACGCCAGAAACAAATCTGACGATATCCCCTGTCTGCCGCAGATCGTGTTACAAGTATCCCCCGCGACAGCCGTATACCATCGCCCACAGCACCGGAATGCTGTGTCATTAACCCCAACCCAGTGATCGGCAGAATTGGTCTGTCCCGAGGACATGGACCAACCAGCCACGCGAATCCAGGCCAGGATAGACGACATGAAGCCATTAACATTATTCGCCGCGTATGTGGGAGTTTCCCCGACCGGACGGATCATCTCCACGGTACCCTTGGTGACAAGATTGTATATCCAGGTATCGGTACTGCTCTGGGAGACCTCCACAGCTCGCTGCTGGCAGTTTTCTGTCTTCAGACAGTCTTGCACGTAGTTCGAGAACCAACTATAGAAACCTGCAACACGACTTAGCGTGCTTTTGTCTGTTGTTCGAGTGTGGAAGCTCACCGGTGCCCATGATGTAGACCGCGGTGGAGTCAATAACCCGCAAAGCCCAGGATATGGCGCATGTGTTCGAGTTGGACGGACAGTGTGAGAAGGTCGGGTCGCTGGCAAATAGCCCTGTTGTGAAGGGGGTGGGCGCTTTGGGGGACGGCTGGAAATACGGGGATTCGGTCTGGATCATAGCCATGTAGAGGTCCCTGGCCCCGGCGATCTGGTACTGGTATAGAATGTTATGTTCCGAGGCAGTGGCGTACATCCATGTCGGGCCATGACTCTCGATTAGAACTCCCCGTGCGGCATATATATCGATTTGGTCGTCCTTGGACTTGCTGTCCAGGTCGTGGTCCGCAGTCCAGACCCATACATTCTCGAAATAGGCGGAAGACTGTGCGGTGAGATGCAGGAGCAGTGATGCGGCTCGACACTGTTCGTTCACTCGTCCTGTGCCTTTCGGACAATTGGTGAGCTGTAAGTCTGAGCCAATGGCACCGCCGACTCGGAAGTGGGAATCTAAAATGAATGGATGTTAGAGTAGTGTGCTGGGTGAAGAAGTGAGTTGAGTCAACCGTACCCCACAGACCAGCCGATCCCTGTGCCGACTGATGAACATTCCACTCCACGAGTACCACGCCCGCAGTCGGACCAGAAACAGTGAATAGCATGCTCTGAATCTCCACGATTCCCGTGTCCCCCGGATTGCCCACTCGGACCGCCACGTGAGGGTTCCTCTCATCTTGAAATCTCGCGCCCGTGGCCATGATCTGAGCCCACGCCTGTCCGATGATCCGGCTACCGACTGGGACATGGAGGGTATCTCGGATAATGTAAACCCCAAACGGAAAGAAGACAACAGAGGATGTACTCGCTGCGCGAGCCAGGATGCTATTCAGAACCGCGGTATCATCATTCCTCCCGTCTCCAACCGCACCTGCAGCTTTGACATCGACGATCTGACGGACCCCGATATCGGTATATGCCGGTCGTTGTCGCTGGAAGAAGCTCCGAGCCAGATATCCCTCGTTTCTCGTCAGGGAACTGCTGCGATTCATCGCCGGAACATCAGCACCGCGGTAGACCGTGCTGTTGCTACTTGCGCCAGCCACACGGCCAAATCCCCACGACTGGACATTCACTCGCGAGCCACCAGCCAGTAGTGTCTGACCCTTGACCCGATCCAAAATAGCCGTTTCGACTGCGACAAAGGCCGAGTTCTGGATCAGGAACGAGCTGGAGTTCTCAGCTAGCAACGACGTGACAATACCGTTTTTCGTGGACGCGATGACCGTGTCGAGGACGATTAGAGATCCAACTCCTTGTCCTGTGCTTCCAGCGCCGCCAGCCTGGCACATAAATTTACGTTAGTCGGGGTAACTTGCAATCTGGATGGTATCTTACGCCTCCCACCATGACAATCCCGTCCGTGCAATTGCTTATCACCAGGTCCTGCATCGTCCAGGCCCAGTCCCAGTGAATTTGCACGGCGGTTTTACAATTGAGGAAGGTGAGCCGCGTGGTGGTGAACTGCTGGTTTCCGAGATACGCTCTTCACGGGCCGTTAGCTGATCCCCTGCATGGTGGTGGTGGTGGTGGTGATGACGACGACCTACCCAAAGTTACCGCCAACGAAAGTGAGGTTGGTGAGGAATCCACCACTGCCGTTTTCCATATAGATACCCTGGATGTATTAACTCTCCGATGAAGGCATGCTGTGGGGCGTAGTGCGCACCTGCTGCGTTGTCCTGCCATCTTGCATCATGTAAAAGATGATGTTTTCGAGCGAAGTCCCTTGCGCTACTTGCCAGTGGATCCCGCAGACGTATGCCGTTGGGTTTGTCCGAGTGATGTCAATTTTGAAGTTTCGGATCGATCGCAGGAAGTTGTTGGTGTTGATATACCTTGATGAAGGGTCAATAAATAGGACAATAGGTTGTGTTGGAAGCCAGAGGCATACCACTCTTCCTTTTCACCGACATAAACATCTGACGAGATTACCCCGAGACCTACGAAGCTCGAGGCCGCCAGGATGGTCGGGTAGTCAAAAGGCTGTAAGCTGGTTAAATTTCAACTCAAGAATCGAATTATTATGAGTTATCTATCACGAACATTGCCATAAAACTCGGTATTGTAATACTGGATGATGGACGAGCTGACGAGATAAGTGCCCGATGGGAAATATACAAAGGCAGGGTATATCGTGCTCGATCCACAGCCTTGACCACATCGTCCCCCGTCCGAGATGGCTGCGTTGATGGCTGCAGTATCGTCGCTTACTCCATCTCCTGGTACAAAATAAGCGACTTCCATTGGCATAGTGGATGTACCTACCTCGGGCACCATAGTCTCTAACGTTCCTCCAGACCTGGCATTGTGAGAAAGATCAATCGGATCAGATGATAGCCACACACCTTGTATCCTGGAGGTGCAAATGGACTGGACCCTCTCTGTTCGATAGTCGTCATCCAGAATTCCGTACTTGGATGCGCTTCGGGATCCGTCTCTGCTCCTCTTGAAGGATTCGACACATTTTTGTCTACTCTATTCCACGCTTGATGATCCTGTGGGTGAGCATCGCTAGTGTACGGACTTCGCGATCTGTGTTCCTCGAATACCTGGGCTATTTCAACACCATAGTCGCCTGGAAGTGGCAGAGGGGAAGCCTCCGCCACAATACGCGCGGCTTCAACAACGTCTCGGGGAATTATGTATTGGGTTCGGTCAGTGTATTCCACGAGTTTATTGTTTCCGTGAGTCGCTGGAGAACTTTCAGCTCTGTAAGGAGGGGTTGGAACAGGCCGACTTTCATCAAGCGTATAGCCTCTGTCAGGACCGTATTCCATGCCGTGGGGGTGTTCAAAGCGCCCCCTATTCATCGCTGCCAGTGCCGTATGGGCCGCCCGTACTTTTTTCTCTGCATCCTGTAGAGTTCCGAGAAAGCTGAGAAAGCTTGCGCGGAGATTCGAAGCAGGCCCTTCATCCTTTGACTCAAAATCACGCAGTCCATGAGGAATGTCTCGACGGACATCGGGAAACCCTCCCACGCTGCTAATTATACATAGCAAAAGCAATGATATCACCGCGACCACAAGGGTAAGTGGTATACTGACCCGAGTACCATATCGTCGACTCATTGCTTCCAGTAGATTATCGCCAAAGAAGCGGTGTGTCGCAACGAGTAGAACCAGCCTTCGAAGCGGAAGATTCCAACTTACCGACTCTCCTGCCCTTCCTCCTACCCTACGGGGATTTTACTGATGACCTGTGACCTCGGTACCACTGCAGACGGACACGCTGTGGCAGCCATCCCTGCAGTGTAGCACCGTGGGTGACGGTTCCTCCCGCGACGAAAATTGCATGTCGCACGGCATCTTGTGATTATTCCCAGTAGGCCAGTTGATGTGTTTGCTTAGTTCCGGCCACTCCTAGGGGTCATGTTCGAAGTGGCATATTGGAATTTGAGTTCAATACCGAGTTAGAGTTGAGTTTTGTGTACTGTCCGGCCGAAATGAGATTTGACAGAAGCGGTTGTTACCAGGCCTGCAACTTTATTTGATGCCAGCGCATGAGAATGCCGATCAGTGTTGTACTGTCGGACGGACGGAACCGGAGACGCCTGCGGGTGGATCGTATCCTCCGTAAGCAATCCGGTGCGATGGTTGGATTGGTTCGCTCGCCTATGAGGGTTATTATCGCAGGCACTAGACGGATGATGATCAGCCGTGCCTGAGGCTAGCGCCTGTTAGTGACTCACCTCCTTCCCTCTCAGCTAACCACCAACCCTGTCGTCGATAGAACAATCTTATGACTTCGTCTCTTTGCTGGATTCCCTCCCATGATGTAGGCATTCGTGTCGATGACATCCTGCTGTTGGAACAGTCGGTTCCCCTTCCCGGACTACCCAAATAGGGCAATCAGTTCGTAGAAATCACCCATGCGGAGAAACATTGTTAGGAGGTAAGTTGTTGATGCGGATCTTATAAGGTCTAGAGCTCATGTAAGCCGATCTCCTGCGTGAGTCACGGATTGCATCTCCTTCCTTGATGTATCGAGGATTCCGTGACTCACTGACAGCCACCACATGGCGCTAAAATAGGGCCGGACATGGCGTGGATGGCCAATGCAGTGGCAGCTTACCGGTGGGATCCGTGCTGGTCTCGCTGTAAACACAATTTCCCCGCTGGATACTCTATCTTGTAGCCTCACTGATCGGTCAAACTGATCGAAGAAATTTTCCTATACGAGTCATTTCAAGCCACCATGTTAGATGACTGCATTCTATGGGGCTTATCGCAAGCAGCACTGACTGTTTTGATCTCCTTCAGAGTAGGAGTGGGATTGGCTCCAACGCAGCATGATTTAATACGCAGAATAGAGCCTCATCGCGGTAAGGTATCATTCAATATAAACATTGTCAACAGTCTCGGTCTAGATGGCTTCAGGCTGGGGTCCTGATATCCATTATCCTTCACGTTCATCACATTGTTGTTCATCTGTCCCAATGTCATCCAGCAACTCCAGCAAGAACATGGCCGCCCGCGACCCCAACACTTCCGAGGCTTTTCAAAAGTGGTCGCGTCCTCTGATAGCGATCAATATAGACGGTTATGAGAATGTGCTGTGTTGCTTTACGACCGGTGACAGTATACAAGGCACAGTGACCATCATGCCTCAGGAAGATACGAGTTTCGAGAGCTTAAGCATCACACTTGAGGGTATATAGTCCCATTCCCCTCCCACCCCACAATTATCATCCATCTAACTCGCGATCATCCAATAGGTGCCGCAAGAACCACCGTGGACTCCACCGCTCCCCAAACACAAATCCCGCGGAGAGAGAACAGCATCAAGAATTTCCTGCAGCTTCAACAACCAGGATGCGAGAAATTCTACCCAGAATCACGCACCCTGAAAGCCGGAGAAACTTACAATCTTCCTTTTACATTTGTGGTGCCTTCCCATCTTCTTCCGGATGTGTGCCGGCATTCGCGCAACAATCTGCAACTCACAGACGCCCATACCCAACTGCCTCCCAGTTTGGCGGGCTCCATGGTGCTAGACGATGGGAGGAACTTGTTGGATGATTTGGCGTATGAGTCCAGCCAGATATGCTATGCTATCACGGTCTCGATTACGGAGAAGCCTTCAGTAGTGGGTAAGCCGATGAAGAACCTGGTTACCCTGTCCAAGAGGATTCGGATCGTCTCTTCAAAGGAGGAGGAACCGCCGTTGAATGTGCTGGAGGGCGATGACGAGTATTGCCTGCAGAAGATGAAGACGGTCCACAGAGGTGTGATGAGGAGGAAAGTCGGTTGTCTGGCTGCAGTTGCCTCGCAGCCAAGGCCACTGCAGCTTTTCTCCTCCAAGACTGAGGCTTCCAGCCCCGGGGCAGTCGGCACTACCGCAACTGTCCACCTTCGCTTCACCCCGGAGGGCGATGAGCCACCCCTCAAATTGGGGACGGTTTCAACTACTCTGAACGCGACGACCTTCTACGGCAGTACCCCGTGGACAGACTTTCCCTCGAAGAGTGTCCATCGGGACCGAACGCTCGGGAAAGAAAGCTACACCAAAACAGTCCCCATCTCGTCGATGTCTATCTCATCGATCAGATGGGAAAAGCACAACACGACCGCCGAGAACGACGGGGATTTTGCCTCACTGAGCCTTTCATCGTCAAAAGATACGATGATATCGAGCCCTGGCAATACCGTCTATACCACGTCCATCACCGTACCGATTACGCTGCCGAAAGACAAGACTTTCGTCCCAACTTTCCATTCGTGCCTCATATCTCGTGTCTATAGTCTCGACGTCAACATCTCTTACCACACTCCTGGGGCCAATCTTCTCACATCCGGTATCTCATTGAAACTTCCAGTTCAGATCATACACCAACCTCGCAATTCTGACCGCGACTGTCTCGACCACACATTCCTCCCGGAGTATTGAAGCTCAAATATGTCGTACGCCGGGGCCCTAAACTAAAAGTCTGAAGATACCTGATTTTTCACAAGTGCAAGATTTGAAGAACAGCGCTCTAAATGTTGAATAATCTATAACGAATCCCAGGTTAAGAAATGAAAGACATTATTTTAAATCAAAACATTATTTCATTTCTTGCTCATAAGCTACTAGTATCTGGCAGTCTCAACGCCCCCTTCCCCCACCATGTAGATGCTTGTGATTGAACCAAGCTCGGAAAATATATCCAGAGATAGATGGCAGACACAATGGAAAGTTCTTCATCCAACGGATCACAAAATTCGGTGGCAGTTGGAAGAGATCAGCCAACGTCGCTTCTACCTCTGATGGAGACTCGCAAAGCCCCGAAGGACAATGCCATCGCATCAGATAGAATTACCATTCTTGGGGTGAACAATAAAATCCGGCCCATCCCACCCATAAGATCCCATCCGTCCGGTACGAAAGCTGTAGTTTGCCTTGACTGCAGGGCAGTGGAGGAAATGCTCAGGTAGATCTGCCTCCAGAAATGCTCGATACGCGGCCTCTTTGCTTAGGGGGTAGGAGCCACCAACCGGGCCCAGGCGTCTCCAATCATTAATATTTCCCTGCTCCCACTGATAGGTGCAAGCCCTGCAGTAGGCCCCTGGCTCGAGTGTCTGTGTTTTGCGATCCCAGTACGGAAATGCGGCCGTTGCTTCCAACCTCCAAGAGCCTACTGCAACGGCGGTTGAGGGTGAATTGTTAATTAATCGACGCCAAGGCCGTTTGCACTGGATATCTCGACTCTGCGTCCTTTCAAATTGCCAGATCGGGCGTTCGTAGTCAATTTCGCGCAGCTTGACACGGGCTTTGTGCACTTGCTTCGTTGCTCTGGAATTCCCATGGATCCGTCGCCCCAAGGCTTTTGCCTGAGCTAAGTCAACCAGCCAGTATCGGGGCGGATTGATTTTGCGGATAGCCGACAGTGATTCAAGGACCTGCGCCTCGAGTCCGAAGCGGAAGAACACCTCTGCCAGCGGCGCCAGTTCGTACTCCGGTCGGAGGAGATTGCATTTGTAGCAGGAGCGTGTGAGCGTCGGCAAGTAAAGAAAGGGCCCGAAGTCGCGACAGGTCCGGCAGTAGGGATGGCAGAACTCGGCAAAGAGTCGACGGACGGGGAAATATGAAACGCACTCGACGGCCTCCATGACATGGATCGTGTCCGAGGCAAGGGACCGCAGCAAGGAGTACGGGGGAAGGGAGTCTGCGACCCGCCTCATGATCGTGTCAACTTCACGAAGCGTTCCGATGCTGATCAGGTCGAGATCGAGGAGTATCTCGTGGAGAATCTCAACTGGGAGTCGACAAATCGAAAGTGCCGATCGTGCATGCCTCCTTGATGTTCTTTTTGGTGGAGCCCGGTACTGTACTACTGGGGGCCTGCGCTGGTATGGATCTGGGTCGAAATTCAAAACGGCATTGTCTGGTTGCATGCACCGATATGCTGTGCCTGAAGCCATGTTGGATAGACCGAGTAAATGCTCTCCTAGAGAAGAGAGTCACTCTACCTACGATTCTTGCGGGTTGAAATTGATCACAAGATTAACCGGAGTCAGTTCCGTCTTACTTGTTTGCTTCGGTCATCAATACGTAGGTACGGATTCAGTGTATGAACTACCTAGCTTCTATCAGGAATTATCGCTTAATAACTACGTACGATTCCTTGATTCAACATTATCTAAGGTCTACTCATGGTTGAAAGTCACTGTCCGAAGTATCCTCTTCCTCTTCCTCCTCCTCCTCGTCGTCGTCGTTGTGGTCATCGTCATCGTCATCGTCATCGTCATCGTCATCGTCATCGTCATCGTCATCGTCATCGTCATCGTCATCGTCATCGTCTTCGTCTTCGTCTTCGTCTTCGTCTTCTCCTTCTCCTTCTCCTTCTCCTTCTCCTTCTCCTTCTCCTTCTCCTTCTCCTTCTCCTTCTCCTTCTCCTTCTCCTTCTCCTTCTCCTTCTCCTTCTCCTTCTTCTCCTTCTTCTTCTCCTTCTTCTTCCTCTTCTCCCTCTTCCTGCTCCTCAGCCTCTCATGAAGACGTAGGAAGCGACCACACGAGGCAACAGGAAACAATGAGTTGATTTAGAGGGCAGAGGCCAGGAATCTTGATATCTAAAGTAAAAGATGCGGTTATATATTTTAAAGTAATTATTATTAATATACTTTTTAACTGCGATTTCTGAAGCTCTACAGATTATTTAACTAGATAATATATATAAAATTATAATAAAATAATTATAAAAAAACTATTTTTTTAATTCTTGACTATTACTTTATCTTTTTAAAATAAAGTATTTTTTTAAATATTTTAAATTTTATTATCTAAAAAGACTTAGTTAATCTATTTATTATATTTTTTTTTAAGAAAATTTAGCAGAACTTAATTTATTCTTTTTTTTAGATATCTCTAATAAATTAAATATAATTATTAAGCTATTTAATAATTAAAGTATAACTCTTTTTATAAACTAGATTAATAATATTTTAATAGTCTATATAAACTAGAATATAATTAAATATTAATATATTAAATATCTTAATTAATTACTTAATTTCTAGATCTTTTTTAATAATTTTTTTATATATAATTAACTTAGTCAGAATTAAGAACTTAATAATAATTTTTTATTTTTTATTTAATTAATTAATCAGTAATTCAGTAAAGAAAATAATAAATATTTTTATTAATTTATAATTTAAATAATTTTAATATATTATATTATATTATATTTTTATAGAATCAGTATACTAGAGTGGCTAACGGCCAGGTCAGGTCAGATTAATTAGAATTTTTATATCTAACTACCAGATTATAATCAGATTAAGAAAATTTTTATATCTGACTGTAATATAGTTAAAAACTAGATAATTAATTATTTTAATTATTCTTAATATTAAGATTTATCTGCTATATCTTTTTAAGCTCTAGTATAATTAAGATATATCTAGATTAAATAATTATTAATCTGGCTATCTTTATTATTATTTAAAAGTATATAAAAAGAAGTTTTTTAGATTAAAAAAATATAACTAAAAAAAAATTAGTATCTTCTTTATTATTATTTATTAAAAATAATAAGAAAATTCTAGTTATATTAATAAAATTCAGCTTTTTATAAAATTATTATTTTTATAGTAAGAAATATATATAAAAATATATAATTATTACTTTATTTTAGCTGTATATTTTAATTATATTATAAAATACTAGAAAAATTATATATTAATTATTAATTAAAATACTAAAAATAAATATATTATTTTTATTCTATTATTTCTTCTGAATTAGACTATTCTTAGATTTATAAATAAAATATAGCTCGAAGAGCTATTAATAAAATCAGAAATTAATAAATAATTAAGAAGATTATAAATAATTAGATTATTAAAATAAAGTAAATTAAATAAATTAAATAAATTAAACAGATTAAACAGATTAAATAAATAAAATAAATAAATAAAATATACTAGATCTATATTATAATACTACAGCTCTTATAGAAGATTTTATAAAAATTTTTTATAAATTTTCTTTATAAATATCTATTTTTTATCTTAGTCTATTATATTTTAAGCAGCTCTGTTTAAAAGAAAAGACTATTTTATAATTCTAGATTTTAAATATAAATTTCTGCTTATTAAATTTATTATTAGATTTATAATCAGAGATTAAATCCTGTTCTATTATTATATTAAATTTTTATTTTAATCTAATATTTATTAAATAAAGTTTTCTGTTTTTATTTTTTTATATTTATTATTTATAGAACAGCTTCAGAATTATAAATTAATTATAATTATTTAATTTATTTTTAGAGAATATTATTAAATCTTTTTTTTTTATTTCTTAGATCTTTATAAATTATAATAATACTTAAACTAAGATAAGCTTTTTAAGTCAGATCTTTTCTTCTTTTCTAAATCTTAAGATTATATATATTATAAAAAATTAGAAGATTATTTTATATTCAGCTTTTTAAAAAAAGCTCTTTATTTTTTAGAATTAATAATAGAAGATAATCTTTTCTAAAAATTATATATGAACTTAAAAATCGCTATTTTATTTTAATTAGAAAAAGTTATTAATAATATAGAATAGTTTTTAGAAAGATATATTATTTTTTAATAAAACTCTTTATATTTATTATATTATATATCTTTATATCTTATAATATTCAGAAATTAAAAACTCAGAAACTAGTTCTATAAGCTATTATCTCTGCAAGAATTATAAGAAGAAATTATTATCAGTTATGTCTAAGTAAATAATTAGAAGAACTAGTCTTATCTAAGTCTTTGATTATTATATATACTTAGATAGAGATAGAGACCCGGTCTTTATAATTTCTATACTATTATAATTACTGTCCCGGATAGTATAAAAAATAAATATTCTATATTTTTTCTTATTTTTTTTATACTAGATTTTATAAAAGTCTTTTTCAGAGTATAATATATCTCTTAAAAGTCTAAAATAATTAATTAAGCAGATTAAGCAGTAGACTATATCTAAAGAAATAAGAATATTATTATATCTATACTATAATTAAATATATATTATACTTTGTATATTATCTATATAAAAATATATATATATTATAAATTAATCTGTGGTTATTAATCTATCTGCTATATCTAATTTTTTTAATTAACAGATATAAATAATTATAGTAATAATTATATCTTAATCTAATCTTAATTATATAATTAAAAATTTTTTATATCTTAATCTAACTGTCAGATTATGGCCAGGTTAAGATTAAGATATAACAGTCAGGTTAAGCCACTCTACAGTATACTTTAGAGCTAGAGTAAGATTATATTTATTATTTTTAAAATAATAAAGAATATTTTTTATAATTATTATATTATATAATATTAAGCTTCGGTAATAATATTATAAGTAAAGAACAGAATATATAATATCAGATCTTATATATATTAATAATTAATTTAATTTATTTATTATTATTATATAATTCTTAATATTACTATTATTATATTTCTAATTCTTAGATCTAAATTCCTGATATTTAGAATTTATAAAATAATTCTTTAATAATATCTTATTTATATTATAATATTTTAAAAGATTTTTAATATAGATATTCTGATTTATAATAATAATTTTTTTTTATAATATCTCTGCTAATATCACAGCCAAGAAAATAAGTTAAAATATCTAGATATTTTATCTTAAAACTCTGGCTTAAATTAGAGTGGCTAACAGCCAGGTCAGGTTAGGTTAATTAGAATTTTTATATCTAACCGCCAGATTATAATCAGATTAAGAAAATTTTTATATCTAATTATAATATAGCTAAAAATCAGATAGTTAATTATTTTAATTATTCTTAATATTAAGATTTATCTATTATATTTTTTTAAGCTTTACATAATATAAGATTCTTAATAAGAATCTTATATATTTATCTTAAATATTCTTTTTTAGTTAAAAATTATATACTCTCTCCGGCCGCAGAATAATATTATTATTAAAGCAAAAATATTTAATAATAATTTAATTAGAGTGGCTTAACCTGATTATTATATCTTAATCTTAATCTGGCCATAATTTAATAATTAGATTAAGATATAAAAAATTTTTAACTATATAATTAAGATTAGATTAAGATATAATTATTATTATAGCTATTTATATTTATTAATTAAAAAGATTAGATATAGCAGATAAATTAATAATTATAAATTAATTTATAATATATATATTTTTTTTATATAGATAATATACAAAGTATAATATATATTTAATTATAATATAAATATAATAATATTCTTTAAATATAGTCTATTATTTAATCTATTTAATTAATTATATTAAAAAATATATTATATTCTGAAAAAGACTTTTATAAAATCTAGTATAAAAAAAATAAAAAAAAATATAAAATATTTATTTTTTATATTATTTAAAATAATAATTATAATAATATAAAAATTATAAAAATCAGATCTCTATCTTTATCTAAATATATATAATAATTAAAAACTTAAATAAAACTAGTTCTTCTAATTTTAATAATAATTTATTTTTTAAATTATTTTTAAGATTATCTATATTCTTATTTTTATTAATATAAAAGATAGTAATTATCTTATTTTTTTTTTATTTTTTAAATATAAAAATAATTAAATCTAGATTAAGATTATTAAATATATTTTAATATTTCTTATTTATAATAAAATAATTAATATATATTTAAAATATAATTATTTTAATTATATTAGAATTAAGACAGCTCTGATAATAATAATAAATATTTTAAGAATTATTAAAAAAATATTTAATATTAATATTATTAATTATAATTAAAAAAAAATCTTTAATTATTTAATAAAAAATAGAAAATTAATTATAGCAGAACTTTTAGTAAATAAAAATATTAATATATTTTATAATATCTAAAATTATATTAATTTAATTAAAGATATCTTAAGAAACTATATATTTTTAATATCTAGATATATCTTAAGTTTTTTATATATCTTAATTATAAATAAGAATCTCTAATATTTAAAAATATTATAAAAGATTTTATCTAGATCTGATAATAATCTAGAGATTATTAATAATATATTAATTATTAAATTTTAATTAAAATAAAAAGAGAATATCTTTTTAAAAATAGTTTAATATTTATAATTAAGAACTTTTCTTAAGAAGTAAGAACTTTTCTTAAGAAGACTTTATTGAACTTTCACTTTCTTATACAAATTAGGTGCAAAAGTAAGATAAAAGTAAGAGAAAGATAAGAGAAGTAAAAAATAAGAAAAATTAAAAATCAGATAATTAAGTAAGAACTTTTCTCTAATCTCTTAGAAAGACTTTACTAAATTCTTATTTTCTTATATAAATTAAGTATAAAAGTGAGATGAAAGTGAGATAAAGATAAAAAAAAGATAAGAAAAAGATAAAAGAAGTAATAAGAAAAATTAAAGATTAAATAAATAAAAAAAAGATTAAAAGCTAATTCAATTTAATTAAAATTTATTAAAAAATTGATTAAAAACTGAGAGATCTTTTTATTTATATTTATAGCTAATTGGCTATCAAAAGTATATAAAAATATATAAAATTATATAAAAATTATATAAAAATTATATAAATAAAACAGGGCTGAGAATAATAGAACTAGTAATTAAATAAAGACTAAAATAATTAATAAAAATAAGATCTCTTACTCTACTATAAGATAGACAGAACTTAGAATTATTAATCTATTAATTAATAGTCTAAGATAGTTAATTAATCTAAGATTATAAATTAATAAGTCTTAGACAGTAAACTAGCCAGTCTGTTTATATTATTAATATATTCCCGCAGTTTTGATAAGATAAAATATTAAAAAAACTGAAGTAAATAAATTACTAAAAATAGAAAATAATAATAATAGAATTTAATAAATTATTATATTTAACTATTTAATAAATTAAGTATATTTCTAATTAAGAAACTGCTTAGTCAGGCTATCTGCTTGTATTTTATTAATAGATATTTATTAAATATTAATTATTTTATTTAGAACTTCTTATCTTAGCTAATAATTAGTAATATTAATATATTTCAGACTAGTCTAAAATAAGAAATTCTTATCAGTAAGAATTTTGACTATTTAATAATTATTATATAATATAAAGAAGTATTGATTAGAATTAAATTCTATTTATTTAAAAAATCTTCTTTATTAAAGAAGTTGCTTGACTGCAGTAATTAAGACTAATAATTCAGCTTTAATAGTTAAAAAAATTATATAACACTGTTTCTTGCTTAGTTAATTAATAGAGTTATTAAATAAATAAATAATATATTTTATTAAACTAGCATAATCTTAATTATCAGCAAAACTAGTATTACTGACTATATAAAATAAAATAGAACTAGAGCTAAATTTAATAGCCAAGTTCTTTGTTTTTTTTAAATAGAAGATTAAATAATCCACAGCCCTGAGATATTTATAGAGTGGCTAACGGCCAGGTCAGGTCAGGTTAATTAGAATTTTTATATCTAATCATCAGATTATAATTAGATTAAAGAAATTTTTATATCTGATTATAGTATAGCTAAAAATCAGGCAGTTAACTATTTTAATTATTCTTAGTATTAAGATCTATTTACTATATCTTTTTAAGCTCTAGTATAATTAAGATATATTTAGATTAAATAGTTATTAATCTAATTATCTTTATTATTATTTAAAAGTATATAAAAAGAAGCTTTTTAGATTAAAAAAATATAATTAAGAAAGAAATTAGTATCTTTTTTATTATTATTTATTAAAAATAATAAGAAAATTCTAGTTATATTAATAAAATTCAGCTTTTTATAAAATTATTATTTTTATAGTAAGAAATATATATAAAAATATATAATTATTACTCTGTTTTAGCTGTATATCTTAATTATATTATAAAATACTAGAAAAATTATATATTAATTATTAATTAGAATACTAAAAATAAATATATTATTTTTATTTTATTATTTTTTCTGAATCAGGCTATTCTTAGATTAGAGTGGCTAACGGCCAGGTCAGGTCAGGTTAATTGGAATTTTTATACCTAACCGCCAGGTTATGGTCAGGTTAAGGAAATTTTTATACCTGACCGCGGTATAGCTAAAAACCGGGCGGTTAACCGTCTTAACCGTTCTTGGCGCCAAGACCTACCCGCTATACCTTTTTAAGCTCTAGCACGGTTAAGGTATACCCAGGTTAAACGGTTATTAACCTGGCCATCTTCACCGTCGCCTAAAAGTATATAAAAAGAAGCTTTTTAGATTAAAAAAATATAACTGAGAAAGAAATTAGTATCTTCTTTATCACTATTCATCGGAAATAATAAGGAAATCCTAGTTGTGTTGATAAAATTCAGCTTTTTATAAAATTATTGTTCTTACAGCGAGAAACATGTGTAAAGATATATAATTACCGCTCCGTTTTAGCCGTACACCTTAATCATATCATAGAACACTAGAAAAACCATATATTAACTACTAATTAGAATACTGGGAATAAATATACTGCTTCTATTCTACTATTTCCCCTGGGTCAGGCTATCCTCAGGTTCATAGACAAGATGTAGCTCGAAGAGCTACCAACAGGATCAGGAACTGGCAGGCAGTTAAGGAGGTTGCGGACAGTCGGGTTGTTGGGGTAGAGCGGGTCAAACAGGTCAAACAGGTCAAACAGGTCAAACAGGTCGAACGGGTAGAACAGGTAAACAGGGTACACTAGGTCTGCACTGTGATACTACAGCTCTTATAGAAGATCCTGTAAAAGCCTTTTGCAGACCTCTCCTATGAATATCTACTTTCTACCCTAGTCTATTATGCCTTAAGCAGCTCTGTTTAAGAGAAGGGACTATTCTATAACTCTGGGCTCCAGATATGAATTCCTGGTTGCTAGGCCTACTGAAATGAATAAGATACGGCGGGCGCCTCAGCTGCATGTTAAAATATGATAGATCACATTTACGCGAAGTCGTGTCTTGAAGCAAAACAAACTGCCTTTGCAGAGTTTTCTGCTTCTATCTTTCTATATCTATTATTTGCAGAACAGCTTCAGAATCATGAGTCAATTGCAGTCATCTGGTTTATTTTCAGAGAATACTATCGAGCCTTCTTCTTCCGTTTCTCAGACCTTTACAAACCATGATAATGCCCAAACTGAGATAAGCTTCTCAAGTCAGATCTTTCCTCCTCCCCCAAATCTCGAGATTACACGCGTCGCGAAGAATCGGAAGATTGTCCCATATCCAGCTCTCGTCGAGACGTGCGAAGAACTTAAGGCATATCTAGATATTGAAGGTATGTAGCTTCTTAAGACATCTTCGATCGAACTAATACGATTCCAGGTACTACAGGGCATACTGATATTCTTGCTTACTGGAAGTCCCGCCGTGATCAGTTTCCTATTCTCTACCAGATAGCTAGAGATTTCCTCTCGGTCGCAACCAATGGTGTCAGTGTTGAACGTCTTTTCAACAGTTCTCGAGATATCTGCCACTATCGCCGGAGCCGTCTCGATCCTGATATAATTGAAGCAGTTATGCTTCAAATGTGTATCGATTGTTTTACTATAAGTGAGGAGTATCAGGATATGCTTGATGATCTCAATCCAGATTCGATCATCTTTACACCCAAGGAGCAAGAGGAGGATGAGGTGATTACTACCTTCTATATTAGTGAGAATGAGGATATAGATGATCTTGAAGATGACCCAGAGGATGGGTTATTATCAGAATTAGGAGAACTAGCCTTACCTGAGTCTTCGACTATCACACGTACTCAGGTAGAGATAGAGACCCGGCCTTTACAATTCCTACGCCATCATGATCACCGTCCCGGACAGTATAAAGAATAAATATTCTGTATCTTTTCTTATTTCTTCTATACTAGGTTCTGTAAAAGCCTTTTCCAGAGTGTAGTATACCTCTTAAGGCGACCGGTTGAGCAGGTCGAGCAGTAGGCTATATCTAAAGAATATTACTATGTCTATACTGTAATTAAATATATATTACACTTTGTATATTATCTATGTAAGAAGGATGTATATATTACGAATTAACCTGCGGTTATTAACCTACCTGCTATACCTGACCTTCCTGACCGGCAGGTATAAACGGTTATAGTGACGGTTGTACCTTAACCTGACCTTAACCGTACGGTTAAAAATTTTTTATACCTTAACCTGACCGCCAGGTTATGGCCAGGTTAAGGTTAAGGTATAACGGTCAGGTTAAGCCACTCTATCTTAGATTTATAAATAAGATATAGCTCGAAGAGCTATTAATAAAATTAGAAACTAGCAGATAGTTAAGAAGATTATAAATAATTAGATTATTAGAATAGAGCAGATTAAATAGATTAAATAGATTAAATAGATTAAACAGATTAAATAAATAAAATAAATAAATAGAATATATTAGATCTGTACTGTAATATTATAGCTTTTATAAAAGATTTTATAAAAATTTTTTATAGATTTTTTTTATAAATATCTATTTTCTATTTTAATTTATTATATTTTAAGTAGCTCTGTTTAAAAAAAAAATTATTTTATAACTCTGGGCTTTAAATATAAATTTCTGCTTACTAAATTTATTAAAATAAATAAAATACAGCGGGCGTCTTAGCTGTATATTAAAATATAATAGATTATATTTATATAAAGTTATGTTTTAAAATAAAATAAACTGTCTTTATAGAGTTTTCTGCTTTTATTTTTTTATATTTATTATTTATAGAACAGCTTTAGAATTATAAGTTAATTATAATTATCTAGTTTATTTTTAAAAAATATTATCAAGTCTTCTTTTTTTATTTCTTAGATCTTTATAAATTATAATAATACTTAAACTAAGATAAGCTTCTTAAGTCAGATTTTTTCTTCTTCTTTAAATCTTAAGATTATATATATTACAAGAAATTGGAAGATTATTTTATATTCAGCTCTTTAAAAAAAGCTCTTTATTTTTTAGAATTAATAATAGAAGATAATCTTTTCTAAAGATTATATATAAATTAAAAAACTGCTATTTTATTTTAATTAAGAAAAATTATTAATAATATAAGACAGCTTTCAGAAAGATATATTATTTTTTAATAAAATCTTTTATATCTATTATATTATATATCTTTATATTTTATAATATCTGAGAATTAAAAACTCAGAAACTAGTTTTATAAACTATTATCTCTGTAAAAATTATAAGAAGAAATTATTATTAGTTATATCTAAGTAAATAATTAGTCAGATACTAAGTAAAGAGTTATTATAGATATTTATTTATTTTTTTAAAATAAATCTTTTTTAATTATTATTTTTCTCTAGATTTTTATAATTTATAATAAACAGAATTTTTAGAATTAAGTTCTATACTTTATAATTGCCTGTTATCTACTGTTTTAAATTATTAGGTATATTTAATTTAAATAGATAATTAATCTTACTGTTTTATCTTTCTGCCGAAAATTAAGTTTTTCTAATTAAATATAGATTAAAGAATATTTTATAGAATTATCTGAAGAGATATATATATAGTTATTATTAAAGTTCTTGAATATTAAATAAATATTAATTATAATAGACTGCTGGATTAGTTCTGATCAGAAAATATTTCTTGATTTAATTAGATATTTCTTAATAAAAAATATAGACTATTATAAGATTTTGCTAGGCTTCTGATTAATATCTAGATTTTATATTAATAAGAATCTAGCTGTAATTATTCTATTAGTCTTATATAAATATAATCTTGTTTATTAATTATTAGATATAATAACTAATAATACTAGTAATAATAATATAATATTTAGTATAATCTTAGCTGAATTCTGAACTTAACTTAGTCAGAGTATTTAGTTTTATAATATTCTAGTTAATTTTAATTTTTTAAAGATTATTTAAAGCTAGTATTATATTCTCTGTCTTATTTATATAATTTAGCTTATAATTAATATTCTTCTGCGGAAACTTTAGATTGAGATTTTAAATAATACTATTAAATATATATAAAAAAATAATAATAAAAGTCTTAAAGTCTTTTTTAATATTTTAAAAATTTTTAAGAAAATATATTCTAAAAGCTATCTGTAAAAGACTAATATAGAATTTTTTTTTATAAAAAGTTTCTAGAAGTCTTTTATCAGCTAGTTTATTATATTAATTCTTAATTATAGATTTAAAAGATTATATAATTTATAAATATAAGTTCTTAATACTATAAGAAGTTCTTATTTATTTAATAACTTAAATCTGGCTTAGTCTATTATTTTTTTTTTAATTATAAAACTTGCTGGAACTTAATCTATTTTATAATTTATTAAATACTTAAATTTTGTTAAGTAATTAAAAGTTTTATTTAATATTATAAGTATAATAATATTAATTATCTTTATTTTATTATAATAGAGTAAAAATAGATAAAATATCTTCTTAAGCTTTTATATTTTTTTTTTTTTATTTTCTGTTTTTCTAAGAATAATGGGCCTACTGTTTATAAGATTTATAATATTTATAATAATTTTTTTAATTATCTGAATTATTTAATTAACAGACTAGAAAAAAAGTAGATATTCTGAAAGAAGAAGATTCTTGAGAGCTTATATAATATATATTAGAAGCTTTAAAAATATTATTATTATATTTATCAGACAGAAGACTATATCTATATAATTATAACTATTCTAGACCTGATATTAAAGCTTAAGAAATTTAAGAAAGATATATAGCTAGATAAGAATATTAACTAGTATTATAAATATTAAACTATCTTTAAGAAGATATTCTCTTTTTATTTTAATTAAAATTTAATAATTAATATATTATTAATAATCTTCGGATTATTATCAGATCTGGATAAGATCTTTTATAATATTTCTAAATACTGAAGATTCTTATCCGCAGTTAAGATATATAAAAAACTTAAGATATATCTAGATATTAAAGATATATAGTTTTTTAAGATATTTTTAATTAAATTAATATAATTTTAAATACTATAAAATATACTAATATTCTTGCTTACTAAAAGTTCTGCTATAATTAGTTTTCTATTCTTTATTAAATAATTAGAGATTTTCTCTCAGTTATAATTAATAGTATTAATATTAAATATTTTTTTAATAATTCTTAAGATATCTATTACTATCACCGAAGCTGTCTTAATTTTAATATAATTAAAGTAGTTATACTTTAAATATATATTAATTATTTTATTATAAGTAAGAAGTATCAGAATATATTTAATAATCTTAATTTAGATTTAATTATTTTTATATTCAAGAAGCAAGAGAAGAATAAGATAATTATTATTTTTTATATTAGTAAGAATAAGAATATAAATAATCTTAAAGATAATTCAGAAAATAAATTATTATTAAAATTAGAAGAATTAGTCTTATTTAAGTCTTTAATTATTATATATATTTAGATAAAGATAAAGATCTAGTCTTTATAATTTCTATGCTATTATAATTATTATTCTGAATAGTATAAAAAATAAATATTCTATATTTTTTCTTATTTTTTTTATACTAGATTTTATAAAAATCTTTTTCAGAGTATAATATATCTCTTAATATAATTAATTAAGTAGATTAAGTAATAAACTATATCTAAAGAATATTATTATTTCTAGACTATAATTAAATATATATTATACTTTATATATTATTTATATAAAAAGAATATATATATTATAAATTAATCTGTGATTATTAATCTATCTGCTATATCTAATCTTTCTAATTAGCAGATATAAATAGTTATAGTAATAATTATATCTTAATCTGATCTTAATTATATAATTAAAAATTTTTTATATCTTAATCTGATCGCCAGGTTATGACCAGGTTAAGGTTAAGATATAATGATCAGGTTAAGCCACTCTAAGTCTAATAAAAAACTGAATAATATTATTATTTTTTTTAGCTTATTAAGAATCTTTTAGATAAAATATAATTAATTAAGTAAGATATAATTTTAAAAATAATTAAGAGATTATTTAAACTTTTCTGTATATTAATAATAAATCTTTTATTTAAAAATTCTTGATAACTGTTTTATATTTAATTATAGATAATAGAATAATATAATAATCAGAATTATTCTTTATAAATTTAATAAATTATAATTAATATTCTACAGAGATTTCTGTATCAGAATCTAGATTATTTTTATTATTATAATATATCTTTATTTTATATAGTTTAATATAATATAATTAATAAATCTTACAGTCTGAAGAACTCTAAATCTTTAATATATAATTATACTCTTTTTTATATTTAATTAAGTATTTTTTAATTATTCTTAAAGATATTTTTCTTGCCTGTATATATATCTTCTTAAATAAATAAATATATATCTAATATTTAAAAATATATAGAAAATTAAGAATAGACTTTAAATTAGATAATTTATAATATTTATATTATTTTTATAGCAAAGACTTATTAGTCTTGTTATTTAGATAGATTAGTTAATTAATAATTAGATTAGCAGTATTAATCGCGAAAGACTATATATTTTTAGATATATTACTATTAATAATTATTATATAAGCTGTTTAATTAAGATAATCTTTATATCATTTTAAAAATTTATTAATCTTAGATATATAATATAGTATTAAGATAATATATATTAATTAATTTCTGACTTACTTAGTAAAAAAATTAAACTCAGTATTTTTATTAAAATTAGAGTGGCTAATAACCAGATCAGATCAGGTTAATTAGAATTTTTATATTTAACCACCAGATTATAATTAGATTAAGAAAATTTTTATATCTAATTATAATATAGCTAAAAATCAGATAGTTAATTATTTTAATTATTCTTAATATTAAGATCTATTTATTATATCTTTTTAAGCTCTAATATAATTAAGATATACTTAGATTAAATAATTATTAATCTGACTATTTTTATTATTATTTAAAAATATATAAAAAGAAGCTTTTTAGATTAAAAAATATAATTAAAAAAGAAATTAGTATCTTTTTTATTATTATTTATTAGAAATAATAAGAAAATTCTAGTTATATTAATAAAATTTAGCTTTTTATAAAATTATTATTCTTATAATAAAAAATATATATAAAAATATATAATTATTATTCTATTTTAGCTATATATTTTAATTATATTATAGAATACTAAAAAAATTATATATTAATTATTAATTAAAATACTAGAAATAAATATACTGCTTCTATTTTATTATTTTTTCTAAATTAGATTATTTTTAAATTTATAGATAAAATATAGCTCGAAGAGCTACTAACAGAATCAGAAACTAATAAATAATTAAGAAGATTATAAATAGTTAGATTATTAAAATAAAGCAGATTAAATAGATTAAATAAATTAAATAAATTAAATAGATTAAATAAATAAAATAAATAAATGAAATATACTAGATCTATATTATAATACTATAAGGGTGCGTGTTGAGATAGTATGAAGAAAGTATATTTATTGCAAAGTTAAGATAATATCTGTATTACTTAAAGTATTATTACTAGTCTTTTATCTAGCTTCTCTTACAGATAATATATCCGCGAGGATTTTATAAATTATATATTATACTAGTATAATTACTTTGCAAGAAACTGTCTTTGCAGTATAGATATTTCTCACGATATATTATATTATAAGAATTATAAGAATTACTATTCTTATAATTATTTCTCTTCTTAGAATCTTGACTCTTAAGATTATTATTTATAAGAAATTAGATACTATTAAAATCTCTGCTATAAAATCTTCTTCGCGAGAAAATTAATTAAAAAAAAAATAATTTTTTTTTTTTCTTATAAGATCTGCTTTATATAGATTTACTGTAATTATTTTATATAGCTATAATTATATTATTATTTACTATATTTTAGATTCCTGTGATTATAGTCAAATAGTAAATATTATAAATATCTTTGTAATTATAATTAAATAATAAATATAATATAATATTTCTAATTTAAATATAAATTAGAACTCAGGGCTCAGAACTTAGAATTCTAAGAAAAAATATTTTTTTTAAATTTTTTTTTTTTTTTTTTTTTTTTTTTTTAACTCTTTCTATTCTTTAATTTTTTTTTCTTTTTTTAATCTCTGCAGTCTTCCTCTCTCTTAATTATTATTATTATTATAAATAAGTACTTATTTAAAGAATTCTTGCAGTTATTTATATTCTTATAATTATTTTATATCTTCACAGTTATTTTATACTCTTTATAACTTGCTTTATATCTTTGTAATTATTTTATATTTTCGCGATTATTTTATAATCTTTGTAATTTATTTTATGTCTTTACGGCTGTTTTATATCTTTACAGCTATTTTATAATTTTTACAGCTTATTTTATATCTTCGCGGCTGTTTTCTGTCTTTATAGTTTATTTTATATTTTTATAATTATTTTATATTTTCGCGGCTCTGAAGTATCTGTATCAGATTATAAGATATAATATTTTATAATTTTTTATTAATTTACAGATGCTTGTTACTTTGCGAGTCTGGGATATATATAATCTAATCTAAGAATTATAATTAATTATTTTAATATTTTTTTTTTTATATTATATATTTACTAGTTTTTTCTTTTATAAAAAAATTACTATTTTTATTACTAGACTTTTGTTTTTTTTTTTTTTTTTTATTTTTTTTTTTTCTTCTCTTCCCGCGAGCGTCCGTGGTAAGTAATTTCTTAGAAAGATTTGTTTTATATTTTATAATTAATATAGAGTTAGAATAATCTATTTCTGCGACTGCCGCTGCTGCTGCTATTACTATTATTATTATTATTATTATTATTATCTTTGTCTCTGCCGCTGCTATTATTATTAATATTATTATTATTTCTATTATAGTCTTTCTATCTTTTTCTCTCGCAGTAAATATCTGTTTTCTTTGCGAAGTATAAAAAGCTAATTTATATATAATTTATTATTTTACTGACTAAGATTTCTAAAATAGTCTGATCCCCCGCAGTGCTGTTTTTTTATATTTTTTTTATAATCTACTATTATAATAAAAATATTATTTTAAATAATATTCTTGCTATTCTCGCAATCCGCGGGCGATAAATAAATAAACTATTTTTTTTTTCTAAGAATATATTTAAATTTATTTAAGATTAATTTATCCTGCAGAATATTAAGATTATAAACTAGATTTTAATTTAATTTATAAATCTGTCCACAGTAAACTGATTTATTAATATTTTTATAAATATATTAATAATTCTATCAGATCTTTTTTTCTAAACAGAATTATAATCTTTATTTAATTAAGAAAGATATTAGATTATACAGCTAATAATATAATCTGTTTTTTTTATTAGATTTAATAGCTATTATTAACTAGAGATTTAGACCCAGCTTTATAAGATTTTTTTTATAATTAGAGCTGGCCGGCTTTCTTTCTCTGATTAAATATACAGTATATATTATAATTTCTCGGGCTTGAGAGTATTTATAATATATATTAGTAATAATTACAAATAGAGATATAATAATTATATTTAGACTAGATATAAGATTTATTTTTTATAAATTAAATAATTAATCTATCTATTTTTATTTCTGTAAGTATTTATTATATCTTGTATTTTAAGCTGCTGTCAGATAAGAATTCTCGCAGGTAATTTTTTTTATTATTTTATTATTTTATTTTTTTTTTTATTTTTTTTTAAATAAAGATTATACTCGCGAATAAACTTCTTATAAAATTATAGATAATATAGATTTATAGCTGATTCTCAGATATTATTCTTACTAAAATAATTTTTTTATTTAATCAAGATTTCTAAGAATCTATTCTAACTCCGCGAGATTAATAAAATCTCTGAATAATATTTATAATTACTTTTCTTTATAAAAAAATACTTCTATGAGTTTATTCTGTCTATTTTATAATATTCGCGAAGTAGTAATATATAGAATATATTATATATTTATAATTCTATAAATAACTTTAGTCTATAGACTTGCAAGTCTATCTATTTAATAATATAATAAAATTCTTTGTTTCGTGGATCTAGCTTTTTATTAATCTATCTTTATAAAAGATACTTTACAGATAGTTAGATTATTTTTTTTAATATAAAGCTTTTTATTTATTTTTTATAATTATAGAATTATTTCTATTTCTTATAAGCAGAAGTTAGATTTTTTTTTATTTTAATATAAATTTTCTAAATATACTTAATCTATTCAGAGACTTTAGTCTCTGCTTTTTTCTTTTTATAAAAGTTTATTTTAATAACTCGCGGGTATTCCGCGGTAATAATATAAAAAAATAATTTTTTTATAAAAACTTACAAGATATTATTATATATAAACTCCGCGATAAATAATAGATCTACTTAATTATCTTATTTAAAATTAATATAATTTCGCAAGTACTACTTAAGAATATTATTTAATTTTTTAGTCTGATTATTAATCTATAGATAATAAGCTATACTTAGCTTTTTTTTTATTATAAATATATAAATAAAATTAGATCAGAAATTTTTTATAAAAATATTATTATAATCTATAATAATCTTCGCGGGTATATTATATAAATAGAAAATCTTTTTAATAAAAATTCTTGCAAGATTCTCTTTATTAAAACTTTTTTATAAAAAAATAAAATAAGCTATCTTATTATATTAGTCTATTACTATTAGAATACTATTAAAAATCTCTTATAAATTCTTAATAATACTAGTACTTGCAAATAAATTAGTAATAAAGTTTATTATTATTTTTTTTTAGAATTTTATAAATATAAATAGAAATTCTAGCAGTTCTTACTATTTTTTATAAATTATTCTATTATCTTAATATACTCTGCAGGCCCAATAGTATTTATTTATAAAACTATTTATTTTTAATTATTAGAATTATCGCGATATTAATATTAGTATTTTCTTACTCGCGAAATAATTTATAATAGAATTATTATACAGCTTTATAAATATTTAAAGCTTAAGAATATATTTATCTAAGATATATAATTATCCCGCTCTTTATAAAAGATCTTTATAATTTTTTTATTATAAAATCTTATTTACTTTCTTTTTTTTTTATAGCTTAAAGTTTTTAGAATTTCTTAGTTCTTCGCGGATTCTCTATATTTATTAATTTTTTATTAATATTATAGATACTGCAGCTAGCAGCTCCACAGAAAGATTTTTATAATATAATTTTTTTATAATAATAATATTATCTGCTATCTTTTCTTTTATAATTTTTTATATATTTAAAATATATCTATAAGTAAGAATCTATCTAATACTTATAAGTAAAGCTTCTGTCTTTATATTCTCTGGCTTTTATAATTTAAATAGATTAGATAATTATTGCGGAATTAGTTTATTTAGTTTCTTATAATTCTTAACTACTATTTTTTTTTTATAATCTGAATATTATAAGAGTATATCTATAGAATTTTATATATCTAAATAATAAATAAGATAAAATTAAAATATTATAAGTTATTATATTTATTATATTTGTCTTCGCGATAGCTCTGGGTTTATCATAAAGTATTTAAGACTTTTATAATTAATAAATATCTCTACTGCGAGATCTATTCTTTCTAGCTAGTAATATTATTCTCTAAATAATTTTATTATTATAAGTAGTTCTTAATTATAAATTTTATAATTTTTTTCAGCTGTAATTATCTTTTATAAATAAAATATAATTAAAATTTATTAATTATCTATATTTCTTTATAATAATATATTATTAATTATAAAATTAGATATATCTATTTTAATATATACTTGCTTCTTTTTCTTAAAATAAATAATTATAATATTCTCTGCAAATACTATCTTTAGCTGCTTAAAATTCTTATAAATATTAGCTATAAAAAATCCTATATTAGATTTTTTTTTTTTTTTCTTATAGAATTTTTTAGTAAGATTTATAAATAGAATTATTATTTGCAAGTATTCTTAAATAAATTATTAATATTAGTTTGCAAATCTTATAAATTATAATATATTTTTTATATTTTATAACTCTGATTACTCGCGGATTATTATAATCTATTCTAATTTTATTTATATATTTTTGCAGCTAATAATAAATCTAAGAAAATTAATCTCTATTCACACGAAGTAGTACTTGCTTAGTTTTATATATAGATCTATTTTAATTAAGATATATATAATTTTATAAACTTGTTTTTTATATATCTTCAGATCTCGCGAGTATATTATAATATTATTAAAATAAATAATTATAAAGTTATTTAAATACTCCGCAAATAAGAAATTTATAAAATCTTAAAATCCCGCGGGTGTATTAATTAGTTTAAATAATATAATTAAATATTTAAATAAATTATACTTTATTTAAAAAACTGTTTTCTATTTATAGTCTACTGCAATTCTTATTCTATAATAAACTTTATAAAGATTAAATTATATAAATTATAATACTCCCGCGAGCTGATTAATATAGCTATTAATTTATAATAATAAATACTTATTTTTAATAATTTATTTATTTAGCTTGCAGTAATTAATATATACTTATAAGTTTCTATTTTTTTTTTTTATAAAGAGAACTAATACTCTGATAAATAATTTTAAATATTAAATTTATTTATATATAAGATATTCTTATAAATATTCCCAGAGTACTTTCTACTTCGCGGATAATATTTTATAGATTAAATCTATTTTTAATTTATAATCTTTCTTTAGATTAATCTTTAAATTAATATTTAATTATAAGAATAAACAGCCTGTTGTTTTATTCTCTGTAAATATTATTTTAAATTTATAAAGCTATTCTGAAAATACTTTCAGATCTGTCTTTTTATAAATAGATCTGATTATTATAATTTATAATTATTTAATCTCTGATTTTTCCGCGAGAAATTTTGTCGCAGTAATATATTATATCTTAACTTATTATTTTTTATAAAATTTTAAATAGTACTAATTAAACTCTGTAATAGAGATCTTTATCTAGATTTATAATATATTTAATATAATTTTCTCTATATTAAATATTATAATAATAATTTCTTTATAAATCTCGCGGTTATTTTTTATATTTGCGAGATTAATCTTAAATATTATAGTTTTTTTTAATTAAATATTACTATTATCCAGTGGTCTTATAAAAATCTTTATAAATATTATTAATTATTCTGCGGTCTTTATTATTATCGCGGGTATTAGATTTATTTCTGTATTTATATTAATTAAGATATTAATTTTTTTAAATAGATTAGTCTTATTCTATACAAGTAATTATTTTTATAGTCTTAGAATAGAATATATTATAAGAGATATATCTATTAATTTATTATAATTTATTCAGACCGCAAGTTATTTCTCGAGATTTTTATTCTTGCGCTAGTAATAGTTTTTTATAATATAATTTTATTTTCTATAATTAAAATATTTTATTATTTCCGCGGGCGCTGATATAAAATCTCGCGGGATAAATACTTCTAATATATCTGATTATAGAATATCTCTCTGTGGAAATTTCTTATAATAATTCTGACTATTAGATTATTTTATTTAATCTGTAAGTAACAGCGACTTTTTTTTTTATAAATAATTAATTTTCTTGCTTTATTAGTTAATACTTAATCTTAATTTTATAAGTAATATAATTAAATCTTGTTTAGTAATAGAAAAATCCGGCTGCTCACAGATTTTTTATTTTATATTTTATAAAAATAATTTAAAAAATAAATATAACTATATAATATTTAGTTTCTGTGCTTTATAATCTAGCTCTGTCTTTATTTTTTTTTAGTATTATAGATATATAAAGTTCTTTTCTTTCTTATAAGAGATTATTCTTAGAATTTATAATTATATTTTCTATCTATAATTCTTTAGATTATCTAGTTATATCTTAAAAAATTTATAAAAATCTGCTTAATTATTTTCTTAAAAGAGCTTTATAATTTTATTTTTTTATAAATTATTAAGTATATAATTTAAATAGATTATTATAATCTATATTTATTAATTTTTATTTTAATTATTAGTCTCCGCGGTAGATTTCTGCTGAGTAATAAATAATTAAAAGATAGTATAATTGCGAGTGCTATAGTATTCACTATTTTATAAAAAATATATATATATATTAGTTTTTTTTAATTTTACAGATAGAATATCAGGATTACTTAGAGATTTATAAATTTTTTTATTATTTATAAAAATTTTAAGTCTCTGCTCTAGTTCTGCAATTTATTAAAATATACTTAATTATTTATAAAGATTCTTAGAAAATAGTAAGATTATATTTACTTTAATTATTTTTTTTATAATAATTTTATGATTGGTCTTCAGGGAATCAGAAAAATTCTTATAAATATAATATCTAATATTTTATATAGATATAATTTCAACAGACTATCTTACAGATTTCGAGCAATAAGATTATAAGAATATATATTAAGATAATATAAAAAAATATATCTATTATAAAATTAAAATAATATCTGTATTATTTAAAGTATTATTACTAGTTTTTTATCTAGCTTCTCTCGCGGATAATATATCCGCGAGGATTCTGTGAGTTATATATTATACTAGTATAATTACTTCGCGAGGAACTGTCTCCGCAGCATAGGCATTCCTTGTAATATATTATATCACAAGGATTATAAGAATTACTATCCTTACAAATACTATAATTTTTATAGAAAATTCTATAAAAGTTTTTTATAAATTTTTTTTATAAATATCTATTTTTTATTCTAGTTTATTATATTTTAAACAGTTTTATTTAAAAAAAAAGACTATTTTATAACTCTGGGCTTTAGATATAAATTTCTAATTACTAAATTTATTAAAATAAATAAGATATAGTAAATATCTTAGCTGTATATTAAAATATAATAAATTATATTTATATAAAATTATATTTTAAAATAAAATAAATTATTTTTATAGAGTTTTCTGCTTTTATTTTTCTATATTTATTATTTATAAAATAATTTTAGAATTATAAATTAATTATAATTATTTAATTTATTTTTAAAAAATATTATTAAATCTTTTTCTTCTGTTTCTCAGATCTTTATAAATTATAATAATATTTAAATTAAAATAAGCTTTTTAAATTAGATTTTTTCTTTTTTTTTAAATCTTAAGATTATATATATTGCGAAGAATTAAAAAATTATTTTATATTTAGTTTTTATTAAGATATACAAAGAATTTAAAATATATCTAGATATTAAAAATATATAGCTTCTTAAGATATCTTTAATTAAATTAATATAATTTTAGATATTATAGAATATACTAATATTTTTATTTATTAAAAATCTTATTATAATCAGTTTTCTATTTTTTATTAGATAGCTAGAGATTTTCTCTTGATTATAATTAATAATATTAATATTAAATATTTTTTTAATAATTCTTAAGATATCTACTATTATTACCGGAGCTGTTTTAATTCTAATATAATTAAAATAATTATACTTTAAATATATATTAATTATTTTATTATAAATAAAAAGTATTAGAATATACTTAATAATCTTAATTTAGATTTAATTATTTTTATATTTAAGAAACAAGAGAAGAATAAGATAATTACTATTTTTTATATTAATAAAAATAAGAATATAAATAATCTTAAAAATAATTTAGAGAATAAATTATTATTAGAATTAGAAAAATTAGTCTTATCTAAGTTTTTAATTATTATATATATTTAAATAGAGATAGAGATCTAGTTTTTATAATTTTTATATTATTATAATTATTATTCTGAATAGTATAAAAAATAAATATTTTATATTTTTTCTTATTTTTTTTATACTAGATTTTATAAAAATCTTTTTCAAAGTATAATATATTTTTTAAGATAATTAATTAAATAGATTAAGCAGTAAACTATATTTAAAGAATATTATTATATTTATATTATAATTAAATATATATTATATTTTATATATTATCTATATAAAAAGAATATATATATTATAAATTAATCTATAATTATTAATTTATCTGTTATATCTAATCTTTCTAATTAGCAGATATAAATAATTATAATAATAATTATATCTTAATCTAATCTTAATTATATAATTAAAAATTTTTTATATCTTAATCTGACTATTAGATTATGGCTAGATTAAGATTAAGATATAACAGTCAGGTTAAGCCACTCTAATTAAAATATTAGTATTATATTTACTTGTCAGTCAGTATTTTATATTTTTTAATAAAATATTTTAATTTAATATCTATATTCTTAATCTTCAGAAAGCAAACTTTAGATTATTAAGTAATAAAATTAATTATAATTAAATATATATAATATTTGCTATATTTTATTAGCTTTATTAGCTAGATATTAGTAATTTATAATATTAAGAGATTTATATCTATAGTAATTAAATCTTAGCTAATAACTTGCTTAAATTTTACTAGTAAATATAATTTATAATCAGATTATATAAAATTATTAATCTTAAGTTAATTAACTATTATAGTAACTTTTAATTTAGAAATATCTATATATTCTAGTTATTAATATAGTAATATTAGATTAAGTATTATAATTAATATAATTCTTAGATTCTTATATCTATTTAATTTGATAAATAGAATTTTATATTTTTTATAAACTTTATTAATAATCTTCTAGATTCTAATACTCTAAATAATAATATTAAGATAATTCTATATATTATATATTTTATAAGCTAAGATTTTATTAAAGATCCCGAAATTTGTATCCAAATAGTAGTATATAATATTATATATTTTTATTTATTTTTTATAATTATTATTAAAATAAAGAAAAATTATACTATAATTCAGAGTATAATCTACTATATTATTAAAAATATTAAATTAATATAAAATCTTATTTAATTAATAGAGAGTATAATTAATAAAATAATTATAATTAGAGATAATATAGTAATCAGCTTTTAAATTCTAAATCTATTAATTTTTTATATCTAGAATTTTTATATTAAAAGCTATAAATTAAATAGATATAATAATATTATTAATATCTTTATTTATTTTAATATAAAAAAAGAAAAATAGATATTCTAATATTTACTTTTTTTTTATTATCTTTTTTATAGAAACTAGTATAGTATATTATATTAAATAATAAAAGTTATTATTATTTAATACTGTTATAAAGATATTAGACTGCTCTAGAGAATTTTTATATAAAATAAATTAATTTAATATAATAGTTTATTTTTTATTCTTAGATTAATATTTCTAGATATTTTATTTAAATATTTAATCTAAATCTTACAGCTTTAAAATTAAGTAAGAATAAGAATATAATTTATAATTATTTAAAATTCTATAATATATATATTTACTATCTATCTAATTATTAAGATACTTTAATTAATATTATTAATAGTTATAATCTATTATATTTTTTAAAGATCATCTCTATTATCTGTTCTTTAATATTAATTTTATATTAATATTATTATTTTTTTCTTCTTTAAATTAGATATCTTAGACTTAGATATCTTTATATATAAAATAATTAGAATAACTGAGATTATAAAAATTAAAAAAATTATAATAATTATCTTCTTTATAGTTTTAATATAAAAATAATTAAATTATTATTTAATATATATCTTTAGCTTAATCTTATTTATCTTTAGTCTCTGAATAATATATTAAAATAATATATTATTCTTAAGCTTATACAGTAGTATAATTATAAAAATATAAAGAAAAAATATAATATTAAAATATATAATATAATTATATATTTTATAATATATAATAATAAAGTCTAGAATTAATAAATATTAAACTCTTTTTAAAATAATAAAATTATTAATTATATTTATAATCTATAGCTTATTACTACTAACTATAATATTATATATAGTAATTTATATATTATCTATATATTTAATAAAAAGATCAGAATTCTGTAATTTCTTTTATAAATTATTTAATATCTGACTTAATAATTATATAATTATTTATTTAAATTAATTCTATTATTAATAATAGTATTTAAAGTTTTAAATAAATTAAGATATATTAAAATTAATAAACTGTCTATAATTAATAATAATTAGTTTTTATTAAATCTGTCAGATCTAATTAGAGTGGCTTAACCTGACTGTTATATCTTAATCTTAATCTGGTTATAATCTAACAGTTAGATTAAGATATAAAAAATTTTTAACTATATAATTAAGATTAGATTAAGATATAACTATTATTATAACTATTTATATCTATTAATTAGAAAGATTAGATATAGTAGATAAATTAATAATTATAAATTAATTTATAATATATATATTTTTTTTATATAAATAATATATAAAGTATAATATATATTTAATTATAATATAAATATAATAATATTTTTTAGATATAGTTTACTGCTTGATCTGCTTAATTAATTATTTTAAAAAATATATTATATTTTAAAAAAGATTTTTATAGAATCTAATATAAAAAAAATAAAAAAAAATATAAAATATTTATTCTTTATATTATTTAAAATAATAATTATAATAATATAGAAATTATAAAAACCAGATCTCTATTTTTATCTAAGTATATATAATAATTAAAGACTTAAATAAGACTAGTTCTTTTAATTTTAATAATAATTTATTTTTTAAATTATCTTTAAGATTATCTATATTTTTATTTTTATTAATATAAAAAATAATAATTATTTTATTCTTCTCTTATTTTTTAAATATAAAAATAATTAAATCTGAATTAAGATTATTAAATATATTCTAATATTTTTTATTTATAATAAAATAATTAATATATATTTAAAATATAACTGTTTTAATTATATTAAAATTAAAATAATTTTGATAATAATAGCAGATATCTTAAAAACTATTAAAAAAGTATTTAATACTAATATTATTAATTATAATTAAGAGAAAATCTCTAGCTATCTAATAGAGAATAGAAAATTAATTATAATAAGATTTTTAATAAATAAAAATATTAGTATATTCTATAGTATCTAGAATTATATTAGTTTAATTAAAAATATTTTAAAAAATTATATATTTTTAATATTTAGATATATTTTAAGTTCTTTATATATCTTAACAAAAGCTGGATATAGAATAATTTTTTAATTTTTTATAATATATATAATCTTAAGATTTAGAAAAGAAGAAAAGATCTGATTTAAAAAGCTTATTTTAATTTAAATATTATTATAATTTATAAAGATTTAAAAAATAGAAGAAAAAGACTAGATAATATTTTTTAAAAATAAATTAAATAATTATAATTAATTTATAATTCTAAAGCTATTTTATAAATAATAAATATAAAAAAATAAAAGTAGAAAACTTTATAAAAATAGTTTATTTTATTTTTAAATATAACTTTATATAAATATAATCTATTATATTTTAATATATAGCTAAGATATCTATTATATTTTATTTATTTTAATAAATCTAATAATTAGAAATTTATATTTAAAGTCTAGAGTTATAAAATAGTTTCTTTTTTTAAATAAAGCTGCTTAAGATATAATAGACTAGAATAAAAAATAAATATTTATAAAAAAAATTTATAAAAAATTTTTATAAAATCTTTTATAAGAGTTATAATATTATAGTATAAATCTAATATATTTTATTTATTTATTTTATTTATTTAATCTATTTAATCTATTTAATCTATTTAATTTATTGAATTATTTTATTTTAATAATCTGATTATCTATAATTCTTTTAATTATTTATTAATTTCTAATTTTATTAGTAGCTCTTCAAGCTATATCTTATTTATAAATCTAAGAATAATTTAATTTAAAAGAAATAATAAAATAAAAATAGTATATTTATTTCTAATATTTTAATTAATAATTAATATATAATTTTTCTAGTATTTTATAATATAATTAAAATATACAGCTAAAATAAAGTAATAATTATATATTTTTATATATATTTTTTATTATAAGAATAATAATTTTATAAAAAGCTGAATTTTATTAATATAACTAGAATTTTCTTATTATTTTTAATAAATAATAATAAAAAAAATATTAATTTCTTTTTTAATTATATTTTTTTAATCTAAAAAACTTTTTTTTATATATTTTTAAATAATAATAAAGATAGCCAGATTAATAATTATTTAATTTAAATATATCTTAATTATACTAGAGCTTAAAAAAATATAGTAAATAAATCTTAATATTAAGAATAATTAAAATAATTAATTATCTGATTTTTAGCTATACTGTAATTAGATATAAAAATTTTCTTAATCTGATTATAATCTGGCGGTTAGATATAAAAATTCTAATTAACCTGACCTGACCTGGCTGTTAGCCACTCTAGATCTAATTCTTATATATAATTATATTATTAAAAATAGTCTAAAAACCGCTGATTATAATTAAAAATATAAATTTAAATAAATATCTCTTTTAATATATCTAATTAATTATAAAAGATAAAATTATATTATTAGTATTACTAACTATACTTAAAATAGCTAAAATATTAAAAATATAAAATCTAAAATTAATAAATTAAATTATTTAGAAATATATTTATTAATATTAATAAAAATAGCTCTTCAGATTTATCTTTATTATTATAAAATAATAATATATTATATTAATATATTAGAGAGCTAAACAGAGAACTTAAGAAAATCTATAAAATAATATATTTAAAATATTTTATAATAATAAAAAATATTTATAAAATATTTAAAAATTATTAAATCTTTTCTAAATAATAAGCCGCCAGGCTTATAATCTTATAAAAATATAGAAAATAATTATATAAAATAATAGAAAATAATAAGTTAATTCAGAGAACAGAGACCAGAGATCCCGGTATCTGAAGTAGAAGACACGGTCATGTGCCCTGGAGCAGCCACCGCCAACAGCCTCGTCATCAAGAGGCTGCCACCGCCCGTTTCGATGTGTGAACACAACTCTTGCGCGCCTGAGAACGCAATGTCTCTCACAATAGCTGTCAATGTGCCAAGACCGAGGCCGCGTGCGAATGTGACACATCGCATTCGTATCAATGCGCCGAGCGCACTGCTGGAATGGTCCTCTCGCTGTACAACCACAGCTGTATACAATCTTCCAGTCGTAACACCTTCTACGTGTGAGGGAGCATGCATACCTTTACACCAGGCCATGGTTTACTTACATGATTCAAGGTATATTCTATTATAACTATTAGACACAGTTAAATTGTAAGAGGGTATCCCGTTGGCATATTCATGACTTACTATTGGGGAGAGAGAGAGAGAGAGAGAGAGAGAGAGAGTGTGTGTGTGTGTGTGTGTGTGTTTGTGCGGACGAGGAATGAGGGGAAGAAAGGAGGGGAAGAAAGAAGAGATAGTAAGTCAGACAATGAAGAGGGAAAATTTGGAAGGCGCGTTGTCCATCTCGGGCCTCCAGGCTATGGATTACCCACAGGGGAAGGAGGCATCCGCGATGAGATGGAACCAGATCTAGTATCTTCCTTCCCACCGCACCCCTCACACTCCATCACAATTCTCACAAGCTGCGCCAGATTACGTAGTCCATCAGTCGCGCAAATTCCCAGTTTTTAGCACGGCATCATACCGAGGTATGCATCTTGAAGGGCGCGAATTGGACACTTCTGAGGGGGTATATATAGCCCGCTGGTGCAAGCGTTGCAAGAAATTCGACCGACGGAGAATATTTAGTGGAAGAGTCTGATTCGGGCCAGGTTTTTCTCCCCCTTTCTTCCAACCCTCCCACGAAGGATGCATGGTCTGAAGCTCTGTACAATTAACTCACTATGATAGATATTCCCCACAGAGACTATAGTGAAGAAAGAAAGCCGCAGGCCGATTGGATTGTTGATATGTTGACGGGACATACTACGCAGACGGAACAGACTCGAAGCAATGAAGATATCTCGCTATTCGCTAGCTGCGTGCTGACTGCTGAGGCGGAACAGAAACAGATAGACAGTATAATTGCTAGGAGAGGTGAAGACTGCCCTGCAGCAGGAAACCCAACTGGGACGGAGGTCCAACAAATATAATTGACTCCTCGTTGAATATCTCGCCTTGAAGGTGAACCGATCAGCTTACTTGGTATCACCATGCACACGAACGAGGTGGTTCGGGCAAGGGTGTGTAATATTCTCTCGCACTTCGGGATCGTAGTGGTCGCAGCGAGCATTGGTCCCTTGTCTGGCCAGACATTGTTGGAATGTTCGACATGGGTCCCAGCACCCACAAGCATAAACGTAAAACACCCAGTAGCACCTTGACGAATTAGCATATGTCCACGTATGGTGATAATAATCATGACAATGAGCTCACATGGTTGGGACGGGGGTTATTGGGGCTTTCTCGCCTTTTCAGCCTTTGGAGTCGATGGAGTCGAGGATGAGGACTGTAGCTGGAAGGAAGAGAGCCCTGACACTTTACGCCGAGGGGAGATGTTGAGGGTGGACTTGTTAGTGAGGTCTGGCTGTACGTCAAACACATCAAAAAGACCACTCGGCTAAAAAGGTCCGATACTGAATGATAATGGGTTTGATAAGTCTATACAGTGTTTACGGAGTTCCACCTGTCGCCAGAATTACCAATTCTTTATCTTACTACCACGAACAACGCTCATTCCCATCTGCAACGTTTTGATACGTCCTGCGGGACTGTCAGTAGTGGACCATGTATCCCACCCCTCCTGATAACCTCCGCGCGCGTCTCCGCAGTCCCGGTTGCATTCACCACCCTTTGCGTCATACTATCCAAATCCACCTGCGAGATCGCAACCGATTGCCGGACCCAGCCAAGCTCGTCCGGCAATCGCTCATTTTCTATCTCAACGTCAGCCAAATCCCACGTGCATCCTGCTCGCGAAACCCACCAAAGAAATATTCAACCCAGGTCCGATTGACTGTCCCCGCAGTCTTGTTCCCAAACGCTAGCAGGTATGTCGCGGACTCCGCAAAGCTATCCGTCAGAGTCGCGTTGGAGAGGCCAAATTCGGGGTTCGTCGCCATGGAGGTGTTCATGCGAGCTGCGCGGGCGGTAGCCACGTCTTTGAGGTCGATGAGCGCGTGGGTCCAATACCCACGCGTCTGATCGAAGATGGTCTGGTTGAAGTCGTGGTTGTCGCCGAAGTAGTAGTCCTGGCGACTGAATCAGGTGAAGGGGTCAGTCACACACGCGCAATTCTGAAGAGGGATGGGTTGAAGTGATGCTTCGCCAATCGCACCTCAAGCTCCCATCATGTTCAATGATGTTATGACGGCTAAGATCATCCAGAGAGAAATTCGTCGCGTTGGGGCTTGGATTCGTGGCCAGAGCGCCCTGGAATAGCAGCTTTGCGAGGGCTGCGTCGATATTCAAGGCGTCTCCCAAACCGCTGACGGTTTGTTGCTCCGTGACGAACTTTCCGTCGTGGGGGAGGAAGCCGTGGTTCGCGAGCGAGTTTAGACCCGGGCATGGAGATCGTACTAATTTCAATCAATTAGCCGTGTTTACCGGTTGGGAATGAAAACATTCACCATCGCCAGGCCCGGCTGGAGACCAGGGCAGTGGATGTGGTGCTTCCGTGGAAAAGGCGTGGGCGGAAACCGCCGTCAACAAGATCAACGCGACGTGCATGGTTGATGGGCATTCCCCACCGCAGGACCCTGGATTTATATAAGGCGGGGACGGTGGCTCGGGTGATTGAGTCACGGCGAGCAGGACAAATGTCCTCCATTTAATTGGCCTTGTGACGGTGACTGACGCTGGCCAGGAATGCATGACTTTGCAAATTCGGTGCGATCGGCGGTCACTCAGTCGGCTTTGGAATGAGGGGTTGGATGGGTTGAATAGGCGTTTTTTGGGCATATTCACTTAGGATAGTCATCAAGGACTCGATTATACTGTCTATTTGTACCAGATAGAGACAAAAAAATCGAAAGTCGAATATGTCATTTATAGACGCGGGATGCGATCCAGAGGGCTTGCCGAACCGGCGTAAACCCCTTCCATCCACCAGAAAAAGAAAAGAAAAATACCAAACAAAAGCAAAGCTTACAACCAGGGTTCCCTGAAGTAAGTGTATCTGAATGGAACCCTTTGATATAGATCGTCTGGGGAATTGCTATCGCCATACTAGTTATGGGGTTGAGGCCTGGGCAATTCGGGCTTTTGACTGGCGGCAAGTATGATTGACAAGAATAAAATCAACGTTCAGATACAAATTATGCGAAATGAATAGCCTGCCCATGTTCTAGTCCAGTCAACATCATATCTTCAATTCAAGGCCACACGCCTCAATCCACAGCTGAAGCGTTAGGTATATTTTGGAAGGATGGAGGTCTATTTGGCATCATTCCAGGCGATCTGGCTGTCATAAGGGGTAAAATATATAACCATCAAGCTGCACGGTCGAGAGCTTTTGCCTGGAATTAAAGTCTAGAATAAAGCCTCTTTCGATAATACTGTCTTACATAGTAACTTTAGAAGTTTCAGCATTCTTATTTACATGCGTGTAGCATGTTCTTAGTCAGGTGGTAACGGGGTATTTTCATCACTGGTCCAAGTCCACACTGTGGTCGATGTAAAAACCGGATGAAAGTCGGGATACCCTTTCAAGAAATATAGATAGATAGATGGATGACTCCCACGTATCACTGACTAATGCCGCGTGATACGTGACGCCAGTGATTCTAGGGTAATACGGCCGAAGCCAATCGGCTGACAATACTATACTACTGCTACCCTCACTGTCGCACTGTATTTAAAGTTGCTTCGTTTGTGAATGTCGCGGTCCGGCTGATTCCGGACTGATAAATCTCTCTGAGTGCTATTTGCACCTCTTTGATCATATGGATACTATTAAGATATGTGTGTCTGCAAAACTATATTGGAAAACATAGGAAGGGCCTGGAGAATTTATTTGGAGAAACAAGGATCACCCCCAGTCTTGCTTTCAGAAACATTGCCTTTTTGCATATTCTTACGTCAATTGTCCGGATTCTTTACATTGACTGCGTGCCCCATACAACTATCTCTACATAGCCAGTTTATCAAACCAAATTCCAACGGTAATTTCCACCGCGATAATGATTTGGTATTATATTTATCTATATATCTTTTCCATGATCCCAAATCATGTTGTGGCCCCTATCTCAACCACTCTATTTGACTGGGAACATCAGGTGCACATATTAGTTAGAGAACTAATATGACTTAGCAGGGCTAGTCTAATGAATAGCATTCTTTCTATAGCTGACCATGCCACTATTTTGTTTGGAGTACTTTGGTAGAGGTTAGCCATTAATATACACAGATATGATCCCGAACACACCATGTGGGGCTCATCAGAGAAAATTAACTCAAACTATACCTAAATTAAACATCGGGACCCACTCCTTGGCATCACGGGAGGTCCCTAGATAATCAGTTAATCAATTGATCAGGGGCCTGTGTCCATCTAGCCGACTCCAGGTGCGGGTCATACGATATCGGAGGTGCTCTGTAGGGCATAGCGTAGATACCATAACCGATGAGTACTGACTACTGAGTAGATAGCCTGCTCTTTCTCGGCACCACTGCAGTAATGACTAGCACTAGAATTGGGGCGGAAAAAAAATAGCTCCACACTCAGGCCCGCCGGGAGATGTCTGACAAATAAAGTGCTCATCCCAAAGACAAGTTAAACGTGCCATATTTCTGCATCTCTCTGGATGTTATCTTTCGTCAGACCACTTTTGCCCACGCTACGTATAGTGTCATCTAGCTTAGGAGATTTTCAGCCACGTCCGGGTGGACCAGGCTATGACAATTATGGGATCCTAGACGAGCTTCCAGTCGAACCTGCTGGACTCCCGATATTGGTATGAAGAATTGGTGGACGTCGACAGATAAGTAATATCGGTCTTCACGGAAGCCCGACGGAGGCTGGGATGAGATATCTAAGGTTATCAGATTCATAGCAGACACTAAGCATAGCTGCGACTGGCTGTAGAGTCCTAGGGGCCCTAGGGAGTGTCAAGGATCCAGTCACCATTTTTCATGATCCATAATTCAAACCAAGCCTGAGATAGCTTATCAGTGAACAGAACAGTATATTGATAGTCAAATCAAACATGAAAAAGTTTCAATACCCAATCCTGGGTTATAAACTGCCGGGAGACAGGATGAAGGGATATGGAATAAGAAACTCCCGTGCAGAAACACAAGTTTAATACAATAGGTCATGTAAGAAACGAAGCCATTTTGGATGAGAACCACCAATAGATACACTCCCAAATGCGAAGCTTGATTTGGTATCCACTCTATCTAACCATCACGATACACGGCCGCTGGGTGGGGCTAGCGAATCATCATCCTGCTATCGGCTAATAATAAGATGATGGCCCTGCTTATATGATTCTTTGTAATAATAGATACGCAACTTCCGAGAGTACCCCAAATTAGTTCAAGATTGAACAATCATGATAACAGGGCGCTATCCCGGAAGCTGAGACAGCCACGTCAGGGTCGCCATCCCCACACAAAGCCGATCTTCCGCCCGTACCCCCCATAAGCCCATACGGGTGCAGATCCCTACCACATCAGCCTCTTTCTAACGGCTTTGTGGAGATCTTCTTCGTCAGACGGCTTAAATTACATAAAATGGAGCCCTCGAGTAGCAAACCGAATCTGTCCTAGCATCCCTGCCCGGGCGGCATGCAAAAGACCAGGCCGCGAGGAATATAAATACGGGCCCGACAGCACCCCTGTTTATCCTTCTCCTCACTCCTCTTCATACTCAAGCTTTGACTACCGCTCAATTCTACTCAATCCTCCAAGATGCAGTTCAACGTCTCCACCATTCTTCTGGCCTTTGGCCTCCTGAGCACTGCCTCTGCCATCAACTGCTACGCCACCCTTGATCTCTGCAACTTCTCATGTGGTGATGGCGAGTTCCCTTGCACCTACTACTCCGATGTGCCCGCCAGCTACCCCTACTGCTGCGCTTAAGCATTTCGCAAAGGTATATCCGTGTCCTGATACTGATAGTATTATTCATCTCACATACTTTCTTAGAATCTCTCCCCGCTGAATTTGGCACAGTAGCCATACGACAAACTGCAGGAGCGCGGGAGCAGAACGAGGAAATTTCGACCTGTACGTTGGATGATTTGCTGGATAGTATGGATCGGATGGAGCAGGTTTCATAGTGTTACATTCCATGTCATATAGAAAAGCACCATTGCCGAATTTGACAGACTCGAATCGAGACTTACTCACCAGATTTCACATCGAATGCTAACGAATCACCAATCATCTATTGGGCTTCGACAGCTGAAGCCCTAATTGTAGCTTCTCCGCACGCTGTGCTATGAGACTAACCCTGGCATATTCCTCACCAGCCTCCAACAAAAGTGTCTCATCCAGTTCGTGGTAGAACGCCGCCAACAGGTACGACTTCCACAACCCACGTCGGTGCTTCCGACTAACATACATAGTTAGCCCAAAGACGAGTAAACTCAGCAGAAGGACTGGGACGGGCATCAATAGCCAAAGCCAAGCCACATAAAAATACATCTCGTCGTGGAAGAGGGTGCCGTGGACAGCCTCATTGCTGAGGTCACAACCATACCTAGTAAGTTGGTGGCCCCCGGACCCTGCTTGATCACTTGCTCGACGCCATCGCGAGATCTCAATATATGAGTACTAGTTCATACCGTTCTTGATCTCCGCGAATTTCTTCCTGGGGAGACACTACAACCACACCCTCCGCCTTTCTATTTTGGAATAGTCTACTGCCAAGATTGAACTGCTAGACTAAAGGTGTGGCAAGAGGGATGAGGGTGTGACTGTACTCCGTAGTGGCTCCCTCATCTGGGGAGGTGCATATCACATCGCCTATCGGAATAAACTATCCCTGAATGTGGCAGAGTGCGATGAGGGGAGATTTCAGTTGATGCCGGGTGATTTATTACTTCGCTGGAGATAAAGACCTAGCATTGACGTATCAAATACCAGCTTGATTACAGCAAGATGAATTATCGCAGTGGACTTGCCCTAATTTGTGATGGCGTCGGAGTCGGACGCGGAGTTGGAAGGAATGAGATCCCTGCCTAGTCTCCCTCACTGACGAAGTTTCAGGTAACAGTGGTTCTTTCAGGGGACAACTCATCAAGGCACCAGCTTGCCCCTCACTCGCCCTGCAGCAGAGCCTCCTTTGAAGTCAGCAGTCAAGACCAACAACAGAACCCTACCATGTCCGCTCCACGGAAGAAAGTCTTCTCCAAGAGGTCCCGCGCGGGCTGCCGCACATGTCGGTAAGTAAACTAATCGGATTACCCTGGGCCGGAGTGCTGTTGGCTAAGACGTGACTTTGAAGCGCGCGTCACGTCAAATGCGACGAAACCCCGGGAGCATGCCGCAACTGCACCAGTTCTGGACGCACGTGCGAGGGCTATGATGTGTGTCGGTTGGGTCCAGGCGGGGGGAATCATGGCGAATTCGACGGAAAGCCTGCGCTTGAGTTGCAGGCTGCGATGACCGTGCGGCTGGCATGGACTGTGACATCAGATGAGCGCCGGTGTCTCTCGTTCTTCCAGTACCGATCCATCCCACATCTGGTCGGGTTCTACGACTCGCCGCTCTGGCAGAAGATGGTGCTACGATTGTGCCGCACGGAGCCCGCCGTATACCACGCCGTCATTGCCTTGGGGGCTGTGAACCAAGCTAACGAGATTGCCGGACGCGTTCCCCGACCGGGGCAGAGGAATAACCCCCAGGCCTGCAAGAGTAGGTGGTACCGATTTGCTCTGGAGCAGTCCGGTCGCTCGATTGCCCTGTTAAATAGGCGGCGTCTGTCCCAAGACCCCCAGTTCCAGGACATCATCCTGGTGTGCTGTCTCCTCTTTACCATATGCGAGCTCCTCCATGGGAACCGCAACCTGGCCATTTCCCACGTACAAGGAGGGCTGCGCATCCTGCATACAATGCAGATCCAACGCCAGGGCTTAGGGCTCGAAGTAAGCCGGACCAGTGGTCAGCGCCAGCTCCCCACAGGGGCAGCCTCGCCATTGTCCACGGTAGCGGAATGCGTGGTGGAGACTTTCCTTAACCTCCAGGAGTCCTCGATATTTTTCGGGGCGCAGGATCCACTGGAATTTGACCGCCAATTCGTCCTCCATCAGCCCTACGAGGACTACCTTCGTGACTTCCGTAGCCTGCAGCACGCACAGCAGGCATTCAAGCCACTGTTCAACGCCACTATGCTATTCACCTCGACATACATGAAATCCTCCGACTCGGACCTCCAGACGAACTACGCCACCCTCCAGCACCAACAACTGCGAATCATGTCCTGCCTCCACCAATTCGTGCGGGCATTGGATCTATTTTGCGTGCGTGCCTATGGAATGGCCTCTACGACCCTGGATGGGCGCACCAAAGACCGACGCGAAGCCGAGCTAATCCGCCTATGTTGCGGCTTGGGCCTCCTATCCGCTAAGGTGGCACTGTACCCCAGAGGTGAATCACTTCCGTCCGTGCTAACTGGAGACTGTGAGGCCTTGATCGAGGCCGCCGAGCGTGCGATGAGCCACTTCGGCCAGGATGCCCCCGCCTGTACAGACAACATGGTCTTCGTCCCAACGCTATACATCGGTGTTTTCCGCTGTCCGGACTACGGGCTCCGCATCCGCGGCATCGAGGACATCCGTTCCTGGAGATCGGAGGAAGGGTTCATGAGCGCCACCTGGGTGGCGGACATCCTCGAGGAAGGCATGAAGTTAGAATTGAAGAGGATGCATGAGGCTGATGCGCCACGGTGTGGGGTGACCTTCGAAACGGACGAAGATGGGAACGTCTCGGCGTGCATCCCGTACCGGGTGGGCACGGTCAAGGAGGACCGCTATCTGCCACTGCAGCGGAATGAAGAAGTGATCGCTGATCTTCTTGCGATTGAGAACGCGAAAGATTGGCCCTGTGTTCGAGGGTATGGGTTGCTCAAGCATCTTGGAATGTAGTAGACTGTCAAAAAAGGGTATCCGTTGCATTTCTCTATTTGACTGCGAACCCCAAAAGCTATGAGCAATGAAACCCCTAGCGAGCCCTGGCAAGGGAACCCAAACGGACGAGTGCTTTGCCCGCAAGGTAAAAGAAAGCCGATGATGTCCGACGAGTACGAGAATCAACAGGAACTAGCGTGATATGGACACATTACCGGAACTGGGTAGGCTGGGCATTCACAGGCAGAAATGAAGCGAGATTAATAGCTGAAGGACAATAAAAACGACGGCCAAAAAACATGCAAACAGAAGGGATTCGCTGGTGGTCACCCACCCAACTACTAACCTTCCGGCGTGTGGCTTAAGTACGGCTGAGCGGACGGGAAGCCCTGTTCTCCACACCCTATGGTCGCATGTACAAAACTTGCGAGAGGTGATATTGATATAGAAAGATTCATACAGTATTGGATTGATAGGGTTCTTGATATTATTCGTGTTTCCCCTGCATGTAGCGAGAAAATGTTGTGTACTGGGTTTTTACTCCTGAGATATAAATTCCTGGACAGATCCCATGTATTCTTCTGCCAGGTGGTGAATTATAGCCCTGGTAACTAAAACCAGTCTCTATTTTTCTTGATGGCCCTGTCTTTCCGCTCTCTCACGGTATCTTGTGATGCCTTTCATCATGGAACCACCCCTAGAAGAACAAGCCCAAGAGAGCCTTGATACCGACATTACGGAAAGGAAAATCCAGGGTATCAAGGACCGTTACAATTCAGCAGGCTCTGAAGAAAAATCCAGCCTACTTGAACAGATCGCTGAATGCGCCGCAAGAAAGGCTCAGCTTGAAATACTAGATTGGGTCTTCAGCGAGGGCTTCCAGGTCCCCCCCGACTCACTGAACAATGAATTCTACCACCAGGTTTGCTTCGCGCAGTCCATACCTGTATGGAAGAACCTTATCAAGAACGGCGTCAACATCAACGGCCATCACAGCGAATATTTTGCTGATGCGCTGAGCATAGAAGCCTACGAGGGAAATATTGAGATGATACGCTTCCTTCTAGAGAATGGGGTGGACCCGAATGATGGGTGGGGGGTATGATGACTACGAACCTGCCGTGTCCGCCCTAGTGGGCGAGAAGCCGTCTGTCGAGATCCTGAGTCTGATGCTCCAGCATGGATGGACCCAGAAAGAAAGTTCCGCACATATCGCAGCGGCGGAAATTGGCAAGATGCAGGCGCTCAAGTTACTGGTCGAGCATGGGGCGAACCTGGAGGAAGCCCGTGGATGGTGGTCCAACGTTGGTATTGTTGATTCGGACAAGTGGGGGACTGCTTTGTATCGCGCAGCGTATAAGCGTCAGAAGGAGGCTGTGGTGTACCTGTTAGACAAGGGCGCTAGCATTCACTTTGAGGATGAAAAGGAGCGATCTATCATGTGAGCGGCAAAAGAGGGAGGAAACGAGGAGGTGATTGACTTGTCGAAGGCTGCTGGGTTGCAAGAAGAATGAAGATCAGATAGGCAGTAGCCGATCTTGTGCTAACGGGAAATATCTACTGTATTTTGTGTTCCATCCCACATGAGTCTCCCGTTTAGCCATCGGGATATGAGGCTCCCTTTCAAATATTAAGTCGTCCAAGCGAATCTGGTGGCCTGACTTGTGGCACCAACTTGATCCCCCAACTGCAAAGACATGCGTCACCCTAAACGCCTGAATCAGAACACCCATTCAACTTGTCAATCCCAGACCAACCGGAAGAACTCTTCTGCCTCCGGATCGTGCACTTCGTGACTGGTCCCACGCAGTGAACCCAACCGTTCCGCCCCGGGGACCCCCACTCACCCCTATTGCCGTTGTCGGAGATCGAGGTCCAGTTGCAACCATCTTTCATGATCCTCGAGCAGGACGGACCTGGAAATCCGCGAGAGCGAATGATCCAAGGTACTGGGTGGGGTGGCCGGACTGTCAGATTTGGAGGCGGAATTGGGGAAATTGGGGAAATTGGGGAAATTGGAGAAGGTTTCACTCCGAGTCTCTGTATCACTAATCTGGCCAAGCCTCGATTCTGACGGCCAAGGCTGTCTGTAAGTCATTTCCAGACAGCCGTATCTTATGATCAGCTGTCAGATTTAGGGAGAATTGAACCGATGATACCCAGCTTGCCGTAGCGGTCATAATTCGCTCGTGTGAGGGTAGAGGCCAGATCAAGTAACAAGGCTGAGAGCGTCGCCATTTTTACCGCGGCTTTGCGATGCATCTCACTTATCATCTCATAACCAGGAAGAGGCAGAAACTGATATTATCACTGAGATCGATGATGAACTTGAAATTGCTGTTTGGCGGGTGATCAAGATATGAGAGAACCTATTATTGACTTCAATATTTCGCCGGTATGTAATGACCTGCTTAGATGTCTAAATTTCCCATGTCGCTCTGTAGGACAACAATTGCTTCCCTCCAAGATTGTCATATTCACTGGCGGGAGATCAGCGCGGTATTTATTGCAGTGGATATGTCTTGGCCATGGTATTGTGACTATGGTTGGGGTTGCCGTTTCTCTTAAATTCGCAGGGAGTGTGGGACAACAGGCGCATGTACAGCTTAGCGGTACCCGGACAAATCCAACGGTGCTGAGACATGCGGATTCGGTGGCAACCTCAGCGGAGAATATCTTCCGGGTGAAGCTTTTTCAGGTCAAAGGCATAAATGGGGAAGAGTTTGATCTGCTGAAACCGGTTCCTGCAAACTTAACTACCCCCTTACTGCGGTTGACCTGGAAAATTAAGCGGACGTTGCGGGGCATGAGATATCGAGATATCCGAAGATTTTGGGGTTCAGGTTATAAGGTAAGGTTTAGGGTCTGGGTTTATGCAATGTAAGTCCTCTGGCTGTGCGTAAGGGTTTGGGAGCCCTAGAGAATTGTTGTAAGACTGCAAGTAGTCTTATCGGTTTTCCGGGTGTCATTATCTGCTTAGGAAAAAAGAAGAAAAAAACAAGGGCAGCATCCAGCGACGCGATGTCCAACCCCACTGCATGGCTCCCTGATCACTGTATGTGGACGAATCTGAACATTTAATCGCGAGATGGTGATCAAGAATGGGGGTGTCAGTAAGGTGCGCCATGCATGCTTGACTCTTGAAGCCGCTGTGAGGCACCCCCTTGCTTTAAGCTCAAGAGTGGAATCTCCAATGGCCATGCTCTGGGCTGGCAGCAGATACCACAAGATCTGCAGAGATGCGGTCGATCAGAGACCAGGGGAAAGCAAAGCCCATGGTTATTAACTGATTCGGTGCGGAGGATGGGACAATCCCTCACCCGCCCCTCTTATAATGCAGCCAAGACATTACCTGTTGTCGAGCTTGACCGGTGTTCTTTCCGCTCGTGGAGTTTGTGGCCGATGGACAAATAAGGCATGGTGCAAAATATCAACTGATCCAGTCGCCCTGCGGGTCTGTGGTGTTAGCCATGGTTGAGAAAGCCGAGTCCGTCCATGATGGCCGCAGTTACAGACCCTGATCCGCAGCAATGGCCGCCTGGGACCCTAAATTTGGAAGACTGTATGTCTGCCTCGAAAATTTCCAGATTATTTGGTCCGAAAGCTCATCTGATGGCACAGTACAGGGAGCCACGGCCACCGTCGTGCTACAGCCCAATCCCACAGACCACCCCAATGACCCGCTGGTAAGGTAAACCAGATCGTTTCAAAGGCTGTCGCTAACACAAACGCTGCCTTGTATATACGACAGACGTGGTCCAAACTGCGCAAAGCCACTAACCTCGCTCTCGTAAACTTCTATGCCTTCGGGTTATCTGCGCGACGTGCATGTCGGTCGCGTTGACGTTGACGATGATATGTTGGGGGAGGGCGGCGCGGCGGAGGACGGCGGACTCGTATCGGCGTCTCGCAATGCTGAAGCCGGGGAATCGGCTCTGATTGCACCTGAGGATGGAGCTGGTGGCTATGGTGGTATGACACCTAATTTAGCTACCCTATGCGGTTGCTTTGTGATATCTTAGAAGAGAATTGAAAAAGTAAAAGGGTGGGGAAGACGGCTGAGGAGGGACAGGGTGGACGCCACATACCGGGGGATGTACCACAAAGCGGAACCACTGTCACACAGCATAGGGCTAGCAACTTTATGTCTTTTGCTTCGTATATAAACGGAAAACAACCTTAGTGACAACAAAACCACTACCAGACAACATAAAAAATATATAAAAATCAGGAAAAATACATGCAACAGAAGGGATTCGCTGGTGGTCACCCACCCAACTACTAACCTCCCGGCGTGTGGCTTAAGTACGGCTGAGCGGACGGGAAGCCCTGTTCTCCACACCCTATGGTCGCATGTGGTAGAGTAAAGAAAAAGATGCCCTACATGCTACGTTTTCAGGAGTTGTGGATTAGTTCGATTCTAGATCGCATAGCTGTCTGCATATAAAACATTGAAGACGCAGTGATATACATATAGTACCAAATCTCTCTCGGAGGAAAGACATCTGCCTAATCACAAGCCCTCCATCTCCTTTAGCATGGGAAGATATACATGCTGGTACCTTCCCAGAGCCCATGAAGTGAAGTAGAGCTTGTAATTGGGATAGCCGATCATGCTTTGCATTCGCAAGAACAAAGAGTCAGTCAAAATTGCTTGATAACAAAGAAGGTAATCTCAAACCTACCATGTATTGTTGAAAACTCCCTCCACACCCTCCTGGTACCACTCTCCATTCGCCTGCTGCCGGCTCATAATCAACTAGAACACAAATGCTTAGTACTTGTATACGATTCCACGAGAATAGAGTGTAGGAAAGATCGTATACCTTGAGCCCTTTCTCAACGGCTTCCTTGAATGGATACCGCGCATGCATTAATGCCCAGCAAGCCCACGCCGTATTCACCACCTGGCTTCGCTCATGCTGCACATACTCCTCCACCTCGCAAGAGGTATAATGCTCTCTCCATCCCCCCATCATCTTTCTGTGTGCGGAGCAGAAACTTGCAACACCGGCGCACAGGTTCACTGGTCTGCCACGTCTGACCAACCAGTTCCAGGCTCCGCATTGCAAATAGTGAGGCGTAGGTAAAACATACGCCCGATGATCCATACCAGCCTCCGTTCGGCCATTGTTCACTCAGGATATAGGTGCATGCACGGCGGATGACTTCCTCAATTTCAGCCGCCCGGTAGGCGGGAAAATGGCGGTGGAAAAGCGAAAGCGTCGTTACCACCGCCGTGGTGCACTCGGGATACGGATATTCGACCATGATGCTGTCGAAGACCTCCGATGAGTTAACATATTCAAGTTAACTGCTGGCGCGGGTTCGCTCGTAGCTGCTAAAGCCGCCGGCGGGGTTTTGCATGAGTAATAAGGTGTCGACGCAGCTCTGGAGACGCTCGTCAGAGATGAGGCTGGGGAAGTTGCTGCGATATTAGGGTTAGCGCCGACATTTGCATTCCTCATGAAACTGTCTATTAAATAAGTACTCACCACTCTTTCTGAAGCATCAACACCGCTTTAAGACCCTCCGCAGCACAATCGGACACCACATAGCCATTATCCTTGGTGCTGAACGGCCAGCCGCCCTTCCGCGGGTGGCGATAAGGGTCTTCCAGATTGTCCCGCAGTTGAGAGACGTCCAAAAATTGCAGAGCTTTTTCCAATGACGAACGAAATTCCGAGTCCCTGCCCAGTCCAGCCTCAACCATGGCCTGAATTGTAAACGCCGTATCCCACGCCTGGACGCCATTCGTACCACTGCAGGTCATTCCACTTTCTCCCATCCACATATAAGGGGGTATCTTTTCCCGGTGACTTATCATGCGAGGGCTATCGACGCCATCGGAATGCCACACAGCGACCATGTGAAAGGCTTTGTTGGCTGGAGCCAAACAGTTGTAGGATGTATTTTCGTCTTCGCGTTGGGTCAATGCGCAAACTCGCTGGTTTGCCCGTTGAACGATCCAGTCGGGCTGTACATATTGCTCCCAGAAACGCAGGATCCGGTTGGCGACGCGGAGAAGATTCGATGTTGGCTTTTTCAGATCAGATGGCGCCACATGATCCCGATACCGCTCGAAGTTGATTTTCTCGTACGGTGATATATAGATTTCGTGACGCAGGCTGGCGAGGAGTGGATTTAGAGGTTTGGTGGTCTTTTTGGAATACCGATATTACACGGGAAGGTAAACCACGCGGCATTGAACCCACCAGGGCCATGGATGGAACGGAACCCAGTCAGCAAGCAACCTTGATAAGTAAGCTTATACCATAGTCGATCGCACGCCAGTAGAGAAAAGGATACCAGGACTCGGGTGGGATTGGATCCACTCCATCCCAACTGTACAGATTCAATAATGCGAGCCAGACCTTTCCCCATTGAGGCACTCCAATTGCCCCTCCTATTGATAGCATGAGTCGGGTCCCAGTTTCATAGTCAGTAGGGGGGAAGGAGTTTACCTAGGGTGTGAAGGCGGGTACGAGCCTTGGTGGCTAGAGGGTGCGTCGGTTCCAGACCGAGGCGTCGCAGGGTGATGTAGTAGAGACTAGTCGCAAAGACAGTTGAATCGCCGGCCGAATGTAGACCCCACCCACCATCTTGATTGACAGTGCTTGTTAGATAGCGGATAATCTCAGTCTTCCACTCTGGTGAAATTTCCGTCTCGGTAATGTACATGGCAATCACGGTGCCAGCCAGCAAGAAGCTGGGTCCACCGTATGCACAGCCCCAGTGGCCATCCTCCAGCTGGAGGCTTTGGTAGAAGCGGAACCCATTGCGAGCAGATTCCTGAAAATTGCTCGAGGTCGGAAGTTGCGGTAATCCCAAATTTGATGAGGTGAGCGAGCCAAACATTGACGCACGGTAGGCAGTCCGAGGAAGTATTTCTCCGCCGCAGACTGTGGGCGTTGTGTCGATGTCTGCTCATCGACATACTGCCATCGATGGACACCGTTGTTGACGTTGAGTCGCCATCGCTCAGGATCTGTTCGATTATTTGTCGACAGCATTGAGCCTGTAATTTTTCAACACTTTAATACTCCTGCTGGCGGGTTAATAATGCCACTTGAATGGACAACCCCCCGGCAAAAGCGGCGCATGTATCGAGTTTATCTAGGAGGGGTCAAAAGATTTGAAGGCGAAGAAGAAAGAAAAAGCAGCGACACGAACAAAGACGCTACAGACGCACCAGCCAGGATGCCGGCGCTAGTACGGTGCAGGGATGGCATGGTTTTGGTGGCAGCCTGGCAGGGGCTGCAACGCATGACTCGTCGCCTGCGCTAGCTTGATCGGCCCAAGAGAAACTACTGTGGACTTTGGTTGGACCCCCAAAGGGAAAGAGAAGTGATTAGGTCGAGAGTTCATTATAAGTGTAATGAGGGGACTACAACCCTAATAAACTGGCATCAGACCTGGGATATCGCTAAGTGTAGATCACGGCTTCAATCGAGCGTTTGCGGAATAGCTTTTGCCCTAGCTGTGCACCATTACTAGCTGCACCGTCTCCACGTAAAAACCAGCGACTGCGATCTCATTCCTCCCCCCTTTCCACCGCCGGAACAGACCCCGACGGCAACGCATTTACAGCCTCATAGATCGCCTGGACGTAGCTCGCGATCCGGTCATTGCCCAGGGTCCCCTCTCCCATGCGGTTCATCACGTAGCCAATCGACATGCGCCGACCCGTGTCCATCACCACCGATGATCCCCCCCAGCCACACCAGAACCCGATACGGCCCTCCGGAAGCCACGGCAGAGTCTGCGGGACCGGCAGCCCGACTCCAAGCCCGAAGCGCAGGCGGGCGAAGAGCACTAGGTCCGGGCCGCTCACGTGCTCCTGGAGCATGCGGGCCACCGTGGCCGGGGTAAGATACTGGCGACCGTCGACGGTGCCCCCGAGAGCCACGATGGAGCCGATCCGGGCCAGGGCACGGGCGTTGGCGAAACCGGCGTGGCCGATGCGGGAGTGGCGGAAAGCCGGGGTCATGGGGGCCTCGGGCGGGAAGGGGGTCCCCGCGAAGGACCTGGCGGCCACGCTGGCGGGGCCGAGGTCGGGAAGGGCCAGCGGCGGCGGGGGGATCATCTCCGCCGTCCGGGGCCAGTCCCGCTCGGGCACCCCCAGCTGGACGTCCGCGCCCAGCGGCCCCGCCAGCTCGTCGGCAATGAACTGGTGCAGCGGCTGCCCTGTGACGCGGCGCACCAGCTCCCCGACCAGGTGAGCTTGGTTGGCCAGGTGGTATCCGGAGTGTTCGCCAGGCGTCCACCAAGAGGGCTGTTGCGCAAGTTTCGCGGTGGATGTGGGTATATCGTAGATCTCTTCGAGCGTTATCGGGGCCTCCCAGGCTGAGACGCCGGAACTGTGGCTGAGGATGTGCGAGACCAAGACTTGTTCCTTGCCGTTGGCTGCGAACTCGGGCCAGTAGGTGGAGACGGGCGCGTCGGGGTCGAGCAGACCGCGGCTGACGAGGAGGAGAGCTGCCAGGTTGGTGACTACCTTGGAACTCGACCAGATGGCGGTTATTGTGTCCTCCTCCCAGGGTCGGGTGCGGGCCACATCGGCGTGGCCGCCCCAGAGATCGATGACTGTCCGCCCGCCGAGGGTGACGCAGAGTGAAGCCCCCAGCTCGTCGCCGTCGCGCACCCGGTCCTGCAGCAACTCGCGGACGCGACTGAAGGCCGGGTCACAATGGCCGTGGATCGCCGCCATGGGAGATGTTTGTGATGGGAAGAAGCGATGCGTGTGAACGGGGCCTGTGGGTGGTCTTACTCGGCAATACCCCTGAAGGTTGAGACAGAGGGAAGATACAGAAGAGCTCGAAGATGCTGTAGAACGGTGAATAAAAAGCGGGCAAGCGATCTTATAAGGAAATCAACAACCCGCCGAGTATCAGACCAGCGACACACAGTCCTTCGCTTACTAAAGGATCTCAATATTCACCATAAGCACCCCGATCGCGGTATTTAATCACTTGAAAACTGACTTATGTCACATTCAACTCCTCCCTCAGTCTATCGCAGCTTTTTGCGGTGTTTATCGACGTTGTATGGTTGTAATGTTTTGAAAATATACTGCTTAGGCTACATGGCTTCTATATTATAAATCAAGAGTCCAGGATTATACATAGTAGGCCGCTGGCGCAAGTTACCACGAGGTTGTGGCCAGTTGTGGCCAGTTATGACTAGTTATAATCAGTTATATAACAGTTTCTAATAATTGCTGATTAAAATAAATAATAAGTATCTTTATTATATTATATATAATAATTATTATATTATTTTAAAATTATATTTAAGAAAATAATAAGAAAATAACTATTTAAAGCTTATTTTATAATTATTTATTATTATTAAAAGTTTATTATTTTTTTATTTTTAATCTATTTATAAAGAATTATATTATTATTTTTTTTTATAATAAATAAATTCTTTATAAATTATTTACTAAATTACTGTTATCTTATTATTAATTTATTATTAATTTATTATTAATTTATTATTAATTTATTATTAATTTATTATTATTTTATTTTTTTTTATATATATTATATTTTTCTTTTTTTTTATTCTTTTATTTTTTTTTTTTTATATTACTCTTTTAAGTTATTTTTATTATTTTCTTTTTTTTTTTTTAATTTTTTATTTTTTTTTTTATACTTTTTTTTTATAATTAGACTGTTATAAAGAAGGCTATTAGTATTAAAATAATAAAAATATTTAAAATATTTAAAAAAATAGTTATTTATTAATTAAAAAATAAGCTGAAATATTTTTATAAATAATATAAAAAAATAATATTAATATAAAAAAAATAGATAATAAATATAATTTAAAATTTTTTTTTATAAATAATAATATAGCAGAGATAATAGTAATATAAAAATTAATTAAAAAAAATAAAAAGAACTATTAAAATTACTAAAACTTAATTCTAAAAATAACTAAAGAGAGTAATTAATATTAAACTTAATTAAACTATACTAGCTAGAACTTTAAGATTATTTAATAAAAAATCTAATTATTAAGCAGAAATATAAAGCCGGACTGGCTTAAATTTAAAAATTAATAATTAAAAAAAAGTATAAAATATTATAAAATATAGTTATTATTATATTAAGAAAATTAAATAAGATCTTAATAAATATCTTATATATTTTATTTATAATATAAAATTAAAAAATATATACAGATAGAAAAGAGTATTTTTTTAAAAAAATCTTTTTAAAAATATTATAGATATAATAATATAAATTTTAAAGAATATTCTTATATAAATATATAATTTATTATAAATAAATAAGTTAAATAATAAAAGAATAATTTTTAGAAAGATTTTATTAGATAAAAATTTAAGAATATTTTAAAAAAAATTTTTATAGCTAACTTCAGTAATTAAAAAAATAATAAAATATAAATTTATTAAAGTATATAATATTAAAATATAATAAGTAGTTAAGACAGAAACTGATTCTGCAGCTAAGAATAAAATAGATTTAAAAAAAAATATAAAAATTAGAGTTAAATAAAAAATTATTATTATTATTATTTATAAATATAATTAAAAATAAATTTTTAAATTTATTAAAAATATAATAATTATAGATCTAAGTCTGAAAGTATAAGCTATTAAATAATTAATAAAAACTAATTCTTAAATAATAGTTAAAGATCTTTAATCTTAAAAATTTATTTTAAGTTTATATTTATATAGAAATTATTCTATAATTATTAAACTCTTAAATTATAATATAAACAGAGAAAATAATTATAACTATTAAGAATACTAAAAGTATAAAAATTAATAATATTAATAATATTATATTAAAAAAACCCAAGTATGTTAAGAAAGTAGTAAATATAAGAAAAATATTAAATAATTATATTTTTAAATTAAATATATATCAGATTACAGAGAATCTTTAGTAATTATTTAATATTAATATAGATATAAATAATCTACTTATTTAATTAATATTAGAGAATTATAAAAAAATCTTAATATATAAAAAATAGCTAGATATTTAGAAATATTAATTTAATAATTATAAAAAAATCTACAGAAATCTGAATATTATTAATAAAATAAATTTTTAAATAAAAAATATATAATATAAATAAGAGCTGAAATTTTAGTAGCTGATTTATATTAATTATATAATTAAAATTATAAAACTTAATTTATTATATAATACTATTATTACTAATATTATTAATATTAATAAAATTTAGAAGATTATTATATTTTTTTTATATATAAATATTTTTTTAGAGATCAGCAAAAGACTTTTACAGCTAATATAATATAATAATTAAATAAATTTAAATATAAATATATTATAGCTAAATAAGATAAAATAAAATCTTTAAAAAATTATTTTATAATTATTATTATTCTATTTTATTTTATTAATTAGTAAATAGATAAAATAATATTAATAATTAAGAAATTTTAGATATTACTCTATTATAATAATATCTGCTGTTAGATAGAAAGCTATATTAAAAATAAGTTAATAAAAAAATATAAGATCTTTAAAAACAGGCTTAAGAATATATATATTATTATAATAATTTTATATTAGATATAGAAGATATACTATAATTTTTAAATAATAAAAGCTTAATATAATAATAAGAAAAAACTATATAATTTTATTAATTTATATATATTCTTAGATTTTTTAATAATTTAAATAAATATTTTAGAGTTACTATATTTAATAAAGTATATATATTTTAAAATAGAGAATTAGATATTTTATTTACTTATATATAGCTATATATTAGATTCTATATTTTATTAATTATTATATTTTTTTATAATAATATATATAATTTTCTGAAATATATCAGACTTTTTTTATATTTAAATTCTATTATAAAGATAATATTTATTAGTAATTATATATATTAGATTATTAAGATCTTTTTTAAGATAGAGAATAAGTAATTACTCTATAGTTAGAAGTTTATTATTAAATATATTTTTAGTAAGAAGATATAGAATATAAATATTATTTTTTATTATTTAAAAAAAATATTATAATAACTTATAATCTGCGAAATACAGAGCTTTATTTTATTAATTAGATTTATTAATAAAATTAGAGCTGATATTCTTTCTGTTTTTAAAAAAATATTAATTTTAAGTTTTAAATTAAAAAAATTTATAATATATCAGATTTATAAAGCTATAAATTAGTAAAATATTTTTATTATAAATAAAAAGAAATTAAATTATATATATTAATATATAAATTAGCTTTATAAGTTAATTATAAAATTATTATAATTAAGTTTTATTAATATAGAAAGCAGTCTGTCTATTTCTGCTGTTATAAAGTTTTTTAATATAATTAAATAATATAAGTAAATAGTCTGTGTATACTTGAGTCTGAAAATAAAGATTTTAATAAAAAAAAATATTATAAAAGATTTTTATATATAAATCAGAAAATATTATTATATTAAGATCTTACTTAATAATAATAATAAGAATATAATATAATTTAATATTAAAGATCTTGAATAGCTGCTGTAAGATATTTCTAAGATATAAATTATATTATTAATTATTTAAGATTAGATATTTTTAAAATAGAAGAAATCTTTTATCTAAATCTATTTTTTTAATAAAAAGATATATATTTTTATTATTCTGATAGAAATTAATATTAATTATACTATTATTTATACTAGATTAATTATTAAAAAAAGATTAATTATTATAAAGTTATTTATTTAAGATTCTGATAAGTATATAATATTAATAATAAATTATTTAATTAGTTTAATTAATCTAAACTTATAGAATTTCTGCTGTAATCTCTATTTATTCTTTTTAATTATTTTAAAAATTATAAAGAATTAGTCTATAAGACAGATATTATATATAGATTAAATTTATATAGTTTTTATATATAAATATTATATATTTAAAATATTTAATATCTATCTAATAAAAAGAAGTATACAGAAAGTATTATTAGATTTTATTATAATAATATATATTAAACTGATCTCTGCGCTTGATAATTCTAAAACTAGATTTTTAATAAAAGAATAAATTATATAGAATATATATTATAATACTATTCTGTTTAAGCTTATTTTTTTAAAGAAGCTAGATATAGTTTTTATAATAATTATTTTTTTTATAAGAAATAAGATTATTATTATTATTATAAAAGACTTTTACAGATAATTAATTAATAGTTATAAAATAAACTAAATAAGAGATATAAGAGACTGACAGATATTAAAAAAAATATAATTAATAAAAAAAAGATTAGTAATAATATAAAGACTTATTAAAAAAATATATAATATAATAAAAAATAATACAGATATATATCTATATAAATAGATATATTATAATATAAAACTATAGATTTTAATAATAGCTGTTTATTTATAATATAAAATATTTTAATATATTTCTTATTTTTTTTTTATTTTTATTATATAAAAATATCTGCTAGACAGTTTTATTTTTATAATATTATTATTATAATTATATTAAATATATAGTATTATAAATTCTTAATAATAGAGACTAATAAATATATAATTATTTTAGATATATTATATTAGCTAATACTTATTTAATATTTATTTTATCTTTAGTTTACTTGAATCTCTCCCGCACTGGAGATTATATAAAAAATATTAAAAATATTTATTATTTTAAGATAAGTAATATCTCTAGAA